TTAAGTTATACACTTTTATATTTAAAAATGGCATTTATTTTGATTTTTAAAATTGTTTTAATTTAAAATTTTATTTAAAAATTTTTAAAATTAAGAAGTTTTACAAAATTCTGTAAGATTTGTGTTTCGTTGGCCAAGTCATTGTTTTGTAAAATGATACTTTGGTCAAGTTTGGTTCACAATGGCAACATTCTCATCCCTTAGTTTTCTATTATTCATAACTTTCGGCGTATCTTCAAAGTCGTGATAACCGTACGTAAAGGTAGATATCATTAAAAGTGACGCACAGTCTTACTGTTTCTACCTTGCAACGGTAGAGTAATCTAGTCAAATTTTACTGTGTAATATACTTTGTTCAGTTATTTTAAAGCGACACGAGGTAGGAATGCACTTTTAAAGGCTATGGATAGTAATATAGTAAAAAAAACAAAGCATATCAATGTACGTTTTTACAGTGACAGTAGAATACTTATTTGCATATCAGTCGCCCCTTACTGTTTCCACAGTTGCTTGTTCTCGCTAATACGAAAGTGCACCGCTCGAAGGATTGGCTCTACCGTGGACAAACATTGGCTGATCTATAGTCATTTGGCCATTTGTGGTCAGTCGAGGCCGGCTTCGAGGCCATCGGAATGTGGTCCGAGTGTTCTGTGCCAACTGGCGTTGATTGAGGTGTAGCAAGGAGTGATGGGGTGTGGGTAGAAAAAGGACCGCCTAGGGAGAATATGCAAGCGATTGATGGGCGGGGATATAGTTGATGAGTCTGGTATTAGTACTGATTGTATTGATATGCATGTTAGCAAAGAACATAGTTTTATATAGATGATTAGTTTAGTCATATATAGGTAGTATGACTGTAGATAGGATGGATGGCACGGCCAAAGTGATAGGTAATATAATATTACAATACGATTAAAGACACTTGAATAGTATGGCTCGCTTAACTGATCACAAATTAGATTCGCGACGAAAAGCAAGCTGATCCATAAAAAAGTCGTCTAGACTACATATACAGATGACATGTGCGATCGGTGCTTCAGCGATATGGGTCACTAAAACAAAGGGATCCACTTTGTTGCGCAAAAAAGAATGGCATTTATGCAAATTTCTACTTTATGTCTTGGTTTTTCGTTCGGATTAGAAGTTTTTTAATTTTAAAAAGATATGAAAGCTAAATTTAAAATTATAAAAAACAGTTTTGTACGCAGCGGGCGGGGTTGGAAACAGTTGGGGGGAGACTGTTTGCACAAAAGTGGTTCAGTCTGTTTGGTCACGTGCCTTTTAGAGACAGAGCTCATCCACAATCTTCAGAACGCCCGTTCTCGACGTTCGTTCGAGAGCGGCGTCGTGTCGTCGCCCATTTTTTGTCTTATTTTTCTTGCGAGTTTGTCGCCGCTCCCACTTTTCGGTCTGACTTTCTTTAAAACTCGACACATCGCGCGAGAGAGTGCACAACAACACGTGCATTATTTGATGACAAACCCCTTCATTTGGCTGTTTCTTGTACTCTTTAAGTCAATTTGACTGTGATTTTGATATCTAAAACTATATTTTGTCGCTTTTGATGATACAGTTATCACATTGTAGTGTTAGTAGAAGTCTGTCACTCGTGTTTTGCACTTTTAAAGTCAAAACAGTATGTGCAGGGGGATGGTGAGCGCGACGCTCATTAAACCTCTCATTATTGTCGCCGTATCATCGTTGTCGCCAAACAAAGGACCGTTTAAGAATAACCTGCGAGCGGCACGCTTTTACGACCGGTGTTTTGTTGCGATCCGTCTGGGCCCAGAGCATGGCCATTATGGGGCTGGGACACGTGCGCGAACAAAAAACACAAACTTGCTTTGTCGCTGATCGGTGGAAGGAGGAGACTGCTGGGAGGAGGTGCAGTCGGTCGGTCAGCCGGGTCAGCTGTCGCTGTCGACCGGGTTTTGACTTGAAACTTTCAGGACCTTCTCTCACTTTTTTCGCCACTTTTTCGTTTTCCGGCTAGCCCTGCCGGATCAACTGCACGCGCACCGAGTCTCGGCTGGTAGGGCTTTAATCTCATGTGATAATCCCCTGAACCGGGTTTCTTCGAAAGGGGGGCGCGAAGCGGTTATTGAAAGTGTTTGGATAGTCGCGAGTTGTGCTCTCGAATATACTAGTAGTAGACTAACTGTCTCTTTGTTACAAACGCAGTTATATGTAGGTCGCGAAAAGTTTAGTCAAGTACATGTTTAGTTTCTTGATTACCATGGTCTTCTTGTTCTATGTATAATATGTACTTGTATACCTATAATTTTGTTTTACAATTACTTTTATACCTATTATCATTATTTTACATTGCGTTTACTTTCATTACCGTTACTGTATTATGTTTTACAGTTACTTTTGCATAATCTTTTGTCATACTCAAGCTTGATGACTATGTCACTAGCTATTGTATACCCATACATTACTAATACGATCAACGATCGCGACCTTTAACACCTTAGTATTTATATATTCATACCTATGCATCACCGATCATGTACTATTTTTCATCCGCGACAAATTCCCCTAATTAACGCTAATTCTGGGAACGAAGCCGTTTTTTGGGGCTAGCCGTTTGTCAAGTTTGTCGCGCATCGGCTTGATCTGACTGCCGATCGCTGTCCATGATTTGCATTTGATCAGCCCTAATTCCGTCGCAACTTTGCATAATTTTAACGATTAGAGGGGAAAGGGACCATGTCATGACCACCATGTCCGCTGCATAATTAAGGGTCTCTTTCTTGACCCGCTCCCGGCCCGAAGCAGGTGCTACCTGTCTAGCGATTGGAACACTTTAATAATTATGTCGTAATACTCGGCAGCATTTGAGGACATTTCCAAGCTTTTAAGGCTGTCTCAGTAGGCAGGTCTTTTCTTCAGTTACCTTTGTTTAACCTTTGTATAAGTCTATGTAAAGTGTAGCATATAATGTAATTCAAGCTGACACAGGTTTTGTAGAATCAAACATTTAGCGACATTTCAAGACTCTATTAAGCCGATCCTTTAAGTTGTGTTATTACGTCGCTTAAGAGCGATTTGTTTCTCAGAGGTGGGAATAAGAACCGAGTTGTAAAGTTTGGTATCTCGCGCGTAATCGCGGCTTTATCGACCTCAGCGGTCACTAGGCTGTTTGAATGGGCGACGATTGATTGGGGTTTGATTGGCAAATCAATATCTATTGCCTGTGTAATGTTCACAAGGTGGTCGCCTTCACTTGGCATTTATTTGATGTGCAAAGACAGATCGGATCGGTTCGTGGCCAAGGTGTTGGTCGTGATGTCCGGAGGGCGGGAAAGGGGCGAGCTTTTTTTTCTCGCTTTTTGACATTGCAGTTGATCTCGGTGTTGTCTACGCGGTTCTCGAGTTACCCGGATCATGAGCACCGTCTTTCTGTCGTATCATTTGATATAAAACCTTTAGCTTGCAGCAGGGTTGGCGGGTTATGTGTTCCGGTTTTAATAGTGAGTGCATTTTGGTGATTTAACCGTATTTTAATATTTGTTTTGTAATTTGTTATGTTTATTGAAATTATGTTAAGTATGTTAGGCATTAACGCAACAACAATATGCTCGGTTGTCGCTAGTGATTCCGTCGGGAAGTTGCGACCTTATAAAGTGCTTAATTAAGGGTTGTCCGAGTTTAATCAAAAGTTTATGGATCCATTAATTTTTGGTGGTGTCATAAAAGCGGCGTTTCTTCGGAACGGGGAGGGGGGGGAGAAGGGGAGTTTCATGTTGCGTAATCGATTCAGATGCTTGTCGTCGCCTGGAGGGGATGATGATGATGGACAGGACCGCTTGTTTGCACAACTTTTCGGGAAGAGCGGAAAAAGGCGAGCGCAGACGTCCAGCAGTAGTATTGTAGTTAGTGTTGTAATAGACCCTTGCCTCTCGTATCAGTCGCTAAAGTGCAGATCATGTCCCGACTACTTGAACTGGGGTTTGTTGGGCCGCCGACAAGTGCGGAGTAGTAATTTGCATAATCGTCTGAAGTGCTGGCTTCAGACTTACCTTGATCGCGGCTTACACAGCGACGGGAACGCTTGGTTTCATTGTGTTATAGGTCTCTGGGGTTACGGTAATGCAGCCTTTCTGGTAACGCTGTTAGCGGCGTGGAGGTTTTTCATCGCTCAACCTACGACATAATTCCCTGATTTAACAGCTGAACTAATATAGGGCATGTACTTTGAATGCCGATGTTGAAGTAGGTTAAGCCCCTGTCAGAGCCTTGTTTCCGTGAGGTCTTGTTGTCCTTATGACATTTTTATCTACAAACAAAATGTTGCGTAACCAGGCGGTTGAGGTCTAATTTCTGATCATTTTTACCTATTAAACCCTTCAGAATGCGTCGATTAACAGTCAGAGCCGGCGCCCCACAGGGGTTTTTTCTTCCTTCGAAAAATAAAAAAAGTTAGCAGACATTTCTTGTTGCGCCATTCTGCCGGTTTTCGAGTCCCGTCATCGCAGCGACGTCCCCTGTTAGTCTTTTTTTTGCGTCGCTGTCTGAAAAAGTGGGGGCAAAAAAGTGGGGTGGGGGACGACCAAGAAGTTCCGCTCCTAGGCGTCTGAAGGCGTTGCCCTCTAAGACAAAGCCCGCACATTTTTCTTGTCGCGCAACCTTCATTGTGCCGTCTATATAAGCATAATATTTGGCTTTGGGGGTTGAGTCAGCGACGTTCGCGGGAAAAAACGCTTGTTGCAACAGTGTCGTCAAGTTTTTGTTTATTCGTGTTGCAACAGACAATGTTTTGTGTTTAAATGACTTCACTCTTGTCGACATACCGTATTTATACGGTTTCCGTCGCTTTTTTGATGACTAAACTTTGATTTACCGCGACATTCTTTATCGCGTTTCTCCAATTTGTCACAATTTCAAATTTCAATTTATAAAATACGATTCCTTCAGGTGCGTTTTGTTTTTGTAATCAGCAAAACTGACGGCATTTGTTTGTTCTGTTCCTCGTTGTTAAACGCACCTTCGACTTGATGTTCTACAACCCGTCCGTTGCGCCCCCGCAACTTCAGCGCGTTATACCAGGAGGCTGGTGTCCTGCGTACGGTCAGGCTCAGTTCCCGAAGCCGGTCTACCATCAGCCGGACTACGCACCGCCCAAACTCATGGACAAGACTACGCACGTACCACGCAGCGCGTTGCCTCAATCTCAGCTTCGTCGCTACAGCGCCAATGCTCCAGAAAACAAGAAGCCGCAGACAGCTACAGTCAGTGGGAATCAGCAGAGATCTCAGCCGCCGCGGAGGGACAGCAAGGTGGGTATAGTCATCATTAGGCGAACCTCCTTTTTAAATTATGCAAATCTTTGTTTGAACTACGCTAAAACCTAGTTTATGAGTATCTACGGCTATCAATTTGTGTCAATTTGTGAACCTATAATATTTGTAGGGCAATCTTCGCAAACAATATTCAAATTCTCGCTCAAACAACGGCTCTCGCTCCACTTCGTACAATATGCAATCGAACAACACTTTCAACAAAAGGCTGGCCAACATGTCGCAGCTGCCAGCACAATCAGCACCATCTACCTTCAACTTCCATCCTGGAATGAAAGGTAGGTTTTGGGTCTTACTTTGTATTAGTTATGATATCTATATTAGTTTTACTTGTTCTGACATACACACTTTATGGCAGCTTTAAGTGGTCGTACAATGTTTTATCACTCCTCTCGGCTGCACTTTTAACCAGTCTAATCAGTCCGTCTGTTTATTGCAACTGTTTTTTTGTGAGGTCTGGCTTTACGAGGGTCGGTCGTTTAAAGGGCGACTTAATGTATTCCCTTTAAAGCTTGCTGCCAACCGTCTTCAAGAACAAAAAAACGTCGTCAGAAGCGAACGTTGTCGCAGTTAAAAAGACGCGAGGGTGGCGCAAGACGGGGGAGGATAAGGCGATCTACTGCAGGGTAAAGTTTGTGTGGTCTGCGTTCGAATTGGGGCTTCTGAAGTCGGATTCAGGATATAAATCTTGGGAGTGCAAAAGTACTGTTAAAATCTTGAAATACGCGAAATTGCTTAATTTTTAAAAAATTGGCTTACAAAACTTACTGGTAGATCTTTCCTGTCTTTGAAAAGCAACAAAAGGCCCCTATTACTACCTAGAGCGATGTAATTTCTTAAATTTACAAAAATTTAGTTTAAAAACGCTCTCTGCAGAAGGGAATGCTTGTACTTTTAAGAGGCCAAAGATCGTTTTCGTTGTGTTGTGTGTTATGTCGGCGATCCCAGACATCGACACGTACTCACCTCAAATGTCTTTCTCTGCAATATGATTAATTACTCGGGAAAGTCGGGCGCAGTCAAAAAAGTCCGGTCCTTAGACGAGCAACCAAATTCGTCTTTGTCGCTGATGATCTATTAGTAATGTTGCATCTTTTTGGCCCCGTCTGGCTGCGATTTCGATCAGCAAAAAGGGCGGGGGAATCTAAGGGTACATTACAGGCTTGGCGGGGGAATAAGAGTACATGACAAGCGGGGGGAGGGTGCATCATAGGCTTATCTAAGGTTACGGTTAGGTTGTAAGGTGATGAAGAGGTTGGAAACTTAGGTAAAGTAAATATAAAATCACAAACTATATAGCTGAATAATCAATAGCTCCTCACATTAACGTACATAAACAACCAAAGATACGCAACAAAGTCACATTGTACGGTTATAACTTAAGTACGACCATCCAGTTCACTGACGAAGATAAATGACCATCATAAACCGATCAACGAGTTCACTCAAAATATATTTGTAACAAGTACGATCAACACTAATCAAGATACATTGCTCTACATCCATCAGGCCCTAACCAAGACATACGACTGTAGTACCAGACACAAAGAAACATCAATCTCGACCGGCATTATGAGTCTCGTAATGTCAATCCAACTCATTCTTCACGCCTTCAAACAAAGTGCAACATGTGCTATATTAAGATACATTTGTCAGACTGATAATCTTTGGCTTCCTGGATGCCAATTGTTTAAAAGTGACATACGACTAATGAGACGACATTTCTTGACCATTTTCGAAAAATGCCTCGAGTGATGTAATGATAGGATGACGTTTAGGGCTGTGTTTGATAGTATTATTATTAAAAGTGCAAGAACATATTATTCTTCTATGTAAAACCTTATCAATTCTCTTTGTATTTCCTTCGAAACTTCATTTTAATGTCTTCTGAACACTCCACTGTCTCCCAACATTGTATGCTGACCATTACGCACCGAATGACATTATAAACCCCACTAATTCCACATTACGATGAATAATATTCCATATGATGGGAAAATGACATTACCTCTTTCAGACATTCCAATATGGCTGAAGGGACTGCGACTTCACAAATACACCAAGTTGTTCGAGGAAATGACTTATGAGCAGATGATGGCATTAAACGAGGACGCCTTGGAGAAGCGACAGGTCACCAAGGGGGCCAGGAGGAAGATCCTCCAGAGCCTCGACAAGCTCAAGGACCGCTCCCAGCTGATTCGACAGTTGGAGAAGGTGAGACATAGTTGTAAGAAGACGTAGCATAAAGAAAAACACATTATTTTTAAAAAGTTACAGTAATAGAAACAAAGTAATTACAAAATAATGTTAGTACAATCAGTCACATTTTAGTGCATCGACGAAAACGGAGATGTTCGTTGTTTGATTGTGGAGCTCAGTAGCATGTTGAACACCCCAATCGCCGCCTATGAACCAACCTATATACCACGACCTTCCAACTACATGATCGACGCTATCGGGATACCTGGAGAGCAGATTCCTGATGAGGTAAGTAAATACATTATGTTACTGCTAAAATAGTACTTATTTAGCGCTAGTACTATTTACACTATTTCATTTTTTACATTACATGAGACTTATCATATTTTTTATAGTTTTTTAAAAATTTTTTATCATTATGTGGTCAAGGTTTACATGGTTGTCAATGTAAAGACATTGTCACGCTGTAAACCGAATCGCGGATCTTGCGATGGTTAACTTTGCCCAGACAGATGAGTTTAGTGTTGTTCGCATAGCTATTAGTGCATCGTTTAAACTATAGCGACATGAACAAACAATAATAAGCGTCAATGGCCAGTTCAAAAGGTCGTAACTTCATTTAGGATATCGTAGATAAAGTGCAAAACTAGATACCGTACAAACATATGAAAAGTATATTATTTATTCAAAAATACCAAACCTTAACTTGCTTTGAAACATATTACAATAAAATATTTTCAGAATCTTCCTGGACACATAGCCAGACTGACCATCAGACTACACGAATATCTGTTCAGAAACGGCCAACCTCAACTCAAGAATCTGGACTTCGAAGAAGAATACTTCTCCAAACTCTTCCAAACCTACGACAGAATCTTGAACAATGAGGTAAGAAATTACCACAGTAAAATGTGAAAATTAACAGGAAATACTAATACAATAAGTACTATCCAACACAAAGTAACCACTCACTTAAATATAATCTTTTCAGGCATTTACCATGCGTCAGAAGTGCTGTATCAACGAATGCAAACGAGTACTACTGAGGTACACACACGAGAAGAAGGCCTTTTCCTCCAGATTCACCACTCCAAGCAGACGCAACTCTGACCCGCGACAAGACGTCCATTCAGATGACAGTGGACTAGCCTGTACTCCACCTTCCCAACTTCTGAACAGTCCTTCGAGAAGCCCAGAAGTGGATCGTCATCTCTGTAGATCAGCTCCAACCTCACCGTTGCCTCAGAACTCCCCGTCTCCAGATGCGTACGTTAAGAACAACAACGTCGCTCATGCTGGATACGGTACCCAAAACTTGTGGTACAACACTGACTCATCGTGCTCATCGTCCACATCGTACAACTCCAATGTAGCACCTCAAACCACTGCGACACAAAGAAGTACTTTCGTCCAGAAGCCTTGCGAAATGAATGAGAAGGACAAGACAACGTTGCTGAGGTTGCTCGACAACAATCCTGGACTGTACAACTACCTTCTGAACCAGCTTCCAAGGTACCATCAGCCTGTTAACACACAACAGCCCAAGCAGAAGTACCCGGCTAGAGTAATGTCGTACATGTACAACGACTATGTCGCTCCTGAACCTGCCGCTCCAGGGCCGTTGACGGCGGCCGAGAAGCTTCGCTTCATTGCGTCTTCTGCTGATTCACCAGATGCCTTGAATCGTGCCTTGAACGCTGCAATGGGCCAGCTGAACCGCGACAGTCAAGTCGACTACAGTAAGAAGCCTGAGGTCAGACGCGAACAGCCTAAGCCCACTTGGCCTCAACCGACCCAACACGTCCAGGAATGCCATCTGCCGTACCTAGAGAAGCCCTCCGAGGACTCGTTGGCGTCGGCCTTGAAGGCGTTGAGTATGAGGTCCAACGAACAGAAGCCGGCTCCGTCGTTGTACGACCCCTGGAAGTCTGGCTTCGACTTCCTCTCACCTCCAGAAACATCTCTGCGGGCCAGCGATGTTAACCCCCAGCCAATGGACAACCCATTGCATCGGCTTCTGAATGGAGCGGACTCCTTCTACACCTCCTCCTCCAACCGACCGACCACCCTCAACTCGGTGGAGGACCCTTTCTACACCCAAAGTGGTTCAACTGGTACCCTCTTCCAGGCGTTTCGCCCTCTGACATGTAATGGAGCTGTTCATTAAGGCTTCTGAAGTTGACGGTTGATACTATTGTTACTTCATCACACGATGCTACACAGATTCATTGCCAAACCTCATGGTCATATTGTTGATGGCCGCCTTAATGTGGCTATTACACACCTCATATGATCATAATATGCATGGTCAGCTTTCGTACTGTTTATGGTAATCTTCACAACCTTTATGGTAACCCTCATACGGTCATACTCTTCGTGGCCTCTATGGCCACAGTAATCCACTCTCTCGTAGCCACATTGGCTACTGTAACATTAACATATCTACATGATTGTCGACAGCTACACCCAAGTACCATCTCAAATTTGTTCTCTTGGTACCGTAGCACCGCAGCAGCCCCTACAGTATACTCTCTAACGTACGCCGTCTTTCATCCCCCGTCCCCAACGTCCCGCCACCGTGCTTTCCCGAACTACCTGTTGATCCGGTATTTGTTGTTGTTTTCGCTTCCAAAGACGTTCTCTTAGTTCGAATCTACAGGACGACCGTGTCGTCTTCAGAATTAGCGCGGAAGCGAGGGGAATTTGGCTGATGCCGACCCAAAAGTCCTCGGACTCTTCGACGAGCACCCCCGAACCAAAGCTCCCCCCGCCCGTCCACTGATTGTGATAACATTTCTTGCCAACCCGTATCTTGTTGACTTATTTCGCCAGAGGCATGAATTTGAACAAAATACCGTTGTTTTTCGTAGCTTTTCACATTGTTATTGTAAGTTTTAGCCAATCATTATCGAATATAATTGAAATTCAAGCCACTATTCCTCACGTCGCTTCAACAATTCAAATCTTTCAACCCAAATCTTCTCCTGTTTTCACTTCCATTGCTCAGCATCGTTATCAATAATTATTGAGATTGTTTTATTTATTGGTCTGTTATCTTGTTGGGTACGGGTACTGTACTTGAAAATATACAAAATTGCTCAAAAAACCTCACATGTTTCCACCTCCTAACGCTACAGTACCCTCCATTATGTTACTGTACTTTACGTTCTTTTGAAGTACAGTAAGACCTGTTACAGTACTTTGTGTTTTTTTACGGTAATGTGAAATATATTGCGGTACTTTATGATTTGTGACAGCACGAACTGTTACTGTAACAAAGCATAAAGTTATAATTATTCTTCCTTACCGTTACAGTACTCTCTGTCCTGTTACAGTACCCTCACACTTTGCATGGTCCGAACTCTCGTAACTCAGGTACTATGGTCATGCCCCCCCCCCTCGTATTGTATCCCAACAAAACAAAAACAAAACTCGCGCACCTGCAATTTGCTCTTTATCTTACTATAATATGTTTATCAAAGATATTACTCGTGACATCGCTTCAATTATATCTCTTGCTTGCTTAAATAAACTGTTATAAATAAAAATTTAAGTACCACAAATCATGGGCGTTATCAAAACATATATATTATATTTAAAAATGTTAAATTAGGTAAAATACCACCCAAAAACAAAGTAAATAATATAAAACATAACATAATATAATAAAACACCTAAAACAATATAATTTAAAGTTTATTTTACCCGTTTGACCACAAACTAAAGCTAATCTACCGGCTACAAAGCTATAAATGACTATCAATACCTAAACATCCATTAAATAACAAAATAAATCACAGAAGTCGCAGCAGAATCCTCTGAATCCCTCGCAAAGTGACAGAATCCTCAAGAAACTGATGGTGAAGATCCGACAAAAGCAGGTTTCTTGATTTATCATGAGACTTCAAGGCTCCATTCACAAATTGACCATAAAACTTCTTGGCCAACGAAAGTTCGTCGTCTGAAAAATAAGTTTGGAAAAGAATAAGCGGGCGCGGGTCGCCGACAAAATCTTGTAAACTTTTTTGTAGTTGGGATTTTCGGAAAAATTATTGAAAAACATAAGATATTACCTATTTTTTGATGTTTTAGAAATGATATTGTGTTCAACTTACATTTATCGTCGACAACCAATGAATCCAGATCCGTCAGAAGCGGTGTATCGTCGCTTCGAAGCAGAAACTGTAAGTTATATTTAGTTTTACCTTGAAGTAGTTATAGGGCTAGGATAAAAATACGACATTACTTACCTGGTCGATCCTGAGGTCTAAAGGCTGTAGTGGCTGTATGCTAATTAAGAAGCTGACAACATGCAAAGCTATGTTAAGTCGCCTTTCCCAAACTAAATCTGCATATACGATTAGTTTTAAAGGTTGCGCCTTCTCTGTCACTATATACATGTCTTGTGTCGTGTCTACTGGCAAACAATAGCCGTACATCTGAAAAATAACGTATTTTAAGGTTAATATTTTGTGTTTTAAGTTATAATTGAATTCTTAACCATAGTAGAACAGCGGTTATTGGTGATAACTTTTATAAATAGTAAATTTATCTTACAGTAGGAATGTTGACATTGCCATGTAGCTTTAACAACAGTCCGATTTCGTTTTGAAAACCACGGATTTGATTGTTCCAACAAGAATTCTGAATTTTAAAATTATTTGTAATCGTGTAGTTAGAGCAAGGTAAATATTAATTTTATATAATATCTTTAAACCTACCGAGTCATTATATGTTCTCAGGCACTCCCTCATTCCTTGCCCGTCTCTCAAACTTTTCTTTATTGCCACATTACCGTACTCGTACACCTTCTTATTGTAACCTTCTCCCAACGTGTAATGCCCTAATGATTTTGGTATCTGCTCACAATTCCCAATAGTACTATTGGTATCTTCAAACCTCCATTCTGATCCTTTTCGAATCAGTTGTGGTAGATATGAGTGTGTAGTAAGATACCGTGGCTGTAGTAACGACCGTACTCCTCGATGTACAGTATTCCTATGATTGGGACTTACTGAGTAAAGAACAGTAGGAAACACGACCAGAAATAGAGAAGATACGGCTATTATGACGTTTCTGTGGTCGGGGCTCATAACTTTAAATAGAGTAATGTAAGTGTTATGATGATGTAAATCAACATTATTATAGTGTTATATATTGATATTATGACATTTATAATTTAATGTTATTATAGACTTTAAGACTGCTTTTTGAACTAAAATATTAATGTTTCGGCATGCAGATAGACCAATAAACAATGTAAACCAATTACTGCGTAACCAAAAATCACGGTAATAATGTCGCGTACCATAAATTAGGACATGACACCACTAATGGGACCGTTAATCGGCCCCATAAATTAGACGGGCCCTATTAAAGCGGCCATAAATTTGGAAACGCGGCACATTTGGCATAAAGTGTAATCAAAAGGGAAGGGCCCATATATTGTGTCCGAATGAACTGCCGATCCCTCTGCCTTCTGAGGCCCCAGAAGCAGCTGTCATGATAAAGAAGCGCAATCCATCAAAATCGGACAGTGCATTTACTTTGTTCAAGTTTACGGACCCCCCCCCCTCCTCGGTCTTACCCTCCCCCCGCTGGGATTCATTTTAATCTCGCGAACGCTGTAATGTCGCCCAGGATTTTATCGGTCGCCTAGGCCTTTATCAGAGTTAATTCTTTTATCAGGACACTCATAAATCAAAAGGCGAGTTCCTTTCACAGTTTGCGTCTTTAGTTTTGTCAATTTTAAAACACAAAAAGTTTGTTTTCCTTAACTTTTCAAGTTGAATACAACATATTTAAGTATTAAGGTGTAAACCTTTGCATAGTTTCAAAGTTAGTTTATTACTATCACTATGGCTACAAAATAAATAGACTTAAGTGTTAGTTAGACCGACCTTACTATAACAATCTTAATTACAAGTTTTGTCGCAAATAATCTTCTGGAGGTCCTTGTGATATCACAGTGCCATTGGCCATCTCTATCACAGTATCATAGTGCTCGATCCCCTTCATTCTGTGCACGATCGATAGTACCGTCGCTGTTTCGAGCTTGTTTCTGATTATATTATTCATGATTAGGTGTGTTTCGTCGTCCATGTGAGCTGTGGCTTCGTCTATTAGTACAATCTGAAAGCATATTATCATAGGTATGATTACATTTATCTATAATATACAATTGCATTTGTAATTACCTTAAAGATCTTTTGTTTGTTTTGTCCTTTTACTTCATAATGTTGACTTACCTTGGGTTTGGACAAGACCAAGCGACAGACTTGAATGATCTGTCGCTCTCCATAAGAGAAATTGGCTCCGCCTTCGATGACTTCAGCGTCCAGTCCACCACAACGGTCTAGCCATAAACTGAGCTTTGCCATCTCCAAAAGCTCCAGAATCTCGATATCAGAGACGTTGTCGTTGTTCAACTTGATGTTCTCTCTGATCGTGCCAGAGAAGATGAAAGGGGTCTGGTTCACAACTCCAAACAGAGATCGAACCGCTTTTGGATCCAGTTGGCCAATGTCAATGGTGCCATCGATGAATATCTTGCCACTTTCGACCGGGTGGGCTTTCAATAGAGCCTAGAATAAGGTATTAATCACATTCTAGATCATTTTTCGTCTTTCAGGTCTATAATCTTATGAAACATTTACCTTTCACTAGGATATGTTATTGATTAGTATGTTACATACCTGGAAGAGGCTGCTTTTGCCAGCTCCAGTCCTGCCAATGATCGCCACTCTCTTGCCGGCTTCAATTGTAAAAGTAACATCAGACAAGGCAAGAGGCAGATGGCTCGCGTATCTCAGGCATACTCCCATGAAATTGACTTGACCTTTGGCCGTTCGGCAATACTAAAGTAAAGAGAGTAATGTAGCGACAAAAACATAACAGATGGAAACAATTCTAAACAAACTATCTACAATGTTAACCAGAATAAAAAATAAATTACATTTTGTAAATGAATCGCAATTTAAACACACATACCAAAAATCGGTCGACGTTCCCAGTCTCGGCGTTCGTATCTTCCACAGGTATCGTGTGAATGTAGTCCATGATCCTCTCTACCGATACCAACTCCTTTTCCGTATCAATAAACGATGACAACAGACTGTTAAGCACGTTTGTCATAGTCAGAGCATATGTTATGGCTAGCCCTATTAGTCCACTTTCTACAGTATGCAAATGATTCTCCAGTACCGCGATGAAAGCGATAGCTGATATCATGACGACAGCTAACAGTTGTAGCCTGATAGACAGCCACTGAGAAGCAGCCAAGTTTGTGTACTGAGCACTCAGGTTGTCTTCCAGAAGGTTCCTTAACTTCTCCATGAATCTGGTCGTGAAACGGAATGCTCTTATGGTAACCAGGCCTAATACAGTATCCGAGATGTGGCCGTATAAGGGGGACAAGGTGAGGGATGTGATGCGCTTCACTTCACATGTTGTGTGACGGTAGTATCTCTACAAAAGTGACTTAACAATTACAAAACATGTCAACAAACAGAATTTTCCCTATAGTACCATAATATAAAACTTGAAAGTAAATGGAATAACTACTGTCGCTTACTTGGATCAAGTAGTATACGACGTAAATTAGAATGACAATTGGTATGAGGTACGGTAGTGCCCAAACAGTTAAGATTAAAGCTCCAAGAAGATTCAGAAGCGACGCCAGGCAGATGTTAAGCTGGAATGGCAGAGAGTCGTCTACCATGTAAACATCTGAACATAGTCTGTTGACAACCCTTCCAAATGGTGTTACCTCCCACCAAGATACCGTAGACTAAAAGTAATCAGTTTACGCTTAGATATTTACATTTATAGATACACATATATGCGTAATTTTATCTTACAGACGTCATATAGTGTATAATATAGTAAAATACTGTAAACTAAGACTACTTACCGCGAAGACCTTCTTGAGTAGACTCTCGTGGATATTCTTGGCCGCCATTACTCCACCCTTGGCAAACAAAAACGCCCGTAACAAGGTGAATATCGTGTTTAGTGAAGCGATGGCAACATACACAGTAAGAAAGTATTTGGCCTGATTGTAGTCTCCACTGTCCATGAAATCGGATTCTCGTTCACCCCTCCAGAAACTGAAATAGTACCATTTGATACGATATTAATATCTTTACTTTACTTTCTTTCCATAAAATTCATGTTTTGTAAATATATTTAGAACATAAGTCCTTGACTTGTACATAATACTTTACAATAATATCCACATAATAACCTACACATCATGCACACTCTCCGATCCATTAGATGTTGTGTTCAAAGTCCATTTACTAAGCCAAGCATCTGCCATATTCTTCGTAATTTGCATACACAAGAGTGCCATACCCACTAGAATGGCAAAGGCAAAGCCCACCTTGTCCATGTAGAACCAGTAGATGTCCATCTTCACCGTGCCTTTCTCCATCCGTTCGTCGACTACTGGAGATACAAACTCTGTAGCCTCGATGAGCTTAGTCTCTTCACTCTCAACTTCAGATTCCTGTCCTACTGTAGCTTTACTTGTAGATGGAAGGTCAGCGACATCTTGTACCAATACTTTATGTGTCAAATCAGCGGCTTCTTTTGGATTCTCGACTTCAACAATCCTGCCGGATTCTGAAGTGGTTATTGTGTCATTTTTACCTTCAGAAGATGGTGGCAGTGTAGCCAACGGTGACTGACTGCTCTGAACTCTTCCGAAAGCATCCAGATTCACGACGTGGTCACATTGTTGTAGGAACTCTGAGTTGTGTGTAGCCACTATTACCAGCCGGTTCTTCTCTCTCAGGATGCCTTGGATTGCGTTCTGCCATACAAATCGACCAACTTTTCGGTCGAGTGAAGCAAACGGATCGTCCAGAATATAAACGTCGTTTTCCTACAAATATTATGTTATTTCAAGTTGTACTCTTAAGGTATTAGTTCATGTTGTAATACTGAAATAGCACTTACGTGATATATAGCTCTAGCCAACGCCAGCCTAGCCCGTTGACCTCCACTTAAAGTGCTACCTTCGTCGGCAATGACATATTGATCCCCTCCAGGCATTCGCTACAAAATTAGAATTAAAATCATTTTCGAATTTAAAGCATCGTAAAATTAGCATAAACATCCAAAATATTCATCATATATTTAAACTCACCTCAATATCGTTCAACAAAGCCGTAGCCTTCAAGACCTTGTAGTAGTAGGCCTCGTTCATCGGACTTCCACATAGTATGTTCTCTCTGATGGTACCTCTTCTCACCCAATTCTCTTGTCCTACGTAAGCAAAGCCTTCATGGATAGTAGACTGACGGATTCTGATACTGGTCCTTAATGGTACTCCTCTGATAGACGACTGCTCATCAATCGGAACATAGGTCTCACCCAATATACCTAATAACAAAGTCGTCTTTCCTGAAGCTACTCCACCTGATACTCCAACAATTGTGCCCTTAAATTACTAATTTTAACAATTTTTCAGCAAATAAACCTAAAATACGAAAAATCTAATTAAAAGTAATATGCCACTGTTAGTCCACGTACCTTTGGGCCGACAAAGTTAATGCCACTGACAGAGAATCCACTGTTCCATTCAAACCTAGCATCCTCAAGCACCAACAAGTGATCACTACCTAAAAAGAAAGTACCGTAACCTATAACATATAACCTATAGTAACACATAAAACTAATCACAATATCACTTACTTTCAGTAAGAGAATAGATACAGTGTAAAGGCATGGTCTCCAACGCGAAAAACCTGTCCATTCGTATTTTAGAAACACGAGCTTCAATCAATGAATTCAGGACCCATGGGAAGGCATTCAACGGTAATATCAAGATATTAACCAATGCCAACGAAGTAAACACTTTGGCCGCTGTCAAGGTTTCCCCCATGATCATAGTGTAAGTTGTAAGGATGGTGATAGTAATCAAGAGGGGAGCTGATGCCCACAAGTACACACAAACAGCATCGAGGTACTTGCGATACTTTAGGCACCTCAGCTCTTCTTTTCGTATTTTATTTATTTTTTCTTCGAAGAACGGCTCCCAATTCGAAAGTTTCACAATTCTCATAGCGCGAAGAACTTCTTGGACTAGCTAAAATCAGAATATGTTAATATTAAGTTTTTACTTTGCCTACCTTCAATCGCTGATCCTTGAATTCCATTAAACTTTGTGACATATTCCCAATTTTAGATGCGATGTAATTGTTCAGAGGAATCATAAGCACGGCACAGAACAGTCCAGAGAAGAAGGCAAGTCCCATCTAAACAAACATACGTAATTTACAAAAACCATCAAAACCATACATTTACTTTACGTATCTAAACCACTATCATCACATACCTCTCTGTAGAGTAAATACAAGGCAATCATAATATTAACTGGCATACTCCAGAAGGCATGAAACGACGTTACGAAAGAAACGATTCTATCCAAATCTGTCGACATAAAGTTGATAATCTCTCCGGTCGAAAAATGAGCTAACTGATTCTGAGGTAATGTAAGCACCTTGTCGTATAAAGCTACTAATGTTGCACATCGCACTTTTAAAGCAATCTTATTCATGTGAAAGTTAAATGTAAAGTCGCAGATGGCTGATCCAAAAGAACATAACATCATCAACGTCGCGTACAAAATACCCGTATTCTGAATAAACTTTCTTTGTAATTCCGCTTTCGTATAACTATATTTTAAATACAAAAATAATCTTTGAATTACAGTAACTATTACAATTTGAACTTACATCTGGATCTCCATTCTCTAAGCAAACAATTAACAAATGGAGCAGTACTGGGCCGGCAAATGTCAAGAGATCAGCCATCAGACGTAACAATCCCAACGAGAAGTATTTAAAGCCAAACGTTCTCAGAAGACCGACAAACAAACTGAACTTCTGGTCGTCTACAAACTCATCTGGTGCGTTTTGAAAGAACAATTCCTCAATTCTGGCAACACGAAGAGATGGAGGTACACGAAACAGGTTTGTCACCTAACATAAATGATATTTTAACTTATAACACTATATTTCAAACATAATTACAAAAAAATCAAAATTTAGCAACCTTACATTCTTTAGTTGTCCTTTGTAACCTTTGACAATTAATGGATTCACCCAACAAAAGAATAATTTGGAGAAGAAGTTAGCGCCCTCATCAGCATTTTCATCCAAGAATATTGACTCTGTATCCAGCAATTGGGTAAAAATGTTCTCAGCTCTAAAAACAAGATAAACCATAATAAAAAGATTACCTATACTTCCGATACTCGTATACCTGAAGTAAAATGTTAAGTAGATGGAAGGCACCAATACACAAGTAACCGTAGGTTTGATAATGAAGGAATGTTAAGACCCGTATACGTTGATATGTCACAAATAACAGAATAATACCGGTAATATTGTAAGTAATAATTAAATGTTTATGTTTGATCCACCTAAAATGATGGCGATTTTTTCAAAACTGTTTTCAAACTAAACGTGACGCTATTGTTAAACAGACTTCAAAGCTTACGTGTTGGTTCGTACTGCGTTACAGTAAATGCTACCGTACACCATGAATACGAATGCAATTACAAACTGTTCGAAGTTCAACAAAGGATTCAAAGTAAACTTTCCAGTCAACGTGAATATAAAATAACCCATGTAACAGATCACAGTATTGAGAACAGTAAAGATACGAAAATATAACAATACCCGAACTCCAGTATTCGAGAATCCATTGGCAGATATCTAAAGGACGTATGAACAGGATACTAACACTTACTGCTTTAAAACTAGCCAGAACAGAACAAAACAAAAGAAATGTGAGCACTGGAAACACAATGCCGAACTCTGCACATGATTTTAATACCTGAAACTTGGCATCAACAATATATTTGGTCCATATACTTTTTTCACTTAAGTTCCATTCACACAAATGGCCCCATTCTGGTTTTTGCATCCAGTCAGTCATTGCAAAAATAATTTTGTAAACTTTTCATTAGCATGAGGCTGCACTTTCTGTTTATCAGATTTATTTTTATTTATTTATAAAATAAATTTACATTATAATAAGCTGTGGGTCCCGCCGCGAAAACGCATTACGCCAGAATTTGTTGTTTCTTTTGAAAAATAGAAAATTATTTGTTCGCTTTTTGTGAAATAAATTCTTGACAGCCACAAAGTGGAGGTCGATCGTTTTGTTGAGAAGGCCTTGGGCAGTTTTATGTCCCCAAAGTCAAGATCTAAGGAGGACGAACGACGATCGAAGGAAAAGGATTCTACACCTTCTTCCTACCATCATCGTTCGTCGAGACATTCAAATGACCGCAAACGAGATCGAAAAAGGTCTCGGTCGCTTAAAAGGAGTAGACAACACACATCATCACCTTCAAGGTTTGTTAATCTACTATAATATATTGCAGATGATGTAGAAGGTATTTCTTATTGTTTGGAATAAGTTCATTTGTAAGACGTATAATTTCTGTTATAAATGAACTTTTTCTTCTTTAAACTAATGTTTTCAGAAGGTCACCATCAAGAAGCAGATCGCCTCTAAGAAGCAGTTCAACACGAAAATACAGAGACGAAGAGAATGGCCACAGGCGAAGGCACGACTCAAAGTCCAGATCAAGCAGGCATCGATATGGGTATAGAGCTACTTCTCCAAGGTCAACGTGAGTTTACGTTATCCTTATAATTCCGTGTTTAGAACAAAAGACTACCGAAGACGAGATCGACATGAACGAACGAGGAAGTCGAGAAGGAGATCGAGGGAACGGCCAAGTTCTTCTGAATCTACGGAAAGCTCTTCATCGTCGTCTGCATCGCCATCTCCAGTGAGTTCTTCTGGATTAGAAGTTTTTTAGTTGGTTGATATTTTATTAATATTGGGTTTATTGTCTTTAATTTAGGTGAAAAACAACAACAACAAGTCCAATAATGGGCCAATTGCTGTTCCACCACCAGCTCCTCCTACACTGGTATCTTCTACAATGTCATACGGCATCTCAAATATGACAACATTGATAAAACCTCCCGTTGTGCCTCTTCCAAATTTTGTAAGTTAACTTTTATTGTGGTTTAGACTTAATGTTTTAAACATTGTTTTGGTACCTAAAATTTGAAGAAATAAGTTTTTACTTTATAATTGTAATGTAATTCACTCTGAAGGCTTATAAAACAATATTTTTAGGTTGTTAACGCGAGTTATGTACATTCCGCTACTGCATTTCAACTACTTCCGCCACCCCCACCTCCACCCCCGCCCGGAGATTCAATTGTTGATTTACCTCCTCCACCTCCACCCTCTACTCCACCACCGCCCGAGCCTCCTCGACAACATTCAAATCAGTGTATGAATGCGATGAGTAACTTGTTGAACTCTAAGAATTCACAAGCCCACTTTACGAAACACGATGTTATGAAGAAGTTGATGGAACAGAAGGCTGTGTAAGTTTATTGTTTTGTATATTTACTTTATTTATCAGTTGATAAAAGTAATCTTTGTAACTTTTAGTTTTTTATAATATTCTTACTTATTGTAGTGTATACAAGAAGGAGAACATAGCTGATCTGCCTCCTAATTGGGGCAGAATGACGCTTTCTGATTATGATATTGAAGTACAAGTTGGCGAAGGAACATATGGACAAGTCTACAAAGCTCGGAAAGGGCGAAATGGTAATTATTTATATATTAATCTTTGTTTTATAAGTAATAATTAATATTTTCAAACTTTTTTCTTGGATAAGAATGTTAATTTTGCTGTTTCAGGACGACTTGTTGCTCTGAAGAAGGTGCGTTTGGAGAACGAGAAGGATGGGTTTCCTATAACGGCCGTTAGAGAGATCAAATTGTTGAGGAAGTTGAATCATGAGAACATTGTGAAACTACTGGATATCATAACTGAGAGTCCGCCAGAAAACAAAAAGGATATCAGTGAGTTTCATATGTATTATTTTTTAGCACTAATTAGTTTGTTAAAACTACTGTTATCTTTTATTTAAATATTAATTTAGGTAATATCTTTTAATGGGCATAAGTGGGTTTAACGTTTATCTTTTCAGATGCTTTTTACTTGGTATTTGAGTATGTTGATCATGATCTGAATGGCCTTCTCGAGTCTCAACTGGTCACTTTTACCGAACAAACCTGTGCTTCTTTGTTTAAACAACTTTTGTTGGCATTACAACATTGTCATTCTAGTAATCTTTTACACCGCGACCTGAAATGCGCTAATATACTTGTAAATAATAAGTAAGTATTTTTTAAATTGTTTTTGTTTTGTACTTTTAATATTGTTTTTCATATTTACTTTTCAGAGGGGAGTTGAAGCTTGGAGACTTTGGATTGGCGCGAATATACACGACAAAGAGTAGATTGTACACAAATAGAGTAATTACGTTATGGTATCGACCTCCAGAACTGCTACTTGGAGCTGAAAGCTACGGGCCGTCAATCGATATCTGGAGTGCAGGGTAGTTTAGGTAACAAGTTTCATATGTTTGGATTTAGATGCATTCTCGGGGAACTGTTCGTCAAGAAACCTATCTTCCAAGGACAGTCGGAAGCGGCACAGATGGATCTTATCATGCAGACTTGTGGATGTCCAACACCCACGGTCTGGCCCGACGTCGTCAATCTAAAACACTATCCTGCTTTCAAAGCTAAGACGTATTTCAATAGGACGCTAAAGAATCGCTTTGCTTTGTGAGTGTTTTTACGATCTTGTTACAATATTCAAGTTTGATTAAAATAGTTCAATAAACGGGTTATTTACATTGTTATACTAACTTACCTTGTTTCAGTCTACCATCCGGGGCTCTAGACTTGTTTGACAAATGCCTTACATTAGATCCTTCGAAGCGGCCGTCGGCTGAAGAAGCTCTCTTCCATCCATGGCTAATAGACATCGACCCACGGACATGCAAGATGCAGCTACCACAAGATCAGGACTGTCATGAGATGTGGTCGAAGAGGAATCGACAGGAGCAGAAAGATAAGACAAGGCGATCCCAGAATCCGCCTCAGGTATACAGATGATACAATAAATAATTTATAAACGTCTGATGTTATCCTTGCGTTTGCGTCTGTCGGGCACTAAAGCTAACGTTTTGTACAGATTATATATTATTGTTGTTGCTGTTAATGAAGAATATGTTTTTAAATGCGTTTCATGTTACGGTCCTTGGCATTCGATGGAAAACTTTGATTACGACATTGGCTTTGCTCGGGTATTCGAATAGTAAGTAGATTTTTCATAATTTGATCAATGAAATACATATATTTTGCAAGAAGTAATGATTGTTAATCGATATTTTATTGTATACACGCTTTCGTGTTTGAAAAGTAGATTTTTTGTGACAAAATTAAATGCAGACATTTTAATAACGCGAGCAAATGCTACGAGGGTATTTGGAACGATTGAGTAAACGGTTTTATAGAAAATAGTGCGTTTAAACTATTGTCTAGTTAGTTTCTGATAAAGAAAACTTCTTTTGCTCTAAACAGTTTACTTTTCAAACTCGCGTAGGTTGAGTACTTGAATGTACTTTTTGTCGTGAGCCGGCCATGTTGTATTAGGCAAGCATACAATGTCATTTTGTTTACTAGTCCGGTCACAAAGTGCTTGGAATTGACTTTTATAAGAATCTATATACGTTTTTGGCCTTAGCTTTTAGTTCCTGGTGACTTTTGACCGAACTAGTTGTCTTCACTTTGTTGTCATGTTAGGAAACAAATCAGAACTTATTTGGTCTCTTTGAACGGGTAGAATTGTTGTCATTACTTTGATTGTAATATTCATATTTACAGTATTTTTAATAAAATACGGAACATTATTGTAAGCCTTTATTTTGTACAAACAATTTAAATATTTTGTTCAACAACAATGTCATTTTAACCCGGATGTACGGTATCGAATGTGAAAAGTCAGGTATCTGTAAGATACGATGACGATAATTAAGAAACAAAGTAATATCAAGCTGATGTGAGAGTTTAAGAGTGTTACGGTATCTTTAATGAGTTTTACTGGGATGTAATCGTGTTGACTGGGAGGGTTATGGTGAAAGGTATTACTGGACAGTAATTGTAATAACAGCAGTCTCAATTTGTCTCAAAAAAGAGATAATGCTAAACATCATCTTACATATGATACTATACAATATCTGTAGACTGGGACAATAACTATGTAACAACTCGTATAGAGACTTCAGAATCCGGCAGGATACGTTGCCGTCTTCCTTCTGAAGTCGCTGTTTCCATGAATAAACCCGTCTTCCTTGTGGATCAACGCCTGTACCACGCTGTGCTGTTTGGTCGTGTTACCGGTCATTGTCTGTTTGTAGTCGTCGCTCAATGCCTTTACAATCTTCTCTGGTATCGAGGTTTCATACTCTACGTTAAATGGCATAAACTGGTGGTGGATTCTTGGAGCATCAACCGATTCTTTGACGCTTTGGCCGAAAAGAACCGACCGAATGATGGTTTGGGCGACGGCAGATATGATCCTGGAACCTCCAGAAGCTCCAACTACCATTTTTACCTAAAACGTGAAAGTTTAGCATAGGAAAGTCTCTTATGTTTTCAAAATCATTGACAATGTCGATAAATGAAATAACTATGACAAGACCTACCCGTCCTTCCTTTTTGTCATAGATAATGACTGGTGACATTGAGCTCATCGGTTTCTTTCCTGGCTTAATAAAGTTGGCAGGCGATGGAGCAAACCCGAAACCGTTGGGGACTCCAGGAGTACTGAAGTCGTCCATCTGATCGTTCCACACGATACCTAACGATTGGGACACTCGTACTGAGCCCAGAAGCTGATTTACCGTACTCGTTACAGAAGCGGCGTTGCCTTGGGCGTCAAGAGACGTGACATGGGAGGTGCCGTGATCTGGTACTTGACCTGTCAGATTCTTGGAGTAGTACTCCATGTCCTGGGCTTCGTCCTTTATCATACTGGCAATCCATTTCGAGAATTCGCTGAAAAGTCGCAATGTAAAAGTGCTGTTATTAATTAATTGCAGTGTTCAGTACTATACTTAAGCATATTTTACCGATCCTCTAACAATAAGTCATACTTACACTGTAGTCATGTTGTTAGGCAGGTCAGATCTCACAAATTTGCTGTCGCCAAAGTGTGTTCTCTGAGCGTATGCAAATTTCTCGGCTTCGATTAACCGATGATACACTAGAGGATCATCCAGATCCGGCTTCTTGTCTCTGTAGTATTCGGCCATTACTCCAACAATAGCTGCGGTAACGGCGAAAGAGGAGGGAGGAGGTGGACCACACATGACGAGGTCGCCAGGTAGGACTTCACTTTCCAATGGTGTCTCGTAGATCGTGGTTTCAAAGCCTTCCAGGTCTTGTGTTGTGACAAGACCACCGTTTTCTGTGATTTCTGAGGCAATTGTTTGGGCCATACCACCTAAAATATGTCTGATACTGATAATGAAAGACAATATATAATAGAACTACTGTATTTGAATTAGTATCTTAAGTGAATAGTCTAACTTACCCTTGTAGAACAATTTGATGGGATCTCGGCTGTTGGCCAGCTCTTCCAAAGTCTCGGCCAACCTCATCCTCCTCATGATCTGACCTTCTTCATAAGGCTTGTTAGTAGAAGGGTCGAAGAAGGCCTTCCTCATGTCCTCGTCTTCTCTGATGTACTTCTCCATCTTTGCCAAGACCATGGCCAAGTTGGAGGAGACAGGGAAGCCGTTCCTGGCCAAAGTAATAGATGGTTCAAACAGTTCTTTCCACGTCACTTTGCCGCCACCGTACTTCTCGAATGCCGTCCTGTAGCCGTGGATTTCTCCCGGCGTAGCAATACTTCTGAATCCGATTATGGAGCCGTTTCCAGAGTAGGGTTCGTGACCTACGAACATGTCTTCTGTCGCTGCAGCTGGGGCTGTTTCACGAGCGTCGATGGTCAGGCATCTTTGGGTGGATCTACAATATGAAACTAGCTATTTCTATGCTATTTCTATGCTATTTCTGTGGATTTTGTGCATTTTTGATACTATACTTGGAACGATGTTACTGACTTATTTGTGGAAACTATGCTACGGGCTTATTGACCGAAAGATTGATTTTTATTTTTTTAAAGGTTTTTTTTTAAAGTTTGTGTCGTTTAGTGCAATTTCCAAAAACTTACGCATTGTAAACAGTCATGAGGAAGCCTCCGCCAATTCCAGAACTTTGAGGATTAACGACTCCGATGCACAAGAGTGACGCAATCGCTGAATCCACTGCATTTCCACCTTTGATTAGGATATTCCTACAATAACAAGAGTTTGGTTTTGAAATATTGTGATATTTGCACCTTAGAAAGCAGTGTTATTAAGTCTTTAATAAATCAATATACTCAACATAAATGTTGCGGTATATACAATATAACAACTACAAAGTAAAACCTGGCCTACCTTCCAATTTCACTGCAGAATCCGTGGTCGGAAGCGATGGCAGCCTTCTTAAACGCTGCTCCAAGCGAGTCGCTAGGCACAGGCCATTCATCTGGCGTGACTGGAGGGCACGGCTTGTCGACTGGAGCAGCAGGCGGGTTCTGAAAGTATTTTTTGAAAAAGAAGTAATCGAAGTTTACAAAACGATGAGGTAACAATAGCAGCGCGATTGTTTGAAACTAGCAAGTGGGTAAAGTAACAAAAACAATGTCTATTTTGAGTAAAAAAAATTTTTGCAAAAATGCAAAAACTTTGAAAACAAAACTGTTCTTACAAATGATTGTAGGTAATAAAAGTTTTAAAATAATTTAAAATTCTAAAACTACTTACATCGTGGTCATCTAACGTCTTGAAGTCCTTCATTTTGATTCCCAGAAGCACGGCCAACGCTACCGTCGCCACCATGAAGCCAACACACAGAATGGCGGCGATTATGGCCAAGTTCTTGAACTTCTGGGACCGCTTCTGAGGTTTCTTCCCATTCTCCATCTGAAGGATGTTGGTGGAGAAGACTTCTGAAGGCGAGCCACGGCCGTTGGCTTCCGTGATCCGGGCCATCTGAAGCTTGGTTACATTTAAAAACGTTTCATTACGGATTTGTACAATGTTGTACTACATTTGTGTACGACGTTGTAAAAATGAAATTTACCGCGCCATTTGGAAAATAGAATAAATTTTTATATATAAAGATATAAAAGCAAAAAAGCAGCCTGAAGGTTGAAAATGCTGCTAAAAAGAGTAAAACCACACTTAAAAACAGTGAAAATACATTAAAAAGCAGTAAAACCCTTACAATCAGGTAACAACACATACATCTTACTCATAAACCGTTTTTACATAAACTACAATCAAATAAAAAACTTTGAAACGCGATTATTTTACAAAAATGGTTGAAACAGCTTTTGGAAACAAAGTTTACAGAACATAATCCTCGCAAGGGTAAGAGCAACAACTACCAGAAAGAAGGTAACAAGTAGTAAGAGTCTATTTTGAAACAATCTATTTAACACTGTGACACAAAGGATCATTCTATGGCCTTTCACACCCTACAACAACATATTGAACCTCAAATGCCTATGTCAATATGTTTTAGGGCAAGTTACAAGAGATTGTAACGCGAGAGCTGTGAGTCAAGAGTGCTGCCTCCCCCTGAATACCTGTGGCTAAATATTGTTATTCCATCGTTCCGCCCTCCGTTCCGGCTGTTCCTTTTTATAAACGATGATCGAGGAGTTCGCGCACGGAGTTAAGCCGGAGGTTAATTAAACAGTCGCCTAATTAGAATAATAAACAAATCGCGCAAATAATACCGTAGGCCTGAGGCAAATAGAGCTGCAAGTGTTGCGAATTGTAGGCTCTACTCGGTTTTGGCAGTGTTTGCTTTTAAGGGTATACTGTAATTTTTAAGGTAGGGCGTATAGGGTTTTTTTCTTTCGCGTTTTGTTTCAAGTTGATATCACTTACGAAATAGTTAAGACTTTTTAAAAAAATCGTTTCTACTTTAATATTACCGTACTGATGCTAGTGAACATAACGATCGGTATGAGTATGGTTTTTGAAAATTTAAAGCAAATCTTTTCTACTATAATATATATTAATATAAACATAAAAATATTTATGATAACATAACAATTTAGGTCAAATTAAAACGGCAGACCCTATTAATCATGTATTTGATTAACACAATGTAGGCTCGTTTGATTGTTAAAAGTTTCTGTAAAGTGATGGCCACATCTTCTTCGTAGAATGTAAAATGCGCCATAAGGTTAAAGATTTTTTAAATTTATTTTTAGTGGCACTTTGGTAGTTAGTAAAAACTGTTTACACCTCGTATAGTTTTTGTTATTTCTACATGTTATATGTTGTATACTTTCATTTTACAACCCTATATAGAAATATATTGTGATATCTCCTCTATTTTACTATGAGGTGTTCCCCCTTCTACATTGTGGTATCTCCTCCATTATGACTGCCATAATCCCAAACCCCAATATTATGTCTGTAAACAGTAATGTCGGATCATCATCAACTTGTCAAATGAACCTTGAAATCGCTTCTTTTTTACTCTGTAAACCGCAATCTATTTTTACATTACTCAAACAGAGAAAAGTACAGAGTATAATGATCCCCATATACAACAACATATCGCTTCCAATGTTTTAAAATGCTTTTTTTGTTTTAAAATTTAAAAAAAAAATTTAAAAAAATTTAATTTTTTAAAATTTTTAAAATTTGAATTTGACTTTAAACAACAGATATATATACATGCTTGCAGAAAAAAATTAGCTTAGCTATGTGTTTTGATCTGTAATCTTCTAAACTAATCATTATTATGATACGCAATATATAATAGTCATGATTATGCAAAGATCGTAGTAAATGAACATAAAGACACCTACAAACATTCAACTTTTAAAATCAAACATATCACAACAATAAAACGGGTGTTTGCCCAACATATACACCTACAAACATGGTAAGAAGTATTTGTGAACAAGTTTACAATACTCTAAAGTAATATAAATACAAGTAGACAATAGTGTATGGCCTTTTTAACTCTACTGTTACTATCTCTATATAGACCCCTACCTTCCTCTCCATAACCTTGTAGTATCAGTTTTGGCAAAGACTCTACCTATGTATTTATAGATACAGTAAAACCCTCAATAAAAGCAATTATTGAGTAAAGTTGGGGTGATAACCTTTAAAGTAATTGGATTGGAATGAATCAGTAATCGAATTGTTTTTCTTAAGGCTTTACACTGTAAAAGGAAGAGGAATTTCGATCGAAGGTAGTTGTCGCTGACAAAACACACTTGTTATTCTACTCTACAGTGAATTGTGATGTGTATGGTTACAACTCTAAACCTTTTTGTGTAACACTTGGTATTTAAATAGAGGAGGTTATATTAATGTTACAAATGAACAAGTATGCAAAACTAAAAGATTTAATATTGAATAAAAAGATTATAAAGGCAGTTTCACTCAAGTTACAGTAACCTCTAGAAGAAACTTTTTATGAATTAAAGTACCCTAATACAATATAATGTTTACTTTGAGAAAGATCAGAAAGTGTTTGCCAAAGTTATTTGTGCAAATAAGACTGACAATCGACTACTCAACTACTTTAAAACTATTTAAAAATAAAACTATTAAGTCTCCTATTACAACATCCTGAAAGCAACAGTAACTACAAAACTTATGGTAAAAACAGATGATATATGACATGATCGAACATGTTTTGCTATGCTTTCTTCCAATTTTAATTTTAAAGTTTTTGAAAACAATCGAATTTTTTGAATTTGACTTTAAACAAAGATTTGAAAAAATATTATCAATGACACACTAATATAACGTAATATATGACTTACCTTAACCAGCCTGTAAAACCAATCAGTAATTTTTATATTCAAAACATAACGAACCTTAGTTTTATATTAAAAACGATATAAAACCATGTTTTGACCATATTACTCATGGAGGTAATGGAGAGAACAGAGTAGCGGATTACAAAGAACAATCCGGTCGAACCTACCTTAATATCACTCTAACATACCATCATTTAGGGTGAAACATAAGCTTATGTTTGAACTTGATATATTAGATTGGTCAATTAAAGATGTCTCCTCTAAATCCAAAAAAATTGTTTTGAGAGAGGGCACAGAACTATTTGAACAACATAATAACAGGTTTTATTTCTGTTTTACAAATAAACGTTAAACTTACTATGGCTAAATAGATACGACATTTTTAATCAATAACATGAGTGCTATTCTCACCTACAACATACCAGTCTCTACCACAATTTGAATAAAGACCTACAAGGAATTACCTGAACAAGTGATTACAGTCAACCCTTAAATAGTAGTGCAGTAACCTTTTAATTTACACTACAATTACCTGATACCACACGTCACGCTGGTATTCCAGCGACATATAGATTGTAATTAACGTTTCCAATGTAAAAAAAAGTTTTTAATCAGACGCAAAAGTAATCTGACAGATGTTACAGAGTAATTGAGACCATATTAGGAAGATATTGTAATCTAGGAAGTTGCGCAATATACGATTTTAAGTGAAAATTTAAAGTTTGAAATTTGAGAATTCAGCAAAATTAATTTTTTTATCTAACAAGCACTATTGAGTAACGTACAGTATTGTAAGCAAAACCATCTACGAAAAGCACTCTTAGCTAATGTATATTAGGTTGGCCACTAAGTAACTCACCAATCAGTATTCAAATTTCAACTAAAATTCCCTTAAAAGTTGTTAGTTGCCTACCTAATAGACTTGCCTATTACATCATATCCCTTTCGCTCCAAAAACCTTAAACTACGTGTTGAACGAGTGTTAAACGCTTCGAAAACAAACAACTGTAAGACGGAAGAACACTCGGAAGTCTGAAGGTGCAAAAGTCGAGAGGACTAGAGCCCCACCTACACGGCCCAGTCAAAGTAATCGGTCAGGCATGCAAATCCTCTCGGCCGACTGGCCAATGTCGCTGACAATAAGTGATCGGGCTGAAGTGTACATTGTAGGCATCAGCTTTTACTCACCAATCACATCATACAATATAAGTATTCAAAAGCAGACGTTTATCATGCCCAAACCTATTTTTGCAAAAACTAAAAAGTAAGCCAAATTTATAGTCAATCTCGAACTTATTACTGACTTGTTCATTAAAACGAAGATATAAAAGTATATTAATATATAAAATAAAAGTAAAGATAGTTTGTTACCTAAATTAATATGTAAAAAACTAAATATATTTGTAAAAATATAAACAAAGTAAAAACAACAATATAAGCCCACTCTGAACGTTCGTATCAAATTATAAAGGTAAAATGCAAAAAGCTGTTCAAATAAATGTCGAAATCGTATAAAGCCTTGAATTCGTCGCTCTTCTGTTCGTTTTATTGTAACGTAAAAACGTATAACATGGAAAGTGTCAAAAGGGGTACCTAATGCCCGGACGTGTGATATAGCTCAAAAAATTCTGTGATTGTTCTGATTAAAGATCGGTTTTCAAAAGTTGCTAAATTTTTGTTTCGACCGAGTTATGGTCGTTTAAAGTTTGCACTGATTTCCTATTAAATAAACTCTCTCGCCTAGCCAGGTCTCTTAAGAAAGGCCATGAATATTGCAAAATAAGCAAAAACTAAAAACGTTTTTTTAAATTCAAAAAAAGTTTAAAAGTTCATAAGATTTCTAAAAGAAATTATTAATTAAAAACAAAATTTAAATTCAGAAGCCAATTTAAATGAAGTTTTTTCAATTTCAAAAAAAATACATTAAAAGTTATTAAAAAAGATTGCAGTTATTGCCACTAGTAAACCAACTCTCAGACAAAACTAATCAAACCTCAACAAAATTGGTTTTAAATTTAAAAAACAATCGAAATTACAAAGTCAATATTACAATTAGAGTTATTTCATTATTGCTAATTCAACTCGTTTCGCTGATTACTGCGACAAAAGTAGGTCGAACAGGTTTACACATTACAATACCACTATGCTCTTTACATTACACTGTAATGTAAATACGTTAAAGGCAACAAAAACCACATTTGAATGTTATGGACATTGTTTTACAACGCCTTTTTAACTATATTAGGTTGTTTACATAATTTTGTGCTACTAATCTCAAAATTTGTTTTGAGGTAGAGCACAGAATTATTTGAACATTCTAATAATATAAACTTTACACAGGTAATATATAGGTATATGATAAAACAGCCTATAAAAGCAAAATAAGTATAAAACCTAAAAGTTATGTTGTTCGGAATTAAAAAGTTGTCAAAAACTGTTTAAACTACAAAGTAATTTGCATAATCAACATACTTTACATTCTGAGCAAAGTAACGATTAAGTGCAATCATGTTACTAACTATCACATGCTTAGGTATATTAAGTACACATGATACCATAATAACTTTAAACTTTTTATTTCAAACACTTGAAGTTAAAAGATTCTGAAGGCTACTTTGTTGTTGCGTAACTTAAAAACATGTTTATTTGCGTATTTTATGGTTTAAAACTTTTTATGACAAGACATCTCTGAATACATCTTTTGACTACACAAAGCTATATTGTACTAATATCTTCGATTCAAAACAAGCCATCTTCTAGTAAGCTATTAATGTATCTTTATGTTACGGTGATATATTAATATACCAAAGTATGAACAAAGTAATGTAACCTCAAGTTTATTTATTGTAAGCACAAGTCATATTGCAAGCAATGTGACTCTCTTACCACCTGAAACAATGTTATCAGCTGATCAAAGAACGTTGATTTCTTTTGTTCCGCCAATGTTCTCTGTCGTCTGTCTCCCTGCCCCGCTCTCTCGCCTAGTCCAGGTCTCTTTTATGAGTTTACTCCATTTCTTTGACAATTATGCGACTGATTCCTTGTTTGCGATCTTCTGTCAGAGTAGCCTCCAGATGCGGCCCAATTGAAGGATTTCAATTGAATCTGCCCGGAGGCACTTCCGATGTTTTCCTCGGGATTCCTTATGCAAAACCACCGGTCGGAGAGGCTAGGTTAGAGGTAGAGACAATTGTTTTGCTTTGTTTTAATTGTTTTGTTTAGTGATATAATCGCTTTTAAAAGTAAATAACAACAAAATTTCACCTTATATATAAAATTCCCTTTAAAAATCCAGCTATCAGCAGTAAAAACGTTGTTTATAAACTAATAGACTTTGTCGTAAATTTAAACTAAAGCTTTGCAGAAGCCAGTAGCCTACGGATCTTGGAATGTGCCTCTTAAAGCCAACAAGTACTCGTTATGTTGTGTACCTCACCATGACAAAGACAACATGGCTCCGACGTGCGAAGACTGCCTCTCTGTCAATGTGATACGACCGACTACAAAAGTTCGTTTTACATTAAAAAGTTTTTAAATTTTGTCAATAGAGGCAAATTATACGACCAAAAGTAATTTATTCATTCGCAATTCTAGTATACATAAACAATAATAGTACGCTTTTAGAGCTCAGACTCTTCAGGATACCCAGTAGCCTTTTGGGTCCACCCCAGCTGCTACAACGTTGGTTCCTCACAATGGCTAAAATACGAAAATGTCGCTGAAAACTTTGTAAACAAAGGTGTCATAGCTGTCACATTCAACTATCGACTCGGTGTTTTAGGTAAATTTATTTAATCTTAACATATATATCTCGTCGTTCCTTAATCAAAAATTTATGAAACATAAAATTTACCAATTCAACCTACTACAATATTCCGTATAAAAATAACTTTAGGCCTTGCATCGACCGGAGACTCAGTTCTCCCCGGTAATCTAGCATTATTTGATACAGCATTGGCACTGGAATGGGTTTACAAAAACATCGAAGCGTTTGGAGGTAACCCTGACAATATTACAGCATGTGGACTCAGTGCTGGCAGCTCCATGGTTGGACAACTTGTTTTGTCACCTTATAGCAAGAGTAGGTACAATGAAAATCTTTAAATTATTTTTTAACTTATATTTACTTTTACTTTACATCATCACATACCAACATCATTCTCAAATATTACTTTAGATTACATAAAACGAGCGATCCAATTAAGTGGATCATACTACAGCTTGTGGTCCACTAACGACCAAGTGGTACAAGAAACACAAAAGTTGGCTGAAGTACTAGGATCTGGTCCAAATGACTCTATTTCCATTAAAAATACCTTGAAATCAAAGTGTACCAAAGAACTAAACGATGCTATGGAGCACTTGGGTACCGCAAACTCAACTACCAACATTGCCAAATTCTCTCCTCGGTTGGACGGCGACTTTCTACCTAAAGATTACCATGAACTTCTGAACGACAAGCCCCCAATACCCACTTTCTACGGTTACTCTGCTCATGAATCTATCTTTTTTGGTAAGTTAGTAGTACATACTTTATTGTACTAATCAGAGTATTCTGATTAATATTTTAGCTGTGCTTGGCTTTCTGAAGTCGTGCAACGGACTCACGATAAAACCAGAAGAGTACGATAACTTTGGAGAAGCAGAGATCATCAACAAAATAAAGACAAATCTATTCCCCGAGGCTGAGTTCGGAAAGTTCACAAAGAAGATACAAGATAGGATAATATCATTTTACGTACGACGAAGAGTACCAGACAAGCCACATTCCTTGTTCTACATAGCCAGATATGTTGAAGTAAGCACCTAAAACAATATTAAAAGTTGTTGTAAAATAACCTTTAGCCTTAACCCAACAGATACTAGAATGTCTACAACATACCATGCTGCTGTCTTATACCATTTATACAGTATAATGCTAAAAAAGTACAGTATGTAACCCATGATTACTTCAGATTATGTCTCATATGCAGTTCTTCATTCCGACAGCTTTTGAGATAATGGAGAAACATGAACACGACTGGCCCATATTCATATCCAGGAACGAGTACTACCGCGACCACCACTTCAAAGACGGTACCAAGCTGAAAGGAGTGGTACACGCCAACGAACTTCACACATTTTTCGGCTTCCCTAACCCTAAGGCATTCCATATGAACAAGGAGGACATCCAGAATCGAGACTTCTATGTCGACAGTCTCTGTAACTTTATCAAGACAGGGTAAGATTACTGTAACTATTGTTTTGTCTCACTATCAGTATACATATTGACAATAATCAATGATTATGCCAAAGTTTCTTTTTATACTATATTTTTACAATAACCATTTTTACAGTAATCCATCTCACACAAACTTTGAATGGCCACAGACTTCACACGAAACACCGTGGCTTCACGTAGCCCTGAACACGACTCCAGAAGTCAAGAAACAATTCAGTGACGATGACAATGATGCTGTCAAGTTCTGGATTGGATTGTGGAGAGAGTTTGGAGAAAAAGCCATTAGAAGTATCCAGTTCTCATCCAGAAGGGGCAGAAGAGAGCCTTCTGGATCTCACCATGCTGAAAATGTCAAGTAGACATCTATATGTTACTACACTGTTTGACCAACTTGCCATTCTAATGAAAATCTATCAGATATAAAATGATATTACATAATGTAGTAGTACGAATAGTAAAGGTCAATTAATAACAGTATAATATGTATATTGAAGTACGTTAATAAGGTAATGTTTGTTTTGCGTTCCGGTCATCTCTTGCGTCGGACAAAAAAACCGGAACCTGCGCTCATCAAAATTCGAAGGACTCAGAAGATCAAAGACGCGATGGACGGATTGTATATACATTGTATTGCTGTATGGATTTGTTTCTGCTCCATCGTATACGGCATTACCTGTCCCAAGCCGAAGCGATACGGTAGGCCGCCGCCAGAGAACTGTCGCGAGCCAATGGATCCAAACCTGAAGCCGAAGTCGGCATTGGAGAAGTGGTTCACAAAAGAAATGTTTGAGGTAATTACTAATACTTTTGTGTATAACCTTGTGTTTTTATTCTACTGTAGTATGTGTTTAACAGTGTGTCGTAGCTGTTCTTATGTAAAAGAACATTCTGTCATAGACCTAACGTTCACCTTTTTAGGACTTTTTCCCAAAAGCGAACCACGGTTGGGGCCTTCACAAGTGTCAACCTTACTCATACGACTCCTTCATATTGGCTGCACGATACTTTCCAGAATTTGGAGCCGGAATCAAAGGAGGGAAACCACCGTACACAACACGAGATCTACAGCGACGTGATGTCGCTGCCTTCTTCGCTCATGTCATTGCCGAAACTGGAGAGAACGACCTCAGATTGTACACGTAAGACCTTCGTAATGTACTATCTAAATTTTGAATGACAGCACTTTTGAAAACGGTGCCATTTAAATTCATGTTATGGTGCACGATACCTACAAAAACGTCCTATATTAACCACCATATCGTACTTTTAGTCTAATAAAGAACCCAAAACTAGCAGACGAATGTTTCTACCGTGGCGGACTGTACCATTTCTTCGAAGGTGGTCCCAAGTCCAGACTCTTCTCGTCTTCGCGACACGGATTCTCGTTAGACGAGGGAGAGTCTTGCATAGAAGACGGCCGATATTGTGCAACCAACCCAGAAGTAGACTTCTGGTACCCTTGCAATCAGCCCAACCGTCAGTCCAGTCTGAATCATACTACGTATTCTGGCTGTTACTTTGGTAGAGGGCCGCTACAGCTATCGTGGAATTACAATTACGGTCAATTCCAACAGTTTCTACACACTCACGGTATCGACGTAGATCTGTTGTCAAACCCGAATGAGCTACTCACCAAGAATGACCCACCTTTAGCTATGTTGTCAGCTTTGTGGTTCTACATGACGCCACAACCACCGAAGCCATCTATGCATGATATTATGATGGGTAAGTTATTATTATTTCAATATCTTGTTTTAGAACTGTTAAAACAATATAAACAAGATGTTCATCATGTTAAACATTTAGTATATACAGTAGTATGGAATTGTATTCAATTCTTACTATAATATAGTATATGAATCAGCATACCTAATGTCATACTTCAGGAAACTGGCATCCAAGTGAGAAAAACAAGCGAGCTGACTACAAAGGTTCCGTCTTTGGTCCCACGAACCTTGTCATCAACAACGAATGTGGTGGAGAAGACGAAGAGACGCCAGGAGGCCCAAAAGAAAACAGAAGGATCAAGGCCTTCAGATGGTTTTGCGATAAGCTTGGAATTGAACCAGGGATCAGTAGAACCCTTTCATGTAAAGGTAAACTCTGATCTATGTTTAAATTATAATGACTTCCTAGTATGTTCTCATGATAACAAATAATCAATCATAAACACTATATTACCTATACATCAATCACTTTACAGGTATGGTGAACGGATTCGACGCCATCCAACAAAAGCTGTCCTGGCAGCCGGACTGGGCCAATATGTGGAAGGCTGAGCCTTGTGACTGTGCTCCAGCACCGTACCCCGGCGTTATACCGTACTACGAACCCAAACTGTACCGTGCTCACGCTGTCAGAGACAACGACAGAAACCGGTTACGGTGTGTATTCAGTATCTACAGGAACCCTGACATCTACCGTATCGACCAGAACAACTCACCGTGCCTGAATCACACTGTAAAGATACGATTGAGCAGGTTCGGACCAGAGTAATGCAAATACACTATAACCTTGATAACTATAATGCTAAAGGTAATACTATTCAATAGGGAGTAGTAACACAATAAATGTTAAGTTTTCGGACTTCAAAGTAGATGTACTATGTATAATATAGTAGTAAAAGATTTAAGGCGTCATAAGCCTTATAAATAACTCCCTTCGCAAGTAGCTATAATGCATATCACATGCTCAACCTACTCGTATATAAACTGTTAAATAAAGTTGTTTCTACTTCATCTGTCAATACCCCAGCTGATAGTCAATGAATACCGTGATGTTTATGACCAAGCTACGCTCAAAAGTTGAAATTGAGACGGTAATAAATCATGAATCGTACAATACACGTACAACCATAGTAACAACGCTTGTTTACCACACTTTTACAAATATAAAGAGTAATTCCCGTTAATTGCGACTTTTTGTTCGATTTCCTTAATTTCGGAGAAAAAACTTGTTCGCCTCCAGAAAAGGTATCAACAAAAGAATCACTCCGCGCATTGTCACCACTCACCCACAGCAAGATGCGCCTGAGCAATATTGCACTAGCGACCACTCTCATTCTCTTATCAATTGGCGTTTACAGTATCAACGACCGAAAGTGGGGTAAGTCAGACCTTACTTTGTAATTTTAAACCATTATCTCAACGTAAAATATAGTAAGTAACAATGATATACTTTTGGTAGTTCCCACAAGCTATACATAATACATTAAACTACTTAATTCAAAAAATACCTTAAGCGTAGCAATTTTTCATACTTATATCTATCACAACCTTGCTATAATATGACATCTTATTGTAACACCTTTCAGCATGTAACAGAGAACGACAATGTTATCAGAACCACGAATGCCCTGAGGGTCATTACCGTATCCTACTAGAAATGCCATCAGCACGACCGGCAGAGCATTGTGTCTGTACTTGCGTCCGAGACGTGCTATTTAGTGCTCGAAGGCGATTCCAAGCCCAACGAAGGCGGCGAACACAACGACCACGACAATAACCCACCTACCTCATGTTTGTACATACTGTAACAAGCTGTAGATACTTAATGTACATAACGTCTACCATAATATAATATGTAAAACAACCTTCCTAACACAAATATACCTAATCTTTAAACCCATAAGCGTCTGATAAACTCTAGTAACCATGAGGATGTTACCCCTGACTGTGTAAAGAATTCAAAGATAATACCATATATTAAAGTTTACTGTAATTAGCGACTAGATGAAATTGAAAAAGTAAAAAATTAATAGAATTCAAGATGAGAATCTTTAGGAACACCGTACTTAGCTTTGTGGGATTCGAATAACTCGACCAGCTTCGTCTTGTACAGTTTGTGAAGCTCGTCAACTTCTTCTCTGCTCGGATTTTGATTCCTTTCTACTCGAATCGGAGCTCCAACTGCAAATTAATACTGTCAGTTTTAAAGGAAAATCTTCTCAAAATACACTTTTCCTAAAATACGAAGTTAATATCAAATAGGTAATCAAAGAGGCCCTTACCAACACTGACCACTTTTGTCCTGAACGGAATGATTGTAGGCATGTGTGGAATAAAAGCAACACCGTAAGCCAGCACCGGACTCAGTCCAACAATATCCTTTATCTTGGTCTGAAGCGTTCTCAGCCTCGATCCAACTGGATTCCAAACTTGTTTGAAGGTACTCGTCTCTCCAAACGAATAAACTGGCACCAAATCAGCTCCAGTTTCGAGTGCTACGCGAATGAAGCCTTTCCTCCTCTCCAAACACAACTTGTAGATGTCAGGATGACATTCCAATGCTTCTTCTGCTCCTCCTACCACAAGAACAACAGCTTTTCCCTTGTTGGCATCTGAGAGAACGTTGACCAAGGCTTTGAAAGAAGCTCCAACAAGACCAAACGCAGCAATCAGTTCTCTTCTGAAGGGTTGCTTAAAGTGCATATCCAAAGTGGCCAAGTAACGAGTGATCCCAGGGTAGGTTTCTACAAACTTGGTGCCATTGGTACACACGTTGATAACAGCTGATAAAGAAATGATACCGTGAGGATGCCATCTGAAATAGAAAAAGGGTAATTTTTGCACATTAATTTACTCTAAAAAACAATTTCTAGCAAAAGGTAACAACTCTCGTCTTTTAAAATGCAAGATTGATACCTAAACAATCAAATAAACTCACGCAAACAAGTAATTCCTATTCGGATCCAAGTCCATTGTCTTCTCCAAACTCATCGGGAAATAGTTGGCCAAACTGTCCCAGAACTTGTGATTCCTCATCCACTCCCATGCCCGACAACTTTCAGTGATCAACTCCCAATCATAATATAGCCAAACCAAGTAGAAGCCCACCAACCACCAGAAAGAGGTATACAACACAAGATAAACTGGAACAGCCAGCGAAACAAAAGGTAGAACAAGAAATACGAATAAAAAGAAGATCACCTGAGTCAGTTCTAAAGCTCTTTCGAAGCTCATAGTTGACAATATTAAAATTATCAGTAGAAGAATAAAGCTTATATTACACTACCTTATAGTAGGTTTCAGAATAGAATTAACAAGTTCTAAAAAACTAACAAACGACTTGGAGGAAGTCGTCAAGAAAAAGTAAAAAATAAGGTGAGCATTCACTATCATTGGTAAAAAAGGAAAACTTTATCACTGATAAGGTTTTTGAAACGTTCCGGAATGCAAAACATCTAGTAAAATACCACAGTACAAAAAATAAGTCTATATTAAGGTTATACATTCCACATTACATTGAAAAACATCGATTTCCAAATTGTTTACAAGATCTGGAGGATCGACATTAGACATGAGAAACGGGCCGGGCCCAATTTTCAGGCCCGGCCCAATCGAAATTTTGCTCAGGGCCGGCCCGGCCCGATGGTAGGCCCGGGCCGGGCCTGCCATCGGGTTTCTCATGTCTAATCGACATAATTTTGTCGATACATCTTCCGTCGTATAACTTGTCGCACCCGAAAATAAATATTTTACGTAAAATATTTTGTGAGGTCTTGATACTTTCAGACGGTAGATCGCATAGTTTAGCTTTAATTATTTACGCGCTTTTCTTATAATATGTTTAATGTTAACTTAGCTTTTTATTTTTCGAGGATTTGTTTTATTCATAAGTATTGTTCTAGGGATGGCGTCAGCTCTTTCAGCCTTACTCGAGGAGCCCACAACTCCACCAAAGCTCGAAACGGACAACCCGACTCCAGGCAGGTGTTTCATTCATTATATTGGTTTTTAGGTATATTATTATAGCAAGTGTCGCGGAGACAAGCATTAATTTGTCTGGAGAAGTGTCAGCTTTGCTAATTACGGCATTAGCTATTTTGATTTTTTGATATTAGTCTCAAAACTGAACAATATAAAGATAATTTACTTTTACGTGTGTAAAAACTTAAATTGTAATGCTTAAACTATATTATAGTACCTTATTTTAGTTGGAAGTCCTCGGCACGACAGAATGCTTTTGGAGAACGAGATTGTGGATCAGTTGGCCAATTCTAGTGAAGTGTTACCTAAAAGTGGTCTAGGTAACGCGATCGACAACCTTATCGTTCAGTGGAATCAACTTCTGGGTGACTTCAGTGCTTCAGTTGGCTACGCCCCTCCATCGTTGGATCACGTCAAGGAGAAGGCAGAATACTCGGTAAAGCAGGTCAGAGAAGCTGGATTGGACGTGCATGCAGAAATAAACAAAGTTATGTTAGAATGGAGGTTATCTCATCCAAGAGAAGCTATTGAAGAGGATATTAAAGATTTTGAGGAAGTGGTAGAGCGACAGAATGCTTTGTTGGCTTCTGTCAATGAGAGGTTAGATGCCATGGAGAAGAAGCACGACGATGGTGCTCTTGACTGATGATGTACATTGTTTTATTGTTGTTACGTGTGTGATACACACTTGTTGTAAATAAATATGGCTAACTTATATTGTATATGGTGATTTATGGTTATGTGGCCATGGAGTATTTGTGAAATATTTACAATTATATATAATTTTTACAAGTCGGTATTTTTGTAACTTATTTGGAATTATAATTACTATTTTATCATACTTGCCATGTTCAGATGATTGGCTTGACCAGCCGGTTGTCAGCAGTACCAAAGTTGCTGACATCCCTAACCCAGTCGTCATGTGTAGCTGTTCGTATGAAGAGTGTTGATCATAGAGCTGGTGTACCAAAGACGGACACACAAATGGATGGCACTGTTGGTACAGAAAGGTATGATTTTGAGGTATTACTTCAGTTTAGTTGATAAAGTGGACGTACGTGACAACCTGATCCATAAAGAGTGATTTTTGGCTGAGATACCTGAAGAAGATAGATTATATTGTAGTACTTAATGTTGTGTCTGGTACTTTTTTATGATTGACTTATCGTTATGTTTTTAGTTACATTCCTGTAAATGTTAAAGGATACGAACGTCGATTGCCGACTTCAGAGACATTAAGACAAAAGTTCTTTGGAGTACCTTTCATGGAGTTGCCAATGGTTTTCATCAAGTCTACAAGAAATAACACTTTGATTAGTGTATTCGATCATAAGGTGGGTTAATTACTATTTAAATCCAAATAATAAAAAATTTTTTCAGCTAAAGAGTATCACATACACATCATGCCGATTGGAGGGATTCAAAAATGCGAGAAAGAAAACCACGATTGCTGGTCAAACTACTGGTGTTGCTGCTGGACAAAGGCTTCTGAGAAGAGGTATTAACGCTGTACGAGTACTGGTGAAGGGAATCGGTCCAGGAAGAATGGCATCAGTCAAAGGTATCGCTTCTACTGGAGTTAATGTAGTTTCCATCACTGATCGAACATTGCTGCCGGAAGTCGGTCCACGGCCCAGGAAGATCAGAAGAATATAGAGTACATTATTAGGTCTTTATGTTTTTGTTGTTTTTGCAAATAAATTACATTCATTTGTTTTATTCTTAAAAACTATTTTGTTGTTACTTTATTTGATTTTTCTTCTTCTTGATACGATAAAATGTAAAGTTTTAACTCCAAAAATCTTGGAAATTACAATAATTACAAAAAAATTACAATAACGCTTTCTTCTACGCGCCAACCGACTTTCTTTTTTGCAGCTTGCACATTGAGCCTTTCAACTGCGCCCGAATTATATTTGTCGGTTTTTCGCCAATCTCGCGCGTTCTTGGTTGTTATTCAACCTTTACTTTATAGGAATAATTAAGCATGAATTTGTTACCGTCGGCGAATCCAGTGTTACCCATGGAAGACAGTTTGCTGTCAGTTGGAGACGAGAGTTTGACTGGATTGGAGCCGGATGAATCCCAAACTTCTTCACAATCTGGGTGTAGGTTCTTTTTTATGCATTTCTCTGTATAAAAGCCATTTGATTATTTTTTTGTAAAACTTACGTTTTATATGTTGTTTATTGTTTTAAAAAATTATTATTATAGTGGACACTCCAAAGAGAAAGAACACAGCTTTGTTACGCTTGACAGAAGGCCAGAGCCTGCAGACTTCACCAGCAGATCTGATCGAGTACGAATGGCCTTTAGGATCTGGAGACAAGTACTTCTTACAGGTAAGAATTAGTTTATAGCTGTTATTTTGTGTTCAGGAACAAATAGCGGAAATGTTGGAAGTAAAATCCTTCAAAAGGAAATATCCCAACATGCCGAGACGTACTATTGATGGAGAAGAGCGTCAGTACCTATTCAAAGAGTTAGAGATTGGCAAGACGCTTCCTATTCATCTCCAGTCCCTTCTCACAGCGGTAGAATCAGATGCTGTGCTTAACATGATGGCCACAGAGTATGTTCCCTGCTTCGCCGAGTATCAGAAGATATTGTTGACGAGAAGACAAAAGGAACTGATTCAGCAACAAAACGAGATCAAGATGGTTCAGATGGATCCGGCGAAGTTGGCCGAGCTGCGAAAACAAGCTTTAAAGAACGCTTCCGAAGTGAACGAACATCTTCAGAACAGTAGAAGGAACGAGCGACGATACTTCTTCGACATGCAGACTATGGCAAGTTCATTCTCATATGTGGAAGAGTTAGGGGATATTTTTTTAAATTTTATATTTTCTAAAGATATTACTTTATATTTAATTTCTTTGTGGCAAATTTAGGTAACAAAAATTATTTTTTATACATACTTATTTTTTAGGTAATGCAATGTCCGAAAAACAAGACGAAACGTCTTCCTCAAGCTTTTACTCGTGTTTCACCTTATCCAGTAGCTTTGGTACAAGGACAACATCAGGATAACTATAAAAGGTAACAGTAACATAAGACAATTTTGTTTGTTTAGGTGTATCAATTAAAAACACAAAATCTATAAACATTGGTTTAATATCGCGTTTATAAAATAAAATTTTGATTTGTTTAAAACTATTTTCAGGTATACAAAAGAAGAACTGGACAAGTTCCCGTTGAACACGGTAATCAACAACGATCATCTGTTTCCACCTTTGAGAGAACCTTCACCCCCACCTATAAGAGTGTCAGATGAGGAGATCAAGAAGATGAAACATGTCGAAGCCAAGGTAAACTATCAATTTATATTAAGAATTCAACTTTAAAAGAGGATGCTTGGCAAATTATGTTGTTTTAGTAGTTTAAAATTTAATTTCCGCAACTTTTATTACCTAAATTTTTGAAATCTATTTAATTGCCAATTTTAGCAAGAAGAACCTCAAACGCCGCGCTCAGCCCGCTTGGCCAACAAGCGATTGGAGAGAAATGTACATCCTTAATATAGATTTAGTTTGCTAATGGGTGGTTTGGTGCTTTATATCTTAACTAGTCGACCGTCTACCTTATCATCTTGTACATATAGATATCTAAAGCATTTCGGGATTAAATATTTTTACTCAGCTCTTGTATGACTCTGTACTTTTAGTTTCTGCGCTTATGTAGTCGTTGTAACTCGTGCCAGGAGAACGACGATCCTCTGAGTGTGATGTTGAAGTGCGTCAACTGTCACACCTTTGTCCACCCGAAGTGTGCCGAGATGACACTGGACATGGTCAGAGTGGTCAAGACCTACGATTGGTGTTGTATAGAGTGTAAGCGATGCACAGTCTGTCACAAGCCAGATGAAGAAGTAAGTTTTTGCTGTTTTTTGCTTTACAATGGGATTGTTAGAGTACTTTGGTACTAATTTAGTCCAAAATGTTACTTTTTTATAAGTCAAAGATCAAGAAAATACTTTTCTGTTTAATTTTTTGACCTTAATTTAAAGTTTTAAAACTTTATTTTAAGGCTTCTATGATGTGCTGTGACCTGTGCGACCGTGGCTACCATACGTTTTGTGTTGGGCTGAGCAAGCCCCCGAGTGGCAACTGGCTATGTCAATATTACTGCAATCCCAAGAAATGATTCTCACTTATTCCCAGCTATCTCATGCCTTATATTTAATAATAATAAGCAATTGAATTGTAAATTAGCCCTGATATGATGTGATTATACCTGTACAATACTTTTATTAATCATTTTGTACGTATAATCGTATGTGTAACGATGTTATAAGTGTCATGTATAATGTGTAATCAGCGTGTCTTACTTTTATAAGCACTTTTATACCACAATCGTCTCAGTTGTCGATTATCAAGATTGGCACTTCTCTTTTTACCTATTTATTCTTTGATTAAACCCGAAATAAAGCTGTTTGTCGATTAATCGCGCTCGTTTTGTGTTTATTTCACTTCGATATCGCTCCGTTGGTGTTTATCTTAATCTAATTGAATATAGCGCTGCCTTGGAGCTGGGAATGTCCACGGTGTCTGGTACCACTGATGTCTCTATCAAGTACCAGAGATTGGCGGCAGAGTTCGTCAAGGTCAGATCTCAGCTGAACATCCTTAAGACGGCTGTTATCGATGAGAAAAGCAGAAACGAACATTTGAGGAACGACGCGCTACACAAAGATTCTCAGCTACGGAAGATCACGGACGAGAACGAGAGTCTGAACTTCAGGAACGTTCAGCTGGTGAAGCGAGTCGAGGCACTACAGAACAGCCTGGATGAGTTGACAAAGCTGCAGTTGAGCAAAGGGAAAAAGGTAAACAACTTTATCAACTTAGATAGTAGCTTTCACTTATTTTACTGTAGTATTTGTTAAAATATAAATGGTTTCAGAAGCAAAGAGAAGCCAACCTCCGTTTGTTTGTGAACCTGGACGGAACGGAGAACTCTAACCTTCCAGGAGCGTCGAATCAGAACACCGCCAGGTTCGTAGTCGAACAAGAGTTGGAGAGAAAAGTGGAAGAGATATCTACATTACATTCAAAGGTAAGTCTTATAGTTAAGGTCTTATTGTTATAGATATTTGATTTGGAACAAAATGGTCGGAAAGAGATCGACGACTTGAACGACCAAATTAGCGAACTCAAAAAGGAAAATTCGAGGTTGAAATCGACCGAAAACGTGAGGAAGAACAATGTGAATGTCACTAATGTGGAGAGAAATCGGTACGGTTTTAGGCATCATTAATACTATTCTTGTACGTTATTATAATTTGATACATTTGTTATAAGTTAATATAGTTTATAATACATTGCCTTTTCCTGTAATGCAAACATGGTTTGAAAATTAAATTTTAGTGAGACGATATGCCATAATTGCCAACAAAATAACGTACAAAATGACAATGACACTTCACACCAAATTGTACCGAACAACAATCAACCGGTAGTAAGTCCAGTAACTCACGATGCTCGATTGTACGCAGATGGTCTTCTTACGGTAGCCAAGTCCCTTTTATCTGCATTTTCTACCATCTTCACTTTACTGGAGCAACGATCAGTGCTATATCCATATGATATTAATCTTGAAGTGCTTCCTGAGAGCTTCAAAACTGTAAGTTTGAGAACTTTTAGTGTTCAGATTATGAAGAAGATTAAAAAATTCCGAAAAGGCATTAAAACTTTAAAAACACAAACAATAACATATTATGTTATTATTTTAGTTTGGACAGGAAATGGTACTGTATTCGACCGATTTTCACGAGAAAATAACCAAGCTGGACCAAATTCAGACGAAAGTAAACGAATCTGATGACTTGAGTTTTGTAAGTTTGAAATCTTGGCCTTACTGTCAACTGACATTATAAAAGTGGAAATACAGTATTCTAGATAACGGATGACAATAACCAACAATTTTCAGATCGACGCCTCTTCGAAAGCCTTGTGGAGCGATTTGTGCCAATCCTTCAAACTCGTACATTCATACCTTCAGAACTCTCTGATCGTCGTGATTCGAGCTGAAAACGAAGTTCCCTTCTGTAGCCAGGACCTCGAAGAGCTGAATCTGATGTTCGAACAACACTTTCTGATCGTCATCAAGAACCTGATCGAGTTGCTGTCAAAGCCATTACCAGATCTGTTTCAATTGAAATTCAGACACATATTTGTGGACAGGTTGAGTCATTTACAGGGTCTACTTGAAGGTAAGGGTTATTCAAAAGTATAGTTAATAACCAATGTCAATACTTTTAAATGTATTAGTTGATGTGAACGTTCATGTGCTAGCACGATAGATACACTTTCAGAACTCGAACGTCTGTTCAAACACAAGATTCTGTTTGAGAAAGGGATTCCTACAGCGTCGAAGAAGATGAAATGTGTGAACGAGTGTATTCTGAAGGCTTTCGAACAAATATCCCAAGCTCTGATCAGAGGTTTTGGCATGATATCAGACACAAATGCCTTGGAACATCTGAGGTTGGCACTTCAGAATGACCAATCAGTTGTGAATGATGTTACACCAAAGGAATCAACACCTTTGGCTGAAGCAGAGACAGTTGGAATAGTGGTGAATGAAGAGATTGCCATAGAGAAGGACAGGTTGAGTGAAGAGCTACAGAATACAAAGGAGAAGTTGACCAAGGCTATGAATGACAAGTCTGAATGGGAGGCGACGGTTCATGCGATGGAACAAGAACTTGATGTTCTCAGAAGTTTGAGGTAATATCAATTTTTAAAAATTGTTAATTTTATGTGTACTCCATTATTGATTGTAGGTTGATATAGTAATTTAAGTAAATAAATAAATAAATTAGGTCAAAAATTTTAATTGTACTATTTAGAGATGAACAAACTCGTGCCGCAGACCTAGCTGATCCTCATACCAAGTTGGCACAACATTCGTTGGAAGAAGTCTACAAACAGAAGATAAAACAACTTGCTTTGGACTTGACTTTCGCCAAAAGTGAAGCTCTGTACTTTAAAGAAGAGGTAAGTTATTGATCTTTATCAATATTATGTTGCAACAAGGTTAACTTTAATACACGACATCCTCTACTGTTCGTAAACTAAACTTCATTTTGATGTACCTTTTATACTACAATCACCTATTTAACCTCTACCCTTACAGTGTGAAGCCCTACTAGTAACGGGTAAGATGTTGAAGCAAGATTACTCCAGACTGAACGAGCCCTGTGCCAAATGTGAATCCCTGAACGAAGCCTTATTGGCTACACAGTTAACCTTCGAAGAGCAGATGCGGGAACTGTATGATAGATTGGCAGATCAAAGTCGAGAGTTGGAGGAGCAGAGAGAGGAGATCCACAAGTTCAAGTTCAGCGGATCGACCAGTCCAATGTCATCGACCGGGGAGACACTGCCGAGAGAAAACTCCTTCAAACGAGTAAGTGTACTGTAACATATGTAGATAGTAAGGTGAACTCGTTTCTTGAGTAGGTGATTAGTGTACTCAGTGTTTTGCCGGACCGGGTCCGGTCCGGATTTTCAAAAATTGCAAGATTGAAAATAACTTTTAAGCTTATGGTTTGAAGTTTTAAAAAATAAATAACTTTTGTGAAGGTCCGTCTCATACAACTTCCTCGCTAAACATTTGGCCGGACCGAATCGGTGTTGCCGGTCGGGGCGGTCCATTTCGGTAATAACTTGATAGCCAAAGACGGACCTTCACAAAAGTTATTTATTTTTTAAAACTTCAAACCATAAGCTAAAAAGTTATTTTCAATCTTGCGATTTTTGAAAATCCGGACCGGTCCGACAAAACATTGAGTGTACTGATGATAGTGATATTTCTTAAAAAAGGATTATCTAATAAATAGTAAAACATTACTATTTTCAGAACATACGACGAATGGTGGGCAAGTGATTGTACTATACTATTACACTTTCATAGCGATGATTTTCGTATTCCTATAATGTTGGGTGGACACCGGGTGACAAAACAGAGTATAATTCTATTATATCGTGATTCTACATATTATTTATTACTGTATATTGTTCTTATCACTTTTCATTTTCTCATTTTAATAAAGATATATTTCGTGATAAAATATTTAGGATTGTATACCTATAAATAATAACAGCGCACATCTGTCTGAAATGGGAAATGACCAATAGTGGCTTTTCGTTCGTTGCAAAGTGTCCAAAAATTTTTCAAATGGTCTTTTTATTTTCTCTTTTTCTTTTCTCTATTTTTATATTTTATTTTAATTTTTGACACTTCGCAGCACGTTGAAACGTAACGAAAAGCCAGAAAATTCCATTTCCAATTTTTGCTTTACTTCAGACAGACGTGCACTGCGTTTACTAAAGAAAAATATGTAAAAATTTTTTTTGCACTTTAAAATTATTATGTGGGTGAAAAAACATGTTAAAGCAGGTCGGTTGACTGTCTTTGACGTAACTGTGCCAACGTTTTGGTAAGTTGTATTGCAAAAGCGAGCTAGCTCAATTGTTTCAATAGATAACATTTTTTGTTCTTGCAAGTATTAAAACATTTCAACTGTTTCCGAAAAAGAGAGTGAAGAGACAGCAGGAGGAAAAAGCAAACATCTCGCACGAATTGCTGGCTGTCTACGCGTATATCTACGTCCTTTTGAGAGAAGCTTTTTTTATATTATTTACGGAATAAACTTGTTATTGTTGTACACGGTTGACTCCGCGAATACTATACTTAAAATAAGGTTAAGGAGAAATATTTTGGTAAAAGCACCTTTCAATTTGAGAGCATATTCGTTGAGAAAAACATTTCTAAAGTTTTGTTTTGACATCTCGGTCGTCTATGGGCCAAATTTGAAAATATTTTAGATATTTCTTAAAAGGAAAGTGCCCGATCTGCCCCGCTCTGATTGACTTCAAACTTTTTATATAGAAAGATAATGTAAATATAGGTTCTACTGCAAAGTACTAAAATCGCGTTTCCCAAGAAATCTCGAGAAAATCGATTAAAAAATTAAGTTTCGATTCTGTTGGCATTGCGTTTCAAGCTTATAAATTCGTCATTTTTTAAAATTTATTCATTTTTTAGATATATTAGAAGAAAAGGCTACCCTGTTTTATGGGCGGAATGAATTATGGGCGGACGGGATTATGGGCGGATTGAACTATGGGCGGAAGAGCGGAATGGATAAAGGGCGGTTAGTTCGGCGGAGGCTTTGGGAAGTTCGGCGGAGGGTCGGCGAAGGTTTTAGGAAGTTCGGCGGAGGCTTTGGGAAGTTCGGCGGAGGCTTTGGGAAGTTCGGCGGAGGGTCGGCGAAGGTTTTAGGAAGTTCGGCGGACGCTTTGCGAAGTTCGGCGGAGGGCCGGCGAAGGTTTTAAAAAGTTCGGCGGAGGCTTTAGGAAGTTCGGCGGAGGCTTTGGGAAGTTCGGCGGAGACTTTAGGGGATTCGGCGGAGGTTTATATTAATTCGGAGTCTTTAGAATATCTAACCGGCCCTACCCATAACCTTTTTAGCCCTACCCCACCTTACCCCTGAACTTTTTAGCTCTGCCCAACTATACTATACCCATCCTTTATAATATACCGTACGATGTCATGTGTTACCTACTATACCATAACCATCTTACTAAACATACCATACCAAACTATACCACACTCTACCACATTGTACGTAATATACTATACCCTACCATAACCATAGAATCCTCTAAAGTCTCCGCCGACCCTCCGCCCAGCTTCCCAAAGCCTCCGCCAAATCCCCTAAAGTCTTCGCCGAATCTCTTAAAGTCTTCGCCGACCCTCTGCCGAATCTCCTAAAGGTATCTTACCTGATACTATGGTAAACGTAGTACCAAAATTGATTTTATTATAGCCACCCATAATCCGTTCCGCCCTTAATAAGCCGCCCAAGATCACTTCCGCCCATAATTCTTTCCGCCCATAATCCGGTGCTCCGGAAGAAAAGCTTTAAATGGACCTAAATTTTTTAATTTGTAGGCGTAGCTTGTCTCTAAAGTCCGAAAAAGGCCTTGAAACAGAATGCCAACTTTGTTAAATTGGCGGGAAACACAAATATTTCAAATTTAAAACTCTGAAACGTTCAAGGTCTTCGTCCCCATGTTAAAGGTCTAGGTCCTCAGGATAAAGATCTGGGTTTTCAAGTTAAAGGTCTAGGTTCTCAATGGCTTTATTTGTTGAAAATGACATTGTGCGTATATAATTTCGTTTTAATATTATAATAAGCGAACAATTTTAGGATACTTCCGTAATAATTGGCAAGTTCAAAAGATGGAGTCAAGCAACAAAGGTAAAGATGCAGGCAATTTGTTGGAAAAGGTCAAAGTAAGGAAGTCAGAGAAGAAAGAAATACTGGATGGACTAGGAAATTTATATACAACGATCGAGGAACTAAGGCGCCAAGTAAGTGTTTGCAGTCAAAATACTAGGATCAAAATTTTGCTACAATGTTAGATTTTCTCGGTGTCAAAAGTCTATATTTTTAATTGTAAAGTGTGTTAATTTAAACATAAATAGGGTTAAATAAGCTTCAAACTAAACACTTTAGTAACTTGTATTAGTACTTGTCATAAAAAGGAAAGTGACCCACCTTCCCTGCTCAAAAACTGCTGAACTTTTGTATATGAATTATTTGTGCCACTAACCGTATTCTTAAAAAAATTTAGATTTTGAGTTTTAAAATTTAAATATTTGATTTTCCTACCAATTTGGCGATGTGTTGCCCGCTTTTTTTTGATGTTCTGGATAAGATAATATCTCATATTATGTTTACAACTCAAAAAGTTTATTTTAATTTTAAGGTTGTCTTTCATTATGTCCAAAAAAGATTAGTAAAGGTTCAAAGACTGTTATAAGCTTGAAACACTATGGCCAATTTGGTGGGAAATTCAAAACGTCATTTTTCGATCTTGCTTTTCTTGATTTTGGATGGAAAGCGCGATTTAGTACCTTGCTGAAGATATTATGTTCACATGATTTTCAATTAAAAAATCAGTCAATCAGAGCGGGACAGTTGAGGTACTTTTCTTGTAAGCTATGCTCTAGTTTAGCCATGTACCATTCGTCGGGTTGTAAGAACCAAATCGGGAGAGGTTCACCTGTACGTCAAAAACGAAAAAACTTGAAAATAGGTCTACAGGAGAAATTTTGCGACCTCTTCCCCCCTCCCCCCTCAGGGAAAAACATAATAATTTAAATTTTTTGCTTTAACTTAACGCGTTGAAGATTGAAAACAATATTTATCTGACGTAGTATTGTAATGGGTACTTGCTACATGCACTCTGATTTGTAATTCGTTAATTTTTTAAGTTAGGATAAGTAATTTTAACAGTACACGTTCTTTAACAGAACTCCCACCTCGTATTTTATTTATAATCTTTGACAAATTCTAAAATAATGAATTTATAGATCAGAAAAGGAATCTATATTCGTATTTGCGTAATGTGTGTATTAGCCCTCATCCTCAGTTTTGCTTGGTTGTACATGATTTTGAATTTGTAAAAGAGCATTCACACAACGTGAAACGTACGAATTGGTAATTTAAATGTTGTGATGTTGGTTGTTTATCTGGAAATAAAAACTATTGGAGCGATTGTACTTTATACTCCCTGTGATATATCTCATTTTTAGGTTTGATACCTCAAATTTACCGTTTTAAAAAAATAGCCATGCTTTTTTCCAATAATAGGAAGACGAAAATTTTTTAAAACTAGGTTCGCTCAAGAATCGAACATGGCTCAGACGGGGGTGTTCAAAAATTTCAAACTATTTTAAAACAATTCATTTTTAACAAGAAATTTAGACATAGAAATGCAAAAATGTAAAAAATTTTTAAAATTCAGGTTGCGGTAGGATTACGGTAGGATTTAAACTTTTTTTGTAACTTTTGTACTAAATGTGAGAATTGAATGGGACTTTTTTCAAATTGCTTGTTACTAATAGACATTCATTTTATCTGTTGACAACTTTTTTTATTATGCCCGGAAGGCGTTGAAAAAAATAAAAATTTGCGAAAAAATCATCAAAATTTTACGAAGTTTAAAATTACTCAAAAAACTTCACATGTGATAAACTTTTGACAATAGTTGGTATAACAACATGCTATTGCGGTTGTAATGACACTAATTGTGGGTCATCTTAGCGGGGCCTGCGGTAGCCACGAATTTTCAAAGTTGGCACCCAGTTGAGCCAATTAAATCCGAGTAAATAATATATTATACAATATTTATTATTCGGCCAAAGATAACAACGTTAATCTCAATCGGATAGCGGATAAATTGACCGACTGGTCGGGAGACGTGCGATCCAATTGACTGAATGCCACGCGTGCGTTCGGTTTGAGGAGGGGAGTGAGCGGTAATTTGCATAATTGTTCGGTTTATCACGTGTCCCGAGCGTCGTCCAACTACCCTGAGGTCATTTGGCATAGGATTTGTATGTAGTTTGGTTCAAAATGGTTAAAAAATATGCTTGGCACATATGGAGAGTTTTATAAGTGTTTACAAACAATTTTCTTTATGCTGCCTTATCCTTCTTTTATCTGAAGCCGAAACGAGTTGTGAAAAAGAACAACGTAATCAACGCAATATCGAAATATTGTTTTTGGTTCTATTCCTATTATTGTTATTACTCTGGTTTTCGCATGATCCACTAATGCGATTGGCAGAAAAGTACGATGCTTACCGTGTCGAACGGCGTAGAAACAAACAAGATCAAGTCGCGGCCCAACAAGGGAACACGTGGAGGAAGGTTACAGCGTTTAAACAGATTCCAGCTGTAGAAGAAGGTTTGAAGATGGGTAGTATCAAGTCTGCAGGACCCAAATCGACGCCTATGAGCAAGGAGTAGATACTTAATATTATTTTTGTTTCATAGCATTATATAGTAGTTGTTTTTCCTTTTTTAATACCTTGTGCCTTGCCTCACATCGTTTTATCACTGTCTGTATATCAACTTGAACAAAGTTATTGTGGATCACAAAAAATTAAATAAAGCATTAAAAAACTTAAAAATAGGTAACATAAATAAAAAAGACAGGTTTATTTTCCGAGGCACATATGCCATTCTTTTTGCGATGATCATTTCTGAAAAAAGCTTTTCTTTTTCGGCAGAACGCAGTAAACGCTGCGTTTACGTTGTTTCAGAAAAGCTATATGAATATTAAAGTAGATTGACTGATGGATTGGATAATTATTAAAGTTATTATACTTATTGTTACCTAAATTATCGATTTAAACAACTTATATATTAGTTTGAAGGTAAAATGCAGCACTTCTTGTACATATTGATTATGGCACCTTTGCTAGTATCATCTCAAAGTGTTGGTCGTTTTTTAATTGATCGAGGTGGTGGAGCACTTCGAGCTGCTACTCCACGTTTCTTAGGAGGGTAGGTTGTCTTTCAATTTATTTTTTTTAAATTTCAATTAATTTTTTTTAAAATTTAAACGTTTTTTAATTTGTTAAAGTTCATCTTATTTATTTCAGTGGATACAGCAGTCGACCGTTGGGTGGTAGTGCCAAACCCTACTTGTTTATGACATCTTTCAAAACTCAGGAAGCATTGTAAGTTACAACTACTATCTTATATGATATGATACGTTTGAATTAAGAAAACCTTTCGTAGGCGCTACTACCTTCACTCAACTTCAAACTGAATTAACTATTATAATACTAATTTAGGAACATATGTGTGAAGGAGAAGATTGTTGAAGAAAGAAATGTAACTCTAATGTTGGACAAAGCCAGAAACCTGACAGAATCAGAAGCTGAAACTAGTTGTACAGAAGAACAAAATAGGGCACGTACCGTGGAAATAGTTGCATGCATTCTTATCTTTTTTCTCATTGTGCATGGCATAACAGCAATTGTTATATTCGTTATAAGTTTTGTTCGACTTATGCGATTGTACAAAGCAGAAAGAGAAAGTAAGAGGGAAGAAGACATACGACTTGATGATTTTAAAGGGACAAAAAGGTTGCCATATAAAAAAGAAGAGACAAAGGAAGAAAAGATAAGCCTGAAGAAGTTAGTGTGTAATCTGAAAGATTGTTAAAAGCAAATCAGGGGAATAAATACGACTAAACATGGGCATCCATATTCAGATCAGAAATGGATAGTTTCATTTTGAAAAAGTGTAGTTTGTAATTGATTTGTCCACTTTATCAGTAACTGTACCTCAAGTTATTCACGTTTTTAACTTTGAACAATAACTCATGATGATAATAAATTTCGTAAAAGTTTTGTCATTTTATCAAGGGTAAAGTCGTCACAGATGACGTTCTTTTTTACTCCGTCACTCATTGGAAAGGCTTTTTTTGGATAAAAGAGTGACGTTTTATTCTTTTCTGACCTGACCTTTTTTATGATATTACTTTGCCATCCTCACTCATATGATACATTTGCTACACCGAAAAGCAGTAATAAGATTTTTATTAATAAGTTCATGAAATTATTTGGTTTCGAAATTGGCTTTAGTACGTATGAGTTTTTAATTGTTGAACATTGAAGTATTAATGTAAGTTTATCATGTTTATCAAGGCACGAAATGATAAAAAAATATAATATTATTATACAAAAGCATATTGGTTGTTACCTTGGATGTAAAAATTGTTGTAGTTGCCGTATGGATTATAATTACTGCCAGGAGGACTGTAGTTATATCCTTGATTACAGTAACTGCAGTAGGAGTTGTATGGGTTACTGTACGGGTTATGCGGACTTTTACTGTAGTAGAGATTACTGTAGGGGTTCTTGTTGTTATATGGATTACTGTACGGATTTTGGCAGTAAGGACTACTGTAAGGGTTACCGTTAGGATTACTGTATGGATTTTGATTATACGGTTGACTGTAAGGGTTGTATTGTTGACCTTTTAGACCGTAATATGAATTGTAGTTCTGTCCATTTTGATTATATTGCCCGTTATTGTAGCCGTTGTTGTAGTAAGGGCTGTTTGGTGGAATAGGTGTAATATTTTGTTGGTCGGGTACTGTAATTGTACAATATTATAGCCTTTTAATGTAAAATACAGAGTAATTGACATTGGTAAATTTTGACATTTTTTGTTACCAGTATACGCTCGGAAAGTAAGATTTATTTCTTATATATAATGAATGTATAAACCTACATTTTGTTCTACTGAACCCGATTCTGCGTTGTTGAATGTCATGTACCTGACAGTACGATCTTATCCATGGTTCTCCTAGAAACACGTATTTGCTTTTGGACGAACAACTGACTGCCAATCTACACATATCACTGCCTTCGGCCTTCGTATCTTCAGCGTTTAACGGAATCAGAAGGTCTTTTGTGTTGATTGGGAATTCTAGTTGATCTATGGCTACATCAAAATAAGTTGTGGTATTACAAGGTAATATGTAGGTGTTCTAAAATTTGATTGCTTTTATTTTGAAAATAAATGCTTGAAATATGAACATTTTTATAAGGTATAATATATAAAAACGTCTTATTTTATAATAATACACTGTAACTTACCTCCCGAATCTTTTTAGGCTTCAAATCCCTAATAACATTGTTACACAATGCCGTCGGTAGTACAATTTTGGTAGTACCACTATCACTGACCACAGCCGTGTTAAACACATGCACGTTGTTGTTGATCTTAAGCCCATTCGCTCTGAACGCCCATCCAGGGTTACGGCAATCAACAGAAGTCCAATGAATGGAATTGTCACAATTCTGTCGATCACATCACCAAATGTTATCTTACCACTCTTGCGACACTTGCTAATGCTGCATCGGTTCATGTGGATTGTGAAGATAGGATTGTTGAAGAGACCCTCGTAGTAGGCCTGATGGAAGATGGACTTGTGGACATTGCCATATTGGTTGTAGTAGTCATGGGAGGGCAGGCCGAAAATGGCATAATCACTGTGCTCAATTTTTGTAGCTAGGCCAAAGTGAACTTTGGAACGAACTTTCAGATGTTTTGTGTCTGGGGCACCAAACTGGAAGTAGAAGTAGTATTTTAGGTAACAAGAACTTCTTCATTATAACGTTGACAAAAAATTACAGTACACTCACCGCCAATAAGTCCCCAAAAACCCATCCTTTGGCCTTCCCAGCACCATACTTCTCTTCGAATGTGTATGTTGTGTTAGAAGCAGTGGTCGATTTTCGGAAACTGAACAGGTTTGACCCGGTTTTGCAATTATTTACTAGTACTCCGGTTGATTTACATTTGACTGACGGTACCCATAGTATAGTACTACCAGTATCAAATATGACTCTGATGTTTTGAGGTGGAGTACCTAACGAGATTTGACCCATATAAACAGCATTTCTATGGTTGGTGAGGTTGGCATTGTACATGTCATAGTTGAGGAGCTGTAATACCTCTTTTAATGGTAATTACGTTCCATATATTATACATTAATAGTAAAAATGGACAATATCCCCCCTATAAATGCAGAGAGATGGCGTGTTGTGAGCAAAAAGTGAAGCATTCTATTTTATTGTTAAAAAATTGCTCAAAATCGAGCGGTCGCAATTTGAAAATGAAAATTCGAAAAATTTTCAAAATGAAAATAAAATGCGACCGGTCAGTTGCATTGAAATGTTTGGCGTTGGTTTTAGGATATGTTGAGGAAGATAAGATGGCAAAGGGACATGTATGTATGTTTTTTGATATTGTTTTGAGTATGATACTGAATGGTGTGTAAGATAGATCTTTTGAAAAGTTTTCATTTTAAAATATTTTTTAATAGGCGTGGGGAAAATATGGGTGTGGTAAATTGAGTAAAGGTAAGGCGTATCATACTCAAAATAGTGTCAGGATTCATGCTGCGTTCCAATAGCAAATTGTGATTAGCAACAGGTTTTAGAATTTGAATTTGAAAACGTGCGAGGGCCGCAGGCCCGAGCATATTAGTTTGAATAATATAAAACACATGAAATTTCAATGTCAACGCGCGAGGGCCGCAGGCCCGAGCTCATGATATGGTATCTTCAAATAAAAATTAATTTTAATGATTTGTGACAATATAAAAATCAAAAGGGGCGTGCGAGGGCCGCAGGCCCGAGCCTATGATTTTGCATATTATAAATTGTATTGAAATTGGTATAATAAAAATGAAATAACATGAGATTGCAATGTCCAGATCATAGGAGGCCCGTAGGGCCTCCGTTGATCTGGTCCCCCCCCTATAAATGCAGAGCCGTGGTATGTTGTGAGCAAAAAGTGAAGCATTCTATTTTATTATTAAAAAATTGCTCAAAATCGAGCGGTCGGAATTTGAAAATGAGAATTCGAAAAAATTTTGAAATGAAAATAAAAAGCGACCGGTCAGTTGCAATGAATTGTTTGGTGAAGAGCGGTCGGGTTTCAATATTTTTGGACAACGAATGATTTTGGATATGGCATGGGCGTGGCATGGGTATGGCAAGGGTATGGCATGGGTATGGCATGAAATGGGTATGGATACGGATATGGTAAGGGTTTGGCGTGGGTATGGCATGGCTATGGGTGTGGCATAGGTATGGCATGTGTTTGGGTGTGGCATGGGTATGGCATGAAATGGGTATGGGTACGGGTATGGTAAGAGTTTGGCATGGATATGGCATGGGTATGGGTATGGCATGGGTACGGGTATGGGTATGGCATGGGTGGGCATTGGTATGGCATGGGTATGACATGGGAATGGCATGGGTATGGCATGAAATGGGTATGGATACGGATATGCCATGGGTGTGGCATGGGTATGGCATGGCTATGGGTATGCCATGGGCGTGGCATGGCTATGGGTTTGGGTATAGAATGGGTATGGGCACGGGTATAGTATGGGCATGGCATTGGTATAGCCTCGGCGTGGCATGGGTATGGCAAGGGTATGGCAAGGGTTTGGGTACAGCATGGGTTTGGGTATGGCATGGGTATGACATGGGTATGGCATGGATATGACATGGCTAAGGGTTTGGGTATAGAATGGATATGGCATGGGTATAGCCTCGGCGTGGCATGGGTATGGCATAGCTATGGGTATGGCAAGGGTTTGGGTATAGAATGGGTATAGGCACGGGTATAGTATGGGCATGGCGTGGGTAACGGTATGGATATGGTGTGGGCATGGCATGGGTATGGCATGGGCATGGCATGGGTATAACATGGGTATGGGTACGGGTAGGTACGGGTGTGGGTTTTTAGAACGCGAGGGCCAAAGGCCCGAGCAATTTATTACTGTCATGTAAAATGATTAAAAATATTTGAATAAAAGCCAATTCTATGATTAAAACTCCGGTTGCGAGGGCCGCAGGCCCGAGCCTAATTTTTGAAATATAATAAACTGTATTAAAATTAGCATATTAAAATAAAATAAAATGAATTTGCAGTGACCAGATCATAGGACGCCCGAAGGGCGTCCGTTGATTTGGTTCAGAAATAAACATAAAGTAAAAAAATACCTTAACTCGAACGTCTGTTCAAACGAAAGATTCTGTTTGAAAAAGGGATTCCGACAGCGTCGAACAAGATGAAATATGTGAACGAGTGTATCCTGAAGCCTTTCGAACAAATATTCCAAGCTCTGGTCAGAGGATTCGGCATGATATCAGACACAAATGCATTGGAACATCTGAGGTTGGCACTTCAGAATGACCAACCAGTTGTGAACGATGTTACACCAAAGGAACCAACTCTTTTCGCTGAGCCAGAGACAGTTGGAATAGTGGTGAATGAAGAGATTGCCATAGAGAAGGACAGGTTGAGTGAAGAGCTACAGAATACAAAGGAGAAGTTGACCAAGGCTATGAATGACAAGTCTGAATGGGAGGCGACGGTTCATGCGATGGAACAAGAACTTGATGTCATTAGGAGATTAAGGTAATTTTTGGTTTTGGTTAAATAAAGTTTTTTGATATATATGTAATCGTACTTAAGGCAAAAATTATAATTGTACTATACAGAGATGCTAGTAACGGGTAAGATGTTGAAGCAAGATTACTCCAGACTGAACGAGCCCTGTGCCAAATGTGAATCCCTGAACGAAGCCTTATTGGCTACACAGTTAACCTTCGAAGAGCAGATGCGGGAACGTATGATAGATTGGCAGATCAGAGTCGAGAGTTGGAGAAGCAAAGAGAGGAGATCCACAAGCTCAAGTTCAGCGGATCGACCAGTCCAATATCATCGACCGGAGAGACACCGCCGAGAGAAAACTCCTTCAAACGAGTAAGTGTACTGCAACATATGTAGATAGTAAAATGAACTCGTTTCTTGAGAAGGTAATTAGTGTACTGATGATAGTGATATTTCTTAAAAAAGGATGATCTAATAAATAGTGAAACATTACTATTTTCAGAACATACGACGAATGGTGGGCAAGTGATTGTACTATACTATTACACTTTCATTTTTCGTATTCCTATAATATTGGGTGGACATCGGGTGACAAAACAGAGTATAATTCTATTATATCGTGATTCTACATATTATTTATTACTGTATACTGTTCTTATCACTTTTGATTTTTTCATTTTAATAAATATATATTTTGTAACAAAATAGTTATATATTAGGTTGTCCGGAAAGTTCTGCAATATTTATTCACTTTTGAACTAACAATAATAACAATATAATTAACAACTACAATCAATCAAAGTAATTACCGTCTGAATCAATACAGTCTTGCCAACGATTTACATCGTCTCTTGGCTTTTTGCAGATCAGTCAAATTGTGAGGCACCCATTTGTCCAACTTTTTGACCATACCCATTGCCTTCAAATGATCACCAATGGTACTTTTTCCACAGTTTAGTAACTCTTCTAACTCCCGGATTGTAATATGTGGGTCATCTTCAATCTTGCGCCTCAGGGCATCTTTGTCAAGTTTGCTGGGTCTTCCTGCACGTGGTTTGTCTTCAAGCTTCTCATCGTCCACACGAAACTTTGCGAACCATCTGGTCACCGTAGAATAACTCACAACATTCTTACCCTCATTTTCGTTTATGATTCTGAAGGTTTCTACCGCAGTATTTCCGCGTTTGAATTCATTCCATATAATCACGCGCAGGCGAGATTTCTCCATTTTTTTCTAATACCTAAAACAATACAAAAAAATGAAATTAAGTTATGTAACTTACCTTTTTGAATAATTTAGGTAACAAACAAACAAACAAAAAAAGAATTTTTTCTTTCCGTCAAGAAATAAATTTTTCCTGATTTTTCAAAGTTTACCTACTCAAATATTGCAGAACTTTCTGGACAACCTAATAATTATATACCCAATAAATAATAGAAGAGCAAAAATTAACTGTCCGACAAAATTTAGTAAAAATTTAAACTTCTAACTGCGCGGACTTTGTTTTCGTGGCGGGACCTAGTTACATCAAAAGTGAATAATTATTTTTGTATCTCCGCGCCTTTGAGGTACACCTTGAGATCTTCTAATAACAGAGATCAAGGTTCCGATATTTATTTAGACAACTTCCTTTTTTATTCGTTTTTCTTGATTTTTCAAAGTTTATTCAGAATCCGTAACGTTTTCTTCGAATGCCGCGTTCGTATCTCCTTGTCTGTTGTGTAACTCCTTCTTCCATTCATCGTATCTTTCCTTGTTTTCCTCGTTGATCTTCTTCTGTCTGTCTTGATGCATAACTCTGTGAAGTGCGGCCATTCTAAATATTTAAGGTTAAATAAAACTAGGTATGTTACCTAAATATTGCTGTAAATCAGTTTAAACGCGTTGTTTTGTCTTTTTACTATTGTGTTTGCAAATATTTTAGTGTTTTTCAAGTTATATTTTAGGTAACAAATGTTTTTTCTTACTTAACCAGCGTTTTTGGTAACGCCTTTTCGACTCTGGTGTAGTCAACATCGTCCATCGTGTCCAGTAACGCTTTTCCCTTTGTTTCAGGCATCAAAATACCACCAAGTACCAATGTTATCAGTATCAACAACAATGGCAGCAAGAAGGCGCCTCCTGGGAAGGCCGAATCCAGAATCGGAGGGATTACTACTAGACCAATGATGGTACCGATATGTCTGGAAGGGATGATTTTAGACAAAATATGTGGTTTTAAATAGAAATATTTAGAATTATAGTCAAAAGTTGTCACTAGTTAGGTAATTTTAAACCTACTTTGCACAAAATACGGATCCAAAAGCACAACAACGGATTACTGTTGGATAACGTTGGGTTGTCACTTGGATAATATTCATCCACAAAACACTGTCGTTGATCATGGCTCCAAGAGTTACGAATACTGTAACGACCACACTATTGTACGGTACTCCACAGATGACCAGGATCATACCAATCATAAAATTGATACCCATCAACGCTAAAACATGGTAACAGTACTTATAATTGACATTTTACAACCGTTAAGGCTTGTATATTATACTTACACAAGGCCAGTAGGAACTGGATTCTTCTGGTGAAGCTTTCGAATTTGATGTCAGCAAAGATGACCAGTATCGGAATAATCAGACGGACACAGCCATCTAACAGCACGATCAGGATGGAGCTTCCATTGAACTCTCTGATCACTCGCATGTAACAGACACTAACCACAGCACATGTTATCATGCTCACGATCTGAAGGAGAGATTGCTTTGCGAAGCGACGGTTACTGAAGAGATCGTAGAAGGAGTAAAACTTCTTGGAGGTATCTGTTGGGATCTTCTCGAGGTTTCTTGGGGTGAATTTAACTTGTGTGCCGTTCCACCGATGATCTGTCAAATCGTTTAGTACCTGAATTTAGTGATTTAAGGTAGAGGATAAGATACTAGTTATTATTACAACCTCCGTTTCTTGTATCGTTTAGTCATCTACTAGAACATACTCTGTGTTTTAAACTTACATCACAAGCTGAAGCGGTTTCTCCTTTGATCAACAGCCATCTAGGACTCTCGTGCCACAACATGAAGGCCATACACGTTGGAAGGTTCACCAGGTTCAAGAAGATGAAGAACATTTGCCAATCTTTGGTCATGAAGGCGATAAAGGCTACTACAACATTGGCCAAGTTGGTTTGGAAGCAAGCGTTTGGTATCATCCTGAACTGGTCATTCGTGATCTCCATCAACAACGTCAGCTTAAATTGGATTCAGTCAACATTATTTACAAAAAAGGCATTTTGAGTTGACTTTATGAGGATGTTATTATAGGTTGGCTGAACTTCCTTACCGATTCGACTTCCACCAGTCCGTAGAAGATTCCGTTGAAGAACTGTGCGGCCGCAAAACCTTGCCAACCTGTAGATGCCACTATCAAACAACTGGTGATACACATGGCTAGCTGACATACGTAGAACATGAACTGTCTCCCGAATGCATCTCCCAGATGACCTCCTAAAACAGCTCCTATCATCTAACACTTACTATCACCACCCTTACATACCAAAGAGAAGGACTGGATGATGTTGATGATCTGAGGTTTGTTGGCATCATCACAGATCAGGTGGAACGAAGCCACGATGGAGTTGAATTCAGAAGAGTCTTTGACCGCCTTCAGCTGGGGACATAGTCGTACCTCTTCACAGTGATTTTTGGTCGGTTGAGGTATATGGGTGGTGTAGTTACCATGGTCACATATCCAGTTGGGCTCGGTTGATCCGACGATGTTGACAAAGGAAAGGTTACCTGTCCATTCGATTTGAGCGAAGAGGATACAGAAGCAGGCGAACAGTTGATACCTACCTAAAGGATCAACTTGTTCTATCACATCCTCGAAGCGTTTGTACTGCTCGGGCTCTTTCTTTATACGACGATTGGTGAAGAAACTTAAATGTATGTTATTATTCAGTGAATCACGCTTATGAACTAAAAGCTTAGCTTTTAGTATAACGTAAGTCGTACTGAAAATACCACTATCGTACAGCTTACCCGCTATCTAGTTCTGGACCGTTATTCTCTCTTCTGTGATGCAAACTGCTACCACTCATCCCTAATAATACATTTAACAGTTTTTATTAACAGAATTCTACCTAATTGAGGCGATTTTATTGCCGTCGTAAACCTATAAAACTGCATATCACATTAACAAGTAGGCCTACTTCAATAAAGGATAGTCACTCATTACAAGAACACCTATGAACTATTACTGCTGATGCCTTACCTGCTCGTTCGCCGTCGTACAACCTTGTCAGCGGCCATTAAAGGTTACTTTACTTTAGTTTATAGTTAAATTAACATACTCATTACGCTATATTAGGTGTCAAATGTTTGCTTTCGCCTTTTTCCGCTCTTATCACAACATATTAAATGACGCTGATAACAGCTACATTACCGACTTCTGTAATCAGGTTTTATTGACTAGAGATAACAATTACATTACAGAGAAACAGTTTTGAGATTGGGAGCAGTAATTAAGAGTTATACGTTGATATCATCTACGATCTACAGGAGGTCGTGTAGCGAGAATACTGAGGTACTTTGTAGTATACCATGGTATCAGTCAGCATTGATAGTCAAGTGACTTCATTTGTTCGTGCCAGTATATCTTTTATTCAATACCACGATCACCTCCCAAAGTACCTCAAAATACCACCACAACCTCCCACATACCATACAATAATTATCGTTGTGTGGAGAATGTAATTTACAGTTATACAACCAAAAGCTTACATAAATTAAGTAATAGTCACCCTATAAACTGGACAAAACATATGAATATCTTGAAGGTGCGGCCCTCAAAGCAGGAGAATACCTAGTTATGTAGTGCACGGTAACTACGGATACGATAAGAGCCTAAGGAACGGTCGTAGTTGAACCCCTCATTGGGTGTTCTGGAACTCGGGGTTCACGTACGAAAAACCGCGGAACTCGTCCTGCGCAATCGACCGGATCACGCTGGGGTCGGTGGGCGTGAGCACGGGCTCTTCCTTCGTGAAGTCCGCGTCGAAGTTGTTCACGTCGCGGCGGTTCTTCTGAAAAGCCAATGTTATAAAGTAGTAAAAAATATTTTTTGTTAAGAAATGAATAGGTAACATTAAAAAATGGTAAAGCAACATACGATCCTGGGTTTGAACGGCGGCCGTACTCGTCGGTCTTCGAGGGCATCCCAGTCGATTTCTCTGAAGAAGGGATGCGCTCTAATGGCATCTTCGCTTCCCTGTGATTGCACACAACCCAATCGTCGTAGTGGATTCTTCGTCATGAACTGAAAACATTATCTTTGTATTATGAGATGATAACATTGAGAATATCATCCGTAATAGGCATTAATACAAGAAAGTCCATTTATAATAGCACAGTTGTCAACAGTGTTTGAAGATGAAAATACTATTGACTATACTATCGAATACACTATTGGCTATATCATCGGCTAGTTATAAGAGGTAGCTTACAGCTTTTAGAATGTTCACGGCCTCACGGCTCAACCATACTGGATACAGAACGTCATCGTGCAAGATGGCTTCAAACAGGTCGTCTTCGTTGTCGGCTTCGAATGGTGGTTGACCAGCCATCATTTCGTACATCAACACTCCCAACGCCCACCAATCTACTGACACTCCGTACTCCATTTCTTGTAGAATCTGAAGAAGATATAAAGTAACGTGAAGTCAAGGCAACATATAACGATTTACAATTGAAAATTTGTTATATAATAAATATTAAAAAGTAAAAATGTTCTTGACATGATTTCTTACCTCTGGAGCGATGTAATCTGGTGTTCCACAGAAGGTAGACGTCAGGTTGTCTTTCGTGATGCCTTCTTTGCACATTCCGAAGTCTGCCAATCGACAGTGACCGTCAGCGTCCAGTAGAATGTTATCTAGTTTCAAGTCACGGTAAATGACGTTATATCTATGTAGAAACTGAAGCGCGCACGTTACTTCAGCCGCGTAAAATCGTGCTCGAGGCTCCTCGAACTTGCGAGCACGTTGAATTTGGAACATTAGGTCACCACCGTTCACGTACTCCATCACGAAGAATAGCCGGTCCTGAATAATATCGTTATAGAAATGTTAAGATCAAATACAACTGTCTATCTTGTTATTATACGAGATTAATACAATGGTTTTTCAACTACTTACAGCTGTCTGAAAAGAGCAGAACAAGGCCGTCAAGAAGGGGTGCTTCGCCGACAATGCCAGAATCCTCTTCTCACACATCGTGCACTCTACATCGTCGTCCTGCAGAATTACATCCTTCTTCAGCACCTTGACAGCGTACACGTCATCTGTATTCTTCTTCTCTGCCAGAATCACCTTGCCAAAAGACCCCTTCCCAAGTACCTTGATGAAGGTGAAGTCGCTGATCCCCAACTTTTCTCCCGAGCTCACCGTTGTCGCCAAACTCACTGGATTCTCTTCGATGGGATTCAAATTCGTGCACGATGTAGACTGATTTTCGATTCCGCCAACTCCAGAATCCGAGGTTTCTGAAGTCGACACCGACATTACTTTCTTCTTTTGTCGCAGCGACATTTTGTCGCCGGTCAGGCCGAGTTGTGCCAATTCTGCTGCCATTTGTCGCGCATTGATACCGCAGTTGTTGGCGACGTTCCGCTGACACCTTTTGTGGACATTCAGCTCACAGACCTGGCACTGTAACCCTTGCCGAATCAGACCGTAGAGCATGGAGCCACAGTGATCGCAGAAGGTCGGTCGTTTGTAGCTGTGCACGCTGAAGCGATGAGGCATGTTGATATTGAAGCGACCGACCAGGTCGTTGCCTTCATTCTGTAGCTCGTCGATGGCATCTGTCCGACTGCCAGGACATTTCCACACCACTTCTTGATGACATCTTTTGTGGACGACTACCGTGCAAACTACAATAATGTCATGTAATGCCATATATAGTTTAGTATTATCTTGTTCTTAACTGTTTTAATGATAAAACGTTACATTGACATCTTGAAAGAACTATAAATTAATGTAATAATGTAACTTTGTCATTCTTGTGTGTGCAGTGTAAAAGTGTGCCTTTAAAGTATACTCTATGTTAATGAATGTAAATTTACTTTGGCATTGATATCCTTGCTTTCCGATGCCCCAGATGAAGTCTTTGCAATGTGCACAGAACGTCGGCTGTCGTAAGAACAGCGCCATGAATTTATGACCCGTCACCTGAAAGCAGATTCAGATGGCCTATCCCTCGCTTATCAACCATGTTACTATCCTTTATATACGTGGTGTTTGCTCCTCTCGCCTCAATTATTTCGTTTTTACTTTCGAATTACTTGTTTTCAGTGGATGTTCAGGTAAACATCGATCCTCAAAAAGATGTTTTTTTCTGTTTTTCTTGATTTTTCAAAGTTTAAGGGCGTTTAAGAGGTTATATGTTGAGCTAAGTACTATAATATTTTTTTAAAAATTAAACTAGAAAATAAGTTTTGGTCAAAAAGTAAATAGAACAACAAAAATGACATTGCTTCATGTTTAAATTAAAACTCTATAAACTTTTTGACCAATACCGTTTAACACAAAAGAATACATAAACCAAAGATATTGTAGTACAAGACCTTTTACGTATTCTGTTGTTTAAAACGCCTTCATGGCAACGGTAAAACAGACTTCAGACGTCTTACTTACCTCGTGGATTTTGCGACGCATAGCACCGCGTCGTTGGCGGTCGTTGAAGGCATTGGAGCGCTCCTTGAATACTCGCTGTGTCTTACCCGCATTTTGTGGACACTCTGAAGAAATTATTTTACTGCAATGTTAAGTTTAATTTGATTTATGTGTTGTTTAAGTTTGTCTAAAGCCTAACAAGCTACATTATGTTACTAACATTTCGACTAAACCATTTTTAATACTATCATGACTACACGTAAGAGGGTTCTGTCCAAAAATGTGGTTTGTTTGCCAACTTAGTCATTACTAGCAACATCTTGCGTAACAATCACCGCTCCCTCCTTATCTCAAGTATTTTAATCGACTGATGCCTATGACAAAATTGGTTCGTTCTCAAAACTTTTTTCCATTTTAGACTTTTGTTTCCGGTATATAAGTCTTTAGAATGTGTTACTTATAATGTCTTTGTACCATTTTACAATTTAAGGCTTTTTAATTACTTTCACCCCATATATACACCTTCCTTTCCCAAGTAAACACCTTCCTGGACATAGTAAACAAGATATATAGTACTAATTGTTCTATAATGTTATTAAATTGATTCGACCCGGTAACCATGACAACTCCTCTTCATGATCGCGGCCTTCAGAAGCCTCGCGCTCCCTTTATCCGCTCGTGCCCTGTGGCGTTGTTGTCATGTTATGATTGTTCAGATCTTTTTTTCTGGGCAGCCAACCGCGAACCATTGGCCATGCCCGACCCGAGGACTGCATGAATGCCACTGCACGCGTTTCGGCCGCATTTCATGGCCAGGTACAAGCTTTTGTTGGTGGTCACATTGCTCGGCATCTGCTCCTTAATATACCTAGGACAACAAGATAGAGTGGACCCGAGGTATCGCGCACTGTTCGAAACATACGACGATAGGGTGAGTCATTGTTTGTCAGAGTACTTTGTTTTTAGCTCAATTATGGCGTGAAAAGTGGGGAAAGAGCTCTTTTTTGAAGCAAAACGTCCCTTTATGACAAATTTTGAAACACCCTTTCAAAAGTTGGCAAAACGTTACCACACAAAGCTAACCCGAGTTTTATATAGTAAATAAAAAGATATTACTATAATATTATCATACAATACCTTACAGAACACCCAATGTACGATAGCTAACCCCGACCCCTGGGACGAGACTGTCCTACCGTATATCGAATACCCAGGGCCTTTACAGTGCCAACAAGTACAACCTCCACTAACCTATCTCCACTCCAGAATCTTGCATTTAAATAAGACCGCGCTTCAAGAAGCCGGCTACTCAGAAGACGCCATCAGATGTCAGTTCAGGTGTTTCAGATGGAAATCTGACTATGAAACCCAGTACGATGACTGGAATGATCTCAACGTATGTTGTTATAGTTTACTATAGGTTTCTACTGCATAATAATGTTATTCAGCCTTGGTACTAGCCTAACATAATATATAAATGGTACAAGTACTAACCTGACATAACATAAGTGGTACTAGTATTAACCTACATAACATAATATAGAAATGACACTTTCAGAGCAATCCCATTGACTGCGAATTCATCGAAGTGTCATGTAGCCGGAAACTGCTCCCAATCTCCATTTACTCTCAGTACCACGCCCAAGCCATATCTCGCGTTAACACCCCCAGTAACGACCATTACTCAGTAACTTTGTTTGTAATCGACTCCATATCTCAATCTCACTTTAAACGAGGCCTTAACCAAACCCTCTCGGTGCTACAATCTCAGTACGGTGCTAAAATCATGAAAGGATTCACAAAAGTCGCGGACAACTCCTTCCCCAATGCTGTCGCTTTTCTTACTGGTAAGAGATCATCATTTTAAAAAAGATCGCTTGAAGTTATAACATGCTATATAAGTGATGATAACCTAAGTTGGCTTACATTAAACTGTTTCATTTTAGGAAAAGATATAAGGACAGACAAACTGCCTGGGCCTCAGTCTGGTGCCCATTTCGACAATTGGGACTTTGTTTGGAAAGAGTACAAGAAATCGGTAAGTTTTAGACTAGAATTTCATTTTTACTATAGTAAAAGACATGTAAAAGCCATTTTTTAACCATTTTTGGAAATTCAACTAAAAAATTGACTTTTTCAAGTCTAAAATTAAGATACCATTTTTCCATAACACTGACTTCAGGGCCACGTAACCTACTACGCAGAAGACTACCCGGACTACAACTTGTTCAACTACTTGAGTAAAGGCTTCCAATCCCCTCCAGTTGACCACTACTTCCGCGCCTTCTGGAGACAAACCTATGAATCCATGGTGTACCGAAGAAGCACGTACCTCTGCTACAATACTGAGCCGATGCACAATATTCAACTACGGTATCTGAAGCAGTTTGTTCAAGGTTACGGTGGAAAAAGTCCGTTTTTTGCTTTAAATTGGCTTACGGAACTGGCTCACGATCGACTCAGTCAGGTAGGTCTACATGTTATTCTACTCTAGTAGATATACATGGTGACAGTTACCATATGATAACATAAAACATCAACTATAACTTCAGGTATCAAGTGCTGACCCTGACCTGGCCTCTTTCTTCAACTCTACAGTACCCCAACTACAAGACACCTTCCTCTTTGTATTCTCTGATCACGGCCATCGTTTCGACCCGATTCGACAGACTATGATCGGTCGATTAGAAGAACGTATGCCCTTCTTCAGTATCCACATACCATCCTCCATCAAAGACCGTATACCCGATATAGAACAGGTGATCGAGCACAACTCCAAACAACTCACTTCCTTCTACGATCTCTTTGTTACACTACAAGACATCAACGACCTTAACAAGCGAAATGCTTGGTCTGAGTTAGACAACCAGATACCTGGAGAGACATTACAACCTATACATGAGTTCAGAAAGTACAGTAAACGAGGACTGTCGCTTCTACGACCTATACCTAACAGAACATGTGACCAAGCAGGTATCCCAGAAGAGTACTGTATCTGTGAGAGAGAGAAACAGGTCTCCAAAAAGGATACTGTAGTCAAAAGAGCAGCCGATGAGCTTGTCAAACATATCAACAGCATACTATCTAGTCATAAAGAGTGTGCAATACTACAACTACAAGACATACGAGGTGCTTCCTCCACCATACCCAATGTAGACGTGCTTCAGAAGCCCGGTACCTTCTTCAGATCTACCTCACTCTCCCTCGGAGCTTATATCAACTACCTAGTCATGGTAACAGCATCGCCTAGTAATGGTATCTTCGAAGGTATCGTACGACACGACATCTCCAGCGACAAGTTGAATGTCATTGGAGAAGTGAATCGTATCAACAGATACGGTAACCAGTCACTGTGTGTTCACGAACAACTACTCAGGAAGTACTGTTACTGTGTGTAAAACTATATACTGTGCAATCTATAGAACGATAATCTACTTATATATCTCACAACCTTGTCATTTACTGTCCAACATTCCCAGCCATATCATTATGTGTTACTGTATATAAACAGAGTTTTTTTTGATAGTTTTATAAAAGATTTCCATTCCGCTTAATGCCTGAGGGCTTTTAATTAAAATATATGAAATTCATCCCTAAAGGTTCCTACCTTTGCTTGAATAAAAAAGGTTTTATCAGTACTATAATACCCAGCTAAAGACCCTTGACAGTACGACACTCCCCAACCCACCTTCCATGATAGTGCCTTGTAGCTCGATCAACAGATGTAGCTGTCCATGTGGCTCCAAATCGACCCAAATGTCATTCGGAGAGTTGAGTTTGAGATCCTCGAACGGAATCCGACAGTTGGCGACAAAGTCGTCCGGCGGCAACGCACAGTCGTGGAAGATCGTGAAGCCTAGCACTTTGCCGTTCTGGACGTCCGTCTGAAAAACGAAGTGCTTGCACACAAAGCTAAGCCGAGCCCTCAGGGCATACAAAGGGTTTCGCGGTTTTCATTCGAATAATTCCAAAAAAAAAACTCATTTTTGATGTCGCAAAACTCATTTCTGGTGTTGAAAAGAGCGAGCGTTTGGTAGGCAGTGAGGAAAACAAAGAGTTATCTTTGTCAACTTAAAAATGGCTCAAAATTTACAAAAAAAGTTCGGAATTTTGATAAACAAAACTAAAATACGTAAATTTCAGCCAAATTTAAAAATATTATACTGCCAAACATATGAAAATTACAAAAAAAGTTTTCAAAAACCAGAATCCAACTCACATGATAGTCTTCATTCCAATGCGGCGTGTTCGTCTTTGGCCTGGTCATCGTCTGGCCCACATGGTACTCATCGTAGTCCACATTCACATACGAATCCACAACCTGAGTGACTTCGGTGGCGTTGTTGAACCTAGACAGAGTAAGACTTCAGAAGCCGCACTTACCGTTTCGACCATTCCGTCGGCCTCAGATCCCTGGCTTCGACCACCCGAACCTTCGCCTTTCCGTTGAAGACCGTCATCTAGCCGGCTAGCCAATTCAGAGCAGCATTCCTTCGTCGGCGGGCTGAATCTGGAACTGAATATAATGTTAGATACGGTAAAATGTAAATTGTGAATTATAAAATGAAAAAAGATTCAGCACGGTAAAAAAAAGTGTAAAAGACCATTTTAGATACAATTATTAGTTACTGTAGCAAAAATATCGTAAAATGATTATAAATAATATGCTGAAAATTAACTCACAACACTTGAGATACTATCCGTATCCCAAAGTAAATAGAAAACTACAAAACTTCCAAAACCTCGACTTAAAACGCTATCCATAAACTTTCAGACCTCACAATACCCTTCCAAAAAAAACTTTTTTTGATCTAACACCTCAATTCTAAATAATTTTTGACCGCTCCAATAAAACATTAGCTACTAGTACATCCCCAGCACGATCAGAGAGATATTATATTATCCATCTATCTCACTTTTGTTTTCTCAAAAACAAAACGAAAGAAAGGGAGGGAAGCGGCCGATCAAAGCAGACGGACAATGACCATGGATATAAACATGCCCCAGATCGGCGACATGATTGATAAGGCGTACAATGGCAATTGCCGGAGGTGTTAAAGAGTTACAATGTCACATGAGGTAGGTCAAATGGTACAATTAGTTTTTGAGTATCGAAAGGTTGAAGGTTAAGTAGTAAAAATTCATTGATTCTACCGCTTTTTAATTGTTAAAAAAGGTTTTTTTTAATTGGCAGCCAAAGAAAAACTAAAAGAACACTTTATATCTGTAAACACCGGTCAAAATGCCCCCAGGAACATACTTTTCATACTCATACAGCCGTGCTATACCCTATTCTATAAACTTTTTGACCAAAAGCTTTAATTTTAATGTTAATACCCAAAACCCTAAAAGTATTCATAAAGTCATCCTAATTTTCCAAAATTTTCAAAAAATGCCAAAGTCATCCAAAACCGCAAGAATCATAAAATCCGAGGACTTTTGGTGCGGCCAATACCATGCCAATCTAAAACAAGTAAAAGATGATTTGAGGATATAAAACAATCTGCACACATGTCATAAAGGACTTGAGAAGGGTGGTATTATAAGGTCGGAATAAACATTGAACGTTAATACGCAACACATGTTATTTATTGGTCCGCCTGATGTGCTACATGACTGATAAATGCCCCCAAAAACAACAGGAACATCTGAGTAATCTTAAGACTGGCGAGTATAATATCAAAGCATAGACTGGAATTTTAATACTAGAAGTTAATAAGTATCTATACTAGTACTACCAAAAGTTTCAGTGCTGACATAACATAATATGCTCAAAAAATAAAAAAATGATAAAAATAGCAAAAATAATTTGAAGAACGATAAAGTAGCTAACCATTTCAAATAAAAAAAAACCAAAACTGACAGCGTATTTTACCTTGCCAAACCCTACCCGCCCCCTATATTATGATAGTCCAGGACAATTAAAACGAGTCCCAAAAAGTCATCAAAAATTCCGGGCCCTCCGAAAACAGCCGATTTAGCTGGCCGCAGGGCTTATTTACCTACCGCATAATAGAATGTCATAACAACACGATGACATTCCCCCCCCCCTTTCATCATGTACATTTAAGGCCGTGCCGGCGTTTTATGAGCGTTCCAATCGAGATTTATTCGACTCCAGAAGACGGCCACTTTTTCGGCGTCAGAGGCCGCAATCTTTTCGCACTCTCGGAAGCCTCGAGGGCCGCGGGCCCTTTTTCTGTGCCGTCACGGCCTCCATCTGAAGCACAATGACCAGCCAGCAGAAAGTGGCGCAGCAGAATTGTTGGATTTCTGGAGGGCACAGTTTGTCTCTTCGTGGACATTCCGTGTTCGCGGAGAGGATAATGAACAAATAACAACAACATACCATGGTAAATGTTGCAAACACAGCGAGTTTGAGCCGTCTGCAAGCAGTTTGGCAATGTTTTAGATAAACTATTCAGTCCTACAGACAGGTTATTGTTTACTAAATAAACTGTCATCTCTACCAAAAAAAGCAACGATATCTCAGCATAGAATGAAGGTAGCTCAACATTACCCTACCAAACCCAAAATTCCCTATAACAACATCCAGCACAACCTTAAACTCGAGGACGAAGACCTTCTGGAGCCGACAGCAAACGAAAAAACATGTATACATCATACATAAACAGAGCGTTTAGTCACTTCTGACATGGCTCAATCAAACATGTATTATGTAAAACAGTACATGTCATCAGAAAGTAAAGTTGTAAAGGGTCGGCTTCGTATCTCGACGCCAGGTGTATTTATGGCCATAACAACAAGGTGAATGTCAGTCGAGAATGTAGCCGAAAAGACTTTTGAAATACGACTTCAAGAGACATAAAGGTAATATAACGTGACGAAAATGGTTTTCTGTCATTTTGTGACATAAAAATGGTGCGGAACGTAATAAAAGCACGATAACATCTGCCAAGATACCAAAGTACATGTAAAAGCACCAAAAAGTAAAGTAAAAAGTACCAAAAACAGTATTACACCTAAATAAAGCCAAACTACGACCCCTGAAGCTAGTACAACATGGCATAAAAGGCTGAATAAAAGTAAAGAAAGGCTAGAAAGTAGGAGTAATGTACTGTTACTTAGCGCCTCTTGGCCCCGTTAATTGCGGAGATGAAAGCGGCCAAGAAAACAAAGAAAAGAATTGTTTTAAATCGATACACATGTCTTGCAAGAGAGAGTGATATATAATATAAGCTATGATACCGCTTTAATCTTAAACCAAAATATGCAAATCGCCTGCGGCAAAACTGTCAGACAAACTGTAAAGAGGAAGTATGCCTTCTAAAGGCTTGCAACTGATACAAAGGTGGTCCAAAAGTGCGTAGAATGTTTGTGGTATGTTAATTTAGTCGTTTTTATTGTTTTTAAACAAAGTTTTGTTCAAAATAAACCTGTTCTACATACTTTTGGACCAACAAACCTCAAAACTTTTTGCTTAAAGTATAATATAATAATATTGAAATTTGTTGGGAATTACTATTGGCGAAGAAATAACTTATTTATAACATAATACCTTGCCTGGAATAAAACCAAAAACAAATACTTTCTTTACAATAACAATCTAAAGAAAGAAAATAATTTTAATTGCAGATAGGGAGGGGGAGAGCGTAGTCGTGCCATAATAAACTGTTACTCAAACTGTCTTAACTCGGTTCAAAAACAGCAAATGCTACTGTAATATCCTGAATTGATACTGTTGTTTATCGTTACAGTAACTTTTGAATACTTTTATTTTTAAAGCTGCACTGATGTGGTCAAAAATTACGAAGAATTACCTTCATATTTAGAGATTTACCCATTTTTTTAGTCTTATAGGTCGTTTTCGACCAAGCTATTATAACCAGGATTTAAATTACATTGAATCTGCCATACTTATACAGTAACCCCTTCAGTTAACAGTTAAAGTTGACAATTGTCGCCAAATTGCAGCCAAAAGCAAAGAAATGCCAGAACTTGCAGATGTTTTTCCCCCGAATCCCCACCCCCGAAATGGCACAGGTTGGCCGACCAAAGATGGATACCTTAAACTGGTGGAACAAACTAATTTGACGCCTGCTGACAAGTTTGAGGTCAAAATAAAGTAAAAAAAGGCGAGGTACTGGGCGAGTATGTGTAGTGGAATGGAGTGCATGAAGGTCCGTAAATCGAATGAAGTGGCGCAAAGAAAGCCCTCAGGGCTTCCCTCTCTCTCGGACAAATCCACACAGGCCGTATATGTCTGGTGGAGGCCCGGGGTGGGGAGGGGGACCCGCCCGCGGCCAAGAAATACATCTTGTTCGTCGAGCGTCTTTTGGAAGATCGCGTTCCATTTTTAGTTCCCCCTTTTTATCTCTTTTAAACTTGGGATTTTCAATTCAACGCCTCAGGGGGAGCGAAATAAATTCTCGCGAATGTTGCTAAATATGACACACTCATGACGTCAGATGACACATCGGGTCGAGTTACTGTCCCGGAAAAACAATTAGTCTTGAAGTTTGGTACAAAGTGTACAGTACTAGTTTTCTCAATACCTAACAATGTGTTGGTAATGGTTATACTTTTTAAACAAGAGTAACACTTTCCTCTATTCTCATACTGTCACATAGTAAGAAAACACAAAAACACCATACTCTCACATCACAACATCATCTCCAAAACCTGACACACCTTTCCGAAATTTGCATATCCAAGTTTCACTTTGAAAAATCATTTAATCGCAAAAACTTTACAAAAACAAGGTATTTACGGCAGTAATCAAGTTACATAGCTGCGATAACAACATATAGATTACTTCAAAACAATGTTTACAGTAACCGACGTCACAAGCTCGGACAAAACAATCGCTTAGACGTAGCGAGAATGACCTTCTACGCTTTCATTAACAAAGTTCTATATTAAGGCTGAGTGTTATTTATAGCTACTGTTCCAGATGTAGGATGTTGTAAATAAGTGTAAAGTAAGCTGTTAACCCCAAAGCTTTTACAAGGACAACTTCTTTATAACTTATGGTAAGGTATATTACTGTAATCTTAAACTTTACTGCCTTTTACATTTCACAACCTGAACCACTAGTGTCAAAGACAACAACCCTTCAGTCGGTCCACAAAATGACCAGGAATACTTCTACTTTATAACCCAAACAGTTATACATAGACTGTTTCTCCACAAAGCGGCCCGCTATAAATTGTCTTACATTACAACCAAGAGCCGTCTCACTCGCCGATCGTTCACGTTGAGAGAGGTTCCCTGTCATAATATGGGTTTCAAAGACGCGATAGTATCGCTGGTCGGCGACTTTGTCGAAATACGGCGTAATCCTGAGTTCCGAAGCCGGACCGAACTGTCGGCCAGTCCGGACGAAGCCGATGAGATCCGAGCGATCAGGAGGAACCAAGATAGAAGACATTCGCTGAATATTACGGTTGGCACGGTAGGTCTATTTAAGAAATTTGCTTTTATTTATGATAGATGTTATCTTGTAATTTTTGTCTTTTTTTTAATTTAAAAAGTTAAGTTTAAACCTTAACTTCTACCAACAAGAAATAGAAAACCTTGCGTAGGACTGTCCTAACCTTGGCAAAAAATTGCTACAGGCCAAGCGGCCTTTATCAACTTTTTTTACGCTTACTTATGAAAGCCAACAACACTAAAAAAATTTTTAATCATACCAGCAAATTACTGTACGTTTTTGATACAAGCTTTTAAGTAAGTCTAGTTATCTTAACGGCCACAAAAGCAATATTATTGTTGTAGGTTTGTACTTAAAAAGTGTAAAAACTGTTTCGCATTCCTTTCCCATTAACCTTGACACGAACTTTATTGGTTTTACAATTTTGTCATTCACACTTGGAGATTACTCAAAATTGCTCCAAGAATCACGAGTTCACGTTCCTTCTGATCACCGTGTTACAAAAGCATTTATCTACAGCAATATTTCAACTATGTCTGCTGAGTTGTAATAGTTTAACCGAATTTCCGATTTTACATTTATTTTTCAAATTTAAATTTAAAAATTAAATTTCAACAATTCCAACCTTAACACCCACTAGACTGTAATTTTTTATCTTATTTTTAGTCCGGAGCATCAAATGAACATGTGATCCGTCAAAGAACGTTCCACGACCGTACCTTCAATAAGAATCGCCGCCATTCTGCCGTTCCCAAAATGATGTTCGAGAACAGAAGTCCTAGTCCAGACAGCGAGACTGACCGACCAGAAGCGCCGACTCCAAAAAGATCCACGGAACGACGCTCTTCTGAACCACACAACCTCAGAATCCCACCACAACTGGCCGTGAAAGACAGACCGCTACTCTCAGACAGCGATTCAGACACCGAAGATACTGTCTTCAGAAGGTCGTTGAATCTGCGACGTCGTCAGAAAGAGCTGCGACAGTCTGTAGCACTCAGCGAACATACGATACATGAAGATTGCGAAGCCGAAGAAGAGGACGAACCTGTAGATCGCAAGTTCAGCGGACGGACAATCATCAGCATCAACCACTAATACTGTCACAAACATCTACTGTATATTCCATGATTACCTGTATATTACTCATTCAGTTGTAAAAATAAAGGCCCTTATACCGTAAAGCATACTCTGGAATATTCTAGGTGCTAAATCAAACAGTAATTCAACGCAAGCAGAAAATAAACTCATATAACGTACTGTACAGTAAGTCCTAATATCCTGTACAGTAAGTCCTAATATGCTTTAGGCCATAGCAAGATATATATCATATTCGCAATTCATCTCGAGCCAAAAAACAATTCGTTAATATATCTTATCGTAGATGATATTGTAATCGTTTTGCGACAAGAATCAAGTTAATCTTTTTCGCGGGATCTCTTGGCCCAGATAGAGTGGCCGAGAGGTCATGGCGCGGCCCAATCCCCTCAGGGCTTATCAAGCACGCAGCAAGTTAGCTTCCCTCAATCTTCGGTTGTTTTTAAAGCCAGCCAATTGTTTGGGCAACAATTTAAATGACTTAAGGCAATGGAGCGCCACAATCGACTCCGCCGGTTCGGTCGGTCATTCCGCGAAGGAGTAGGTTAATATGGTTACGTATGTTCATCCAGTTAAAGATTGAATGCTACTTACAGTATACTAAATACCATTTTAGAGAGTTTATTAAATCATTAAAATGCTTTTTTAAACATAAAGATAACCTTAACTTGCAGGCCAGCTCTTTCCGCTCAAATATCTCCAACTACAGTACGGCCAAACAAGTCTCTCAATGGGTACGAATCACACACAAAGTATATCACGACTACGGTCTCAAACATATTTTGCTCATCATTATATTGATCATCTACCAGTGTATCGGAGCCGGTGTCTTTTACTACTGTGAACACTCAAACGAAGAATCCAAGGAAATAGAATGGAACAGAGAACTGAAAGAGAACAGGACCATCCTCATCAACAACATCATCAAAAGGATGTTCAACAACACCGAGTACCTCTTCTTCTTGACCCAAACCCAATCTCAAGAGTTATACCTTGAGTTAAAGGGTATGTTCGAGAAGTACGAAAGCGATCTGGAAGTCAAATTCACTGATCAGAAGATAAAGTGGGACTTCTGGACAGCCATGTTATACGCTCAGATGATATGCACTACTATTGGGGGCGGATTTGCACATCTTTATCCTTCTACAATGTCAGGAAGAATCTGCACGATGATCTACGCTTTCTTCGGAATCCCACTAGTTCTTACAATTCTGGATGATTTAGGTATGTTTTTGATTTTACAGTACCTTATCTTTAGAACGATATTATACCCTTCCGTGATAACAATATAATAAACATTACCCTTTCTTTAGGCAAAATCTTCACAAAATGTCTGAAAACACCATGGTGGCTTTTCAAATGTGGATGTCGTCGTATGTTCAGCTACTGTACCAAACAGACCATTGAAGAGATACGGGTATTAGACAGAGAAGACAAGAAAGACCTGGACGTGTTCGACCTCCCAATACCCATAGCTATCTTGGTGGTGTTTGTCTGGATTCTGATATGTTCTGCCACTTTTTGTATATGGGAGAAAGATTGGGACTACTTTGTCGCCTTTTACTTCTTCTTCATATCTTTGAGTACCATCGGGTTAGGAGATATATCACCTTCACAGCCCAAATATCTACTCATGTTGTTCGTATACATTATTATTGGATTGTCGTTGGTATCTATGTGCATCAACTTAATACAAGTAAGTAAAATGTTAAACCGTTTACCACGATTTAGTTATACAATGGTATTAGTTTGGTTCATATATACATTTTCAGATAAAATTCGAAAGAACATACCAACATGGCAAAGACAAGTTGTATATCACTCAAAACACTCAGGTAGGTCTGAAGCGACGACGATCATCATTAGGAGTCATCAGAGGAACAATATCATCACATTCCTTATCCAAAGAATCCACTCAGCGATACCTCAGTCAACGGACAGCTTTTAACAAGAGCTGCCAAACTATATTATCCTTCCCATCTGCTCGGAATAACGCATACGTTACTCACAGTGTGTACAACCCTAAGGTAAGTTTCAGCACAATTTACCTACACTTCACAAAACTTTAAACTCATACACAATAACATACCAACTTTAAGGCCTATCCAAGAACGTTATCCATAGACGATGTTATGAAACTGGTAGACACAGAAGAAGGCGACATATTACTCTTGACAGAACTAACTCGAGACCAATCTACACTCAGCGAGATAAGTGAAGCCGTCAGAAGTGATATCACTGAATCCTCTCAACAAGTGGTTATCTCCAAATCATTCGAAAACACCTTCAATCAACCTCTCGAACCGGTGATAACAGCCAACCCAAGACACTCAAACAAGTCCAAGATCTCAAACTGTCCATCTACCACACCTGTCCTGCCTCAAAGTCTAGATATCGAAGCGTTGGAAGAGATGGAAGATCGACTTTTACTCAGTAGAGCTGCTTCATTCGACGCTAATCCATCAGTTCACTTCAGGTCAAGGTAAATAATATCATAAGTACAATTACATTTCTTTGTAGTATTTAAATAATAAAAAAAACAAATTTCATTGCTTAATTTTTTAGGCTCAGCTTGATTTTGGAACAGCAAAGTGCTGTAGAAGAAGACGAAAGTCCAATAGAAGTATCAAACTCAAGTTCAAAGTCAACTTCAGTCAGTTCAAACGCTGATGAACTACTTGGAAGGCAGTAAGTCCCATTTTTTGTGTTATCAGATAATATGCAAAAAAGATTTAAGAGATTTTAAAGAGCTCAACACATTAACTTATCATAAACCAAGATTGTTACCTAAATTTTAGAAAAAACCATCGAAATTCAATATTCTGCCAAAACAAATCAAACAAGCGATTAACAGGGCCATCAGCAAAATATAAACATCGGAAATGACCTTAATTTGTAATAAATTCTTTAAAAAATTTGTTTTTAGGTATTAAACATACGGTTTACAATATTGTAGTTTCCCTCTCTAAAATTATAACTGCACTTACCTTTGTCCATAGTTCACGTGCTTTCCGGATCACTTCGGATAATTCATCGCTCCTGATGTCCAAATTCTTCTTCAACTTCTGTGAATTGACAAAATTTTGTAAACTCTTCCAAAATCTCGTTTCGAGAGAAAAAACCGAGACCTTCTTGTGGACGCAGCTCGCTAAAAGGTACTGCAGACTGCGCTAACAAACTCCGTCAAAATATTGTCAAAGAAACTAACATTTCACAAAAAATGTGTATCTCTTATTAAAAAAATCCGTGTTTAATTCGCAAAATATTAACAGTTACTGTATTTATCAATTGGTTTAAAGTGCCAAAAATGGTATATTGTAGTACAAGTGGTTACTATGGCGACTAAAACAGTTTTATTTGCTCGAAAAGATCGAATTTTACACAAAAATGTCAGGAGAATTGCCAGATGTTGATAGCCATTATATTCAAGGCAGACTGGAGCAGCTGGAGCGACGGTTAGAACGAGCTCAGGAGTTACGGGTAGGTTAATATCGCTTTTATGGTTTTTTATATTTTAAATGACGTTTTGAATGGGTAGTTGTTGTGAACCAAGCACTTTCTTTGTTAAAGAATTAAATTTTGAATAGTTTATTTAGTAACATAACAATATAAACCTACTTTCAGAATGAATACGTTGAGAACATGAAGAAACAGAACCCCGAGATCTACAATATTCGAATGGAGATGGAAAAGAACGAAGCGAATCAGATGCCATTTAATGATAACACTCAACCTGTCAAAAGTAACAAATTCAGCCAAGATTTGTTTCAAAATCGACCGTCTTTGATGAGAAGATTGGAAACTGGGCAATACTTTTGGGACGATGTTAAAAGATACGACGGAAATGGCAGGCAACCTCTACCAGTCAACGATCCTGTACCTGGAGGGCTAATATTGTCATCGGACATGAAGAATCTGCAAGAGCGGTTGAAGAATCTTGGGTCAGAGATCAGAAACTTAAGGGAATATAGACTATCTGCTCCTACTTCACATTATTTCAGGTATTATTTTTAGTTGTATATGTATAACATGTATAAAACACTTTTTATGTAAAAACATTATTAGGGTATAAAATATCTTTATTATCTAAATTTCCTGTTACAGTACTATGAAGTCGAACCAACCTCAAACTAGGTCTCCAGAACTGCCGTCTCTAGTTGAACTCCGCCATCGTATTTTACAGATGGATATGAACATAGAGAAGAGAGCCAGAGAGATGTTAACCGAAGCTAATGTAAAACGTCGCTTGATGACTGAAAAGGAAGTAAACGATACAGTAACCCTAGAAGATCCGTTGAAGATTTTGTCGAGTAAAATAGGATTTGATCTTCTAAAGGATGCAGATAAGCACGATGGCACGAAAACTACAGTAACCGAGACAAAAACAGAAGACAAAGGACAAGTCCAAGAAGTTGAACCTACTGTAAACAATGAGGAACAGATGAATGATGGCGGGAAGAAAGATGCGCCTGCTCCTACCATCGCTCCTACGAGGAATCTGGTCTTTGGACAACAACAAAAAGGTACTACATGGTATTGTGTATTATTATTGCAGTTTATGTTTTAATTATATTACACTCTACATTGGTTTAGTTACGAAGGTATAAAGTTAGTTCTAAAGGTATTAAGATTTTTGGTATTTTAGATAATTAAATGCGCTTTTTAGCTCCTGAGTCCTCATCCTACAACAAATTGCTGAAACTTCTGAAGTCGCCACCAAGCAATCAAAGCTCAGAATCCGAAGATGAGCCAGCACGGAAGGAGTACGTGTTTTTGTTTTTTACTTCTGTCTGCAAAGTTTACTTAATATTCCGGACGCCATTACTTTTTAGGGCTTATTCTAGACATTACTGTCGGAAAAGTTATGAATTTTGAAATTTTGTTTAAAATTAAAAAATTTTAATAAAAAGTAATGGGTAACAATAACCGTCACGTTCTTATTGTATAGATGAACTTTTATGAATTAATTTTTTTTATTTTGAAAAATTAATTTTTTTAAATAAAAATGCCATTGCTTAAAATTTCGCAAATTTAGTGACACCCGGTCGTTCATCGCGCAGCTGAGTCAGCCGATCGTAAGGCCATCGTTCCAGCCGCTGGCCGAAAAGAAGAAGCTGGCGCTGCAGGAGCAGGACGTCGACTCGGATTCCGACTTTTTCCGATGAATATTTATAAGACATCAATTACAATACATATGAATGTCCTCGGGGCGGGCCTAGTAAACGGAAGAAATTTGTTTACGGCATTTCCGGCTTTGTTTTGGCTCGAGAACGGCGAGAATGGAGCCGGCTTTTGTTTAGGCTGTACAATTAGCAGCTGTACTGTAACGTGCGGAACGTTTATTCCGTCTGGAGTTGAAGATAATATTTTTAAAGGATAATATTCTTTTTAGGGACAGTGTTGTTGCGAATTGCCATTTTGAGTATATTTTTTTGTTTTTAGAGGACATTTCTTTCTCACGGTATGCTTAACATAACATGTTAATTGAAAACATTGTGACGAATGTCTGGTACTAGCTTTATTACTCTATTTATCAAAAACATTTATGTATATCAATTTGGTCAAGAAGTCTGTAAAATTTGTTTTTATAGTACACCTCGTTTCTTTTAATACTTTTCTACATACTTCTTGACCAACGTGTTAATGGTTATGTTATTCAGACGCCGAAAGTCGTTTCGAAGTAACGACATCTTGGCCATTAGATAAGCTTGTCTATTGTTCGTTTGTTTATTGAGAGTCCATAAATATCAGTGATACGCTTTGTTTTGGCCCTGAGGCTGTTTTTGACCATTAAGATTAAAGTGATCTAGCAGACGTATGACATTTCAAAAGTTATGAGCCATTAGATACGATCAATCTGGCGTTAGCTGGGTATAGATACGAAAGGCTGACACGTTTTAATGCCAAATCAAAGGGCTGATTTGAATTTAAATTTTGGGGGATCTCGGCCATGTGGTATATGCGTTAATTATGTGTCGAAATGGGTATTAAAAGTTTGGTGATGGTATGTTGTTGTTCAAAAAGTTATGGAAGAATGAACTTTAAAAAAAATTTTTGTGTTTTTTTATTGTCTTTTAACTAATTCACCTACTGTTTTGGTCTATTATATCGCTTTATTTTTGTAACTGATAACCATGCTATGCCCAAAGCCAAATGTATATGTGTACTATGTTGTATACGGAAGCGGAGTAAAGTTGTGTAAACGATAAATTTGTTTTTGCAGCTTGTAGGAATTGGATTAGAGAGCTGCTCCGCCCGTTTATGATTATAAATAACAATCTTTCCTTACTTCACGGTTAATTTGGGATCGACAGTTGCTTGGAAATCCAATATCTACGTACTTGTGAACATTCTGTGTAAAACAAAACTGATGTTTTATAGGATGGTGTCATAGTTGTAGAGGCAATTACTTTTTGTTTTTCATGATTTGAAGAGCTCAAATTTTATTTTAGGGAAATTACTTTAGGGCTTCTGTGAATGTTTTTATTAAAAACTGGTTTTGTTATTTTGGTCATGAAGATATTTTACTTTTTTTTGAATTTTGTTGGTTAAAAATATAAAAATAAATTAAAAGGTTAAAATTTTAATACTTGAAAATACAGTAGTAAATATATATTTTGACTAAAATAGTTTCTAAAATATTAATCATAATGATACGCTGGTACTGATTTATAGATTGACCCTTTTCGTATCGTAAGCAACCCTATACCTATATGTTTTCGATAGTAATGCTGCGGGAGTAAGTCAAGAAGTAAACCCTACCGAATGTGACAAAACAAGCACGATGTAATGTTTAATTTATCGGAAAACAAAGTTGTTCCACATAAGCTGGGATTATGCTCTCTTAAAGGTCTTTTAGTATTCTTTTGACAAGAATTACGGCACAAATGCAAATTTCGGGAAAGCAGCTGTTAAGGGGCATTGTCTGGCGAGATCGAGCGCCTAGATAAAACAAATTTATTCTGATTTCTAATGCATCGTGCGGGCGGATTCTAATGTCGCGCGCCATGCTGACTCATTCTTGTTAAGGTTACTCAAAGTTAATATTGGGTTGCAACATTAATTTTGTGGTTTGGGGTTGGCTATGTTATATTTATGTAGGTCAAAAAGTGTGTAGATGTTTTGTAATAGAGTATTCACTTTTTATTTTCAAAATCTATTGTAATATAAAACATTGACACTGTAATAATATGTTACATACCCTTATTTTGATTTTTTAATGCATTTTTAATTTTCGAAATGTGTTAGTAAGATGTATTGACGACACTGTAACCAAAATACCGTGTAAAAGTCTAATTCCGCTAATTGATGGCTGTTTACCAGGATGAACATCACGGAACACAGCGCCGAGATTCCGCTGAATCCCTCCAGGCAACAATTAGAGCATGAGAAATCGCTCAATATGGAACGAGTACGGAAACAATTGACCGATGTTAACATCCGCGACCTCGTGCCCACGTTAGTTGCGCGACAAGTGCTTAGGACATACGAAATGAGTACGGTATACTCGAAAGTAAGCACTTTAAACTTTTTTAAATAAATGTCTTGTGCTTTAATATATTTATGAGGAATGCGAAAGAATTAACGGATTCACATTATATTTGAAGAGTATCATAACATCATACAGTTTCATTGTAAACATGTTTAAATGATTGATTACGGTAGTAGATGTTAGAATATAAAAATAGCTCTACTTTCCCAATATTAACCTTTAGACAGACCCTGATGGTCAGTTGGACAAGCTGATCGAGTTGTTGAGGACTCGCAATCACTGGCTTGGCCCGCTGATCGATGCCTTGATCCGAAGCGGCCAAACCACAGTCGCCGAGAACCTACTTCGACATACTCAAAGCGAAATGTAACATAATGTACATTAATCGAGGTGGTTTGCATAAACATAACTCTATATTTGAAAGTTTAAACAGTAAAAAGTTTTTTACTGATTATAGTCAACTGAACATAATAACTCCGTCGTGTGTAATTTTATTTAAAGTAACGAAAAAGATATGTAAATCTGATAATTACAATAGTAAAACATCAAAGTAAAGTTTAAAATGTCATTCTGCTGAAAAGTGTTGAGCAAAGTATAGTGATGTACCTGATGTCATACAAGTTTGGTCAAATTTTGTTGAAGGCCACGTGTCTTTTCTCTTACTGATCAAACTTTTATCTTTATATACGTTGTAGTAGCGATAAATTTAGCCGGAGATACAGTATACCAACATGGCGACTGAAGATTTATATCCTGTGGCTCCAGTTTGCTTTATATCTTCTACTTATTTAGTACACTGTTCATCTCTTTTAGGTATGTATAATACATAATGTCACCTCATTCTCTACAAGCCGGGTTGTAATCCGTCGTGGAAGCGTCGCCACCCAACGTACAACCAGTAGAGTACGTTGAAGACGAAGAAGGAGAAGGGAAAGTAGAAGCGTGCCTTCTCATCCCAGAATTCGGGATCCTTCCAGTTCCTAAAGACAATCGTATGTTAGGTTAAGTAGGCTTACTCTCTCATCCGCTTATACATGAAGCGGGCTTGGAAGATGCGGGCGGTGAGTTGGGTCGAGGTCCGCTTCCGAATCCCTCGAGGCATTTCCGTGTCGATCTGAAGGTGCATCTGGAAGCGGTATTGAGGTTTATTTCGATGTTAAATTGAAAGCATAAAGTATAAAAAATAAATTCTTTATAAATTAATAGGTACTACTGCAGTAATCGATCACTTTACTACGATCCATAATAACTTACAGGTTCATCAGTAATGTTGTTCTCTTCCAGTCGTCTGTCGCCATTCTTCAAGTCAGGCCTACTGAAAAAGGTGCCGTAACTTCTGATCTCTTCTCCAAAACTGTCATCGAAGCCTTGGTCTCTCATCAACTTCCGCCTCTTGCGACGATCAGCCCGGTCGAGATAACCAACAATAGCCAATTCAATTAATGTCGCGCCGATAAACACACACATCATGAACATCCAAATATCCACGGACATTACGTAGCTGAATAAAAACTATTAATTTCATTACTCAAAGCATAATATTATATAGATAGATTATAAACGGTTTTAACATAAAACACATAAAACGACAAGTACAATATAATGTTATCTATATGTGTAACATAGCGACGTAAAACTCTTAAAAATGTATTATTAAAATTTTCTTAAAAATACATTAGTATATCTTACCTGACCCTCGGCAATGACCGTAAGATACTACCGTACTGTAGAGACAAACTCATCAGAGCAGATACCTAAACATCAACGTTAACAACTATCAAATTTCAAATAAAACGTTTGTAAACTAACTTACTCCTAACGTAATTCTGGCCGGTAAACACTTGTGATCCAGCCAAAATGATATCCACGACATACCCACACTCAGATATGTCGGAAAGTAGATTGTCATCACGTATACACCCACTTCTCGGGTCAGAAAAAAACTGACTGTTAGCTAAAAACATACTTTTAACAATTTTAAAACCAAAGAATTCAAAACAACAACAAAAAGTAAAAAAATATACATTAATATGATTGGTGTTACTATATTAGTACCATTTTTTAAATAGTAAATAGTATAAAACAGTACCTGGTCCCACTTCCCGGCGGCATAGATGAAGGAATGTTTGGCCCATTTTATTTCGCTGAGGGAAAAGTCAGGCAACTTTGTCCTCGACGGGTATTGTATTACCTAAAATTTATTTTACTTTACTATTATATGCTTTAAAAGAGTTGAATTACCATAGACAATTTAATATACAAATAGTTTTTAGCCAAAAAAAACGTAAATAAAACGATTGAATTTGATTTCACTGGTTTGAATATTACTTTGGACATGTTTTGTCCGGTATTTTCAATAAACAAAAACTTTTTGCCTATTTCCTTGATTGTGCAGCCTGCGAGCGTTGTTGGCAGGCTGCGGCGAGCTTCATTGATTTTTTTGCAATATTTTTTAATTTTAAAATTTAGTTTTTGGATGGATATGCTTTTGATCATAATCTTCTTGCGTTTTCTGACTTTCACACAAAATTATTTTTTTGCACTTACCGGGTCCCAATCTCGCCATTTCAATCGTACTGTCGCAGCATTATACGCGTAAGATTCTAAAATCATTTGATATTTAATATTGAGAATTTTAATTATATAGTCATACCAAGTACAAGTTCGCATTCTTCTCCATTAAAAGGATAGTTCTCCAGGTTAACATAACATGGGCCTTCTACTCGGAGACGGTAGTTTATCTAAAACAGTAAGGTCGAAACAGGGACGTCGTTTGGGGGGGGTGGTTCGGGGTGACTCCCCCCCCCAGAGAAAAACCGTAGCGACATCCCTGGGTCGAAATGAGTTGCCAACTATTATAATGTAAAAAAATTTAAGCACCTTTTATCATACATTATATCTAAAGAGCAAAACATATATTATATATATAAACGTACCCAGACTGTACCATTTGGATAAATGAGGACGAAAGTGTTGGGAGTAGGTGATGTGTGAAGGTCTGATCGTTTCGAATTGACAAAACAAACAAAAGGCAGCCAGATGCGCTCTGTTATCTGTGATGATAAGGTGAGATTCTCAAGGCAGGTTGATATATTGTCGTATTTGAGGCGGCGGTCGTGCCATATTTGACTAAATTACAAGAAATGTAATCAAAATAACCTTACATAGAAATCTAGTAATACACTATTATCCATACCTCATAAGCACATCGGCGGTGAAACTGGCACTGGTCTCACTGATGTCGTAGAAGGTCTGTAGCGCCAATTCGATGCTGACTGTGACGCCGTTGGGGTCTGGTGCCAGATGTTTGTCGTAGTTCAGATTCAGCACCGTCTTCACCACGTACTCTGCCTGTACCGCAATATCGTCCACACTACAGTGCGCCCTGCCCGGGGGCGGAGGTGGGACGGGCGATAGCGAGTACTTCTCGGCTGGTGCTAGATCGTACTCAATGGGCGGAGTGGGGGTGGTGCTGGGGATGGTGGCGTTGACGAAAGTGACCAGTTGCGCTATGTTGAGCAAACTCGGCAACACCGAATTGACCACCATTTAAGGGCGAAGATGTGTCTGGCGATTCAGCCTGGCCCCATTCAGGCGGCGACGAGAGGTTTGAAACAATTGGAACAAGGCACTTCAAACACGAGGAGAGTCAGAAGCTCGTCAACGCTTCCTCACTTCCCCTGCGGCAATCAAATTGAATAAACGATGATAGAGGGCCACATAACTAGATCTGTTACTCTTCTGTTTCGCTTGTTTCTCGCGCAGTCTAGCCACTTAAGGCGGGACAAGGTGTCACTGTCGCCGTTCTCTTCGCGTCGGCCGTCTCTGTGTAAATGTAACCCCAAATTATATTTGAAACCCCATCACCCGACATTATACACGAGGGAGCTGGCGTACGTTCATCGGTAATTGACCGTCCAGTATTTTTAAACTCAAAACCCGCAGTTTAAGATCGGATGACTTATTATCTTTAAAAAAGTTTATAATAAAAACATTCTGATGAAAATACAGTAACAAATCTTAAGCAGGCAAATTTAATAAAAACCAGTTGAAGTTACAAAGGATTCAAAGCCCGTTCTTTCGCATAATGGTTCTGAGTGAGGTAATACGTCCAGTACGCTACGTTAAACAAGAAGAATGACAGGGGGAATAGCTTTCTGAAATTACAGTACTATTAGTGTCAACAAAAGGCATGGTAATACGACAAAAATACACGAGAACATAATATGATAACCCTAACAACAGCACAAAAATAAGTTTAAAAATGATAATTTACCGACTGATTTTGTCAACACGTGCTCCAGTCCATTTGGGCGGCTTCTCAACCTCTAGATCAGAGAATAAGCTGATGGCTGTAAAGGCTTGGAAAGGATCCAGGAATGTCGACGAAGGACGTTGGAAGAACGATACGAAAGAACTCTTGTGTTTGACTGGAAGGTCTTTAGGATCTTCTTCATCTTCCTTGTCCAACGATCCGTAGGTCTTCGTGTCGCCGTTAGCCGGCTTCAGACGTGTGGTCACACTGTAAGATAATTTTCATGATAATATAAAGACCAATATTATTCAGAAACTTATGTGAAATCACTTGATAAGTGTAGAATGTTACTTTACAAAACATATCTAGATATATTATCCTTACTTTCTGAACTGCTCGGCCTTCTTCTGCTTTTTCTCGACTTCTCTTTTGTCTCGTATCCTTTCGTGTTCACTTTCTAGGTAGCTAAAATACGATAATACGTTACTTTATAATAAAAATCACAAGATCATGTTGGAAACATACCAAACTATCGCAACTTCCAACATCGTCAAGCATATAAACATTGTGACCATAGTAAAGTAGACGTCCGCTGATTTTACATAACCAACTTTTGGCAACGTCTTGGCTATGTTTCCATACTGAAAAAAAAACAATATCATGATCGTTGTCATACATATATAATTATGTGGAAACTAAATGCTTACCTGATAAGTTAAGGCCAATATTGAGGACATCTAAAAATATTTTATAAATTTTTGACAAAAATTAATTTACCTATGCATATAAACCACAAAATACTTCACAAACGTACCCCTAGAGTAATTCTAGCCGGAAGAGCTTTGAGATCAATCCAGAAAGATATGAAAGCGATAGAAACAGAAGCGTATGTAGGTAGATACATTTGAAGCACGTAGAACCCGTATGCCCTCGAAAAGCTCAACGATACCGTCAGCTGGTCCCACTGTCCAGCCGCGTATTCAAAACTATTTTTAGTCCATCGAATACCGTACAAGGTAAAGTCGGCAAGCTTTGATTTGGCTATCGAAAACACCTTAAAATAAACATATTGTTTTAGATCGAAAGTCGTATTAAAACAAACTACACCTTTAATATTTTGACAAAAACATTTATAAGGTTAGTACAACACTTACGGGATTCCATTCTCTCCAGTTTAGCGACACTTTTTGGTTGTTGAAGGCGTAGCTCTCAATGACTAGTTCACAAACTTGGACATCCAATGGAAACAACTCTAAAAACAAATATTCTAAAGGTTTTTAGTAAAATGTACTCTGAAACGCTTATTATTAAAATATTGTACCTTTTTCTCAATATTCTATGTCAAATATTGTTAATTTATACAAGAAAATATACCTAAAAACCTCGTAGCAAAAAAACATTAAAGATTAAAATTTTTGAAATTGTTTTTTCCCGCGCTTTTATGAATTACATTATTTATTTGTAGAAAATGATATGCCAGTCAACAAAAGTTTTATTTTAAGTAATTTAAAAATTAAGTCTTACCTAAATTCATATCACAAGGTCCTTGAACCTGAAGTCGATAATTAACCCAGATAGTGCCATTCGGATACAACAACAAGAAGATGTTTGGCGACGGTGAAGTGTGGATCTCTGTCTTCTTGGAATTTACAAAACAAACATTCGGAGTCCAGAGCTTGTCCACAATTTCATGCCCTAAGGTAAGGTTCTGTAGACAGCTGGTCAGATGGTCGAACCTTAGCCGAGCGTCGTACCAAATCTGGCTGAACAGTAAGTCAATGGTGAAGGTAGAGCTGATCTCTGATACTTGGGCGATAGACTGGATAACAAACTCTATGGTGACTACAGTAGGCGTAAGTTTGGAGGGGCAGGTGTTCTTGTTGTACTTGTGGTTGAACAAGGTCTCTAGTACAAACTGGGCAAGAGAGTCGTCTGTCGGATCACTGTAAGTGAGTTTTAATTACTATGATAGGAAAGTAAAGTTTAAAAAAACTTTTTCATTATTAAATTTGTTACAAGTTGTTATAGCAAATGGACTTAGACATAATGAAAACAAGAACAGTACTAAACGTACCAACTCTCAGGTATCTTGTATTCGTCTTTGTGCAGTTCCAATGCAAACCTGTGTGTCTTGTGTACCATCTGTGCCATAGTGAGAGCCATTGTTAGGATATGTACTCCATGTACCAGCGACGCATTGTTCGTAAAGTTCATATTTGAAGTTGAGGCGGTAAAGGCGAGTTCTGACAGAGTAAAATGCAAATCACGCCTTATTCGATAAGAAGAGGGCCACAAACGAAATGGCACAAACCGATGTTACTTATGGTGCGTTATGAATACTGGATTCTGGTCTGGAGAGTGTGTATATTATGATTGGGTGGGGATCTTAATGTATGTGAAACTTTGCTTTACTAATCTCAGAGTCTGGCTGCTACTGGGAAATACGATGGTAATGTATTTTGAACAAGGAAGATAACAACTCAATGGGCCTTGGTGAAGTAAAATTACTTTAAAGTGTCATAACTACAACACCTATTTAAAATTAACTGTTATATTGCACCCTATGTTACCAATTGTTAAACTGTAGACACTTTAACACGTTGATGACATATACCATGTTATATAAACCAAAAGGTACATTATGTTAAACCTTCACTTTTATACCAGCTCATTAATTATGGATGTTGCAAAGTATAGTAATCGTATCAGCTGGTCATTGTTTGAGTTTCCATTGTAATCGTATCTCTATTTGACCATCACTTTCACACCAACTTTCCCATTCTTTATGTGGTTGGCACACAATGACTGGCCGTGGTAATGAATGATTGCAAAAGCACATTCCCCTCCCGGCGCATTTTCATTAGCCAAATTTGGGGCCATTCCTCTATCTGTTGTGTTATATTACCTTTCACTTTTACTCTACTTTCCGGAAAGCCATGTTAATCGTCGCTTTATAGTAAAAACTTTGTTCACATGTTATATCTTTAGTAATTTGTATTTAAAACGATATTTTTAAAGTAATAGGTACAGTAATTTGTTACTTTATATTGATTTGAATATATTCTTCAACATTAGGCAACAAAGTAACGTTGAAATAGTTAATACAGCTGTCTTCTGTCAGTGGAACATGAACGATATCCGGATTAAATGTCAGAAGTCTTTTGTCATTAATCCCGCCCAGTCCAGTCAGCAGCCTTCCACTTCTTCCAGTAGCCTTCCACCCCACTCTGTAGTCCTCCATTCTTCTCTGTAGCCGGAAACGGTGTCAGTCATGTCGTTTCACTTGAGAGAAAACTTTTTTAAATTTAGAAAATAATACATTCTGTTGTGTCACACTCACCTTCGTACGATTTAGCCTAATCCGAAGATAGATTACTGCGTTAGGCCGATGTCATCATATTTTTGTTGATATTAGTTTATAAAGGATTTTTGAGTATCTTGTTTTATATTATAACTCTAAGTTTATTTTTTTAAAACTAGTTTCCATTTTCAAATATTACTACAGTAAAAGGTACTGTTACTGTAAATTACTTTTCAGTAAAGGCCTTCTAAAGTCGTTTAAGAGTTTAAAAACGCCGAATTGTAAAGTATTGTAGGCTTGGTTTAGACCCCGAGCAGATTAATGCCGTATGAATGGCGTTGGAAACGTCGCCTTCCGAGCTTCATTAATAAGTCGGCCAAAGGGTTTTGGGGATTTGGAGAAAACAAATTTGATTTCCGCTCTCCAAACTCATAAGAGGAGGGGGATTTCGCGGCCGAAACCAAAAAACGCAATGTCATGGCGAAAGTGGGGCCGTTCCACGTCGGTCTGGCACCTGAAGCTCATCAAAAAACCGGGTCTGTATTTGCATTATTAGCGGTCAGTTCCCTCGCATCCGCCGAAAACAGCCGCCGGCGGTGTTTTGCTCTCGCCCGCCTTAAACGGTAACAAAGCGTCATGGAGCTGTAGTAGGCGAGTGGGGCCGCTGGGAGAAGAGGGATACCGGAACCACGCCACCGACCCCGATTTCCGGAGACCGACCGCTTTCTTTACACTGTTCTCGCTAAACAGAGGTCAGAATTTGTTGTCAGCTGTGCCAAACACTGCCCTTTACCCGGCTTACTCGTCTATCACTCAGGTGTCACTGTGGGCCGCGTTTTTCTTTTTATTTGTAAAGTGTTCGGGTGCACATACTGGTGCTATAGGGTGTTCCTGCTGGACTAAACTGGTCTAGAATAATGTTGACACCAAAGTTTCTGTACTTTAGCCCTTTATATTCCTTTTCGACCAATTTTGTACCTTCCATATAATATTTTTTAAAAACTAGGTAAACTATACCTATCATATTGTAGTATTATGTACAATATCTTATCGAATATTGTAGTCTTTACTCTAAATAACCCTTTACATCTTCGCATTAAATAAGTCGTAATCCGTGTCAGAAATATTGTCACACATACGTAGAGATATAACGTGTTACCTATTCGTTCAGCGATTCCTTGTCACGACATTTGTAACGTAATATAGTATCACGCAACTTCACTTACAGGACACCAAAATGTTCATTACTCTGCTACCACTATGTACCTGGTTGTAACCATAATATGGCTTGCTCTAGGGCCCATGGCCCATGCCAGACGATGTTATTCTTGTGCTGGTACTTGTCACAGTGAGCCGTGCAACTGTCAGGTATGCTTTTGCACTGTACATAATACATAGATAGTGTTTTTTTCAATGAATATTACCATTGAAAGTGTGATATTTATTGTATTTCACGTATTTACCCTATTTTTCGAATTTTACAGCCCACTACCCCCAAATAAAGCTACTTTATTTTGAGTAACAGATATTGTGCTTGAAGGCTCGAGTATCACTTTGTTTACTTCATCTTTTGTGCCAAACTACATTTATATAACACAAGTAGATATTCTATTTATTGTTTTGACCAACTTTAATTTTAGATGGGATCATGTGAAGCCGATTATTGTTTTACGGAGAAAAAGCCCACCGAAGTGCCAGGCCTGTTTCGTATCACAAAAGGCTGTGTGAAACGTCCCGCTCGTACACGAATTGGCTGCGACTACGACAAGACTCTCAACTCCGTCCAATGCATCTGTATAGGCGACTTCTGCAACGATGCCGTCTACATGAGACCGATTCTCAGGAGGAACATAACCTGCAGGAACTGTCCCGAACGAGACCCCGACTGTGGCCGGGTATGTCATGGCCAATGGTGTCATGAAGATGTTAACAGTGGAGCTACCGGTTGTGGGTATGGGCCGCCATCGTTACCTTACTTCTACGCTGGACCAGAAGTATTGAATCACCGTTCTAAAGTCTGTATCACACTAAGTCGAGGCAACGGTGTACCACAACGACATTGCATCTGCAACACCCACCTTTGCAACGACATGTTCAAAGAGTCACCTATATTAGGGTCAGCAGCTCAAAAGTCGCGTTCTGTCGCCATACAGTAAGTTTTACAGCAAAAACCGTTACATTTGAAAGAAAATGCATATAAAGTTGTGTAAATTAATACATCAACGACCCATGAAAGCTCTTTTCGCTTCAGCTATCCAGAACAGAAGCCCCAGCTGCACCGTTGTACCAGCTGTGATGTTACTTCCCAAAACAACGCCATGACCTCGGCCTGCAAGCAACATTCGTGCATCGGTCAATACTGTACATATACAACACAAAGGGTAGTCGTTGGTCTTGGAGGTATAGGAGCACAGTCATTGATTCACGAGAAACAGGGATGCCTTAACGTTACCGATCACAATCAGGTAATAACAGCACCAGGGCCTGGCGTTGGGGGGACCCCCCCTAAAAAATGTTCGAAAAAAGTTGAACGTGTTCCCCCTATGGATTTTTTCGACCCCGCCCCCAGACCAAAGGTCCCCGCCCGGCACTGAACAGTACCATAAAAAACCCTATTTTTAAGTTCCATTTAATACTTCTACAGAAATCAGGGCTTGTAAAACTACAATATAACTATTGTCGTAGGTACAACTGGGATGTTCCCACAAATGGATGAACAATGAAGAAGAAGAACTCTTCTGTGCCTGCACTGGGGACAACTGCAACCTCGACCTTCATACCGCTTCACAGAGTGCTATACAAGAGATTTGGCCGTCCTCACTTGTCACAGTCATCGCCTTAATTGTCTGTCATCTGCTAAACTAACTGCCAACAAACAGCCATAGTCTACATTAACATAGAATAACTATGCTTTTATTATATCATGCTATACGTACGGGTATATAAATAAATAATGCATATTTAAAGTAATTCTTCAAGACGAAATTAAAGATATTATAAGCAAAATAAACTTCAGCTTCTTCAGATAAACGTTGCAAACAGCTTTAAATTACCTTTGTTTAAAAAATTAGTATCAATTTTTTAAAAAATTATTTTATACAAAAAATGCAGATATAATAAAGAAACTGTATAAAACATTACCATGCATATTCTGTCCTTCATCAGATCGAAAAAAAACGTTTCGAAAATCTCTATAAAAATAAATTACGCATAAAACGTGAATCGGTCCCAACGCGAAAACTCTGAATATCACGTTTGTTTCAGTGGAAGTCGGTAAACAGGTGATAAATAAAATAAAAAATAAAATATAAAAATTTGGAAAAGAAATTGAAGTATAGGTCTGTCTGCGGAAAGATTATTACAAAATATCACAAAGTTAGTTCAAAGTGGTAAGAATTTACCTTTTTTACATATTTCGAAAGTCTAGAACAGAAAATATGATGAATAAATGAAAATATGTCTGGGTACTATTATTTTAATTAGATAAAGGAAGAAAATTGCAGGATTCTGACAGTGATTACTCGGACTTCGATTCCATTGAGGAATTGTCGATTGGAGAGGCGGATTCAGGTGACGACGAGGATATCGAGTTACCTGAAGAAGTGAGCGAGGACGACGAAGAACCAGATCCGGATGATATAGGTAACGTTCTTTTCTGTTTCTAGTTTTCAAGTTTTAGCTGCTGAGATGGACGTGGACGAGAGCGATGAAAGCGGAGCCGAGGAGGGCACCCGCGTTACTTATCAGAAGGACATGTGGCAGATGAGGTTGTTTCCTTATGCAGATGAGATGAAACAAAATGCAGACGAGTATTTCGCTTATGTCAAGACCGGGTTGGGACGAGCTGTTTTACACCGAAACTCACGTCCTGGTTTGATATTTTGGACTCAGGAATTAAACAGGTATGCCTTTGTTTATATTATTAAATAAATGTTTATTTGTATATTTAAAGTCTTATGTTAATATTGAAAATTTTCTTTTTTAGACTTTTTTTGGCAATGTTGTGTGCTTTATAGTTTACGTTGGGTAATACTTTGTTATATTCAACTTGTTTCAGGTTTTTGACGCTATATGGAAGACGATTTTCAAAGCGAGATCACATAAACATGATCAAACTGTTGTATTCTGTAGTTATCTCAGAAAAGCTGGACTTCTCGATTGTACAAGCGGTTTCTTCTATTCTTTGTCAACTTCTTTGGTATGTTTCACTTCTTTTTCTATATTTTAAATTTTAGTCGAAAGAACTTGATCAGTCGAAACGAATTGACATTGGAATGGAAGCCTCTGTACAAATTGTATTATGAAATCACGTACAAGAACTTGGAAGAGGTATGGTTTTGCTTCTTTAGTTTTTTCTGTTGCGGATTTTAGACCTTTTTGTTTTATAATTATGTAGATTCTTACATTTATATTTCAGGAAGGAGTTTTTTTGTTGCCTGAAGACGTGAAGAAGTCACTGGAGAAAATGATTCATTATGCTTGTCCTTTCTTCTCTGATGAAGCAACCCAAGAAATCTTGGATGAAGTACGTTGTGGTTAAACAAAAGTGGTGACTAAAATACTAAATCGTTTTGTATTTTTTAAAAATTAGGTAAAACCAAGGCATGAACGCATTTTTTTAGATTCGGCCGTATTTCTGCCCGTTAGACGATTGTTTTTCAAAAGGCTTGTGTCTTTCATATCACTTTTTGCCAACTTGTCTAACACAAGAAGAACATGCCAAGTTTGGTGCTTGTTTATGGTTCGAAGAGTTTTGGCATTGGTATTCTGAGGCTGATCCCACAGCTACAACGGAGACTCTTTTTGCTCAAATCTTTGGTAAACTGGCCAAAGACTCGCCGTTCTTCATTGATTACAGTGATAAGATGGAGCTGATCTTCAGTCAGTTGTTACATTCCTTCAAGTTAGACGTTGGATCGGACAGAGTCAATGTGTGGACGAGTTCGAATGTTTTCAGCCATATGGCCAACTTGTTAGCCTACAATTTGGGCGATGAAAAGGATGTGTAAGTTTAATTATAAGTTTAATATTATTCTATTTAAGGCGTTTTATGAATTTTAAAGCTACAATTAGCTATTGTTTAACTTTTAGGACACAAGCGTATCTAAACAAGTTGTTCCGAACGGTTGAGAACTACTTTCATCCTTCGAATAACGGCCAATACACTCAGAACTTGCTGAATTTTGTGGCCATGTTGGCCAGCGAAATTGTGAACCGGGTATCTCGTGAACGATATAACTACAAAAAGCACATAATTCCAGTAAGCTTCACTGCATTACATATTTTTAAAATTGATTTTTTGATTTGAGAAGATGTTTTTTGATATTGTTTTAGATTCCTGAGAAGTACAAGTTGACCGACCAGAAAGTGGATGCTTTTGTCAAGTCGATTCTACCGTGTTTGGAATACGCGGCTTTCTCCAAAGTAAAACACGAATACGTGCCTTCTATTATGCGGGTTTTGTCGTTTTTGTCTCCAGGGCTTATAATTCCGTCAGTGTTAGATTTGTAAGTTTGTGTGTTTCTTGTTTAATATTATCGCTTATTTTAGTATATTTGTTGACTTTTTATTATTGCAGAGTATATCCAGCAATAGAAACAGTAACGGAGCCTCATCGTTTGATGCAATCGCTATTCATTTTGTCAGGGGTTTGTGTGTCATTAGTCAGGGACGATCCGTCGAAGCAAACGGGAGAACGGCGGCCCATCAAGTATACCGAGGAAATCGAACCGAATGCGCATTTGAACAGTTTCAGAATACATGCTATTAACATATTGTGTAACATTTTGCCGGGTATCGACTTGAATGATACTGTGAAAACAGCTTTAACCGTTCAGGTAGGTTGGTTTAAATATAATCTTATATTTTACTATTTTATCGTAGACAGATTTATTCAAATGAAATTACTTTCAGATTACTGGTGTTTTGTTATTATTGATTCCAGTACACGATTGCTCAGAGGCCGTCTATGTGAGGGACGATTTGACAGAGGAGGAGAAAGAGTTGTGTGCTGCTACTGCAAGATTCGATCCATTCATAGATCAGTTGTTGGAAAGGTTGTTCAACATGTTGGAAGTGTTCGGAAACAATCCTGGAGTGAACACTCACAATACTCGACTGAACCTGACAAAGCCGCGACAAAAGAGCGTGGAGGAAGTTGTGTTAGAACGAGGAATTGGTGGCGTCATCAGAAGTTTGCTCAAGAATTGCAGTGTTGCTATCTACGAGGTAACTTTACATACCTACTTTTATATTATTTAGAAATTAGTGGCCCTACTGTTCTGAAAACCTCATTTTGTTGTTTTAGAAAACCCTTCGCTTCTTCTACAACTACCTTGTCTCGGCTCTGACTGATTCTCGGCCGGTAATGGACACCTTGAAAGGGCTGATTCCTATTTTCATTCTACATTCTCCTGAACGGGCTTTTCCACTATTTTTTGACTTTACTTTCAACAAACTAAAGACCCTTGTTACCGGTAAGTTAACATATTGTGGTTATATTGGTGTTTAGAAGAAGCTTTAAACGACGACGAAGTGGATTCATCTCTAATATGGTACTTGAATATGTTTTCGGAGGTTGTTCATGGAGTTCCTGCTAGATTTTTGACGCAAAGAAGGGCCCAGATCGATGCCATCATTGATTTGGGTGTCAAGTTCAAGTGTAAGGATGCAATTAATGTGATGGGAAGGATCATACAAAACACGATATCATCGTTGACCTCATTTTCACCTATATCATCTTCCCTGAAACCTGAAAAGGATGTAGGATTGGATCAACGTCTTCCTATCAGGGTATGTAAGCTTGCTAGAATTGTTGCAGTTTTAAATATTAAATAAAAATTCTAGTTTTAAAGTCCATGCTTGGTTTTAGGAATGGGCCAAAACAATCGAGAAGAAAACGTGGGAAGTGAAGTGGGAGTTGCCAACCGAAGAAGACATTCAATATGCTCAAGACCTGGTTAACAATATAGTCTTTTATCAATTGGACCGACTCAGAGAACCGGCTGAAGTGGACAAGTTGTCTCAGTATGTTTGATATTGGTTGCTTTATTATAATATAACGTTATGCGTAATGCTTTGTGCAATACATTAAATTATTATTTTACAGCAATGATCTACAGAAACGACTGATCTTTGTCCGATGTGCCATTCTGGGAGGCTCTAAACTGATGCCGTTTATGGAAGGAAAACCTCTGGGTCAGCTAACTGATGAACCGGCTGGTCTGTTTGTGGATACCGTGTTTATCCCACGAGCAATGAAGTGTCTGACATCAACAGACGGCAGTAACCTGAGGAATGTTGTTTACGAAAGGATAAACATACTGGCAGACCACGTCTTAAAACGAAGAGAGAACGACACAAAGACCATGGTGGAGATCATTGGAATCTTAAGGATTTTGTTACACGTTCGAGGTATCGACGAGAAGTCCTACCAACCCTTGTTGACTTCATACAGAGCTACAAAGAACAGTTTGACAGATCCGTTGAGAGGGCCGTCTGTTAACATTGAGTCTGTGATGGAAGATTCTCTCGTTTTCATGCATGTGGTGAGTATTTTAATAAGTAATGTTTTTATTTTTTAATGGCGTTATTTGCTATGTTTTAATTTTCAGAAACGGTGCATTTACAAGCATCCTCTGAGTTTGAACTCGACACATATCGATGTCTTTAAGTTGTTGATACGATTGTCTACCTCAACTTACAGTGCTGTTCGGATACAAGCACAGCGAGTTTTGGATTCGTGCTTTAACACATGGGCGAGGTCTTATCGCTATGTCCTGGACGACATTCTTTATTACATTCAGAATGGAGCACAGCTAACTCACGAACAATTCAAGGTAAATATTTTTCATTTCATGTGTAAGATTTTCAATTGTTTTATGAATTATTTGGTTGCAGGGTGCTTTGTACATACTGTATACTGGTAAAAGTAGGAGTATTTCGTTGCGACAAGACTGGAAGGCTTTGCTCAAGATTTGGCCATGTCTAGTCAGGGCGCAGTTCAGCGAGAAACCATCAATTGTAGCTCTATTGGATTCTATACACGACATGTTTATCAACAACTTTGCATCTTTCGAAATCTATTTCACGGTAGTTTACATTTTTATATCTAAGGAGGCTCTTTATATGTGAAAATTGTGGACTAAACTGTTATGTTTTTAGTTCCCTGATAATGTCCTCGATCACGCACGTAGCCTGTTGGCCGACTACGATGGTTGTATACATTCGCCTCAATATCCTGGCTTCACTTACATGACAGATCCAGAGTCGAAGGAGATGGAAAGTAACAGAAATGCTACGAATGTTAAGATGTACTACGAACTCTGTTCCCAATTAGTACAACTCTCAAACGACTCAACTCTGCATTGGAGACACGCGGAATTAGCACAGTCCTTGTTGTCATTGTTGTTGAGGAGAGACATTGAGTACCCTAAGGATGCTGTAGTCATATTCACAAAGTTGTTGGCATCAGACACTATTCGAACAAGGAAGACTGCAGTCAGTCTAATGAGTTCTTGGTTGAAAATCAACAAACCTAAAGCTATCAGATTCGACCAACAGTTCAACAAGGGAGAGAATGGGCCAGGAGCGAAATTCCCGATCAAATACGGAATCAGAGAGGACAATCAGTGGGCCATCTTCAAGCCGGAAGACACTCCTAGGACTCAACAACATTGGGACAACGCGGATTTCCATCCAAAACCTTTCTGGGGGTTTTACACTTGGCCTGCTATGTACAGAGCGTACGCTAGTCCAGCCAAACAAGTCTATGTAAGTTTGCGATTACTCATCTTAACTGTAATTTAGATCAACCGAACCCGTGATTCTTTGAATGAAACCGAAAAAGAAGTCGTAGCTCTTCTCACCGACCCAACACATCTTGGACGTGTTCTGAAGTTGATGTCAGTAGAGGAGAAAAAAGGATCAGAGGAGTTCAGTGTGTCTTCGTACAGTTTCTTCTACGGTCTGACGAGGCAGTTCAATACCGATATTGTGGAAGCCCTGAAGCCGTTTGTGGACTTGTACTTAGATAACAAGGCCGAAGCTTCACAACGATTGGCGGCTGAAATGGTGTCCGGAATCCTGAAAGGCTCCAAATTGTGGACATACGACAAGCTAGTACCATTGAGGAATTGGCTGGGACCAAAGATTATTGGAGTTCTGGAAGGAATGAAGAACGAGATCGAAGGACTTTGGGCTCAAGCACTGGTCTCCGTCTTCTTCGACTTGGAACCGCGACAAACTTACTGGCTGTACGAAATGATGATGCAGTTGTGGAAGAAGCCCACAGACAACTCATACCACATATCAGCAAGGCTTTATTTCTTACATTGTGCTGCCAGTCAATGGGAATGGCGATCGCTTCCAATGTGGCACGAACTGGTTCAGATCGTACAACCATATCTGGGACATTCTCTGCAAAACTTGAGATCGCGGGTATCAGCGTGAGTCGATTTTATTTTGGCAAATTGTTTTTAATATGGTTAAATAATTTTATATTGTAACAAAAACTGCTTTGATTTTAGTATTGTGTCCGATGCTTGTCAGTACGAATATAGAAGAATGTACGTAGCCCCCAACACTGCTGCAAACATGAGACCTTTATGTTTCCGTGACGTCGCCAACTCGATTAGACCAGAAGTTCAAAAGTTGTTCGATGTTGCTACTGGAGTGCTAAGCAAGGTGTCGTCGAATGCTGAACTTATGGAAACAGAGAGCTCGATCCCTCCTGAAAATGGTGACGATCTGAAGAAGGAACGAATGTTAACATTGACTTTCGTCTCTATGTTGTCCCTGTCGTCATCACAGTGCACGGAACCTCATGTTCTTCAGTTCATCCCTTTGTTGGCTCACTATTCGAATGACACCAAGTAAGTATAATATTGTGATTTTTATATTAATTTCACACATTCATCGTTAACTGAAATCTTTTCAGAGACGAAGAGCTAAAGAACGGATGTAACCTGATTCTTCTTCACGTTATGAGCGTCGTCCCAGTTCATAAGAATAATATCAATGCATTGTTGGAGAATATCGGAGAGGTAATTTTCTATTTTATATTATTTAAATTGCGGATCTGAAAATCAGGGACGTCGCTACGGATTTTCTCTGGACCTGTGGACCGATTTTACAAAACAATTTTTTTCGTTTTTTCACGTACAGGTACCTACCTACCTGTGGAATTTTTTTCGGATTGGCTCTGGGGGAGGGGGTACCCCCCCCCCTCCTACCCCCCTCCCCCAAACGACGTCCCTGCTGAATATATATTCACTTGTTGATGTTATTGCCAACTTGTTATGCAAAGCATTTCAGGCACTACGGAAGTGTACATGGTGGAAGTCGAGAGTGTCGTTGTTAAAGTTCCTTCAAGTCTCGGTCTTTTCCAATGTGTTCTTCCTTCAACATGCCATTGATGACATCTGTAGGATACTGTTCCACTTCTTCACAGATCCACAATTGGAAGTTCGAACATGTGCTGCTGATACTTTATCAGGATTCATTAATTGTGGATTCGTAAGCGTCAACGAGAACTTACTGGTAAGCAACACGTTTTTGTCTTACTTTTAAAACAGGTTTGTTCAAAGATAAAACGAAACACATTCTAGGCCGTAATCATGGAAATGGCCAGCAGCAAAGAGCCCCTCCAACGCCATGCCGGAGTTCTGGGTATGGCGTCGATCATTCAAGCATTCCCCTACACCGTGCCTAACTTCTTGCCAGACGTCCTGATGAAACTGTGTCGGTACGCTTCTGAACGTCAGCCAATCCAAACGACGGTCAAGAAGGCCCTCAGCGAGTTCAAGCGAACCCACCAGGACTGTTGGCACGAACACAAACAAGAATTCACGGACGACCAACTGACCATTCTGACCGGTCTCTTGGTGTCCCCGAACTACTACGTTTAAGCCTTTCAAACATAATTTATGATTGTCGCTCCGGTTTGCAACATTTCGGTTCATTTTGTACTCATGAGTTTCTTTTATTTTGTTGACTAATTCGATAAATCTTTTCACTTATCTGGGGATTTTGAAACAACTGTAATTTCATAATGACAATATATTTGGCGCTCTTTTGAAAATGGGTAATCAGTTTTATAGTTATGGATTACTTTCGTGGATGGGTCGCCATTACAATGATACAGCAACTGGGAATTTTAGTAAGGATATCTGTGGATTCAGAAAGTCTCCAAATTGCCTTTTTCAAGAGTACAATATCGCGTAAGTCAATAAAAAACTATTGGGGAAGTTATATGCTTATGGCTCGATTTTGACAATTTAGGTAAAGCTGCGCGTCCCTATGTCAGTTTATTCTTGGTTTTTACTATCCAACAACTAATGTTAAAACTCGCGCTACAGTTCGACATCAAAAACAAAACTCTCAACTTTATACACGTTGTATTTTCTATTGTGACATTAGTTTTCTTCGTCCTCGAGACGTTTTTATACCAGTACTTTGAACTTACTAACTCATCCATGATCCAGATGGGCTTTAACCTCATTTCTGTCATCTTCACGTTGATAATGTGGCCCAAGCTAAAGGAGGAGGAGTCCGTTGAAGAACATCGACCTCGCAGGGTTATAGCTAAACATTTTATGGAAACACAGGTGAGAGGATTCAACACTACAGACGTACCTCAAGAACCTAAAAAGACAAAGTAGCATATGATAATATAATTAACTCATTGTACTTGATAACGGCATCAGAAAGACGAATCTCAAACATCATAAACAAAGAGTATCTCAATTCAGTAACTGCCATTTTATTATTCCAGTATAATATTAATTGAATAAATGTACATGTTATGATTGTTTCTCGGCGTTCTGCTCGATCAATAATTGCTTTGGCTTCTTGACCCTCCTTCTGATGATCACGGTCTGTCCCGGCTTGATACCTACAGTGTCCACGATGTTCTGTTGGATTGCTGTAAACTTCAGTCCATTCCTAGCTTCGATGGTCGGCTGTGTCCTAACGGATGGTGCTGTTGGTGCTTCTGATTCGTGCGTAGGCTCAGGATTGTCTAACGTCGGAGGTTGATCGTTAAAGCTTTGTTCAGGTGTGTCCTCAGTAACTATTGTTTCGGTTATCACGTCCGTTGTTACATTTACTTCGACATCTTCATCTTCTGCGAATGTTTCGCTTTTTGGCCTGCGCTTTCTCTTCAAGATTGACGGCTTCGTAGTGCGGGGCCCTAGCTTCATCAAACCACTGCTGCTGTGGCTGTTCTCCACGTTGAGGAAGGGAGATTTTGTGTTCACATTCAGGGTAGCTATCTTCTCCAACTTTGTGTTAGTGTCGGCCAGCGACTCGAGATAATCCAAAACTTCTGCTGGAGGTTCATTGTTGAGATATAAGTGTGGAACAAAGTCTTCATGGCTGGGATCGGAAGAAGGTCGACCTTGACGAAAATGAACACTGCATACCTAAAATACAATTCTTTATAATAACGTTGTTCTCCTATGCTGTGCTTTATTCAGTTATAACCAGAGAGTTATCTAAAGACCAAACTTATAAATGAATACTTACTCGATCCTTTGGGGAAATTTCTCTGTCGCCAAACACTTGAAGCCATCGAACTCGTTTTAGTCCAGGTTCTTTGGGAATACAGAAGAACCTCACTGAATGGTACGCGTTCCTGCGGTTCCATCCACAAAATACACACTTTTCGTTTCCAACTCCTCCTGAAAACACAAAATTCATTGAAAATCAGAGAAAAGATGTGTAAAATAATATTTAAAAACATAAAAAATGAAACTATAAAATTTTTTACAAAATCTCGAATAGAAGAACAAACTTGCCTCGACTCATGATTTACGTCTCGCCCCGAAGACCAGGAGAAGATCAACTTGTTTATGGCGAAAAATTAAAAAGAAGCCGTGGTTTCGCAACGACTTTTCCTGATATTCAATCCTTGGCATTGGGACGACGAAAATACGCAAATTTTTGTATGACTGTCAAATTTGGACATAAAAGAAGTATTGGGATGGTACGATAAGTGTACCTTTTTATTGTTAATTTAGCTTATATAACTATGCATGTAGACATAAACACTTAAAAATATATTAAATTAGTCATCCACTAGGTCTCTTTTTTTTCTGCTTATCCTTGTCATCAGCAAAGGCAGGGAAGTCGTATGGGGAAGGCCGGCCTTCGAACACGATGTTGTACTGCCCCTCCCAGTCAATGTGTTGTTGTACTTGTAAGTCGGCTGAAGGTTGACCATACACGTCTCTGAAAATAAAAATTATTTAAAGCCTTTCTATTCTATAATAATTTTAAACTTAAAACATAATTTCACAAATAAGTTTGCAGTTTGGTCAAAAAGTGTTTAGAACATTCAATAAGGTAAATTCTACGTAACTTTTGACCAAAACAAAAATTCATCAAATAGGATAAACAACTTACCTGGTATTCAAAAAGATGTGATCGATGGCAACTTGACCTTTCATGTCATTGTCAGTTTCAAGATCAAGGAAGATGCAACTCGGCTGAGGAAGGAATGTCAGTTTAGGCAGGTCCTTGCATATCATGGTATCTTCAGACTTGTTATACTGAATAGATGGAACACAACCCATTTGAAAGTGAGCAATGTAAAAATAATAACGACGCTTTAACTACAAAATTAGATGTTCAAATTGGATTCCCAAGGAAGATTATAGATTTTATTTTTTTTTATATTGTGAAAACTTAAATCCATATTATTTTTAGCAGGTTGTTATAAAATTATCAAGAGGGATATTGTATAAACCTGGGCCCTTTTGTACAAATTCATAATGTACTCTTGTCTTTCGGAGAAGAATGGCTCCCGGCCCGCAAAGCCGTCGGCCGCAGCCCGGAAAAAATAAGAAAATTCTGTAAAAAATTGTTCGTTGCTGCTTTTTGCAGACGAATTCCGATCGTTTATAAAATCAGTTTCATTGAACGAAATGTGTTCTGGTGTATGAAATGAGTGAGCTTAGGTAAGTTAGCGTATAATTATGTCTGATTTCTGTAGATTAACCGACTTTTACTGCAATGTAAGTGGAGATAGAGCCAGGGAATTGCTTTTTCTCTATGGATCGAAAGGCGAATTCTTGATCCGGCCAAGCGAATCGAACCCTTTTGACCACACCATATCAATTCAGTAAGTTTTTTGATTTTTGTTGTGATGTTTAGGCTCTAATTGTGTGTGAACATTAAAAGAACACTTAAAATATTGTTTTAAAGCTCTATATTTAATTGTTTAAGTCGAAAAATTGATAAGTATTGATTAGTTTATATAAGAAGAGAATGTTACTCATGTTTATGCCTCTTTTAAGCCGGTTCTCATGTTTTAGTATGCTAATAATTGTCATTTTTAGCCGTGGTGGTCGAGTAACTCATGTCAAGTTAAGTGGTAAAGGTGGGATTCATCGTCTCCCCACTGGCGATGAATTCATAAACCTTTGTGCTTTGGTGCAACATTTAATGGACACACCCAACTTATTATGCGAGAAAGACGGAGTATTCATAGAAGTTACTCATCCTGTCAAGATCGCAGCTCCAGAATCCGTGGTTAACATAGGACAAGATCGCTTCTTTCACATTGACATAAATGGTCTTGAAGCTGAAGAATTGCTTTCAGAAGAGCCAAATGGAACGTTTTTGATCCGAGAGAGTACCAGTGTTCCAGGAGAATATGCTCTGAGTGTGAAGAACGAAGACACCACACTTCATGTCAGGATATACCATGATGTGAGTCATTGTTTATTTTTTAATTTTTTTAAAGTATTGGCTTAATTTTATGTTTTTTAGGAAAATAAATTCCGAATAGTGCCGAAAGATAACTTTCGAAGTTTGGCTGAACTGATAGAGAACTACAAAAACATACCCATGGTGCAGTATACTGGTACGGTAGTCAAACTAAAACAGGTATGTAGGGTGAAAAAGAGTATTCTTAATAGCGATTTACATATAAGTACGTTTTTGTGCTTAAAAGTATCTATTATATCGTCTTTGGAAGTATTTGTTACCTAAACTTTTCATTTTTAGCCGCTTCTGTCAACAAAGTTTACAGCAGCGTCAGTTGATGATAGGATAGAAGCGCTAATCAAGACTGCTAAGAAACCTAACGCTCGAGATGGCATCGCTGAAGAGTTTGATGTAAGTTCTGATGTTATGTTGTAGGTTTAATTTTGGACTTTGCGATTAAATAGGAAATATTTGTGTATGGTTTTTAGTTACAATGATCTAAAACTAAAATGTTTAGAAAATTCATCATGACAAGAGCTGTTCGTTGTACGTGAGCTGTAAAGAAGGCCGAAAGCCGGAGAACGTGCGGAAGAACAGGTATCGAAATGTGGTACCCTTCGACCATACTCGTATCAAACTACGGCCTTTGGATCCAGAAACTGCGACTTCAGAATTCAGTGATTACGTGAACGCTAACCTCGTTAAAGTTCTGAGCAACGTACCATGTTATTCTGAATTCACAGGGATCGAGAAACGCTACATATCTACACAAGGATGTCTACAGCACACGATCGGAGACTTCTGGCACATGATCTGGCAAGAAAACGTCAGAATCATAGTGATGACTACCAAGGAGACAGAACGAGGACGACTCAAGTGTTCGGTTTATTGGCCGAACCGAGGGGAAGAACATCGTTACGGTCAGAATCACGAGTTCAGAGTACGGTTGAACCGAGAAGAGAGTAAAGGAGAATATGTGGTGCGACAGTTGGAGTTGGCATACCTGAAGAAGGGTGAGAGCATACCCACAGCAGTCAGACACGTCTACCATTATCAGTTCTTGGCATGGGAAGACAACGGATGTCCTTCAGATGCCGTCCTCATTTTCATGGAGGAGATCAACAGATGTGCCGTTCCAAGATGTCCTCCAGACTGTGGCCCTATGCTAGTGCACTGTAGTGCAGGCATTGGAAGAACCGGCACGTATATAGTACTGGACATACTCATAGAGAAGATCAAGCAAATAGGTAAGTCTTTTTATTGATCTGGTTTGTATGCATAATGTTATTATTTTCTTGATATCCTTAACATTTTACTCTATTTATGTAAATCAATTTAGGCCCTCATTGTTCCATTGACATTCCAAAGACGGTACGGATGGTACGTGAACAACGAGCGACAATGGTGCAGACCGAGGCCCAGTATCGCTTCATCTACTACGCGATCTCAACCTACATGAAGATGTGGAGGAAGGAGCACGCTTTGAACGAGATCACCAATGCTCTCCCTCCTCCTACCGTTCCTTACGACGATCCCGACGACGAGCTCGAGAGCAACGAGGAGTACGAGAGTGAGGAAGATTCGGATGGATCTTAACCATTAGTATTTATCTACACGTCTGTAAAGCTTTTACATTGATTTCTGTTAATTATTGATATCACCAGCTAGTTTTGTTGACTATTTCGATTACTATGTACATATAAACAAGATTCTACGTCTGTGAGCTTTGTTGGTCCGGGTGAGCGTATATCACGGGATAGGTATTTACATCGCTGATGGCCACATTAGATGATGGGTGACAATTCCGTGGGTCAGCGGGGCATTCGAAGTGTACCAAATGGAACACTTCGTTGGCTGTGTTTCTGGTACCGGTTATCTTGATGAAAACGACCGGCAGAGGTTTGAAGTAGAAGGTCTGCCAACTCTGTAGCTGACGTCCTTCAACTATCTTCACAAACTGTTCGTTATCATGGGATACTTCTATCGTAAAACAATATCTACGGTCGTCGCAATCCCACAACAGCAATCTGAAACAATATGATTATTAAAAACCACGTTGCTTGGCCTATAGTATAGGGAATTAACATCAAGAAACTGCTAAAAACTTACTTCAAGGACCCGATTATATAAGGTTGAGGTAATTGTACCGTAATGAAGCCACTGCCCAGCTGATGACAAGTGTAGCCATTGTCCCAGTCGTAGTTTTCTGTGATTCCATTTAAAAGTGCATTCCTACTTCGTGACACGCCTTCTATAACATGGGCGTTCTCTTCTATCGTCGCCACATTATGTACAGGTATAATAGTATCGTTGTGTAGTTCCGGGGATTCCGAGACATACATGGCCTTCAGTTCTGAGATGTAGAACATCGTGTGGACAGAGGAACGATTGCATGTCAAGCGAATGAAACTAAAATAATTACAAATTGGTTATTCACTTGAAAACGATACATCGAAAAAACACTTATTGGTAATCAAAACTACCGTCCAAGTTAACCATAATTTGCAAGGTAATATTATGAATCACGCACCGTGCTACTCTTTCCGAAAAGAACAACTTTTGTTTTCCCCTACAGTAGAACTGGTTGTAATTGATGACTCTAACCCAATCAGTGCCGTCCATACTAATATCAATATAATAAGAGTACAGCCTCTGATCTCTGTCGACCATGTGCAGCTCTATGTAGTTGATTATATAAGCACGGCCAAGCTGAAAGATAGATTGTACAAATAAACTTGTGAATTAAGGCTTCAAACATTACAAAAAAGAATTCCTTCTTGTAATATAAACAAAATGTAATCTACCTCAACCGTGATGCATTGGTCTTGAATCGCGACTTCATGGCAGGTACACTTCTCGATCTCAATCTTTTGATCATCTTTTGGCTTCATGATCGTATCTCCGTTCTGTCCCTCAATTACTTTGGCTCCCATAGCCGTAGATACCACGTTCGTGTTTAGTTCTACAATACAGGGACGTCGTTTGGGGGGGGTGGCAATGAATTGAAAAAAAATTTTTTGAAAAATCGGTCCACAGGTAGCTTACCTGTGGACCGAAAAAAATTTTTCGACCTCCCCCCCCAGAGAAAAACCGTAGCGACGTCCCTGCTACAATATATTTTATTATAATATTACCATCACATATAACATTTTCAATAATTATTCCGTTTTGTTTTGGAATTCAAATCTAAATTAAAACAACAAAAAAGTCTTACTCTTGAATCCCCTGTAGCCCAAATCGGAAGTCCTTTTGGATATCTGATCGTTGATGGCATCCAGAATCCGTTCAGGTTCGATCATGTTGGTAGGTCTCACAACTTCCATCAGATCTCCTAGCTTGATCAACGGTAATCGTATCTGTTGTAGCAGACTATTGTACATGTTTTCTTCTTCTGGATGACAGTCGATCCACTTCATCAACGTCTGGAATATCGACAATTCCAACGCACAAAACGAATTCCTACTTAATATTTGTAGTAGACCCGACCCGGTTAGATGAAGGAAACTCTAAAACGTGAAGTTTAATGATAAGTAATACACGAAATCAAGACAACAGTAAGACTTGAAATTGTTTACTGTAGCTTTACGAAACCTTTAAATTCCCTTACATCAGTTGCCATGACTTCAGCTGCGTATCTGTCCATGAACTCCAAACAGTCGTTCATCAACGTTTCCAACGCGTACAAGTGGGCAGTGGAATATATTACAGTAACCGTGCTAACTTGCAGTGAATGTTTTAGATACTCACACATTGATTCTTCTAGTTTCTTGATCCCGTATAGATGTACAAGACCAAATACATCCAAGAACAAGTTTAATTTCATGTTATTGAACCTCAGCTTGCCCGTATAAAAGTAGTTTAACAAGATTTCAAATGCCGGAGCTGATGTATCATGTAGAACAACTTCAGCATCTTGACGTTCTCGCATTCCGCCAAAGAACATAGCTCTAAACTCAATAAAATTGATAATATAAGTCATCGTCTTACCTAAAGTATTCACTTCGACAAGACAATATCGTCTTGTGAGCGTTGAATCTTTTATCATCTACAATAAGAGTTACATCGCTGCATTCTGGCGACAAATACAGTCCTTTTATTTGATTTGTCAGTGTTTGGACGTCGTTGAATTCTTGGTTATTGTGTACATTGGGTAAACTACCTTGTCCCACTTCTTTGTCACTAGGACTTTGAAGAAGGTGATAAGGAGAATACTCGCTCATCACTAAACGATATTTCCGATAAATTTTAATCAAATAATATGCATTAAAGTTATGTTTCAATCAAACTGTATAAAGTAAACATTGATTTAAAACAATTAATAAGCACAACTAGATATAAAACGAATATTTATTAATTTAACGCGACAACAAGGAATGAGAACACAGTTGAGTGAGATATCGCTGATTATGACTGTCTAATCTCTGAACGAATTGAAACGACGTTGAGGACGGTCGAATGATGATCTTCTGTTAACATTGCCTCCGTTCCTGTAGCTTCTTTCCACGGGAGAGTAAATGGCTACATCAATATAGTCTCCAATCTCAAAGCCAGCTTCTTGCAAGGTTTTGGCGTCATCAACACCTCGGTTTCCATTCTGTAGAACGCCAACGGATTTAGACTGGTATTTTCCAGTGTTTCGAGATGGATACACTAAAAACAAAACTAAAACAATTGGTTAAAACTTACCAACACTGAAATCAAATTCAGTTCCCTTCTTTCGCGAATCTGTATTTACATCTTTGATTAACGTAACTAACTCTTTGAGGGTACAATCTTTCCTGGAAAATAAAAATATACAACGAACTTTGATAACCTTATCTTGCTTTTTACAAAAACTAATGTGCAAAGAACTTACCATGTGTAAATTTGAATTTCGTTGGATGGTGTTGAGCCTCGGCTAAACTCTCCCAGATGATTGTGACCGTTTTGTTTCAAGAAGATTCTCAAAAGCAGTGGACAAACCTAAACGTCATGTACAATGACATCTTTAACTTACTTTCTCTCTGTCAATTGTTTGAGGAACAGGGGCAGCAACTTGAGAGATCACATGCGCCATTTTAAAAAGAACGATGGGTATATAAAAGGATATTTAATAGCTAGATAGATAACAATATGGCGAACAATTCTTTTTCTCTCAAAAATAACGCTTGTTGCAGAATGCCAACAAAATAAATGAATGTCGAAAAAACACGCTTCACGTCAAGAAAAAATAAAAGAAAAACAAATTATCCAGAGAAAATCGCTTGGCATTCCGCAACAAGGAGGAACTAATAGTATGTGAACTTCGCGATGTTTTTTCGACGTGTTAAATTACAGATATCACAAAAGTGTTTAATAACAATTAAAAAGCAACACTTCCGTTCCCTAATTTAAAAAATCTCTTTGTGTTTGAGCGCTTAATAAAAATTTGGTATACATATTACAAATACTTTTTTCCAAACTCTAAAATACGTCATAACTTTGCAACGAGCACATGAGCAGCTATAGCGGTAATAACAGTTGGATTAAGGAGGAAATAAGGAATAAATTGATACTAAACTCGTCTGATTCTATGGAGTAGAACTTGAGTTATCAAGAGATATCAGTGTCATATTATCCATGCAGAAATTTTTCATTAATTTTTTGGCGAGATTTTCCTCTGAAAATTATTTTCCCTACTTTTTTATTTAATATGAATGCTTAATTGTTGCATTTTTTATCTTCTTTATCCTTACAAAACCTCGAAACTACATTAATAATAAACCCGAAAGGCATTTTCGAAAAAGAAAAGCTGAAGAAAAACTATTTTTCCGCTATTTGAGAAACGCCAAAAATCTGTTCAAGACGCAAAAGCAAAATCGTTTTTTCTTGACGTGCGCTTCTAATGAGATTTGAGCGCATTTCTTCGAAAAATCCGAAAAAATATAAAATAAATGTATTTATTGTCAGTATTGGTGTGTGAAAGTAGTAGCTGGATGATGTACAATGGTTCATTCACTTTCTTCTTCATAATCAGACTTGCTTTTGGAAGTGGCTTTGACGAACCCGCCTTTCCGAACTGGTAGAGTTTTCTCGTTGTAGACTTTGCCACTCTTTTGGTGTTGCTTCTTGAGGTACTGTAATGGATTGGTGATTTATTTTATGATATAATTAGATCATTTTTACTATAATAATAGTAATGTAGATCTATGTAAAGGTCGATGAAGAAGTAAAGGTATCTATATTAATATTGCACTCACTTTGTTCACCTCCTGCTTCTTCCTTGAGTAAATCGACCGTGGAGTGCGTTCGTCTGAAGTCTTATTAGTAGATTTTGTACCAGTTGCCCATTTTGGTTGGCAGATGTATTTGATACAGTACACAACTAGCCCTATGGCCGCAGGCAAGATGACGAACAGTAACACGGCAGCAATAACACCACATGTCAATAGGAACTTGTCTAATGTGCACTCGTCCTACATAACGGTACCGTAAAGACCATGGTCAGTATTTTTGAATATGTGGTTTAAAAGTTTGTATTTAGAGGGCTACTAATCTATTCGTAGTGCACCTATGTTATTTTACTTACTGAATCTTTGTTGTAAATCCTACCGAAGCCACAGTCTTGGTCCGTTCTGTCATAGAGGCTGTATCCTTTCATAATCGACCAGTCGAGGGGGCGAAGTAACAAATAGAATGCTTTAATTTTCATATTTCCTTCTTTGAAATACGTTTGAGATAAATTGCTAAGGCTTGTTAAGAAAGAATATTGTGATTAAATTGTGTTTCTGTCGGTTCTACATTCACATATTGCTGAGGATTTAAATTTGAAGTACATCTTCTTTTATAATTTCAATTAGTGACTTATTCTACGAAATCTAGCAGATAATTAGTAAATTATTTAAATTTACTTTTTGTAAAATTACTATAATATTTTGTTAGTTTACTGTCAAACTACTAAAGTAAATCACCAAATCTGAACACTAGTCTTATTTATTGGCCAATATGAATGCAAGATACGTTAGTTCAATATAATTCAAGCACTTTCTTCCTTGGGAGCTTCGGCTTCTTCTCCGCTACAACATTTGCAATCCGTGCATTCGCACTTCTCCTCGCCTTGAGCTTTGCAGCATTCGCTGGCACAGCACTTCTTTTCAGCGGTGGCTGGGGCTGGTTCTTGGTCAGAGTCTGAAAGGTGGGGAAATTAACATTTACATTAATATGAGCAATAAATTTAAGTACTAGAAATACTATTTTTTATTTTAAATTGACTTTCTAGTTCTATATTGTTTAATGGTGAGTAAAAGAAGTTCTACTTATAAATTATCCTAGAATAACCTCAAGATGTTTTAGGTATAAAAAGATAATCAAAAAGTAGTAATTTTAACTAGACTAGAGCTCAATGTTCTAGAAAAATAAGCCTAGCTCTCGTAAAACAAACTCCGGCTCCAAAGCTAAAAGCGAATCCGAAGACGGAGATACTCTGAAAACTTACAGCAAGGCATGACGGTTGACAGAAGATTAGAATTCGAAACTGAGGGATTCAGATGAGGCGCGCCTCTTTTATACGGTGCAGCCGGCTGGCCCCGCCTCCGTTTTTGGCGTTTCATATTTTGTTTTTTTTCAGTTCATGGGCGCCAATTAATGGTCGAAAAAAGAGGGAAACGATCTCTCCGGAGGCGTTTTACAATAATTTTGAACATTAGCCTAATTTCGAAATATTAATTAGATAACACCAGCTCTATATTAAGTTAGTATAAGTCACTATAGATAGAAAGGTCTTGTCTTATACTGATCTAGGGACCAGAATTGAACTTTTGGTTTTTGCGAATAAAACAAACACAACAACGTGATATGTCTGTGTTTTATGTTTTCCTTGTGAATTAGCTCATATCAGAGTAAAAACAAGTGTAAGATACATATGATACTGTGAAAATGCAGAGTATTGTTCTCCAAACTACTTGTGATACTGTACTCTTACTATATATTTTATTTGATTTGATTAATTAAGATATCCATCAGGAGATTGAAGGTTATGTTAATCGTAGCTCCCCACACTAATCTCCAGATGCCGTAAAAGTGTGAATTTCCTCTTTCCTTCGGAGGATTCTGGAATGCGGAGCGAGGTCAGAAGCGGAAAACAAAATAAACAGATCTTGATTACAGTGTCACACCTGTCGTGCCAGGAACGTTTGTGCCGCCAAAAAGCTAAATTTAAACTTTTGGGTTACTGTAGCGTTCAAACTACGGTTTTTTGAATTTTTGAGGGTTTTTTAAAGTTTCAAAATGCACTTTTACCGCCTTTCATTTAAAAATAATGTTTTGTACTTAACGAATTGTGACAGCGTTGTGATAGCATTCGATTTGGATTACTGTATATGTAAAATATAAAAATTCGTAAAAAATCTTTTAATTCTTGCATCAAACTTAATGTACTGTGTCGTAGCCAAGTTGACCAAGTTGATAACCAAATTTTTTAAAATGACACAAAATAGCGATTAACATGTTGTATACGATGACTGAACACCCAAGATGACTGTTATTATAAGCAAAAGTTTTTAAAGGTGTTTGTGTGAGCAGAACAGAGATTATCCTTATCACCAAACTGTGAATAACGGAATGATATGCAAATAAATAAGTGAATATGCAAATGGTTTTGTGTAAATATTGTGTTACTTGGTAGTCCTTGCTCTGTTGTCTGGAGGATTATGCATATTCCTTTTTTAATGTAACGCTTTTTATATTATGTAGATCAACAAGCTATGTCAATAAGCTTAACGGATTGAAAAAGTTACAATAAATTTTTTTGATTTAATGTTTTGTTTTTAATTTCAAACTATTTATTGTGACAATATCCAAATTTTTTTGTTGTACCATAAAAACTACAGTAATTCAATTGACATCATGCAAATTGACATGTCATGACTCCTCTGACGCCCAAAACTTGTTGGAGACCGACATAATCAAGCGTAGTTCTTGGAGAATTCAAAGGACTGTAGCCGAAAAGAGGAGCGAATTCAGAAGACAGGCAGTCCGTCGCCGAAAGGGCCCTTTCAGAGAGCGAAGCGACCCTATTAACGAGGGACGGTCTTTTCGAGGGAAGGAACGGCCCTTCTCGAAGGCAGCCGGCTGCCTCGAAAGAAAAGAACTGTTTCAGAATGACGGTCTTTGGAATGTTCTTTTGACCGCGCGGTCGTGAGGAACGGCCCTTTTATTCGAAACAGCCCCACCAAGGAGTGATCGCTTAGAACGCCCCCCCCCCTCTAAACGCGATTTGTCGGAACGGCCCCTCGCGAAAGGGAGGGCCGGTTAGGGCGTGGAGGGATTCTGTTCCTCCCATGCAAAGGTTTCGCAATAAAAGTGATTCAGCAAAAAATGTTATGTTTATCTGATTCTGCCGCTGAATCACCGCCCAGAGATGTCGTTATGATGTTGGGAATGATTTAACAGATGAGTAATACTCGTTGATAAGCTATTTGCGGTGTCGATACGATATTTGTAACTGTACAGTTTATGTTTTTGATTTTAAAATGTTAAATTAATTTTAAAAAACAGAGTTTCCGTAACAATGGAATCACAATATAAAGAAAAGCAACCATAAGCCCACACATGGATGGTAACATGATAATTCAACTCTAAATAAAAAAACTTATTTTGCACTAAATTACAGTATGTTTATGTACTTTAAGTTCCTAAAGGTTTTGCTTGAACAGCCAAGCTTCGTATCCTATCACGTAGATCTTCACCTTGCAGTAACAGGTTCTCATCACTTATACCAAACACTCTAACATGATATGCCAAATTAAACAAGGTATACATCTGAGAAGTCCCTACATAGTGAAAGGATATCATGTAGTCTGAACAACATTCACCTTTCTGAAAATATTTGTATGAAAATGAGTATATCAATACAATTTACAAACTTTTACTGTAAGCTTGTAACATAGCTTTTCCTAAAGCTTTTTGTAGACCAACACAAGAAATGGTAAAGTTTTCTCTTTTAATTTTACTAACAAATCTAAACGTAGTTTATATATACATTTAATGAGTAATCATTACCTGATCGTATGGATGGTATATGTACTTGAAAAACCAATTTGGCACTGCCGAACGATTGCTATGTAATCGAAAGTCAAAGTGGATGTTAGGTGGCATTGGCAACATACGATGCTTTCCCTAAAGTTGTATATAAACAGTCTTTCCAAACCAAATATACTTTTGTTTTAATATTGTATTTTAATACTAAAAGCATAATAAAAATATCTGATCTAACCGTGCTCAAAGTTAAACAAAATTAAAAAGTTTTAAATTAAAATAACATTAAAATTAACGCACCTTGTTATCCCTGGAATCCCCAAAAGTAACCCCAACATTGTGTAGACACTTCCCGATCTCTACATCTTCATTCCCGACATCTGCACTTTTACATTTTATTGGATCTGGCAGTGCTTGTTCCACGAATCTCCTGACCGCTTCTCTACTCAGAACATAGCCAGCTCCACCACTCATATAGCCATCTTTTACTATCACTTTGAATCTACATCCAAAGAACAAAGCATCTCTATAGTCATATCCTAACAACATGAATTTCAGATTCTCGATGTAGAAGAAGGTATCATCGTCAGCCTTCACGAACCAGTCGTATTCTTGGCCGTAATGGTCGTATACGTACTTAAAGGCTCGTTTCGTCTTCTGCCACAAATGACCCCTGCCCTCAGTTATATTGAGGTCTATGGAAGGGAGAGTTGTCATATTGGTAGTCACAAACAAATACTTGGTACACTTTGGGGCCCACGTACGATTGACTGCAGTAGCTCGTATGTTATTGTTTTTTGTGTTGTGGGTCATGATCCAACATAAGATACGAACTTGAGAGTTGAGTTCTTTGATTACTGCTGTTTCTTCTGAAAAATATCAGAACTGAAACAACAACAATATAAATACAGTAGATGTAGCATTATTATAACAAGCACTTTTAAAATTAAAGAACTTACCATGATCATGATTGTACATCATGACATTATGCTCTTCCCCGCTCTCTCGGCTACTAGACCCGATAATAACATCATCTACAGTACTGTCTTTGATAAGAGGATAGTATGAGTACAAAAAAGCACCACAAATAACGCCAAAGACATACAGTATCACCGGGTTACGAGTCATTCGAACACATCTACCTGTAATTACCGTAAGTTTCAAGTATTAGATTTACTGCAGTAGCAATAAATATTACTGTAGAAAAAGCTGTATATGTTTAATTAGCCTATGAAGAACTAACTATAATATAAGTTATCTTTAAATGACACAGAAAGTAAAAGCAACTTACAATGTTTAGCAAATCTACTTTTCAGATCACCAGCTACACGAAACAAAGCCTTTGACATCACACCAGATACCCTTAATCCCCTTTTCTGAGCGATGGTATGGAACATGTCAACAGAGTAATGTAATGTGAGTATTACATAATAAACCATCTATGTTATAGTACGTATTTAAAACCTAATACGTAGTAGTGATATGGCCATTTAAGTCATAATATATACCACTCATATAGAATCAAACACGTAGTATAATATCTACATCCACTTGATATGATTCAAAAATAACTGTGGATTGTAGAGATGTTTACAAAGTAATGATTTATTTACAACCTGAACACAATGTAAAAATAAGTGAATTCGAAAGTGTTACGCGTCAAGGAAGACAGAGAACGGTCGCCCGGAACGACGACGCTGTCTCCAAGTGCCAACGGCAACCGAATGTTCCACATCCAGGAACATCGTGTCCCGAGAATGTTGGTGTACCTGATATTCATCCTCATTTACTCGGCCACACTAGCATTGGCACAGTTTTGTGGCCAAGTTACCGGCAATCATCTCAGTTACTTGTACAGTTACAGCTACAATGGTAAGCTCGCTTTTTTCTGTTATAACGTCGTTTTTGAATGTCATTTTACAAATGAAAAAACTGATATACATAACATTATACTTTTCTATAAAACCAACTTATAGATTCTTCTGAATCCTTGTACGCTCCTGGCATCACCGCAGATGATTCATTGTTGTCGTGCCAGAAGACAGAAGACGCAGCCGTCCTGAAGAAGGAAACCGTCATGTGCAATCATTTGTGTGCGCTCAAACTTATACCAATAGTAAAGATAGGCAACAATAGCAGTAAGTTGTAAAATATATCTTTTCATAATGATATCTCTCACTTTCTTTAGAATTTAACAATTATTTAACAGTTTTCCCTTTAACTTTTTTTTTTATTTTTCGCGCCAATTTTGACTGTTTCGAAACAATTTTGAAAAAACATCTTGCTTTATTTAAACTAACCTAATATCTGATTAACCCTTAAAAATGTCGTAGATGTGTTCAACTACACATCAGAAGACGACATTCCTGAAGGTTTCGAGGTTATCAGCAGTCTTGGTCCAATTTACTGTGCCAGAAGACACCTTCATTGTGGAGCTACAAAGCCTTTGTATTGGGATACCAAAACTGGAGAATGTAAGTAATATTTAGACATTGCGGCAGTAGATGGCCAGTATAATATTGACTTTTTGATTTAAATGTATTGTAACATACTTGTATATTCATTTTGGCCGCATTTGTATTTGAAGCAAATCATGTGCCATTTTTGTTTTGAATATCAAAAAAAAGGCAGCACAAACTGTAATATAGAGCGAGAACGCCTTATCTAAATGTTTCAAAAAACAATTTACAGTAACCCTGAGCAACGAGTTTGATTCCTCGGCTGTTGCCTTATGTTATGTTTGGACTAATGACTCATCACAGTACAAGGAGCTGACACAGTAAGTTATCATGGCTTTTTACACTGTATTTTCAGTTATCGTACTATACAAAATATTACTAGTATAGTAAAAATAAAAAGTAGCAGAGGTAGTCATAGTGGCCGTGTTAAGCCGCTTTGAGACTAATAAAGTACGATACAAATGTTACAGTAAGCTTTATTCAATGTGACGTCCTCTTATTGGTGTTAGTAGTGCTCGAACTGCTGGAAGCCGACTCCTTCTTGTTGTTGGCCTTAAGCGGTTGCCGCTTTTCGTTGCATTTCTTTATGATCTCGGTCTCGAAGGTCGGTACTTTCTTTTTGATCTGATTGGCGATGACCAGGATCGCTTCTTGACTCGAGTTGGTCTTAACTGCCGGTAGCGTTACCACATCTTTACTTAAGAGAACTTCTTTATGTAAACCAAACTCTGGACCAGTCGGCCTTTTCGGAGCTTTCGTGCCCATCTAAATTGCTTTATCAGATTAGGTATAAGTTTATTGGGTTTATACATCATAGTGAAAGCAAACATAAATTATTAATATATAATAATATGTGTATAGATACATATAACAAGTAAGTAAAAACAGCTGTTAACCTACCTTTACATACTCATGTCTCTTATCAGTCCCTTTTGGTGTTACCCATCCTCCAATGCCATGAAGCGTCTTTAGAGAACCGTACCTTCTAAAAGGGTTGGGTACCTGTCTGTCGGCCATCTTTTGGTACCCTGGGCCTTTGTCTCGTTTTCTCGTCTGAAAAGGTAATAACTAATGTTTCAACGACAATATCTGCTTATTTGAGTTCTAACCAAACGTAGCCTTACTTTCAGTGACATAAAATAGGCTTACTTCAGTAACAGCAACATAACCACACAACTTTATTCGATTATACCGTGGTATTCTGCCGGCAAGTTCCAAAGGTTCTATCGTATTCCCAATAATATCCATAGAAACTTCGAGATCACTGTAGCCATGCTTCGGCAGAGAGTCTGGCACTGGCGAAGTCCGGTTGACTTTTAGTTTAGTCAGACTACTTGAGATTGCGGTTTCTACTTCCGAGTTAGACTAAAATCAGAAATATACTTTAACATCTGTAATATCTTTTCAAGTAACCATAGATTTTAAAATGTAAAACGATTAGAGACCTACAGTAATAGTTGATATATGACCTTTGGCGATTCATTATATAAAAGTTTGAACCCTTACGTCATGTTTGGAATGTTCTTGATTTGTACCATAAATTGAAGTGTCATGTCCGTGAGAAGACGACTTCTGAAACAACCCTTCGTCGTCTGGCATTGTGGAAATAATAAAAAAAAATTTCAGAAAACGAAAAAGTGTGTGCAATGCCAAAAGTTCACGGAAAAAGCGACAAACTGACCAAGAAAGTACAAAAGTCGATTCACAAGAAGCTGATTGGAAGGTAGATGGGACAGACTTGTCACTAGAGGATACTGAGTTACTGCAGAGTCTAAATACCACAGTAAATGTCACTAGTAAGTCAAATTACAAATTGCTTTTGATTAGTAGTGAAATTTACAGTGTAATTAATGACTTACGTACTATCTTATACTACACTGTACTAGGCACGTACTATGTTATATTACACTGTAATTAGACAATAAACTTTTGATTATTCAGAATTCCTCGAAAGATGCAGGAACGACAACAACATAACACTTGACTGTATATTTGGAAACAAGAGAAACGAAACAGATTCAGAAGAAGCTACAGAAGCACTACTTTTCAAAATCAGAAATTTGAATATTACTCGAATCAGCTCGAGTTCCCTTGAACCATCTACCATATCAACTACAGTAAGCAATGATAAAGAGTCCAAAGGTACCACAACTAAGACTTCAACTACAACAAATCCTGTTTCCAAAAATAAGGATAGTATTATTCAAAATAGTACCCAAAAACCGAGTACTAGTTTTTGGTTCTTCAACTTTGGATCTACCATCAATCCAGAGTTATATACACGACGTCGTATACGAGACTTGAGTAATGAGATCAATGAAACGAGTTCGTCTTCTACTAGTACTCAATCTAGTAGTACATTGTCTAGTAGTTCCAGTACGTTGTCAAGCAGCTCTTCTACTACTTCAAGTAGTGCAACAACTACTAAGCTAACTAACACTTTAACTACTATGTCCAGCAACATAAGTACTACAAGAATAACTACAGTAACATCAACCACATTTACTAGAACCTCACAAACATCGTTAAATTCATCCTTATCGACAAGAATTTTATCTTCAACTTCAACCACCGTTGGACTGATCTTTAATACATCAATAAGTACCGTAAAATCTACAGTAACTTCAACACCAATCGGCTTAATATTCAACACTACTTCAACTACAACATCAACTACAAGCCCGTCAATCAATTCAAGCCCTGTCATGATTCAGAATACGTCAAGTACAACAACTCTTATACCACTTATAGCACAAAACAGTACTGTATCCATAGGTCCAATATCTACTACAAGATTAACAAACATGACACTTTCTACAATACCATCTACAATTAATAATAGAAGCTCAGCGTCTACTACAAGATTACCAATTAACATAACAGCTGCTACAGTACCCTCAAGTACAGTAACTTTACCTTCCACCTTAAAAAGCTCTTTTTCTATTTCAATTACTAACAATACCTTATCAATGTTTACTAACAAGACGTCAATAACAGTAACACCATTAACAACTTCTAGTAGGCTTACCTTTCCTACAGAAACCCTGATGACTATCGCTAACACTACTTATATACCAAAGTCAAGTACGTATACTATCCCCACAATAACTTCTCCTACTATCCTTAACACACCTATACTAACAAATGCTGTCACAACCAACAAGATATCATTACTAACCAACACAAACACACTTCTACCATCTGTCACAAACAGTACAATTCAGACTGTCATTACAGCTACAGACCCCATAAGCTCTCAGACCAAGACTTTACTCTGTGAAAAGCTGACTGAGCTGAAACAGAGCAACAATATCAGTTTACAAGCTGTAACCTACATACTGTCACAGTACAATATCAGCTTGACAGAAGCAGCCAGTTTGTTGAATGTTCCACTGTTACAGTTAAGCACGATGAGTGTCGCTCAGATCGAAGGCCTTGTGTCCTCCACTTGCCAAGAATACGGTAATTGTTAAAATATTTAGGTTTTTATGCAAAAAATAGAAAAATGGCTAGTACAAAAGATATTATCAAATTTTACTTTTAATTACCTTTCAGGAACCGCAGCATTATCATCTGGATCAGCCTCACAGTCAAGTAACACAACTTATATACCGAACAACCAAAGCTACAACTCCTCAAGATCAACATACAACAATACCTCTGGATATAGTGGTCATAGGGGAGGTAAGAACTTCAATGACACAAAACAAGCAAACTTATTAAAGAAATACTTAAGTAACATACATTACACTTATTGTAAACATTTTTTAGGTCAAAATAGAGGTTCATTCAGTAACGACGATCGATACGACCGTGAAAATGATTATAGCGGTAAGATATCATATAAAACATATTATCCTGTAGCGGAAACAAAGAGTATTATTAATTACCATTTAGACTACTGGTACGATGGCACAGAGTACAAATACAACCACCGAGTATGGCGATGGGTACTACTAGGCGTATTTTGCGCTCTATGCATCGCTGTCGCATTTGCTTTAGTAGGTTACATACATCATATTTATAGTTTTACAATTGTCCTTTGTTTCATTTTTGACAGTAAACTTCTGTTTTTTGACATTTTTAACACAATATAACCGTTGCGTTTACAAACATCCAATCTCACAATTTTCAGTTATGTTTCGCCTGTTACCGACCTTACCATTCGCCCACGCCGACCGTAGTAACACCCTTACCAGTAACCGAAAAGATCTACACAACTAATGGCCAAATAGAAGTACCACCTTTACCCATCAGTCCTATGCCAGCTTACTCAAACGCAGCTACTCTCAGAATTTAAAAATATTTTGAACTTTAATTTACCTTCATTTTGATAATTTATATAATAAACAAATTTTAAGTATTTTTTCAATATCGTCAATACACTTATTTTATGCCTTTGTCGATCCATTTTCTTCTTTCAACAAAAAACAAGACAATTTCGCGCAAAAAACAAAAGGAACGAAATGCCAAGGCTGTTTTCTTGGTGGGATTAAATAAAATGTTTTATTTTTTATAATTTTTTTTACATTTTTGGCAAAAATTATGCATAATTTGGCGTTTTTCAAAAAACAAATGTTTGTTTCTGATGAATAGAGGTTTTCGTTCATTTCGGATTGTTTTCCAACCAAAAAACATTGTTGGGGAATGCATTAATCTTGGTTAACAAAGACCGCACAAATTTGAATAAAAAAGCGACTTATTTAGACTCTATGGAGGGGAAGGTATCAATCATGTTGGGGCGGAAGAATGGGACCGTGGTGCAAAGTAATTAATCAGTTATTTCGTGAGGGCTGCTAATTAAAATTTAAGGCCAAATTCTGGTCGAAACTTTGTTGAAACTGTTGTAATTGTAACAAATTGTGTTGTAATTGTGTACTGTCAATAAGTTAGTTTAGAACTATGGATATAAATATAGTAGTATATTTAAAATGAATGTCGAATCTTGCTTTTTGGCTTCAGATATCTGAAGTTAAAGTTGATGTAGAATATTAATACCTTTTCGGCGTGGCGTGTCTCGAACATAATCTTGTTGTACACCACATCTTTCAGAATAAATTAAGGGTGTCAAGGATGGAGGAGAATGGTAAGCTGACTTGGAATATTAGATTAATCTGTCATTGTAGAGGAACTTGATTACGAGACCTTGGAGAACACCATCGACTTGGGGGAGGTCGACGAAGAAGGAGAGGTCGAGGAGGAGGATGGAGTTTTGGTGGAGCCAAACGAGGTGAGTTTTTTTAGTTTTTTGGTGGGGGTTCAAGTATGTAGAATATATATTACTTTTGTAGTATTTACTGTAAGGTAGTACTAGTGTTAGTACTATTTTTTATGTTGGTACTGAACCACCGTCTTATTGTTCTCGTTCGCTGTGTAGAAGAAAGTCTTTGGCCGACTTGCCCTAAGGCACTTGGCCATGCAATCCCTCCCTTTTTTGCTTTGGTTTATCTGCGAATGGAAAAGCGTTTTTAGGGCCGTAAAATGGGCCGCTTTTAAAGAGAGAAGGTGCGGACGCCCTCAGGCGAGATGTGTTTCAAATATTCAAATGAAAGATATTGTCTTTCCGTCCGCGGAATCCTGGGAAGCGAAATAAGAGATGTGCCATAGTCGGAAGGGTCTTTGCTTGATTAACTAAAACAATATGCATTCGCTACAGTTGCTATGCACTTTTCCCGATTATTCAAACGTTTCGAAATGGTTTTCGAAATCTGGCTGACTTACCTTCTCTACAAGATGATATGACTTTAGTCGTTAGGTAGGGGTTCCATAAGAAAATATCATCTGGCATGGTGTATATCATGAGTAAGATATACTTATTGTTAGACTCATATTATAAACTAACGCCGGTTTCCTAGTGTTCTCAGGTTACAGAAATAGCTCTACCGTAACTTTGTTTTGTTAATGGACTTAAAGTTTATCGCCATTCCGGCTGAATGCTTTATTCATTACTTTTAAATGAGGTTTTTAGTACGTGATCGTGCAGTACCAGGGAGAGGAAGCCGTCTCTTCAAGAGAATGTTTTATAACTACTCGTACCTATATTTAGTAGTTTTCGGCCGCAGCTGTAGTTTTGAGTTGTTGTAAGTGTTTTTGTAGAATAGACAGTACAATAGAATGTTCATGAGAGCTCTAGGTACATTGAGGTTAATTTAAAGGTATCAAAACATTTTTCGGATCATGTTAGGTTGAGTTTGGCATAGACGACATAGTGGAATTAAAAAAATTAAGAAATAGGCGAACTGTTTTAAGATAAAAAAACTTACTGTACTATAATATTTTAGGCGTAATTTTTAATGTTACAGTAACAATAAATTTAAAAAAGATTAAAATGAGTTAAGTTGCCTATGCCGACGCTTTATCCTAGTTAGCATTACGTTGAGTAAATGAATCAGAAAGTCTCTTTTTGAGCTACAGATTGATCTATTGGACTGGCTTCGAAGCCGCGAGCAAAAAAACTTATCACGACGGCGGAACCCCTGAGGGCAAGTACTCGACCCTAATCTTGTACTCATCGCGATCTCGGCGCTATTAAAGAGAATAAAAATGTTTGCTCACTCCAGCTCTGGTTGCATTGCACTCTCTTTCAAGATTTCCGATTTGGTTTTTGCATGGTTCGGTTGAAGACCGGGCGCATAAAGGAGTACTGGCGGGGGGAGAATGAATGAAGAAGGAGTGTTGTTTTCCGTCTTGCTCCGAGTTAACTACGCACACTCCGTCATCTTCCGCCTCCTTTCCGTCGTCCCGAAAAGGCGTTATGAACCGAAATTCCCTGGTTTTTTGCGTGTCTCATAAATCCGGAGAAGGGCGCGCCTCGCGTATCCTCGACGGATAATTAGGCGGTTGTTGGTCTACTTTCCCCGTCGCCTTCTCTTTTAAATGCTCTCCCTTTAATGGCCACGTTAGACGGACAGTTCAGCCAGTTTACAGCCCATTGTCAAGGTCGTTGGTGTAAAAGTTGCGACCGCGATTTGGGAGAATCCCATTTCTGTATAATTTGATCTGTTCCAGGCTTGCGATTGTCATGGAATTGTGATGGTGTAGCGAGTTTGCCTACTTTTGTCACGTTTCGCTAGTACGTTGGCTCTTTGCAACAGTAATTGTGATTCTTTTTGTTATAACTATCATCTAAGGCTTCATCAGCTTAAGATTATACAGGATTGCATAATAGATTATATTGATGTAGTCGTTGTCACAATACGCCAATAGACAGGGCTCAAACTATAATTGTAAAACTTGCCAATCAAACCCATACGTTCGGCCGAAAATGTGGCATACTTTGCCAACTCTACGCCTCCCCATCCAGGTCGGAATGATCCAGATGGTGGGGAATAAGAGTATTGGATTGGGCCTTTGATCGCGCATTGCCTTGCCTTTTCCTCGCCCTGAGGGCCGTTTCCTTTAATCCTTTTAATTGAAACATGTGCAGTTTGGGGCAGATTCACACGGATTACTTTGGCTTTCTATTTTTTGTTCACTTTTATGCTTGTTGGACTTTTCGACATCAGAAGGCGAGTGGTGGTGTTGGCTGCCCGGGGTCAAGCTTTTCCGGCCGGTCATTCCTACTGGGGTGCGAAACAAGACAAAAATGCATGGGGCTTTTAAAATGAGATGTGGCGCTCTTTTGAGGGTTGAAAATTGCTTTTTTGGGTTTTTGGCGGAAACGGAGATAATGTGAAGGCACAAGTTAACTTCAGTAATGCCATATATCAAACTTTCTGCAAGTATCGTGAACTCCAGAATTCTATTTTGGGATTGAGGTTGTGAAAAGCATTTGTGCAAGTTGAATTGGGCATGTTTCTACGGATAAAGGTCTAAAAGTTTAACTTTTATACAATATTTTACAATAATTTATCGATTTTGCTGGAGATTTCGCTAGTATCATTGATGGTTGACTGTAGTAAGACTTGATTGGTTAAAGTCGAAAACTATCAATTTTTCTGATAGAAAGCTTTAAAATGCGGCTACAGAAAACCTCAAAAGCGGCTAAAGTAAAACTTTACGAAGTGGATTTGGATATTGCAAACTGCGCGTTTTACGAGCAAAGTAGTACGTTTAGCTGGATTTATGGCCGCTTTATGACTATGGAAGTGAATGGGCGGCAGGTTAAAGAGCTGGAGGTCAACTTCCGTAAGTGGATCGGAGCACATTTCCGGAAGCAGACAACGTGCAAACGGCCTCGCCCCACACTTTTCTTCATTCTCCCCTCACCTCAAATTTGTGTACTGGCATCGCTGACCGACCGCACTCTTTTTTTGTCATTCTTTTCGACTGCCTGAAGCACTACGCCGCTTTTCTAATTCGGTGCGCGAAGCTCGGGGGGAGAACGAAAACGAGCGGACTGGAGGCGGGGGACGGCCTCTGATGTTGCGTCCCCTTTTCAGCCTTTCGCCGCATCAATATGGTCCCGCCCACTGGTTCTGCATTCGGACCGCACTTCTTGCACAGTCTGCGTGAAGCCGTCCAACAGACGGCCTGGCTTCAGAATTCGTAACGGTGGCTACACTTGATCTGGATTTCGGTTTTCGTGGGTTGATTAGAATAGTTTAGGTGTTGGTCTCAAAAGGTTGATTTGGTCGAGCTTTCTGTTGATCTTAGGATGACAAACCTGATTTCTGACATTATTTTGTTCTGCTACTGTACTAAAATCTTAAATTTGAATCTAAATCTTCTAACCTACCCCAAAGACAATGAACTCGCCGCCTGGGACTTGGTCTCAACCTGGGACTGATGATTGGGCATAGGTGAGCAAAGTTTCAGGTGTGCGAGAGTCATTGTCCAAGGGGATTACCACTTAATTCTACACTGCAAATTGGGATTAAACTTCTCAGATTGTTTATGACGCAATTTTTGTTTAGAGTCAGGGGGAAGAACCGGGCCGAAGTCGCGGCGGAGAGGAGGAGGACTACACTTTGGAGGTCCGTGAGGTTTCTCGATCAAAGTTTAATATTACCGATGTGGAGGAGCGTGAAGAGGTGGGTTCTATTTGAATATTGCTCTAAATTTTACTGCCTAATGATTTAAATGTGTTTTTAATAGATTTTGAGTATATGAGCTTGTAGGTGACACCTTTTTAGCTAAGAAGTTGAATTATTTTGTTTTATATTTTAAATTTATATAGTATTTACATACACATTTTTAATAGATATTACGATAGTTTTGTCTGCCCGCAGCGAGGGGATCAGTGATCTCGTTTCCCTGTGAGATAGCGACAGTTGTTCGCGCACTAATGCGCTCCCTGCGACCAATGGTTGAATTTGCTACTGTATCTTTTTAACAAATCACGGGTTTTGTTTAGGTGACCGAAAGGGATATCCAAGATCTCTACGATTCGCTGCAAGTGGATCTGTTGGATGAGAAAGTACGTGCTACAGCTTTGTTTGTACGATCGTTGACAGCACTCACGGTCTACGAGTTGGAGAGGTAAGAAGATGATTTTAAATGAGGATTTAAGTTTTTTTAAATGTCAATTTGTATTTTTTGGTAATTTTAAGGTTTAAGCGAATTTTTGAATTCAAAAATGTTTGTTTGGCATTTGTGGTTTCAACGCGCCCTTTACAGATGGATATTCACATTCACGAGTTGCAGTTGCGCAAACAAATAAATTTAATGTGTTAAGAAGCGCAACAAATAAATCATATAGGTCTTGGCTTAAGTTATCTTTACATTCAAAGTAATTTCGAACATATCCCAATTTGGTGGCCAAGTTGATTAACCCTGCATGTAATTATCCCCCTAACTTTGCACGGAACCGACGAAAACATATTTGCGAAGGACGTGGTATCAGGCCACAGTCATGTCATCCATCTTGTGTCCAAATTGGGAATGCGCGAGTCGCTTTCGTGTTTTATACTCGGATGGTTTTGTGTGCAGCTAATTAGGGGAATAATGAAGGCTTTGTTACGCTGCTTACGGCCGCGGTCTTCCTGAAAACCGAAGCCGTCTTCGTACCCTTGAATCTTTCTACCCCTCCCTCGCTGGAATCTTTTTGTGACTTTTCTTTATGACCAGACAACAAGCACATCTGGCTATAAAGGCGACCGTGCGCGAGACCAACCCCACCGCCGTGCCTCGGGCTGATTAGGTATTGCTTGGGCCGAAAACGGAAATGCTCACATTCTCTGGCCGCGGCCGTGTTCGCTCTTTGGCCGACCTACTGATTCGAGGATAAGGCCTTATCTCATGCACGCTCCGCTGCCTCCCACATCAACAGCTCCTTAAAATTGACATCTGAGACGCACCGAAATTGAGATGAATCTTTTCAGGATTTTCGCGGAATACGATCCCATCAGATGTGCCCTCCTCGACGCGAACAGTGGCGTCGTCCGGTTCAAGGGAGCCTTCGACGCGGCCGAAGCCTTAATTAAAGCCACCAAACAGTTGGTTCGGATCCGTCAAGTCGATCAACAAGAGGATGGCGAGGTAGACGACGAAGAGGAAGATCACGAAGGAAACGCCGTCCGAAAGGAGAACGGCGAAACAGTTGTGGTAATTAGAAGTAGGTTCTTTAAAGAAACGGTGTCATTTCGAACCGGTTTTTGGGTAATTTCTTTTGAGTATTACTTTTGGTATTGCTTTTGTCAAATCAAACTTACTTTGAGGAGAAATGGTTACTTTAGTTTAAATTTATAACTAAAATATTGGTGAAAGTTGAGGTCGCTGCCCGACCGACCACACTCGAGCTGTCTAATTCGTATGCTTTGTTCATATTCTCTAATCCAATTTGTTGCGTTTGCCAAAGGAATAAGAATTTTCACGCAAATATAACGCAAATATTTGGTGTCTTCGGCAGGCAGGACGGTCGTGATTAGAGGGCCTCGACTTGAAGTACCGTCTTCGAGATGAGTGGGGCCGGTGGAGGGGTGGATGGATGGGTATAGGCAGGTAGAGAGATACCTATCCACCGCAATTAGACTCGTCGCATGAAGGCTTTGTTACCGCTCCCGTTTGTTAATTGGTGGGGTGCGGATTTTGATTGGGGGGATGTCTCTCGCCCCTCTTCGCCCTCTTTGTTATTGTTGGTCATCAACCTTGGGCAGGGGGCGACGATCGGCTCGAATAACAATCACCTATACAAACATCACCTCTCTCCTCTCCACTCACTAATAGCCGCCCCACTCGGTTCATAAAAACACCAAAAACAGCAAGATACTACTGTAAACTTACAGCATAACAGGATACGTTAGCGAAAGCAATGTTTGTACACTTTGTACGGCTGAACTCTGGCTTTGTATGAGTGCTAACTGGGAAGTACATAAGTTATAGCAGGATTTCAACAAATTGTTAAACTTGGAGGTTGTAAAGTACGAGCACATTTATACTGCAAGATATCTTACAAAACATACTGAAACACAAGAGCAAGAGGTCATGTTTGATCTAGGTCCCGAAAGTGTTGAGCGAAGAAAGGAACCAATAATGGATATCTGTTTGCACTAAACAGTTAATCCCTCCCCCCTAAATTAAGTATTTATTCGGGCCTTGTTTGGAGGTGGTTATTTGGCCTCGGGAATGAGGTCATTCGGCCCTTTACGACCTTCCAGAGACTTATTCTGACCAGTTGTCAAGCTTGTCAACTAAAGGCATGTCTTCATACCATTTCTCCCTTTTATGAGCGTCTTTTATTCCGTCCCCTGAGGGCTTTTAAATCCGTCTCCAGCCTGAAATGTTTGCAAAATGCGGTCATTTGCAAGCATCTTGATAACGTTGGTGTATTTACAATGACTAACAACAAACAGTATATTCCAGGCCAATAAAAGTGTCATCGTCATGTATCAAGTTTTCGAAAAATAGTTAACATATTAAGTATTTTGAATTTGAAAATAGCCAAAAATGAGTGGTTACTTAATGTTATGGTAACATAATATACAGTATGACAATCCATTGTCCATTATTTCTAAAATAGTACACTTTGGTACATGCTTTAATGTCACCCTACTTCAGATCCGGACCACAAAGCTGCGTCGAACGTTGTTGAACTGGACGTGACAAATGTGACCATCCCCGCAGGCAACTGGCGCTTTGTCACCCAACATGTCCCCAAAGATCGGTTCGTATTCGCGAGACTGGCAACCGGCTTTGAGCTCCGTACCGCCATGATTAATCCCTACAAGAAGGAGATCAGCGAGCACCGTCAGAGTTCGCAGGACGAGTACGATAACAAGAACGACTACAAACGAAAGAGGCTGCGACCTGGACTGAACGTCTTCGACGAGCACGGCAAGGAACTGGACTGGGATTACGAGCATGATACTCGATTCTACGAAGCCGACGAGGGTGAACCCAGCACCAAAAAGATGGCTAAAGGGCCAGAAGAGATCGAGGTTGAGGGAAAGAAGGTGAGAAGTCGCGGCCGAGGCACCAAAAAATTCATGGCCGCTTTGTTGGACTCTGACTAATTGTAATATACTAATAACAATTCTTTGTTTATTTTTGTCATAATAAATAATATTTTGCTAAACAGGCTCAGCCATGTGTGGCAACGTTTCTTTTTCGGCTGAAAGGTCTACAATAATACCATAAATAGACCACAAATGTGGCTATTAGTTAGTCATACGGTAATACACGATCTTAATCTAGCTATTGCTATTGTAGCCTAGAAATGTGTTTTGATAATTATCATTAACAGATATTGTGAATGACCTCGCATTTTGATTGTTTACCCAGCAATGTAAACCATTAAAGTTCTGGGATTACCAACACTTCCTTAATCGTCTTAACGCGTGCTGCGATAGCGCCTCGAGAGTGATAACACTGTTAATAAACATTAAACAGCAACTTTAAACCAACGAGAGTAACAGCTCACAAGCTGTATTACCCTAACATAATTATATGAAAAGATACTACAAGTATATTAAAGTACACAACCAATCCATAAAAATGCAAAGATACTGTATAGTTAGTTTATATAATTATCAGTTACAAAAGTCAAGTGATCTGAGCTAAGCGGTTCCGTTTGATTTCGAGACCAACAGAGTCTTGGAAATCCGTTTGAAAGCTGAAAAGTCAATATTTATATTATTATATCCGCGCTAAGGACTGTCAAGTAATCTCTGCTCTATTTGGGCGGGTAAAATGACTTGGAAAGTAGAGTACTAGGTATAATAATCTTTGGATAGGTCTTAAAATATTTAAAGGACCTACCTTCATTTAGGGTAGAGTTATCGACCGACGAGAAGACGATCCTGAACCATCCCGGCTTCGGAGCATACATCGTCTCTCCAGCTGTTATCATCACTCTGCTCTCGAAGAACTGGGCATTCAGCTTTCGTTCTGCTTCAAAGGTCTGTTCTGACAGGAACTGAAACAGCATTTTACAATAGGTACACTATTCAAATAAAGTAACAAATATAAAGTCTTACTACAAATTAGTTATAGACTAAAAGAAGAGTACTCCTTACCTTACTAAAGTCGGCCAACAGGAAGAATCCTGACCGAGGCTTAATGTAGGGTACATCCAATGTATCCAAATGGCTACATAATAAGTCTCGAGCATGCCTCAACCGTTTGTGATTTTCAGGAATAAAGACATTCTCAATCCAATCTAAAAGCAATCACCATAATCAATGTTATACTTGGACACATCATGTCAACACTTTAGATAAACATTGCTAACCTTACATATAAAATCTTGAAATCGTCAAAACTTACCGGTATCATTTAGAAACTCTCTAGCTATAAATTGTGTCGCCGTATTGGGAAGATGGTGCATCTGGAACCTGGCAGCACAAGCTCGGACACTTGGGTTAGGGGAATGGAGAACGGCAAACCGTAGTCCAGGCAGAGAAAAGTTCTAAAATAAGTAAGATAAAGAAAAAACGAAGTTATATTATTTCGTATATTGCCGTCGCGGCTGAAAACTGTACAATAAATGTAAAAAACAGGTAAAACAATAGAATTTAGTTCCACAAACAAATAAAAACCTATAAGAACCAGTACGGACCTTACTGATGCCCCAGATCCAGATCAAGTAGTTCTTGTCTTCTCCTTCGAACAATTCTGTAGCGCTTTGAAACGGGAACTTTGGGTTCTCATCGTATATTGTCAAATCGTATATCTCGTCCAAAATGACAAACAGTTTTTTACTAAAATTTAAATTTGATTTGCAGTATAAAAGGTGTTCTTTTACAACTATTTATCAACAAGTATCTCAAACAATCTTTTGTTAACATACCTTAAAGCCCATTGAATTACCGGTCGAAGTTCGTCTTGCGAGAAGTAGCATCCTTCTGGATTCTGGGGATTCACAATTGTAATCGCTCTTACTTTTCCCTAAACGTACATGTGTAATATATTGTAATTTGGTACTGATCTTCCAAATTTTACTTTAGTTCTCACTTTCCAAACCTATTTTACATAATAAAGTTGTGTGGTACTATAACATAATATTATGCAAATCATGGCTGACTTTGTCAAAGTTTAATGGATACAGCTGACGCTAAAGCTCAACATAACTTGTTACCTTGAAACTAAGCTTTCCATATACTTTTTGACCATGATTTCAAATATATTAGCCTCCACACATCTATGTTACCCGTTGACAAAGGTAACACTATTAACACAATAAAAAAATACCTTCTTACTGGCATCCTGGTACGCCTTTTCGAATCGTTCCACTTTGAGTTCAGTACTCCTTTGGTCCTCTGACAAAGCTGGTACTACCTCAATCTCAACCAGACCTCGTTCTCCGAAGTCATTAGCGAATCTATAGTAATATGGAGCTGGCACCAATAGGTAATCCCCTGGGTCAAACAAGATCTGGCCAAGAAGATCAGCGCAGGTGGTGACTCCAGGAATGGTCAGAAGCTAAAACGTATGACAATTACCTTATTTAGTGTACTGTGGTACACCATATTACTAAATAATCCTAAGTAGTCTGGAAGTAGTACCAATATTGCCTAGGTTTAAGTCAACCCCAATCCTTTAGCTATTTTAAAATAACCATTATTAAAAATGTATCAAATACTAAACATAAATCAATGTTGTAACACCCAGATATCAAAATACCTGAAAACCGTATTTGATTGACACATAGACCCATAAACAACAACAAACCCCAATTTCAACATAAACAACAATGTAATAACCAATCAACCCTAAAACCCCATTACTGCTAATATATAAAAACAATTACTAATGTTATGTTATTATTACTGTCAATGTTCAAACATCATCAACCTACTTCATCACAAGGTATTGGCGGCAGGTTCCGGCGACAAAAGCGATTGATAAACTTGGCCAAAGACTGCAATGTGGCCACTTCACCTCCAGACCTTGGGTAGACGAACAAGTTCTTGGTGTCAAACTTGTTCCAGTCAATACTCTTGAACTTCTCCGTCACCAGCTCTTCGCAGAGGATGTTATCGGCTGACGACAGCTTTATGTAACCCTAAAACAACATTATTTTATTGAGTAGTTGTTTAAAAAGGTCAACAATCAGGCTAAAAGCTGAAATAGTGTTGCAAAATAAAAACATTTCCTCCAAAATATTTTTTAGGTAACTCCTTTCAAAAAACGATAAAAACCTTGTTTTAGGTAACATTTGACACAAAAATTACCAAAAAATAAAATTTAAGTAAAAGCCTACATTAGTGTTGTCATGACTGTAAGGATTCTCAAGGTAGAGTTTGTTTTGTCCTCCAGTGCTCGGAAATCCCAATCCTTTTTTGGCACGATCAGAAATGAGATGCAGAGGCATCTACAACAATATATTTCTGAATAAGGTTAGAAAATGTCCATTACCACGCAAAAACGCTTTAAAAGTTATATCTGAACTAATGATAATAGAAAAAGCATCTTTAAAATAATTAAAAAGATCAAAGGTGATATTAAAGTATACCTAAAATACCAAATCTCTTGAAACAATATAAAAATACAGAAAAATTGATGCCGAAACCAATACAAAAACCTGTAAAAAGACCCCTAAACAATATTAATATGAGAAATATTCCCCATAACACCCGACTCGCTCAAAAAAGAATGTCCTCAAACCGTGGCCTGGCCGGCTGTGTCCATTTCAAAAACTCAACGGCCACTTTTCGAAAACGTCTGAAGTCTCAGCTGTTTTTTGTCCTTTTCGAGTTTAAAGTCAGATAGACTTTAATTTATGTTAAGTCTAAAAGATACGAGTTCAACGTACGAATTAACATAAATTATGGAAGTTTAATGCCTAAAACAATATAAATCTGATGTTTAAATAGCTGGAAAGATTATTTTAATCGGAAAATCATTAAAAAAACCCTTTAAATGCTATAATAACATCAAACTATAAATTGAACTCTTAAAATATCAATAATAAAAGGCGAAATTCATCAAGAACAACAATAAGCTCAAAAGTTTATAAGTTCAAATAAAGCTTTAGGTATTAATATAAAAATAAACTGTTGATGTTACACTAAACAAAAAGAGCTAAGAAGAGCTGCTAAGACCACAAAGATCAAGATGTTAATTACACGAGACCCGTTTCACGTTACTTATACCAGATCAAAACGTGATGGTGTTAGAGATAACAGCCAGAATGTTATCTTAAGCAAGCTCGAGTGTCTGAAGTTGCTAAAATACATATTACGAGATCTTTTTACATTATCCATGACGAAAAAGCAGCAGATATTGCATCACTGGACGAAGTTGAAGCAAAAAACTAGTCTAATATAAAAAATTGAAAAATAATTTATTAAAGTTGCATATCGTTACGTTGCAATGAAAAAGGAAACAAAGTGTCACTGAAAGATTGGAAATAAGATTGTGGTCAAAAATTAAATAAAAAATTAAAAGAAAAACGTATTTTTATCTAAAACAACTTGTTCTACACACTTTTCGACCAAAAAACAACAATAATATGAGTTTATGTCATGAAAAAGAAAACAGGTTATTTGCTGTAAAATCAGTCTTTAAACTAAACGGTCTTGCAAATGTAGGTAATGTTCGACAAGATACGATTAATAAAAGTAGAGTCGATCGGATTACTACCTAAAAATGTTTTGTTTGGCTTTGTACTTTTGTCCACGTTTTGGTCGATTTAAAGTGAATTTGCAGTTTTGTTTTGAGAATTCAAACTTTTTGCACTATTAAATCTTGACAGCACTGTTATCAGTAAATTCTTATAAATTTATTCTTTGAAAATGACTAATATAGCAAATAAAACATGATTAGACACATTATTGCGCAATCTTTGTGAAATTTCAAAATTCGAGACCAAAAATAAACAAAACTGATAAAGGGTAATGACGAGAACAATATCAATTCTTTACATAGATAATAATAACGTTGGTCAAGGAAAAGGTGACTAAATTCGCAAATAAAAGCTAATTCTACACACTTTTTGACCTATAATGTAGAATATAATCGACAATACGATATGACATAATATTGAGTAAAATGCCTGAGGACGTGAGATAGGTAACTTAAATACTCAAAGATTGCCATGACGACACAAACTAAACAGTATTATAGTATGATATCTTGTAGTCTGATACCTTGTAGTTTGTTTTCTCGTAGTTTGCTAAACATATTTTGGCCTCGAGGTTTGATTTCGAAATCGAAATCCACGTTTTTAACTTTCAAATTGTAATTTATTCTGGCTTTTAATGTATCATGTTTTGTTATTACCGTATCTGATAGTGAATATACGTAATATTGAAAAGTTACGTCTAAATTATGATATAATGTTACGGTTACCATTCAAACCTTGTGCAAAATACTAAAACCATACAAAAATATTGTAACCAAACCTTCAAAATTAACCCTGTAATCAATTTTTATCAGATTTTTTCAAATTTCTTGCTTTGCAGGCTAAATTCGTCCAAACAAGGTCAAAGCACACCAGCTGAACTCGCAGATTAATGTCTTCCCCACATTGTTTATTTTTTCCCCACCTCAGCTCGCTCCCTTCGCGACACCCTTTCGGATGTCGTGGACAAGAAGTGCGTCAACTGTTTCCTTAAAGCGGCGCTCAGCTGACCGGCCACTTTTGGACCGGTCACATGCCTTTTCTATTCTTTTTTGGTCCGATAAGGCCCTGGTCAAAGTATGGCTCGGTTTTAAATATAAGCCTTGAGGGTAGAGACATGAGTATTTGTGGTTTGATGACATAAACAATGTTGTTGTCACGTTACGTCTTAATTTTTGATTAGTATTAAATAATTTACAATAGTTTAGAGTAGACTACTCTACTATAAGATGTTTTATATTGTTTTGTACCTTTTTACATCGCTTTGTAACAGCAACCTTTAGACCACGCTGTAATCAAGTAACACTGTTGTTGTTTAGGCGTCATGCAGTCTGGTGGGTCAGGCTGTTCCCCTCCCCCGTGACCTCTTTTCAGCTTTTTCAGTTGTTCAAGTCTTTCTTCCAGCCCGAAACAATTTTCGAGGCTTTCGAAGCTGTTGTCAAGCCGATTCCCTGTTTAGAATCCTTGTTTTGGAGGTCGGACATTACGTTGCGATCATCAGCTGTCGCGACTTTTTTGTTGATGCGTCGCAGCGATTCAAATTTCGAAAAAGCGTCGGTGGCTAGTTGTTGTGGGTCGATGAAACTGGTCGATTCTCGAGTACAACAATACCCTTCCGAGTCGGTAGAACTGTTTTTTATTTACTCGCGGAACAGCACGGGGCCTGGGAAAGAAGGGAGCATCGATCGAATCCGCTGCAAGTAAGCGAAGCGAAAGGGGCGTGGCTTCCGCCGCAAAGAGGGGCGAGAGAGCGCGGGGAGGGGAGAGGGTGGCGAGAGGGAAAGAACACTCTCTTCGCGGAGAGCGACAGACATCGGTGACGGAGAGAGCGCGAAACGCAGCCATCACGTGCACACGATCCTCCCTTCTCGTGCTCGTAACGACCACCTCATCTGATCGATGTTTCTTGCTGCAGCGTTCTTTTGAGTGCCTGATTCATGGGGTCCAGCATCCACGGGGCGGGTGACAGTTTTCGAAATGTGTTTGCTCCACAACTATTTAAGTGTCGCACTCTTAGCCCCCAGTAATCATTCCGTATTTATTTGTGTAACATTGAGTTATGCTGGCGTGCACGTCGAGTACGTTCCCCACAACCACCGTGAACTATCCTCACGAGTCCCTCCCTCACACATCTGACATGATTCTAGAATCGCTGGTCGATTTGCAAGCACTCACACCTCTGGTCATGCCAATCCACGCTGCCTGGACTAAATCGTCGACTGGATCTGGTGCGGATGAGAACCTAAGGTGAGTACATTGTGAAAGAGGATCAGTTTAGATAGTGTAATGTAACTCCACGTTACTGAATCTAGATGGCTTCATCTAGGTACCATAGTTTATATCCGATCTACATTAATATCAGCTACTTTATATTGTATAAAAATAAAATTTCAATTCAAGCTACAAACTCATATTAACCTTATTTTAGTGAAGCTGAATACCCATTCCTCGACCGCAAGCCCGAAGTGGACCGTAAGGGTGCCAAGGGCCGGCGTCATGCCGGTGAGCAGCTTCTTATGAAGCGGCTAGCCACCCAGGGCTTCCTGATGAAGTCGGTGCTGGACACCGGAGCTCTCGGTAAGCGACGACGTGCCCGTATGTTGTCTGAAATGTCCAACGATGACATGGACCCTTCCATCCACTACTCCATCAACCGCAAGAACCGCTGGCTCCTGAGTTCGGCGTCGCAACTCATGAGCGACAAGACCGACAACGACAGTGTTGGCTTCTCGGCCGTTGACACGGTCTTCGGAGCTGACGGCCAACGTGTGTTGGCCGAGCATCAACTACAACAGAGTGGCGTACACTCGAAGCACTGTAAGAGTGTGAGAGGAAGCCCTCACAAGGTTGATGGCTCGGGGAAGCCGTTGGAGGTTCGCTACGTTCTTGCCAAGCCTAGTCCAGTCACGAAACTCATGGCCGGAAGCCTTTTTAACAAAAGTGAGTTGGTTTAATATTGTCATTTCTTCATATTTTTGTGTCATAGATAGTATTTAAGCTTATAGGTATAAAAATGTTCTGTTTTCGAAGTTTTTTTACTAAAATTGTCAGTTTAAAGCAAGGTTTTACAACTTGTACTGCCTTCTGTACTTTGTCTGAAAGATCACTTTACACTAAATCAAAGTGGTTCAGTAACTTTTACACTCTTCTTTTTGTTTTGTTTACACTACTGGTTCAGAAGTAACAAACAAACGGTTGAATTCTGAAAAAGCAAAGAAACAAATCAAACTATTGTAAAAGTAAAAGGACAACATTAACACTGACTTTAAAGTAACAAAACACAGGTATCAGAGTAACAAAGTATAGACTTAGAAGTAACAACCTTCACAATTCCACCATTTAAGTGACTTATTGTAGGCAAACCAGCAGTCCGCTCCAAGAAACGAGCACAGATGGACACCAGCGTGTACAGCACGGACGGGGAGAGGAACGAAGCCGAGGAAGAGTCCAAGCAGCTCTCGGAGGAGGTCATGAACATGTACCGACCTCGCCAACGCACCTACAGCTTGGCCGACTTCATTCAGGAGAAGTCCGCCCCCGTCATCGTACGGCATCGACCAGAGAGTGTGAATGCCGAAGAAACGTTCGAACAGGTATGTTGTTGTATGGACTTGTAGTTATATCTTGTATATCATGTCTTTATTTCAAAATTTTATTAAATTCCGTCTATAAATTTAAATTTTGAACTACAAATTCACAAAAATGAAAACCTTGTTTGATATTCAAATCACAAAACCAAGGCCTCATGACTCAAGCAGCATTTCCGTTTTCGTATGTTATCAGCAGTTTATACTGTGACGTTACTAGAACAGAGTCACGTGGCGACAACCAGCCCATTTTGAAACATGGGTAATCATTTTGTTTATCGGGTTCTTTGGTCGCTTCTTAAGGTCCCCTCATCAGACCGGTTCCCTTTGAACCGTTGACGAAAACATCGCCAGTCCACCGTCGTTGTTCCCTTAATATGTTATCTTTTATCATTACGCAGATTACCGTATCGCCTCGATTGTTTACCATACTGAGATCGTAACGACCTGTACCACCTTTAGATTAAGATGTTTCATGTTATTGTAGAGTAAACTATACATTTTACATTAAAGTAGTCTTGTAGATGACATTATTGATAAGTAATGTGAAGTTATCAAAAGTCACAGCCTTTATTTACTGTAAAACAACTAATCCTGTAGGTCTCTCTTTACATGTGACATAGCTAATTAAAAAAACAATTACGTTGTAAACTGTTATCAACTGCAGCTGGTTATTGTAATGTCTTATCACCTGCAGACGAAAATAAACAATCGGTGATTGATTTTTATCATTGACAAGATTAATCAGATAACGTGACTGTACTTTCAGGTGGAGATGCCTGTTACCAACACTGCCCCCACCAACAACACAGACTACAGCGTGAAGGAGACCGACAGTGGCGTCACCTTCTACGTCAACATCGAAGCCGACCGACTCAAGATCCAGAACCGAGCCGACTGGCTGGAGAAGGCGGTGGCTGTCGCTAAACGAGGCGATCTCCTCTTCAAATGGCTGAACAAAGCTAGGACTGCCTTCCAGGTCGACATCAGTGCCAGACTGATGGAAGCAGCTCGAGAACCCATCATGGTGCTCACCTTCAGCTACAGACAGAAGGACAACAAGATCAAGGTCTTCTTCAACGCGAGCAACGACTGCCAGATCGACCGCCTTCCACTCGAGATGGCTGCCGTCCCCTACCAAAAAGCCTTGGAAGGCATCGAGACCTACCTCAACGTCGTCTTCACCTACACCCGCATCCACATCGAGCCTCCCACTCACCGACCCAATGATGATGCCTTCTCCACCCAGCTCACCACCCGTACCCTCCCCCTCTCCGGCTACGAGCTGATGGCCGGCTGGCAATGCATCAACACTTTCATCAACGAGTCGATGCAGAATCTGGAGAACGTGAAACAAGAAGAGGACGATGAGGAGGATGACTTCGAACATGTAACCATGGATGAGTTCGAGGTGCTGAACGACGAGTACGAAGACTCCAAGTGGTTAGACGAAGACCTGGACGAGCAAGTGGCCGATCTTCAGACCATCTGCAACGAATGTGGCACGGAAGAGTCTTCTGAAATCATCACCACCGACTGTGGCCACTCCTTCTGCTTCAGCTGTTTGAATCGTCTGTTACGAGACAAATTGGGCAATGGCTTCCCTTTCTGTCCCGTAGCCCAGTGTAAGGTCGAGTACCCAACCCAGCTCTTGAGCTCCGTCTTCTGTATCCCCATCGTGTCCCATCTTCTGGAGGCCAAGGGTAAAGAATGTGCCTTAAACTGTCAGAGAAACGCCTTCCAATGCCCAATCGGATGTCCCATCTCGTTCGGAGAGTTGGATCCTGCCCACCAACAAGTTCAATGTGGCAGCTGTTATAGTCACTGGTGCTCCAGCTGTGAAAGAGAACCTCATTGGCCAATGAATTGTCGCGAAAACCAAGATTTTCAAAAGAAATTCAATGCCCAGAAGGAGCAGGGTGAAGAATCTCGCAATTCTCAGATCCAGATGCGCTACTATCACATGGTAAACGACTGTCGCGAGGCTCGTACCAACAACGAATGGAAGTTGGCGGCCAAAGAGTTGAGGAAGAAGGTCGGCTACAAGCTGGAGCGACAATATCACGAACACAGAAAAACTGTAAGTTATCATTCTGGAAATGAGTTCACGAAATAAACCGTTTTGAGACAGTTAAGTTAAATACAGATTCTAACTTCTTACTCAATCGTCTTTAACTTCTGATTCCGTTTCAGAGTTTGCAACTGGTGGAGAACGGCTACGGCTACCTCTACATGAGCAAGAGCAACAAGTGTGACACGTGGTACGAAGTGAAGAATGCGTTGAATGCCATCTACGCAGAGTACAGTCGCGTAGAGAACACCGTGCTCAAGGCTCCCAAACTCACCGCGGCGCAGGTCGCCGCCGAGATCCACGGTCTGCGTGGACTAGTCCGCAAGGGGATCCAAGAACTCGAAAATACTAAGAAGCGATGTTAATTGTGCTTGCTGACACTACAAGTAACGCACATTTGTACTATTCAGTTTGGTGCTATACGCAAAAAGTTACAGTAGTACTACAAACTGCATCACTAGTACTTTAGGCAAAGCTAGTGCTTCAGTCGCATAATTTTGTAAAATGTCGTCTCTCCCCCCCCTCTTAGGGTAATCCTCATCTAGAGACCTCAGTGTAAATAGGGCGATCTTTGTATAGAAAAGCTTTTATTGTGATTGTACCGTCCATGTCGTGCATGGCTGTATAGTGTAAGATATAATACTAGGTAGGTTCCTTCTCTTTCTTGTCTCACTTTGCCTGCCAAAAACTTCAAAAACCCAAAAAACTCAGCAATATTGTGACCCATAGCATTCGACTAGCACTTATACATGTATATATACATAAAATAAACCGGCGATGTAAATAATTTGTTAATAAACTTTTTTCGCCATTCATTCGGAAATTGACTATGACAAAGGTAAAAAATACTTAAATTAAATACATTAGGCCATCAAAGAGAAACGCACATTGCCTTAAAAAAGACAAATCACAGTAAAAATGTATTATCATGTTCACGACAGTAATATTATCCATCAGAAACATCAATTTAAAGAATTTATGACAACTAATAACAACAAACAACGTAGTTATACATACAAATGGACCTAATCTTGCTTTTGTTGTGTTCTCCTCTTCCTTAGCCTGATCCCATCTTCGACCAACACATTCGTCGTATCTTCGAACAGTTCATCTTCTGTAGCCTCAGGCTTTTCCGTCTTTAATCGTTGGTATGTCTCGGTGAATAGCTCTGAAACGGTTTTGGACTTGGATCCTACATGAAGGTTGATTACTCCTGGGGATCCATATGTTTTGTAAAATCTACTGAAATTAGGTTTGTAATGTGACATACAAAGCCAACATATTAATTACAGTTTGTACAATAATTAAAATTTGATTCAAGAGGCATTAAATCAGTTTTAAACCTATAAATGGAATGTCACAGACAAAGATACTTACGCTCTGATCGTATCTTCTGGGTAAAACAACTGTCTGACAGGGTCGTCCTTCTTCGGCATCTCCAGATTCCATGTCGGCTTGTGTATCGGAGGGCACAGTACGTAGACATCAAACCAAAGCGGCCGATCCTCCCATCTCAACTGGCCGGCTTTGATAAGACCACTCACTCTAAAAATAAAAATATTATCTATTTCAATTAAAACAAAGTTCTCCGAATGTCTGACCAACCTCTGGAAAATGGGCGCAGCCTTCTCGACTCTGGTGAACTGATGAGCCATCTAAAGATAAGGTCAAAGAATAACATTGTTAGTGCTTCTTAACATTAAAACGACACGGAATAAAGAAAAACTGCAAACTTGCATTCTCTCTAAGATAATATCTAGAATAGGCCTCTAACCAGAACATATTAACATCAACAACAAGAGTAGAAGTTGTTTTATTAATTTACAAGTAACAAGTGTTGAAAAATAAGTAATGTCATATACAATATACATGACGGACTAAGCGTGGCCCACACGACCCTAACAAATATCAGATTGAAACCCGTTGATCTATCCATCCAAATCCATATAAGCCACCAGCTCTTCTCCCGGACAAATACCTACATCTGAACGGACGGCTTCCGACAGTGCTTCTGATACCTGATTCAGAAGTTGGACATCATTTACGGTTACATTAGATGCGTTCAAGTTTGATTGATTCGCTTGACCACCAACGTCAAGAAGAACATGACCGAGAGGAGCCGAGTCGTCTAAAACAATTTGACATGAACGTTATCTTTAAACTAAACCAATATTACAGCCCTAATTTGTAAGCTAAAAAATAAAAGAAAAAAAATTCTAAAACATATACAATTAATTTTACCCAAACTAACCTGAATTTTTCTTCTTTTTTCCATCATGCTTTCGAACGGCTTCAGAATAGGCTCGTGACCTTTGTGTCACATCAACTTCTCCTACGTTATCATCCAAGTTGACGTCAATTATTCTCTAAACACAAAATAAATAAACCAAGACCACTTACTTCTTGAGCTGTGTTTAAAATCCTGTGAATCAAGGCGGCCTCGTTCTGTTCTCTTGACCTCACGGACTCTCCAACAGAATAAGGTGGAGTAAGTCGATTGCCAGCCGGTATTCCATTCCCTGTGGCATTCTGGGAAGGCACATTTACACTAAAACACAACAATATAATTTATTCATATTTTACTAAACATATATTGCAAAAACTAGGTTAAAATTCAGTGAAAACCATTAAAAACATGGATAACAAACCTTTCAGATCTAAATATGTCGTCGGTTTCCTCGTTTCGGATCAAATAGCTCTCATCATCTTCTCCGTCTGTTATGCAACAACAGAACTTTTTCAGAAAGTTCATTGCAGACAATTAGATCAACTTTCTATTTATCAACCTCATCTGCGAAAAAATATTTTATGGAAAAAGAAAGAGCTGCGTCCTTGCATCCGCGAACTGCGGGTTATACCGGCTTTTTATTTATTTTATTTTTAAAAAATAGGTAATAGAGATATTGAAAACGCCTTTGCATGTTTTAAATTTTTACAATAAATTTAAAAACAATAATAATATTCAAACAATGTAGTCAATCAATAAAAGAACTTTATTTGACGATAAAACAGTGTCAGTCTTCGGAACATTCTCCGGCATCGTACTTGGGTGCCTTTTTCCTCTTTTCCTTTTCTTCATTTGCATATTTCTTGGCGTAAGAGTCGTAGTCGTCGATGAACATCAGCAAGTTCTGACTCATTTCTACTGAATTCGACTTCATCAGTGTGAACAACAGAATCCGGGCAGTGTAAATGTAGTGCTGAAAGGTTATTAGTTAATTTTAAGTCTTTCTATGGATGGTTAATGATTGTTATATAATTTTTTATTACAAAATTTTTAATAGTTTAACGATAAAACTGCTTGAAATAATAAAAAAACAAGTCAACTTTGACTGAAAGGAGAGCAATTTGGTAATTTAGGTAATACTCATATCTCTTTACCATTTCACATTTTATAGCCAGATGCCGTTTCTGCCTGAGCTCCTTGGCCAACTTGAGCAGAGCGACTTCTTGACCAGCGTACAGTCGGTCGATTCCTTGACAACCTAGAACAACAACGGCGCTTCGACCAGAGCCACAAGCACAGTGTACCAGTACCTTTTTGGCGTGTCTGGTCGCTCTCCATATATGAAAAACGGCACTTGAGGCTTCTGGAAATCCGACGACGGGGAAGTTGCTCCAGAAGATGTGTTTGGCGTTGACCTCGCCCTTAGGGGTTTCTGCTTTTATCACTGACACTTGGACGTTCTGATCGTCTGATGCAATGGCATCTGGCTGCAAGTCAAGGTTACAGTAATGCGTTCTATGTATAATGTTTTAATTGGGTGTTCAATCGATAACTGTTTTAAATAGATTTCAGTCAATAAGTTTAGGGAATTTACCTTGGTTGTCGCCACTTTGATCCCTCCGAACTCCCCACTCTCTCCAGGCTTGTAATATGTACCACACTTCTTCCCGTCGTCGCATGGAGTCATTTGTACAATCTGAAGTCATTTTACTTTACAATATCACATAGTCATAGTAAGATTATCATCATATAAAGTAATAACAAATGCAATAGCAATACCAACTTACCACATCGACACCTTCAGTTTGAGCTAGATCCCAGAAGTTGGCTACTGTAGATGCTAGTGGAGACTGTGCCAGTATAAACTTCGAATCTACAGAATTGGCGTTGTAGTAGCCTCCATCAGATAGTTTTACACGGCTTTCTTCGATACATTGGACTGTCTAAATACTTTAGTATGAAGTACAATGTAGAACATGATGACAACTGGTAAAATGGTACAATCTCTGAGTTTTTACTATAACAGATGCAGTGTTACTAACAATTGTATTTACTGACCGTATATAGGACATTTGACTACGGTAACTAACCTTGTACCTATTTTTGGAGGCATTGTCGCCGTCTAGTCCTGCTGTAGCACTTGGGTTAACGTTTTCAGTAGCCAGTTCCTGGAACTCCTTCTTCAGCCCAGGCATGTCTTTGTCCAGTAGCCAGGTGACGTAGCCGTTCTTATCAGGGATGATCTCCTCCTTGTCCTTCTCGGGCTTCTCGTGATTGTCTTTAGGCTTTCGTTTCTCCTTCACTGACACATTACCTTCTTCTTTTGTCGCTTTTTTCCTAGATAACAAGAGTTGTTAGTTACCGTGGTTAAAAGCTTGGTATGTTACCATACCTTCAATATTATCTCTCACTTTGTAATATAACATTCTAATATTATGAAGTTTTAACTTACTTTCTGCTCCTTTTCTGTGATTTGTCGCTGAAAATAAAGCTTTAATAAAGAATGACAGTTACAGTAATACTTAATCCAACAATTTGAAAGTTTAAGCTTCAGACCTTTTTGCCATTTTTATAATGACATAATATGACATGTTATATTAAAAGTGTCACCAAAAGTTAAATCAACCTACGCAGAGCTGGTTCTCTTCACCTTGGTACTACTATCTACGGTTTCAGTGACATCTTGTGTAGTCGCTCCAGAACGACGTTTGGCAGAAGCTGTAGTTCGTCGTTTGCGTTTTTCCTTCTGAAGTCATCAAGTAATGAAAAGTCATTACAATGTAAGTGTTTGAAGGTACATTTCGGTATTTGCAGTATATTTGAATATTCATACTCAGAAATTGCCATTTTTAAACACATTTTATAAGAGAACTCTTTAAATTTTAAACTTTACTACATTGACAGCCCTGTTTTTAAAGTTTAAATCGTGTAGCTTACCACACTGACGCCCCTGTTGTTCTCTTCGGCAGTCTTCTCGGCATCGTCGCCCTTCCGCGAGTACTTCTTCTTCATCTCGTTTAGTCTCGTCTTCAAGTCCTTCATTTTGGCAGATTAACCGACCGCCAGGTGACCAAAAATGACGCAGAATGCATACGACTTTCAAATTTGTTAAAATTTCAAAATTTAGTTTTAAAAAGTTATTAAAAATGAAATTTAAAATTGAATAAACTGATCATATTATTACTTTGCAGCTTTTTCTAGTTATTTCTCGACCGAGACCGTAACATTACACTAATACTACATATCTATTTTGCATTTTTACATCTTGTTTTGTAAATAAAACTTGGAAATACAAAAATCGAATCAGAATGTCCCTTATATATTGTCACTTATATTATGTTAGTCCAATCAGCTGTTGGTATATCGGCTAACAGCGCATCGTATGTCCATAACGTTGTTAGCCTTGACATAATGTCGTTATATATAAACACGACTTTTATTCTGCATTGTGCTCGGCTCTCATGAGTTTTCTCACAGAATAGCACCGTGCATACGAGATGGTTAATATGTTAATGACCAGCCTTGTTTTCGTTTTTGTGATTATGTGATAAGAATATCCAGACAATGGTCAACAACGACTTGAGTACCATTTGTTTTACTACAATAAACTATTAATCATTTGGCATTAAAGTCTTGTTTCACCACGATGTTATACTAGGTAACAGTATATATTACTCATGTTGTTCTGTTGTAACTGAAAGTATAAACATAGAAATGAGTTATCTACATCACAACTTAGTGCCTTACAATTTATTTATTTTTAGCGTCTTCTGACGTCGCCGTGACGCCGTAGCCGACGATGTTTGAGATTTTTGTGGGAAAGTTGCCTTTTAATGGTTATGTGCCATTTCTTTGTCACATATCTTGTTTTTTATAATCATTCGACCGAAAACAAAACATTTCCCCTCCGGCTATCTTTCAAATCCCAAAACAATCCACAAAACCTGTCAGCATGACGGATTTATGGGCCTTTAATTTACTTTTCCCATTATTTTGGCCAAATTTTTGAGGTTTTAGTGGGGTTTTAAGTGGGTTTCGCTGGGTTTAGGTAGCTTTTTCTTGGTTTAATTAATTTTTTTATGGTTAATATGGGAGGTAATATGTTCAGAATACTGTTGAAAGTATTTTTGAAACTTTAAAACTAACTTCAATGTTCAAAAAGTATTGTTTTAGGTACTTTTAGGTAACATTTTGTATTATTTTTGTTTTAAATTGACAATATGAGTTGTCAATGGTACTGTTAACAATATTAGGAACAAGCAGTCTGTGTAGAGACAGGTTGCTATAAACAAAGGCTTCTGAAATTGGCAGGCACCTTTGTTCCCCTCCATAATGTAATTATTTAAATTCTACTTTTACTTTGTTTTCGCTTTAAAAGAATATCCATATTATTTCATGTTTTTGCCCAGTTTCGGACTTTAAAATTACTCAAACAGTAGTTAGGTACGGATTCAGAATACCGTAGTTAGAAGGTTATATCGCATCATAACTACAACATTTTGATAGTTAGAATACTGTATTTTGAGTATCCTGTAATGATTTTACTGTAAAATTTTAAAGAAAGTATAGCACTGTAATTTTGTAGTTAAAGTATGACGCTTACCGTATCATATCTGCATAGTGTAACCTTTGAATACGGTTTAACTTTTTCGAATTTGAATTTGAATAACTGATTAAAGTAACATAACATACAGATGGTAGTATCGCGTGTCAGACGTCTTATCCGATTTACGGCTACTTTACTCTGTAATTCTCTCACATCTGCTTTACTTTGCAAAATTCAAAAATTCTCAGATTTTGTGCACCGTGCTATCACAAACACTGCACTGTGCAATTTTTAAAATTTTAAAATTTAAATTCCAAATTTCCAGTTATAGTTAACTACAATTACTAAACTTGTTTTCGATTCTAGTAAACAGTGGTCTATTTAGACTTATTTACGTGTGTTGATAACGCTTACCATGGCGGTAACTTCGTATATTCATGTAAACATAGTAATTCAGCTGGTGTCTTTACTATTACTCTGCTTTTTAGGTAACAGTAGTTGTAGAATTCACTCTGACGTAGCCTTGCATTCTTAATTCTGAATCTATTATTGAACTTGTTTCTTTATCTACTATAAGATCATGTTAAGGTTTGTATTATGTTAATATAGTTATATTATTTTAGGTGTCACTTTGTCGTACTATAAAAGTATCAGTACGTGACATTTTATTTTAAAATTTCATATTCTATGGTTTAATTACACTTTATAATTTATGTATGACACTGTATTTGTTATGCATTACTGTGACATGTACTCAGAGCAGCGAGTATGTCGTACTCAAAGGTAGTACTCGATCATTTTGACAGTTCTTATTCTTGACAAACGGTTTTAAACTTGTTTTACCAGGTTGTTCAAATAATTATGTGCCTCCTTTCAAAGCAAATTTTAGGGGCTAGGGGCACATAATTATTTGAAAAACCTAATAGTAATTGGGGAGTGATAAACATAATCTGACAGACTTACCAGTCAGTTATGTGATTACTACCGAGAAGATATTAACTTCCTTCCGAGTAATCTTACTGTTTATCACAACATACCACCTCTCTTCGTGGTAATTACTACAAATCTGTCATTAGCTCTTTGATCTATTTGTCATCACTTTGAGTTTAACCATAGTAATTGAGGAGTAATTGCTATATTTAGACTTTTTTAGGTAACAAAATTCAAATTTTAAGCTCGAAGTTCATTTTTAAACTTAAATTTAAGAAAGAAAAGATTAAAAGTAGATTTAAAACAAAGTTATGCCTATAGTGATGTTCAGTATTATGTTCTTATTCTTGGTATTACATCTTAGCACGTGCCTACTATAATTGTTGGTTTAAATTGTAATCTTACTCGCTTAAGCAGTAAGAGTAAATTAGTTTCTTCGAAGTTCGAACCAACTTTTGGACTTTCGAAACTTTTGAAACATAAAGCTTTAAATTTTAAATTAATTTTGCTGCACGGTATCCTTTTACCGTCGTATCTTCTCCATGTATCTAGAAGATACGACGTTTAACCCTTATATTATCATACGTCCTTCCTCTTTACTAGTTCCACCTCTTTAATACTTCCACTCTACCTTATCAATCAACTTTCCCATTTTTCGTATCTTACCTTATCCACGCCGTCGTATTTCCCTCGTTTACCGCGTCGTATCATGGTATCTCGCTCTCTTACTGCGTCGTATCATCGTGCCGTGACTATCCCCACTCTTGTGGCCACTTCCCGGAATTCTTTTATGGCCATGGATTTATTGTGCCTGCGGCGTTTAATTAGCGCTTTGGCTCTTGACGTGTTGTTGTGGCCTGACCTTCTGTTCGGCCATAACAACACCTTCATTGTGCCCAATCTTCTCCCGTTTACAGGGCCAGAAGGTGTGCGGAAGGGGTAACGTCATGGTTTAGCTGTAATTTGGGTATTAGTTTGGGTTATTATGGCAAGATATAGCATAATAATGAGGTTTAGGTAACATTTTAGAGCTTTTTCAATATATGTATGGATTTAAGCGTTTAAAAAATTAAATTATAAAGTTTTAATATTAAAATAAATTATATTATGCTCTCTCTTACCATGTCTTCATGCCTATTAGTATCCATTTCCCGCCGAAAACAAAGAAAAAAGGTCTGCAGCCTGCGCTCCCCTTCAAACCTAGGGCGCAGCCGGAAAACCCATTCACTGCATGAAATCAAAACTCGAGAACAACAATGTCACTGTCTGGACATACGAAGCGTGTTGGTATGTTGTGAAAGTTTCAATTTGAGTGTGTCGATCATAACATACGAAGCCCTATGTCACATTATATTGTACTACTTCCTTGTTTTCGAATCTGTCTATAATCCGTGAAACGGAACGCCTCAGGGGTTATATTGGGTTTCGTCAATTATGAATAGTATTTTACATGGCTCTGATTAGAATTTGGCATTAGTTTTTGTATTAGGTGATTGCAAAAGTTTCTGGCCGATTTTTGTTTTACCAAAATTTAATATTTAAAAAAAACAACAATAACTAATTAACAAATATATGTGTCATTATTATCAACAACCTGTTTCCATCCCTTCAGCAGCATTTGGATTCAACTTCTGTAGAAACCTGGAGTTTCAGAATTGAAAAAGTTAGCCCACCACCTCTTGAGGTACTCTCGATTGTCAAAGCGTGTTGCGTTAAGGTGATTTTGAAGAGAGTGGAACATATGATAATCTGTTAGTGCAACCTCAGGTGAGTACTGTGCATATGACATCACAGGCCAGCCGAAACTTTTGAGCTTGTGTTGGGTCAACTTTGTCACAAGGGCGCAAGCAGTATCATGAATGAAGAAACCCGATTCTGTTTACCATGCAATGCTCCCGCAATAGATTTAATTTGTCTACAGTAGACATCCACAGGGATCGTAGTTCCATGTGCTACCATTTCCCAGTACACAATACCTGTTGAGTTCCAGCTAAAGCTGATCATCTTATCCAGTGGGTGAAGATCAGGTTTGAGGTTGATACACCCTGTTCTCTACGTTCAAGCCATTGTTTCTTACTGGTGTGATTAACATACAGTACCCACTCCTCATCCCCAGTAACCAAATTGTCAAGCCATTCAAAGTTCCTTGGGAGCATCAACACACAAGTGCAAACTTCTACTCGACGTTCAGCTGGTCGCTGTTCAAATCATGTGGAACTTCTTGACCATATTTCCGTAATCTCCCAAGGGCGTGAAGTCTAATTAATGTGGTAGAAGGGTCACACTGAAGCTCTACAGTCGAACTTTTCGGACATGTCAAAGTCACCGTTTTTGAACTTGTGGAACCAAACTTTTGTGGTGTCGTAAGAGACAACTGAAGGCCCTACAGCACTGCATATTTCCTTCGTCGCTCTTGTTGCGTTGCCGTGATTGCGGAATTTGAGAAACAACACTGGCCGAACATGATTGTGTTTCACCTTGATTTCTTGAACTACCGTAAACAACAGAAAGCTTGAACATGCAATAGTTTTTAGTCCTTGGACACCTCTTTATACAGGTTGCCAACAGAAAGTTCTAGAACAGTGCAAAATTTTTTAAAAAAATTTTTGAAAAATCGGCCAGAAACTTTTGCAATCACCTAATATTTTATAGTTAGATATGTATTATAGTAGGGTATCTTTATATTAATATAGCCCTATGTACACACTTATGGTATATTAAAAATACGTGTAATGTGGTTAGATGTAGACATAGATCTATGTTTATAGCTTGCCTCAAACGTTTACTTTTCCCAATTTGTACTGATACTAAATAGCATCGAACGAAGTTCTCGAGTAAATTGGATCCGTTTAAAGTGTTTTAAACATTATTTTACTGCGCTCATCGTATCTTGATGGCTTTTTCGGCTTTATTTTCTCATTTACTGTGGTATTTTAAACTGTTTTTACTAAATTTTAAAACTTTTAACGGGAATTAATTATGATTTTTGCAGATTTTTGATGCCATTTGAAGCAATATAATGTACAGTATATTATGTCATATATTATGACATAATATTATACGTTAAATAATTAAAATTAGGGGTCGAAAAGTATGTAGAATTGTCTTGCGTTCTCAAGGTTTTGCTTTTTAGAGATTTTCTACGAACTTTTTGACCGACTCGAAAAATGGAAAATTAACGAAAACTTTGTTTCCAGTGCACTTTAAAGCTTTTTAATTTCTCACAATTTTGAATTTCGATTAAAATATTTAAATTTAAGTTTGAAACCGGTAAAATAAGGTCCGAGAACTTTTGGGTTTATTTGATGTATGTTATGTGACATTTCTTTTGACAGCCGTCACTCTCGAGTTCCCTCGAGAGTCTTCTTTTAATTAAATTTAATTAATCCCGCCGGCTGGTCTTACTGGTACCATTTTCGGGGATTTCCACTAATTAGAGGCTTTTTCGAAATTCCGGTTTATGAAGATACGATAGACAGTATGTAGGTAAAGGATGGGTAATATATAAGTAAACCATGAATAATTGCAATGTGAAATACAGTAGCTCTGACTTTACATAACAGCTTTCTTTTAATTTGTCAAAAAGTACGTAGAATTTAGTTTTTCATGGGTTTAGACCATTTATCGTCTACTTTCTCATCTTTATATTGACTTTGCCTGGTGATAAAACAACATTTTGGATATAAAATTAATTTTAAGACAGTTTTACTGAACCACTCTTTACAGTGCAGTAAAAACCAAATACCAAATACCACGTAGTATTTACAGTTTGTCGAGTTCCAAAGAAGGTCATGGTTAAGGTCAGGTTGAAGTTAGAAAGGTGGCCATGGCAACTTTATTCCGTGAGACAATGGCCATATGACATGTATACTAACGTTCTTTCAATGACATGGCATGTTATACTTGGCCAATTATAGTATTTGGCGTTTTATTATTGTTTTTTATAGATGACTGGTGTAAAAGCTAACATATCAATATAATGACAATTAGATAATAATATCTATAAAACTTTAAAAACCTTTAAAATGACTTTTTCTCTTTACTTTTTGACCATTAATATATTGTTATACACATTTCAGTTATTTTTTACATTATCGCAAACCAGTTTTCTTTTATTTTACATTACCATTACTATACTCAATTCTATGAACACGTTTGATCGTATAAGGTGTCTTGGAATCGCGTGTCATCCATCTGGTTATTAATTTATATTATTTTAGATGAGTTTGTGCCGGCCAGAAGCGTCGGCCGAGCGCCTGCGACGAGCTTCGACTGGACTGAGGCGAGGCTCTCGTGTCAAGAAAGTAAGTGTCATCGTATCTTGTGTATGGTATGTTATGAGGTGGCATTACTTTGTATGATTAGTTTGAAGGAACTTTCTTTACAGTTTTGGGGTTTTATATATTGTGTCAGAAGGCGCATAATTAATTGAACGGCCTAATAACTGCCGAAAACTTACTTTACGGTTTTTACAGCCGTAGTAATTGTCTTTACAGTAAAGAAAAGTCATTGTATGTTAAGCATGATAGGGTATTGTAGATATCTTTAGACGATAAAGCATGGTATAGTAGCATATTAACTACGGTATCGTATCTTATAATATAAATATATATATTTACATTACTTTGTCTTTTTTGCAAAAACTTTGTTTCCACTTTCTATACCTGAATATATATATGAACATATAACACATGTAGGTACACGTCCACGTCCAAGTATGTACATGTAGATGTATGTTGTCGTGTAAGGCAGGTTAATGAATGTCGTTACCTGAGTGTAATCACTTGTTTTGATGTCCATGAATGACATATATATTCATTTACCTTACTCTTATGTGTTTATTTACCGTGGTAACATCTTGTTGACAGCCATGTATCTCTACTGTTACCGCGTAAGTTATTCTTATATCTTTTGTTTTGCCTGGAGATTGTCGGATTTACTGAGTAGTTTGGGGAAAGCGACGTATGTGTTATATACGTTTGTATGTTATGATATAGCTTACATTACTTTCATATTTTGGGTATATGTTTGTATATTACCTATATATTATATGTAGATGTGATGTAGATGTAGGGGTGTATATGTCCCCTTATAAATATACATATATATGTCTTGTGTCATAGCTGAGTCTTAACATATATTGCCCATACATTGACTTTACATTATGTCATTTACCTTTGCCAACCACTTCCTTACATGTTCGTATGTCCGCGTTTACAGTGTAAGGTTGTTCCCAGGTCCCCCTTCGGAATGTGTGTAGGGCCCTCGAGGATTATATTATTAAAGATATTCGATTTCATTATCGGCTTTCGCTCCTGCCCTCAGGGGTTTTGGCCACATTAACCTTGACTTTGTCATAAGCAGCGAAGGTGGTGACATTATTTTAGGTATGCGTCTTAACGCTTTACTCGGTTCTTTGGTGTGTTATACATACTTAGTACTCCTACTACATTAAAGTACTATATAGTACCACCACACTTCATTTTAGTACTGGTACTACATTGTACGAGTACTGAATGGTACTAGTACTATATAGCACCTTCTCAAAAAGCCCATAGGATACCTATATCTGGCCATGAAATGATTGTTCCTTGTACTTTTCGACCACCCCCACGTTAATTACACCCCCAAAAAGTTTTGTCCTATATTACACTACACTCGAACAAGATTGTATATTTACTGTTGATGTATTGTAAGTACGGACACGAACATTATAATTAACTACCCATGCATATATTACGTACATTAACGTATCTTGGTCGTATATTTACACATTTCACGTGCTGCTTCCGCCAGTTTATATATGAAACGTATCTGCTTTTGACAACAAACATGGTCGTATCTTCGTAGCACAGTGTTTCTTATATGTGTAGGTGTGTTGGGAGATTCTGGATAACGATGAGATGGGGGAAAGGGTAAAGCGGTGGCCCGAGTCCCAGTCTTACCTCTTCAATAATTCCTTATATCGTATTTTATCCCAAAACTTTTGCACCACAATCATATGTTGCGACCTCGTACTCACCATGAGACTTACCACGTTAAACACTTACCATGGTACTTACTGTGGTGTTGTTATTTGTTCGTTGTGCAGACTTCCGGTGCAGCTCTATCTAGGTGTATATCCGGTGTTAATTTCGGAATGTTATGACAATCCATGTCAATAGGATACGTAGGCACGGTAAATTTCGCGTCGTATTTTCACATATTTACTTATTTTACAATTTTAAAATAATTTGAGTCGATATTAGGTACCTCTTTTACGTTTTCAGGGCTATTTTACTATAGTTATCGCGATTTGATGTTCGGTAAAGTAATTTATTTGTATCTATAGTCACTGGAATATAATCATATAAATGTACACAGATGTACACATTAACACAATAATTAATTTGGTTTGCCATTTTGTACAAAATATCTTAAAATTGGCAAAAACTTTGTTTCCAGCCCTTAGGTCTTCCAAATTTCAATTTTTTTAAATTTCCTCTTTCACTTTTCTGTTATATCAATAGACATATTAACTCTAATATAACCGACATAAAACAAGTATTAGCGGTCGCTATGACATTTCTCTTCGGGAATTAATTATGCCCTGAGGGGAAAACAGAATCTCGAAATGGGCGACGGTCTGGCTGTTACTGAGTTATTCTTCTCCCAGCTGCATTTGCACAACACGGTAATTATACGTTAATATCTTGCAATTACAATGTTTATGTTCTGGTATGTTGCAATTACCATGTTTATATTGTGGTATCTGGCAATTATTATATTATCTTAATGACTGAGTAGGTGGAACAAGTGGTCTAACGGATGTATGTCTTAATATAGGCTTATAAGCATAACGGTCTCAATTAGTAAACATATATACTATATAGATATTGTTTTAGTCATTTGTTTACTTAAGTTCAATTTAGACTCTTTCAAAATTCAGAAGTTCTCGGACGATCTGCACGGTGCAACCTTCAGAGATTGCACAGTGCAAAAGTTCCAGAACTTATGAACTCGAAAAGTTTTTACCGTAGAATATTTAGTATCCTTTCCCTCTTACAGTACCCTAATGTAAGTAATTGTACATGTTACACTATGTTCGAGTAGTAATTACACATTCACAACTACAATAACTCTGGAGTTACTACAAGTGGATAACCCATTACCCTGGCTGTAAATAGTTAATCCGAGTAATTTTGTGACCTTTTCTGTACTCTTTACTACCAAATACCTACTTTATGTCATGGTAATTTGTACTTTGGCAATTACAAAGATTACTTTTGGATTTTTGTTACCTAAATTCCATTTTCAGAGCTATATATCATTGTTATTGTAGTAAAAGAGGCCTTCTACATATTGTAAGTCTGTCATAACATTGTAATCGTTGTCATAGTGCAAACGATGTCATTTATGACATTATGAAAGTGATATTTGTCATTAATCCTCAAACTTAAAATAAACTGCTTAGAGCTTAAGCAGTAATTACTCTAATGTAATGTAACGTTGTGTGGGTGGGGATCCTCTTACATTCCTACTTTTACTATCTACTCCTACCTTGATACTGGCATTTCTTTGAAATTTCACAAATTTAATATTCTAAATGTTGAAAAATGTCAAAATCCTCAAATCATACCTTTTCCAGGATTCTGAGTGGCATTCCTCATCGTGTAAAGCACCTCGCTCCAGCTACACTCACTACGTGCAACAGTCAGAGTGCCTGAGGCAACAAGTACAACAACATCCTGTGTATCAAAGTGAGAGTCTCGAGAATCCGGTGATCCCTCGCATCAAGGTCACTCATCCACCTCGAGAGTCTCGACGAACTTCCATCTGTTCTCCGCTCAGATTCACTCGCACCGTGAGCACGGATTCCATTGATTCGCTGGAACGACAGTGTCTCCGTGACCTGAGGTGGCAACGGATGATGGAAGCGGAGATGCAGCAACAAGGCACAAGTCTGCAACGACAGGCTTCTCTCAGGAATGGAGATGTATGTTACCTATAATAATATTTTTTAATTTAAAGTTATTCATCCACCTTATTTTAGCATTTTTTACAATTAAGGTGACGAATGATAACCTAAATTAAGTTTAAATGTTCAAAAAACATTTGAAAGTCTTGGATTATCCTCCAAAAGTTCAATTTTTTCAAGAAAATATAATTTACAAAAACAAAATCTTGTCTTCCAGAAAACTGGTCATTATGACTATTTTTAAAGATGTTTTTCTAACAAAATTTTGTCAAAGAATAAGTAAATGTTAGCAAACATGTTGCAAATCATAAATGATGTATTATAGTCAGTGTTTTGCCGGACCCGTCCGGTCCGGACCGAGGTCCGGTCCGGTCCGGAAAAAAAAATTTTTTTTTATTTTAATAAAACTGTTTTAAAAATTGCAAATAAAACATATTTTTAAGAGTTTTTAAACGTAAAGAAAGCAGTTTTAGCGCTCCTGGCTTTTTTTAAAAATAAAAAAAAAATTTTTCGGACCGGACCGGGCCGAAAAAATTCTTATCCGGACCGGTCCGGCAAAACACTGATTATAGTAAATAAATCTCAATTTTTGTTTTTAGCTTTATTATCCTGGACTTATTAGCCAAAATTATGTAAAACAATTTTATTTACTGCTTCTATAAAAGTGGTTGAAAGTTTTTTTTAACGTAAATTTAGTCTTTTATGAATAATTTTGGAGTTATATTAAATTCGTTGTTAGAGTACAATTTATATTATGCTTGATAAATCGACCTATCACAATATAAATGTTTTCTTTTTAGAACGGTGAACCAGTAGCATCTACATCGTTAGAAGACCCTTCTTCTTCGTACCCACCGTTGTCTCGAGTAGGAAGATCTAAAACAGACCCAGGGAACGATGAGCAAAGCAATAACAATATAAATAATGGAAACGGAAGGGTTGCCCTCCAGAGATCACCGTTATCACTGTCACATGGAGAAGCGACACTCAAGAAAAGTGAAACGGTAATATTCTACCCTTTTCCTGTTTGTTTTAGGCATAAGACGACTAGTGTTTTATGTATATTACACTGCGTAGTAATGATTTTATTTGATACTGTGTTGATTTTTAGGTAACAAATTTTTAGTCTAGCAGTATACATCTTTAACCATGATTGTTATTAAATTTACTGAATTATTTTTAGTTAAAACGATCTAGTCCAGACCTCTTCCTCGATGGCGTGGCTCGGAGTCGTATCTTGAGTGATGTGATAGGCTTATCTTGTTATCAACAGAAACTTATCACTCAGTGTTGGCCTAACATATATTCTACTGGTATCAATGGACCTTTTGCCTCACAGCTGTACTCAACATTTTATTCTAAGAATGCGAAGGCCAAAGCTTTGATGCAAAAGGTGAGTGTAATATGTTGTTATGGTCGAATTCTTTAGTGTCTACTCTATGTATTTTCTCATTTTCTTAATGTTTACTGAGCATGTGGGTACTGTCAAGTCCTACAATAGCTTATTGATGATTTTTGTTATCTTTGTGTAATGAAACGTTAAGATACGATTACTTATTTACGTGTAATATATTGTAGGCTGATGGTGTGGCTGTTTTCACACAAAGCGACGCTGATTGTACGACAATGCACACCAAGCTAACATTGGAATTAATCGACAAAATTGTAAAGAACCTTGATGGTCATCCTGGAGCAATCATAACATACCTAAACGATGTTGGACAGGTACACAGGACGTTGAGGAATGAAGGGATATCAATAGCAATGTGGGATGATTTAGGTATGTTACTTTATTTATTTCCAGTTTCTGTTGAGCAATGTTGTTTTACCTCTCTCTCTCTCTTCTTTTCTCCTACTTTCTTTCTAAGCTCTCTCCTCCAACTTAGCGGTCCTATGCAGTACCATACTGAACTGTTTGTTCTTCAGGCGATGCTATATTGGACGGTGTTAGGAAGAACGATGTGGTACGGAAGCATAAAGAACTGCGGCGTGCTTGGCTGGCCGTGATCGCCTTTATCACTGATAACATAAAACAAGGTCAGAGTCTGTTCCGATCTAGTCCGTCGACGGAAGGCAGCGAGCTTCGGTCCAGTTAAATTTACATATCTATGTACAAAACATACGACAGTAAAGACAAATCACAATTTCATGCGGTGTTATGTGTTTACAACGAGGTATATTATTATTTATTAGGTAACTTGACTTACTATGTATATCTACTAGTTTAAGCTTCAAAAGTACTATTACACGGTGACTTTATTTACATAACAATATTTACATACAACAAGATCGAGATCGCCAGGGGAAACAAAAATCACTAGGATTACAGTAGACTTGGGTTACGGTAGCGGTGTCACCGTTACCATGGTATGTAGACTTGCATTACGATATGATGAGCCAGAATATTACCCGGTTGTATACAGTTGATATAACACAACCCATATTATGATACCTACAGGTACTGCTGCTACAGTAGCACGAATATTACTATTGATTATGCTGGAAGATACGAGTTACTGTAGTCGTATAGGTTACTTTGACTACTGTAACTTGGGAAACGTTACTTTGACTACTGTAACTTGTGATTGTAGGCCTATTAATTGCACTAATAACACTAGCGATAACTAATGTAACTTAGACTATGTTCGTGTATCCAAGTCGAGGTTGTATGGTAATCACCTGAAAGCATACGGTATATAATGAGCGTCACGATTGTAAAAGATAGTTTTATAAAGGATTATTAGAGTTACAGTGAGTAATACAGTGTACTTACTCGTTTGCTTCTTGGTTTAACAAATATCAGTAAGAAGAGAGGTAACAACGCCAAAGATGACAGTTTCAGCATGGTAGATGTTGACATAACATCGTCCCAACTCTTCAGATCTGATAAGATAGAACCAGCTTGGACACAGATGAAGTTGTACGGGGCTAACCCTAGAATAAGATGTTAAATTATATTGTTAACAAGGCTTCATTACGTCTATATGATCTACAGCTTTAGTCAGATGAACGCAGCCTCAGTCTGAGGCTTTTTATCATTTTACCTAAAGTTTTACTTCTGTCAATATCTCTTTTAATATCTAGAAGTTATAGTACGTTCTACTGGTTACATACTATCTTGAACTTGCTATATACTATAACATAGAAACATACCAACAAAAGCGGTGAAAGCGAAAGTAGGTATAGGGATGTTGAGGAAGGGAGCGACGACGTTCAGAAGCCAGCTGGGTGAGATGGGGAACATCCTCGCGAACAGAAGGTACAGTACCAGACCGTGCGAGTTGTCCTCCACTTTTTGTTGTAGGAACTTCATCCTCTGACCGAAGTAGTAGTAAGCGTTCTCTCGGCCGAAGCACAGCTCAGAGAACAGGTAACACAAGGTGGAACCACAGGTGGTCAGGACACAGGCCAGCATGAAGCCTACACCCATATCGAACACTGCTCCTGCGACGACGTTCTGAAAGGAGTAGGGTCAAGGTCATGTACAATACAGCAGAATGGATAGTATGACAGTACTATGGTTTGAGTACTGTTATATCAATTGATATATAACAATAAGTTACGATTGTCTATGACTATCAAACAAGGCTTTCAGCTCGGTCTAACAGCCACGATTACAGTTATTCTACTACAATGTGATACCATTTTACAACGTTAAAGACCTCTAAACCAACAGAACTATGACAATATAAACTTGACTCACCAAGAGGAATGACCCGGGAATGGCGAAGGTCTGTTTGTAGAGGTACACGGAACAGAAGAGTACCGTGATGTAGATGTAATGCTGGTTGTGGTACTGCTTGAACTTTGTCACAACCATGGTAAAGTTGTCGAACTGCTTTGGTATCTCAAAGCCAGCTGAAATTAACTACGTAAATATGTTTTTTAGTATAATATGATCTCAACATGTGTGGTTTTAAAATGAATTTTGAAAATTTTTGATTAGTATAGTACTGTAGTGTGTATTATAGACATAGTACAAAATATTTTTAAAAAAGACAAAACGTTGTTCAGTTCAAAGTACGGTACTCATAAGTACTATAGGTTGTACCATACTATATAGTAGTTTTTGGCACGACCAAAGATTGTAGTTCACTTACTCTCATCCACATTCCATCCAGGTGCTGATGTTACCATAACCCAGATGGCTATTGTCGCCGCGACAAATATTGTCGGCAGGAATAATATCCTGGACATAGCACCTGCAACATACGATTATTATGTACATTACTAATAAAAATGAAGAATGGCAGTAAAGTACATATTGTGTTACAATGTCAGTATTACAAAGGTGACTTTTAATAGCCAAAAAAAATCCCCCCTTGAGTTTAACTCCTCGTATACAACACAGATAACTAAAACAATACTGAGGATGTGCAGTACGAATAACAGCATAGCAATATAAATGTAACAATATACACCACAAGGTTATGTCATCTCTTTTGACTTGGTGTGCCACTGTAAAGACAAGGGAAACTTTTTACTTTATTGAGTTACAACGTTAAACTCATGGTTTTTTATGTTACAGTACTTTCACAATTTACATTACATTGGTAAATAACATTAAATGCCACTTTGATTAAATTATCAGTTACACAAACAAAGTTACTATAATGTAATCAACAACCTTACACAATCTTGTTTGAATATCCACCCCTTAGAGCTTTTTACCCTGCCCAAAAGTCTCTTACGAGTCATTTTACCTTGCCCACACACCTTCAAGGTCGGTTTCCCTGCCCATAAGAAACACCCCTCCCAGAAACAGGCGAATCTCAGTCGACATTAAAGAAGCCCGCCGGCATCAAACCAGAAGTATATAAAACAATATATCGTAAACACGTTTCCTAAATCGCCGCTCAAAACATACGACGAAACGTGTAATCTCTCGAAGAAACGATCACACACATCTCCTCCACCAGACACGACATACGACGACGGAGATACGACGGTTTTGTAACCGAGTTTACAGTGCCCAGTAAAAGTACAGGTATTATCATAGTTACTACAGATATTTTACTATAGGAATCAAAATGATATTAAGACACCGTGCAACGCAAAACCCCAAGATACGACGCTACTATAACGTAGAAACGCAAAGATACGACGTGGAAACGGTCGACGTCACAAGAAGATACGGTGATATTATTACCTCACGAGTGATATTGACCACGACAATGATATGTTACGTAAGCAGTGGAATGCCCTGAGGGCGGTTTTTGTGGTCGCGGGAAACAGGTTTACTGCGATTAATCAAATAACTTAATCCCCTTCCATCGTATGTTATCACGCCGGATGTCGCCCGAACGTGCTTAATCTCATACTCAACATACCAACATGTGCACTACAAAGTGTTCGAGTCAAGCCAAGATACTGAGAAAGTTTAAGAGATACGAACATCTGCTACGGTTCACTTATGTATACTATCACAACATACGATTGTAAAAGATATGGTAGATAAGGTAGTATATACGATACAAAGTTTGTTACTTGTAGTAGGATCGCTAATCGGTACAGAGTAATGTAAGTCATATTCAACTAATAAAGACACTGAGCACTATAAACCTCTACAATTACTCTATACCTACATCTTGCCACGTACAATTACCTGCAAGATGTACTTAATTACATAGTAACACGGAGTGTGAAACGTATCCAACTACAATGTAATTCCTCGTACGAAAGTTGAAAAACCATGGTAAGATACGACGAACAGCTGGTATTTTCAGCTGTGTTTATGTTTACTTAATTGAACATGTTTAGAAGAAGATACGACGTGAACAATATTCAATTAACTACGCAAGGCTAGCGAGCTCTTTAATTAGCCTAATTTCTGAAATTAGATCAGCGAGTTACGGCATCGCGCAACCATCGTCGTATGTTCCGTCGGGTTGCACGTTCCGCTCTCGTATCTTGCAAGCGTTTACACTTTAAATTTTACAATGGGTGGGTATATGACTTGTCATAGTTAATATAATTCTAATAGCTTTGTAAGTAAAAAAAACCTTGATAAAGACGTCCGGTATATTCAACATATCTCCACGTCTCTTTAATTTTCTTATAACGAAAGTTTACTTTACTAACCCATAATATCTTACGATAATTTGCAAATAATCCCTAATCGTGAGCTAAACAAGGCTTAACGTACGTATCTTTATATCAAAAGCTACCCTTTTAACCTTAATTAAGGGCAAATAAAGTAATGGAACAACTAAAACAAGATAATATCTTTGTCTACGACCATCTATCTTGATATATCTTCGTTTACCTACATTTATAAAGACCTCATACACGTTACAACAAGTTATAATTTACATTTCATAACTTTATTGCAACACTTATTTCCAAATTTACAACATGTGGTAGGTCTGGTATCTCCACCATGTACTACAATATAACCTTTGTCATTGTGAAACAACTACTTGTAATATAAGCGTCAAATTTTAAAGTACGCTTTACGGAGCCTATAGATTAATGTATACTTTTACAAATCTTTTTTTCTATGTACTTTTGGACCTATGAAAGACCCTTGTCTTTTAATGTTATAGACTATGATATATCTTGCCAATCTCAACCTATAAAATGCCATTTTGAACCACACCCTCTGCCCAAAACACAAAAAACAATACAAAACCAATATCGAGGTTACAATAATCGTATGTGTAAGACGATATACGTAGCAACAGATGAGCGCAACCTCAATTTGAGGATCCGCCCTAAGGGCATTCACGCTGAGAAAGGGATTCCTCGCAGTTCCGGCACAAAACTGGTAATGTTACTGTCTAATTATATTGTAACTCACATTTATTGGAGGGTTTGTTACAAAATAGGTTCAAGTTTTATTTGGAATTGTAATTTACTGGTCAGAAAGTACGTAGAATTACTTTTTTAAGGAAGACTTTAACACTTTTTCAAGTTTAAAATGCAAAACCTTTTGATTTTTAAAAAATGCTATTTCGAGATCAATCTCGTACAAAAAGCACGAAAGCTGACTAATGCCTACTACAATATCTGTTCAGAATACTTTCCCAAATTTGTCATATGTAATTTTATATATGACACATAGCAACGTAAAGCAATGTAAAGTAATATAGAAAAGCACAAACTTCTTTAGAAACCAAATTGTCGCACACAGGGCCGGGCGGGGACTTTTGGTCTGGGGGCAGGGGTCCAAAAAATCCACAGGGGGGACCACGTTCAAATTTTTTCGAAAATTTTTTTCTGGGGGGGGGGGGGTCCCCCCCCGTCCCCCCCCCCTCGCGCCCGGCCCTGGTCGCACAATAAAATAAAAGAACCGGAAAAAAATTTGCATAGAGACTTGTCTTAACCCCTCAGGTCAAGTGCGCTCTCATCAAAAGAATCGCGACAAATGCCTCCGGACATGAAGCGGAATGACGGCGATTAAACCATGAAAAGGGCTTTAATGTAATCGGAGCGACAAGGAACCAACCCTACTGTACGGTAGATTTTGTGACAAAAGTAATATATATAACAATACTATACATACATACATAAGTACGATGGTACTAAAGTACTATGATAAAATTATGATAATATGTTGCAAAAAGTCTTGTCGTTTTTTTGCATGAGTTTGGCCATTCAAAGACGACAACACTTTATGACATTCTTACAGTATGATTCAATAATAAACATAACACAGAAAGAAATTCTTACTGAACTGCTACTCTTCTACCTTAAGATTATGTAAGTGGAAAGACAAACACCTGCCTTATACCTTACACTACATTATCTATAACGTTTTCATAGTAAATTCCTACAAATTTCAAAAACCTTTCGTACCGTATACCGTACCACCACACACATCACCACTACAATTACCAAAATAACATTGTAAATACATCTACATCATTGTGAAACTAAAGTCACAAGCTAGATTAATATCATTTTTAAAGTATGTAGTATGTTACATAGTATTAAAGTATCACATTAAGATACATTATCTATACCTCAAAGTAAAATATCACAACTTACCCAACATCGCGGCTACATTGATATGAAGATACAAAGAAGAACGTACTAAAGAGAACCAAATCTCATCGTACACCAACTCCAAACTGGAGACGTTGCTACAGGATACGGAAGCGACATTCACATAATAAAAGAAGGAACTAGAGGTATCTGGCGCAATTTCAAAAGTCTTATTGCAAGATAAGTTACGCGCTGTATATTCATATTGTTGTAGTTTATATCTTAACACTCTTTACTTGTAAAAAGCATTCATTTCGAAAAGTTGTGTTATAAGCCATTAGTATTATCAGTTTTGCCTTAAACCTGATGACCTTTCAGAAAGTTATCAGTCGACCTTGACCTTGTATTATGTTGTCATTGGTATGAAGTTTACCTAGACATGGCAATCGGGCCGGGCCGCGGGCCCGCGTCGGCTTGTTTTTTGAATTTTTTTTCCCGCCAAGACGATATCTCAAAAACTATAAGAGATATCAAAATTCTAAGACCATTTGGAGGGGATAGCACCCAATAAAACCTAGGGGTAAAAAAAAGTTTCAGACTGATTTGATAAGCAGAAAAAAAAGCGCGGGAAAAAAATTCAAAAAACGGGCCGACGCGGGCCCGGCCCGATTGCCATGTCTAAGTTTACCACCGATCTAATAACTATTGTACTGTGCAAACAGTTTTGAAAAAAATTGTTTTAAATCTGGGAAGTTGTACAAAAAAACTAAAGACTTGTCATAGACAATATATTATTCATGCTCGTTTCGAAAGAATTTTTTTAAATTTTGTAAAAATAACTAGACAAAAAGCCGAAAAGTGCTAAAAGAAGGCGAACTTCATACATCCTGTACAACAACATAATAGGCCAATAATGTTTTCATTTTTAAGTAATAGATTGCTCAAATAATTCTGTACCCCATAACCTCCGAAATTTGCTTTGAGAAGGGCACAAAATTATTTGAACAACCTAATATATTGAATGCGCTTTGCTTATAAACTATATTTTAAAATTGCCTTGGCATAACCTCCCAAAAACTATTTTAAAAACGATGTAAACTATGCTGATAGAATTCACAACTTGACAAATGACTGTTTTGCAAAAACCTCCTTATCTAATAACATTAAACTTCAATTAAAATGTTTTGCCTAAAAATGGCAGTTCAAAAGGCCAAAAAAGTTCAAAATAAAATAACACAGCCCACTCGACCTTCAAACAGTAATGTAACTGTAAAAATGCTAAAATCTCTCTAAAAGTAAAAATAAACATATTTATCAATGTAGAGTTTGACCGATATAAAACGAGGGGTCCAACGGCTGAAAAGGTACCATATTCATATTGATTTGCTGCTCCGAAGGCGGTTTGTCGCGTTGTCGGCGGTTTTTAAACCAATTTGCTATCTAGAAATTTAAATATATTTAAAAAATAAAAATTTCAACGTTTTTGAAAACTTTTGATGTCATTTCGGTCAAAAAGTAGATAGAAATTTGAAGTAAAGCGACAAATCTTGTCCATAGTAATTTTAGTTATTCCAAAGTATAACTAGTAGCTACCTGATGCTTTTCAAAATTTAAACCATAAAATAATTTTAAAAAAATAATTTTCAAAATGAAAAGTGACTTTGTCATACCTGTTGAGGCTTTAACTTTGTCATCTGAGCGATCTGCTGTTTGTCCTCTGGCTTCGGATATTTATTTTTGTTGTAGAAATCTTTTAAGATCTGAAAGGGCACATACTGTACATCATAAAGTAGTTTTTACTACCTCTTTTACTCAAAAATAAAATATCTGGGCGTCACAAAAGTCTTGGAGCATTTGAACGTTCAATGACATTGACGACAAGACTTTCGAGACAAATATTGATATTCAAAAATATATTAAAATGAGTTTTAATATAAACTACAATAATATGAGTATTAAAGTGCTTAATATTACCTTTCGCTGCCTCGTCGTGAAACTGTAGATCTGTTCCTCGCCATCTGATATCGTCAGTGGAGGTTTGAACTTCTTCCTAAGCCTATACTTCTCCACAGGCCCTAAGGCCTTAGGCTTCTTCGTCTGTTCTTGAGCATAATGGCCTTCGTACCATAAGTTGGTGAAGTGACCGTAGTACTTTTCGTCCACTTTTATCGTTTCTAAACTTCTGAACAACTCATCGTACTGTTGACTATGGTACAACGAGTAGAAGAAGGCAAGTTGTACCATATCAGACTGGGACTGTAGTCGCAAGAGATAAGGGTCTTGTTTGAAGAAGAGGTCTACCAGTTTGTCACCGTCCTTCGTGTAGTACAGGGAGCGACATATGCATGCTATCTGCAAAGTATTACAATATAATATGTAAAATCGTATGGAATTGTACAAAAGATATAGATTGTCTTAGTGTAAATATGGTGAAAGGTATAAAACTAATAGCTCAGACATAAAATAAGGTACAACCTGACCAAAGCACATCAAACCCAACACTGACATCTACAGTTAGATGTGATAGCGAGACAGAATGTTTCGCTCATGTTACAGTACCTCAGATTACAAGCCCCTCAAATTTCGAGTACCTACCTGATCGAGGTTGAGGATCTGGGAGAACAGCGAGTTACAGTAATCCGCCTTACTGTTACAGTAAAAATTTTTGTTGTCGCTGTAGCCATCATGGAGGTCGTGGATGTTGTTGTTGAAGTCGAATATGTCGGGGAAGGAAGCGTCCATGTTACCCTACCATATGCCAATATAATGATGGGACCGGGCCAATGAATGGGCGGAGAGCGCTTAATTGGCCTGACTTTGGGCTTCGGATTACCGCGGCACTCGTTTTTTGGAAAACACAGATTCTTGCATAATTAGAAGCGCTAATTAGTTGTTGTTACAGTAGTTGTACTCTGTGGTTACTGTGTCAGTAAGACCTTGAGTTGCTTTCAATCTTGTTTTTAAGACTTTTTAAAAGTTTTTTAAAAAGGTCGTATTGTAGGTAATAGATTGCCTCTTCATGCTACGATTTTTAAAATACTTTTAATAAAAATCCATTTTAAAATGATTAAAAAAAATAGATTAACATAGTAACGTATCATTTTATCAATCTGTGTATGTTCAATACATTAGCCCCTTTATTACCCAAAATACCTCAACTTTGAGGTCGAACATCTGTTTCCACAAACATATATAATCAAAGTCATTGTCTTGCGCAACAATAGAAGACAAGTTTGTGAAATAATAACTACCTTTCATGCCTATATACATATAAAAAAACTTTTTATATTGTTTTTAAGTTTCTTTTAAAACTACTGTAACACAACTTGAAGCTAACGTACTTTTAGTTACAAATTTTAAAAAAAATTTAAAATTTATAAATAAAACTTTAAATAAGACCTTTCTAGTTACCTACACAGCTTCTTGTTAAACTAATTTTACAATTAAATATCCAGAAAAGATTAAATCGTACAAGTTTATGCAAATTAGTTAATTACCGTCAAAGCGTTAATCGTCGTACTTGAAAGGGTTGCCGTCGGTTGCGCAACTTTGTGCCAAAACCGACCGCTGCTTAAAGATAATTTGCATAAAATCGCGCAAGGATAATCCGAATATGCCAACAGTTGGCTCTTAAAAGTCAAGAGGACCCTCACAGTACCAAAACAAAATAATGATAATGAGTTTCAGTAATCAAGAAGGTGGTCATCAAAGAATTCAACAAAAAATCTTTGAAATTATTAAAAGATTACAATTACTTTCAGTAACTTCAATAAAACTCCTAAACTTTGATCCCTGCCATTTATTAAAATTTAAATAATCTACCGTTTTTGACTAAACTACACTGATTTGGCCTTCTTCCACTCTTCTGATTCCACCTTCAGCTCGTAAAGTTGTTGTATCTGTTCGTCGCTAAACCTATCTATCAGCTCTGGATCCAAGTCTTCTCCAAATTTGCCTTTAACGATCCCTTTATGCGTCAACTGTTTGGACAATGATGTACAATATAACTGAAAGTAGAAAATTAAATAGTAGTTTGCAGGGCCGGGCGCGAGGGGGGGGACGGTGGGGGGTACCCCCAGAAAGAAAATTTAGAAAAAAGTTGAACGTGGTCCCCCCTGTGGATTTTCGGAAAAAAAATTTCGCAAAAATCGGCACAGAGGGGTAGCTACCTGTGCCGATTTTTTGGGCCCCCGCCCCCAGACCAAAAGTCCCCGCCCGGCCCTGGTAGTTTGTATATAACGTAAATATTAAGGAGTCATTTATACATGTTAGTAATTCACATTAGCGAATCTTACCGTCCACTCCTTTAAAAACAGAAGAGATTGCTCTGGACTAGCTGTTTTGTGTCTTCTGAACTCGTCCTTAACATAAGAATCACCCATTAGCCGTAGTTCCTTGGGAAGACCATAATGTAACCTATAATAACATCATATGATAATGTATTATTGTTATATTATGCTCTTACCTCAATATTCTTTTGTACAAAATCAACGGAAACTTGGACACTTCCCTCTGGCTCATAGTACTCTGTAAATGTCGTTCAAACCTAGTACGATACACAAACTTTAATTTAGTATGACCCTTTTTAAACTAGAGCATCAGAATAGTATCACATACGCAATAACCAAAGGTTACAATACCACTTTAAAAGCCGCCATTACACTACCCAAAACAAGTGAAAGATCTTTAGTTTATGGAGATCAACAATATATTAACAACACATTTTTCAGACTTTGAGTACACGTTTCGGGCGCTGACTGCGAGACTTCTGGGACAGTTCTCCATTCTGAGGTACCATTGGGATGAGGACTGGGCGCTCGTCCAAGAAATGGTCCCCCACGCCTTCGGATGCACTTCGAGAGTTTGAAACTGAGGTAAGTGGTGGTGGGGTCGAGATATCACTGTGAGATATCGAATTGGCAGACGAGGATTGAGGTCGGGATTCGGGTTTGTACACATTTGACACTTTCGCTTTTTTGCGAGGGCTGAAACATCAAGATATTAACATATCTCTTGGCAAAGCTTTCAAAACTATAGCATAAAGCGGGAAAATATAATTAAATCTTATACAAAGTCTTACGGGCTTTTGACTTTTTCTTCCTTCTTGGCCACTTCTGTAGCACGATCAAATCTAATAGGCATTTTCTTAAAGAAGGCTTGGAACTTTTTGTACATTGCATTGACTTTGTCAGCATGCTCTTTCTGCTTTCCGCTTTTGTTGCGTTCTTTCTTCTAAAACAACATTATTTTAAAAAATTAAATTTTAAAAACAATTTCCTATTGATACTAGTGTCATTACTATACTTGCCTCACTCAACAATTGTTTGAGGTCCTTTTCCTCTCTTTCCAGCATAGTAAACTCTCGTTTACTGTCTTCCAACCTCTCCTTTTCTTCGTTGAACAAAACGTTCTCGCGGTGAGAATAAAACCTAAAAATAATCCGTACACTTTCTTATAACAACAATAACAATATTTCGCGTTGAACCCAAATTATAATAAACCATTCCTAACATCTAAACTTACCGAATAAAGTCGTGAGTAAAAGCAGGAGCCAATTGAGGAAGTTCAGAAGGATCCAGCCTTGTGAAACTTTCTTCAAATTCCTGTTTAGTGAAGCCTAACAGTTCAGCCTTTTCCGCAAAGCCTTCCATAACACCAGCACTCGTGTGGAACATTCTCTGGCGTTTATGATCTACCTAAACATATTGTTTTAAAATGTTGACTTATTAATAAGAGCCATTATCTTCAGACGCTTGCTTTTTACACTCAAAAAACATAAAAAGTAATCGAATAACAAATTTTAATCCATTTTACGTGCCATTTTATCTAAGCTTACTATAAAATATTAACCCTTAGATTAAAATAACCTCAAGTTATACCTAAAACTTACAGAAGGCATGTGAACAGTGACATTCTTGAAGTTAGTCATCCTCTTCTGATAACACTTCTGCTGAGCTTTGAGTTTGGCCTCTTCTCTGTTGTTCAATCTCTTAAACTTGAGCTGGACCATTCTCCGTTCTTCTTGACGTAGAAACTTGAGGTACTGAGTTCGTTTCTTTTGTATCAGTTCAGGAGCATTGTGGGTTTTACACAAAATAAAGTGAGGGTGGATTTCAACATGCTTATCGTTGCTTGAAGATGGCTGCTGAGAATGGTCGTAATCTGTATCGACTAGAAACCCCATTCTGAAATTATCACCTTACATATTTTAAAAATCATTTAGACAACAAAAATTTTTAATACCTAAAACAATATAAAACACTTATTCTAACAGTAAAAACAATAAACTTACCTTTGCGCACAGCTGATATGATAATGTTGTTTGCACAAGCCGGCTTCACAACAAGTAACCAAACCCGATCTCGACTCCACCACACTTGTACATGCATTACAACTCTTTCGACCAAATCTTTTGTAATCGATTTCCTGCCAGCTGACCGCCGTCAAGTTATCCACATCTCCAAAGCTGACTCCGGTAGTGTACAATGCACATACGAGATGCACAAACTTTCCTCCAACATCAGCTCTTTTGAAGGCACCGAAGCGACGAGGACAGAGCTCGCAATGTGGAGGTTCCTCATACCCATATAAACATGGCTCACAGAACCACGGTTCAGTAGAAAAGTTGGAAATTACCGACGCATCTTCGTCAACATAGTCATCAACGGCATAGCAAGTCTCGTGCACTGCTACACCACATCTGAAATTACATTTATTACCCAGAAGATTAATAAAATACAGATTTTAGGTACAAACTAGTCCTTGAAGGAAGAAAAACGCGCCTAACACTATAATTTATAACAAAGGTATCCAAAAACTTACTTATCACATTGGATTAGCTTGTCTCCTTCTGTTTTTCTAAAATTCAGACAAATACTGCAAACCAGCTCTGCCTAAAATAATATGTTATGCAAAAGTTCAGAAAATTTTGATTTAGGTACAAAAACTTTAAAAAATCAACCAATTTATTACTTTTTTGAAAAAATTAGCAAAAAGTCAGTCGTTTCTTTAAAAAAATTAAAAAATAAGTCTTTTTTTTAAAAATCCTTTCCAATTATTACCTCTTGCTTTTCCTCGACAACCTCACTGCTTTCATCCTCTTCCTCGTCCTCCTCATCGTCCATATCCTCAGCATCATCGTCTTCTCCATCACCTTCTTCGTCTGAATTCAGTTCGGAGTCACTTCCTCCCTCGGCTAAACTTAAAATCAATCAAAATTTGGTAATACTTACGATTGAAATCTTCATCTGATTCCTCTTCCCCTTGGAAGTCGGCGAGAGCTACGGCTGTCGGTTTGATTTGTCGCTTACCAGGCGCACGTTGGACTAAATTAATATTATAAGATAATGTCCTCAATATTTATAGCGAAAATAAATTTAAAAATAATTCTTCTTGAGACGCACTTTTGAATTTTCCGTAAAATTTTAAATTGAAACACTTATTTTCAACAAAAAACGACCGGTCTAATCAAAGTGTTATTCTTGAGCACAAGAAACAAAGCTAAATATTGAAAGCAAACATTTTAAATTACAGTAAGACACTACAAATTACAGTAGCATGCATACTCTAACTAGAAAAAGACATTAAAGTTATTTCACAGAGCACGTGACCAACAAAACGAATATAAACTTACTAGCTCCTTTAATGTAATTTGCACGTTCTTGATCCATTTACTACTATACACACCAAGATATTACTCTACACTAAATACAAAGAAAAGAAAACCCGACGTAGACAGCTGCTCGGTCTACTCAGCGCGCGCTCTCTCCAGACAAAAACCCGCTTCGCTTGTGGCAGGATGCCAAACGTCGTGCCGGGAGCCAAAAAATTTGTTCGACCGACGGAGAAATGCAATTTGTCGAGAATGAGTCTAGTTACAGTAGAAAGTTATGCATAATATGAATAATAAGAATACTCAAGTTTTTTATTCAAATTTTTGATTTATTTTGAAATTAAATATTGAGACAATTTTAAAAACAGCGAAAGTTGTGGATAACATTAATGCTTTGTTGTTTTTGTACAATTAAATGCCAGGTTTCAATGCTAATATATTAACAACACTATCTCACACATCTTAAGAAAGCATGAATGTTAGATCTTCTTGTCTTTTAAATGTTTTACATGTTGTTTTATGCAAAATTAAAGTTTGAAATTCTAACTGTTTGTTCGTAATAAAATCGTACTTTAAATCGTAAAGTTGCCGTCATTAAACTTTTTGCCACCTTTGACATTAAAACAGGTGCATTTTTGGGGTGTAATCATCCTGATGCCATTTGCTTTATCCGGTCATCTGCGCAGTGAAGGTCAGAGGATCTATGTTAATATAGAGTGATGTAAGAGTGGCCTTTGATAAACAATTCGAGTGTGACCGCCCTCGAAATACAGGAGAAAGAAACGGTTATTTACTCAGTTCCGTTCCCAATTAATATGTTCGACAAGTTGCTTCGGAAGAAAGTGAGGTTATATTGTTCTTGGTCTTACAAAAAATGTTATTTACAGTACTTGGTACTGATGACTGTGGGTCCTATCTTTGAGTCATTGACTTTAAACTTTGAGTCTTTGGACTACGATCTTGTGTTTACCAAAGCCAGCTTGTTTTTCATAAAGCCAATTTGTTGTTTTAAAGGCCTAGTATTAAAGTTAGGGGTTTAATATTGACTTGACCAAACCGTAATGTATATTTTTCAGAAGCAGACTACTGAGCCTGTCAGGGACCACACTCCCAGCTGTCTTTATTCTCACACTCCACGATCTTCTAAAATAAGCTTCTGTTCAGTGTCGTCAGCCCAGAGCGTAGGATCTACGACTTCTTTGTATTCTAGACCATGTACATCGTCAGTACCTTCAGATTCCTATCAAGCACAACTCAGGTTTTGTTGTAGACGATCTGAATCTGCTTTGTTGGCCGAGAAACATCCCAACAAAGTGGCGGTAGGTTGAGATTACAGTACTTTTTGAGCAAATTATTGCCATTGATCTATCTGATTACTGTGGGTAACACCAGGTTGTACTTTATATTTTTAATGTACGTATCACATGTTTGTTGGCAATTTGTATATTGTCCATTTTTTACTTTTTATGCAATTTTAGTTGATAATCGAGCGTTTTAAATCAGAAAAGAACCTGAAGCCCTTAGATAAGAAACACTTCTTGCTGCCTCCAGAAGCCACTGTCGCCCAATTGAAACATGTGATTGGGTATGTATGTATATATAACATGTTTTAAGTGAAAGCATACTTTTTGAAGTTCAAGTATTATTTTAAAAAAACGGTTGATAATTGTAAAGTTTAAAAAAGTTGTGTCCACTTCCCTTATCACTGGACTGATTAAACTGCTTTAGAATCAGGGTTTCCGCGAAAAACAATTCTGTTTTTCTGCTGATTCAAAATGAAATTCCTGATGCGACAAAAACAATCAGAGAGCTGGCACGACGACACCGTAGTCCAGATGGTTTTCTGTACGTCAAGTTTTCTTCGGAAGACTCGATGGGATGAAGATTCTGTTTCGAGATCTTATCAAATTTCATATTTTTTAATTGTAAAATCATACTTTTCAAAATGATTTGCAACGGTGTTGTTATCAGTGTTTAACAAGGTTTTAGTACGGCATCCTCTTTGTAATGACTGCCGCCTTTTGTAATAGAACCTTTAACGAAAGGTGCCTGGGTAGTATGACAAACAACTTATAATAATTAATGAGGTTTGGTCAAACCTCTTAACGTTTAGTTGTATTACTCTTAAACAGTACTTTACAATATGTTATACTTGAAGTTAAATCAAAATTTAAATTTCTTGAAATGAATGTTCGACAAAGTTTTAAAAATTTAAGTATGTAAGCTAGGTCTTGGTCGATTGTGATATGTAATATAAACAATAAAAAATAGCTTTTATTATAACTTAAAGGCAATTTTATCATAAATTTCAGAATGGTGGTGACCCTTCTAGATGCTGTTAGTTTCTTGATATCTATAATGGTTTTCGAGATATGGGTTTGGCGGGAAAACTAAATTCAAAAATCCGGACTTTCCAGACCGGACGCAAAAAGCAAAATTCTGGGAGAAAACCCAGAAAATTTTTAGGATCTTATATTAACACTACAATTATGAAATTTTGCTGTATGACTACTTATGGGTCGATATTCGAAACAAACTAAAAAAGCTATGCTGTGTGAGCTAGTGTAAATATTATACTAACACAAACACTTTTATCCAAATCAAAATTGTACTTCTTGAGAAAAGCACTTAGAACTCTTATATTATCCATGTTCACTAACATCAAGCTTCTAACAAAAACTTTTAAAATAGTAAAAAAATATTTTTAAAGACTAACAGAGATATCTCCCCCCCCCCCTTTTTTAACATATAACGCAAATATGGTTGTGACGAAGCGTCAAAGTTGGAAGTTGAGCTTTGTTTTATCTAGACCTGATTTGTGTTTCAGTGTTAATTTGACTCATAAGAAACAAGCCTCGTATTAAATTTTATGTGAAAAAAAAACTGTGGAATAATTTTAAAGAGTATTGTTTCAAATATGAACGTAGTATTCTTAAAAATGTACCCTGAAGTAAGTATTTCTAAAAGAATTTTTTAAATAAAATTTTAATTGCTAAATTTAAATTTTTTTTATAAACAATTGATTTTTAGTTTTGGCAACGTATGTTACGGTACACCAACCAAATGGAAGACATGTGTAGTTTTGCACAGATTAGCAGATACTTTTACAGAGTAACTAACATAGACTTTCAGAAGTTGTGCTACAAAAATATCATTTGTAGATTCGAAGGCGAGACTTGGGCAACAGCATTTTCAAAGTAAGTTCAAAGTTAAAACACTTTGGAAAATTTATTGAATTAATTTTTTTTTCAAAGTTGAAACTATGAACAAAGTATCGAAAACGCTTAAGCGACTGATAACATCTAAAATACCAAATTTAAATTTTCAAAAGTAAAAATGACGAAACTCCAATTTTTAACAAATTTATCTATAGAAAAGTAAAATAATAAATAAAAATACTAAGTTTTAGAGCTCGGTATCGTACAATAAGGTCCGGAACAAACCACATTTCTCAAAATTCAATTTCTTGTCCTCATACTGGTTTCATGGCACTTGTGTTACAACAAAAACAGGTTTTATTGACCCACATAGACTTTGGAAACAAAGTTTTCGAACTTTTAGATTTTAGCGAGTATGCTGGACAGCTAGTAAATGTCCAGTTAATAAACAAGTCAACACAACTTCTACTGGACATGCAGATAACGTACGTGTGTATGACTTGATAAACAAACGCGTAGTAAATGTTTACTCTGCACTACCAGAACAACGCTACTACAGTTTTACATTGTACTACAGTAATGGTACTCTTGTGGATTTGTTAAACCAAAAGGAATACGAAGTTGAAACTATAAAACTGCCAGAAGATGTTCATATTCGTACTGCAGATGTTTTCGGCTACAGAAAGTACGTGGGCTTTGTGAATCCGCGGCGAGAGTTTGTGGTAATACACAACGAAACAGGAAAGATGGATATTATATTCCAATCTCAGTTTTCAGGCCATGACATTTGGCTTTTTGACGATATAGAGCATGTTGGGAGAACAAGTAAGCTTCAATTTTTTACAATTTAAAATTAAAACAGGCTTTAATATTTGGGTCTCAGGACTTTAAACTTGAATTCTCAGACTGCAACATAACTATGTATGCATTTTACTGCTGTCTTTTATCTTGCAAATAACATTGAATATTTATATTAGGTTGAGATTAGAACTTCTTGAGGTCTAAACGTTTTTCTTGACTTTTCAGAACATACTGATACTCAAATTTATGATATAAACACAAAGAAACTCCTTTTCGAAGGTTTTGTAATTTATGTTCAGCAAATGGGAATTGACGGCATAGTTTTTTCAAAGTTGGCAAGTAACGTTTATGTAAGTTTTTTGACGATTTGTCGGCCAAAAGGATTATTTGTAGGTAGAACCTCCAAATTGTTTCAAATTTTATGTTGCTTTTCAATTTAAAACTTCGATCTATACTGTATTTCTTTCAGTTTGTTAAATTCAACCGAAAAACAAAAAAATATGACGTTTTGGATCCAGATGCCGGTTGCTATATTAGAATGTTTCTGCATTGTCCTAAAGATTTATATTATTTACCTATGGTAACTCTCTATGAGAAAGTTTGTAAGATGGGCGGTTACATTATGGCGCATTTAGATTGGTCTAAAGGTAAGCTTTATATGAAAAAAAGAAATGTTTCAAACAATAAGGTATCAAAACAATATACAGTAAAACTTGAAACTGTCCTTTAAAGGCAACAAAACTAATTTTCTATTTCAGGCAGATTGGTTACAAAATATTTTAAGCCAGATAGAGTAAACGAAAATAACATTAAAAACTTTTATCTCAGTTTCTGCCGGATCATCTCAGTTTCTGCTGGAAGTGAAAAAAGCGAGTCCTTCGTACGTCGACGATTTGAAGATGTTATCGAATCTTATAGATCAACTTCGTCTAGTCAAATCTCAAAGTATTTTATGAGATTATTTTATGAACGTAAAAGTTATATTTCATAACTTTATCAGGTTTATTACTTCAAATCTTCATCTGTTTTACAATAAATCTTGAAAATTAACGTATTTTGTATTTTAAAAATTTTAAAACGAGTAATGAGTACCAGCTTGGTCGATAATGAAATACTAAAAAGAACCGATTTTACACATTTCTACGTATTTTTTGACCAAAATAAGATTACTAGAAATATACAATTAGACTTAAAATTATCTACTTTATAGATTAGTTACAGTATACTGCACACTTTTGTCTTTACTTTGGGATCTCGTCGTATGTTCTCGCATTTACACGGGTCGTTCAACATGATCTCGGAGTTGGTGTCTGAATCACTGTTGGCTTCTGACTTCTTGGTGTAGTTGAAAGCCGAAGGTAACATGTAATTGGCTTGAGCATCAGCCAGCTTCTGAGCATCTGAATCAGAGATGTCAGTCTGAGGTGTACAAGCTTGTCTGTTGACTACATGGTCATCGTCACGGTCATTTAGGACTGAATTCAGATCAGAAGCTTGTAGTATCTGAAAGTAATTTGTAAAGTACTCATGGTATCGTTGTTGTTACAGTAAAAAGGATAGTAAAAGAGTACAACATACTAACTCACATCGTCTGTTTTATCATTAACATCTTCAACTTCTTCTACCGCACCCTCCATATCTAAACCTGGGACTTCAGGAAGATCGGTAGGGACTTCTTCAATGATGGATTCTGTATCTGATTCTTTTTTGTCCGTCTCTTCGGCTTCTGTCTTCTCCACATCGTCCTCCGAGTCGAACGTTGATGTAGTCGAACCTAAACATGATTTACTTTAAATTGCCTAAAGTCATTATAATAATACAATAAAATAATTTTAAAATACGCACCTGCTAACGACTTGAGACTATCATTTATATTCTCGTCGCCTTCTGTTACAGTAGGAACTTCTCCATTCCCCACGGTCTCGGTAACTTCTGCGACAACTTCTTCTGGAGCCTCTTCTGGTTTTTCTTCAGTGACCTCAGACTTGTCACCCGCTTCCTCCTGAAAGCCTACCATTGAGACAAGTACAATAAGAATAACGCGTGTAGTATGTCTAGCTACCTTGTCTGTGGACTTTACTTTGGTGGCCTTGAAACCCCCTAAGGCGTCTTTCTGTCGCTGTATTTGCTCGGCCAATGCGTCAGCGGCCTTCAAACTGGCTTCGTCTGCCGCCTTGAGACTGGCTTCGTCACCATTGTTCGTCACAACTGGGGCTTCCACCGCGGTACCACTAAACCAAGGTTACTTTACTGTGGGTTCGATTACCTGTCCGCCATTTTCGCCACAATTACGTGAAATCAAGCCAAAATAAAAAGTGGGAAGATGTATGTTAGTGTAAGAGACCTCTTTATTCATCAGGAGAAACTCGAAGAGATAATCCCAGGACCAGGCGCTGAAAGCCGGATGTCACTGGTTAAGAAACGTAATATCCTGTTAAACACGATTATCGATACGATTTTCTCTATTTCACTTTTAAGCCATTTAGTACAGTAACCGGGTATTCACATAACAAAATGACAATGTAACCGGGGGTTCGTCTAATTCATTTTGCAAGTGTTCATCTAACCCAACAGTATAATAACAATACACAGTAATTTAGTTTATTCTCTACTTGGTAGATCAACTTGTAGGGTTTGTATTACTTTAGACATTTTAATAAGTGGAAGAAGTCATAAAACTATATTAACATACTTTAGAATAAAAAATGTGTTCATTCTGGCTGGCAATCGTGATACTTAAAAACTCTGATACAAAAACAAGATGTTACAATATAAAAATACTCTGAACTAATAAGATATAACTCTAACTATTTGCTTAGAACGACCCGTATTTACAATGACCCAAGTTTAATTGTCAGCTTTCTTCATGTTCTCGAAGCCAATCGGGAACGGGTGAGCTTCCGTGTTAAACACCCACTTCTGGAGTGATATTTCATCGTCGGCAAATGTCAAATATGCATACTTGAGAGTCTCGGCGATGAAGAAACTCTGCTGCACGTCATCAAAGCCCTACAAGAAGTACGATTAAGATTGACATAATACTGTTGTCTTTCACAAAAGTAATATTGTAAAATTAAATATAAATTCTTTAGTTTAAGAAGTCATATTTACCATTGACAGACTTACACTATTCTCGTCATAAACATTCTTCAGTCCAACATATCCATTCTCCTTCTTACAGTACTTTTCTATCGCTTGTACAGCATCCCAAATCCATTGTTTGTACTTCTAAAACAAAACCTCGGTTAAAAATAATCAAAATGTTTTTAAAGGCCTTATATTCGAATAAAAGCATTCTTACCTCTTTGTTAGTCAACCTCCACAGGTAGAACCATCCTTCAATGGCTTCTGGCCTCAAAATGAATCCATTTTCAGCACTTTTGGCCGTAGCATCTTCTTCTGAATTAAAGTAGAACATCTCTGGCCCAATTCCAGTCGTAGCTCTGGCATAACTCTCATGACAAGTGTGCCCTAGATCTTCGGCCAACTCCATGACACGCTTCTTTCTATCTACATCTTGTTCAACATCAGCTTCTAGAGCAAACATTCCTGGACAGAAACAGCTGAGATGGCTCATCTTGTGTTCAGCTTTGCCTCGCCTTAGTTCTGCTGCGTATTTTAAGCCGGATTTAGAGGTGAAAATCATGCTAAAGACAAACATTTACTATAAAAAACAACATATTAACCAAGAGATACTACTTTAAGGTACTCTAGTAACTATAATATATAAAATCCAAACTAAAAGAAAAATAAACAATAAACTTACTGCTTCTGAATGGCTTCAGACACGTTACGGTACATGTAATAGGCTTGTTTGTCCTGTTTGTCAGTGTGTACATACGATTTGATGAGGTATTCGTAGAAACTGTCACCAAGGGCCCCTAAACTAACATGAGATCCCACAAACTCTCCAGTCTTTGGATCTACGTAATTAGCATATAAACCATCCTTCTTCTTGGATTTCTCCAGAACATCACGTATCCTTTGAACCTAAACACGAATATTGTAAATTACATTGACAAACAATATTAAAGTAACGCAATTCTTTAGTTGTAAATCTTCTTCATGTCATATAAAAAATCGTTATTATCTAAAATGCAAAATCTTACCTTATCTTCGTATGCCTTGTTTCCTGTCAGCTTGGCCAAATATAAGTACTCCAAGTGTAAACTGCCAAATTCAGATAAAATCGAAGAAGATCCGGTAACCCAACCATAGTTAGATGCTGTCTTTTCATGTACATTCACATTGCTTAGAGCAATTCCCGTTTTAGTATTAAAAGCTGGTAGTAACGCATCAGCTACCTCCACGGCTTTGTCCCTAAAATATTATTTTGAAGTAGCTAAACATCAAATCTATAACAAATAAGTTGAAATTAGTCCAAAACTATATGATTAATTAATTTAAATTAAAAAACTTTAAAAAGACCAAACTTACAAATACAACGAATCCTTTGTCAAAGCGTACAAGGCCAGGAATCCACCAGTGAACCTTATAGTAGCTTCAAACGTTGATATTTGGCCCTTGACATCGTTTATAGTAAAGTTGACCTTAATAAACTCTCGCGCTTGTTCATACTCATCGTGCAGTCCCATAATGTACAAAGTATCAGCTCCATCTACGATAGTAGCTCCCATCTTTTCACCCCCAAAGATAGGTTGATGGTTACTTCGTTTGGCCAATGGTCTAACTTCATTGAAACCCCAAGCAAACTTGCGGTAGCCAGCCCATGCATGCTTAGCCATTTTCTTAACAAATTCCTTGCGTTGAGCTAAAAAATAACATATAAATGAAGTTATAATAATTAATTTTATAATTTTAGGTAACGAATCAAAACGAAATTAATTACCATTTTCCAAATCTACAGCTTGAGGCTTTGGTGGTTCGGCCACAACATTAATCTTCTCAACATTCTCTTTCTCCGGCAACTGATCGTTTTCTGATTCTAAATTTACATAAGACAAATAAGCACATTACTTACCATTGACATCTAATTCTGGATTCTCCTTGTGCTCCTTTATATCTTCGTCTGGATTTCCTTCACCCGCTCCATTATCCTCTTTGTTAACTTCAGGTTGTTGAATGTTGGGAGGCTGTTCTTCGTGTTTTTGAATGCCTTCTTCAGGCTTCGGAACTGCATTCTCAGACTTAGACTGAGCTTCTTCTCCTTTATCATGATTTATTTTATCAACAACAGCATCCTCAATATTCCTCCTGTTCTGTACGTCCCTTGGTAATGAGACTTTCCCATAAGACACGGTTTCCGGTTGGTTTAGATGTAAGGCTGTCAGAAAGAAGATAGCCACAACAAAAAGAACAACAAGTCCAACTGCACGACCGTTCGGAAACACTGTCCTCATATTACTCCACCATATATACGATCTCCGTTCCTATTCAAATACCAAACTTTCGATCACACGTGTAAATATTCTCCACTTTATAATTGAAAATCTTCCAACGAATTTCCACGGGAATTATTGGATCTCGCGACGAAACACCACAAAATAATCGGTTTTGGGTGCAATGTGTCACAAAAGTATCGGGCACACTTTTCGTCGGATATTTTTCTTATCGAGATCGCTAAAGATGAAATAAATATTAGCTGGAACCTTTATAAAGGGTTTATATTGTTAATTAAGAATGTCAGCGTTAACTGAAGGAACATCTTCATGGTATCACGCATTGGAACAGCGTGAATATGGTCAGAATCCTCTCAAAAGCATCGATCCGATTCAGAGACACACCAAGAAGACATTATATCAACGGGATGTGAAAGGCCACATGGGCTGTGTAAACGCATTGGAGTTCTCAGCAGATGAACAATATTTATTGAGTGGTAAGAATAACATCTAAATTGTCGTATGTTTAGGCGGAGATGACTGTCGAGTCTTCTTGTGGAACACACACGACCTTATGTTATCCGAGAAACCAGTGCCTTGCAGGATCATGGACGAGAGTCACAACTCTAATATATTTGCGGTAGACTTTTCCATTGACAACAAAACGGGATATTCAGCTGGGAACGACAGAATGTTCTATGCTCACGACATTGAAACAGGTCTAGGATTATATAATTTGAGTGGTGGAGGTCCGTTTCACAGGATTGATGCTCATGTGAGTTGGCTGAGCTTAATTTTATAATAATTTAGGGATGAAGTAGATTACTAACGTTCGTTTTTCAAAGCTAACTGATTTGTTACCTAATTTTAGCCGACTTCGGAGAATATTTGCGTGGCTACTAACGAAGATGGCAAGTTTCATATTATTGATACTAGAGCAAAAGAACAGACGGCTTACAATGTCAGTTGTAGTGCTTATTCTGCTGTTTACAATCCACAGCATCCAGAGTTGCTTCTGATTGCTACACGAAAGAAGGGAATGTCGATCAGAGACATCAGGAAGCCGGAAGAGTAAGTTCACCGCTAATAGATTGTTAATAAAATTTAATAGTTAGTTTATTTTACAATTGCTACGTCAAAGGGAAGTGTACTATTATACACTATAAATGTTAATTTAATTTTTAGAGACATGGTCACATTTGCCAGCAACGGTTCGAACTGTACAAGAAAGGCGACGTTTGCTCGGTGGTCGCCAAATGGAGAAGCAGCAGCTGCTGTTATTTCTGGATCGGGTTTGATATATCTCAACGTAAGTCATCTTTATTATTATATTATTGTTTTAGATATTATCTGATAACATGGTTAAACTGAACGATCCGGAATATCTGAATTCGTGCACATTAAAGTCATGCGAGTTCATTGGAGAAGATTACTTGTTATGTGGAAGCGACAAATGGGATATTTATGCTTGGAAACTGCCGACTGGTGATAGCAATGGTAATCTTGTTTTAATTAAGTTACTGATGCTTTTTTTTATTTTAGCTTTGGTATGGAATATTATGTTTTACGTTGTTTTTGTTTTCAGTCGAAAGCGTGTCAGAGGCTGTTAAACTAAAGGGTCACCGGTCAATTGTGAATCACATTCGTTACAGTCCAGCAAATAATATTATTGCTTCATCTGGAGTCGAAAAGGTTATTAAGGTAAAGGAGTATATTTATACAAACAATAATCGCTTATTACATATATTAAACTGCTTGTTGATCTGTTATAGATATAGCTAAATATAAAACTTTGGTGTTTGATATAGTAACTAATCGTTCGACTTTCAGTGTTGGTCGCCTTACAAACTTCCAGAAGCCTACAGAGACCCGGTGAGACGAGAAATGTGTGATCCATTTTCAATCAGCAGATACCTCCAAGAGAACGACCTGGACTCGGTCGAAGAAGATTTGGCCACGTTGGGACAGTTCGATCATTATTTGGTACGGTCTAAGTCTTCATGAAGTCTTTTCTGATAAATTGACATTAGATGCTTTGTTTATGATACGTTTATAAAAAAGTTCTTTTGATAATGTAATTTATGTTGCAGAGACAAGCGATGAGCACTTCTGGAACGGCATTGGACGATTCAAGCGATGACAGCGACTTTGAAAATGGAGATATTGGCGAACTTCTCAGATTTGCTGTCGTTAGGTTTAACCAGGTAGGCTTCTTCTGTTGGTTGTCGTACTTTTTTTTCTGAAAGCCATTTGGTTATTACTGTCTCAATTGATTTAGCATTAATATAGTTTGTTCTTTTGATTCCTTTTTACGACCTTTTACAATTTCAGTACGACGATACGTTGAGTGATATGGTGACGGACGAAGAATATGCCAATGAAATTCCGTTTTCTGAATCCAGCACAGAAAACGAAGAAGACCTGGAAACAGAAGTTGAATGATCGTCGCATAATGTAGTAATATTGTTCCCTATTGTACATTTATTTTTCCAGAGTAAAACGTTATATTGTCATTTGGTGGAGCATGTATTCAAAAACTATTTTTAAAGAGTTTGAAAAAGTAAAAGGATATATCAGATTACTTTTCTAAAAAATTGTTTAGCAGTCGTCTGTACTGACCGGTCGATGATGAAAGCGGCAACAATTTTGTTGCTCACGTTGCAGTTTGTTTCCATTACGTGAGTTTTTTATACTATCAAGTCATTTTTAATATAGGCTATCATCATTTTCACTTTCAGTAGCAAATGTATTCAAACAAACGGAAGCGAATGTGAAGCCGACAAGTTGTGCTACAGAAAGAAGTTCTGGGACGAGAACCATGTAGCCAGAGAAGAACTCGGATGTGACCATGACTTGACGAAGCACTTCAAATTGCCTGAATGGGCTACACAGAAGTGTTACAGAGTCGGTAAGTGAAAAGAAAATGAAAAGTTGGTCTAACACGTCATAAAGTTAATCTATTTGTAGCTACACTGAACTCAATATTTTAAAACTTTCTGATTCCAGGAGCCGATTTGTACTGTGTATGTGCAGATCGTCCTCAATACTCGTGTAACACGGCATTCTCTGGAAGACGTCGCTCCATTGAATATGCTTCTACTGAAGCCACTTCTGGTCTGGTGGTCACGTTTGTATCTCTGCTCATCTTCTCGTATCTGATCATCGCTTTCTTTAAGACTTCAAGAAGCTGGCCGATCGAGAAGGCACCGTCAGAATGGCTACATTACTTGTCGATTCTGGTCGAGATCATCATCGTAGGGTCATATATTACGATTGGCTGTATCTGCAGTTGTGTTATTGAAATTAGTTCACTTTTTATTTATTTTTGTAATGTGTATGAGGTATTTAAAGTTATTTTGGTTTTAGTTCAAGTCAGCACTGTACGCTCTCCTTCATTTCAAACTGACTGTCTTTGCTTGTTACCCTCTAGCTACTAACTTTACTGAGTAAGTTATAGAGTCGTAACCAATCATTTAAGATTTTCTAAAATCACGTATACTGTAACTTTAGTGTTGTACCAAAGTTCTACCGTATGCCCACCCGCAACAAATCGGCCGCTTTCTCTTTGGCCACCTTCTTTGTTACCGGATCGTTCTCTTTGTTTAAGGTGTTTGTCTTGGTATGTTGATACTGTAATTCATAGTATCCTAACTTTATATTTGTATGTTAAGCCAGTAACTGTTGTCTTAAACCTCATATTTACGATATTTGTTTCAGGTGAGTGGAAAAAACCATCTGATGAGAAAGGACATGTTCATCTGGTCTGTGTTCGCCAAATTGGTCTGTTTGGTTTTGATGGTATTCGCCCACCGAAACATGTTCCTACAAACATACCATGACGTTACCGTCAGATATGGATGCGAATTTAAGGCGGATCTGCTCGAAGTAAGTATCTTTTATCACAAAAACAAGGAAGTTACAGTAACGTTTTCGTTAATTTTACAGCAGTTTGTTTAGTTGTATGTATTTACTTGGTTATCTATATGATTTTGTTAACAAAACTTGTTATATTAACATCGTCAAGTACTTCAGTTTGCCGCACTGTGCAATCAAATCACGTTGATCACGTTGTGTGGATCGTTCTTCTTGGACTTGCTCTACTACATCAGCCCGTCCTTTGAGAAAACCACAGTGAAACGTGAGTTTATTTCTTAAAATCTGTAATAATATTGTTTACTGTCCTTACTATGGTTAGTATCCTTACCTCGAACACATTACAGCTGTCAATGATGTTTACGAATCCACTTTGGAGAAGCCATTGGTCGAGAAAGTTGAAGCTGAGGTTCATGTGGATGTGGTTAAAATCGACCAGGACTATCGACTCACTTTGACCAACGTATGCGACAGAACTGTGCACGGTACTGTACAGCATCGGAATCTGAAGTCGGACCCGGAGTTTGTTCTGGAGCCTCGCCAAACTTGCTTTGTAAGTGTGTTTACAGTTGTTTTGGTTTAGTATAATGTCGTCTTTGTGTCATTTTGTAATATTTGCAAAAATAATATTATGTTATAATTGTATTGTATCAACTTTTAAATCTTTTAAAGTTTAAAATGAGTGAAATTGAAAAGTTGAAACCAATATACATCTTGATGTAGCTGAGTTTTGAAAAAGTTGTTTTCAAGCTGTTAATCACTTGATCGGGATCAACTTGACGATTAATTGATGATTAATATTTGCAGGTTACGGTAGCCGGTCCAGCCGGGGAAAAGGTGGCAGTCGAGTTTGGATTCGCCTCGGAGTCGGGCACGTTTCAACGGTACATTAACTTGAAATAAACTGAACACGATCTGTGTGCGCTAATAGGTCGGTAATCGGGGGGATCGTGAAGATGGCACTGGAACCGGTAAAGAAGAAGCGCCCGGCGTGAACGCAATCGGATGCAAAAAAGCCTGAGGCGATCATTCCTGGCGGTTTGTGAACGGACGGCACGGCAAACGGGTTCCTCGGGATTCTCGACGCGACTTTAAAATGTTTTTCTGCCGCAACATTGTTTAGTTTTCGCTTTCAGCCTTGTTGTTGTTATGTTGTTGAAACTTGTCGTGCTCACGCTGATGCCCGCCGTCGCCCTCGGGCTCTTCTTCAACCTCGGCGGAGTTGGCGGAGGCTGTGGTTGTTGTTCTCAGCCGGCGTGCTCTCCAGCAGGTAACAGTTTTGCCAAGGAATTCGTTTTGAATGTTTAGAGATCTTGACGAACCGAGGTTCTAGCAACAAACTTTTGACTTGGTATTATCTGTTTGTAGGCATCTTATGAGGTTTAATAAGTATTGGATGACGTTTACTCAGTAATAGTTGTTGAAAACTTTTTTTAACTTGTCATCACCTTTTTAAGTATTTTTAAGTTTTTTACTTTTGTCATGAAAATGGTGTATATGACCTGTCTTCAAAGATAAGTGAATTCCAACATTTACATAAAAATCTAACCTTTTTTGTCATATAACCAACCAAAACATACAAATTCAGCTTCTTGCGGTTGTGGCGGCGGCTCCAGTTATGGTAGCTATGGTGGAGCTTCTAGCTATGGTGGCTCAAGCTACGGCTATAGTGCTCCATCGTATTCGTCGTACGGCTCGTACTCTCAACCTTCGTATCAATCCCAGTCTTCATATGTAGGCCCGGCTCCAGCCCCATCGTCGTATGTCCAACAACCGGTCGGTAAATACGTATCCGGGCCAAGCTACGTCCAGTCGGGATCTTACCAAGCTGCTCCAGCCGGCGGATACCAAGCGGCACCAGCGGGAGGGTACCAGGCAGCACCAAGTGGAGGGTATCAAGCAGCACCAGCTGGAGGATACCAAGCCGCGCCAGTTGCTAGCTACCAGGCCAGCTACCAATCACCAGCTAAATCGTACCAAGCTGCTCCAGCTCCAGTAGCTGCCTCGTTCTCTGGCTCCCAGGCTAGCTACAGTGCCGCTAAGTCATCGTACATCGCCCAAGAGGCTCCACAATACAGTCCAGTTGGAGCTCAAGTGCAGCCGGCTGCCTTATCCGACGAAGAACCACCATACCGCAATGTTGTGGCTACTGCTGCTTCCGGAGGACGTCTGGATGAGATCCCTGGGGTAAGTGTAATAAAGGTTGATAACTAATAGTTCAACATGTAGAAGTTGTAGTAGCCTTAACCTCTCTGATGTACGTTTTCAGGATGAAGAAGCCAAAGAAGTCAGCCAGAACACCACGTTGAGTGTAGCCCCAGAACCTAACGCTGCCGTCGACATCAGTTTGTTGACCTTGACCAACGACACCGAATGCAACAGCGACGACCTCAGACAGATCGTCAAGAATAACATCAGCGAAGACCTGAACTCCTCGAAGAGACTAATCCAACTGGCGGCCGAAGCCAAGTTCGGAGGTCGATTCGACGTCATCTGCTCGGCCAGCGACTTCAGCTACGTCACCAACACTGAACTGTTCTGTCAGGAGACACAGGAAAAGGTGTCGTGCTATGCTTACAGGCAGTTGTAGACCAGTTGCACTCTGTTAATATTACCAACTCAGGCATCGTAATATTGCTTGTTATTTGATCTATTTATTGTTGGATTGATTGTATATAAAGTTTTCACATTACTTTGGCATTTTTATATCAAGATGTAATTGAATAATTGGATCAACAAACCTTCTTACAATAATTATTTGACGAAACTAAATATAATATTACTTTTAATTAATTCCTAATTATACTCTGTTGAACATTACTCTACACCTTCCCTTGCTGGCAACTTATTCCTCGTTTTCCTCTTCTCTTCTGGTGCAAATGGATTCTCTTGTTTGTAGAAGTCTCGTAGTAACTGTATAGGCCTTTCCACATCCACATTAGGTATGATACGTATGGTCGAGGTATGTTTGAAGTCATCGTTTGACATTACACTACCCATTCCTCCAAACCTCTCATTTGGAGCTCCAAATATTACTCTTTTCACTTTTAACTGATACAACGCCGAAGAACACATACAACAAGGCTCCAGGTTTACGTAAACGTCACAATTGCTGAATACCTAAAGTACACAGCAACAGTTATGTTATGTTTTAAAAATAAGAAAAAGTAAAACAGTTAAAGTACTTTGAAATATATTTTTGTTAAATATTAAAGTAGAATTACTAACCTCGTTCAAGTCCTTCTTGTTACTCTCGCACCATCGTGTCACGTCTTCTACGGCCACTATTTCAGCGTGCAACGTAGGATTACACATTCTGAAACAAACAAGTATAACCATACTATTAAAAATTACCTGTTAACATCGTTATGACCTCGGCCAATAATCTCTCCCTTATACACGAATACACATCCAACTGGCACTTCATTGCATTCCAACGCCCTTACTGCCGTATTGTGAGCCTAAAACTATACTTCTTACTATTATAAAAATAATAAGATTACTTAACTTAAATGAGCACACTACACAGACAATATTAACAAACTAGCACAGCTATAATATAAAAAATTAACAAAAGATTACCTCGTTGAACATTTTCTGATCAAATTCAGAAAGATCTTCCAGTTTCGTCATCTGTGAATACACAAATTTTAATAAACTGAACGCAATACCCTTTTAATTACCAGTAGAAACAAGTATATATAACACATATGCTTATATTCGTAACTGTATTACCCACAGCATATTTACTTTACCATTCAAACTTAATGTTAAATTTATTAATCAAAGTATCAAATGTTAAGTGATCTATTCCCACTTTTGGCACTGTCAACAATCTGAGAAAGACATCTGGAGAACTCGAGCAGAATCCCCTTCTCCATTTCTTCTTTAATCTCTTCTTCTGTACTTCTGTGATGCGCACTTTGCTCCTAAAACAATATTGACTAAATTTAGAATAAAAAATATTTTAAAACAAAGAGCAGAACCATCCTTACCATTTCCTGACCGTACGAAACAAGACACATTGTAGTAGCTTCAATGACATCGTCGGTCATGTAGAACCAAGGTTGACCTTTGGGATCCGCCCTTTCGTTGTCGGAATCTGAATCCTCACTCGGCGTCTCTCCACGATTGTCATTAGCAGCTGCGGCAGCTAACTGTGCCAAACCGGCAGCACTAAACTTCTCACGGAATCTCACAGCACGATCGTGTTCTGTATTCTTACACGTCACACACTTACATCGCTCTGTACATGGCACTTTTGCCTAAAATGTTTCAAACTAAATGATAATCTTTTCATAAATAAAAAAACTTTTAAATTACCTTCAAAAAACTACTTTAAAAAAGTATTACTAACGATAAAATTTACAGTAATTTATTTAAGCACACATACCTCATAGCATTCACAGTAGTTTTTAAGGCAGTTCGACTTCTTACAATTACATCCTTTTTGATGTAACCTCTCCAGATCAGCAGCTTTACCTACTTTTGCAGCCACACCTAAATGTGTTCATATTAAACTAGACTTTCTAAAAATCTACAGTATTGTTTACATGAAACATAATTAATACCTAAAAGCCGACTAAACTTAAAATGACATACCAATCTTAGGTTTAAAAGCATGTGGATTCCTATCCAAAGAACTCTTGATAGCTCTACTTCGTTCGGATTCGTGTTCCAGGTTATTATGACAGTCCTTACAATTACAGTCCAAGCAAAATTCTCCATTTGCAAAGCAATCGCAGTACAACTTCAGACATTGTGACTTTGTACAATTGCAATTCTTTCGTTTCCCAGTGCCTCTTTTGCTAAAACATAAGATTTAAGCATAAATCTACAAAAACCAAGTAGTCTAGGTTTAGAATAAATTTATCCTCTATACTAAATTAACACCAGAAAACTACCAAAAACCATACCTATACAGCTAAAAACAAATGACAAAATAGTGTTAAATGTAACAGTACCTTTTCTTTGGCTGAGGATTCAAAGGCCCAGCTAACAAAGGATTGTTCCTAGTACTGTTATGGCTCGTGGCTAGCTGATAGTACGCTTGAGATGGCTTCAACACTGTCGACTTGATCTCCTAATCACAAAACAATGTTCAAAAATGATATAACTTACGCAAGACTCGTACTGATTCTCCTTTCTTTGGTAATTTGAAGAAGTTGAAGGTTGATAAAACTGGTTTTGAGATCGATATTGGCTGGAATTAAAGCTTGAAACGTAATATTGATAGAAAAAGCTTAACAAGACTATAAAAAAACTCAATTAAGACATAATTAACTATTTCACATTCTTCAAAAATATTAAAAAACATTTTAAATATAGTTTAACTTACGTATTGGGTGTCCTGCTTTGAACGTAGATCGTCTCCTCAGCGTAACTTTCATTCTAAAACAACAATATTATCCTTCAAAATTAATCAAAAAATCAAAAAAAAACTAAAAGTGATTTTTACTTGATATTGCATCGGATCCAATTCAAATTCATTCTCAGCCGACATAATTTTATTCAAAATCTGTATTTTCCACAAATCTTGAACGAAAAAGAAATTGCGGGACTTGGAGAGATTCGAACGTTCAAAAGCTCTTGGTGCATAATGCCAAAAAGATGCTTTCCCTTTGTGTTTTTTACAAATCTGTTTTTATAAGAATTTCCTTAAAGCTTCAGTAGACAAAAAGTAGTTGCACAATAACAAAAGACGTTACTTTTACAAATCATAAAAAAGGATTTTTCAAATTTCAATACGAAATTTTGTTTACAACATTCAGTAAAAAGTTTAAATAGTAAATTTACAGTTACAAGCTAATATCATATTATATTGATATTTTCTTTACAAGCAGTATTATAATTTTTACAAGTGTATATTTTCCATTTTTTACTTACCATTTCGATGTAACAAAATTTTTTTATTTTTATAAAATTACATTATTCGGATCTCAGGGTCCCAACACGAAAACAAACCACTCGAGGTTGGCATTGTAATACTGTAGTTAGCAACGTCCCTCTCACATTCTGATCGTTTTGTTTTTCTTCCATTTTTTATGGGCCAGTTGAGGGAATTTTTCAGTTGAACCGGGGTTGTGCATCATATTTTATATTTAGGTAATGTTTTAGGCTGGGGATCTTATATAGGATTTCTTTATTGTGTAAAAGTAGGTTTCTTTAAATATTCGTGTATTTTTCGTGGTTTTTCTTGACAGTTTGGTTATTTCTGTTTTTGAAGTTTTTTGTTTTAGCTTGCGTTACCTTCATCATGCCACCAAAGTTCGACCCCAATGAGATCAAGATCGTCTATTTGAGATGTGTTGGAGGTGAAGTTGGTGCCACCTCAGCTCTCGCTCCTAAAGTCGGTCCTCTCGGTTTGTCTCCAAAGAAGATCGGTGAAGATATCGCCAAGGCTACTCAAGACTGGAAGGGACTCAAAGTCACATGCAAGCTCACCATCCAGAACCGTGTTGCTAAGATCGATGTTGTTCCATCAGCTGCTTCTTTGATCATCAAGGAGTTGAAGGAGCCTCCTCGTGACCGCAAGAAGGTCAAGAACAGTATGTTAATGTCATTTATGGTTTTGAGGAAGACCTTTCTGGTCGCGAGCTAAATCTTTTTCTAGTTATGAAATGAAATGGTTGTTATACGTCTGTTAGGGTCGAGAACCACAAAGGTCTCATCCCACAGTTCTCTTGGTGTTAACTTTAGTGTTATAACCGGGGTTCTGCTAGTCTTATTCCTCGCGCTGTGTTTTATGGTAAGCAGCGTTTCCTGATGCAAATTCTTGTGGAAGGATGAGAACATGGTCAAGGTTTGGTTTTTATTAATTTGTTCGATTTTTAGTTCGCCACAGTGGAGATTTGTCGTTCGATCAGATCCTCAAGATCGCTCGCACAATGAGACCAAGGTCCATGGCTAAGAAATTGGAGGGTACCGTCAAGGAGATCTTGGGTAGGTTTTCCTTTTCTATAAATTTGCGGAGGATTAAAAAGAACTTTATCTATTCGTTTTTATACAATTTGTTGTTGGAATAGGTTGTTTTTTCCAATAGTTTCATATAAGACTTAAGTTTTGGACAAGCTAATGAATTCCTTGTATTTTAGGCACAGCTCAATCAGTTGGATGCACAATCGATGGCAACCACCCTCATGACGTCGTTGAACAAATTCGCAACGGAGAGCTCGAGGTCCCAGAAGAATAAATGAATAATTTTTTGTTGTGTTGTTTTGTTTGATTTTGAACTCTAATACAGGTTCTCGTTATATTCTTATCGGTTTTGTTTGTTAGAAATGAAGGCATGCTTTGGCCCTTAGAGATTGATTTGTATATAAATTATTGGATCTTTCTTCGTCGTATGTTTGAACCATCTGAATATGGGTTGATATTGAATTTTGTCAAATTTTTGATAAAGAAAAAAGCAATAAGTTATTAATAGTGAAATAATAAGTGAATTTCTTGAGTAGGGCTACTTTTTAGCAGTAAGGAATGTATTTCCTCGCCTAGTATTATATAATATTCAAATGTTCGTATTTGTTCTAGTTTCTTGTGTTTTTGCTATTCTGATAGTGATATAAAAGTAAAAGGCTTCAATTCTTTTCTAAAGTCTTTCGAACGTGGAGGAAGTGATACGTTTTTTATAATTATAGCTCTTACTATAGTTTAAAAAGTCTTTACGTAGTCTGAACGTATATGCTGTCTATAGAATTATACTGTACAAACTTTAAGGGAATTTTCATAAAAAAACTATGTAAACTGGTAAATAAAACTGTACGCAAGTAAATAAAATTAAATTATTGAAAGAACAATGTAGAAAAGATGAGTTTGTTGTATAAAGAACGGTTTGTTATAATACAGATAAGAAGGGGATGTTTTGGAGCATGTAATTGGGGTTTGGTCTCATGGGGAAAAATAGCAATTCTGTTAAATTGAATGGATTGTGCCGGGTTAGGGGTCTTCCGTTTTTCATTCGTTGGGACCTGCTGGGTTCCAAAAGTTTTACGTGTGGATGTTGGACGGCTACTCTTGTTCACGGAACACTCGACACCACTCGGGCACGTCGTACCGTTCATTCTGTGTTCATGTTCGCAACATAATCGGCATCGTATGTGGAATCGAGCTCGGGGTTTTGGTATACTTGTTCATCTACAGTAAGTCGATTAGTTGGAGGCTTAATAATACATGCAGAGTTCGATGATACGATAGGATCGTGTTATGTTGGGAGAAGTCTGATCAAAAGCGCGCGACACGAGACGTGCAAATCCACTTTACTGCTATCCTTCACCATCTTTCATGCTGTGTGCGATGTGTTGACGATGGTAAGAGTAATGTGCTGACAGCACGTCCTTTCAGATGTCTATCGCCCTGGAGAAAAACAAACTTGTTCTGCCATTGTTGATTGTTTTGGTGCTGAACATTACCATTTCTCTGCTGTTTCTGTTGATTGCTTTGTTCACTTATGCACTCAGTGCAGTACCATACAGTACTGTAAGTTCTATTAATGAGTTTGTTAGTGTTATCAGTTACAATGCTATGAAATAGTATGTGTTAAAGGGTTTTTACTATGAAAGTTTGCAGATTTTTGTACTGTTTGTACTGGCACAAGCTGTGTTTCGTGTCTACGAGTTCGTCTGTGCCCGTCGACTGTACTGGTACTACAAATGGGCGGCCGATCAGCGGAATCTGCCCCAGTGCTCTTTGTTGAAGGAGGAGGAGTCGAGTTTTCAATTTTAGGTTATATTGACATTAATTTGTTTGTTTTACTGTTTGTTTATTCGCCGCGCTAAGCCTAACCGGTTGTAACGCTGTTTTTAGCATCACGTAAGCCTCAGGGCTTGAGTATATAAAGGTCAAGAGGCTGGGCTGATTATCACTCATTCCAAAATGTCTTCAAAATTGTAAGTTTATTTGAGAGGTTACTGTAATTTGTATATTTTATAATATTATTTTAGTAATTTAGGAATTATATTTGAAGTACTGTATTTTACGTTTAAATTTAAAAATAATTTATTTGTTTCAGTTTTTCAAATTACTGTACTTTTTAGATTAGCTTTTTTTGCTTTGGCTTGCGTCTGCGAGGTTACGGTAGCTCAGGTGTTGTATCAACCATATGTAAGTTGGATCATTAGTACAACATCTTTGACAATAACTTTAAAAAAAACTTGCAATTTAAAGTACCACTAGTATAACTAATCATTTAAGGCCGCTGTACCACCCCTATACTATCCAGCCGTCGCCTCTGGATGGGTATGGGGCAGTGGGAACCAGAAAGGTGGACCACAAGAACCAATCCAGGGCCAGCACTCTTCTCCTTTCACAAACGGTCAGATCCCATCGCCTTTGAGTGAGGAAGCACCAATCGCACCACCAATGGCACCACCCATGGCACCACCCATGGCACCACCCATGGGACAGTCCTCAGTCTTGTCACCTTCAACTCCACCCACTCCAGTGCACGCTCGTGCCCCTGCCCACGGATCCACCTCTTTCCCACCCATGCCCTCACCTAAACCGGTCGATTTGAAAGAGTTTCCTCAAATGAGCACCCCGACCTCGCGACCTCACTAAAGCTGTTGACTGTAAATAAACGAGTACTACTTAATTTTCCTACTGTAATATAGTTTGTCATTGTTGTACTTGGTGTGGAATAGATGGAAGGTTTAGAGTTTGAATATGAAAAGCCGAACTCGTTGGCCAGAATAACCATTTTTAAACGAAATTGTTAAAACTACTTAAATTTTGTCATCAAGCTTACAAAAAATAAGTCATTTTAGTCAGTTCAACCTAAAATTAGCAAAAGTCGAGTCCAAAATAAGGTTTTTGACTCTTAAAAGCCTCTAATTGGGGCCTAATTGGATTGGAGGACCAAATCAGTTTGTTTAGTATCTCTTACTCGGAGGAGAGAGCCGTCTGGCAGAAAGCCGGCACGAGGCCGAAAGAGCCATAAAGGGAGGGGAAAGCGTTCGAATTTAATTTGTTTTTGGGGGATTCTGGAGTCCTTATCATGTTTGTATTTTATGGTTTTCTCCAGAATTTGAAACATTTTTCGATTTGAAATTCAAAGTTTTCCAGATCTTAAAAATTCGAAGAAAAAGGTATTTTAAATAATTGGAAATTTAGTTTTTGTGCCAAAATTCACATTTTTTTTGAAAAAATTTATTGGCTTTAAAACCGGTCAAAAAATACATAGAAACTTTGAAAAGAAATGGATGCGAAGGTTTGGCCATTTTTAAACTATTTTATTACCTATTCGTCCAAAGAAAAATGGTCTGAACGTTCATATAAACCTAATTTAGGTAATATCTGTAAAAACAGGCTCATATCTATATTATTCAGATGGAAGAAGACGAGCCCTTCACGTTGGAAGAGGTTGGATCCCCAACTTCAAGCAGTTCAGAGTCTATGGCCGATGTTCGAGTTCGGAGAACGCCCGGGCCAATTCTCAGGACACTGCGACGACTGAGGGTGAGTTACATTGAGATATTGTGGTTTAGGTAACATTTCTTTCACGTTGGGTACCTTCTTTTATGAGAAAATTAATGCCTAAAGTCGTAAAAGTTGATTGTTTTTGTAATTTTAAAGGTAATGACGGCTTTTGATGGTTTCTTTTGTAAAAACTACTCATTTAGGTGTAGGAGGCATTGTCATAGCTTTCGAAATCTAATAATAACTATCTTATAGTATTTTCAAATCACAATATCTATTTAATTTCGAAAATACAATGTTTTAGAAGCATAAACTTTGACATTCTTGGGTATTACTCTAGGTTTGTCTTTACCATGAAGCAATCAACAAAAAGTAACGGAAAAACAATCAACGAGAGTGTCATAAAGGAGATGACTTACATGTTGTTGTAGGTATATCCATTTCTCTGCGCTGCCCTGAATAAATAAAGCTTACGGCGATTCTTTTTTATGACAGCCGGCTGCCCCCTCCCCTCGGTCGCTACCCTTAATTCTATTTTCGAAGGTATATGACGTTCAAGATACCATTTAGTTGTAGGATGTTACGTAGTAAAGCTATTACTCTGCTTAGTAAAAGCCGGGGTATTCAAATCTCACGGTGTTTAGAGGCCGTATGTTTACTTTACTGTAACTTGTTATGTTAATGTGGTTGTTTGGTAGTTTATTATACGTTTGTTGAGGTCATTTGTAATATATTTTTGAAATTTAAAGTAAGTTAACTGTAAAATGTAAAAGGATAGAGTAAATATGAAATAAGGGATCATGTTGTAGTTAATATTCAGAATAGGAGATCCAAGATAAACATACGACCATGTGGGTGGTACGTTAGGGCTGTTATGTTATGCATAGGGCCATTAGTTACTCGAGCTACCATTTATGAGGCTTATATGACTTTTTATGACATTTTAAAATATTTTTTTGTCAAAAAAGTAACCATTTAATTCCGCCAATCGTATTTTATGGATTTTTAAAAATTAGGTAATAAATATTTGAAAGTTTTTAAATTTCAAACTTTATATCCTTTAAACCTTTTACATTGTAAAAGATAATATATGCAATTTTGCATATAATTTTGAGCCATTCAATTTGAATTTGGAAAAAGGGTTTGAAACGATTTGTCATAACAGTTAGAACCCCTAATCCCTTGATTTGACGCGATCCGCTTTGACAGTGGACGAGTGACCTTTACCATGCAATTGACAGTCGTATTATGCAAGTTATCAAGCTGGGAGGGGTAGCCACCGGCCGGGGGGATGAAAGGGAGGGGTAGTCTTTTGTCTCGGTCTTTCGCCGTTCCGACCCCCCCCCCTCTACCTGCAATCAGTCACGCAGTAGTTTACTTTCAGTTCGGTCGACTCTTCGGTGAACAGTCCATCGCCACTCTGGAGGAGATCGATCTCGGCGACCGACGTGGCCTCATTGCCATGACCGACTACACCAAGAGCCCCACCAACGCTGACATCGCCGGGCCCGGCGCTTCCCATCTGCGGGTGAGTAACACTACCTTTACATTACACTGCCTGAAGGTCAGTTTGAGCGAAAAACAATGTCTTAACAGGCTTGAAGTTTCGAAAATTAAGGGTTCAGATTATCAAGAAAGCTACTGATCACTTGATATAGTAATTGTTATTATAGGTTGTTCAAATAATTCTGCTCTTCTTCCCAATGCAAATTTTTTGGGTTAGGGGGCACAGAATTAATTGAAAAACCTAATATTAAAAATGCAACCATAAAAATAAAATTAAAAATATACTATTAAGTTACCTTTTAACTTTATATTATACTATTTAAATATTTTTCAAAAATTTTAAAAAATATAAATTTTGAGATTTCTCCGAAAATTTCCAAAATTAAAGGTCCAGAAATTAAAGGCTGTCATTACGTTACTCAACCCTGTATTAACCCGAAATTACCTTCCCTATTCACATCGTATCTTCTCAAAGATACCTTAATTTCTGGTGTAAGATATACCTAGAAGTACTACCAAGAACCGAGCTAGCAGTAGTGTCATAAACTATATTTTGACGGCTTTCTTTTGCATTTTACTCTGTAAAAGTGTGTTTATTACCGTTATCTAAAGCATGTTTTAAACTTTATTGACACAATCATCTAAAGTAGCATTAATAAGTACTATTACTCTATTTTTTCCTAGTATTTGTGATATTATTAGGTATACCTAACTACTAGATAGCTAACTGTTACTCTATGCTCAAGTCCATTTTCAAGAATCGCGTAGTAAGTGAGTCATTAATTACTTGTTCCTTACAGTAATTCTAATTCCCTCACAGCATGTAACTCAAGGTAATGTCCTTGTTAATCAGAATTGTTTGCAAGGAACAGCCTTGGCATCAAACATAACTTAATTCCAATCTCTACTTGCCTCATTGTGTCTCAGACGACGGTCGTTTCATACCTTATATTAATCTTTTAAGTTGATAACGTTATGTTATGTAAAAATACCTTGTTATTGCCAAATATACTTATGCCAACCATTATGGTATACGCAGTAGATGTGACGCAAACTCTGTCCTACCTAACTACAGCGATGATTTTCTTGATATCATGCATTGCTAATTGTATGCTGGAATGTTGTTATGTATGATAATACCCAGCTCCAAGTATTTGCGGAATTTTAAATGTTTCAGCTATTGACAGCCGGCTTTACACGGATTTGCAAGCCGGTTGTCATTACGCTATCAACTCTTAAATTTGCAAATTTTTATTTTAAATTTAACCATGTTGGTATATCTGCTATTACTGTGTAAATGTATTTCTTTTACATTGTAAAAAACGTCTTCTAGCTACCAACTTTTAATTTTAAAATTTAAATTCGAAATTTTGCTTTTCCAATTGTAGCAACCACCTCCTCCCTCACTGACCGTTAATTGAGTGCTTCCGGCTACTCAATTACCGTCGCTAATGTCGCGTGAAGTCGGTATCTTGGAGTACAAAAGTTGCGATAATTGCAGTTATTTTGAGAGCGAATCCAGGTCGCTTCGGCTGTCGCTAAGGGATCCGGAGGCTTGTGTCAATGTTGTTTTAGTGCTCGTCGTATTTTAGGAGTCTTGTTCCCACTGTGATCTGATTGTTGTGATTAGTAATGTCACTTCGAGAGTTGATTATGCTGACAAATGACTTTTGGCCTTTTAGTCATTACTCCCGAATGATTAAGTAGCATATATTATCATAAACATGTTCTCTTTTACATTCTGCAAACCTTAACAACGTATATCAACTTACTATGTATTTTACATTGTATATCGTCTTAGTCTTTACAATCTTGTGAATACTAGAACATATATATTATTGATGTTGTTCTGATTAATGACCGTAAAATTAGTTGATTCGGGTTAAAACAATTAAAGCGACCGAAAGCGACAAAAGTGAGGTAAAGGAGGGGGGGGCGGGCAGTAACTAATCTTCACCGGGCCCTCAGGTCGTCGCGCGCGACTGTTCGGGAACGCTTAAGACCGGGAATATTATCCGCTTGGCTCGCGGCTAACCCGACATAACTGTTATCACCAGCAAGTCATCTGTCTACGTAGAGACTTACAACACTAGATGGCATTCAACTGAAAAATCGACCGCTTTTTTGAAATTCAAAGTTTTAAAACTTCAACCTTCTGATGGAGCCCACCAACGACCGCGACGAAGAAAATCGACCGACTTCTTTGGCCCTTCAACTGGCACTGCGCGACTTCTGGGACAAGTCTCGCGGCCTGATCAGAAGTCGGCCCAACTCCACCCATCTGGACCTGCGCGAGAGCTGTTCCAGTCCAACCAGCTCGGGCAGTTCCCTGACCGGCGACATCAACTTTCAAGCCGGCGACGAGTCGACCGAACTCCGAGACTATCGCAATGCCTTGGCCATTCAGCTGGGATGCACTTTGGCCAGAAAGAAGAAAGTAAGCCGTTGGGTCAACATCATTAAGAGCGCCCAAGGGTTTCGGGGTCACGTTAAGTTTCTGGCTGATGGGTGGACTAGGCCATGGGAATCTTTGTTTCAAGAATTAGTTTTAATCTTAAGGATTAAATTTTGTTTTAAATGTAGAGTTAGGGAGGTTCACATGATTTAGATTATGTTTTTCAAACCCTATGATAATATAAGCTTATGTTAACAGCAAGGGAACAAGTTTATGTTAACAGTAAAGAGATGAGCTTATGTTAAACATGAGTACTTCGGAACCTTTCTATATTAATATGAAAAGGTTGACCCTTCGGCATCCTTTTGCACCAGTCATGAGCACGATGAGTCGCTCTTAAGGCCTAATTTTATGCGAAATTCCGGGTTCGCTGACTCAAAGTGTTGTACGATCATTAACAGTTATGACCGGAGGGTATAAAAACCGATTTGAAGGTTACTGCCCTTGAGTGATCGCTTTACGTGGGGAAGGATTATTGACATTGTTGTATATAGAAAAGACTAGTACAGTCGCAAAGGACATGTTGTGGCTGGCAAAGCGCATTAAATGTACTATAGCATTGAAGATAGTAGCTATTATGAGGATGGTACTAGGAAACTGAGTAGGAATATTAAGAAAAAGAGCTTGTACTATTAGGTAACTGGGTATTTTACTACTAGTATCAGAAATACATTGTTAGTCAGAGTTGTTCCACTAGAATGCCTAAAATGTTTAGCTGCAGTAAAGTAAAGTCTACCACACTTATACATACATGTTCTATTTTGGTGGGCTTGTTGTCTGTGAGGGAGTAGTATGATTAGATTTGCATATAACGAGGTTCTCGAGGGAACGCCGAGAGTCTCGAGACTTCGTTTCGAACCTTTTTCTCAAATTTGTTTTAACTGCGCGACCACACCTTTGCACTCTCAACGAGGGACTTGGCCCTGGGGCTCGGGAGCTGGCTGACCTTGTTTTGGGTCAGTCTTTATGGGTAATATTTAAGCAATCACGAGTCAAATTCCGAAACACAAAAAGGGGGGGGGGGGGGGTTTTGCAGTTTTGGGAGCTGGGTTTTGGCTATAAGTGTCGAGTTTGGCTAGCTAAGGGTTTGGATATATTTTGAATTTGGTTAGCTAAAGGCTTGGCTATATTTTTTGAATCTAGCCAGCAAAACTTTTCACTATAATCTTTGAATTTGGCTAGCTGAAAGGTTTACTTTGTTTCAAGTTTGGCTAGCCAACAGCTTGACCTTTTGGAAAGATTGTCATAAGAAGCGGCTTTATTATGCTTCGAACAAAAGATGTAGCCGTGCAGAAAACACGACGTGCGCGGTGGTGCCGTTATGTCCTTGAACGACGCCTCAGGCGCTCATAATTGTTTTTTGGTTTACACAAGGGGGGGGTGAACTAGATCAATCGGATTCGCTTCTGTTTGCAAACTTTAAGGCAAATAAGAGGCCTAACTCTGCAGTAACTTTGTTCAAACATGTTTGATATTATTATTTGACAAACCTTGTGCTACTTTTCAGTTTACCTTGGCTGTTTATAGTTGTTTTATATTGTTATTGATTACAATATTGTTATTGTCAAAAGTTTCTTTTATATTTTAGTCTGAATACCTATTTTGTCAACAACAAAAGTACAATTTTAAAATTTTTGAAGTCATATTTGCATGAAATTGTGCTTAAATCTATGTTAATATCACTACTTTTCAAAAAGTAACAACACATTTTGCAGGACCCATCGCTTCAAAACGGAACTCGCGGAATGAGCGCGCGAGTCGAGGCTGGCGGGGAGTCCAGTCCAGCCAAGAAGATAAGCAAGCCTAAGGACAAAGTAGAGCTGAGCAAATCGCAGTTATTAGCTGGCCTGATACTGACAGTTGCCGCCGTCATCGTCGCCATCCTCATCACATACACAGTCACAAAGGAGAGTCTCAGTAGGACATCGTCGTACAATCGGACCAGTGCCAGTAAAAACTCACATTACTCGGATGAGTTTGATATGTAGGTTTACATTAGATGTATGTTAAGGTATTGAATTGAATTTTAGAAACATGTAATGGTATTTACGAAGCTACAAACATTAATATCAATCATAAACAATATCCAACTCTATACATAAATAAACCATTTTCACCTTTCAGTGCTCACTTCAAACCTCACGAGGTGCCTGACCTACCTCCAGAAGAAGCTAGCGCAGATGCCGGGCCAGAACCGACGGCAGAGGAACTTCGACTAGTACACGACCTAGTACCGGTGTGGTACAACTTAAGTGTGAAGGTCTACGTTCCTGGGTTTGTCCCCATAACTCCGGAGAAGAACCTGACATTCGACGGAGCCATGATCATCAAGTTCAAGGTGACCAACCCGACCAACAGGATCGAGTTGAACGCCCATTTTTTGAACTTCTTGACCAAAACTGACCTTTATCAGCTGCAGGTCGACCCAAAGGTAAATATTTTACTTTATGATTTTAAAGGTGTTTTAGTTAAAAAGATACTTTTAAAAAATCATAATACATAAAATGACATTTTGAATGCGAACTTTCTTGTTTTAGCGTGTGAGAAGAGCCGCTTCCAACTCGACCGGTAACGCACTGATAGTATCATCAAACGGTACTCGACAAGTGCCCGAAGGCGAGGTCACTTCAGAAGAACTGAGCTCAGAAAGCGAAGTAAGTGTTATTATTCTAGACATGTCTATTTTTGTTATTAGTAATATGAAGTCCATTTTTTTCTTTGTCAATAGCAATACTATCAATTCTTACAGACACCGGCAGCTCAAAACCGAGTAGACTCTGGAATCAAAGTTACTGCGATCAGAGTGAACGAAACCCTACAAAAGGTAGTCTTCGATCTGGATGCTCAACTACAACAAGATCAGGAGTACTATTTCTTGGTGAGTCTTAATATTGTACTACTTTTTGTGACTATTTTCATTTGGTTACTGTTTTGTCGCAGTAATTAGCATTGACGTCGAAATAATCCGCAAACAGAGTAGCCTATCGTTATTTATAGCCCTTAAAATACAATTAATTACTGTTTTATTTGTTTGTTTATTTACTTTTATAGCTACCTTACTCCGGGCCCATCGACTCCAAACTTTCCGGTTTGTATCTGACCCAATATTCAGACGCCAATGGGAGGCAAAGGTAACACATCCGCTTTATAAGACAATTACCTTCCACAAAAACAATTTGAATCCTAAAAACTAAAACACGAAGAAAGATTCATTCTGCATAATATTGTGTTTTAAAATCCAGTGTAACATCTCCAACTTCCAAAATCTAGTTAGCATTTGATACCTTAAACAGGGACGTCGTTTGGGGGGGTGGTTCGGGGTGACCCCCCCCCCAAAGCCGATCCGAAAAAAAATACCTGTACGCGAAAAAACAAAAAAAAAATTTTGAAAAATCGGTCCACAGGTAGCAGCTACCTGTGGACCAAAAAAAATTTTTCGACCTCCCCCCAGAGAAAAACCGTATCGACGTCCCTGACCTAAAACAATGTAAAGAAAATCCTTACCTTTAGATATGCGGCCGTTACCCAAATGGAGCCCACTGATGCCAGAAGATTCGCACCGTGCTTCGATGAGCCAGCCTTCAAAGCCGTCTGGAGGTTGCGAGTTATTCATCCAGTCGGTAGCCGAGCTGTGAGTAATGCACTCGAGATCAAGGAAGACGAACCAACGTAAGTCCAGATTGTTACCTACTTCAATAAAGAAAATACAAAACAAATGTTAATTTCCTAATTCTCGAGATAAGGGATACCTCTAAACAAAAACTTAAGTTTTAAAATACAAAAAAACCCAAATTTAAAACAACAACATGGATGTTTTAGGAACGATCCCGACTGGTTGTTGACTACATTCGAGGAAACGTTACCAATGTCGTCGTATCTTCTCGCGTTGGTCGTATCTGACTTTGAATACGTCGAAGGACACACCAAAAACAATGTTAGAGTAAGTGTGAAACGATTTTTTGTTTTTTCCATTATTTCAGCGACTCTTTACGTTTAGACGAAGTGTCACTTTTGCTTTTCCAGCGTAACGAAGTGTCACACGATGTAGAATAACAAATAACTGTTTTTTATGTGAGATCTACAATAGTAAAACCTATAATATATCGTTATCTAATTCCAATTTTATAAAAGATATGGTTTTAGTTCCGGATCTGGGCCCGCAAGGATGCTTTGATTGATACTCAATATGCTCTCCAAGCTGGAATCAAGTGTCTGGAGTTCTACGAAGACTACTTCGGAATCCCATTCCCTTTGGCCAAACAAGACATGATGGCCTTTCCTGACTTTGCAGCTGGTGCCATGGAGAACTGGGGGTTGGTGACATACAGAGAGAAGTACCTTCTTCACAATCCATCACTTTACTCGGCTTTGCAGAAGGTTCATGTCGCTACTGTGGTGGCTCACGAACTGGCTCATCAAGTAAGTTGCTATTAACTTAAGCATAGCTCTACAAATACAACTTAAATATAAAATTTGAAGTTTGAAACGTTGTTGTATTATGATTTTAGTGGTTCGGAAACCTTGTCACAATGAAATGGTGGTCAGATCTGTGGCTGAACGAAGGCTTTGCCACTTTGATGGAGTATATTGGAACGGATGCGATCAGTGACAACAAATTGAGGATGGACGAGTACTTTGTGTACGATGCTCTGTCAGGAGCGTTTGATCGAGACTCTCGAGCTACATCACATCCACTCTACTTTGACATTAGTAAGGCAGAAGATGTGAGTGAAGCTTTCGATGCTATTACCTATGACAAAGGAGGGTCGGTGCTGAGAATGTTGAGGAATGTCATGGGAGAGAAATACTTCAAGAAGGGAGTCACGGTAGGTCAATATTATTATTGTTAAACCGAGAATCTTTTAAAAAGTTATAAAGATGGAGAAAAGTTAAACTCTGATTTTAGATCTACTTGAATCGCTTTAAATTCAAGAACGCTGAACACAAAGATCTGTGGCAAGCTCTGTCAGAAGCCGTTCCAGAATCCTTGACCGACTGGTCGGGTGACAAGTTTGATGTAGATGAGTTTGCCAAGCTCTGGACTCGCCAAATGGGATACCCAGTGATTGAGGTGAAGAGAGTCGACGAGAACAAGGTCGAGTTGACACAGAAGCGCTTCAAGATGGACGAAACCGCGTTGGAGAAGCCGAGATTCAGAAACGCAAAATACTGGTACAAATGGGACATTCCCTTGTGGTACACCATCAATGGAACCGAGAAGGAAATGCTGTGGCTACACGAGAACCAGGTTCTAGAAGTGCCAGAAGACACTCCTTTGATCGTCAACTACGATTCCAAAGGATTCTACAGAGTACAGTATTCCAAACACACCCTCGACAGTATCAACCGACAGCTTCAGAACGATCACACTCGGATCTCGGTCAAGTCGAGAGCTAGAATTATCGACGATACCTTCACGTTGGCCGAGGCTGGTCGTGTGCCGTACCAAGCAGCTCTGAACCTGACCATATATCTTCAGAAGGAGACAGAGTATCTTCCGTGGGCGATGGCCATGACTGGTCTTGAGTCCATCGAGTACTACGTTGGAGACGAACCAGAAGCCGACTACGTCAGAAGCTACATCAAAGGGCTGATCAAAGACCTCTACGAGAACATCTCCTTCGAGAATCTTAATACCACCTACTTGGACGATGACAAGTTCTTCGAGACCCTGTTCGACACTTCTATTATCAGTAGAATGTGCAGGAACAGAGATCAAAACTGCGTCAAGAAGCTGATGGATCTCTACTTCAACGACTTCGTGTATCCATGTCAGAACGCAGACACTCAGAGCAGCAAGTGCAGTCGGTATGTTATTTTTTTACCAAATGTTTTATCTTTTACAATTTTTGTGTAGTTCATGGCTTTTATTGGGAGTACTATCAGTTATTGTATATTACTATAAAATGTTTTCTAGAGTACCAGTACCTCTTCGTGGACTAGTCTACTGTGAAGGTGTTAGATCAGGCTCGGAAACGGACTGGGACAAGATGTTGGCCTTGTACAAGAGGGAAAGTGTCCAAGTGGAGAGAGATCGTCTGATGATCGCTTTGACTTGTTCTCGCGATACTCACAGTTTGAAAAAGTAAAGTTTTGGATCATTCGAGACTATGAATAGTACTATACCTTTATATCTGTTATCAAAAAATTATTATTACCATGATTAATATGTGTTTTAACTAATATTGTCATTTCAGATTACTGCGGATGACTACTGACTTTAACAACACATTGATCAGGCTGCAAGACAAGTCTACAGTATTTGATGGTATTGCCTCCACCTCTCCCTTAGGGCAACAGATTGCCATGGAGTACTTTATGGACCACTGGACGGCGATTTACAGAGAGTATGTTATGGTTAAATGACGTTGTTTTAGTTAACTGATGGCTGTGTGAAAAGGATTAATTTAATTGTACCACTTTCAGTTTCAAAGATCAACCATCGTTACTAAAGAGCATGGTGGAGGCAGCTCTCGGAGGAACGTCGAACCGAGTTATCGAACAGGTATGTTCCTTACCCTACTTCAAGTAACAAGGCAGATCATAGCATTTTTTATGTGTAAAGTCAAATATTACATAGCTGTAAAGGTTACTAATTTTTATTTCAAGAATATGTTATTTTAGGTAACAAAGTTCATTGCTCAGAACGAGAAGACGACGCGGAACGTGGACGCCTTCAAGCAGCGTCTCGAGATTCTGGAGACCAACAAGAAGTGGATGGACAAGAACTTCCAACCTCTCAGTGTCTGGTTCCGAGATCAGAACAAGAAACGGGCCGTCAGTGCCTGAGGCAATCACTCTAATAACCTTGTTAATCATGATGCGGGCTCTCATTAGGTATTCTGTTGAGTAATTTATACCTGTTATTTACATATTCCGACTTTATATATAATTCTATCATTAATAAATTGATCTTACTATAATATAATATGAATTTTATTCGCGTTTTGTGCCGGTCAGAAAGTCCAGAGAGTGATTTTAGTAAAAATTCTAGTTATTTATGAAAATTATTTTAAATTTTAAAATTAAATTTCAATTTGAATGTTTAAAAAAAGTAAAATTTTTAGCGGAATCTAGGTCGAAAGAATGATATTATGATAGCTACAAAATCTGAGAAACGGTTTTCTTTAGACATGAGAAACGGGCCGGGCCCATTTTTCCGGCCCGGCCCGTTTTAAAAAATTTTAAAAATTTTAAAACTTAAAAACTAAACGGAAATTTGGCTTTAAATTGTTTTTTCAGATCATTTATTGATCATAGTACCCAATAAAAGCAAAAAACATGAACGGGAATTTAAATAAAAAATTTTAAAAAATTTAAAATTTTTTTTTCGGGCCCGGGCCCAATTTTCAAGCCCGGCCCGTTTTCAATTTTGGTCAGGCCCGGCCCGAAAGCAGGCCGGCCCGGCCCGTTTCTCATGTCTAGTTTTCTTTGTGGTTAAATTATAATAATATAGTTTGATGGAAAGGGAACTATAACATATTCAAACAGACTCCAAATCCTGGAAGCAAACAAAATGAATGTTTGGCCACAAAGTTTTCGTAATTTTACCGTTCAAAAAAATAAAATTATAAGTTTTGTCATATTTTAACCACTTTTCGTTCAATTTTCAAAAATAAAGATTTTAAATATTTTTTACCTCTTACCATATTTTATTTCATATTGCAGCATATTTTACTCTTTACTGACCATTTTTTATTTTTTATCTTTTGCACCGTGCAGATTTTAAAATTCTATTAGAATGCAAGCTAGAACGCGTATGATATGGTTTGGGCTTTGCATATGAGTAGATTTTAACAAAAGCAATGTTTACATAGTGGAAATATAACTATCACTGTCGATAAACTGTAAAAAACTATTCTTCCATGAGTTTTAATTTTGAATTTGGCGGGAAAATGTGGATAATGTTGCAAATTGTTTTCATCGCACGTAAACGAACTTTTGTCGAAATGTTAATGTAATGGCTTATTTGGTGTAGCATGATAGTTGAAAAAGTATTACTTTGTTTGAGAATTGAAGCCGCTTCTCTTTGGTTTTTATAAGATATAGTATTTTTATAAATTAGGTAACAAAAGCAATGTAAAGTGTTTTAAATCTCAACCAATTTCTTTTAATTCTACGTCCACATAACCTCAGAATGAACCCAGTAGCCGGGAGCGATCAGTTAAGTTACAATCTCCGGTCTGATCTGAACTTTTTGTTTTTTGAGTCACGTATGTCATATTATTATACATGAGACCGCGCAAAGCCTTCCTCCTTTTTGTTTCGATTCACCTCATTTTTGATTTCAATCTTTTTAGATTTTAATTGTCTGGCAATTTATAACAGTCATTTGTGTAATATTATAATAGAATTTACTATTTAATATTATTATTGTGTCATGGTATTGGGGGTATGGATGTGTGCTTTTTGCTTTATTTGTGAATATAGCGTACCAAGTTTTATAAATTTGCAGATTTACTATAATATAACATAGCAAAAGTCATTGTAATCATCTTGTTACCATCGTATAATCCACTACTTTAACATAACCGTATGCTTTCAGTAATGTTGGGTATCTTCACAATAGGTATACTGACGATAACAAAGTATACCCACGCAGTAACTCCAGAACAAGTTCATCTGACGTTGGCTGATGACTCCATGAATATTAATGTACAGTTCGTGACGCTACACGAAGTCATTCAGAATCCTGGCGTCTTGTATACATACGATAACATAACATCGCGAGTACAACCAGCTACGGTCAAAAAGTTTGAGTTTGGAAACATTGTACGATACATCTACACAGCCGAGATACGAAATGTTCCTACCGAGACTAGGATATGTAAGTTAATTTGTAACATATGTCTTGGTATATAATGCTTACTGTAATAGTTAAACGTCATTATTAGTTTAGAGATTGCTTACTCTTTCTTTGAGACCTTTCGAATTATAATCTACAACAATACCACTTCAGATTACCGTGTTGGGTCTCCAGATGAATGGTACCCAGAGCCCTTTACCTACTACTTCTACTGCTTTCCTGAAGACCTCTACAACAAGAGCTACAACGTCGCCATAATGGGTGACCTAGGAGTAGAGAAAGGCGACTCTTTACCGTACCTGATAGCAGACGCCAGAGCTGGAAGATACGATTTGTTGGTACATGTTGGTGACATTGCATACGATCTTCACACGAACGACGGTAAGACCGGCGACGTGTTTATGCGGCTTCTGGAGCCTGCCGTAGCTCTCGTACCGTATATTGTGATAGCGGGGAACCACGAAGACGATGGCTACAACTTTTCCAACTACAAGTACAGGTTTGACATGCCCAACGATCCTTATGGAGACAATCAGTTTTATAGGTAATGAGGGTTTCTTTTGGTCTTTGCTCTTATATTTGGTTAGATGACATTATTGTAGACACTGAAGTGGCATTATATTAAAAATTTTTAAAAAATGACATTTCAAAGTATTTTTGGAAGTTTTCTTATGTATTTGTCACATTTTGACTACTGTACTTTCAGTTTTGACTTGGGCGCAGTACATTACATAGGCATCAGTACTGAAGTGTACGGTTTCTTCTACGAGTACGGTCAAGATTCTGTTCATACTCAATATAACTGGCTTAAAGAAGATCTCAGGGTAAGTATTATTTGAATATTACAGTAACTACTGAAATTATTACAAATTAAGAGCTTCGTCCTGTTAAATAGCCTTGATTCTACAATAATACTTAACTGTAATATAATATTTTAATTTCAGAAAGCGAATCAGAATCGCGACAAAGTCCCCTTCATCGTGACTTGGCAACATCGTCCCTTCTACTGTTCCAACAGTAACTCCTTTGAATGTGGCAGTTTCGAGAACTCTTTGGTATGTTTACAGTTCTATTTTACTACTTATACCTGTGTTTTATGCTCAAACATCACACAAACTTTCAATATAACTAGCTTTTTAATTTCGCTCACTTTTCGGTTCAAATAAATTAAAAACGAGATTTATATTTGAATACCATAACCCTTTGAGAGAACTACAAAAGAAGATTACTTTAGCAAAGAAAGTGAAAGATTAATATCGTCGCTTTCGCCTTCTAATACCTTTTCTTCAGATTCGCAAAGGCTTCCAGGATATGCCCGGATTAGAAGACCTTTTCATCGCGAACGGTGTGGATCTGGCGTTCTGGGGTCACGAACACACCTACGAACGCTTCTACCCCATCTTCAACCGGACCGCCTTCAAGTCGAGTGACCTCTCCCCCGACCCCTACGAGAACCCCGTAGCACCCGTCTACATCATCACTGGGACAGCCGGCTGTCACACGACTCCAGCTGCCTTCGCCGAAGTGCCAGTTGCGCACAGTGCCTTCAGAAGCCAGGACTTTGGTTATACGATCATGAACGTGAGGCACGATCAGCTGGACATCAGCCAGATATCTATCAACAACAACCGTACTCACGTCATCGACCACATCGTGCTCAGGAAGACCAAAGGAGTACATCCGAGTGTGGTGAGGTCGAAAAGACATACTGGGCATCCCTTCCCTGCCCCTGAAGAACAATGGCAGTGCAATACGAAAGACCCGAGATGCAAACAAATGAGACTCGACTCATTGCGACAGTCTAACAGAATATGACACTGGGTAGTTGGGTAGTGTTACCATCACAGATACGATGGCATTATGGCCTTTGTTACATTATGTTTCAGCTTAACTCCATCTTATAGGTTAGATTTCAGTCATATAGATCAATAAGTTGCTAGAAGAGCCACTCTATTATGTTTTAATTTTTTACTTTTCTGTTTACTTTTTGACCAATATTTAGTTAATTTAGTCGCATACTTAATATAATAATGTTTTAATCAATTATTTCAAATTTTACGACTTTTTCATCCATTTCATGTACATAACTACCTAATTTACGTGTATATTCATTAACATTTCGTCTATCTTGTTGGTATACGTGTATATGATATACGGCCACACCATATATGATTATGTCTCCCATGATATATCGTTCATGTACACATTGTATACGATTACGGCCGTCGTGTACATTGCATATGATTATTGTCAATTTGGGATTCGTAGGAAATTTTCTCAGAGTAAAATAGTAACGCTGTCATTCCTTACAAAAACAACATTGTCAAGCGAGATATCGTGCTCTTTGAGACACCGCAGGCCCATTTTACCATGAATCAGACTGTTATTGTTGGTCGCCGGAAAACGCAACAGCTGCCCCGCATACCGCCACCTGCTCTCCCGGAACTATGAGATACGGGTATTCAAATTGGCGGAACTCGGGTTCGGAGGGATGGTCAAGCGGGCTCGGGCAAGACGTTTCAGCGGAACTCGAGTAGGGCGATATAGGTTGAGGAAACTTGAGTCAGGCTCGGTCGATTTGGCAATTCAGATCGGTATTTGAATTGCCAGAATCAGTTGTATTGAAATTGGCTCCGAAGCCATTACCCGCGATCCAATGTCATTTGTCCAAGAGGGGACTTGCGCTTTGAGCTGCCGCTTTTCCCAACTACTGACGGCTACTACAATATAATAGTCTTCCAAACCCTTGATAGATGTAGCATTTTCTTGTATGACTTTTGACTAAGTTGTTCAAATAATTCTGTGCTCCCTTTCAAAGCCAGTTTACGCAGTTTGGGGGCACAGAATTAATTGAACATCCTGATAATTGTAATTATACATTAGTTCCTTTTCATTTGTAAATATGTTACTATAGCTAATATATCTTCTTACTTCCAAGATACCTAACAAAGGCGAGGGTGGAGGCAAATCCCCGCCCCGATTTCGCGCAGTGCCAAAGCGAGATTACTGCCCGAAAGTGAGGGGTCAGATCTTGTTTATGAATTATTTCCGCTTTATATGGCCTGCTATTCGTTTGTCGCTGCTCTTCTGCTGCCCTTCCAAACCCCAATTTCTCTTTTTTCCAGTTTCAGATCCAATTAAAGTTTCGTTTTATGGCGCGGCATCCCTTTGTCGTACCCTTTTTGGGCCGTGATCACGCTACGAGCGGTCTCCGAGGCATACATAATAACATAGGTTACTGACCTCTTACATAACGTTATGTTACTTTGAGATTACTAACTTTTTTATAAGAATATGTTACTTCATACAGGTTTATATAGAATAGAAGGAGTATTTTACATTTTCAAATGACTTTTTATTATTCTGACGAATATTTACATTTATCGGTACTTTGAAGTAACGTTACATATCATGGTCATAATATGTTATTGTGGAAATACTATTTTTGGTTCCAATTACTTATAATTCCAAAAACTTATCATTCTTTTGTAGTAGTCAATGGGTGGTTTGAGTTCATAGAATCTATAGTTAAAATTTATGTGATTACTTGTTATCTGTTTAATTTATGGCCGGAGTAATATTTATAAGCCATTAATTAATAGCAGCAAGCTTTTGCAACATTAAACCTTTGGAAATCGAAAAACATAGCCAAATCAATCATTCTGACACTCGTATAGTACACTTGTAAAGCATCATTCAGCCTTTGAGTGATGACCTACAACTCCATAAACATAACCCAAAAGGCCATCTTTTACAGTTTGATTAATAATTATATGTTAAAATTACGTAGAACCAACCTATGTTGTCATAATTAACTAAAAAAAATCGGCCAAAACTAGACGTTTTTTGTTTTTCTACGAACTTTTCGACCAACAAACAATACAACCACCACATTGATAACACTCCTAATCTCGGGCAGTTAATTTATCCGTTTACCTAAACCAAGGTCACTCCCAACATCCGTCCCCAATGAGGTGACAGACTCCTCCAAGTGGACGCGCAGATGGTCCCTCGCGCGCGCCTCGGCCCTTGCTCGGCATTATGCCTCCAATTTCATTTCCCCAATGTTTTACACTCCTTTGCCCGCTGGCTTTTTCACTTTCAGGAGGAGCAGCGTTTTGTCTATCAGAATGAATGCATATTATACTAGGCGTTTTGGCGGGTTTTGACGAGGAACGCATCAAAATTCCATAAAAACCTAATGATTAGGCCTGTTTTTGGGAATGATAGCTGTTTTAAGAGACTTGTGGTAAGGGTTTGAGCTTGCGCTCTGCATTTTGAGTTTGAGAGCTGCTGTTTTGCGATTGATACCTATGTTAATATGCGTATTTTAAACTGGGCAACTTTATTTAATCAAGATTTAAATACCCAAAAATTAAATTTTGAATTAGCTAATCTTTTTTATGCTTAATAACTGATATTTCAAGCTTATTATCCATGTTTTTAACTATTCTAAAACATTATTTTAATGCCTGATGTCTGTGAATAAACTAAGAACTTCTTTTGGGCACAAAAAGCGTATCATGAACAAAGAATGTTCCTAAATGTAGTTCAATACCATTCGAAAAGGCACGACAAACCACAAATTGCCAATAGCATCCTTAACAAAAACATTCCAAACAATGTTGTTCATGACCCGCTTCTGGAGCCCGAACCCATTCGCGCCGAGTCAAAATTTGTTTTATGCAAATCAAACCCTCCGGGGAAATTCGACTTCAAAGTTGGCGCAAAAAGGTCAAACTCGCGCTCTCGTAGATAACATCAACTCATTCTGCTTTCAGGGGCACGGTTCGCCTTCTCTAAAATGTCCACGCCAAGAAGTAAACTTACAAAACTGTTCCGAAACGAGAGTTCCTACGAGGCGGATGAAGTTAATCTGCTTCTGGATGGTCTCAACGAGATGGAGATCACGAGGTGAGTGAGGAAGGCGTTGATATTCGAAGATTTTTGTCGAAAATCCAAAAATTCCGTCAGTTTTTTCAAAAAATCGAGAATTTACAGAAAAAATACTATTTCTTGACCTTTTCAAGCGATAGTATTGTTTATAATGCTCACATTAGGTTAAAATTTTGTAAAATTACTTGTGCTACACAATTTAATAAATCTTATTTATGACGTTTTTTATGAAAATTTTTAAAATTATTATTTTTTCAGCAAATTCCTGGCCAAAGCTGCTGAGTCCGAGAAAAGAGGCATCGATGCCATAGCTAGTTGGGCCAAAAGATCACGGAATTCAGCTATCGACGATGTAATGCAACATACCGCACAGTTATTCCATCTATTTACCGAGAAACAAAAACAATTCGTTCGAGATCATGACCATTTTGTTCAGGTAACTAACTTTTTATACTTTTAATGTTGGTTTACTTTTTCAAATGTCATATAAGTGTTTCTACTTTTTTAAATTATTACCTAAAATTAACTTTTTCAATTGTTTATTACCTGAAAAATTCTTCATCAAACTCTGTTACCTATAGACGATTTGATGTTTCAGCAGCTCAAGAAGATCTCTGAGATCGAGTACCGTGTTCGAGAGTACGAGAAGAACGTGCACAAAAGGGAAACCCGAGTTTTGTCAATAAGGAAACAGATCACAAGATCGTCCTACTTCTGGAAGAAGAGTACCACTGAAATGGCAGCACTACGAAGGGTCGAGGACGAAGCTACATTGGAGTTGGAGAAAGCAAGGAGAAGATTGATAAGTGCCCAGCAAGAGGCTGAAGTCGTGAAGATGTTTCTGTTCCGTCAAGGAATGATGGGCCTTGCTGACAGCTACAGAATCCTCAACGAACATTCGAGAACCATATTCAACTGTCATCGCGAGATCACCGAGATGGTACCTGCTCTGACGGTCAACAACATCAACAACCTAACATACGATGGAGTGCCATTCACGAGAGAACGATTGAATGAAGTCAGGAGGGCGTTGACGACGGAAGACATCAGAATCCAGTACAATCCGCCTGGAATGGGCAGGCCGACTAGGCCTTTGAGTCACTATCAGCCAGGTACACCCCCACCGCCGTACTCTGCCGTATCTCGTGCTCCACAGTTTCCGGTAAGTATTTCTAATTGAAGATGATTTGTGGCTTAAGAAGGTTTTGAGAACCTTTCAAAGGATTTGCAAAGGTCCTAGTTATGTATAAACTTGTAGTAAAGGCACTTAATTTTAAGCAACTGCCATCTTGGCCTAATTTTTGACTTAAATCATATATGTTACTCATGCCATTTCAGGTATCCAGCTTCAGCGATTCCCAGATCCGTGGAATAAGCGAAGGCCTGACCACCCCCTTGAATGTTGCCCCTATCCGTGTGGCCACCGCTCCCCTGCCCACGCCCTTGTCTGCCTCTCATTGCTCAAATCGACAACGAATCTACCCCGATCTTACTCAGGAACTGAGGAATCTCTGATCTCCGTGAAGCCGACGCCCCAACTCTGGTCACTTATGTCGTATATTTTAATAACTCTGTTTGTATAAACGTTGCTTTAATATTCTAAATATTTTTAATAAACGGTTTGACATAGATAGTAATGTGGATGGTGTTAGGTAGTATTCTACGTTGTGGTAGTATTTTACTGGGCCTTGAACCTCTTATTTAAAAAAGTTGTTTTAGAAGCTTTTTCAAACAAATTTGCCTCATAATGCCGAATTTGCAACCGATTACAACGAAAAAAAGTGCTTGAAACACAATGCCACAGCACGAAAATCAGGTTTTTAAATAGTTTTCAGATACATTGCTGAACTCTATATCAATTTTTCCGTAAAAAACGTATACATTCTCGCTTTTACTTGTCACAACAATGAAACCAGTACTTTAGTATGACGTTTACTGTCACTTCAAACCCCAATTGTGACATTTCAACCCACATCCCTTGCTGCAACCATTAATAATAGAGTAGATGCACTCAACACATAAATCAACGACAACGTCACATAAACAGTTACCATGGTTGACATAGTCACATAGAGTTAACATCGTTGAACTAGTCACATAAAAAGCCACACTCTCGAGTGTTTGAGGAAAGATAGTCGAATTACGAGTAAGTCGATACTTTAATGGAAATTAAAAACTCTACAATAATATAAAACGGATGAACTGTTTTTATAATACCATTTATCCGCACAACTTCGGATAAGAGAGAAAATATCATAACAATTTGAGAGACGAAGAGAGTAAAGATAGTGTAATCTAATGTCGGGAATGGGGCCAAGAGTGTCGAATACAATAACATATTAACTTAAGCAAAAAATGTTGGCGAGTCGGGCTACAGACTGCAGGATCAGATTGGCATTGGCACAAGAATCGATATTATTACGGTAGTCATGAGTTACAGTATAGTGACTACACGGTAACCCAACCTCGGTTCTTGTGCCATTAAAAGCTCAAACGACAGATAGAACGTCAGTTTCATTCAACTACAACGTTCTTTCGCCCCCAGCTTCAGTACTAAAAATCATTTTAAAATTGGAATCCCATGACATTAAGGGACCTACACGATCTCCTGAGGGACCGTTGGTCTGTTTGTCCAGGTAGAAGGGGCATTCTGCTCGACTCGGCGCCATTTCCACAATGATACAAATCAAGTTGGAGTCGAAGCCAGAATGCGTGAGCGGGGAGAGGAACAAGGTCCGGACCCAGCAAACTTTGGATTCATTTTGAGCTTTAGGTACAAGAGACACAAAACTTCGTATCCAAAGACAAAATTCTGAATCCAGAGGATGCCGACATCCGAATCGTGCACAAAAATTAATCAAGATTTGAATTAAAACAAAAAGAAAGGACGAGAAACCATGGCCAGAAGACAATTATAGAGTATGGCCAGAGGACTCGTACCCAAATTAATCCAAATTACAAAGAAAACAAGAGTTCATCATCATTATGTTATCAAAAACAAGAACACTAGAAACCAAAGACTTTACTGACATTCACAAGAAAATGTATAAAACACAAGACATGATCAGTTTGGGCCCGCACTTATTTGGTTGTCATCATGGTAACGAATTCTGAAGACAAATTCATTAGAAGGTTAACGTATAAAGTTATTTTACATAAATAATATAAACTTTACTTAAGTTTTTTGTTTTATATCATCTATTGTACTACACAAGCATAAACTTGATCGTCATCTTCGCTTAAAAATGTCAAAAAAGTAAGTTTTCGATTACACTTATTAACTGCGCCCGCATTTTTTTCTCTAATCTGCAAGCTGCAAACAGTTTTCCAAAAATAATACGTATTTTTCTATTGTTACCTAAAATATCAACTTTTTCCACAATTGGTTTTAGCAAAAAAATATTAAAATAACAATTAACCAAGCTGGTAAAGCGTTACCTAAAAACCTCAAAAGTTATGTTACCTAAACTAGCTCAATACTCTAATTAAAGTTTGAGTCAACCTTCCTATCTTCTGATACATATTCTTTCAAAACCTAATCCCTTACCTTCATAATTAACTTGTCCATCACCATCGATGTCGGCTTCCCGAATCATTTCGTCGACCTCCTCGTCGGTCAGTTTCTCGCCCAAGTTGGTCATGACGTGGCGGAGTTCGGCGGCGGAGATGAAGCCGTTGCCGTCCTTGTCGAATACCTAAACACAACATCTTAATCATGAGGAGCGACTTACTCGGAAGGCCTCGCGGATCTCCTCCTCGCTGTCCGTGTCCTTCATTTTTCTGGCCATCATGGTCAGGAACTCGGGAAAGTCGATGGTACCGTTTCCATCCGCGTCCACCTCGTTGATCATGTCCTGTAGCTCGGCTTCGGTCGGATTCTGGCCCAGAGATCGCATCACCGTGCCCAACTCCTTGGTAGTGATTGTGCCATCACCGTCCTTGTCGAACAGTGAGAACGCCTCTTTGAACTCTACAACAATATATTTTAGATGATAGTAGTGAATTATAGTCTTTCTTATGAACTAATGTAAAGAAAAGACCATAGTTTAGCTTGTTTTTGAGAAATATAGTTTTTCTTGCTAGTTTTAGAGATATTTGCTCCCAGTCTAGACTATTTAGACATTATTTTTAGCAGAAATGAGTCCTAGGAACTCCCAGCCCTTTCCTCAAATTATTCTTGACGAAACAGTCCCAGAACTTTTGGAAAGAAAACGATCATACGGAATGCAAATCATTGAGAATTCAGATCATTGGGAATGCATGAAAGAACATGAAAAGAAACTGGATTCCGTCTGGTCATAAATAAGACAAATGAGATTGAAAACTTAATTGTACAGAATACCTACAACAAGGGAGAACCTACAAAAGCCGATAATACCTAAAATCACATCGTAAAATTGTTGTTTTAGAGCTTTTTGTTACAAAAACTGCCTAAAACAATACTTTGTAATAAATATTATTCTTGACAACTAAAATAATATTGGCTGTTTTGAAACAACCATGTCTAACAAATAACATCATTTCGCTTTGTAAGTGACGTTATTTCCTTTTAAGACAATATTATCCTAGATACCAAACATAATAAGGCCGTTTATAACAGATATTGTTTTAGTTTTCATTTTTTGTTTGTCAAAAAAGGTCTAACACTAGATAAAAATAAAAAATTCTTGATAACTGGCTCTAAAACTAATACCTTTTCCATTCAAAACTTTAAAGAAAACAAGGATAATATCCAAAAACAAGAATAATACCTAATATAAACAAGAAAACCAGATGGAAACAAGCAGAGATAACACAACTCACCAGCGATTTGTTCCTCGGTAAGTTGATCAGCCATCGTTGGTGTTGGTCAGTCGAGAGAAGGGGGATATAAAATAAGTCGAAAACACCAACCGCACTCGACGAAACGGCACCGCTTGAATGGCAAACACCGGTTGTGCAGTGAGTTCGAACGAAACCGTTGAAAACACCTAAAAAGGTTACAAAAATAGAAAAAGTAATGAAATTATCTCGAATAAAACGCGAAATCCCGGAAAACAGCGGTCTCGAAGGGCAAAACAGAAAATGCAAATCAATCTACAGGAAGGGTTTGCAGGTACAGGAGGGTCTGAAGGTCGGGGATGCAAAGGTTTGAAGGCTGGAACAACAAGATATTAAGGTAAGAGTCTCGTGACATCAAATGAATAAAAATTTAAAAGGATTGTGAATACGAAAACCAACGTTTTGTGTATCAAAAGCTACGAAAAACATCAAAAATCAAAAAATAGGTATCTTCAAATGGGTTAACAAGGTAAAAGAAGGTAAACAAAAAGTTTCGTATTTATGATTTTTTAAAAGAAAAACCATAGAATTCTTTAAAAAAGCATTGAACACCAAAGACTTTAATTTAAGATAACAAATCCTCAAGATCAAATCTATCCAAAAACCAAAAACAATACGGAATCTGAATATCGACCCTCCTAAAAAGACACAATAAGCCGTGGAAATAGAAGACCCAAGGTTAAACGGTCCTAAAACTGAGACGAGAGTCACGTTCCGGCCGTGTAGCGGCGATGATGAAACGCAGTACATCGACACGCAACACCACAATGTGTAAATGAGCGCGAGCACCAGACGAACGACGGAAAAAGGAGGGGAGGGGAAGCCCCGGTTGGACGGCGAAGAGGGCAGCCCAGAGTCATTCATTGCAGCCAGTCAGGCAAAAGCCCTGGAGTCTCAAAGTCAAAGGGAAGGGGAAGCAGCAGGAAGAGTGGAATCCGCTCTCTTCGCCCCCACCGCCCGCCTGGCGTCTCCGCCACCCGCACGCTCTCTCCGCCCGCTCGTAGCTTCTGGCTTCGTTCCGTTGGTTTGCGGAGAGAAGCGGGCCTGATTTTGCGTTTTCCACCCGGGGGCCCTCTCGATTGCGTTGCCCACTTTCTCAATAACACTTTTCTATGCTGGGGGGGAGGGGGGGGTTCAGCACACCGCCATGATCAGCCCACCCTTTACAGCATAGATACTCGCGCGGTCGATATATTCGAAAATGGAGCAAAAAACAATTAAAGCGAACAGAAACCCGTCCAAGTTAATTAAACTTCAAGTGGCACAGCCGGCTTCAAACATGGGATACGAAGTTTATGGCGGTTAATTTTGTTTTTGCGTGTATCCCTATCGTATGTATGTAGTGCGACACGACAATAGGGTAGGGTGTCACAGTATTGAAGGCTCATTGTAGTAGAGACAAAACCTCGCAACGTTTCACTATTCTTTTGTAACTAACAATCACAACTACAGCACTACATTACAATAAAAATCTATACGAATGATAATCTTTACAATAAAATATAGATCTTGTTTCGTATTTAAAGCCCTAAGCCTATATAAAAGTAAGCATAAAATAACATATTATAATACAAATGTGCACAATACACTTTTGTATTCTAAAACAGCACGGTAGTATATAACACATACTCTCGTCACCCCGACGTTGTTATTACACAATTACTTTAAACGGAAAAAAGACAGTTGCGCACCTATTTACTTCAAGGTGTACACAACAACAGAAGGAATGGCTTATTTAGAAATCGATGGGAAAGGACGCGAAATTAAAAGTAAAAAGGTTTCGGAATGCAAATCAAACATATCATGTGTCGATAAGAGGATGAAAGCCGGTGTCACTTAAATCCTTCAGAATGCCTTCTTTTAGAGTGATTCTGAAGCCTCTAGGATTCTGGGGCCTACAGGATTAGGAAAGTTAAAGCAAACAAACCCCCGAAACAGTAGGATAAGTGGTCAGAGGGATCACGGCTCTCACCTTACCCAGTGACCAGACATCTCGAGGGATCGAGAGGCTCTACCCGACCACTTACAACACCACGATCCTACGCCTTAATGCCAACTATAAGATAATGCTGCCAATAATTGTGCATTAATCACACATAAGGTAATCATTAACACTAACTAGTGGTAATACAAGTTAATAACTTACAGTATTGCAGTCCTAATCTTCCTACAACGACTTGAGCATTAACTCCTGCAACGCTTTAATAATTGCAAACAAGTGCAATTCGATTCCCAGAGAGCAAAACACGGCAAAGAAGGAATTTGGTCGAGTAGAAAACGAACAGCATACTTTTCAAACGCTTTTCGCTCCAAATTCTAGCCTAGACCGGGCCCACTCGTCTAGCGTCCCCATGCAAAAAGAAAATAGAAGACGGCCGCGTCAAACAAGCAAGGCAAGGAGCGCGCGAAAAAGAATAGAAACCCCATAGCAACGGACAGCTTGTCATGCCCAGATCCGGCCTAAAAAGGGAAGAAGGAGAGCCTGAGGGCCATGTTGGTCAGAGGCGTGCAAGAACAACGAGGTGCGAGGCAAGTCTCTCCTCCCTCCCACCGTTTTCGCCCGTTTTAGCCGTCTCGATCCGCGGAACGAGCGCACCAGCCACGCCGGCCCCAAGCTGCCTCAAGCACACCGCAAAAGCCATCTGTGGTCAGAAGAAAGAAGGGGAGACGGAACTCGTGCGTCCTTGCGGCCCATGCCTCCTCCCAGCTTGTAGCCGCATGCAAAGGCCAAGGTAAATTGAGTCGCGGAACCATCGACACAACCGCCACCAGACCGTGCTCTTTTCATCCCGCAGGCAGGCCTTCGTAGATTTCTGACTTTAATGGAGGCCGTGCCGTCATCATGTGAGCACGCACAAGTCACCTGCCCGTCCGTATTAAACTCAAAAAAGGAATACGCCCAAAACCGCTGGCAAACCGTTTGCAAGACAAAGTAGTACCGTTTACAATAGATCGTGTATGATCATTTTAAACTAGTAGTATCACTAAATGCGTTTCCGTTACCTCAGAAAATGCAATTTGCTAAACAATTCCTTAAAAGTTTGGTGCAACAAAACGTATGGTCTCCAATAATTTTAGAACAATAGGATTTCAAAAACTTTAAAGCAAAATCCTCCTAAATTTCGAATCACAGCAGCAAAACTCCTCAAACGCCTTGTAGCAAACCCTCCACTACCTGCGGGGATTATAGTAAAAACAAATCGCATTAAAGTGACCCCGTTTTGTTTTTCCTTGAGGGTAACAGTGATTCGGATCGGAGTTGGGGAAGCAGAAGGTCAACGAGTAAAGGACCGGTTGGTGCTTACGAGAAAGGTACTGGATCTGCTGTCCAGACTGCCAACAGGCGCCATTTGAACGGCCCTCGAGGCCAGCACACCGCCAAAGGAAGGAGAGCCGGCGGCCAAGAAATGAGGAAATAGCAGGCCGTGGCCAAGCGGCGGACTAACAGAGCGCGCCTCGAGAAAAACTAATGCCAGATGGAAGTGTTTTGAAATTGAGCAGCTATTTAAATACGAGAGTGTTCATGACCGGCTCTATTCATCATGGGTCCCTTCTTGTCCCCTGGATGACAACTCTTTTAATATCAAACTAGCAATGTTCTGTACGTTGATATCACTGTTTGCTAATATCGCACTGTTTTTTGAAATAACCGTGAGATATTAAACTGTAAACATACGCTACTAAACTATAATTTTGATATAACAACAAATCACCCATCAGTGTGGTATACCATTCGTTAATCGAATAGAGTCAGAAATGAAATTACCGCCTTAATAACCATGGGAATTATGCCCACCATATTAAAATAGAAAATGTGTAAAGCAAAAACGCTCTGACACGCGAGCCTTTAACGAGTCACAATGAGAGAATATTTTTAGATTAAAGTCCCCCCCCCTCCCGGTTTAGAAAATAACTTTTACAAGACAAATTGTCTGGGATGCCTTCGCCCTTCCTGTAAACCAAAAAAACAACAAATAGACAGATTACTCCACGCGTGAGCCCCGAAACAACGTCAAAACAAAGCCGATTATAGCTTTGGCAAGAGCTACACTTAGATTTGTTAGACATTAACTAGATGTTCCCATATCGTTGACAAGCATACCTTTCCTAACAGAGACAAGGTTATGTTTCAGCGACAAGATATGCTTAAAATACTAAAACATCAATACCTTACATAGCAATAAAGGATTATAGAGTTAAGAAACAAACTAAACTCCTAAAAAACAATTCTACAAACTTTTAGACCAAAAAATAAACAGTATCGTTAAAGATGACCACACACCACTAACTCATACACTAGCCAATTGTTAAAACAACACTTATCCGTAAAATTTTGGACCCCCAGAATCAAGCGTTCCGAGGAGAGAACAACGTATTCAATTAGAAAATTCCCTTCTAACGGCCGTTTAAGGCTTAAGTACGCAATTAAGGGACGGTCCATTACTGAGCGAGTAATAGACAATTAAACTGTTACACATTACATTAGCATACATCCGAGTACAGTGCGACGTCAATGTCGCCGTTAAAGCAAATTTCATTCAATTTCAAGATTTGTGACTAATGGTTTTGGTCAGAAAATGCTTATAATAAATCTTTTTTAATAAAAATTGTAAAAATAGACTATTTCAAATACATACGATACGTATTCTACAGACTTTTGACCAACCTTGTACACAAAACAATAATATTTTAAAAACATTAAAACAACAATATATAACATCTTTTGTTACAAATATATAAAGCAACAAAACCTCGGAAACAAAACTGTAACAGCACCCCAACCAAAATATTTTATCACTCCTTTGATATTGTGACTCATTAAAGACGTCAGAAACATATGCAAAAACTTTGGGCTGAATCAGACGCTCCTTTCAGCACAAACAACCGGGTGTCAATACTCGGTTATGACATTGTGAAAACAGTCAGATTAAAGAATGCATAAGACCGCCTGACAAATAACAACACCACCATCTAAACAACATTAATAGTCGGTTGGGCAGAATATGACTACTAATTACGACGCGAGGCATAACTAATACTACCAAAACCAAGGCGGATACTATTATGACACTGAAATTGCCATAACTACCGTAATGATAGCATTGTAACCATAAAAGTTACTGTTTAAACCCAAAAATGTTAAAATAACTACTGTACTACAATTATAATAAAAAATAAATTAAAAATAAAATAACTGGTTGCCAACCAATAACAATCCTCCCAACATCGCTAACGTCTTTTTTTAATAAAATTTAACAAAAACAATTAAAATCCTAATGGGCTTGAGCTTCTTTTGTCCTCTCTTCCGTGTCATTTATGAGCAGATGCTTCTTCTCCTCCTCTAACAACATGTCTATATCTACACCGTAAGACAGTAACCTCTTCCGCCGTTCTTCTTTAGGCAACATTTTAGGGTCTGTCTCCACACCATCCTTAAGATTCAGCTTATGTTCATGTTGCAATATGGTCTCCACCTGGTCAGACCACATGTATCCACTAGGAGAGCCAATTAGAAGATGTCGCAATCTACCTTGAGAAAGCTGGTCAAGCCTCTCGAACTCGACCTCACTCATCTCGGGGACCTGTCTTCTTATAGTAGATGTAGCTATCGGCTGATCGTCGTCGTTCACCGTAGCCTTCTCCGATATCTTTCCCTTGACGTAGAAGAGTTCACCATTGTCGTCTTCTATGAACACGTTCCCTTTGGCGTCTATCACTGCTCTATCATCACTCTTGAGCCTGTTCTCCCATTCCAACCGTTCCAACTCTTTCTCGTAGTTGACTCCGCTCACGCTGAGTCCAGGAATCATCTCTTCCAGCATTAAAACCGTTTTCCCCAACTGATCGACATGATCTAATCCATCCAGCCTCAAATGTTTTAGGTTTCTGGCTGTTCTGAGTGCTGCTAATCCCTTGTGTGTTATGTTTTTGCAGCCACTGAGGTCTAGGAACTCCAACGTTGATCCACACACTCCACCAACTCGGCTCAAGGCCCAGTCATCAATGTACTCACAGTTAGCCAATCTCAACATCCGAAGATGCTTTAGGTCATATAGGTTTTCGAATCCTAAAAACAAAACTTTAATTAATGTGACCAAAAAATAAAAATTTGTAACTTTAAAATAAATCATTCATAGATACCTTTAACGAAAACACTATGTATGCAAAACCCACCTTCGTACATTAACTTAGAGCCTGAGGCATCAATCGCTTCAATATAAAGACCAGGTACTTGTCGTCCAGGCAATGAGTAAGTGCCCCATTTGCTCCTTTTATACCAGTTGTCATCTCCAACAAACTTGATAGCAATATCTCGGTGAACAAGAAAGTGAGCTGCTGCCAAATCTGGTCCAAGAAAGAGAAGACGTTCGGCAATAAACCTAAGAACAATATATTATTAAACTTGTAAAAGAAAAGACGCTTTCAAAGGTTGACTTAACTGAACTTCTTTTAAAAAATTAAAACAAACCTCTGATCGTACTGTCGTATCTGTAGGGCTTCGTATCTTTTCACACGTCTGATATTGTCGTAAGAGTGGTCCACGTACCGCAGTGTCGTATGATCAGTCAAAGTCTTCAAAGATGGTGCATTTTGGTCTTTCCTGGTTTGATCTTCGAATTGTTTCACAGGTAACGCTAAAAGCGACGTAATCACGGGATATTCTCTTACCGTCTTCTCTTTTTTCTGGACTAATGTAATAGTCGTCTGATAAACGATAATAGTTCTGGATTGCTGTGTCTTCATCCTTTCGTTCCCTGGTTCCTTTCTCCAGATCTTGCCATCGCTCAAACCTAGGCCACCAAAGAATCCGAACCCATTTTGAAGCGGCCGTCGACTTGTGTAGCCGTCTGACAGTGTTCATAAGCTTCAAATTTTATATTATATTAATAAACATAAGTTAAAGCTCTCAGTGTCAACAAACGTTTAAAATTATAGAAAAGAAATAAAATGAGTAAAAACGTTACTCAAAGAGAAATACCTTATGGCTACAAAACCAATTAAAATCATAAGATAATCAGCACGATTAAATGATGTTTTTAATGTAAAAGTGTAACAACATAACAATAGAATTATTTCTTCATGATCTGAACAACATCTTCGTGATGCAGCTTGTGCTTTATGCCAACTCTTTGTGGAGAAAACTTTGTACTCGTACCCCACACGATCGCATACTTAAATTGAGCAGCCAAAGTACGATGTAAAGCGTGACAACAGTGCTCAATGGTAGCTCCCGACCTTAAGATTATACCGTCACCAGAACCTGAAAATTTCATTTGTAATAACTCAATTGAAAAAAATATTTGTAAATATCATAACAACAATCAATTCAAATAAAAAGTTGTAGTTAGACTTTAACATACCAAGATCTGGGGCATTTCCTGGCTTTTTCGTATACACACGAATCAAATCAAGGTACGACCACAGCTTCTTCAACATATAATCCATATTCAAGTTCATCTCACAGGATATTACAACACTGTGAGGTTGTCTCGCGATTCTGTCCAAATCGTCAATTGTAATTTGATCGATCTTGTTGTAGACGTACAAACACTTTAGGTACACCCGGTTGCCTTGGATCACGTCAATAAACTCGTCAACACTACAAAATATAAATTGTTATTTGTTTTGCAAAGTAACAATAATTATATTACCTAAATTTTAGACAAAAGATTGAATCTTACGTCGCATCTTCCCTGAACACAACGTCGGCATTAAAAATCTTATACTCGTGTAAAATATTGATGACCATCTTCTCGTCACAGTGTGTCAAAATAGCCGTATGAGTAAACTTAATACCTCCTCCAGGCTTCCGTTTCAAATAGATTCCAGGCTTTCTTCTGTTTAACCTAATGCCAACTTCTTCCAGTTCAGCTTCTAGTAGTCTTCTCTAAACAATTATTTAGATTACATTGTAAAGAATCTAAATTGTCAAAACTATAAAAAACTACTTACTTGATGATCTCCTTTAGTCGCATCCAACATCATCAAGATCAGATCAGCAGTCTTCGCGACAGCAATAACTTGTCTACCTCGACCTTTACCTTGAGAAGCTCCTTCGATAATTCCAGGCAAATCAAGCAACTGCACTTTCGCTCCTTCATACTCGATTACTCCGGGAATGCATGTAAGAGTTGTGAACTCGTAGGCAGCTGCTACACTCTCAGTCTTTGTCATTGTCGAGAGAAATGTTGATTTACCAACAGACGGAAATCCGACCTGAAATTTGAAATTTAACTATAAAATACTAAAAATGTTAACTAAAAGTAAAACCTCGCTTGCATTATATTAAACCCACCATGGCGACACGAGCATCGCCACTTTTCATAACATCGAAACCTTCTCCTTTTGCTCCACTTTTACCAGTCGGTTCTAGTAACTGTTGCCTGTATTTGGCCAATTTAGCCTTGAGCAAACCCAAATGGTACTCTGTAGCCTTGTTCTTTTGAGTACGACTGATTTCTCGCTCCACCTCTTGAATCTTCTCCACAATACCCATTTTGGCTTGATCTACCCTATAATAAAACACTAAATAAATATTTTTAAAAAATAAAAGTAAAAAACTAATATTATGATAGCTTAGGACTTATAAATATAATTTTAAAAGTTTTGATAAATTCAGTCAAAAGTATTTGAAGAGAGAGACTTGACTATGGTGTCAGGTGTCTCTATTTCACGCGCAAACTTTTGATTTGAAATAAAGATAAAAATTATAAAAATCTGCGAGTTTTTGTCGATGAATTATTATGTTATAAATTAATATATGGTCTTTTTTACGATATAGTTTGCTATGGATGTTTACGATTTACCATTTCTTCGGAAATCCGCTAACAATTCTTACATTTACCGGTTTGTAGCACCATTGCAACACAACACCGTAGGTTTTAAAAACGAGCATTTATTTGTAAGAAAAGTACATAAAATTTGAAACTATGTTACAAGTTTTGTTGACATTATTTTTGTTTTTAGCCAGTAATTTGTGTGACACGCTTTTCGAGGTACACTGACATTGACAATGTTTGGCTGGGAGTTGGAACTGAGTTTGGATGTGTTGCGTTTGAAAAAGCCGACTCATTTCAAGAAAACTTTGACAAACTGCATCAGATCAGACTAACTGAACATGCTATAACTGATCTGCACTTTATGTGTGATCAAGAGCACGCTTTGGCGTTGAACATGATTGGCAGTGTATATCTGGTTGATATCGAGAGGGGTGTTATCAGACGGAGGATCATATCACAGGATGAGAATCACGTATCATTTGCTGGACAGTACAACGATCCTCGTAAGTTTTTTTAATTTTCTGTATTAGACACGTATGTTAAACTTTAGAAATCTTTAGCATACTTTACGAATGACAGACGTTTGTCGTGTTAATATTGTAGTAATGTTTTTTTAAGTAATATATATATATCATGTATCGTTCAATCAATATGTTCACTTTTAGACTGTTACGTAGTATCAGACAAGGTAACCGGAGGATTGAAATATATGGACCTTCGAAGGTATGGTGACATGGCCGTAGCTTCAGCACGTCCTCGGTCTGTATTAACACCAAGTAGGAGAAATGCAACTACACCAAGGAGAGGCCAAGCAAAGTCTCCGAGGCGGCCGGGCACTCCAACTACACCTTCATCTAAAGGGAAGGGAGTACCGGTGGTGGATGCTACACCAACCTGTATCAAGCATATTGGAGAGAAGATGTTTGCTGTTGGCTACACGAAAGCTCAAAAGTGAGTTGTTGGTTTTAAGTTTATTTATGTTTTTAGGGGGATTCAAGTCTGGGATATGAGGTACGCCAAGATCGATTCTCCATGTTATACCCTCAAGGTACCAGCTGACAGAAGGTCAAATTTTGGTGAGTTTTGTCTTTTGTCATATAGTTGTATAATAAGTAGATAATTACATCAATTGTGTCGACATTTATCTATTTTAATATTTTTTTGTTTTAGGGGTTGCCTCTCTTTCATTAAAGAATGACAATTCCACTTTGTTTGCACTATGTACGGATGGTGGAATAAGAGAATACGACATCTCGTCAGTCATGTCATGTTCACCGAGGAAGCCTGTAGATGAACCTCGCAATATGTACAAAGGAGCGATTCGTGGAGATTTTCAAGTAGAATTCGGGGTTTCTCCGTTCACGGATCACATTGTTTGTGGCACAGACGAGGGGGCTGGTATCTGGGACTTGGTATGCTTTCAAAATAAAAATTTGGATCCAAGTTTTTATTTTTTACTTCTTTGTTTTCAGAAGGATTCGCGAAAATATGCTCCGAAATACGGATTGAAGTACATCTCTAACCAGGTACGTCAATTATATTATGTTAAGCACATTATCACAATACCAAACGAATAGTTTTATATATTAGACAGCTTATATATCTTCTAATGGGTTTCAGATGGCGTCGTGCGACTGGAGCGCAAACGGCAGGTTCATCGTAGGCATGACAGTGTCAGATGTGGACTCTATGGTTGTATTATACGACAACGACTCTGACATATCACGAAGCATTCAAACGGGTCTCCCCCAAAACTTTAGCAATCCTTATATGTTGTCATAAATGTACATTCCGCTCATTTGTTTGTTGTTTATTGGTTTCTAATTCTGTTTATACTTTAAATTAAGGTTTTTAATGTTTACATATTGTTTTAAATGATTTATGTTCATAAATATATATTTTTGATTTGTAAAAATGGGGATAAATACGTGCAATAGTATAAAACTTGATTAAGAAGAATGACTTGGTATTTACAGTATTATAAGTTGTCTCCAGAAGTGTACTGTCGGTTGATGAGTGTACCAGGCTCGCCTGAACGTGTGAAGTACGTGTTCAGCAAGGATGTGACGATAAAACAGTATTGTGAGAAGACCAACAAGCTTGCCAGGATTCAAAAAGAACACAGCTTGCAACAGAGTGTTATTGAAGATGAAGATATCATCTGCCTGGACCCTCCAGGACCAAGTCAAACTTTTAAAAACAGAAAGTTGGCCAAATTGAACGAAAGCTTCAGAGGAAGACGGAAGAGCTCCGCCAAGCCAGACAACCTCCAGTTAAGTATGGACAACTTTGTTGTCAAGAAGCCCTCTCGTGTCACATTTTCATTCGCTAGGTCAGTCACGGTCAAGAACTACGTAGAGAGTACGAACAAGTTGGCCAGAGTTACAGTGAGAAAAGAAACCATGAGGAATGTTGAAGAACTAAGAGCTGCCCCATTCGAGGGTTTGCTGAACAACTCTAAGATGGATCAGAGCGTAGCTGAAGAGGACGAGGAAGATGTTGTTGTGCAGAAAGGGCGCAAAAAGAGGCAGAAAAAAGAAGCTACCGTTCGCCTTCCACCAACTGATGGTTTCGTTATGGCTAGTGGGAAGCCTAGGATCGTACGAGAGTTCAGGAATGTGTTGTCAAGTGATACGGAGTACATTTAGCGACGATAGAATCGTATTTAAATTATAGCTAGTATGCTTTGAAGCTAGGCGCAATAAACGGGTCGGACATTGTTATATTTTTTGAACGGCTGTGAATACCTTCTTGTAAACAGTTATTTGTATTAATATTTTTTATTTTGTACATTCAAGATACTAAAATTTTTGCGTTCATTGGTATTTTATCAATCTAATGTAAAGTAACCATAACATATTTATTCAAAATAATCGAAACAACACGGTTAATTATATTCTTGCGTTTATATAATTCATTCTTGGGCTGTTTTTAAGAGCGGCTACGGCTTCTGGAGCGACCAATCGGCGACCGTGATCGGCTTCTAGGAGAAGGAGATCGTCGTGCGGATCTTGAACGACTGCGGCTACGAGAGCGTGACCGTGAGGCACTAAAATTACAATAAAAATATTCAAAATGTGATATTACCTTCTTGTGTCATCAATAAGTTTGATCTTCCTTCCATTTATGTCTTTTCCTTGGAATTTGTCCATGGCCCTCTTTAGATCTTCGTGTCTGTGGAAACAGATCAATCTAAAAAGAAAATGCCCTGAATTTTAGTTTTTAATATACATATGAATGCTGATAGTGCCCTTCAATCATAACACCATCAATTACACATTACTTACGCTGTATTTCTCTCCGGCTTGTGGGCATGGGCGTATGTGACTTCTCCAATCGGTCTCATCATGTCTTTAAGGTCCTAAACAACAAATCTTCATAAAGTATCTTCAAACGCGTTCAAGATGCTTCACACCCTCTTTTTGTGCATCATTACACGTCTTTAACCTCTCACCTTCATTTACATCGCATCTCTTCTTTAAACAGCCTTAAAAACCAATAATTTTGGCTATTTCACAATGTCTACCTTTGTATCACATTAAAGCTACTATTAAAGTCAAAGTTACTATAATAAAGCATCTTTGCTGGTTTTGAAAAATAAATTCAAAAATCCAAAAAAACGTGCACTTTTCATCTAAACCTTAGTAACGTGACAAAAGATTTACCTGCCAAGAACATCTAGTAGACAAGTTTTCGACCACCATTCTGTAGCGAGTTTGTTCTGGAGGCCCATACTTGTTCAACCATTTAGGTTGGCGAGGACCACCACGGTCTCTGTCACGGTAATCACGGTCACGATCACGTCCACGAGAAGATGAAGGAAACGGCTTGTGTCCGGGCTTACAATTCTCAACCACAACTCTTGATCCCAACAATTCCTTGCCATTCAATTCGTAGACAACATCCTCAGCATCTCTCGGATTTTCAAAGTCCTGAAACACACAAAATTTAGGTATTACAAGCATGAATTCAACCGTAACAAACAATTTGCTATCTAAATTTAGGTTCAATGAGAGTTTTGAGCGATGTAAAATACAGTAACTGCAAAAATGTAAGATCGAAAACCTTGAATATTAGGAAAATATCTATTTCCAACATTGTCAACATGAACTTACAACAAAACCGAATCCCTTCTTCAGAATAACGTCACTGATAGGTCCAAATCCACGACAAAAATGTTCGATATCACGTTCAGTAGTCCGGAAAGGCAATCGACCAAAGAAAATTCGAGTAGGCATCTTTAACTGCTCAACAAACAAGAATAAGAAGGTATTAAACAACTGATGAGGAGGTTTTCCAACGCGCGCGGCAAAAGAAAAATTTTGGGAAACGCCAGAAACGGAATGCCACAGAATTTAAAATCAGGCGGTTGCGCGCCAACTTGAACAACGATTTTTTCAGAAAACAAAAAATAAAAATTGTAGAACTCTGTATCAAACCCTTTGGTGGAATTAATGATTTTAATGTTAATCAGCTTGTCTTTTTATTTTTTGTTAACTTGATTAAATTTCGGTTTTGTTAATGATATTGAACTTTGGTTTCTTGAGCAGCTCAACTTTTCTCTTTTTAGTATCCAAAAATAGGCAGTTACCCTTTAGTCGAGTCTTTTATAAAAAGTCCGTCTGCATTTCCAATGTAATGGATTCCCTTTTGTTGAGTTTAAAGTAATGTTTGCTTAAAGGATCAAGTTTAATAACTTTTATTCTTGTCGGACTAACTCAACTTGGCGTGTATTAGTAATGTTGACGCGTTTTTTTTTAGATAACTTAATTTTATGTCATCTTCAGGAGCCAGGAGTCTTCCTGTCGTGCATCAAGTTTGGACAACGTGTCGAAGAATGTGTTCTCAGTCGTAAGTAGCTTTTTATATTTTACAATTTTAGGAATATAAAAAAAGATACGATTTTACATAAAAATGGAGGACATTATAAATATTTGATTTTTTTAGAATTGTTCCCTTGGCATTGGCTAAGACGGTGGAAGAGGACTCTGGTTATGATGGTTTGATTGTGGTGTCACACTCTGTAGAAGCAGCATCTCAATCTCCCCAACTGAAGTCTTTGGCTTCTTTCTTTCATGAACATGCTGCTCTTGGAGTTCTTGGACGTGGAACTCCTTTGATAAACCAAGACAAACAGGTACCCATGGATAAGGTGTTCTACAGTGCAGTAAGCTTTGGAAACCATGGATTTGACGACAGCAGAAAGTACAGACAAGCTGGAGAACAAGGAATCACTCTGTAAGTCATATGTTTTATTTAAAACTGAAGAACTTATAAATATTGGTTTTTAAATTTTTGTTTTTGAGGATGTCTTCTTGCTTTTAATGTAAACTGTTTTAGGGCATTGAGTTGTGGAGTAAAGCGACCACTACTAGCCGTCGTACCTAATCCTGAACATCCAAACGCCTTGGTTATTGCTGCTCTGGGACTGTTCCATAAACTTCATGTTCCTCTGAACATTAGACAAGAAGTACCTCAACGAGCACAAAAAGTGGAAAGCGTTGGCATATTAAGTGATGACGAAAACCTTTTGGGTGTTCTGCAAGGTCTCGTATCGTCATTTACCGTTTGTCGTGACATTGGAGACTCGGATCCACAAAGGATGGCTCCAGGACCAGCTACAGCTTATGTCACGGAGCACTTCAAGGGGTCGAGCATTGAAGTTAATGTTGAGGAAGGTGTAGAAGTGTTGAAGAAAGAGTTTCCATTACTGGCAGCCGTCAGTAGGGGCTGTAACAACATCGAACCACACAAGGTAGGTTTTAAAGTTGCTTTACTATTTTTTTAAATGTAATATGTATTACAAATGTAACTTAATGTGTAATATATTGCTATTGGATGGTTGAAAATTTTAGGCTAGACTGATACGATTGACATACGAAAACACTGAAGACTCGGGAAAGCCCTTTGAAACATTATACTTGATTGGCAAAGGTGTGACTTTGGATACTGGTGGTGTAGATCTGAAAGTGAATGGAGCTATGTTGGGAATGTCACGCGACAAATACGGAAGTGCTGTTGTAGCCGGCTTCTTTGACATTTTGGACAAACTGAAGCCAAAAGGGATCAGAGTGGTCGGATTCATGGCTATGGTCAGGAATTCTATTGGAAGTGAAGCTTATACTTGTGATGAGATTATTACGGTGAGATTAACGTAAAACAACCTTTTGAACGTTTTTTTGGCTAAATTGTCCTGAAATATTATACGTTTTAATACCTAAAATTATGTTTTTAGAGCCGGAGTGGTAAGAGAATCTTGATCGGGAACACTGACGCCGAAGGGCGATTGGCAATGTTGGATCCTCTGACTCACGCTGTAGAGCTGGCTACATCGTCGCAAAGCCCTCATTTGTACACGTTGGCTACATTAACGGGACACGAAGTGTTGGCTCACGGCTTCTTCCCGGCTGTCATCGACAATGTTGTCGCACAAGCTGCTAGACATGCTCAGGAACTTCAGAGTATTGGAGACGAGTGGGGTCAGCCGGTGGAAATCAGTCGTCTTCATGTTGAGGTAGGTTAATTTTGAAAAGAGTTGAAGAATTGGAACAGTACAGCCTTTTCTTTGTGGCCAAAGTTTACATTTTAATTTAAAAAATATTAAAATTATCAAGTGAAAACTTTTGTTTCAGGACTTTGACTTCAACAAGTCTCCAGTAGAGTCGGCTGACCTTCGCCAAGCCAACAACCGCCCTTCTGTACAAACCTTAAGAGGACATCAGAGTCCTTGTGCTTTCTTGATTCAGGGATCCAGACTAGACGAACACGGGTTAGAAGCGGCGAAACCAATCAAGTACAGTCACATTGACATTGGGTCGTCGATGGGAGAATATCCGGCTACCACCTTCCCTTGTCCTTTACTGGCTTTGTCAGCTAAGTAAGTTTATATATTAAAGTTTATAATATTTTTAAGGTTTATCAATCTTTTTTACGATTAAAAATGTTTTGCAATACATTTATACCTATTTTTCCGTTTTAAAGTTCATATTTGGCTTTTAGGCACGTTTTCCCGAGATTAAACTAGTGAACCGAAAAGCTTTACAATTCAAAGCTTTACAGCTCCATGATTCTAACTTTAAATTGTTTTAAGCAAAGTTTTAATATTTTCCCACTGTGATTAATAAACTCTTTATGGCTACTGATTCGAAAAATGATAATATTAATTCGGAAGACGAGGAGTCGTTGAATGAGTTTAATTTGGGTATGGTGTTTTAATTTGAAGCAATATAAATGAAATTGTTACCAAATATGGTTAAAGTAACAAGTTTTAAACTTCAAGTTATTTTGAGCGATTAAAATATTATTGTAGTCAGCTTAAAACTTCTTTACTTTACAATACGATTCAGACGAACTGAGTAAGCGGTGTGATGATGTCATCAGAATCTTCGACCAAGGAGGCAAGAATTTTGTAGATGTGAATGAAGTTGGCACGGTGCTACGATATCTCAGGGTCAATGCCACTCAGAATCAACTAAAAAACATTTTGTCACAATTACCGCGACAAAATGATAACAGAGTATCGACCGAAGACCTAAAGCCTCAGTTGATATCGGCAATGAAAGACGAAACGATGAAACCGCCTTCAGAAGCTCGGCTACAAGCAGCGTTCAGGACGATCGAGGAAAGGTTCGATCCATTGACAAAAGACAAATTGGAAAAGTGTCTCATGAGTAGAGGTAACGATTCAACCGGTTATCGATTAAGAAACTAGTAAAGTAGGTACTCAAGAAGATATCAAATGTAATTTACACAAAGTACATTTAGGAGAGCCATTGAGTCAGAATGAGATGACAGACATGCTAAACCACTTGACTGTCAAGAAAAGTGGCATGGTCGACTGGACTGCCTACATCAGAGACATACAGTACACCAACAACAAGTAGAACAAAGTCATACAGTACACCTATAAAGCGATGACAATAAAGCAAATTACAGTAAGGTCAAGTCAGTTTATTCTCACGACAAACAAATGGCTGAAGCGATGGCCATGGTAACACAGTAGGGGTCGACGTTGGATGAGGGGCGACGGTCTTCCAGGTAACCCTAAAACCAAAGTTATTACTGTAAACATACTGTACATATATTTATCATTGTTACAATAACATTAACCTTTTGTACCCGGTATGGTAGCATAACAAAAACAAGCTTACGAATCCATCCTCGGCGACTTGTCTCGGGATTCTGACGCTGCAGCCTCTATTGGCGACGCCCCATGTGAACTTGTCGACGCTGGAAGTCTCGCACCGCCCACTCAGACGCTTCAGGTTGTCTTCTCCACCGTTGGGGTCGTACAGCTTGAGGTGTTCGGCGTGGAATGGCTCCAGCTTGGCCATGGCGGCCTTGATCTCCTCCAGTCCGCCTGGCCGTCGCATGGCTTCGGTGCTGAAGTTGGTGTGACAGCCGGCTCCGTTCCACTCGCCGCTCATCGTCACGTTGGGCTTCGGGTCGAACGTGATCACGACGCCAAACTGCTCGGCCGTTCTGTGTAGAAGGTAGCGCGACATCCACATCTCATCGGCCATGGCGATGCCTTCGACTGGTCCAATCTGATACTCCCACTGTCCTGGAGTGACTTCAGCGTTGGTTCCACAGATGGTGAGGTTGGCATTCAGACAGGCACGGTAGTGGGTCTCCACAATCTCGCGACCAAAGATGCGGTCAGCACCAACGGCACAATAGTAAGGCCCTTGTGGAGCCGGGAACCCGTGCTGAAAACAGAATAAACCACTGAGTAACCATATATACTGTACCAAAACTACTGTAACTTTCGGAAAACTTAAGTGTAAAACGTTTAAAATTGTTACCTTTGGCCATCCCAGTGGGTATCCGTCTCTGTCGAGCATTAGGTACTCTTGTTCGATTCCAAACCAGGGCTTCTGGTCGGCACATTGCTCCATGATTTTGCGACAATTGTAGCGATGATTGGTAGCTGTAAAATTAAGCAACATTTTGCATGTTTTTCTACCAGTTTTGTCAAGAAAAATAAAATTTCTGCACTGTGCAGTCCCTGGAAAAAGAGATGGCACTGTGCAGACCCTTTTAACCAATTGCACCGTGCAGATGCCCCCTTCAGCCATAAACTGACTGCACAGTGCAGTTCCCACCTTGTGCCGTTTGTCGCACCGCTCATTCCACATGCGACAATGCTTTGTCGCTGCAAGCATTGCGACAGAAATGTCGCATCGTGCACCAAAAAAGATAAGCGACGGCTTGTCGCAGGCCCAAACGTCCTGCGACAGTGCAATTCATCTTGAGTTGTCGCTGTGTGAAAACGTTTGTCGCTGTTTGTCGCACACTTTCAAAGTTCAAATTTCTGCGACAAATTGAAACTGCCATTTGAATCGCAATGCAGTTTGTTGTCGCGGTTGCCGCTGGACCAACGCTTCAACACTGAGCAATAACCTGTTTTCGACAAAACGATTCTGAATGTCACAAAAGCGGCTTTCGCGACAAAACGCACGGTGCAAAGCTCGTGAAGCTTGCACAGTGCGTTAGATTGTTACCATCGCATAATGTAGCGAGCCATCGCAATTGCACCTTTTGTAAGGTTGTCGCAGATGACTTCTGCGACAAACTGCACAGTGCGGAGATTGCACTGTGCATTCGTTTAGTTGCTTGAAACCTGCACTGTGCAGCCGGCGGAAAGGTTGCACAGTCTGCTTTAAAAACTGCACGGTGCAAAGAGAAGTTTACGAAAAAATAAAGAATCTGCACTGTGCAACGGGCAAGAAAATGACCAAATTTTTAAAAAGATTGCACCGTTCAGACTCTATTTTTTAAATGCGATATCAAACAGCTTTTTCTTACCGGTCGGTTCCTTTTTGTGGTTATAGGTGTCACACAGTACTAGACGAGCATTACCTCCCAAGAACGGGTCAGGGTAGTGGGCAACCGGGTAGAGGTAAGTGTCAGAGTCACGACCTTTGGCCTGACCACACGAGGATCCATCGTAGTTCCAGATGGGGTAGTCTGCAAGTTTATGTTACTTTAGCGACAATAAGCTCACCATTTGTATAGTGAGTTATCTATAAAGTTATGTATGATGTTAAATTGTAAAGAGTACAACATGCGACAAACTGTTTGAAACCTTACCTGTAGCAACCTTGGGGACGGATGGCAGAGTTCTGGTCTTGCTTCTGAGGCACTCGCCGGTTCCGTCGATCCAAACGTACGTCGCCTGACACTTGGTGGGATGGGGCTTGATGCCAAGGAACTGGTCGATCACCGGAGTCCCCACAGGCAGTTTTACAGCAAAGTTGTGGCTCATGTTAGTAGACAGGGTCGCCGACCGTCTCCGCGACTGCGATGCCGTTCGAATGCCGTATTCAAATCCTTTTTCCAAATTTTGAAAAAGTTAATTTTGCACTTTCGAAATGATTTCCTCAACCTTTTTTAAATATTTAAAATGCGGAACTTTGGAAATTGTGTAAAATCAAGGTTCCATGCAGTTTTTGACCGAGAAAAACTGGCTAATTACCCCCAGCTGAATCGTTAGAAATTTATGTAAATATGCAAAATAAGTGAAGTTACAAGAATACACAAGATGAGAATTTACAAGTTGCAAATAAGTTACATAACTATTGGTGGTGAGGTTCGATTTCGATGACCAGGTCGTTGGGGTTGACTTTCTCGCCTTCCTTCATGTAGACCTTCTTGACGACTCCGTTGATGGGCGTGTCTACGTTCATCTCCATCTTCATGGCTGACAACACGAAGAGTGGAGTCTTGGCGGTGACGACGTCGCCTTCTTTCACGTTGATCTGAAGAATCTCTCCTGGCATTGGAGCTCCGATCGATCCTTTGACACCAGGGAGAGCCTTTGGTCTCAGGACGACATCCTTGGCCGCTTCCTTGTCTTGGACGAAGATTGACCTCATCTGACCGTTCAGTTCGAAGAAGACTTCTCTCTCAGCATTAGCATTGATCTTTCCTTCTGCCAGAGCTTGGATCACCAGCGTCTTTCCTTGTTCGATGGTGACCTGAAACATTGAAAATAACATTTTTACAGTCTTAATCTTACTGTAAAATTTCAAACAGACAGTAGAAATGAACTTACATCAGTTTCCTCAGCAGTCTCTAATCCACTCAAGAATACTCTCGTGTTCAGCTTGTCTACAGGTCCGTAAGTCTGTCTGAACTGCTCGAACTCGTCGAACTCTCTTGGGAACATAGCTGATGACATGACATCGACGTCCCTCAGCTTTCTACCGTGCTTCTCCTCCAGATTCTTCTGTAGCTTCTCAAAGTCGAGTGGAGCCATTTCCTTTCCTGGTCGGTCCTCGAGCTTCTTCTTTCCTCGCAGCACCTTCGTCCTCAGAGGTTCTGGGAAGCCATATGGAGGTTGTCCGATCTGACCCTCAAAGAATTGGACTACAGAAGTTGGGAACGACAGTTCGTCAGCTCGCTCGACGACGGTGTGCTTGTTCAGGTTGTTTTGGACCATGAATTGAGCCAGATCTCCAACGATCTTACTGGATGGAGTGACCTTGATAATGTCGCCGAGAACTTCGTTGGCTTCAGCGTACATTCGCTTCACTTCGTCGAACTTCTCGCCTAGACCGAGAGAGAAGGCCTAAAACAATGACTTTGATAAATTACAACGAAAAGCAGTTACTATACTAATGATTGCCATCTCGTCTTAGTAGAATGTAATGTTATATAACTTAAAAACCATAGTCAATCCTTACCTGGAATTGCAAGTTGGTGTACTGGCCACCAGGAATAGCATGGTTGTACACATCAGCGTTGCCACTTTTCATAGTTACTGTACATTCGAATGGGGCGTACAATTGCCTGGCAGTCTCCCAGTAGGCGTTGTACTTGGATACATTGTCCAGCTTGATGCCAGTGTCCAAAGGAGTGTTCTCCAACGATGCTACAACGGCGCCCATGGACGGTTGACTTGTCATTCCACTCATCGAGTCAACGGCTACGTCAACGACATCAGCTCCAGCCTTGGCACACTCCAACATCGATGCTACAGCAGCCCCAGCGGTGTCGTGAGAGTGAACGTGAATTGGGATGTCAGGGTGACGATCTCTCAAAGCGGTGATCAACAACTTGGCGGCCCCCGGCTTCAATACACCAGCCATGTCTTTGATGGCCAGGATGTGGGCTCCTGCCTTGACCAACTGATCTGACAAGTCGAGGTAGTATTTGAGGTCGTACTTGGTTCTGTTCTTGTCAGAGACATCACCAGTGTAAGAGATGGCAGCTTCGATGACACCACCAGCCTTTCCAATGGCTTCCATACCTACAATCATGTTAGGGACGTAGTTGAGAGAGTCGAATACTCTGAAGACGTCCATGCCACTCTTGACAGCCAGCTCGCAGAACTTGTCAATCACGTTGTCTGGGAAGCTGGAGTAGCCAACAGCATTAGCACCCCGTAGCAACATCTGGAATGGGATTCCCGGAACCAGCTTCCTCAACTGCTCCAATCTCTCCCAAGGACATTCGTGGAGGAATCTCATGGACACATCGAAAGTGGCACCTCCCCAGTTCTCCAGAGAAAACAAGTTGCTGAAGTTGTGGGAGAGGAACGGAGCGATCTGCAGAAGGTCGTAGGTTCTGACACGAGTAGCCAACAGACTCTGATGGGCATCTCTGAAGGTGGTATCAGTCAGAAGACATCCCTTGTTCTGTCTAACTGCCTTAGCAAAAGCTTCAGGGCCTTTCTGGACCAAAAGGTCTCTGAGGCCGGCTGGAGGCTTCTGGTCTGAAATCCAAACGTAAGTTACTATTGTAAAACTCTTTAAAATGTAAAATCATAATTAAAATGATAAGAAAACTCAAGCTAAGGCCATCAAACATACCTGGGGGACTGTGAGGAACGACAGGAACGACGTTCTTTGGCTTTAGGTCCGTAACCAATGGAGTCAAAGCACCGTTCACTTGAAGTTCTCCGAGGTATCTCAAGATCTTCTGAGCACGGTTCTGGCTGTGCTTGAAGGAGAAGAGTTCTGGATGTTCGTCGATGAAGTGAGTGTCAACAGAACCGTTGATGAAGTTAGGTTGTTGAAGCACGTTCATCAAGAATGGGATGTTAGTCTGAAAGTTTTTGAAACGTCTGTTTATACTTTTACATTTGCACACAAGTACATGTCACATAATATAACAAACAATAATCCTAATATCATATAACAATAACTAAAATGACCTTGACATACCTTAACACCTCTGATTCTGAATTCCTTCAAAGCTCGCACCATCTTGGCAGCTGCATTTGGATGGTTTCTGGCACTTGCAATTACTTTTACCAACAAAGAGTCATAATGAGGAGAAATGACTGAGCCAGCAAAGGCCGAAGCCGAATCCAAACGAATTCCCATACCTTCACCTGACCTGAACACTTCGATTCTGCCAGTGTCAGGCTGGAAATTCATGGAGGGGTCCTCTGTCGTTACACGGCATTGGATCGAAGAGCCGTTGATGTGGATGTTCTCTTGCTTCAACTTCAGCTCACCCAGGCGTTTTCCTTCAGCAATACGAATCTGGGCTTGAACAAGGTCGACACTAAAGTTCAAAAAATAATTTGAAACAGTAATTATAAGACAATAAAATAGTTTTGTAATAAAAAATCTTATAAAGTGCATCTTTAACACTACAAATACTAATTACCATAACTACGACCATCACATCACCCTCAAAAATCAAAATAGCTCACCCAGTAATCTCCTCAGTAACAGTATGCTCCACCTGAAGACGAGCATTGACCTCCATGAAGTAGTAGTTGTTTTTGCTGTCCAACAGGAACTCCACTGTACCAACATTGGAGTATCCCACATGTTTGACCAACTTCAAAGCGTCAGCCAACATCTTCTGGCGGACTCCATCGTCCAACGAAGGAGCTGGAGCTATTTCTACCACTTTCTGATGCCGTCTTTGGACTGAACAGTCTCTTTCGTACAAATGAATCATGTTGCCATACTTGTCACCTACAATAAATCACAATACTCATGTGTAACATTAGATATAGTTAAAAAGCTTGACAGTTCTGTTAGTTCTATCTAACTTACCCATGATTTGAACTTCAATATGTCTTGGCCTCTCAACAAACTTCTCAACAAACAGAGATCCATCTCCGAACGCAGCTTGGGCTTCTGAGAAAGCACGTTGGTAAGCAACTTCGACCTAAAACAAGACTTTTTACTATAAGTATTATTCATTACAATAAAATTCAACTAAAACGAAAAGACACAAAAATATATTCTTAGTGTTAAGACAAACTAAAATCTTACATCTTCTGGCCTGTCGACCTTCCTCATTCCTCTACCACCACCTCCAAAGGCAGCCTTAATAATGATTGGACATCCGTGTTGCTTAACAAACTCTTTCACTTCTTCAACGTTGGCGACTGGCCCAGGTGATCCAGGAACTACTTGAACTCCAGCCTCAATAGCAGCTTGTCTAGCTGCCACCTTGTCTCCCATTCTGGCCATGACTTCGGCCGGTGGTCCAATGAATACGATTCCAGCATCGTGGCAAGCACGGGCAAAGTCGGAACGTTCGGACAAGAAGCCGTAGCCAGGGTGAATAGCTTCAATATTGTTTCTGAGGGCGATTTCAATGATCTGGTCGATGTTGAGGTAAGCGGCGACTGGAGGAAGACCTTTGCCCACCAAATAGGCTTCGTCGGCTTTCAGACGATGCAGAGAATGTTTGTCCTGAAAAGAAAGTGTTGAATATAAAACGATTTCATGAGTTAAACTTATGTGACATTCATTGTTATAGCCAGTATACCAAAAATTACAACAAAAGCTTGGTTTTGAAAGCGAAATTACAATAAAAAAATCATCACTTCTCCCATCTAAATTTACTTTACCCACCTGTTCCGAGAAGATGGCTACTGAAGTTTTGTTGAGTTCCGTCAACGCTCGAAACACTCGAGTTGCAATTTCACCTCGATTGGCCACCATGACCTTCTTGAATTCGGTGCTGGCGAAACGGATGCCATGAAGCGAGGGATGGAGCTGGAACACCCTACCCATGGGCATTAAAGTCACGACCTGCTGCCTACGAGATCCCAACATGGTCCAGTATCAAGATCCTGTAAAAATATATTGTAAACTAATGTTGACTTTACCTAAAAACACCAAAACACGTAAAACATTATAAAATATATCCAAAGTATTAACCACGGAAATATAATTTAAAAAATATCAAAAATAAATTTTAAATCAAAATTTAAACAAAGTATTACCTAAAATAAAGAAAAATAGTAACAAATACAAAAAACAATCCCATAACACGAAATGCTATTCACAGCATCAAAATAACCTTCAAAATACTTCAAAAAGCTGTATAATGGTCTGAAACAACACGAATACTACAAAATCAACTTGAAAAACATAGAGATAACCATGAATAATACGCAAAACAACAATAACGGAGAACACAGGTCAATAAAGACGTATTACAACTACAATCTTATCACAAAAATAATTTTCCTATAAATTGTATCTTCTCGATAACAAAACCTTGAGACCCAAAATAACCTTGCGAGTTTCATTGATAAACAAACAAGGTCAGAAGTGGACATTCGACCTTTTACGGATTTCACAATCGTTCCAAAGTTCCGCCAAAAATGGTAAACAAACACCGCCTCAAGCACTGAATTGATAACATACCCTAATTAAAATGGTATTTTGATCAACCCAGGTTGTTATCTTATGTTAGAGAATGATACTGATCAGACAAAACAAGAATCGTTGATAATCAGCAATAAATCTGGGTTTGTGAGACTTCTCAATCAGCAACAACAACTTTTCAGTTTCGGCAAAGGTGAAGACTTGACCACCTCGGGCGGTCATATCAACAGCGGACAAAAAATTGTTTTTCCATGAATTCTTGGACAAAACGGAAAATTTTGCATCTTCCTCAAACACACATCCAACTGAAATTTGCTTTTTTAAGTACAACTTTTTATAAATAGGTCAAAATATTTTGGTACATCGGTCACAACTGCGCAGAGAACGCCCGCACATTGTGTCGGACTGTCTAGTGTTATTTAAAACCTTGATTTTTGGTGATCCAATCGGAGGTTATCAATTCGAAAAAGGTGTTATCAACTATGAAAAGGTAGAAGCGGCTGTAAGAAAAATAATAATTGTGGCAGCCGTTGAGATTAAAGTCAAAAACAATGTTATCAATGGAACGTAAACAACATTCGAAATGAACTTTTTCAGAAAAATCAGCGCTCAGAATACCCTTCTCCTCGTGTGTTTGGCCATTCCGGCCACGAGCTGAACAGTGGGAGAGCGATGTTCCGAACCGAAAAATAAATTTCTTTATAAAAATGGACCAAAAAGCAAAATTCCCCGGCCTTGATAAAGTACAAAAGCATGATTTAGGTACTAGTACCTTTGCAATACAAGGAAAAACATAGTAAATAAAGTAATATAAAGGTCATGGTATCTAATACAAGGAAGAACATAGTAAATAAAGTAACAAAAAGGTCATGGTATCTTTGGTAAGGTATTTGTAAATAAACGACTTTGTTGTCAATATAAAAAGTACCTTACAAAGGAAATCAGTAAGTAATTTTTTGCACGTTCATAAAAAGGCATGACAAATATTATCGGACGAAAACGTTTATGATTACAATCAGTCACGTATTGTTGACATTTTGCAGGTTAAGGTCTACTAACTTTATCTGAAACATGGTTTAGTAGAACACTATTACAAGGTATCTTAACCAAAACAGTTAATATTTAAATTTATAGCTGTTTAGTAAATAAGACCCTTTACATACAAGTCAACTCTTTACTTTTAACATACAGCGCTGTATACATCTGCTAACGAGCTGGTATTAACTTTTAAGTTAGGCCAGCCTGAACTTCTTAAAAGTCAAAAAGTAAATGTCCGGCCAAACCCGTTTAAATGATCAGAGTTTTTGTTCGAAAGTTCAAGCTTGCTTAGACCCGAACTGTCTATGTTGTTGCAATATCAGGAATTCATCACAAGTTGGCTGACTAAAGAACTCTAGAGGCTCATAAATAAACAAATTGCTTTTCCAATCAAAGTGCGAAGTACTGTGAACCTAACCAAAGAGTAATGTTTCATCTTGTAAATGCTTGTAATAGCCTTTCTAAACCGTACTATATTTTAACTAAAAATAATTACCTATCTTACCACAGTACATATAATAAAATATACGCTATAACAAAAAACACATAATCAACTTTAACAATTTAAAAAACTATTGATACAAAAAATAATAATTGAAAACAAGATAGTATCTTTGAAAAAACAGCTAAAAACAAAATATACTTATGATTCTGAACTTTCGCGACATGTTTACGTAACATGCAATTAGAGTATAAAATAATTTCCGCGGCCTGCACGTGATATAAACTCCTACTTTTCGAACTGCGCCACGGTTTGAAAACTAAAAAAAATATTTTTTCCGGAAAATCTGTAAATGTGAGGCAAATGATCGAATAAACCAATTGGAATAGGTCAATCTGCTGTTAAAATACACGTTTAACTACTAAATCAACTGGTTTTTGTTCTTGTTACAACTATTAGATAGATGGTTCTTTTCGAACTTGTTTTGTTGGCTTTAGGATTAATTCCTCTTGGTTTTTTGGCGTTGTTTGTGTAAGTATTCTAGCTAAAATTACGTTCGTTTTATGAATATAATATATATTTGATAGTTTTCAGAATAGCACAGTTATATCCATATCCTCGTCGAAATGCAGTTGAATATGCCATTCGAGAAAGAAGGAAGTACAAACCTGAAGGAGAAGGAGACAAATTTGATTCACTACTTCACGGAAATGCCAAAGAATTGAAAGATCTTCAGGTTTCGGAAGCAAAATGTTATCTATCGGTTGTTGTGCCAGCTATGAACGAAGAGGTAAGACTTATTTTGTTTTTTTATTCTTTAGGTAAAACCTACTCAATGTATTACAACAACGAAAACTATTATATTTCAATATATTTAAATTTTTAGGAGCGATTGCCTATTATGTTGAACGAATGTCTAGAATATTTACAAAAACGTGAGAAAGATGACAAAAACTTTACTTACGAAGTAATAGTGGTTGACGATGGCTCTTCTGATAGAACTTGTGATGTTGCTTACGGATACTCTGAAAAAGGATTCAATTTGAGCGTATATAAACTGGAGAAGAATGCTGGAAAGGGAGGAGCGATTAGGAACGGAGTCTTCTGTGCTCGTGGAGAATATATTCTCTTCGCCGACGCTGATGGAGCTACAAAGTTTTCTGACTTTTTAAAGTTGGAGGAAGTGTTGAAGACTGAAGAACAAGATGTGAAAACAGGTCAGAATGAACAGAATAGAGGCCAGAAGGAAATTGTAGTAGTAGGATCACGAGCTCATTTGGAGAAAGATTCGATTTCTGAAAGAAGTTTGTTGAGAACGATTCTGATGATTGGCTTTCATTGTTTGGTATACGTGTTTGCTGTACGAAGTGTTAGGGATACTCAATGTGGATTCAAATTGTTTTCGAGAAAAGCTGCTGCTTTTGTAAGTACTTTTACTACAATATTTTTACTCTTGCAATAGACTTTTTTTATAAATAATAACTTTTTTAAAGCTATCTATCATGATGTAGTAATTATTTTAGCTATTCCCAAGAATTCACGTCGAACGATGGGCTTTTGATGTAGAATTACTGTACATATCCGAAGTAACGAAGATCTCTGTTCATGAAGTGTCAGTGCAATGGCACGAAGTCGACGGGTCGAAGTTGGCGCCCTTATGGACGTCGATCGAGATGGGCAGGGACATCTTGCTAATATGGGTTCGATACTGGTCAGGGATTTGGAACGTTGCAAAATAATTTATATTTCTAATTTATATATTTAAAGACTATTAAATATGATTACTGTAAATTGTACTTGTAAAAATGACTGTTTTTATCAGTCGGATTTATTTGAATATTTAATAATTTTGATTATGTGTCTGCTGACATATTTTTTAATTTGTACTATCGTGGTTATTTTGGATTGGATTGTTATTGTATACGCTATATATTTGTATTTAGATGGTGCGAAAAGTTAAGCAAGAGATGATGGAGGTGGACGAGGAGCGGGATGCTTATTTAGAAGATCGCCTCTATATGGAACCTGAAATTTCATTCAATGTAAATTTTTGATATTAATTTAAATAATTTGTTAATGATATAATTTAACACGTATAAGACTGTGATGTTAAAAGTTAATACCACCTACGAATTACTATAGACATTTGATATGCGATTCCCGAAAGACGTGGACCAATATTTGAACAGAATCGAAGCCAAGGTGATAAGTGAGCAGGAAGAAGGAATGGAGCTGGTTTTTGATCTTGTCCATGTCGAAGCACCTGTAGCCAATGCATTAAGACGTGTACTGTTGGCCGAAGTACCAACTATGGCAATTGAGAAGATTTATCTCTACCAAAACACTTCCGTTATTCCAGTAAGTTACTTCTTGAGACTTTATTGTTATCGACCATCAGTTGTGAACGAAAAACAAGTTTTCATTTATAAATTCCAATCTCCACGTTTTTATAAGACATCTTTAGGATGAAGTTCTGTGCCACAGGATAGGCTTGTTACCAGTAAAAGCAGACCCTCGAAAGTTTGATTTCCCCTCAAAACCATTCGTACCCATCTCGGATGGTGTTGAAGTAACTGAAGAGCCAGAAGGAAACGAGAACGAGCATATTATCCTTGAAGTTAATGTTAAGTGCACTACGAACAAAGATTCTGAAAAAGGAGAAAAGGATCCAGAAAAGGCATTCCACAACTACAAACTCTACTCAGGACAGTTTGACTGGATCCCAATTGGTAATCAAGCCAAAACCTTCAAGAAAAATCATTTGTCAATGGTGCACGATGATATTATTGTAGCCAAACTGAGGCCTGGCCAAGAGGTTGAAGCTAGGTGAGGTCTTGAAGCATATAAAATGTGTTTTCCTTTCTCTGTTTTTATTCAACCCGTATATTTTTAACTTTAGATGTCATTGTGTGAAAGGCATTGGCCGTGATCATGCCAAGTTTTCCCCGGTTTGCACCGCCACCTACAGATTGTTACCAGAAATTATTTTGAAAAGTGAAGTTACCGGAGAGAAAGCGGAAAGGTTACAGACCTGCTTCTCAAAAGGAGTTATTGAATTGGAGGAGAAAAAGGGTAGGACATTTTTAACCGTTATTATAATATGCTAACCAAAAGACGAAAAATCTAGCCTTAAGGATTTTCGCACTTTTAAGTTGAATTAGTAAAGAAAGTAGAATGTCGTTCAAGCTAGCATACTTCTGGTGATTTGCAGGAAAGAAAGTAGCTAAAGTAGTGGACGCCAGGAGGGACACTTGTAGCAGAAATGTGTTCAGATACGAAGACTTGAAGGATCTAGTAGAACTGCGAAAGAAGAAGGACCACTTCATCTTCAGCGTGGAATCAACCGGAGCTCTGACCAGTCGAGAACTTGTTAAAGAAGCCTGTAAAGTCATCAGAGAAAAGGCACACAACCTCCACAGTCTTTTTGACCAGAAGCTGAACGCTTTAAGCGAAAAGCAAGCCTAAAACAAACTAATTGGATCGCAAGCCTAATCGTTGATTGTTGTTTTTATTTTTACATTGTTGATTTCTTTGTTGAAAGTCTAATAAACGTTATATACATCTACATGGTCCTAATCACTTTGGTCTTCCGGCACTTGCACCACCTTCTTCCCTGACGACTTCTGAATATCTTGTTGAGCAATTCGTTGTAAAGGCATTACCTTTTTAAGAGCTTCATCGAAGGGCATCGACGAGTGTATTACAACGTCTTTGGGTGGTGGAGGACTAGGTTCGGGCACTGAAGGGGCACGGGAGAACAAACTCTTCTTTACAACACCAACTACTCCCTAAAAATGAACTTTACATTATAAAAAATTTACTTTTAAAAAGCATAACAATAAGAAATTTAAAGATAATTTATTTACTTACAGCTTTCTGTGTCTCCAACTCTAGCTGAATATTGTCTAGCCGCCTTTCCAGCCTACAAAACCGCTCTTCCATTTGTGCTAACATATACCTGTAGTCTTCAGCTGCTACAACCTCCTTTTCGTTGGCCTTGCTGTAGAAATGGTAAGCGGCGAACACTCCTACTGAGTATCCAAATATGACTATTTGTTGTACCAATTCAGACGCCTGTTCCAGAGCAGCTGTCTCTGATACTGGAGCTAACGAATCCGGCTTCCCAAGGCCAAGCGACCTCATTCTTAGCCTTGTAGTTAAGTTTACCAATCCTTAACAGAAAATATGTAAATTTTTAAAATCTAAACATATAACATAACAAAAAAGTTTACTCACCTCGTCCCACTGGTACCAGTACCTTGTCACGGAAGAAAAAGTGGTTTTTACCATACCTCATTACAGCGTCGGCTACTGGTTTGGACATCTGCCGCGCCATTATCATGAATACCTAATAAAACACCTTATAATCACATAGATTAAACATACTTGAACCATTGGAAGACCCATTTTGTATTGTTAACATCCGTTTACCACAATCTGCCGTTTACAACAAGGAACTGATGAAACCAACAAAGCTTTTCTAAAATTTTTATAATTTATTTTAGTCCCCAAAATGCGTCATGACGACATAGCGTATTTTTTAAGTTATGTCAAAAATAATTTTAAGTAGGTGTTAACACTAAAACCAGTAAACGTCATTAAATTTTAAATAATTATTTTGCTTTTTATGAACTTTATAATTTACATTGTATACAAGATAACTTATTTTCTGGACGAAACATGATTTTGTTTGGCATTCTGTTACAAGGTCTCGGAATCGGGCAATTTTTTGTCAATTGTTTGGGTTTTAAATTATTGATTTAAACGCTTTTATATGAGTAAATTATTGTCTCTTGATAATTACATACCTCCAATCAGAGATTCTCTTTCAAAGTCACTAATTTCTATCATTTTCCAGACAGACTTTTAAAGTGCAAACTAACTTTAAGAATAAGGAAAGGGCCGGAGGAAAAAGCACATGACCAGAGAGGCCTGATCTCCCGGCTACATTTATGAAGAGTGTAATTGTAAAATAGCCAACATGTCTATGTTTTTCTCTACAAGAAGGTCTAACTACATGGTATGTCAAGTTTGAAGATTTATTTTACAGGTTTATGATTAAAATTTCGATTAATTGTTATCAAATTTGGAAAAATGGATTTACTTGTTTTTTAAATATAAGTTTTAACAAAATGTCAATAAATTATTTTTAGGCAATAAGAAGTTATTTTTTTATGAAAATATGATAAACATGTATGCTTTTATTAGTTTATGAAATTTAGGTAATAGATGGAGAAGAAGAGGAAGAAGATTCGTTAGTTCAACATGGCTACAACTCCCAGCCACCTCAAATGATGTACAGCAACAGTGATGTTGTGATTGAAGATGGAAACAGGAGATCATTCGAAGGGTCTAAAAGTCAAGGGAGATGGGATCACATTGAAGATATTGATCAGGTATGTCTGGATTTATAAGAAATTACATGTTTTATATCACATTTTACAAGGTGTATATATGGTAATCATTTTACTTTATTTTTAAATAATATATATTGCTTTAGTTCTTCTCATTAGTTTACGAGTATCACAGAGGGAACGGCTTCTTGTGTGTAGCCCTGAAGCATATGTTTGCTTTGTTTCAATTTATATTTGTGGTATCATTGTCGACTTTTCTCTTTCAATGTGTAGATTATGATGTGTTGTTTAACAATAAGAATACCACTGCCGATGGGACGATTATCTATGGAAAACGACATATTGATGTAAGTGAATCTATTTCGATATTAAATTTTAGGAAACGAAGAAAGGAGTTTTATGTGTTAACACAAATGGTATGACTAGTTAATTTTTTCAGGACGCGGTAATCTCTTCATGTCCATCTCACTTTCATCCAGTAGTTGTCTTTACTTTACTACTGGCCACCGTGTTTTGGGTTGCTTATGTTCTTCGAGTCGGCTATCGTCTTCTTCAACTTTTTGAGATTCAGAAGTTCTACTACAATGTTCTCGAGATAGCAGACAAGGATTTGCCTAACATACCATGGAGGGAAGTGGTCGAACGAGTATGTAAAGCTCAACCAGAGTTACATTTGATTGTGAACCAGGAACAAATCAGTGTGTCGGATATCTACCAAAGGATTTTACGTTACAAAAACTACATGGTCGGTCTTGTTGACAATGTAAGTTGATGTTGATTGATTGCCAAGTGTTTAGGACGTTTTAAATCTGGAAATCACACTGCCATTTATGGGAAAAGTAGACTATCTGTCAGCTGGACTGAGGTTGAACTTGGAATGGCTGTTCTTCAGAGGTCCGTGGGCTCCGTGGAAGGGACCTTATGCTTTGAAGGATGAATTCAGAGACGCTGAGATGTTGAGTAGCATCTGTAAGTTGAATTAGAAGCTAGGAGGTTTATTTTTTATATTGATAGAATTGTACGGTGGTTAATATGTATATTTATTTAAAGAGGATATATTGGACGATTGATATTTTTTATGTTGTTAATCGTCTTATTTAGCTGCTCAGTTCGAAAAGACAATAATGTATATCGGAATAGCGAACTTGTTATTGTCTCCATTCATCTTTGTGTTCCAACTCTTGTTCTCCTTCTTTTCTTATGCTGACATCATGCGTAGAGATCCAGCTGTGTTCGGATCTAGAAAATACTCGAATTATGCTCGGTAAGTGTTACCTAAATTTTATTTTTTATTTTTATGCCAACTTTAAACATGAACTGCTAATAGTATTTTCTAATTGAGAAGTTTCAGAACAAATTGTTTAATTGATTTTTTCAGATTAAAATTGAGACATTACAATGAATTGGAGCACGAGTTGAACTACCGGTTGAATAAGAGTTACGAGTTTGCAGTCAAATACATGGACCAGTTTATGTCGCCGGTAGCTGAAGTTGTGGCCAAGGCTGTTGCTTTTACTTGTGGCAGTGTCTTTGCCATTATCTTTTTGTTGTCGGCTTGGGACGAAGATGTTTTGAACGTAAGTTACACTCAAAGTTTGAAAACTTTTTTTCTTAAAATTTTTATTTGTTGAAAACTTCTGCAATACGAATTGTAAAATAGACTATATAATATACAATCTTTTTAGATTGACCACGTGATTACTGTAATGACAGCAACAGGTGCTATTGCTTTGCTCTGCAGGTCTTTCATTGCTAACGAGAATCTTGTGTTGTGCCAGAACTTCTTGATGAAGCAAGTCGTCGCCCACATTCACTACGCTCCGTCATCGTGGATCAAAGGTGGTCATTCCACTGAAATCTGCTCCGAATTCAGCAAATCTTTCCAACTCAAAGTCTACTTCTTGATTGAGGAACTGTTGTCTCCTTTCATAACTCCATTCATTCTGTTACTGAAACTGAAGCCAAAAGCTGGTGCTTTGGTACACTTCTTCCACGACCACTCACGGTACGTTGAAGGAGTTGGCGATGTTTGTGAATACTCTTTGATGGAAATGCCAAAGGATGAAAGTGAGGATCAGAATCAAGACAACGACCTCCCACCTACTCGGGTACTCTCGTGTGGAAGGAAGCGAGATACGGTTAAAGTAGAGCTGAGTTTGTTGAACTTTGTCACTCAGCATCCTTTGTGGAAGCCGTCGGCCAGAAGTAAGGAGCTGATCAAGAAGATCAAGGGTGTTGTAAGTTACTTTTTCAAACCTTTTTGTTAAAGTGTAAGCAATTCTGTTTTTTTGATATTATTTTTAGGTATTTTTTCAAGCGACTTTCTAATAATAACATGTTTTTAGTGGACGAAAGAGATTGGAATTATAATGGACAACGACAACATTGCTCAAAGTGTAAATATGGGTGGAGCCGAGAAGAATGTCATATCTACCTTACTGGAGTCGAATAAGTCTTTCTATAAGAAGTCTGAGACTGCTGATGAAAGTAAATTCGCCGAATCTGCAGCAGCGGCAATGTCAACATCATCAGTTGTGCAGTCGATTCGAGAAAGCCAGTTTGCACCAAGTGCTAGTAACAGATTTGTGCCATTAAACGATCAGGTTAGAGGTAATAAAGTTTTCTGAGGGTATTTATTTTTTAGTTTAAAAATTTTTATTGTTATTTAAACGTCTATTTTTTGAATTTTAATTTATCAATGTTACTTTAGACGAGCAAATGCGCGCGTTGGAGATGTCGATGAATGCTCTGGCTATGGCTACACTTCTACAAGACAAGCGGAGTATATCGATCGCGTCAGCCAATGTGCCACATTACGGTGCCAATATCTCCACTGATCAGCCATCAACTTCTGAAGTTTCTCAACGACCAACACAGTCTCAAATTCAGTCGAACATTTGGGAAGTAGCTGATAACAACAGCACGATCAACGAGAGTCAGTACGACGAGATCAACGAGGATCCGGAAGAAGACGACGACGACCACGAACTCCTTCCTCCAGGCGGCTTCAATGTCTAAATGTACATAGTTTTGTCTATTTTTTGAAGTTTCGAACGGTTTTGGGTAATACATATTGATGTTGTGATTGTCCAATAACTTTTGGAACCAGATAGTATCTTTTTCGTTTATTTACTTTACATTTATTATAAAATGTATCCATTAATTTTTTTTTGTTACGAAAATACGAAAGAATTAATGGATTCCTCAAATAATTGTTGACTAACTGTTTGGATATTATTGTAAACCTTCTGAATTCAATCTGAAAACACAAAAAGACCTCAGGACGTCGATTTGTAATGTCCACGTCTCGTATTGTACCTTTATCACAACTCTCATTTCGTTAAATTTACGTGTATTTTGTTTCAAACAAACTGAAATTGTACAGTCGCGCAATCTTTTAATAAACATTTTAAAAAATATTTGGATTTGGGAAGGAGATTAGATTTCTTTGAATATTGAGAGATTACAGTAATTTATATGCGATATATATATACATATTGTCGGTTTTATGCTTTGCATATTTCATTGTAGTAAGTTTTAAAATATAGAGATGGAAGCCGAGTCCCATTCAGATAATGATGAATATACATCAGAAGAAGAGGAGGAGCATGTCGCTGAGCCGAAGTCATCGACCGAAGACTTGTTAACACAAGGTAAGTGATATATAGTATAATAATTATCATACGTTCTCAACAACATAGTAATATTAAATATTTCCAGAAATATCGTCGATGCCGTTAAGCAAAGTCAGAGCCCTGAAAGCCAAGCTTGGAGTCAAATTATTCAACAAAATGTACCTGAACGAAACTGCCCCCAAGTCAGAAAATGTGGAGGATTCGGATGATGACGCAGCTCCAGAAGAATTTAAAGTGGGGTTTGGTTTAAAAAGCTTAGAATTTGATAACATGTGTAAGGTGGTTCTTAAGAAGCTCTTTTCTAAGTTAAGTTACCAAATTTAGCGTGACGGTAAAAATCGACCGCGTGAGATATCGACTAAAAAGGCTCTGAAACACAACTCGATCATCTCAACGAAACGTCAAAAGAGGTACGACCCCAGGTTTGAGTGTGGAGACTTCGACGAGGTCAGGTTCTCGCGGGACTACGGCTTCATCAACCAGATGAAGCGAGATGAGGTGAGCAAGATGAAGAAGATGCTGAAGAAGGGCGAGATCGGAGAAGCCGAGACGTCTGACGTCAAGGAGGTTATCAAGGTCATGGAGAATCAGATCAGAACGGCCGAAGACAAGAGTGACGAGATCGAGACTCGAGCAGAGCTAAGAAAGACCAACATCGACCGGCTGAGGAGTGGCAAGAAGCCTATCTTCCTGAACAAAAGTAAGTTTTATCATTGATCTAGGCTACGAAGTAGTCTGATGAAGTTATAATCAGGTTTTGCTGTTTATTAACTATAAAATATTGAAATCAGACTAAATTTAGCCGTATCCTTAAAGATTTACTGAGGTTATTATCTTTCAGATCAACTGAAGACGAAGGTAATTGAGAAAAGGTTTGACAGGCTGAAGAAGACAGGAAAGGCCAAGACTTATGTTATGAAGAAGAAGACAAAAGCCTTCAAGAAGGGCGTGGACGTGGAATGAAGTTATTGTTACCCGTTTTGTTGTTGACAAAACTTGTTGATGTTAAGCATAAAAATAAAGCTAAAGATATTTCTGTCAATTCAATATGAATCTTACTGTGTCATCTATCGATTATTTCAAAAAACGAAATTTAATAATTTACAATTTGAAACTGACATTTCTTCTAAATTTAATTGAAAAAAATGGACATTTCGTCCTTTTTTTAATAATTACAGAGGAAAAGCTAACCTTACTTGAAAGTTATAAATATTTATTTATAATGCAGTTGTTTGTTATGTACATGTTTACTTTGTTTGTATGGTATACTGTAACTTAGACGACAACCATGAGCCTGATACATTTTGGAACTTGAACTTGTAAGTGCCGCTTTTGTCGCAAGTCACATTACCGATTTCTGGTATTTTCAACGAGGTTAGCGTCACCTTTGGCCACACAGTAGTCTCGTTACCTCCATCTACGTACACGATCTCGAAAGCGGCGTCACAACTAATAGTGAACAACCAGATCAGGAGCTGACCTGATCTGACTTCTTTTGTCACTTCGTGACATGCCTTCGACTTCAAGGTGATGGACTTGGACACTGGAGGCTTCTGGAAGCCGTACTCATTCCAGTACTTGTCAGCATTGAAGAAGTCCGTCTCTTCGATGGGTTTCGGTGCTCTACAGCACGAACTCGGCTTCACAGCGTAGCCAGAGTCATCTCTTCTGGTACCCTGCCAGTCTTCTGGGATACTGTCGCGACTTAGATGAAGGAAGATATCGTCCAACTTCTGGATGAACACTAGACGAGACCTGGTCTTTTCATCCACAATATGCTTGGCTACCTGCCACATTAAGGAGAGCAGGGCGGGTGGGTGTAGGAGAAACAGGCGGATCATCTAAAATTCATAAAGAATGTTGCTTGTGAGTTTACAGAATTGTAAAAGAAATTAGTATTACTTTATCTAAATGTAGTAATCAGTAGTATTACTCGCTTAACAATTTCAAAACTACAGTAAAATACAGTACTTTTAACTCATTGGCTTACGTTTTCACTAAAGTAATCCGACCAAATCTTGACGACCAGTCGAGCCAGCTTACTCGACGTAGAGAGGGGGTTGATGAAATCAGCCAAGTTGATACCTGACAGATCGAGTACTACAACTACGGCATGTTGTCTGCCAGTCTCTCGTTCTCTCTGGTGCATAACACGGTGGAAACACTCGTGCAGTAAGAAGTACGAATGGAGTACGTTACTCAAAGGCATGACCCTCATAACCTATAGAATTGTGCAAGAGTTTATAGAAGGAGGACTTACCTCTTTGATGTCCACGTTCTCCATCTTCTGACAGAAGACGCCGACGTCGCCGCTGAAGACGTCCATCTTCAGTTGGGAGATGGCGAACCTCTAAACGGAAGGTTACTGTATTTTAGAAATTAAATTTGCCTTATGTTTGATTTAAGAAAGTTTTGAAACTTGTTTATCAAATATTTCCAATTTTATCACCACTGCTTTCAAAACACTACTGTAACAGTCACGGTAGTTCTCGTACCTCAAAGGTCTTTTTGGCCACAGGAAATGTTTCACAGAAGTCGAGGATGTTTTCTTCATTGTATCCCAACGTTCTGCGATGTTCTAGCAGCTCTTTCAGTCTAGTGATCAGACCTTGTTCATCATCTTTGTAGGCCCTCAGCCATCGTCCGATGGAGAAGTCGGAGTCGAATTCTTTTGGCAATACTTCTTGAAGTCGCTGTCTGAAACAAAGAACACGTGAGGTTGGGTTTCCACGAGAAGATCGTATCACAAAACAAAAACTTTCACTTTTAAAAAGGTTTTTGGTGTTGGAAAAGATACCTTATAACATAATAATAAGGTTTAGGATGTATAACTTATGACATTTTGCGGGAAAAAAAGCATAGTTTTGGGAATCTCAATTTGATATTATTTATGCAAATCAACAACACTTACCGTAAGTCGCTAGCCTTGGCTAATTCGGCATCTGTGAACGGTTCTGGTTGGCAAAGTAGTTTTTCTGGCATTCTGTGAATTTAGTTTTTAAAGTAATAAATAAAAGTATTATGATTTACATTTTTAAAGTATTTTGAACCACGAGAAAAGATATTTTAAAAATGTGAAGCTTTAAAGATAAAAGACCTTTAAACTGTAAACCCCGAAAACAATAAAGTAAATGTAAACAGGAGTAAAAGTAAATTTGCTATTGCTCACTCAACAACGTGACCAAAAATAAAAATTTTACGAAATGGCTTCGGAAAGGTAAAAAGATCAGACGAACTTAAAAACACCTGCCCCCTCGAGATCGCCTTTCTTCTGCTAAAACAATGTCATGAACGCGAATACATTGTCCATAAACGAAAACAGGTAAATTGTACCCTTCGATCAAAGAGAAAAGTTCTCAAGAAGGCGGGTCATCACGAGTCTGGAAGCCTTCAGAGTCAAATCGAATTCACAAAAAACGGCACAGAAGGGATTCTCCCGGATCCCATTAGACACCTTCCTCCCCCGATCCACGCCGTTACGAACACTTCCGAGGTCTGGAATACTGAATCTTCCTTCAGAATACAATGGAAATGGCAGTCACAAGTGGGTTACAACCAATTATGTCTCCAGTTGCGTAACATACCACCATAATAACATGATATTTACCCCGTACGAAGGGAATTTGGAACTCGACGCAATTAATTGATCACAGACTAATCACTTCCGAAATTGTTCCAGATGTTTCAATCGAGATTCTTGACATCCCAAACTGGTTTCGTAACAAAGTCGGACGTCATAAAAGACGTCGCCAACCAATAATGTACAATAACAATATAATTTGTTTATTATTGTCAGTTCGAAGACATTCAAGTAGTATTACGCTAAAATTAATATTTCACCAGTTCAGGAAAAACATCTGGTTTCATAGTATACGTTAAAAAAGTGTGTGGTAACAACGAACTTAACCTTTTATAAAAGTTATTACTCGCAAAAAGCAAAATTTCGAACCAAAAACTTTTTCTTTAAAAAAACGAATTACTGTAAAGTTAACTTTATAATAACAAAACTTTATTAGTTAGTCCCGTCACTTAACACAGAAACCATGCTTTTATAACTATTTATGAAAGGATGAGTTCAAATTAAAAAAGTCAACAACATGTACAATATAACAATCAGTGCATTAAGTATTTGTTCTCCTCGTGCAGAGAAGAAAGGGCACCTTCAAATTCGACCGTGATTTCAAAGTCCATATCTCTGACATTCCGCTTGTTCGGTTGCATTTTGAAGTGTCCATGTACCGTTTCGTCTTTCTTTATCGTGATCGAATCCTTGAAGTAGAAGACGGTCTGTTTCCAATGAGTGTAGCGAGAGTCTGGACTCGTGGAGAAGCCGGTTCGTTTGTGAGACTTCGTGAACTCGACGGTAAAGAAAGATACCAAGGCTTGAATGTAGTCATCACGACAAGCACGTAGCTCGAAGTCAGCTTCAAAAGACAAGTCTTCAACTTTCACAGTGTACAAGTCAATATCCTGAAAAGAAGAACTATTGAACAATTCTAGTACAAAGTAAAATTCAACATAACAAAGTACAAAAAAATTAAAATATGATATCTGGGTCTCGTAAAAAACAATAGTATACTTACCTTGATTAAATAATTATTCGTGACAGTTTGAGCTGGATCTACAACATCAACAAGTGGTTCAGTGATAGCAATATTCCTGATTGAAGACATGTTGAATCCATAGACATTGTCCCACCTAAATCGTAATTTTACATCCTTTAAATCATCCGAAACCCCTTATTTAAAATAACTTCCATTAAAAAAGTCTCTACAACATTCACCATGAATCACTTCTAAAAAACTTACCAGTTGATCTTGTCATCCTTATATTGTCTGTCTTCAATAGCTTGGACAAACAACTTGGCGCGATCAGGAAACAAAGCACCATCTGGAGCCAGCCATCTATCTCTGGCGTACAGAACAGTGTTCAACATACTCTCGTAAAACAAGCAGTATCCCATCCATTCGCTAATAATAACATCTACCTTCTCGATCCCCTCTGGCAACTCTTTGATATCTTCAACTTTGCATTGGATAACTTCAACAATATGATCCAAGTTGTTGTCTTTAATAATTTGACGCGATTGGACTGCCATGTTCGAAAATTCAATCTGAAATTTCATTGGTAAAAGAATAAAACTATGAAAAATAATTTAATAAACAACTTTTCACAGATACCTGTGGATTTTTTTTCGGATCGGCTCTGGGGGGGGAGTCACCCCAAACCACCCCCCCCCCCCAAACGACGTCCCTGCTACCTAAATATAAAAATTGTCAAAAGAACTTACGGCAAAGACTTTGCGAGCTCCAGCTTTGGCAGCGAACATCGACAAGATCCCCGTTCCACTTCCCACATCCATCACCACCTTGTTCTTGAACAAATGTTGATTGTGATAGACGGCATTCCTATAAGTCAATGTACGAACTTCATCTTTCAACATCTCCTCATGAATGCCGAAATGGGCATACGAATCAAAGTAGTAGTCTTTACTCGTCATCTCAGAAGGCTTAGCATCTCCATCGGCAGACACTTTGCCATTGCCGTTTTTCACCGTTTCTTCAGACATATTTAGAGATCGAATGAACAAAAACCCGTGAGTTTTTTTATAAAAAAAGATCAACAACAATTTTACAAAGCCAAGCCAAAATATATTTTGTGGGACTTTATTTATTGTTTTCGTCATGGGACTCAAAGAAGGAAGGGGTGCAGACGTCTATATTTTGATTGACTTATGGGGCTAAAAAGGATTGTAAAATAAAAATACTGTCCAAAATTACTTTATTCAATAAAGTTTTAAAAATTGTTACTATACGTATTAAACAGTAAAGTTTACCCATATTTAGTTTCTCCGAATAAAAGTGAAGTGCAGGCTGCAGCGTTACGAAATATTTCCAGTCGCGCCCAGTTTTTCGAATAAATTTTATTAATTTTTCTCGATCAAAAAGATTCGACGATCACGTTTTCTTCCAAACGTTTCTTTTAGCTATAAAAATTGTATTGTCTTCAACGTTTTACTTTATATTAAAGTATGTTTCTTGTTGGCTTAACCGGCGGAATTGCATGTGGGAAGAGCACGGTGAGTAAGATATTTCGAGATAATGGTGTTTATGTTGTGGATGCAGATCAAATAGCTCGTCAAGGTAAGGCAATCAATCAGGTTTTGATGTTTTTAGTTGTGGAACCAGGAAAGCCGGCCTATAAAAGACTGAGAGAAGTGTTTGGGCCAGAATACTTTCACGATGACACTGATGGAAGCCTGAATCGTGAGAAAATGGGCGATTTAGTGTTCCATGACGTCGAAGTAGGTGTTAAAGAATGCAGCTTTTATGCTGAACGTAAAAATATTTAAGTTTGACTAACTAAACTCTAATTTTTAGACAGGTATTTCACTGTTTTAGATATAAATTGGTTAAGTAGTCGTACATTTGTTGATTTTTTAGGAACGAAGGAAGCTAAACAGTATAACACATAGTGCCATACGGAAAGAAATGTTATGGGTTGTGTTGGGTCAGTTTGTGCGTGGAAATCGTTATGTTGTTCTTGATATTCCGCTGCTTTTCGAAGGTGGATTGAACCGAGTTGTGCAAAAGATAGTCGTTGTTTCGTGGTAAGACTTGCTAAAATGTTAAACAATATATGATTTAAAGTAATCATGTTTAATAGGTTTCTTTGTTATTTTTACAAAGTAACGAAACCTTGTTGGTAATGATTAACATAAATAGTTTTAGATAGATAACTAATTATAAAGTAATTGATATTGGTTGTAAATATGCTTTTAGTGACCCAGAGACTCAGCTGTCTAGACTTTGTAAAAGAGATGGGTTGAGCGAAGAACAAGCAGAAGCTAGGATAAGATCACAGTTACCGAACGAATACAAAGTAAAGAGGGCGACATATGTCATTGATAATCAGGGTAAACATAGTTAACTTAATTTTGAGTACAAACTTTAAAAGCACATAAATTATCTATTGTTTATGATAGTTAATATGACATTTATAATGAGATAGACGTTTAATCTATTTTTTTTATTTATAAAGTTATTTTTCGAATTTTAAAATTTAATTTTAAATTCAAAAACCGTACTGTTTTGACGGTTTTCCTGCAAACCCTGCATAGTTAATGTTGTTTGGCTTTGCAGGTACAATGGAAGAGACCAAAGCTCGGGTTCAGCAGATAATTGCCCACCTGGAGGCTAGCTGGATTCCGTTCGTGTTGCGGACCGGGTTTCTGATGTGCTTCGCCTTGGCAGGGTATTGCATCTACGGCTTCCTGAGATGAGACCGAGCGAAACGGTTGATTAGGGCTGTTCGTTTCCATAGTCACCATCTATTCAGTTCGTGAGATGCACAACTTTTTCAAGCCGCGAGGCTTGGTTCTGGGCGGCACGAGGCTTTGATTGTTGTTATAATCGTTTCGAATAATTACTCCAACTTTTTGTTATAACCGAGATTGGCTGAATGGTCCGGGGATGGCTGGTGTCGGCCAGAAAATGCATTTATACCTTTTTCGGACATTTTGAGTATTTTTAAAGGGCATTATTTAAGTTTATATAATGTTGGTGCCTTAAAATTGAGTTCCAGGAACTAGATTCTGGGTTGGTATTGTATCTCTCAGGGTAACGTTTATGTTGTTTACTATAATATTATGTTGTTGTACTAAGAAAGCTACATTACTTTGTTTTCTTGTTCTAAGCTAAGGGGAAGTCCCACATGGACTAATATGAATTTGTATGTTTGTACTTTTAGCTTTGTTGTGATAAAGTTGTATTTAAATCTAGTTATCAATAACAGTTCGAGCTAAGTTTCAACACCTTACGTAAATAAATGTTTTAGACCGTGCTCATAGGTGTGTTTGTAAGTGCCTTTCAAAAGAACTATTTATAAAACATTACCCAAAAACCTATTTTAAGAGTTTCATACCTAAACTCTGAAATCCTTTGAAAAGCGTTCAAAGAATTGAACCCTCCCCCATCCGAGTTACAGTACCCCTCCGAGGCCGTGTTTACGTGGAAAGTAATTCCTGACCCTTACTCTTTCCTTTCTTGAACTGCTATTCCTTTTGAAAGCAAGTTCACGTCACCACTTCCGGTCTTTTAAGTCTTACCGGAACTTTCACGGTCTCCAGACTTCAGATGGATCACAGCACGGAGAACACGATGCCGCCGCCCAAGATTCTGCTGGACAAGTACGAAAAGCTGGGCAAGATCGGGGAGGGATCGTACGGGGTGGTGTTCAAGTGCAGGAACAGAGAAACCAATCAGATCGTGGCGATCAAGAAGTTCGTCGAGACTGACGATGACCCCTCGATCAAGAAGATCGCCTTGAGGGAGATCAGGATGCTCAAGGTGAGACATTACGTTACCTTAAATGTACTGTAAACGGGTGATCAGCGTTTCGTAAAGTTCAAACAACCATTTGTCGTTTGTGACATTCCTAACGTAGAGTGTTTCATGGTAAACATTGCTTTAGGCACTCAAGCATCCAAACCTGGTGAATCTGATAGAAGTCTTCAAACGCAACAAGAAACTACACTTGGTATTCGAGCATTGTGAACGTACCGTACTGGACGACTTGGAAAAGTACCCAAAAGGGTGAGTACAACATACATAATTTAAGTCAAGTTATCTTTTACAAAAGATGATGTATAATATTTTCAAAATTGTAATCATAAAAGTGTCTTTCAATAATGTTCAAGAGCGCATCAGTAATTTAATTATCTTTAATTTCAGATGCCCAGAATCGCTGACCAAAAAGATACTGTACCAACTACTACAAGCGCTAAACTTTTGTCTTGGGTTTTTTGGTGGGTGACTTGGACTTCTTTTTATGTTTTTTCTTCGAACTTTTAGGCGATTCTGCACTGTGCTTTTTGGAAGGAACTTTTCGACCGCTGCCGTGGGCTTTTTGGGCTTCTAGAGGATTGGACTTTGCTGAATGAAAGACTGGGGATTTGGAACCGCCACGAGCTGTAGATAAAGACACGCCCTTGTCTCCAATCAGGCAACCTATCTGATCCATCTTGTCTTCCAGGTCTTTGGGAGCGACGGCCTGTACACCCGGGATTTGGAATACTGTAGCCTAAAAAGAGGTTTATTTAAGTATACATCCCAGAGCCCCAGTCCTAGTACTAACCCTAGCCCTAGTAGAAGCCCTAGACCTGGTACTAGCCCTGGTCCTAGTCCTACCCCTAAAACGCGCCCTATTCCTAGTACTAGCCCTGGTACTAATCCTAGACCTAGTACAAACTCTAGACTTGGTACTAGTCCCGGTACAAATCCTAGCCCCAGTACGAGCTCTAGACCTGGTACTGGCCCTGGTACTAACCCTAGACCTAATACTAGAACCTAAAACCCTAGCCCTAGTAGTACTTCTAGTACTAACACTAGGACTACTACTAACACTAGCCCTAGTACAAATAATAGCCCAAGTACTAGACCTAATCCACTTTTTCAAAATTTAACGCCCAAAAATCCGATCCCGCCCAAAAATCACACTGCTAAACTACCCCGCCCAACCTCTCTCTTTACCAGCCCAAACCTCTCTATTTCTAAACTACCCCACCCAACACTCCTCCTTACCAGCCCAAACTCTGGCGGTTTGTACTTGAGCTCCCATACTCGCAACATCAGGACAATCTTAGTGAATGACATCCGAACTTGAGTATCCTTGAGGAAGATGCCATTTTTCGTCAGAAGTCGAATCTCTTCGGGAGTTTTGTCGGGCATGGGTAACATTTTACAGCTGAGAATCATTGCCCTCACTTTGTCATTGTCGATTTCGGCAAAGGGTTGGGCGCCGTTGCCAAAAATCTCGTATAACATCACTCCCCATGCCCTGAAATTTTAGTTTTTAAATTTAAAAAATTAAGTACATATTCTTAAAGTAAAAATCTGCCCCCAAACAAAAACTCTACCCCCAAAATACAGATCTACCCCCAAAACTAAAATCTACCCCCAAAATACAGATCTACCCCCAAAACTAAAATCTACCCCCAAAATGAAAATCTACCCGCAAAATAAAAATCTACCCCCAAAATAAAAATCTTCCCCCCAAAAGTTAATATGTACCCTAAAAAAGTGCCAAAAGCCTTACCAAACATCACTAGCCCACGTGTAGCACGGTGCCTCGTCGCTCACGGCTTCTGGAGCAGTCCATCGTAGCGGTTTCTTCAGATTTCGCACCCGTTCGCCGGCTAGCACGTTCACAATCTTACTCATGCCAAAGTCACTAATCTTCAACATACCCTCACTGCTGATCAGAACGTTTCGCGCCGCCAAGTCACGGTGAATCAGTTCTCTGAAATAGATTTAGGCTAGAACTAAGACTGGCACTAAGGTTAAAGCTAGAGTTAGAGATAGGACCAAAGCTAGGGTTAGGACTAGAGCTAGGACAAAAGCTAGACAACGCTAGGGCTACGCAAAGCTATGGCAAGGGTTAGGTACTTACTTTGTGTGCAAAAACTCCATCCCAAGAGCCGTCTCAAAGCAATACCGTACTCGTTCTCCTACTGTAATAGCATCTAGTTGTTTCTTCAAGTGAGATGACAAAGATCCTCCCGGACAGAACTCCATAGCTATCATGATTGGGGACTCGTCACAGCAAATACCATAAAACTAAAGATAAATTTTAAAAACTTTTTCATAATAACAAAAAATCAAGGCGCTCATGCAAAATCGTTCTCTAAAAACCAAAGGATCGTTCCCCACTCGTAAAGGCATACTCATTCCCCCCCCCCTGTGAAAAGTTTCATTTCGATGGCATTTTATTCTTTTTTTGTGTTGAAATCTAAAAATGAATAAAAATTAGGGTAATGGTTATGCACTGTAGGGAACGATAGTGCACTGAGTAACGATTCTTTTTTATTACCCCCACTCCACCTTATCATACCCTACCCTACTCTAATCTACACTATCCTACCGTACCCTACCCTATATTGCCCTACCGTACTCTACAATTTGAAATAAGAACCATACACTAATGACATGCGAATGTTTAAAGTCCTTCATCACGGTAGCCTCTGTGACCATTTCAGCGTTCTGTTCCTCCGCTTCGTCTTCTGAAATCTTGCTTTAATTTTTATAGAAATAAAAAAAAACCAAAATGATGCTGAAAAAAGTTAAAAATGATAATAATAAATTCCTTGCCTTCGCCTTTATCCTTGCATATTTTGACTGCCATTTTGAGTTGCTTTTTGTATGTTCCGGCTTGTACTGTGCTGAACTCTCCACTGCCTAAAAAATTTTTATTTATCCCCAATTCTCAATAACAACTACAATACCCTGCTCAGTTAACAAAATTTAAAATACCATGCCCAGCTACCATCAATTTTAAGATACCCGTCTAATCATCAAATTATTTTACCCTGCGCAGTGAAAACAAAGCTTAAAATATCCTGCCCACCCAACAGAACTCAAAATATCCTGCTCAACTCCTAACCCTATGTAAACCCGTACCCCTGCCTCTAATTCTATACTTACCCTCACCCCTTCCACGCCCTATTCTTACCCTACCTTTTTACCGCACAACATCCCGACCAGCAGTGTAAATTTAAAAATACCCTGCCCAATAATCAAAATTTTAAAATACCCTGCCCAATAGAAACAATATTTAAAATAATCCGCCCAGTTAATAAAACTCACAATACCCTACACGAATAACACAATTTTAGGATACCCCGCCCCATCATCAATAATTTCAAAAACCATACCCAATTTAGTCTTCTCCAAGTGCATTTCGCTCTTGGTTAACATCCAGAAGGGTCGAGTGTTGACATTCATGATGGTCACTTCCTCTCCATCAAACAGAAAGGCGTTCTTCTTGTGATGCTCAACGAACTCATTTATGGTATTGAACTTTCGTTTTGGCTTCCGAACTGAATGCCATCGACCGCCTTCTTCTGACAGTCGTTCGTGATGGACTGAGCTCAAGCCTTTAATCATCGACACAAACGACTTCTTCCGCACATCAAAACGCACGGCGAAATCACCCTTTTTTAGTAGGCAGTTCTGAAATTAAAAAATTGAAATTTAAAAATTTCAAAATTTTAAAAAAATTTTTAAATTTTTAAAAATTTAAAAAACCCACTTCAGCATTGACTCTAGGCAAAACCCCCCAAAAAAATAAGGTTCGTGGACAATTTGATTGTTCTTGCCCATGCCTCAAATCTGTGAACTCTTGAAGCAAGAACAGAGTCAGTCGAGAGTAAAATACGAAGCGACTGGTCGCTATCGAAAAGGTAACAGTCGAATGATCTCATTTCAATTTTTTTGCCAATGCTGAAACGAATTAACATAAAAACTTAATTTTTTGCCTTTTTTCAAATTTTAAAACAATTTTTTAAATTTTAAAAAATTTCAAAAAATTGAATTTTGATAAAAACCCGCAATCTGCGCCCGCGATTAGAATTAAAATTTTAGAATTAGCCCTAAAAGTAAAATTATAGCCTTAGAATTACTGTAAGTTATAAAAAATATGTAAATCATACCACGTCACAGTACAGTAAAATGGAAAGAAAAGTCTTGTCGTTTTTGACCGTGCAAATGCATACAAATTGACGAAAATACCGGGGTAAAAGTAGAAGTAAAGGTTGGGATGGGAGTAAGGATAAGAATAATATTATAGTAAAGATACACCCATGGATAGAGGGGTAGGGGTAAAGGTAGGGGTAGAGGTAGGTGCAAGGGGCTGCCAATCCTAATTTCGATACCAAATACTGTTATTACTTCAGTAAAAACTGTCATTTCTAATTAACAATCACCTCTTTGGTCACAATTTATTGCTAAACAAAGCTCTTTATTGCAAATAAATGGAAGATATTATAGTATGTACGTCAATTCAAACCAAATTCACGTCAAAACAAATTGTAAAGTAACATATTATTCATGATAAAAAGTGTGATATAACACAATATGCAAGTTTAAAGTAAAATATCCACATTTCGATATTATTTTAATAATGAAAAATTGAAAAAAAATTTTAAAATAATTGTGAAAACAAAGTAAAAATAACCGTAATCAAAGAAAAAATGACTAAAAGTCTACTGTACTTATTAATATAGCATATGAACAGAGATAAAGCAAAGAGAAAAGTATCAAGACAACAAAATGAAGAGAAGATAACAATAAAACAGAATAAAATGAAGTAAAAGTACCTATAAAAGACATAAAATAAAGAAAACAAAGCCCCAACTCCTTCCACTAAAACCTTGTAACCACCGATTCACCGGCTTCATTCGGCGGCACTGAATCCTCTTTTTGGGCCGAACTCAGCATCAAGTTGTATTGTTCGAGCCGCGCCCTCAACAACCCGCACAAGTGGCGGTATTTGACCACATCTGCCTGTAGAGCGTCACGTTCTCGTTCCAGTTCGGTGAGATCGTCCCTACTCACATTGTCATCGTTACCTGTTTCTTCTAGCTGACTGTTCTGGCTAGCATCCAAGGTTTTGACCGCCGCCTCCGGCAATTGAGCTCGGACTTGGCGTAGAATGCCCAACAGTTGAGTGACTTTGCGTTTCTCTTCATCTACCTCAAGTTTAAGTGATATGTGCAAGGCGAGGAGTTGTTTTTCGACAAAAGTTGGGGATGGCTCCACTTCCTAAAACCATGACATTAAAAAGTGGTTACTCTATAAAAGTGTGACATTATAAAGTTGTTATTCTATAAAAGTATGCCATTAAAAAGTTTTTATAGTTATGATGTAAATTGTTATGCCCCTCTTTTTACTGTAACAGTAATCCGAGTAAAACCGGTGACTAATCTCTCAATTATTCGTCTGTGAGATTAGTTGTAACCATCCCCAATCTACTTCACGGTTTTATGAGTCATTTCGACCTTTGAATGCTTCGAAAAAAGTCGTAAAACGTTTTAAATCTTAAAAAAAAAGAAACGCATAACATTTACTACCGTTATCTACCCTGACTAGAACAGTGAAAGCGACAGTTGGGCCGTACCGGGCCTAGTAGAAATCCTTTCAGATGCACCCCTAACCCAAATACTCAAAAAATTAGATTAACCTTCCCTTCCTCGCCCAACATTTGTCAAAAAAAATTTTATTTAAATCCACTCCCATCCACCCCTCCCCTTAAGCCAAACTCAAGATTGTAAATCTCCCCACCCCTCTCCTTAAGCCAACCTCAAGATTTTAAAATCCTCCACCCCTCGTTAAGCCAACCTCAAGATTGTAAAACTGCGCTTACCTGATGCCGATCGTCGTCATCCGAATTGGCGCGTTGTGAAGAGCTTTCGCCATCGAATAATCTGCAAAAACGAACAACTTGGCGCGATCAAACCATCAACGATGAAGAATGAAAAAAGAAGACGAAGCGAATGGACTGACTTTCCTTCTCAAACACCGTTAAGAAAACGAGATCTGGTAGGAAAGTTGTGAGATTCTGCCGTTTCAGCTCACACACAAAAACAATTATGCTCACGTTTCTCGTGTTGGCATTGCTGTCTCACCAGCTGTATGGGGAAGGTATACCATCGTGTCCCGACCCCGACTCAATTACTACTTCTTTGGTATGTTTGCTATGATTTTTGTAAGCCTGCACCTGTGTAGCTCTTATAAGTTATTAGTTAGAAGTCAAATTCTTAGTTTAGATAGAAAACTAGCTTAAACGTCATGTAAAATACCTTGTTTTAGTTGTTAAAACAGCAAACTGACTAAAGCTTTTTTGAAAACCCAAGTATCTTTATCCAACTACCGTACTTTAGTGCCATTTTTAAATCTTATCGTGCCAAGAATTGATAAAAAGATCTTTTAAAATCGTTTAAAAAGTAAAAATCAATTACCTTGCTCTGCTTTTACACTGTAATATTATTGTAGTCTTTTAGTCGTATGACGCAAAACCTCAATAGTCAACCTTACTATTTTCAACATACAATTAGGAAAGACATTACTTAGGCTTGTCGTCATACAACTAAAAGACTACAGTAATGTTACACTGTAAAATTTAAGTAACACTTTGATAATCACTTTTGATGTCTTCAAGTATGACTTTTAGAAAGTAAAAAACGTAAATTTAAAGCGTACCCAAATTTATGTTTTACTTCTTAAAAGTCATACTTGAAGCTAACGAAAGCGATCATCAAACTGTTAATTGAATTTTACAGTGTAACATTACTGTAGTATTTTAACTTTATGACGCAAAGTCTTGATAATGTTCTTTCTAATCGTATGTTGAAAATATTAAGGTTGACTATTGAAGTTGAGTGTCATACGACTAAAAAAATACAACAATTTTACAGTGTAACATTACTGTATTCTTTTACTAAAGTGCAATATTCTTATCTGTTTAAAAAAATATAGCTTTAAAATTCAAAAAATGCCTTTTTTAAAATATTTTTTATCCTAATATCTCGCAAGCAGAGATTAAATTGTCATTTTCCAAATTTTAAAACTACCTTTTAACCATATAAGAATATTGAGTGCACTGTAACTCACTAGCCAAGATAATATAGCAGTTTTTAAAAACAGTTTTCCCGGTAACTTTTTATGTTCTTTCATCCTATATAGGTCTCGTTCTAAAACCCGAGAGATATTTACTTCAACCCCTTTGTAAGTTGTATATATAAAACCTTGGCAATTTCTTTTGCAAATTATATATTGAAAATAGTAAGCTTGGCGACTGAGGTTTTATCCAAAATAATCCGTCTTACCCTTTATTTTTATCTTTTCATAGCAAACACAAACCTCTAACCTTTTCAGAACACCGACAACAGCACAGACATCTCCCACATTCAATGCATTTGCCTCAAAGACGTAGACAAGACCTCGTATCTTGTTCACTGTCCATTCGAAACCGAGATCACATTCCTCAACCAGGTGCTGAACGAGATCAACGATATTAATCATACCGTTTCGTCGGTAAGACCCCCCTCACAGTATTATATTTTACTCTTAGATAGTGGTGACCAACTTGAAAAAGTCCAACGATACGAATGTTACGTTTTGGGAAGCCATTACAACGGCAGCCACTGAAGAACTGGAGGAATTGACTATACGACATTGTAGTGAAGATATTAGGCTGGCTATTTTGAATGACACGCCTGTTCACAGTTTGAAAAGTGTTTTACAGTTAAAAATTGAGAACTGTAGACTTGGAAGGATACCTTCGCTGTTTCTACAAGGTTTGTCGGGATTAAGCTACTTGTCTTTGAAGGATAACAATATCGAAAAGCTTTTGAAGGATGACTTCAAAGGGCTTGACAAGGTAATATCTTTTGCTGTATAATAATTTCTTCTTTTACTGTACTGTAAAACTTTTACTGCGCTTTTTTGGAGTCAAACTTTAGTTTATAACGGCAATATTTCAGTTGACAACCCTGGATATCAGTGAAAACATAATCAACAATGTTAAAGATAACTCCCTATCTACTCTACCTCAACTAGAAACGTTGTATGTTGGAAATCATAACAATATCACCGAGTCGTTCAAACACGAAATTTCCAGATTGCCTTCGTTAAAAGTGAGTCAAGCTTCGTATCTAACAGTATCAACATTTTATTGATAAAACAATGCCTACCATATTAGGTAGCTCAAATAATTCTGTGCCTCCAAACTGCTAAAATTTGCTTTTAGAGGGACACAGAATTATTTGAACATCCTAATATAAGATTATTCAATGAAAATATGTTATTTCAAGTTTTGTTTTCAGCAAATCAGTTTAGCCAAAGCTGACGAAGTCTACAATTTAGACGACTTCAAATTCTCAGAAGGCAGCAAGTTAGAACGAGCTGATTTATCTGGTTGTGGACTAACAGAACTCAAAAAAGATGACTTGAAGCACTTGGAAAGCCTTGAATATGTAATGTTTTAGAACTTCTTATCAAACAAAAACATAATATTCTTGTAGCCAATGCCTTTTCATTTCAAAAAATTAACTTTCAGCTAGACCTAAGCGTGAATCTGATTGAAAAAATCGACTCCAACTCCTTCAGTCCGACCAAAAACCTTCAATACCTATCATTGGCAGGTAATTTCCTGAACGAAACAAACTTGAATACTGACTCATGGACTGGACTAGACAGTTTGATAAACCTTGACCTTGGCTACAACGAATTCACAGGCTTTGAGAACTCTTTCAAACACTTGGGAAACTTGAAAACATTGAATTTAAGATCAAATTCAAGACTATTTCGACTGGAATCGAATGCGTTCGATGGGTTGAAAAGCTTGGAAGACTTGAATTTGACTGCTTGTTCAATTAAGCATATCGATGATAAGGCTTTTGATGGAATGGAAAATATCAAGGTAACCAATGACTGTGAAAGACCATAATTTTATAAGAAAAGTGATAAAACAAGTAAAAATTCCAACATGTTCAAATAATTCTGTGCCCCTCTCAAAGCAAATTTTTGTGATTTAAAAACACAAGATTATTTGAACAACCTAAATTATAACCCAAAGCTCTAGTTTTACTCTCAAAGACAGTAAAATAAACTTGACCTTCAGCTCACCAAGTTAAAATAAACTTTTCAGACCCTTGACCTATCATTTAACAAGTTGTATCAGCTTGAAACGCCGTTTAAAGTCATTGGTTCTGGACTGAACAACTTGAATTTGTCATCAAATCGACTAACATTTATCAACGCCTCCACCTTTTCTGACCTCCACAACCTGACAATCCTGGACATTTCACAAAATCCGTTCGTTTGCAACTACAAAGTTCTTGAACGTGAGTTTAATTCAAAAAGGATCCTTATTATCAAACCTCTTTCTTTATAACTCTTACTAATAATTCCACTCCAACAACATAGTGACATTTTTTAAAAACCACAACTATCTTAACACAACTATTATGTCTTGATGATCAGTCTGATCATTGACAACCATTACCATCTATTTCATTTCAAAATTTCAGTTCAAAAATGGATCAACGAAGAATATATTCGAGCAACCAAAGATTCACGACCATTTTACTTAGCCAAGCCTGAACAGGTCGCTTGTGAAGAGCCTGCTCACCTCAAGGGCCGAGAGCTAATGGAAATAACGATTGATATGATCAACAATGTCCCTGAGACCACATTCACCCCACCTTCAACTACCGAATCCGACGAACTCACCACGATGGGCTTCGATTTGAGCAAAGTAGGGTTACTTTGTCTATTTATAAGTGTATTTTATAGCCAAAATCTTGTTTTTCTTAGTCTTTGAAAAGAAAAAGTAGATTTTTGTGGATTGATTAGGTAAAATAAGTGTTATTTTCGTAGTAAAATAATAATAACATCCATTTTTTGGCACAATGCGCTCAGTATGAGGTGCTCAAAAAAGCCTTGCCGTCTCCCGTATGTGCAAACCAATACAAATTACCGACAAAACTTAATTGCCACCTTAATATTAGGTTGTTCAAAGAATTCGGTGCTCGAAACCCTACAAATTTGTTTTGTGAGGTAGGGCAAAATTTTCTGAACAACCCAATATTAAAGTGGCAGTTAAGTTTTGTCGTTAATTGGTATTGGTTTGCATGTACAGAACGCGACAAGAGTTTTTAAGCACCTCATACTGAGTGTACATTGGTCCAAACAATAAATGTTATTATCAATTTACTGTGAAACTAACATTTATCCTACCTAATCAAAGCATAAACCTCCACTTTTTGTTAAGAAATCTTGTTTTTTCTTATAAAACCTCCCAAACTTCAAATAAGATATTGTTTTAGTGGTCCGCGCACATAGGAGAAGGTAATGACACCTTATTCAAGGAAGAGTCGGATGCTGACAAACCAACCTATGACATCAATTCAATCAAGTACGGTCAACGACAGACCAAAACTCAGACACAGACGACCTGGGTCACTATATCAAGTGTGGCTTTCTTGGTTTTGGTGACTATTATTGGCGTGATATACGTTGTTAGACGGAAGGTATGTGTTTTTTAGATCTTTTATATTATATTTTTCTATGCTTTTCTCTTTTGTATTTGTATATCGTTATAGTTTTCTAGTATTATATAGATTTTATATTGTAGTTAAATTATTGTCGTTTTCTTTAGTATTAAGGTTAAATTCCTAACTATTGGGTTGTTCAAATAATTCTGTGCCTCTAAGAAGTTTGTCATAAGCTGCTTCATGAGCACAGAATTACTTGAACAACTTAATAGCATCAAAAGAAAAAAATTGATAAAACAGACAAGATGATCACTATAACCATCAAATTTCAGAAGACCAACCTAGTAAGCGAACACTCAATAAGCCAAGGAATATCTTCATCGCTGTAAAGTACAAGTATATAAAACACTTACCCTAGTATCGCTGGCTCATTGAATAGTTCGGTCATCTGAAACAGCCATATTTATTCCAATCCATGTATAAATTATATGTTTATATTAAAATTTAACTAGAGTCACCTCAATAAAACTATAAACTTTAAAGTTCTTACGGGCTCTGCATCAGGACATAATCTTGTAGTTGCATTTAACAAAAATAACCGAATCAATTGTTTTGGCAAGTTCAACATCGCTTGTAACAACACTCCCAATGCTCCAAAGTTCATCTTGTTTACATTACTCTGTAATACATTTAAGAATCTCAAACAAATTTAAAGATTACAATATAGTTCAACCTTTTAGGTTTAAAAACCACATTTTTTAAATTTTAGGTAACAAAAATAGAAAAAAGAGCCAAAAACGTACATTTTGGACAACATGCTGAGCATGAACAAACACTATGGATAACAAATGATAATTTTCTACTGGCAATTGCTTTAGTAAGGCTGATACTTGGTTGACAGTATCACATCGACAAGGAGAGTCAAAGTTACATTGGCAAGCTAAAAATATTAAAAAATAGCTTGAATTTTAAATTCAATTTAGATTTTGTGTCAAAACATATTCTTTTTGCTCATATTATTAAAAAACTATGATAAAATGCCAAGAAATTATGTTCAAAACCAAAAATACGAAGTAATTATCTAAAACTGATTAAATACCTAAAACACTATACACAAAAGTAATTAGTCTCAAACTTACAACTGGCAACCTCTTCACAACTCTTCCTGACATTCACAAGCACATGAGTGGGTAATTGCCTCAGGAACCTCTTCAATAACCCAGCTGCATTATGAACATCATCAAAGCTCATCTGATTTCCAGCATCAGCCAACCTTTCCAGCTCATCCAGCTTTGATTTAGACGCTGATATTCGATATATACCTTCCACATTTAACCCTAAAGCTCAAATTTAAGATAAAAGGCATTATTATCTGTAGAAAAACGTTAGGATGAGCAATTGAAAGTTAAAAACAGCCAAAGCATGTTAACATAGATGTCATTGAGCAGTTTTAACCCTATGATAAAGCAGAAAGCGATCTAAACGCCAACAAAAAGATACAAAACCACTTACCGTGTTGATTCACATGACTCACGCACTCCCAGACGATTCTTGGAACCCTAACCGAGCCAGAAACAGCTCCGTTAGCTACAGCTTCGTTCAAATTCACTCCAAATATTCGTTTATTATCTAAACATAAATAACATCAAACTCTTATCTCTAAAAACAATATAAACAAAAGAAAAGCAACCTCTCATCGCTTACATTTCTCCAGATCATTGGCGGACTTTCGATCCTTGGACTTGAGCCCGAACACCATGATGCTGTTCACCGTCGCATTGAAGTTCAACCAGCACGTTGAGCTTCTTTATTCCCCAGACAAGCCGATAATTATTCCATAAGACAAAAAGGTCAGAGCAAGGATTTAGTGTTCCATGACGTCGAAGTAGGTGTTAAAGAATGCAGCTTTTATGCTGAACGTAAAAATATTTAAGTTTGACTAACTAAACTCTAATTTTTAGACAGGTATTTCACTGTTTTAGATATAAATTGGTTAAGTAGTCGTACATTTGTTGATTTTTTAGGAACGAAGGAAGCTAAACAGTATAACACATAGTGCCATACGGAAAGAAATGTTATGGGTTGTGTTGGGTCAGTTTGTGCGTGGAAATCGTTATGTTGTTCTTGATATTCCGCTGCTTTTCGAAGGTGGATTGAACCGAGTTGTGCAAAAGATAGTCGTTGTTTCGTGGTAAGACTTGCTAAAATGTTAAACAATATATGATTTAAAGTAATCATGTTTAATAGGTTTCTTTGTTATTTTTACAAAGTAACGAAACCTTGTTGGTAATGATTAACATAAATAGTTTTAGATAGATAACTAATTATAAAGTAATTGATATTGGTTGTAAATATGCTTTTAGTGACCCAGAGACTCAGCTGTCTAGACTTTGTAAAAGAGATGGGTTGAGCGAAGAACAAGCAGAAGCTAGGATAAGATCACAGTTACCGAACGAATACAAAGTAAAGAGGGCGACATATGTCATTGATAATCAGGGTAAACATAGTTAACTTAATTTTGAGTACAAACTTTAAAAGCACATAAATTATCTATTGTTTATGATAGTTAATATGACATTTATAATGAGATAGACGTTTAATCTATTTTTTTTATTTATAAAGTTATTTTTCGAATTTTAAAATTTAATTTTAAATTCAAAAACCGTACTGTTTTGACGGTTTTCCTGCAAACCCTGCATAGTTAATGTTGTTTGGCTTTGCAGGTACAATGGAAGAGACCAAAGCTCGGGTTCAGCAGATAATTGCCCACCTGGAGGCTAGCTGGATTCCGTTCGTGTTGCGGACCGGGTTTCTGATGTGCTTCGCCTTGGCAGGGTATTGCATCTACGGCTTCCTGAGATGAGACCGAGCGAAACGGTTGATTAGGGCTGTTCGTTTCCATAGTCACCATCTATTCAGTTCGTGAGATGCACAACTTTTTCAAGCCGCGAGGCTTGGTTCTGGGCGGCACGAGGCTTTGATTGTTGTTATAATCGTTTCGAATAATTACTCCAACTTTTTGTTATAACCGAGATTGGCTGAATGGTCCGGGGATGGCTGGTGTCGGCCAGAAAATGCATTTATACCTTTTTCGGACATTTTGAGTATTTTTTAAAGGGCATTATTTAAGTTTATATAATGTTGGTGCCTTAAAATTGAGTTCCAGGAACTAGATTCTGGGTTGGTATTGTATCTCTCAGGGTAACGTTTATGTTGTTTACTATAATATTATGTTGTTGTACTAAGAAAGCTACATTACTTTGTTTTCTTGTTCTAAGCTAAGGGGAAGTCCCACATGGACTAATATGAATTTGTATGTTTGTACTTTTAGCTTTGTTGTGATAAAGTTGTATTTAAATCTAGTTATCAATAACAGTTCGAGCTAAGTTTCAACACCTTACGTAAATAAATGTTTTAGACCGTGCTCATAGGTGTGTTTGTAAGTGCCTTTCAAAAGAACTATTTATAAAACATTACCCAAAAACCTATTTTAAGAGTTTCATACCTAAACTCTGAAATCCTTTGAAAAGCGTTCAAAGAATTGAACCCTCCCCCATCCGAGTTACAGTACCCCTCCGAGGCCGTGTTTACGTGGAAAGTAATTCCTGACCCTTACTCTTTCCTTTCTTGAACTGCTATTCCTTTTGAAAGCAAGTTCACGTCACCACTTCCGGTCTTTTAAGTCTTACCGGAACTTTCACGGTCTCCAGACTTCAGATGGATCACAGCACGGAGAACACGATGCCGCCGCCCAAGATTCTGCTGGACAAGTACGAAAAGCTGGGCAAGATCGGGGAGGGATCGTACGGGGTGGTGTTCAAGTGCAGGAACAGAGAAACCAATCAGATCGTGGCGATCAAGAAGTTCGTCGAGACTGACGATGACCCCTCGATCAAGAAGATCGCCTTGAGGGAGATCAGGATGCTCAAGGTGAGACATTACGTTACCTTAAATGTACTGTAAACGGGTGATCAGCGTTTCGTAAAGTTCAAACAACCATTTGTCGTTTGTGACATTCCTAACGTAGAGTGTTTCATGGTAAACATTGCTTTAGGCACTCAAGCATCCAAACCTGGTGAATCTGATAGAAGTCTTCAAACGCAACAAGAAACTACACTTGGTATTCGAGCATTGTGAACGTACCGTACTGGACGACTTGGAAAAGTACCCAAAAGGGTGAGTACAACATACATAATTTAAGTCAAGTTATCTTTTACAAAAGATGATGTATAATATTTTCAAAATTGTAATCATAAAAGTGTCTTTCAATAATGTTCAAGAGCGCATCAGTAATTTAATTATCTTTAATTTCAGATGCCCAGAATCGCTGACCAAAAAGATACTGTACCAACTACTACAAGCGCTAAACTTTTGTCATAGCAGGAACTGTATACACAGAGATGTGAAGCCCGAGAACATCCTGGTTACCTACAACGATGTGGTCAAGTTGGGAGACTTCGGGTTCGCCAGAATTATGAGTAAGTCACAGTTAAGGCTTTCAAAGCAAATTCATGTGAAAGATACGGTGTGTGGTGGTAAGAGAGTAATATCTTATTCAGTAGGAACAGGATATACAATAACATGACATCTAGACAACCGTTTCTGAAGACTTGTTTTAGACACAAACGAACTGTACACAGACTATGTGGCCACACGATGGTACAGAAGTCCGGAGCTACTGGTCGGCGACATGCATTATGGCCCAGCTGTTGATATCTGGGCCATAGGATGTGTGTTCGCAGAAATGTTAACCGGAGACCCGTTGTGGCCAGGGAGGACAGACGTGGACCAGCTCTATCTCATCAAACAAACTGTCGGTATGTTATATTATCCGGAACATCCAATAATATTATCATAAGCTTGGGTATACTGTTAAGCCACAAACTTTTTGCAGATTCTGTTTAGGCTTTACCATGCCTATTTATACTACAGTAACTAATCGATTTGTATTTAAATTGTGTGTTTTAGGTGACATTTTCCAAAAACACGTCCAAGTGTTCCGCCAGAATCAGTACTTTAGAGGAATGAGTATACCCGAGCCTGACGAATTGTTGGAATTACAGCAGAAAGTGCCCCAGGCAACCTCGGTGGACATCGACTTTCTACAGGTAATCATTTCTCAGATCAACAAACCATATTATACATGACAGCAGTACAGTTTGTGACTGTTCATGAAACACAAATACTTATACTTAACACGTTAACGTTCCAGAGATGTTTCGACCCCAACCCGGACCTCCGATGGTCGTGTTCGGAGCTTTTGAAGCACGACTACTTCAAGGGCTATGTCTTCAAATACCCTGAGGATACGACGACGCCGATTCGAAAATTGTCGCCTCATCTTCCGCAGCTCGATAATGGCGACAGAAAACGGAACGGACTTCAAAATCAGTACAAAAGTATTGAACACGGCAACTACCTCCCCTCCATCTCGTAACAAAAGTAATGGCAGTAATATATTTGCATATAAATATGTACAAAATATTATGAAAGACATTCGTCCAGATGGGCGTTTAGGACACCTAGTGGTACCCGTTTGGGACAGTTGGGGCAGATTACCAGTTCACAGTTTGGGAGGGCTTTAGATTGCGACGTTTTCTCACGACTCTGAGACCCTCCAAGTTTCACTCCTGAAGTTGTTTGATGATTACACTTACTGTTATAGAAGTAATGGCGAGTTATAAAAGACAATAAAAACTCATTTTAATAAAAATAAATATGAACATACCTTCTCCTTGAAAAAGTAATTCAAAAGCAGAAGTGGTGGCAACTGAAGACACATTATTCTCTTGCTCATCTACTACAACATCCTCTTCTTCACTGTCCTCTAGACATATGACCTCAGGTTCTTTAGTTGCATTGACAACAGGTTGACTATCCTTCAGCCCAGTCTTGAAGTAGTTAGAGATGTCGATCTTAGGGTTAGGTACAGAAATAGTCTTACTCTTCTTGACCTTGCCTGTCTTCTCCTTCTTTTTGTAGTTCTCTGGCTCTTTGACTTTAATAAAGGTGCCCCCACAAAGCTGTTGATGTGATTTCCACCAGGTATCGTTCTTCGACGGTGCTCTATTCATACTCCTCTTGACATACCCGTAGAAAGGACCTACACCTTGACATCGACCATTGCATCTCCACCAATGTTGTTTGTAAAGTCGTACTTCGTCGTGGAAACTATGATAAACTGTAATATTGACATTGGCAATCTCGTTGATACGTCGCATATGATCTTGAAACATTGGGCCGTGGTCTTCTCTTCCGTCTGTGCTACCGTGAAGAAACAAGTAGGCGTGGATCATTTCGTGCTAAAATATTGCTGAATGTTGACAGAATTATAAAACAATTACAAAAGAGTTTATAAAATACATAAAAAGTTGATTTAAAGTGAATATTAACATCAACTTAACCAAAGAATTACATTTAAAGGCCAAAAACACACGATATTGTACTTAATTTAACTATTAATATGCTTTACACAAAGACTCTTACCAATAGTGTTTCCACAAAATTCTTGCGTGATCTAAGCTTGAGCAAAGGTTCTGACAACCTTATAATGCAATGTCCAAGTCGAGGTTTGAAGTAGCAAATCCCGGCACATCTAAAAACCAATAACAATATAAACCTAACTTACGTGCTCATTTTCTTCGACCATTCCACCACACATTGTTGTAAAGAACCTTCAAAGAACTGGAAATCAAACAACCTGAAGGTTTCCAAAAGGTCTGGCGTCGGATCGTACAGTTCAGCATCTGGATCTGCCAGATTCATTTGACATGAAGATGAAGGAACATGAATAATATCTTTATCCATCAATATCACAGTTTAGAAGATTCAAACAAACTATAAAGACTATAAGCTTGTGATCTCCATGAGCTCAAAAGATAAAGATTTGATTTGTAAAAATATATTTTACTAAAAGAATACTTCCGACCTGCGCCCAATTTTACTGCGACCAGCGATTTCATAAACATTTTTTAGAGCTACAGTAAAAGTAAAGATTGAAACATATTTTTATGTTTATTTCCAGTTTAGTAGTTATAAGTCATTTTGTGGAAGACATTGTGCCAGATGTTCGTTTAAGGCTTTGAATGGTATCCGTTTAGGACAGTTGCAGCACAGTACCAGATCGTTGTGGTTTACGTTAGGTTCTGTTGTGTTTGCAGGTACTCCAAGTGTTGCTCCTAAAACGTTTGAGTCACATGACATAGACCATAGTTTGTTATAAACATAACGTAAACTAAAGTGTTACCTGTTCCTTTGAAGTTATCCTCGAAGGTTGGAGCTGGCAATAAGTCTTCCCGTATCTCGAATTCTTTTTCTACTCCATCATCCAGTGTGGCTGTGGTAGTATCCTCACTGTCCACTTCTTCTGCATCAGGTAAAATCCAAGTCTCGATCTTATTTTTAGGCTTAGCCTTTCTAGGAATACACAGCAAACAGAGACTCGCGCGAATGATCCTTCGCCACTTTCTTCTTATCGCACGAGCAAGAGTTTTTCGATTTATCAAAAAACAGTCGAAGAATTTATTTCTCAAAGCTTTCCCTTGGATTCTTGCCACTTCATTGCTGGTTCCTTCAGCTTCGTTCTTCTGCTCAGCTACTGCAACATCTTTACCTTTATTCTCATCTTCTTGACAAGCGACATTCGGAGGGTGTGGTAAAATATCATCATACGGTTTATGTACTACGTCTCCGTGAGATGCCATAACCTCAAGCGGTGTTTCTTGAGACTTATATACATTAAAATCAGGTGACTCGTTTGCCTCTTCAGCGTTGGAATCCTCATCAACGGAGGATACAGAGCAAAGTCGTCTACCTTCTGCCTGAAATGGCGTCACTTTTTTTTCGAGAGGTACTGGTTTGCTGACCTTGATGAAGGTACCTCCACAGATCCGTTTGTGAGCTTCCCAGAAAGAGTCCTTCTCCGATGGCTCACGTTCTGTTCTTCTCTTGATGTAGCCATAATTAGGAGGTTTAAACTGACATGGGCCGTCACACTTCCACCTATGAGGGTGGTGGAAATCCAATTCATCGATGTAATAGTGATATACTGTAACCTTGACATTAGTCATCTTGTTGATTCGCCGCATTTGATCTAGGAACAGTGGGCCGTGTTCCTCGTCCTCGTCACCGTGAATAAGCAAATAGGCATGGATCATTTCGTGCTATAACATCGTTTTGTATAGTTGTGTATTGTAAAAATGTAAAATTTCTTTATTTACTATAACCTCCTTACCAGCAGTGTCTCCAAAAGGTCCCTTCTAGTTCTTAGTTTAAGCAATGGTTCGGATAACCTTATAGTACATTGATATTTTTCGTTCATTCCGTTGTAGGTGCATAACCCAGCATACCTAAAAATTTATAATAACATGACTTGTCTTACCTGTACAAATTGTTTGAAAATTTCACTTTACATTTTTTGAGGGTGCCTCCGAAGAACGTATGGTCAAACATTTGGAAGGTTTCTCTCAGATCTATAGTTAGATCGTCGAACTCTTCTAATGGACCAACTAAGATTACTTTAGAAATTCGAAGTATTTGGTTGTATTTATCCATTAGGTACGTCACAGAACCGCTAAACAAGACCAAACCTAAACCAATGATATTTGCAAAATGAATTTTAAAAAAATGGTTTGGTTTTGCGGCCTGCGCCCTGTTTACTGCGACGTGCGCTTTAATAAATGTCCGAAAAATATTTTAGCTGGGCTCCGCGAAACAAACTTGCTCAAAACCTCTACCTCATGAACTGATGGCGCTGTTAGGTTTTCACATAGTATTGTCGTTGATTGCTGCCACTTTATACAACAAGTTAGGACCTGACTTTAAAGCATGCGATTGGTTGGTGTGGAGAGGGTAAGTTAATGTAAACTTGGTGTTATCGCTTTAGATTAAAGTATTTCTGGCTTCCCGAGCCTCAGGACAACTCTGAGAACAAGAAGCTGAGGAAGAGAGGGGTCAAGGCACAAGATGTCGACTTTAAAACCAGTGTTTTGTGCGTCGATATGAACTTTGCCGTGATGGGAAGGCTGACCTTCTTCAACTCTCTCCAGTGGATGGTCAACTATGGAGTCTTGTCGTTAGTAGTGTTTTGTCTTAGTCAACTGTGGTGTTTTTTACTGCCTTTGGACGATTCTACTAACGTGTCGGTGCTGTGGTGCCTGTTTTCTATATCTTTTTCTGTACAAGTAAGTGAAAATCAAGTGTAGTATCGAGTTTTTAGGTGAAGTTTTAATAAAGAAGACGTATTTAATGGCTAAGCTTTACGTATTTTGTGTCGTTATTGAATATAACAGTATGGTTTTAGAGTTTGTGCAAGATCTTGTGGATGAAGATATCAAAGACAGAGCTGAGTTCAGAGCGGAATCTGGTGATCTCCTTTTCTCTGCTGGCCTTTCTGTTCTTTGCCGTTATTAACGTATTTGGTGATCGTTTTTTGAGCGATAACTTGGGGCAATGTGAGTTTTGCTTGTCTTATATTTGTTTAGTCAGAAAGCAAAGAGTAAAATGGCAATTTTAGGTATTCTAATTATAAATAACCTTCTTTTATTTTTTTAGGCTTTGACTACTTGATGGAGAACTCAAGAAGTATTGCGGCCAATGTTTCTAGCTTTAAGTTTGGTAAAAGTTCTCCGATCTTGTTATTCATGTTTGCTTCATTTACTGCCGCCTTGCTCTGTGCCATTCTAATGTTGCCTTTAGTTCAATATGCTTTGTTGTTTAAAATTGCAGCTGAACGAGATAGTAGCTTTATGAGGTAAGTTATTGTGAAAAAAATGAAGAATTTAAATTTAAAAATGGAGTATAATAACGTAACTTACTAGGGAATTGCACCAAATATCCCTCGGCTTTTCAAACGAGACCTATATAGGATGAAAGAGCATAAAAAGTTACCGGGAAAACTGTTTTCAAAAACATAGATTCGGCTAGCGAGGTATTAGCGATTAAAGGATTTACATAGGGTTTTCTATTTGATCCTTCTCATTCGTCTTGAGCAAAACGAATGGATTGAAACTTCAATCCAGTGTGGTCGAGTGGTTAAGAAGTTAGTCGGGGGTGCAGCAGAGGGAAGTTCGAATCCCGTCGGTTTCATTTTGGCACCCAGCCATACTGACAGGAGCCAAACAATATTTTGATTAAAAAAAATATTTTTTAAGTCTTATTTTTTGTTTTTAGACACTTTTAGAAAAAAAATAATTATCAAAAAATGTCATTTTTTGAACTTTAAAGCTATACCCTTTAAACGTATAAGGATATAGAGCATACTGTAACTTGCTAGCCAAGTCCATTTAGCAGTTTTTGAAAACAGTTTTCCCGGTAACTTTTTATGCTCTTTCATCCTATATAGGTCTTGTTTGAAAAGCCGAGGGATATCTGGTGCAATTCCCTAGTTAGGTTTAATTTAATGTTAATACAGCAAAAATTATAAATATCATGGTAAACTGTTAAGAAATGTTGCATCTTGTTTATCTTATTTAATTGAAAATGACTGTTGTGATGTAAATAATTTTTTTTCAGTATCATCCACAAACTGGTGTTCATCTTGCCATATCTTATCTTACCTCTCTACTTGGCCCCAGTCCAGAAGATATTCTTAGACCAGATCTCTAGTTTGGACTCTGATATCTACAGTACTGTAAGGAATGCGTTAGTGATAACATGGTCATTGCTTCGTATCTTGACGCTGAAGTCGCTGTTACAAGCCTATCTTCTGAATGCTTGGGAAAAGGCCCAGGCTTTCACGAAGCACCCTGAGGCATTCGAAAGTGTAAGTCATTTTGTATTTGAGATTTATAGTACTGTATTCCAGTTTGGTTTAAACTTTGTAGAGAAAAGTAGAAAATAGGCTTTTTTGACTTAGTTTCGACAAGAAGAAGGCATTGTTATATTATTGTAGAAAGAATGTCTTATATTATTGTAGATTGTGATTTCATACGATTTTTGGTAAACAAAATTAAGGGTTTTAGGTAACAGGAACGTTGAGATAGTAAGCATACAAAGTTAACACTTTTACATAAAAATAAAACGTCATAACAAGCCTAATTTTGGGATTTGCGCCGTTCCGTCAAGGATAATATAATAATTGCAAGATTTTTGTTTTTTATTTTAACTCTGGCTATAGATGAAGATAAACAAAGGCTACAGATGTTACGGACAGTTAGAGAACAATATAATAATTCAAATAAACAAGAATTTTATTTACAGCTCCGAAGCCATCTCTCGCTTCTGGCCATGACCGCGTTGCAGTTGTTGTCGCCGGCTGTCTTGATTCTGTTTGTCAGTTTGGCCGAGATCGGGCTAGGCCAGCTGACTGGAGTCAGGCCGTCTCCCGTGGTGAACAATCTCCAGGTGTTACTGGACTACCGTGTTCAGAGGGTCTTCTGGGCCTACCTCAACGCTGTCCTTCTGACGTTGCACGTTGTGTTGTCTTCGATTGGGTTGACCTTCTCTTAGGGGTGGATTACGTGCCTTACTAGGTGGTCATTGAGTGAAAGTTCATTCAGTATTGGTTCTGTTTACTTTTTGACCGGACTAGTCAAATAATTTCTCTTACCTGTTACATAGCGATATCTATAGTAATGTTGGTAAGAAACGAAGCCATGGGTCCGATTATTTAGGTAGTTTGTAGCAGTTGTTTCACATTTGCATAATTGTTATTGATAATATAATAAAGTGATTTGATTGATAAGGCCATTTATATGATTAATGAGTTTACGATACGTATTAGGTATCGTAGTACCTGATACATGATGTTGTTTACTGTTATTTACTGTCGTGCACTTTTACGACAAAAACCTTGTGCATACATCTATTTACAACGGTCTGGTTGTAAAAGTGTGATATTGGTTTTGATAGTGGGATGAGATTGTTAACGGTATCAGTTGGTGTGAGAGTGAAGGGTTTGACTTGTATCACGTTTTGGTTTATGGTTATATTGGTCTAAAAGTATGTAGAAAAGAGTAGATAAGCTTATGACATCAGAGTTGAGATTCTACTTACTTTTTGGCCAAAGTCAAGTTGAAGCTTAATACAACATTGTTTGATAGCAGAAACAAGGAAGTTACATATTATATGTAGTAGGAGTAACTTCGTATTATGTTAGTGGTAGAAACATGCTTTCATCATTTACTCTTAACAGTACGTCTAGTAGTTGTGATAGTAGATCTAGTACTCCCAGGAATGCGCTTCTATATCCTACTATACCTTATAGTAGGTCTAGTACCCTTGGAAGTAGTGGGAGTAAGGTGGAAGTTGTGGATGAATTTCAGATGAACGACAACTTTTTGATCCTGGGAAAGTTTCATTAAGTTGGAAACCCTAAGGGCATTGTCGTTGTTTTGTTACCATATTATTCACATTATAATGGGCTTAAAGGACGGCTTTTTTGGGCCGACGATTTCGATTATAATGGAATTCAATTACTTTAATTTGGTTATGTGTTATCTCTTTACAGTTCGTCTGACGTCGGCTCGGCTTCGGTTTAGTTGGATTTGGTTATTGTAAACTCAAATGATAGTATTATTACCTAGAAGTGTTGTGTTTTTTGTGGAAGTATTATATAACATCTTCTTACCACAACATCTTAAGCTTTATGTCATCTCGTGTAGCTTATTAGATGACATAATGAAGTGACTTTATAACTGTCTACTTTATATTCATGGCTAAGTTAATTACCGGAGATGTCCACAAACGTATCGTATGGCTATTAGAGTAAACAAACGATTCGGTTTCCATTCTTCTTTGACCTATTACATTTGATTAGGATTAAGTGTTATTCAAATACGAACGAGGATTACAGCCATCATCTTGATACACTGTCGTTCTCTTTTACTATTCTAGTACTTTGTTGTGAGCAAAGTTTCAACATTTTAAAGTTTTTTCTGATATTTTAAAAATAAAATTTTAAAAAAATTTTTGGTCAAAAAGTTTATAGAAATTTGTGTAATTATAAAGTTTGGCACAACTTACTACCACTCATAGCGTAACAAACAGTGTTTTATTGAAAGATGACACCACTTTTTTAAACTTTTAAAATCTTGTGTTTTTTCGAAATTTCGCTTATTAGGTTTCGAGAAAGTGCACGGTGCAGTTTTTCGGAAGTTTTTGGCACTAATGATGTAAACACACAGTAAAAACGAACGTTTGTAGCTCTTTGAAGTACGTTTTACTGTACTATATAGTATTTTTTGGAAAACAGCTGATAACGGCTAGGTTTCAAAGTCAATATCAAAATCGTTTGTTTTTCATATTGTACATGACGTATTACACATAATACAATGTTTTTTCATTTTATTGAGTTGTTCAGCATTTCAGTTAGATTTGATGTTTCAAATTTTGTATAATCAAGTTTAAAGGACCAGTTCGCCCATTCAAATATCATTGGCATTCTGTCGCAAAAAGCGTCGAAAATCAGGCAATTTCAATCAAAATCATTTTTCTCAAAAAACGTGAGTGGGTCGGTGTCGAAATGAATTTTCTAATTTGGGACCGACCTTCTCAGGTTTTTTGTAAAAAAAATGAACGTCGAATTTTTGCGACAGAATGCCAATGATATTTGAATGGGCGAACTGGTCCTTTAATTTTTGACACTGACAATATTTTGACAAACTTTTTAACTTTCATGCTTTATACGATTAACTTTACTATGGTTCAAGTTAGATTACGTTAACCTCATAAGCTCACGATGTAGCCGAACGTGGTAGCGATTGTATGCAAATTCGGTAATCTCGGATTAAACGTGATTATTCACGTTTTGCACGAAACAGTTTCGTTTTGTAGCAAACCCTGGGGGAATATTTTTAAAACATTTGAAAACGTTTCACAGCCTGCACCGTTCCCGAAGGCCAGAATCGGCGACGGAATCAGAAATGCGTTGTCACGTTAACGGTGTTCGATCTGCTTATTCGGGAGACGGCCGTGCCCTCCGGCGGTCTATCTTTTTATATCCTCGAAAAGAAATTATTGAAATGCGATTACCGCCCTTAACCGAGTCTTGTAACAGGCTACAGGGTTTCACTCGATTCTGGAAGGTGATGGTCGGGGGGGGCAATTAAATATTTTTGAAATTTAAATTTTTTAAAAAATTATATTGAAAGAGGATTATTGGCACTGTTAAAAAGGTTTGAATAACGTTGGTATCTCTTACCAGTATACTATTAACAGTTGACTCATTAGTACAAGTTGTATCATTAGTAGTTGACTAGTTGTACCATTAATAGTCGACTCATTAGTACCAGTTGTACCATTAAAGTTTGACTAATCCTATTTCACAAGGTGTATCTAGTACCATCTTAATCATATCCATCTCAAACACACATTGTCATCACTTCATCCTCTATGACACGTCTTTTTGGCCGAATTTCAAACAGATTTTGCGAATTTCGAAAGTTTTTTTTTGAATTTGGCGGTGTCAAAAGTTTGTTGCGCCGGAGCGACAAGGAAGACCTGGCCGAAAGTGACAAAACTTTGGGGACAGGTTAAAGGGGGGGGGAGTGGAAAACAAAAAAGTGACAGCGAATTCCGAGAAGCGCCTGAGGGCATTCGTTTTGAATGGCTCGGGTTTCGGCTGTTTATAAGCGGTTGATGACATTGTTATTCATCGAGTCAACTATATAAACATCTGCCTTACCCTGTGCTCTTACTCCGCTCGTGCTACTCTGGCATGCATATACGTTTAGTTATGCATTTGCATGTTTATTTATATGTTTGGGTGTTTAAGTATACATGGAGTTACATTTTGTTTTGGGCCTGTCTTGGTATTTATGAGCGTACACATTGGTTATCTTTACCATGGGGATATCTTGTAGCAAATGTTATATATGGCTTAATGGTTTCAGTATAAGTTAAATGCTGTCATATTGAAGTAGATACTTAAGGATCTTTAATGTCATAACTAAGATGAATATTTTTACTTAAATACGTCACAATAATGACTTTTTCAAATAACATACGAACTATTATTGTTGTACTTATAATATTACTGTAACTTTTGCTCCGTATTACGTTTGTGTTACTGTGATATTCAAAGTAAAAGATATAGTAGTTTAAGTGATCATACGAGCCTTTACTATCCATGTTCTGTTATATGTCTCGTTTTTACTTTCGTATGTTTGTCTTGTCTTCGTATGTTTATTTGCTTGCCGGATATGAAGTACGTTACTCACATATCACTGACACTTTCTGGGGTCTGTTACTATGTTATCATGGTGTTATTGATAACAAATTTTGGTCGAAAAGTAGATATAATTGATATTATTTGAACGTATTTGGTTTTGCTAGTAATTTTATTGTAGTATTATATAGTCTTATTGATCTATGTTATTGTATATCTTCTTATTGGTTCATCTTATTGATTAGGGCATTAATTGATAGTAAGATATCTTGAAAGTACCGTATCAATCACTGCTTCAACCATTAATTGTCTGTGAAAAGAAATGTCACAAGAACTCTAATTTATGGTACTTTTAGTGCACTTATGACACGGTGATCTATTGCCTTCACAAAACATACGATCACAGATTGTATTACCTTTGTTAATATTATATTTTCATGTTATTATAAGGTCTTATTGTTATGGGTTTTTTTAAGTTTTTGAAAAGGTTACATTTATGAAAAATGAATTTTTGAAGTCTTTGGTGTACCATTAAGTACCAAGAATAATTAACTAGTTTTAAGAACTGGTTAATGATCTCTTTTGTATCGTTAGTACTATTATTGACGGTTCTTTTTCATTCGATTAGTACAAAACGTGAATTTACTATTCGAATAACACGTTTATAACATACAATTAGAGTATTTTACTGCACGTAATTGTGGTTTTGTAGTAGTACACGGAACATACGACAGGAACTTCGTATCATTTACGTATGTTATTGTCTGTTAATTGTAGTGCATAGTGAATATTATGAATATTTTGGGTAAATCTTTATTCTACACGAACGTTGAGGGTTTATATGAACGTAGAAAGGTACTTCAAAGTTTACTGAATAGTTACATTACTTATGTATTTAATTTCTTGGTTTCAGCATGTTTTATTGTGGGTGTTACTGTAAGATCAATATTGTGATATGACAGACTCTGGTAGATACCTTGCATAACTACAGTAGTATAATAACTTTAATTTCCTCTACTTTTACTTATTATATCTTTATTTTTCTGTCATTTGTCCCATTTTTATCTTTTTTTTTAATTTCAAGAGTTTACCCCGCCCATGTTGAGTTACTCTGTCTGAGTGTTAATAACCGGGGTTTGTTTGTGTTTAATTCTAATAGGTTTCGAGATTAAGGGCTTTGATTAAGGGCTGTCATCGTGCTTGATTAAGAAAAGGCGGCTGTCCTTAAGGCGGGCATGATCTTTCCCTCGAGGCATTCACTTCTCTAAATTGAACCTGTTACGCTCCGGTAGCCTCGCTTTAGATTGTAATCATTGCAGAATTACTCCGGCTTTGTTACTGTAGTATTGTTACATTGCTGCTTTAGGAGGGTTATTTATCATGTTTTACATATGTAAATGTACTTTTTCGGTATTGTAATGTACTTTTACATTACTGTCTGTTAAGTGCTTAGATCGATACATTTAATGATAATCGCCATTTAAAGGGTTTTATGTTAAGGTAACAGAGTTTTTAAAATTCCGTAAACTTTTTGACCGTATTAATATTTTCTATACCATTTACTACACAGTAATTATACCAATTACTACACTGTAAATATAGCTAAACAACAGGAAATAGGTATAATAAAAAGCTTTTAAATGTATGTACATTTGTAATGTCATGTTGTCATATACGACTTCTACTACAGTTTTGTGGATTTACATGGCTTAGAAGTCTATTTATGTTGTTGTAGGTATTGGTTTACTTCTTCGTACAATTACTTGAATGTATATCTTGGCACGAAGTAGAGATATGTATAGGTATTAATAGGAAGTATACATATTGTATATTTACCTGTATATTGTGATTAATATCTCTCTTCTATCGTATGTATATCTGTAGTATCTTTTACTCTGTCTTCATTAGAGTGTTACTCAGGATATTTCATGCCTTACACTGTATATTGGGGAATGAAATGTTGATGTAGGTTTATAGATAGTAAAATTAGAAGACATATGTTGCTTATCTTATGTTATGTAAACGCCTATTATGTTCTCCTACGTATGCGTTTCTGATGTAGATAGTATCTTTAATGAAGTTGTAGGTAAATAAGGTTTTGCCATCTCAAGTACATGTTCGTATCACAAAGCAGGTAATGAACTAGCCTCGTAATGATGTCTGATACATCACTTCGTATCTTGACATTCAAATACTACGGGTATTTGCAGTTATCTTGCCAGCACAGTTTTTACATTAACTCTGCGAGAGGTCGACTTTTAGAGGGGAGGGGGGGAGGGAGAAGGTTATGAAAGTGTTGGTCAAAAAGTAGATAGAATACTTGTTTGTGTACACACAAGCAGTGCTTATTGAATTTTAAAGTCTTTTTTGGCTATGACAGATTTGTGAAGAAACTTTGTTTACACAAAGATACAAATTACAATAACTTTCTTTACACCAGAAATCACTCCACTCCCCCATAGTTCTATTACCACCACTATGACTTGGCGGGTTTATATCTCCCCTCAGGCGAATTGATAAACTTTTATCACCAGCTGAGCTCCGGAAATGAGGCTTCTGGAGAAGCGAAAAGAGATTCAATTTCTGATGCTGCCCGAGCACTTAATGTGCATTTGCGTGCCCGTTTTGATTCTTGTTTATCTTACTGAAGATGTTCGTGGTATCATAAACCGTTTACTTTGTAAAAGTTTATGCAAATTTATTGTATTTCTAATAAGCTTACGTAGTTGAGCATACATATACATAATAGTATTTACTTATCTATTACATTGTATCCACTGTTACTTTAGTAGGAATTTTACTATAGTAGTCATTATACTTTAGTAGTCATTTTGCTATAGTAGTCAAAGATATACGACTTCATAGTCGTTATACACCTCTTCCCATTATCACTCAGCCTTCACAATCGTATGTTTACAAGCACTTTCATTCGAAAGTAACTTCTGATTAAACATCTTCTCGTAAACAACACGTTCGTATGTTGTTCCTCTTCTCGAAATTCGATTTCGGTCGATAACATCTTTTCTTGATTTTACGGTTACTGAGCACGAATACCAGCTAAATATTACACTTACATTACACTTTTTTACTGTGTAATGTTCGTACCTTGGGGGAATAGGTTTGTCGTATCTGGCATGACATCTTGTATTGAATGTATCTTACAATTGTAAGGTTTTTTTACTTTATGACTTTTAATCTGTGAAAAAGTAACTTTTTACTCTGTAATTGTGTGTAACAGATGTTATGACCCCTGCAGGTATATAATGTGATATGATTTGCTATGTTACAACTTTATAGCCGTGACATATCAAGTCTTAAAAGCTGATAAAGCTATTAAAAAGATCTTGTGGCCAGTTTGAAGCTAAGTTGTCTAAAGTATAACTTTTATATTGTCAATGGTATGATAATATAGCTAGGCTTCGAACTACTTTATAACAATTTCAAGTGGTTTTTGTGTCAAAACTTATTCGAGACAGTCGGGGAGATCAAAGAACTAGATTACTTTACTCTTTCGAACAGTTACTTACTCTCTGTCGCTCTTGTAACTAGTTTAATGTAACTTTGTATATCTTCTGATTCATTTTATGTTTTACTGACATATTCTGTTACTGAAAGGCTAGATAACCTTAGTAGGTTATAATTACTGTTATAAACCTTGTTTTATCATCTTATACGTAGTTAGGCACGTGTTTATAACACTATATAGTCTTTTATAACTTTATACATTACTCATATAAATATGTACATCTACATTTTAGGTATATATAGATGTTAGGTATGCTGTGCCGTGACATGTTGACAAAGTTGAGATGTTCCACTTTTGATTTAATTTCGAGGCCGCGAGACTCTCGACTTTAAATGGCTTTGAAACAATCTCGACCCTTCGTATGTCGCGGCCGTAACTGTGGCAATCAGGGCCCTATTGATAGTCGAGTGAATGCTGTTAATTGCATAGTATTTACATCGTCTTCGCCGAACATGCTGTCGGATGAAGTTTGCCGCAGGCATATGTTGGGCAGATAGGTGGTAGACTGTCTGTTATATACGTTACTCTGCTATTTGGTTTAAGGTATTGGTTAGTCGTATAGGGTCGTGTACAAAGTAATGTTAGCCCTTTGTGTCATTGTAACAGTAAGGTTTGTAATTTACACTCTTGCACCTATATTTATGTATGATGAACAGTTAGTACGATATTTTTGTAGTCCACTACCATTCCATATACCAACATATGCTCCATAGTTACATTTGTTACCTAAAATACTTTATTGCGCAGTAATTGATAGCAAAGACTACTTTGGCTACAATAATTTTGAATTCAGACCAACCCGTTACTTAGTGTTTAACACTCACATATTATGACATTCGGAACATACGATGGCGTGTCCCAAAGGTTCGTAGATCACGCCTTAAGCCCTTTCATCTATTTTTATTCCAAAACTTTTGAGTCGGATTAGAAACGACTCAAAGGTACGTCATTTTTGTTAGTTTAGGACAAAAATTTGGGATTCGGTCAAAAAGTTTGTGGAACTTTGCACTGTGCAGGCATTTTGAGTGAGAGCACGGTGCAGGTTTTCCAAGAACTTTTGATATTTTAATATTTTTTAGTCCTAAGCTTATTTAACATTATGGAAAGATAAAATTATTAAATTTAGGTAACAAACTATATAAATTCATCATTATCAATATCAAAAGCTTTTAGCTTTAAATCTTAACCTAGCCAAGTATAATATATATCTTTACATAACGTATTTGCCAAGCCTTTATTATAGCTAGCTACCCCCAGGCACTCCCACTAAAACATTCAACCGGTCGACCGAGTAATTGACCGAAGGCAGAGAATCCGTAATTAGCGTTAATCGGAAACTTTGTCTCGTTCCGCAGCCGTAATCTCTTTAGCCCCCGGGGGAGGGCAGGATAACATATTATATTATCTCGAAAACGGAGATTTAAACAATCATTCTACCTTCTATTGGATTACCCATGTCATCGGGAGAGGGCCGGCGAGGGAGTGTGGGGAAGGGGAGAGACGCTTCGGAACCAAGTGTTTACTCTGTCATGTTCGTATTTTAGGGTTACCGTGTTCGTATTTTTGTTTTTGGGGTTGTTTTTGTTCTCTATGGGGCCAATGGTACCAGAAAATTTTAGTTTGATTGACTTTTATCATAATTTTCGCTATTTTTTTTGTTTAGGTTTATATGATTATAGGCTGTTTTGACAAGAGAATGTTTATTATTTGTTCAAAATTTATTATAAACGTTGATATCTTAAGCTATTATTACCTAAAGTACTAATTTCTTGTTATCTTCAGCTATTGTTACCTAAAATGCTAATTTTTCTAAATTTGATTCTTTTTATATTGTTTTAGGTTGTTTTAAGTATTGACAGAGAGAAAGTGCTGACTTATTTGTATTTTACAATTTGATATCTTTTGTCGATGTCAAAAGTTCTCGGACAATTCATTTTCACCCTTTGAGGTCGTACTCTTCGAAATGTTATTCAAAGTACGTTTCGAGCCTCTCGAGGCTTTCGACTTGATTGATCGGTGATAATCAAAAGCAAAAGAACATGATCTCTTCGTCTGTTGCTCATCTTGCTTTATTACATCTATATTAATCTGACATTCTCTTGATTTATTGGTTTTTAAATGTTTCTTTAATTATCGCCTTTGCTCACCAATACCTTACCGCGATGAAGTATAATATCCTGGCACTTTAGCCCCACCGTGACTAAAGTCCTCACTTTGTATTGAATGTCATTTACATTGAGAAGATACTGTGAGGTTCTTCTTACAACGCGGTAATTGTTTACCTGGAAAGCCGTGTATATGTGCGTGTTTTACTGGTAATTCGGGCTGACACTTCCGAATGTAACTTTACATTTAGCCCTGGATTTGGAGGTGAATGGCCGATCCCGATGTGGAGGAGACTAGGCCAGATGGATTCCGGGACTGTCTCCCACTCTCGGACATGATCCGAGCTCAGGGCATCGACGATCTCACCAGGTGTGTTGCTTTATGACTTTGAAATACGTTATTCTAATTTGGATTGTCTTGAGTAATGCATATTATGTTATGTTAGATTATTTTTGAAATTTGGGTATGTTATGTTAGATTACGTTATGATCATTTAATGCCCCAGTTAGTCAAATCTGTTTTCTTACTTTATTTCGTAACCATACTACACTGTAGAACCCAAAAATCAAACTATATTATCCTCGGGACAATGTAACTCCAAAAGGGCTTCCGTGTTCTTTATATTATCCATGTTTTGCGATATATTATCCATGGCTTTTGATAGATTATGCTTCAAAACTTTTCCCGGAATATGATATAAGCTGAATGACACGGATTACTGCGTAGTAATGTTCGGTTTGGTCTAATATTATAGTAGGTTTGGGCGGGATGGTTAAGAATAGAAGTCGAGGTTCCTCATAAGCTGTGACATCATGAACAATAGTAATATATTAATAGGCATAGATTGTAATACCTTTTTTTATTAAAGACGGTTTTTGAAAGGTTAAAAAGTTTGTAGAAAAATTTATTTTTAGAGGATAAAAGGTCTTTTCGATGTTTCTATGAACTTTTTGACCTTAAAATGGCTTTTTTTGCATTGTGTGCTGTAACTTTTTAATACATACTGTAACTTCGTTGAACATACTGTAATTACCTTAACTATACTGTAACTTTCAGTCGACTTACAGTGCAAGCTTTGTTCGGCCTAGTCTACCTGGTCTTGTTCGTGCTGGGCCTGGTTGGGAACGGTGGAGTGTTCCTGGCCGTGCTACAGAACAAACGACTACGGTCAGCACGGAACATATTTCTACTTAACCTCATCCTAACGGACATACTACTATGCCTGACGGGGATCCCAGTAACGCCGTGGTATGCTTTGTCCAAGGAATGGGTGTTCGGGTCTTTGATGTGTAGGCTTATGCCCTTAAGCAACTCCTGCTCAGTGTTTGTTACAAGGTAGGTCTACTTTACTAGCTTTAATTTTAAAATATTTTTTTAATTTTATTGTTTTGTCTAATAACTTTTCGACCGGTTATTCTTTTTTAGTCAAATTTTATAAAATTTTTCAAACCTAAATTTAAAAAATTTAAAATTTGATTGCTTTTTGTATTAAACCTAAACAGTGAAACCCCTTTTGTCGAGTGTTGATAGTGATTGAACGGTCTTAGATCCGTTTGCAGATCCAAAGACTTGTTTACTTTGGCTTTGGACATTAATTCAAAGGCCAACTGACATTCCGCCTGAGGCTATAAATTGTCTAAAACTTTGGTTTTTTGCAAAACGAAAGAATTCCAACATAAATTCGCTTGTTTTCTTACACTTTTACATCCAAAAATGGCATAGAAAGATGACATATTACGCAATCTAAACATGAATTATGGCACAGTCGGGCTTTCTACTGTGGTAACTTATATAAGGAACAATATAAACATTGATTGATTGATAAAAGTGTACTTTTGGTCTAAAAATGAAGAGATAAGACTGATTAGACACTACATTTTAAACTTCTTTATTCCACAAACTTTTGTATCGTATTTAACCACAATATTGTTGTAGTTGGTCACTAACAGCGATAGCGATAGACAAGTTCATGCACATCATCGACCCGACTCGGGAACAGTTCAGTATGAAGCTGGCGGGCATGGTCACCGTACTCATCTGGGCCATCTCTACCTGCGCCAACATACCGTATCTGATATCGAGTCAACTGGTAGACGGGTCCCACTTTGTACCAGTCAACACGACCCCTTTCTGTGGCCATTTCTGTGAAGAGACCAATTGGAAAGGGGAATATCGACTCTTCTACGGGACTACTGTGATGGTCTTTCAGGTAGGGTTACTGTATTTTTAAATGATTTTTAGGTTGTTTGGAATTAAAGAGGGTACTGTAACGTAACTTTTTTTAAATATATTTTTAAATATTGTTTTAGGGTTTGAGTACTATAGGGTTTGGTAGGTAATACTATTAAGTATGATAGTGTAAGGTTCAGTATTTAATACTTACTAAGTATCTTATGTTTCAGTTTGTAATACCTTTGAGTATCATAATGTACTGTTACTCGAGGATCTTTGCCAAGGTACACAAGGACATGATCATTCAGAATGTGCAGTTCTGTCAAAGTTTAACCAATTCACAGCGAGTAGATGCAGAGAAAAGGTACAGTAATCATTTTTACGTTAATGCAATGATTACTACGCTTTGTGTAATATTAAGTATCAAAAGGGTCTTACTCTGATTTTTTGTAACGTAAGGACTAAGATAGTACATCTGAAGTATGTGTTTGCATTGTAGTATGTTAACAGCTTATATTTTATAGTACCCTGCACTTTATGTCGTTTTAAAGTACAGTGTTTACTATATATTATTGTTGTTTGTGTACTATGTATGATGTTTTAATGTTAAGTACGTTAAGAAAAGCATGTCACCTTTGTACTGTTTATGAAGTACTATTTGAGCACTATAGCAGTTTGAACACCCTGTATTTCTTCATATATTCCAAAGTATTACTGTTTTGTGTACTTTACGAGTAATGTTGTACTATTTCAGGAAGAAACGAGTCAACTACATCTTGATAGCGATGGTGGCTACGTTTATTTTGTGCTGGTTTCCAATTACCATAGTCAACTTGGTTAAGGACTTTCGTAAGTGTAAACAGTAAACAAGCTTGCCATTTACATATTTTGTTTTTACTTTACTGTCTCTTCCAACCTACTACAATATCAGTTTGTGGACAATTGTTTTGTCAAAATAATAAAAATAAATAACATAAATGATAAGATTGATATTGTAGTAGAGAGTCATCTTAAAAGCATTAAAATGAAATGGTAACAGTTTGTATGACTGATATCTAACCTGATAAGCAACATCAATACCTAACATAACCTTTTCAGAAGTAGAGCCCGCTTTCATGACGGCCCAACCATACCTCTGGCCACTGATTGCTCACTCTGTAGCCATGTCTATCGTTGTCTGGAATCCGTTGTTGTTCTTCTGGCTGACACGGAAGCAGAAGCGATCACATCTTGGTGGTATCTTGCACACGAGTGAGATCATCACCTCCCTTACCTCCAGGATGCACTCGCTACGGTCGACGGCCGGGGATTCTGTCAGATTCGGGTCTACAAGGTAAGTTATTGTATACTTGTGTCATTTGTATAGTTACGATTAGGTAGCGCTGTTTAATTGGTAAAAGGATCTGTAGCAAGGTATTTATCCGACCAACTCTGAAAGAATTAACTTTTATTTAAATTTTTGCGACAGAATGCCAACGTTTTGCAAGAACGTTCTGCGGCCCCTTAAAGGACATTTATAGTATGAATAACTTTGTCTTTCGTATCTTGACAGTGTTTGTAGTTGCGCTCAGACATACGACGATGTTTTTTGGTCATATTTTGCCATTTGGATCTTTTATAAACAAAAGTAATATGATAAGATAAGGTACAAAGACATACTTATTATCATTGTCAATGTAAGCAATGTAAACAAAAGTAAAATAGCATTGCGTTTACATACATACTCTCAATAGGATGGCATACTTAGAATACTACTGAGTAAAATACGATTGAAAAATAAACTTTGGTCATATAGTTGTACTGTTGTTGCCATTCAGATGTATGTAACTATGTAAATGTAATCCCATGTCTACTGTGACATCCTGTTGGTGGGCGTCGGATTATCTGGGTATTGTAATCTGGTGGTATCTATGTCATGACAAGTAATTACTCAGTGTTTAGGCGCTAATACCTAAAATCTTTTCATGTAAAGAAAGTTCTCTCGGTCTGTTCAACTTCAATATGAATTAATTTACCATTAATGATGTTATTGTGACCAGGTAGAAGGTAGTGCTCACAATGTAGTATAATATATATAAAAATCACTTAAAATATAAGAGTATATTACTGTAACACAATAACAATATGTTTGCAGGATACGACGACGAACGCCGAGTGAAAAAGGCTGTTCCAGGAACAATTCAGTCCAGTCGAGGCCCTTGATAGTCAGCCAGACTGATAACGGGGCTACTCCAACTGCACTTCTAACCAAGGCCAGTTCCATGGAGAACAACATGTTGTAGTATACGACAACATCGACATCACATACGGGTGTTTTACGGTAACTACAGTAATTGGACAATGTAAGACAGAGTTTACAGTGTTGTAATGGCATTCACAACAAAATATGAATATCGACAACATAGTTATACGTTGTATAACAATACTTACTTATATCTACCGATAGAGGTTAGGTACCTTGAGTATGTCAACTTAACGATAACGTTTATGATGAAATACACTGTCACACTGCTGTAACTTCAACATATACAACCAAAAGCAGTCAACACACACTCATATTACTGTACTTTACACGTCACCCCGCCTACCGTATACGGTTACTGTACGGAAGAACACTTAAATCTCGAATTCTGAAGACTTTTGACATTTTAAATTTCGGGTCCCTCAGCCCTCGGGGCATCGCCAAACACACAAAACGGGTGCGGACGACGAGAAATGACATCCAGGGTTACTGTACTTGCATTTCATTCTCAACTCCGACCATATTGCTCAATTTTGACAGTAAACATAACAATATTACAGTAGTCGGTCATTTATTTAAATATTAAAACAAAACAAATATTGCACCATTAAGAGGTTCGAGTGCACCGGTGTACTAATTGCACTATCAGAGGACTAATGGTACCACTGGCGTCAAACAAAAACTCAAATTGTACCATTAGTACCACTGACAGCCCTAATAGATCTAAATTACAAGTTAACAGCCTACAGTGCACCATTATGAAAGTAGTACCATACAGAGGAGACTTTAGTATTATACAGATCAGACTATTAGTACCATAAAACAGAGGCTTAGTACCATATATATGAATAACATACAGATGATACTAATAGTACTATGTAGAGAAGACTATTTTCGAGATTTTGGTCCTATGAGAATGGTACTGGTTGGTAACGCCCTTCTGAAGCGTGGTATAACTGGTCCCGTTTTGTTGGCCAAAGGTGTGGCCAAGTCGGCTGGCAGCTTATCCTTCGCATCTTCATTCGGATCGTACGCTTCTTCGGCGTTGTACGGTGTAGCATACGTCAAAATGAATCTGAAAATTCAGAATTAACATTCCTGATACTCCCAAGGTGCCGGGAATACTGTATTTTTAAAAGAATTATCGTATTTTAGTTTAAAAACTTTAAAGCAAGGGTCATATTGTACTGAAAAGACTACTATATCAACCTAAAGTATAGTCTTCTCCAAACTTTCGGACCCATACAATCAGATATCTTACTTTCCATCAATCTCGATCTTGCACACCAGATCCCCACTGAAGTGGATCCTCTGAGCGTAGTCCTCGAAGCCGGTGATGGCTTCGAACGGTGTGTCAAACTTCTCTTCAGCGTGCCTTTGCATCGCCGACGTGACAGCTCCGATGTTACAGGTGTGAAAGTGAGGGTCCGACTTGAGCTTGTTGTACACATTTACCATCAACTCGTTCAGATCCAAGCTACAGCACACGTAGCCATCCCCATTGTAAAAACACTTGGGCAGGGGTAGATCTTTCTTGGGGGGATAGAAATACTTGGCACTCACCAGCTTGGCATTCTGCCCTCGAGGTCCTGTCCGTATCTAGATTAACATAAGTTTGTACACAATATATTATTTAGATAGTTAAAGTATAGTTAACAGTACAATATACTTATAACAATAACGTATAGAAAGATATACAATAATATATACCAATATCAATGTTAGGTAAACTCACAGAATGTGTAGAGAACCGCGACTTCTCCCCGATGGCAGATGGGTCCACCTTGTTTCTCTCGGCATGCTGTTCTTCCTTTACTAAATATAAGTATGTTACAGTAAGACACTCACTTTAGCCTTGATCTCTGCCAACTCCTCTGAAGCCGTCTTCTCCTTCTCTGGCTCCGGTTTCTTCTTCTGTTCCGCCTGGTTAAAGGCACTAGAAGGACCAGCACCACCTCCTGGCCCACCTACTCCACTGTAGCCTGCATCGCCAACTCCAGGCCTGGCGTAGTAGCCAGGTTTGGATCTACCAGTACCGTACGGTCCGTAGCCCGAATCATCGATAGGTCTACGTGGCGCTACGGGACCGTAACCTGGGTCAGCATCTTCTTCTGGAGCTGGTGGAGGTCGAGGTCGTTCGTCATAGCCGCCTCGCTTCGGAGCTGGTTCATCGTAGCCACTTCTACTGGGCTTCGGAGGTGGAGCCGGCTCATCGTAGCCTCCTCTAGAAGGCTTCGCTGGTGTAGCAGGCTCATCGTAACCTCCTCTAGAAGGTTTCGGAGCTTCGGATTCATCGTACCCTCCACGAGATGGCTTTGACGGTGTAGCCGGTTCATCGTAGCCGCCTCGGGAAGGCTTTGGACTTTCAGAACTCGGTTCATTGTAACTGTCGCTGTCATGATGTTCTTCATCGTGCCCTTCTTCGAAGTGTTCGCCGTGCTCGTCTAGTGGAAGTTGATCTCTAGCTGTAGCTAGACCTCGAGGTGGTGGGGCAGGTGGAAGAGCTTCTCGACCTTGACCATGCCCGTGGCTAGTCTGACCTGGTGGTAGTTTGTGTCGTCCGCCGTCTGGAAGCCCCTGGGCGTTGCTGGTGAGGCCACCGTTAGGATTCTTCTTATTCAGATATAGAGGGTCAGCAGCATTCCCCCCTCCGACAGGACCGACGAGTAACTTGTCTGAACTGAATTTAGAATCCTTGACTGGTCCAGTATCAGACAGCCTAGGCCCAAACGCCTTTGGGCCGTCTGTTCCCTCTGTGGCCTCCGTCACAGCTTCTGATTCCTTTAACGTCGTCAACGCTGTAGTGGCGGTCGTAGAGAATGTGGTTGTTGATGTTGTTGTAGTCTCTGTAGTTGTAGTTCGTGTAGTCGTAGTTGTAGGCGTTGTCGTCGTGACTTCTGTAGTACTAGGCCTTGTAGGCGGTAGCACGGTACTGATAGAAGTCCGTGTATTTGCAGAAAAGAGATTTGCTTGTGCTACAGCCGAGCTTGATGTTACCACTTGAGTAGGTACAGCATTCTGGACATTTAAGGACTGAACTCGTGGAATCGGCTGTCCTACGGCATTCGGAGTTCTGAAGCGGCGATTTTGAGCACCGAACACCCGTGATCTTCTGAAACCCTACAAAACTCGTGAATAATAAAAGGAATGTAAAGTTACCGACTGAGGATGAAAAGGTTCACTCTGCTCCCGGATTACTGTAGTTTGGTGACATTTCAGCGGATTAGCATCTGTAAATTCAGATAAATCTCAAGCTTAAAAATTAAAATAATATGAATAATTTAAAACATTACAGCACGATACCCAAACTTGTGCTCAAATTCAGTAAAATATTGCCAAAGAGAACCAACTCACCTACACAGGTTACGGTATCCGCGCCCACACCTGCCAGCAACGTAGCGTACAACAGAGCGACCCGGAGCAGGATCCGCATTGTCAAATGGACGCGATCCAGCCCGAGGGCCTTCTTTTGTGCAGTACAGTCCACCGACGATAAACGAGAAACGCGACTAATTCGATTAAAGTAAAAACAGCCGCTATCAGCAAAACAAGCTCGGTAATCTCCATCGCTCATCCACTACATCGATAATAATCTGTATTATTAATAACCGTCATTCCACGCATTCTTCTGCCTTCTGAAGCCACCATTCTGTACACAGAAGCCAAGGCTCCACAGCCCCGGATCCAGAAGAATCATGCCACCGACTCCACGGTAATTGACCATTCACCACGGTGACTGGGCTAATTTGACTATCACAAATCCCTTCGGCGATTATGCAACATCCTGTTTTCTGTACAACATCCATCATCTCCTTCTGTAGACAACGTTGGGGAGATCCATCAGACGCCACGTAACCCACGACAAAACTCCACAGTAATACGACAATCAAAAATCACTTTCGAAATTCGTCGTTAATCATAACATCATAAGCGTGAAGAACAAAAAATTATTACCTAAAAACTAAACATAATAACTAAAACACAAAACAAAAATCATTTAAGGCCTAGTTTGTTGTTCTAAACCATAAGTTACTTTGACAGACACATGTAGAAGCCCAATACAGCACTGTGCACCGTGTTTTACCTTTTTAGGTATCAAAAAATAAAAACAGTAACAGCCTTAAAATTACTTAACAAACAACAAAAACACAAACTTATCAATGTTTAAATCAAACTCTGCAACTTTAAATACCTATTTTCTTAATTCTGTACGCAAAGCGTAGCTATGTACAGGAGTTACTATTGTATTATACTTGGCTTTCTAATTGAAAAACGCAAAATATATTGTTTTAGGTTTTTAATCAAATATTAAAACTTATACCTTTCAAACAAAGTTTATTTTTCGTATGTTCGTGATAATTCCCGTGGTTTTGGTACCATCAAACGTCCAGCAAGAGTCTATTTTCCAATTTTATTTCAATTTCCATCATCTGACTTTGGCCGCAGCCTGACTGCAAACTGCGCTCCCCATTTTATACGCGAGCCATATTTTTCTGTAAATTTTACGGAAACTCTTGAAGATAAACAAATTTGAATGCTATATCTTTATTCGGCATATTTCCCAACCTTATCCGTAACATTTTCATCCGAAACACGTCAATTGGAGGGGAGAATATTGCACCAGAGATCTCTTAACCCAGGAGAGCTCTTTTATGTTTTCAACTCGAACAGCGAATTTTAGTTTTCTCCTTTGTCTATGCGGGTCATAAGTATGGGCGAATCAATGCGTTAGATAGCTCGCGTAAACAATTAAAGTTTTGGCGTAACCAGTGTTTTGCCGGACCGGTCCGGTCCGCGGACGGGTCCGGTCCGGACCGGACGGACCGAAACAGAAATTTTTGCGGACCGGACCGGACCCAAAAACCTGCGGACCCGGACCGAAGAAAAAGCTCCGGACCGGTCCGGAAGAAAATTTTTTTTTTATTTTAAGAAAACTGTTTTAAAAATTGCAAATAAAACATATTTTTAGGAGTTTTTAAGCAAAAAGAAAGCAGTTTTAGCAATCCTTGCTTTTTTTAAAAATTAAAAAAAATTTTTTTGCGGACCGGACCGGACCCAAAAATTTTGGGTTTGGACCGGTCCGGACCGGACCCAAAAATTTGAAGTTTGGACCGGACCGGACCCAAAAAATCGCCGGACCGGACCGGTGAAAAACGCTCCGGACCGGTCCGGGCAAAACACTGGGCGTAACAACTAATTATTTCTGAGGGCAGAGTAATACCGGGGTGAGTAAGGTCTTTGAGGCAAGAGTAAGATGGAAGCACGTGTTATCTGTTTGGCTTTGGGGCCTACAAGCGGGCATTATGTTTTCCCCCGAATTATGAAAGAAATATACTTTTCTGGCAAGTACAATACGCGGCATTCAGAGGTTCTTGGAAGAGGACTTGCACTTTTACAGTTGAAAGTGTTGTTTGAGACAGAACTTTAAGCAAAAACCACTGAAAAGGACATTTTTGGACAGGAATTCTGCCATAAGACACTTTGAAAGAAGGATATTTTAGAAAATGGGTACTTTTCGTTACGATTAGTTAGTTTTAGGTAACAATATCGCTGAAATGGGTAATATCTACCAGCTTTACGCGGCATTGATACTTTTAGTGACCTAATGGGTAAGGCTGCCCTCTCCTCGGACACTCGATGACCTTTGTGTGCTCGAAATCAGGGGAAATTAGCGTTGTGTTGTGTGTCTCGTGCTTCGAATGCCTCAGACATTCATTCTGGTTATTGGCACGCCGTCCTAAAAAGCCCCTTTCTGTGCTTGCCCCGAGGCGTTTGCACTCAGAATCACACTCTTGAAGCGGTACGAACATCGAGTCCAGAAGCGCTGGTGTTTCAATTATAATATTTATGAGGTGTTCTGAGGTTGTGGTGGCATTGTCAGCTTTCCGTGGGGTAGATAACAGATTTATATGGTTTTTATGATGGTTTTGTTGTTTTATTTTACAATTTGAGAGTTATTGATAGAAGATGGCTTTGTTTTTATTTTGGTCGAAAAGTACGCAGAATCATCGTTTATTTGTCATCCGCGTTATTCGTATGTTATACTATGTGATGATAGACCAAATAAGTATTGTATTTCACTTCGTTACGGTTGATTTAAAACTATAAATTACTGTTTAATTACTTAATGCCTCGTTCTCATTACAGAGGCGTCCTTCGGTGAGATCAGAAGGCCGGCTTCAGCTCTCAAACTGGTGTCTGCTACCTCCAACTGAACAGCATTATTCACCTTTTAAACGGGTTCCTCAGATCCTCGCAGCACATAACTCTACGGGTACCTTTGGAAGCATCAATTTGTGGTGAGTTTTGAAGTTTTTCGAGAAATCAGGTTGATAACAATGTTTGAAGTATACCTATATCGTGCTGTTACTGGCTGTTACCTCAATGTATTTCGAATTCAGAAATGAAATCAAACGGAGTGTCCAAGAGTTGGATCGTGGAGAATCGCTTGAGAAGCGCGTCTCACGCTGGCTCCTGGTACGCTGGGGATTCTGGAGACTTGAACCAACAGCTGGACGACTGGCTGAAGAAGGTCAAGAAGTCGGCTGGTCTTGTGAAGGCTATCATCTCACCGTAAGTTTCATACTTATATTGTATTTTGTTGTTTTAGACATGCTGGATACTCGTACTGTGGAGAGACTGCGGCACACGCATTCAAACAGATCACTCCGGGCAAAGTGTAAGTTTACTTTACTTTTCAACTCATTTGTCATCGACTTTAATAGGGAACAATCTATATATAAATTTAAAAAACAGTCTTCTACTTTATCATTTTACTTTCAGAAAACGTGTATTTGTACTGGGACCGTCCCATGTTGTCTTTCTTAACGGCTGCGCCCTAACCACCTGCTCCAAGTACCGTACTCCCCTCGGCGACCTTATTGTGGATCAGAAGGTGAATTCGGAGCTTGTCGCCACCGATGCCTTCGAACCTATGAATGTGCGGAACGAAGAAGCTGAACATTCCATCGAGATGCAGATGCCATTCTTGGCCAAGGTACTGGGCCACAACAACTTCACCATCATCCCTGTACTAGTCGGTTCGTTGTCGCAGTCAAAGCAACATCAGTATGGTAAGATCTTCGCGAAGTACTTGGCCGACCCTGACAACTTCTTCGTCATCTCATCCGACTTCTGCCATTGGGGAGAGAGGTTCCACTACACACCTCACAACGTCTACAGTGGCAAGTTCATCCACGAGCAAATCTCGGAGCTGGATCATAGAGTAAGTGATGCTTAATATTACTAGTTTATAAAAAACAATTTTATTATTATCACATTGTTATTTTTTATGTTTCTTGTTGACTAATTAGGTATATAGTAGTTTCAAAGTACAAAACCTCGATCATGTCATAGTCTTTAACTTCGTATATTTTAGGGAATGGACGCTATTGCCACTTTAAATCCTCCGGTCTTCAATGACTACCTAAAAGAAACCCAGAACACGATCTGTGGCCGGAATCCTATCTGCGTGATGCTACAAGCCGCCGAGTACTTCCGCCAGATGAACAATCACACAGCTGACTTTAAGTTTCTCCGATATTCACAGTCTAATGCCGTGAGTTATTCGAACAATATGTTTAATACTTTTAGGCACAAAAGTAACCTAAAGCTGACATTTAGATACATCATTTTCTTAAAACATCTTTCAATGCAAATGCACTCTTAAGCCTTTTGAAATAGGCTTATCTTTTGAATTCTAAACTACTGTAAATTCGTTATTGAAAGTAATGTCATACTGTTTACCTAGTATCTATTACCATAAATCCACCTAAAATATGATCTTACAGTGCCGTTCAACAAGCGATTCATCAGTTTCCTACGCCGCCGGGGCCTTATTCATTCAACCCAAATGATTACTTCCATAACGATGAACATGTCCACAACGTCGAATAATTTTTAAAATTTTATCGATAACAACTAAACAACTTAACTAAATTGTAATTATTATACCACGTGAACTCGTTTCGTAGTCTTCTCCCATAAAGTGTAAATCAACCTCTCCATGGAACCATAACGACCGTACACGTACACGTAGTTTAGTATCAGGAATACTAATGTGCACTACAAATAAGGATTGTTTTATGAAAAGTTGTTTTAGATTTTGTCAATTTTAAAATTAAAAGAAAAGTCAACTTATGTAATATAGAGTTAGATAATAATTTTAACTATAAGTCAAAAAAACAGACAAAACATGCTTCGTAATCACCATATCGCTCAATTTATTGAAAGCACCTACCTGCACGAAGGGCATGAAAGTAAAGTGGTAGAAGTAGGCACAGACCATCGATACCCAGAACAGCAGACCGTAGAACACAACTCCATTCTGTCTGAAGTCGTCTCGCAACTAAAATTGGAAGGAAATATTAAAAAGTATAGTAACTCACCCAAACAAAGCCGTCGTCGCAGTTGAATTGTCGTTTGTTCTTGGCCTTTTGCGCGTAAAACTGTTCCAATCGCTCTTCTTTCTCATACCACACCCTAAAACAACATCAATTTATAATACTAAAACAAGAACATAAACTAAACACTACCGGAAATGACATATATATCTAGCCAACTTACTTGTGTAGCCAATGATTCAATTCCTCTTCGTTTCGTGGAATCTCGTTAATGTGGTACCGTTTGATGTGGTAGTGCACTTCGGACGGCAGACTCCCTTTCAGCACCATGTCAGTTTCATTTTGGACAATATCTTTGGGATAAGCAATTGTCACATCGTAGATGTACTCGAGGTAGTCATCTGAAAGAGAGAGAGTGTTTTCTTTTGAGAGACCGAAAAGTGTTGTTTTGTTTGGCGTTTTTCCTTTCTCTTTTGGTGGGAAAAGAAGAGAGCAATCCCCGTGTCATTCTGGCCGAGTGGTCTAAGGCGCTGCGTTCAGGTCGCAGTCCTCTTCGGAGGGCGCAGGTTCGAATCCTGCGGATGACAGCAAGCTTTTTGCCGTTTTCTGTGTTATTTTTCATTTTTAAAATAGATTTTAAGTTGAACAAAATTGTTTTTGAAGTGACAAATGTTTCTTACTTCTTCTCATTTCTTTCACTAGATGTAGAAAGCCTGCTGAGCGCGGATACAACACGTTTTTCAACTCTTTCAATCCATTTTTCTTTGCAAAATCGCTGCTCCGTTTCAGTGTAAACGCAGTTCTATCGGTGCCTTCGGGAAACATTAGTATCTGCATTAAAAAAAAAGTTCTTCATTGTTTCCACTAAACGACTTAAAATAAAAACCTACAAACTTACTTGATACGGTCGATTCATGTCACTATAATACTCGACAGCCCTGGTCAGTCGCTTCAGGTCGACTTCCAGATCTCTTTTGAGGAAGATGAATTGTTGTACTTGCATTCCAAAGCCTGCAAAATATATATTTTCACGCTTCTATACATACCAACACCAGGAACATGTCTTAAAAGTTGTTTTAAGGCTATCTTGTTAGTCGTGGCTAGCCAAGGATTCATTCTCCACAGTACCATCCAATAGTACAGCCAGTCCAAACGAGTACGATGATTCATGACTACAACTGCAGCTTTGTCATACAGTATCTCATCTCCAGTTACTCTTACTTTGATGCGAAATACGAATTTGAGAAAAAACTAAAAACTTGAATAAATTTGGATTTTTTAAAATTTTTGAATTATGAATAAGTTTAACAATATCCTCTTTTTCTACATAAAAAAATTGTATTCTAGAGCTACATTAATATATTACCCTTACCAAAGGAATGACAGTCCAAAAAGTGACCGCCCGGTCCATAAGTTCCCTCCATTGTCTATGCCTATTAAAGACTGTGATCATGGGCAACAACAAGGTGATAATGTAGTTGCCAAACAGAGATGTCATGAACACCACAAAGGCAAAAGTAAAGCCCAAAACAGGACCAAACACGGTCTTGAGCAGTTCCATGTCAAGGTCGGCGAACGAAATCGAAGTGATCCATCCAGAAGCGAAGAAAGATTAAAGAGAAACTTGGGATGACCTGGATAGAACGGCACGCAGTGAGGAAGCAAGACGTCGCGAATCCCTCGCCGACGCCGCTTTGTCAACAATAACGGCATCCGACGTGAAGTTGGGGATGGTAACTATTGCATCGTAAATTGTCTTATTAAGGAGTTGTCGTTCAATTAAGTGGCAGTTTTGTAATAACATTTACTTTATGATTAGCTAGAGAAGTGTTCAAAATTGAAAGATTTTAGTGAATAATACTTGATGTATTGTAACATCATTGTCACAGTACTCGTATAAGGACACAATCAAACTTTTAGACCAGCTGTTTCTGTATGCTCTACACATTGTGAAACGATGCTGTGCACTGAAAATAAGTATTTAGGTTTACTGTAAAATAAACTTGACTTGCGCTGCTGGGTACCACAACGAAAACAAACAAACGCCAAACTCTTTGAAAGCCGAAGAAAAAGAGCGCGTGATTTCAAAATGCAAGAGGTCTAGCAAAAAACTTTGAGTCTTGTTGACGAAAATCTGTCACGACCATTAGCATTCATACACCTGAAAGTTTTTTCTTCATTGCAAATTTTTTAATACCTAAAATTTGCTGTAAAACTAGGTTTTAGCCTTTTTCAAGTTGTTTACCATGAAAATAGGTTTGAGAAATATGTATTAGCAAGTCATGAGGTGAATACATGTCAAAACAGTCCCAAATTCGAGTAGTTTGGGGCCATTTTAATAGGAATTTGTTCAGTTTATTGGACTTTGAGTATTATATTTCTTGACTTTTGATATTTTAGATGTTATACTAGGTTATTGAACATATTTGTCGCTTGTTGAAATAAACGCTTTTACAGGTCATGAGACAAAATGTTGCTTTACCTAAAAAAAGGGTTTTGTAAACTTTCCTTTTCGTGCGCGTTACATTCATTATATTCGCGTTACGAAGTTATCTATAATATTTTCAGTTCATTATCGCGGATCTTCCGCAGAGTGTGAGGAGTGCGAGTGTGAGTGTGGTAATATATTATTGTTAATTATTTGTGTGCGTCTGGCAGAGAGAAAGGTGTTTTGCGGCTTTTTCATTACCTATCAAGCGACGTTGTTTGGAAAAGTAAGTTTACTTTATTTTTTGTTCTTGTTTTAGGCATAATTGGCTTTCAGAAGGGTTTAAGCGACATAAACTCTGAATTTTTAGTCTTTTATGGCGTTAAAATTGCTACTTTATGGCATTTTTGGGTTGATTTTATTGGAAAAATGTGTCAAAGAGAGGTTTTAGAGAGGAAAGCTTGTTTTAGATAAGATTTAGATCATAATTAAGATGTTTTACCAAGTAGCAAATATAAGCTTGTTTTCTTAAAACGGTTGAGACACGCATATTATTATATAAAACAGCTTTAGTTTTACCTATTTTGAGCAATTTGTAGATAATGCTTTTTATTAGGGTTTTTCTTTCCTTTTATCTTTAATATTTATCTTGTGTCTTAATATTCATCTGATTTTTGTTGTTGTAGAGCAACAGAAGCTTACAATGGTATCTTTAGCACAAATGTCGGTTGCGACTGCTGATTTGGCTGTTATTGAACAAGCGAGGACTGGACTGGACCCATCTGGTGAGAAGATCGATGTTGATACTTTGGATCAAGTTGTGATGATCATGAACAAAGGAGTGGGAGAGAACCAGCGAGCGGCTTCAGAACTTCTCAGTGCCTTCAAGACCGATGCACGGTCTTGGACTAAAGTTGACGCTATTCTGGAGTACTCGAAGCATGTCGAAACGAAGTACTTCGGACTTCAGATTCTGGAACAGCTCATTCAGACCAGATGGAAGAGTTTGCCAAGGGATCAGTGTGAAGGAATCAAGGGCTACATCGTGTCGAAGATTTTGGAGATTAGCTCAAACGAAATTACTGATGATGGTCTTCGTCTGTTACTCCAGAAGTTTAACCTGGTGTTAGTTCAAGTAAGTATTATCTGATTACTTCTCCTATCGTTTTTTCTTAAAAATTCATACATTTTAGGTCTTTTTTATGATTTTGTAATATTTATTTTCTTTTCTGCTTTCAGATTGTAAAGTTTGAATGGCCAAGGCACTGGCCCAGCTTTATCATGGATATTGTGGGATCGTCGAGGAACTCTCAATACATTTGCATGAATAACATGGAGATTCTACGTTTGCTCAGCGAAGAAGTATTCGACTTTGACACAAACTTGACCACTTCAAAGGCCGCCTTCCTTAAACAGGAGTTTTGTTCACAGTTCCAAGCTGTTCACAACCTGTGTCTGGAGATCCTACAGTCTTCAGACAACGCCGATCTTGTCTACTCAACGTTGAGGACGCTGCATGGATTCTTATCATGGGCTCCGGTTGGATTTATCTTCGAGAACAGCTTGATTGAGCTCATAACTGGAAGAGTAAGTTTTTTTTGAAGTAAATTTGAGTAGCTTTAGATTTAATGTTTTTATATGCGATTACTCTTTGTATATGCGTTTTTGATGGGATTATTTTCAGTTTATGCCGTTCCCAACGTTCCGATCGTTATGTGTCCAGTGTTTGATTGAAATATCTGGAATCGACATTTCTTCGGATCCCAAGTATGGTGTGAGGTTGGATGTTATGTTCAAGAACGTGATGAGTGTATTGTCAGATCAGATTCCAATCGAAACAGACATCGCCGAGTCTTATGCTCGCGGTCAGAATGCGGACCAACAGCTGATCTCCAACTTGTCCCTCTTTTTGGCAACGTACTTGAGAAAACACTCGTCCATCTGCGAGATCTTGGAGGCTTCACCTGTCGATTCTAGAGCCGAGACTAAGGCGGCGCACGCTTTGGCGTTGAAGTAAGCTTTTCATGTTTATTTTTGTTTTTAGGCGCATGAATGTTACTGTAAAGATATTATATCACATAATGTTTGTTTTTTTAAAATATACTTATTTTTTGTTTTAGGTATTTGTTAAAGATCAGTGAAGTCGAAGACACTGAAGTGTTTAAGATTACGCTGGACTATTGGAACTGGTTGTGTGCCGAACTCTTCAGAGAATCTCCTTTCGAAGCCATGCAAGCCAGCCTTCTGGACGCACTGAGAGTGATGAGGGACAACTCCAATGAGAACCCGCGACGTCAACTGTATTCCGGAGTTCTGTCTGACCTCAGGATGTTGATGATATCGAGAATGGCCAAGCCAGAAGAAGTGATTGTAGTTGTTAACGAGAACAATGAAGCCGTCAGAGAACTGGTCAAGGATACGGACTCAATTGTGTTGTACAAGACGATGAGAGAAACGCTGGTATTCTTGACTCATTTGGACTACAGAGACACGGAAAACAAGATGATAGAGAAGTTACATCAACAAGTAAATGGTAACGAATTTTCGTGGAAGAATCTCAATACATTGTGCTGGGCCATTGGAAGTATCTCTGGAGCGATGCGTGAGGAAGATGAGCGTCGGTTCTTGGTCACAGTTATCAGAGATTTACTCGGCTTGTGCGAACAGAAAAGAGGCAAGAACAACAAGGCGGTGATCGCATCTAACATAATGTACGTTGTTGGACAGTACCCGAGATTCCTCAGAGCGCACTGGAGGTTCTTGAAGACCGTCATCAATAAATTGTTTGAATTTATGCACGAGTCTCACGAAGGCGTTCAGGTAGGTCTTTCTTTTAGTTTTTTTTTTCATCTAATTCAATTTAAATAGAAAAATCTTGGGTTTTCAAACTTATAAAACGATTTTTTCAGGACATGGCCTGTGACACATTCATTAAGATTGTGGTCAAATGCCGAACCCACTTCACATGCGTTCAAAGCGGGGAGAACCAAGCTTTTGTGGATGAAATCTTGATGAATTTGAATACCATCATCTGTGATCTGTCCCAGCCTCAGGTCCATGTTTTCTACGAAGCTATGGGACATATCATCTGCAGCGAATCCGACGAGCAGAACCAGATCAGACTGATCGAAAGTCTGATGTCAGTACCGAACAGGATCTGGGCCGAGATTGTGGAGACATCCAATGCCAACCCTCAACTTTTGTACGATCAAGACCTTCTCCGCAACCTGATTCATATTCTGAAGTCGAATGTGGCGGCGTGCAAGTCGATCGGCGCTCCATTCTTCTCTCAAATGAACCAGATATTCATGGAGGTGGTCTCCATGTACAAACTCATCTCCACCACCATCTGTGGCCTGGTCCAGGAACAAGGACCAGAAGTCTTGAAGCAGCCGATCGTGAAGCTGATGAGAGCAGTTAAAAGAGAGTCTCTCACTTTGACGTCTACGTGGATTGCTCGAACCAACGTCTGTAGAATCGAAGACCTGAGGAAGCTGGCTTCTGCCAATGGTCAAGACATTATGAAGAGGATGTGTGATCTTGTGGTACCAGCCATCTTCGAAGTTGTTTTGGAAGATTATAAGAACGGTGTTCCGGACTCAAGGGAACCAAAAGTTTTGTCGTTGTTGTCGATCACCATCGTTGTTTTCAACGTAAGTTTTGTTGTCTACTTATTTTTATTGTTTGTTTTACTGGGTAATTGGAGTATACATGTTTTTGTGATTTCAGGACAAGTTCGCGGGCTATTTGGAGAAAATGATGGAGATTGTGTTTGTGCCCACTTTGGAAATGATTCAGGCGGAGACCTCACATTACCCTGAACATCGTGTCAACTTCTTCCAGATGATTCAGTCTGCTACGACTTCGTGCTTCGACATCGTGATCCAATTACCAGAGAAAATGCTGGGTCTTATTGTGCAGTCCTTGCTTTGGGCCCTTCAACATACCATCAGAACCGTAGCCGAGATTGGCATCCAAATGATCACGGAGTTCGTCAAACGTCTCCGAGAATACCCCAACAACAGCGTTAGACAACAATTCTACAGCAGGTATTTCATGGAGATGTTGAACCACGTGATGGGAGTAGTCACCGACCATAATCAAGTTCAATTTGTCGGCCTGGCCAACCTTTCCGAAGCCGTTTGTCAGTTGTTCATATGTGCAGAGAGCGACATCAAAGTAAACCTATCAGAATCTCAGAACAATGTCGAATACGTGGCCGATAGCATGGCCCAGATCTTACAAACTCACTTCAGCAACTTAAATGCGTAAGTGTTACTTGAGTATTATTTTTTCTATAATGTTAGGTATTGAATAATGTATCGCATACTGTATTTATGTTTTAGGGACCAAGTTCGTGTAGCCATCAAGGGATTCTTTTCCTACAATCGTGTCCAGACCAAGATGCGAGACCATATCAGAGACTTTTTGATTCAGATCAAGGTAAGCTGACACTTTGACAACTGATATTTGCTGTTTAGGAAGATGCTGGAGCTGACACAGCTGATCTGTTCTTGGAAGACAAAGAGAAGGAAATACAGAGAATGCAGCAGGAGAAGAATATGGTGCCCGGAATCCAGAACCCGCACGAAGTGGACGAAGAAATGGCCTGAGAAGTCTTGTGTACCTTTTTAATCTATAAATAATCTTGAATTGTTTCCTCGTTTATAGTTATTAATTATATTTGTGTTGTTCATGTTCATTTCTCGACTATAAAACTCATTCCTTATTAAGTAATAATGTATTTTATCTTAGTGATCTGTAAACTAGTAACCGTAACAATATTGAAACATAACTTTGTAGCTGTAGCATGATAACGATGTGGTTTATTAACGAATTAAATATCATTTTGGAATCAATTTTTGAAAGTTATATTATAGACATTCAGTTAACTGTATTCTATCCGTTGTAAGATTTTAATTTTTCATACGGCTCTGAACTAAATGTTCGGTCAAATGAGTCAGCTTTATCAAGACCTATGCTGCTTTGCCAAATTATCGGAGAACTCTTTATTTTGACTTTATTCAAAAACTTCGATCCAAGAATTACGATATATTAGGTATCCTAACTATAAACTTCCATTTTTTAACAAACTTATTTTTATTATAACAACCGAAACAAAACTAATTATTCTGAGATATATACTCTAACATTGTCTATGCCTTCCCTACAACGTTCCTTCAAAACGTTAATGCCAGAACTGTGGAACTACCTCAGCTGTGTCTTAAAGAAATCTTCACCCTATAACATGACTTCAGCGCCATTTTTGAAATGGATTCCAGCAATGTGACCTTTCAGCCTTCTGAATACATGATAATCAGAAGGAGCAATGTCGGGACTGTAGGGCGGTATAGGCATTACAGTCCAGCTCAATTCACCAAGGACTTATGACGTCATCTTCGCACTGTGAGTTCGAGCGGCATCTTGTCAAAGTTTCACAGTGGGAATATCAATACCCAGAAAGTAGAGAGCATGGTTGATTCGTTTCAATTGTTCATTGTAGACATCTGCCGTAATTATTTATCCAGGTTTCAGAAACCCGTAGTACACTATTCTCGTGGTAGACCACCATACGCAACGGAAGGTTTTGTTTACCATGAAGGTCAGGTTTCGGAGTAGATACAGCTTTTGAACCAATATCAATCTATTGTCTTTTGACCTTCTTTATATCGTAAAGTATCCAGCTTTCATCCGAAGTAATAATTGGTTGAAAAAAACCTCGGGTTTTGAACAAGCGAAACAAAACATCACAAGTATTGACCCTTGTCGCCATGTTGGAATCACTGAGTTCGTGGAGCACCCGCCTGCCACTTTTGTTGAGCTTTCCTAGTTTGTGAAGATGATTGGCGATGGTTTGCGAGGTACGGGGGTGGAATATGCGACAACTCCGCTGTTGCTAAATTAGTATTTAGCTCAAGCAGTTGATGGCATCTGCCACTTCATTACCTCGTTTGTGTTGTTTGTCCACAAGGTCAAGGTTCACAGTATGAAACTTTGAAAACCACGTCTGCACATGTCTAACACTTATAACGTCTTCTCCAAAAACTTCTGCAAACGTACGATGGCATCCAATAGCACTTTCACCTTGTTAAATACATAGTTGCATGCGATATCGCACCTCCAAACTGAGCTTAGTCAATTTTTACCCAGATTTTTCCAAGTAGACAAAGACAAACAGACAAGTATTATATATCGTTCGATTTGCATTGAAACAAGCTACAAAACAAAACAAATCCCGTCAAATAATATTAATTTTCACAAAAGTTATAACTTGTAAAAGTCAGCGGAAGTTTATAGTTAGGATACCTAATAGTTTATTTTGGTTCACATCCAAACAGTCAACTAACAAAGTAGAATAAATAAGTAAATTTATTATCCAAAGTTAGAGCAGACAAAGATCATTGAGAGAAGGTTTCAGTACAACATAGAATACGGACAAATAATTACCAAAACATGCCGTTTTATTACAACTAGTGCAAAAGATTGGTATAATTGAAACAATAAAAGGTACGAATAATTTATTTACTGTTGGTAGTATTGACCACGGCCGACGCCAACCTGTTGTTGAGGAGGTCCAGTCCTGGTTTTCATCTGTTGCTCGATCAAAGCAGCTTGATCGTGCATTCCAACAGATCTGTAGTATTCTGCCCATTGGGCGGAATAATCTGGTTGGCCAGTTTGAGGATTGATTTGTGGGTTCTGTCCTTGCTGAGGCTGAGCTTGAGGAGCAGCTTGGGCGGCAACTGGTTGAGCGGCTTGATAGTTACCGGCCCCGTTTCCAAACTGGTTGTTTCCATATCCGTTTTGCGACCATTGGTTATTGTACTGGTCTCCACCACCAGTAGCTGCACCCCCGAATTGTGGAGCTTGGAATTGGGCGGCTTGTGGTGCTCCGCCAGCCATTTGAGGTACTGGAGTTCCAGGAGGGATGTCGCCAACCTTGATGCGGATAATGTGCTGAGCACAGTGAATGCTATACGCCGAACCTTTGATCACAAACACTTTCTCCGTAGCATTTGGGGGCGGGTCACGAGACAACTCCACATGAGCACCGGACTCGTTGCATATTTGTTTGATGGTTTCTCCTCCTTTTCCTATGACTAGACCGGTCTTGTTGGCGGGTACGTGCATCAAACAAACATCAGACTGTTGATTACCAGATGATCTTTGTACCAAATCCCAGATCATTTGAGTAGCTCTAGTAATTTGCTCTGGAGTTCCTTGTACAACGGCACATCTTTCAGAAGCATTAGGATCCTCTAAACACAAAAGCATGAAAATGTTATGAAGGAATAAAGTAACAAATCATTTATCAAACAAAAATGTACAGACTAAGAAACAAGAGAATCTAATTCACTTTGTCATAGACCTCAAACGACTTGGTCAGAGAATACTCTAGCGTCCTTATGACACCTGTTAACTTTAAAAGTCAAAATACACCAGTACCACTTGCAAAAAACTTGCTCATAATACCACTGTAAAGAATATAAGTTAACTGGCTCTTAGAAAACGCATATTAAATAAATAACATAAACATAACTTACCATCAGGCTTGAATTGGATCTTGGTGTTGGATTCCTGAGCCAACCGCTTGATGGTCTCTCCACCTCTCCCAATAATAATTCCGACAGCTGACCGAGGAACGATGACTTCTCCCACAGACTTCTGCTGCAACATAGAGGTCATTGTGTTTGGGTTTCCTCCTTCATTGATCAGCTGTTCAATGGTTCTCTTGGCTTGGTCCACCTTGTCTGGAGTTCCAGTAATTCGCAGAGGCTTGGGAGCGTTAGAGATATGTTGATTCTCTTGGACTAACAGCATCTTGCATCCCAAGCGTTCCTAAAATTATAAAAAATAATTTGAGACTCGGCAACCCATTATACTTTGCAATTTCAAGCTATGTTTCGTCGTTTCCCTAAAATCATAACACTATTTTACAAATCCAAACTTACCTGCAGCATTTTAATCGTATCTCCATTCTTGCCAATAATTAGACCACACTTGGTTCCAGGGATCAGCATCTCCTGAGTGACAGACGGTCCTTGAACTCCACCATGGAAGACCTGTTGTTGAGGCACTCCATTGCCTCCTGACTGCCTTCTGTTGATGACATCGGCAATCAACTGCTTAGCTCTGTCAATACAAGGCCTAGATCCATTAAGAGTGCACAATCTGACGCTCTTTCCACCGGAATCTTGAGCCATCTGAACTCGACATCCGGACTGTTGTTGAATGGAGGTGATTTGTTCGCCCCCACGACCAATGACCAAACCTACTACGGATTCTGGAATCTCCACGGTGTCAACCAATGCCTCGCTCAAAGGTGCACCCATTCCCATGCCAGCCATTTCACCGTTTGGTCGTTTAGCCGGATGCACTGAAAACAACAAATTATTAGACCATTATCATAACCATCTGTAAAATTATGTTCGTTTAATAATTAGAACTTGTGTGTAAGTCGAACTTCTTCTGTTTTCACATAAAATAACAATATTTCAGATGTCCAAAAATATCAGTTAAAAGTAGTTTTCGATGTAAAAATTCTCAAACAAAAGAAATCCGACTTGTAAAAACAAAACTATCATACAAACCCCACAAATATGCAAGTAAATGTAATCAAAATAATGTAAAAATTAAACAAACGATATAATCAAACAATAAAACGACGTCGCGAATAAAATATATCCTCATTACACATACAATTCAAATCGTCCGAACTTGGTCGTTTGATGGAGCCGTTTGATTGACTTTGAACAGTAGAAAGCTAAACAAGTATAACAATATAACCTTCCCAAAAAGATTTAACTTTTTCCCCAAAATTGTTCTAAATTTAAGTAACAAACTATAGTTTACTTATGTCAAAACTGAAATAAATGTTCAGTAATCACAAAAATACATAACATTTATAAATTCAGTAAAGTATCGCAATATAATCATATCAAAATGCAAATATTACATTCGAAAAGTAAAACTACATTGCAAATTCATATTCGATGTAAAATAGCCTCTTACACCTCTGTAAATATAAATACTGTGACAAGTCAAATCACCAATGTTCATACTCAAAATAATATAATTTCAATCACATAAAATGAAATTTAACATTGGCAAATCATTAATGTACAACAAGTGCAATATGCATAACATCATAAATCCAACAATGCAAATGTACAAAAATATGGTTTTATACAGCCAAAGTATCAACATAAGCAATAAAATTTAGGTATTCAACTTCAAAATGTCAATTTCACATATTTCAATGCCAATTTCAAAGTATTCATATATACATGCAATGTTTAACCCCCAAATTTAACAAAATTAAAGATACTCACCTGTTTAACACGATGCAAATCTGTCAGAGTGTCGTTGGTAATTATGCCGCTGGACATAACTCAGAATACCATTCAATTTAGAAGCCTCCGAACTCAGCCGAAAAGCACGGTAAAATTAACACTGAAAACACATATTTAGACATTAGCAAAGGCAATGGTAAAAATATAACACGACAACAAACCCAAGAACCTTGAAAAATAAGCAAAGATCTCAAAGTGTTACCTAAAAACCTATATTCCCCATATTTTATGGCTTGTAAAGCACTCAAAAACTCAAGTTTCTTAAATAAAACTCCTCTATTCATTAATACCTGAAAGTTAACCTTCTATCCCCACAATACTGAGCCATCTTCCCCGTGTTACATTTACGAATCTTCCAAGCGAACGCCAAAATGAACGCGAATCGATGAAAGAGGCGGTACCGTGGAAGTAAGGTTTGTTTTCGTGGCGGGATTCGTTGCTCTTCAAAACTACATTTTTCGGGTTTTCGAGCCGATTTTGTGCGCATCTGAAGTTTTGTAAAGTTTCTTAAATTTGTCTGCAAGTATAATTTAGTGCCGGTTTGGTTAGTATGACATGTTTCATTAAGTTCAACATCATTGTTTTAAGAAGTTTAATTCTTAGGTTGTCGCGTATCCAAATCGTTGTTTGATTTCTGTCGATTGAAGACATTCTGAATTGTTTAGTGATAGAAGGTACTCATCAAACTTAAAGATGTCGTGCCCTCTGACTTTGTTTCGGAAGCACCTAAAGGAAGGAACTCCGATGAAGGAGATGAATGTGGTAAGTTTGATCCTATCTCGGCTTGAAATCGTTATATAAATTGTTGTTTTAGCTTCAAAAATTAATGTTTGAAGGTAATTTTACAATTTTAGAACGGTGATAAGTATTATGCGTTTGGAGATACAGCTTTTCCGGCTGATTGCCTTACAGCTTTGCAAATGTTAGGTCAAGAGGAGTTCTACACCTTGGAAGATGTGGTATTTTGCTGGAGTATGATTGACAAAGAACATAACTTCTATGTCCGAGAAGCAACTGGGCGAAAGTTAAAGGCTGTCACATTGATTCAAAAGTAAGGTTTCATTTTTGTGTATTAATTCTGGTTTTAGGCGTAAATTGAACACTTATCTGACGAGTGATATCAATAGTGCTTTGGGTTTGGTCCCGAATGCTCCGTATGCCGCTTCTGTTCCAGTATCTGATCTTTTGAGCAAAGTGGATGTGTCAGACGAGCCTGAGGCTAAACGGTTACGGTTGGATGAAAGGTAGGGTAATATTTCTAATATGCATGCAGTCTTTAGGTAACAATTTCATAAACGGATATTGAAAGAATTCGTTGGTATATAAGAGAATATGTTTCTGTGTTGTATTAAAATGTGTTAAAAACGTTCTTTTAGCGAACAAAACACAACATACGAAACCACTGTAAACTATGATACCTCAATGGAAATTGACAGTCAGCCGAGCCAAGATGAAGGTATACGAGCTTTGAATGCTGACTTGGATGCTGACAAGATCACTCAACTTCGAAACAGAGTAAAGAAGAACTTGAAGAAAGCTCCCGTGAACTTGGCCGAAGATGTATATGATGATCCTATAGCAGAGTTTCCTTTCGACGAAGCTTCTGAAGACGAAGTTGGTTTGGCTTTGAAGGAACTGGAAACTCCTGGATGCTCTAGAGTACAATTATACAACTGTGAAGGACTCGATTTGGAGTCTGTAATGGAGTATATTACGGAGGAAGTGGTACGTTGAGTTTTAAAACTATACCTTTATTGTGTTTTATGCTTTGGTATTCGTTTGTTATCTTATTATTGTTGTAGACGAAGAAGAACCGTCCAAATCCGAACAATTCCTTTGTCAAACCTCAGATGCCAATGAATGGTGCATCACAGAAGAAGCCAACCACCGGTTACAGTAGGTACGACCAAGAAGTCTTCCGACCTGAGCTGGATACGGATTTGGACATTGACATGGACTTGTCGTTTAGAGGTAAATTATGATTTTCTTGTGAAAAGGTTGCAGTTTAATTGTGAGTTACATCATTCTTAAGAATTATAAGTATTTCTTTTGTCCTACTGAAATTACTTGTTTTAGGTAACACAAAGAAGGCTTTGATGAAACAGCCATTACTAAGTCAACCTCCAAAACCACCACAACGACTTGACTTTGGTCCTGCAAACGCTTTGAATCCTAATGGCAGACCTCCTAAACGTCAATCTAAGACACCAATCATAATTATCCCGGCTTCTGGTACAGCTCTTATAACAATGTATAACGCCGAAGACATAATTCAGGTAATTTTTTGATTTTTTTGAGTTGTTGAACGATTGACAAATATTTTTTATACAGTATATTATGATTATTGTGCGGATGTTAAACGTATTTCTTGCAGGAAATGAAGTTTGTGTCGTCAGAGGAGCGAAAGAAACAGAAGACACGGAGAGAGAACGAAGTTCTGATTCATCGACGGAAAGAGAACGGGACTACCGTGCCTTTCAGAATCATAGAAGACCCCAAGAAACTGCGAGATGAAGAATGGGATCGTGTAGTAGCTGTCTTCGTTCAAGGCCCAGCTTGGCAATTCAAGGGATGGAGGTTCGGATCGGTCGATAAATCCTTCACTCCGACCGAGATCTTTGCCAGAATCTGTGCTTTCCATCTGAAGTTTGACGAACAGCCTTTGGACAAGAACGTGGCACAGTGGTCGGTGAATGTTCTCTCATTGTCTCAGACCAAACGACATCTTGATAGAGCGGTGTTGAACAAGTTCTGGACAACGTTAGACCGGTACCTAGTGAAGAACAAGCCTCATCTTCGGTTTTGAGGGTTTAAATCAATATTTTCCGATTATTAAATGTTTTGTTTTCAGTATTTCGTTTTTCCTAAAATTTTTTTAACAGTTTTTAAAACATTGTGAAAACGACTAAATCCTAATTGACATAACTTATTTCACCGTTGTAGTTTACTGGGATAATTGTAATAACGAGTTATATCTATTAAAAGTTTTGTTACAAGTAGTTTGTGGATAGTTGTGGTATATTAATATAGTTACTCTTTGGACTCGGTCTTCTGGCCCATAACTTGTTCTCGGATTCGGGAAGCGATGGCCTTTCTGGCCTCCATCATCTCGGAGCTGTTCTCCGACTTGGAGAATGAACCCTGCAAAGCGCCTCGGGCAGCTTGAGAGGTTCGTGGTCGATCAGTAGCATTCTTCTGCGCGGCTTCGATCAGTTGTTTCTCTCTTTGCTTTTGCCTGGCTTCGATTAGCTTGTCTCGCTGCTGCTTTAGGTATTCTGCACGTTGTTTCACTTTCTCGTCGTCTTCGTTGATTTTCTTGTTCAGGAGACCCTACAGTTAATTACGTTTATGGGAAAGCGATAATCTTGTACTAGGTGTTTTCGAAAAGGTTCCTTCTTGAAATAATCATGTTCGGTCAAAAAGTGCATAATCCGCCAAAAAATAACCTTGAACTTAAGCTTTTCGTTACAATTTTTGTTTTTTTTATTAGTGATGAAAACAATAAAAGGAACAATGTAACGCATAATTGTTTTAAGTAAATTTACGTACCTTAAAGTCGAATTTGTTGTCGCTCGTAGGTGTCTTTTCTTCGCAAAAGCTCTAAACATTGCGGTTAGATCAACACTTCAATGACTTACCATGGTAGAAGGCTTCAACGGTGGTTTCACAGCATTCAGCTTCATCGACGGTGCTTCGGAAGCACGCCGAGGAGCGGGTTCTTTGCCATTCTTCTTCGACGATTCTGACTTTATCTCCAGGGCTTTAAAGTCTGATTCTGTCTGCAAAATCTCCAGCTTTACCATAGTAATTTACAACGAACAATTACTGTGATATTATTGTCAGAAAGTGGGCTTTAAGCGATTATAATTAAAATTACAGACCCCAGCAATAGCATGATTCAACTGGTTGACTTCTTCGTTTCGTTGTCGTTCAAGCTCCTTCACCTCGCTTAACGAAGCTTCGAATGCATCTTCCAACGCCTTCCGAAGCTTTTCGTCACGTTCGAATTCTTCTTTGCTCTGTCTGCAACATTAACAATGGCACAAGCCAAATTATTTTACTTACTTTAGCACTGATATGATGATATAACGTTCAGTTTCGTCTTCGTCCAACAGATTCTTGAACAACTCGGCTTCTTCCTCGCTCAGCTTGAAGGACACTGGATTCACTCCACAAATGTGCTACAATTTTAAGGTTAATAATGAATATTTGACGAAAAATTAATTTAAAAAAGGGTTTCAACCTACTTCCAACATCTTGACGGCTTGTAGCTGAAGTTCGATGTTGATCCTTGTCATCAGATGAACGAAAACATTGATGTCTTGAGCGGCCAACACTGGCTCCAACAGTTTTCTTTCTTTTTCACTCAACTTTACTGTCAAATCTTGTGATTTGAGTGAGGATACCAACTCGGATATCTCGATCTTCGAGTCGGCACAGTAACTTTCGATGAGAGCATCCACGAGTTCGGTGTAGTTCTCATGAGCTTGGACACAGAGTTCGTGTTTGGCCTGGTCTTGGTTGAACACTGAAGTGTAATATGTACTGTGTACATAAGTTATCTTTGAAGTTGTAATTTTATTAACAAGGGTAACATCAAACGAAAACTTATTAAAATATATGTATGTACTATAATATCCGAGACCTTGTGCCTGAGGTATAAAATGAGTTACAGTGTTTACATTATATTGTATGTACAAACAAGTTGTAGTCACATGCAACACTTTACATATACATAACAACATCTGTCCCAGATATTAACCTACAGATGGAGTTCTTTTCAAGGAAGTTCAACGTTGGCAACTTCCAGACATCAGTCTCCAGAAACTCGAGGAACTTTTGGAAACCGGGCTTGGTTTTGCGCGAGTTGGACTGAGACCGCCGCCTCAGGGATTTCATGGCTAGACTAACAAATGGCGGAATGAGAAGAACCTAAGAACATAACCATGACAACCACAACAAACACAGAGACCCCTCAGGGGACAGGTTTCAGGAATCACATTTAAGTTTTACAAATCTCATTAAAGGAAACGTAACAAGTGTAACTCAATTAGTTTAGGTTTCAGAGAGTAGCAGTGCAGACAGCCGGCTGACTTTTTTTATAAAGACAAAATTTAAATTCTAGATACGAAGTTTAGCGTTGAACTTAATGAAAATGTGTCAGATACAAATTCTTGTCTGACATTTTTGTGTCAATTCGAAAATTTAATTTTGAAAATGAGCAATTTTCGAATATTTGGCATACTGTTGCAAGCCTGCAAGAAAATCCGAAAATATTCTAATTTCTCTTCACGAAAGTTAAGCGAAAAATTGTGTTCGGCCTTTAATTGTGCTGTTTTGGCGACTTAAAATGGCAACATTTAGTGATAAGAGCAAAGATAACCTAAAGCAATGTGTGGTGATACTAAAAAATGAATTTTTAGCGTCAAAACCTATAAGAGAGTTGTTGAATTTCTAAAATTTAGTGTCAATAAATAAAGTTTTTGCATAATTTGCATTGAGAGCTCTTCTTTTGCCAAAATTTTAATTTTTTTTCTCTTTTAAACAGCCGTTTTAAACTGTTGTACTAGTTACAAACTGACTTTACAACCAATTACAATGCGTTACAATGTCTTCACCAACTTAACCGCCGTAATTGAGTGGAATCCGCGGCGAACGTTGTTTTTGTTTGTGGGTATAGAAAGAGTGTGTGTTGTTTTCGGGGCTGTGTTTGGGCCGTTTGGACTCACAGCTGTGTGCTTTCTTTAATACGTCTAAATCAAGGTGAATGTTCTCGTTATGACGTGAACTTTTAAGTTTTTGATACGAAAAAACAGTGGTGTGGATACGAAAGAACTGTTGTTGTTTGTTGATTCGAAGCCGGAGCGATTCGCGACATTGAGGACGTAAAGGAGGGGAAAGGGAATCGCATGACATCGGAAGTCTTTTTCGAGGACAATAAACTCCATGCTGATGTAATGCGTTCTTATTGGGCTAAAACATGTTGTAAAGTTTGATATTAGCGACAATGGGTTGATGCAAATACAATGGCGTGTTTTTAAATCAAATGTTTTTTAAATATTACTTTTTTAAAACAAAATGCTGTTGTAGTCTTAAAAACAGTTTCATCTCTTCAGATGAAGCCTTTATGGCTACTGCTTCTTCTGCTACCGTGGGTGACTTCTGAAGAATGGGACGCCTCCAATTACCCAAACCCGACCACAAACGGCTTCAGAACATGCAAGATGAAGGCCAGAGCTCAGATTTGTGATCCAGATGGTATCCTGTCGGAACAGGAACGCTACCGACTGAATCACGAATTGTCACAACTAGAAGCCAAGACACGACAAGACTATGCCCACAACTTTTGTGAGAAGAAGGGAATCTCCGCGGCCATCGCTTTGGCCCGGCATGTCAGAGGAGGTTCAGATGCTGTAAGTTTGTATTGTCAACTAAATTTATCAATAATATTCGAAAATACATAAATGTACCTACGAATCATATATTCTACTTCATAGAAGTAGCGACTGGTCAAGTTAGCCAAGTCGACTTAAAGTTTTGCAATTTCCTTTAACGTAACCTATTTTAGCACGTTCGAGCAATGGCAAACGAACTACGAAACATCTGGACCCTTGACCAGCAATGTCTCAAGAGTATGGTCATCGTACTCTCAGTAGACGACCGAAAGTTCTGGGTCGCCAGAGATGACAGAATCCCGGTTTATGCAAATGAATTCACCGAAATCTTTAATTTACAGGTATTACATCTTAACATATTTAGAGTAAAACCTGTTTCGTATATACACAATATACGAACAAAATTTAAATATGAAAATTACGTTATTTTCAGAAGCCCTTGTTCCAACAAAAGAAGTACCAACAAGCCTTGGCCAACATTCTGCACGAGACTTTGATGCGGACTAGCGAGAAACAAGGACAACTTCCGTCCGGTCCCTCTCAGCCGGCTGACGGTGGTCGTAAAGGACCAATTGGAGGCGGAGGATTCCCAATGAAGATACCATCCATCCCTACCTGGGTCATCCTGGCCATTGTCTTTGTTGTCATACCAACCTTGATCTGTTGCTGCGTATGTTATTGTTGTTGTTGTAGAGGTAAAGGTGATCGACAACCAGTACCAGCTGATGCTGAAGGCGGCGGAGTCCCTCAGCAAGGTGATGGAGGAGGTGAGTCGTTTTCTAACAAAACAACTGAAATATATAACCTTAAAGCTAAGTAGTTCATAACTAAACAAGTCCGTTTAGGTGGTATGAGGACCTTCTTCCAATCCATGGCCGGGTCATACTTGGTGAATGCGATCATGAACTGTGTTCGAAACCAAGGTCAACGTCGTTCAGCAGCTCCAGGAGGTGGTGGGCCATATCCTGGCTACCAGCCGGGAGCACCACAGGCAAAAGAAGGTCAAGGATTATATCCTAGCCAAGCAGTTAAAGACGAAGGAGGTGGTGGAGGATGGTAAACTACTGTCATCCGATGACTCACTATATGTAAATACTTTGCTATTTTCCGCTTGCCATAACTCGAAATCTCTTATCCGTCGATTAATGGACGTTAGGTACTTTAAAGTACTTAGTAATACCACTAGGCATCGAATGTTAAAACAGTACTTAAATGTACAGATAATTGTTTCCAAGCTTTTACAACACTTCTTGCATTAATTCCAATGTTTTACAAGCTTCTCTTTTATTTTACAAGATAAATATAATTGAAGTGATAATGAGACCATAGATATCAAAATAGTGGTATAATTAAACCTTCTTCTTCTTCCCCTTTACGACTGGAGTACCGTGCATTCTCTTCCTCGCTTTTTCTTCTTGTTCGTCGTCCTCTTCTGTTGTGATGGAGGGGATCAGCGAGCTCAAACGTTTACCAATCTCGGCTGCCGTCCTTGATCTGAAGAACCAGTTGAATTTGAACTGGGGAGCATCTCTGATGGCTTTCCTTATCTGCTCGTGGATATCTGGGGAGTCGTAGCCAAATTCGTTAAGTTTGACCAACAAAAACCTGCAAAAACGATAAAAATGGTTACACATATTGAGAACATTCACATATGTTAGATGATTAATAAATAGTTAAACAGACATATAATGCACTGATTACAGAAAAAATAACATTAACACTGACCTGTCCTCTTCCGAAACAAAGCTTTTGTTCTTCTGAGCATTGATGGTCAACTCGACCAAGGGATCCTTGCAGCTCTCGATCTGCCTCTTGAGAGCACGTTTGATGTCATCCTTCCTTCTTAGCTTCTCTTCTCCTTTAACAATACTCGAAACGATTCTGTCCCAATCCTTGATTTCCTTGTACCTTTTCCAGAACACTTCCGAATACTTCTGGACCTCGTCCTCAGTCTTTGTCCCGATCTCCTTGGCTATCGCGGCATAGTCCTTTCTACCGTACTTTTCGCAGCTCTTCTGGAAGACTGAGAACTCCTTGCGACTCCAGTCGAAGACGGCTTTGTTATACAAGTTCTCTCGCTCCTCTAACATCTCATTTGTTGGCTCCACGACCTTATCCATCTTCTTCTTCTCCTCCTTCAGGTACTTTTCTACATCTTTGCCTGATAGTCCTTCTGGAGCAGTTGGTTCGTATCCACTGACCTTTCTGAAGTAGTACACTTCGTTGTCAATCAGCTCGTACAAACGCTTAGGATGGAATTGGAAGTCGTAGATTTGAGGTAGATTCTTTGGACGAGGAGCTTTCTGTTTTGCCCCAACTGTTTCTTGTTTTGTTTGTTCCCTAAAATAAGTATTTACTAAAGAATGCTAAAATTACTAACGCAATTATACGTAATAAATACTTTGTATTAAAAGATTAATCTAAAAGTTAAAATGAAATTGGAAAACTTACTTAAAACAATGTTCTATATTGTAGTTAGTCTTGCGTTCTCGCTTTGGTGGTTCAATGAACACAGGTGTCTGTCTTATACTCTTTCCTTTGAAGTTCTCCCCATCAAAATCGTAGATACTCTTGAACTCCCTCAAGTTGGACTCTCCCAGTTTGTCCAACTGGTCGTTCAGCTCCTTTGTTTTGTCTTCAGCCTTAGACAGAATGACTTCGATATCTTCATCAGTAATAGTAGAATCCTTCGACTGAAAGATCTGGTTGGCACCGTGTCGCACCATGGACAACATCTCGTCAGCTCCGAGCGTCTTCTGGGCTTCGGCCAAACGTCCTTGTTGTATGACTACGGAGTCCAAACGCAACTTTCTCTCCGCTCTTTCGATGATTCTTTCTTCACAAGTGTTCTCGGTGATCAATCTGAACACTCGGACCTGCTTCTTCTGGCCGATACGATGAGCTCTGTCCTGAAATCGAAAAGTGTAACATAAAATGGAATTAAAAGTTAAATCTCAGCCTTTTTTACGAACATGACTATACACAAAACTTACCATAGCCTGGAGGTCCATTTGAGGATTCCAATCGGAATCGTAGATAATGACGACATCGGCCGAAGTCAAGTTGATGCCAAGTCCACCAGCTCTTGTCGTCAACATGAAGATGAATTTGTCGCTGCCCTCCTTGTTGTACTCGTCGATTTGTTGATGTCTAAGCTCGTGAGCTGTGCTACCATCCAGTCTACAGTACTTGTGGTTTCTCCACATACAGTAATCCTCTAGGATGTCCAACATTCTGCTCATTTGAGAGAAGATCAGCACTCGAGAGCCTTGTTGTTGTAGTTTAGAAAGAAGTTTGTCGAGGAGTACCATCTTCCCCGATGCCTCCACCAAATGTTGATCTGTAGTGAAAGGTGGTCCAGGTTCGGCTCCATCAAAGAGATAAGGATGGTTACAACACTTTCGGAGATGCATGAGAATGTTCATCAACCGCTTTTTCTCCACCTTTCCGTGAGTGTTTACAATATCGATATCTTTCATCAGAACTTTGGTATACCTAAACATTATTCTTAAAGGTACATATCTATCTCACTATATAACCTATACAAGTTTTTACAAAACTAATAAATGTTCTTTATAAGTTTTCAAAAGTTTGAACGTACCATTCCTTTTGAAGCTTGCTCAACCCAATGAACACCTTGACTTCCTTTTTAGGTAACAACGACTTCTCTACGTCAGCCTTGATTCTCCTCAACAAAAATGGTTGCAAGACTCTGTGTAACCTTTTAATAATGTCCTCGCTACCAAGTACACTGTCGTTGTGGAACCAAGAGTCGAAGTCTTCAGCGCTGTTAAAGATATCTGGCAAAAGGAAGTTCAGCAGAGACCACAACTCGTGCAAGTTGTTCTGAAGAGGTGTTCCCGTAAGAAGTAGTCTGTTTTTCGTCTTCAGAACTCTGACCGACTCTGCTAACTTCGAATGCTCGTTCTTAATTCTGTGGGCTTCATCGATAACCATGTAGTACCAAACTATCTTCTTCAGGTCCGACAAGCACTTCAGAACCATTTCATAAGATGTGATAACGGCCTCGAAGTCTCTATTCTTTATTTGTTCCAGTGGCTTTGCTCTGGTTTCGGCATCACCAATCAAAACGATTGTCTTAATCGATGGACACCACTTGTTGAACTCGTTCTGCCAGTTCTGTAGTGTACTCTTCGGCACGATGACTAAGAAATGCCCATTGTGATTTTTGTAATGCTTCATGTAGCCCAATAGTGATATAGTTTGCAGCGTTTTTCCCAAACCCTAAAGAACAATTAAGCTTAGACATCCTTAATAAAAACTTATACCTAAAAATTACACAAAACACAGAAAATCTAACATACCATTTCATCTGCCAAGATACCATTAAACCTGTTATAGTTAAGTTGAATCATCCAATTTAATCCTCGAACTTGATAATCCCGAAGCTCGCCGTTCTTAATGTAAGCAGGAGATTTGTCAAACAGAATCAGATCTTCTAGAGCTCCTTCTTGTGCTAACAGCTCATTATCTTCCTCCTCTTCTGTCTTTGCGTGTCGTCGATCACTGACTGCTGATGGTCTTCCCCTCTTTTTCTTGTTAGCATTACCTAAAATTTCATTCTTACTTCCAAAAAACAAATTCCATATATACTTTAAAAAACTTTAAAAAACGGCAAATCAACTTACTAGACAGCAACGCATCACCAGTGCTCAATTTTTTAGAGAAGTTCTCCGTCTTTTTCAGTAACTGTTCGAATCTCTTGAAGGAGTCCATGTCCTCTAAAAGCAAATAAACTAAAACAACTTATCTAACTTACCAAATTCGTTGCGGATCGGTTCATGTTTAGTTTCTTCTTCCGTCTCAGGCTTGAACTCTTCATCGTCCTGTTCCATGACTTCAGGAGATGCCGCTTCTGCTTGATCAGCTTCCATTTCTTCATGATCGTTAACTTCTTCCTTCATCTCAACATCCTCGGTTTTTGGGAGATCAGAAGCCATAATGCTGCTACAAACGATAATATTAGAAAAATTTAAACAGAAAATACTATGAAAACGTATACACAAAAGCAATCCACAAGTCGATTGCCAAAAACATACGCGACGCCCCTATATAACCTAACATCAAAAAAGAAAAATAAAAAGTAATTTTAGCGAACATTTCGCGCCCTTTTATTTGGCATTCTGTCGCAAGCGAATAAATGTGCATTGTAAAATGGTGAATCTTTGAAAAATTCGAAGTAAAAAACATTTTATGAAGGAAAATTAATAAGTGAATTATCAGTCTTTCCCGAAAAGAATGTCCCTCTGCACAGTGCAGTCCCTGGGAAAATCGCGCCCTTTTTATTCCACTCTGCACAGTGCAGATTCCCCTGCGATTGCTTGCAACCCCAAACGATGATGGAAAGACTACACAGTGCAAGCCCCCAATTGTCGCGCCGGTCGGTTGTCGCAGAAGTCAGGGGACTTGCGACAGCCAAAAGAAACTTGTCGCAAGCCTTCCACTGAACCCGGTGGTGGCTTGAGCGTCGCGAAAACCGCGACATTGCGATTCCCATTGGGATGTCGCAGGGTGCAAGCGACTGTCGCAGAGCGCGCCGCTTGTCGCGCGATTTCTTCCAATTCACGGCGCGACAGCGATTCTTTCAAATGGGAAATTTTGGAGAGGGACATTCGTTTCGGGAAAGACTGATAATTTTACAAGCATTACTAACATATTAGGTTGTCCGGAAAGTTCTGCAATATTTTTTCACTTTTGAACTAACAATAATAATAGTATAATTAACAACTACAATCAATCAAAGTAATTACCGTCTGAATCAATACAGTCTTGCCAACGATTTACAAGCTCTTTTATTCCACGATTGTAGAATTCCGGGTATCTGGAGTTGATGAAGTTCTTGAAGGCATTCTTGGCATCGTCTGGAGTTTTGAAGATTCTTCCATTAAGAAACGAAGACAAGTGTTTAAAAAGGTGAAAGTCCGTTGGAGCCAAGTCTGGAGAATAAGGAGGGTGCTCCAAGACTTCGTATCCCAGTTCCCTGAATTTTGCCACGGTCTTCTTTGCAGCATGGGGCCGTGCGTTATCCTGCAGAATGATCGGACCCCTCCTTCTGACCATTGTTGGAAGATTGTGTCGCAGTTTGTCAATCTTGGCACAGTAGGTGTCGGCCGTAATACTTTGGCCAGGTTTCATGAAATCGTACTGGATCACTCCAGAGCTACACCACCAGACAGTCACCATAAGCTTCTTTTCGTGCAATTCTGGCTTCGGAACGTGCTTAGGAGCTTCTCCACGCTTACACCAACTTGTAGATCTTCTAGTATTGTTAAACGAGATCCACTTCTCGTCAATAGTTACAATTCGATCCAAGAATTCTTCGTTTTTGCAGCGTTGCAGAAGCTTTTCGGAAGCACATCGTCTCTTGGCTTTTTGCAGATCAGTCAAATTGTGAGGCACCCATTTGTCCAACTTTTTGACCATACCCATTGCCTTCAAATGATCACCAATGGTACTTTTTCCACAGTTTAGTAAATCTTCTAACTCCCGGATTGTAATATGTGGGTCATCTTCAATCTTGCGCCTCAGGGCATCTTTGTCAAGTTTGCTGGGTCTTCCTGCACGTGGTTTGTCTTCAAGCTTCTCATCGTCCACACGAAACTTTGCGAACCATCTGGTCACCGTAGAATAACTCACAACATTCTTACCCTCATTTTCGTTTATGATTCTGAAGGTTTCTGCCGCAGTATTTCCGCGTTTGAATTCATTCCATATAATCACGCGCACGCGAGATTTCTCGATTTTTTTCTAATACCTAAAACAATACAAAAAAATGAAATTAAGTTATGTAACTTACCTTTTTGAATAATTTAGGTAACAAACAAACAAACAAAAAAAGAATTTTTTCTTTCCGTCAAGAAATAAATTTTTCCTGATTTTTCAAAGTTTACCTACTCAAATATTGCAGAACTTTCCGGACAACCTAATAATTCTGAGTTTTTATAATAAGTTTTATAAAGAAAGTTCAGGAAATGCCAAGTAGAGCTTCGTTTGTCGTTGTTTCCATGTAAATTGTAGTAGACGAATACAATTTTTTGTTTAATCTAGTTTTTTTGTCTGGTTTAGAGGCCTAAGTACATTTATTTCATATTGTTTTAGGTGCTCGTTTTTACCGCATTCTTGATGGAATATTAGATTTGGCAACAATTTAGTTTAATTGTACTCTACTCTTGAAACAATACGTTTTCAAAACATAATAAACAGCTCTTGTATAATTGGAAGGCTAATTCCTCCTATGTAATGTGGCAGTGACTTGTTTGAAAACTGAAAGGTATGCTAAACCAGCAAAAATCATAAGATGAAGAACATATTTGACAATACAAAAGTAAGGATTCTATTTTCTTGTAATCATACTCACAATTCTGTAGCTGTTTGTCTTTGAAATTGTATATATATTTTTATTTATAGTTTGTGTGAGGGTTGTAACTGTAAATGGACGTCTGCAAACATACCCTTCAGTTCAAAAAACTTGCAGGTGCACAACAAAGCTGCAAATAATATGATGAATTCGACATATTTCTAATACATTATTTGGTAGTGTAAGCTGTGGTATAGTAGCAATTGTAACAATACGGTATTTACGGCCGCTGCTATATATGAATCATCCGTCTTATCAACTGCTACATTAGTTCTAACAAAACTTATCTTTCATAGTAATATACGATACTACTACAGCTACTTTTAGAGCTGAAGACACCATTACAGCTCTACTTACATTAATTCCCGATGCGGCTTAAAATTTTATTGTGCTGTGGTCATGTTTTAAGAGGAGGTAATCTGGACTATCTTATCAGTAGACGGCGGTCCTGCGTCTTTCTTTCGTGTTTTAAATCAATACCTTTCCAAGTTCAGGAACATCGAACCTGAACAAGATGGCGTTGGACCGGACCGTTGTCGGGTTCTTCGTCCTCTTCTCCGTGGTCTACTTCTTGGAGGCCATCGGGGGATTCTACATGACCAGGTAGGTGTGCTACATAAACGAATGGTAAAGTAGAGGCTATAATGTTTTAGGCAGTATCTTTTTGATACACAACTTATTTTGTTTATTATTTGTTTTTTAAACATAAGTATAAAAAGAAAATAAAGTAAAACAGCTTATGTTAGCTATTATTTATAAAATACATGATATATGTCATTTACAGTGCAGTCGTAGCCATTGAGAAACAGTTCCAGATTCCCAGTAAGATATCGGGTATGATGGTATCAGCTGGTGACTTTGGGTACATACCTTCTATAGTCATCGTGTCGTATCTTGGTGGCAAAGTAAGTTATTTTACTTGGCAATAACTATTTGTGTGTTACCATATTTACTATCTCTTTATAGGGAAACCGTGCCAAATGGATAGGCGGTGGTTGTATGCTGATAGCCATAGCCAACATCCTCATCTCAACGTCGAACTTCTTGTTTCCTGTAGAGAGAGTGGATCTGAAGACTTCTGACTTCGAGGAAGCCATTGAGAGAGATATCAGTAGAATGTCGAATGCCAACTCGAGGATACTACAGCTTTTACCCAACGAAATACGACAGATAGTTAGTGGTAAAGGTGGACTGCCAGCTGCTCTCCAACAATGTGAGAAGCTGATCGATCGTAATCAGAGTTCTATTCTCTGCAACACGCTTCAGGTACATTATGTTTAAGTTTGTTGGCATTATGGTGTTACCCATGATTTCTTATTACATTTTCAAAATACATGGGAATGTTGAAGTTAATTCAAAAAATAGGTACTTTGTTCTAGGACCGACTCCACAAACACAATCCGTCGAGTGTGGAAGATGTAGAGAATCTGCGAGCCATTACTGCCACTTCGTACGCTTTCTGTAGCCGATCTTTGAATAGGTTGAGGTCAATGGTATGTTATATGATGTTTTTTTAACTTAGTTTTTGTCAAAATACATAGTAATTTAGTCATCAAGAAGGAAGGAACACATAATTACGTATGTTGACTATGTAGATGTTTATTTTAACTAGGTTTTTATAACGTGTTTTGACTATGATATTGTTCTAGATGGACAAAGCACGATGTAAGCGAGACAGTTCGTATGTTGGGCCTACAGCGACAATCTTTTTTGGACTGTTTTTGCTTGGAATTGGACGTACCATGCCGTACTCTCTAGGACTACCATTGGTCGATGACAATGTCAAAAAGGCCAACTTACCTATTTATTTTGGTAAGCTTACTTTTAAATTGGTTATTGTTAATGGTTTTATAGTATTCTAAAGTTTTTGTAATATATTATACGTTTACTTGAAAATTTAAACTATTTGTTGTTAATTTAACTTATTTTTGAATTAAATTTCCGTATTTTAGCTGGAATGTTCTTCATTCGTTTATTGGGACCTGTTCTTGGCTTGATGATGGGGTCTATTTTCAACAAATACTACTACACTTTTGACCGTAAGTACATTTATACCTAAACATATTTGAGTATGTTGTCCAGACTAATTTAGGTTTTAAGGTTAGAAATATATTAACCTTTATTCAAATTATGTTTCAGCTCCCCAAGGTCTAACTCCGCGAGATCCAATGTGGATCGGCTGCTGGTGGTTTGGCTTCTTGATCATAGGATGCCTATTGTTTGGACCGTCACTGGGGCTCTTCTGCTACAGAACGTCTTCAACTTACCACGAAGAAGACAACGGGGAAGGCGGAGTGAAGGAAGATCTCTTAGATGAAGAAGGAAAACAGAAAAAGTAAGGCCAACCGATACTAACGTAGTGTAAAATATTTATTACATTGACAGACCTAGCTTCACAATGTCACTAGGCTTGACTTGACACGATTTACGTATTATAGTATGTCTATGTAAGAATAGTATAGTATCATCAACGTCATTTTTCTAGAAAACCTCGTCAGCTGGCCTTAGTGGATCGGCACGCTGAACGGACGGCGGACGGCAAGACTGTCGTTCCTGGAACGTTCAAGGAGAAGATGGATGACTTCATAGTGACATTGAAGTCGGTGATTACCCAGCCTGTCTATGTGGGGATACTGGTGGGCAGAGTTATCGACGTTATGGCCTTCAAGGGATTCTTCGTGTTTCTACCCAAATATCTGGAGATCCACTTCGGGGTACCTCAATATAAAATCAACTTTTACATGGGTAAGAAACAACATGTAACCTAGATGACATTTAGAAACAGATTGAATGTAAATTGTCATCTCTAGTCACTAATCATACTGTTTTAGGCCTGATTGGCATTGTGGGCTTCGCCATAGGAGTTTGTTCAGGCAGTTTGATCATGAAGTTCCTGAAGTTAGAAGGTCGTAAAGCGGCAGCTTGGGTAGCTATCTGCTCGTTACTGGCTGCCTGTCTGTCCTTTTTGAACGCTGGAGTTGGATGTCAATCAACCATGTCACAGTTAGGAGAATTGTAAGAAAAGACTCCTTTTGTTACATATTCTATACCTATAAAGTCTTTTCTTGTACTCATTTTAAAGTGAAGTTACATTACAATGTACAAGTAAACAAGATATACTTTCAGAGCAGCCAAAGGATCTCTCAACTCGACCTTAGGTTGTTCCTCCAACTGTTACTGCGACAACGTCCCCATCTACCCAGTCTGTGACCCTCAGGGTAATGTATACTACTCACCGTGCCATGCCGGCTGCCCTTCTCCTGATCCAGCCGTCTTCGCCCAATTAGACCCCAAACTGCCACCAACCTTCTCGAACTGTTCTTGTGTCAAGACCAGCGACAAACATGTGTCCCGGGATTACTGTATTACCGACGACTGTAACTGGAAGATAAAGCTCTACTTCTTGAACATGGCATTGGGCGGGGTGATTGGAGGTTTGGGGGTTACTCCAGGAATGTTGATCATGCTGAGGTAATGCAGTTTTTACTATGTATTAAGGTGTTTTGCTTTCAAAACAGATTTCTGATCATTTAAATGCCGTTTGTCATCAAGGTTGTACACTACGGTGAATCATGCATTACATTGAAAGATACATACTATGAAGTATATGCTATGATTCCTGTATTTGCAGGTCCGTTCCCCCAAGGCATCGTTCCGTTTCCTTGGGATTCAGCGGATTTCTGGTCAGTACATTAGCCACATTGCCATCCCCAATATTCTGGGGTGCCATAATCGACTACTTCTGCGTACAATGGGAGAACAAGTGTGATGGCAGGGGAGCGTGTGTACTGTACGGTACAGAACAACTCAGGATATGGTACGTGAACCCATGTTTTTATTACTATGGCAGTTTTAGTGTCGCCTTTAAACACTAGTTTATAAATTATAGTATTTTACCATGCCTTCTGTTCCCCGCCCATAAGTATTTAACTTTTCAGGATGCACAGTATCTATGGAGGTCTCCGCTTACTGGCATTGCTAGCCGACTTCTATGTACTCTATCATGCCAAGGGTCTGAAGATTGTAGAAGAGCACGAAGATGACGAAGTTCAGCCACACAAAGCGACAGAAAACAACAAAAAAGATAACCTACTGCCAACTGAACAGGACGCAAGGCCACCTCAAGAAAAAGAAGCCCAACCTCAGGGGAACAAAGAGTAAAGTCAACGTATCATTTCGCATTGTAAATGTATATAACAAGTTGTGTTACTATTAATTAAAGGTTAATTTAACTGCTTTTTATTATAAATTCTTAAAGAAAATTACTATTGGGGTCAGGTGTGCATATAAAAATACCTAAAATAGCCATTGTAATACCTATAGACTGGTAGTGCACTTTCTGAACTCAACTCAACCTAAAACAACCACGAGTCACATCTGTCACTCTACATTAATATCGATCCTCCGATCTTTCAACTCCATGAAAAACAAACATAACCCAAAGTCGTTTTATTGTGGATTTTAGTAGTCGGAAAACGACGAGAGTCATTTTATATTACCCATCCATCTAAGAACTTCTCGCGTCATGCGGCTTCTGGTGGTGATTGTTTTGTTCGCGGTAAGTTATTACAATAAAATAAATAACCTTTCACTGTAAGATGATTAATCCGGCCAATTTAAGTGAGCTTGAAGTATGTGAGAACTGTCAGAAGGTGCTGTACATCACCTCCTTGTACTACAACAAACAACGCTCAAAGCCCTTTCTTCGCAGAAAGGTCAAGCACCTATGCAAACGATACTATGAGGTATGCAAAACTGTAAAAGTAAACCATCTTTTCGTTCTTCGTGCTTGAGTACAGAAAAAATTGTCTAAAACAACCGAAAATTATATTTTTGATCACGCTTTTTGAAGTTTCTAGATAGTGTCTGCCGAAACTATTAACCTACACTATCTAAAGTGAAAACAATAAAAATTTCATAATGAGACAGTCATATTGGTACAAAAAGCAATTTAGTTTTTACAAAATGACACAAAATCCAATATTCTCGTAGTAAAATACCACACTTTCAGTACCGAAGACACTGCTTGGTCACTCTCGTCCCAAAAGCCGACCTAATTGCTTTTACCATTGATAACGCCCTAGAAGGGGGTCAGTATCAGCCATCCGAGACCTGCACTTTAATCTCCGAATGCGATAAAAATCAAGCTCCGATGAACTTCAGCGAAATTAATGTGGACGAGCTGGATGGAAGTGGACTGGATTTATTTTTTGACCTGGACTAAGCTCAAAATATATTTTTACAAAATAAACACATTTATTCACAAAGTTTTATAATTTATATTCAACTTTTACCAAATGTTTTATCATATACAAGTGGGTTAAGTCCCGCAACGAATGATTGAGTTCGGTAAGAAAAGAAAAAACCGAAATATTTTTATCTTTTCTGAAAAAACTGGAAATTTCTGGATTCTTGTTTTGGCCTGACGCAATCCGAAAAATTGTTACCTGAAATCTGTAGTTTTGTTTTAAACTTTTAAGTTTTAAAGACATTATCTTATTTTTTCACATCAAACCGTTATATTTTAACAGGCTGTGTTGGTATTTGTTCGGGGAGCGTGTAGATCATTCGCGAGTGTTCCATCTGCCCATAAAACATATTCGTAACTCTTAGTTTATCAATTTGCAGGTTAGGTCACCAGCCTGACATACGATAATATAAAATGTTGTCCGCTGCGAGAGCATCGTTTGGCAATGTCTGCAGAGTGCCATTTGTAGCTAAACAAACCCTCGGATTTACTCCAAGGAGATACAAGTAAGTCGTTTGTTCATCTTTTTGTTTTTAGGTAGTAAGTTTTGAAATGTTATGTCATGTGGGTAATTTGTAAGCGTTCATTTATGGTTTAAGTTGTGAAAATTTACATAGTTGGGTTTATTGTGTACAGCTGAGTGACATTCAGTTATGTTGGTGCTAAATTTTTCTTTCAAGTTTTAATTTTTATCGTTAAAGCAGTGGATAAGTTATATGTTGCTAAAGGCGTGATATATAGTAAATGGTTTTTTGAAGTATGACCTAAAATTTTTGTTTTAGATCTGATGCCGTCAAAGGAGCTGTTATTGGTATTGATTTGGGGACCACCAACTCCTGTGTAGCTGTAATGGAAGGTCAATCTGCTCGTGTGATAGAAAACGCTGAAGGTGTGAGAACTACCCCATCAGCCGTTGCCTTCACCGCTGATGGAGAACGATTGGTTGGAGCTCCAGCTCGTCGCCAAGCCGTCACCAACAGTCAGAACACTTTATATGCTACCAAGAGATTGATCGGCCGCAGATTCGAGGACCCAGAAGTGCAAAAAGATCTTAAGGTTGTGCCGTTCAAGATCGTCAAGGCCAGCAACGGTGACGCGTGGGTCGAAGCTCAAGGAAAACAATATTCTCCATCTCAAGTTGGTGCTTTCATCCTTACCAAGATGAAGGAAACCGCCGAGAGCTACCTTGGAACCAAGGTTAACAACGCTGTTATCACCGTCCCTGCCTACTTCAACGACTCCCAACGTCAAGCTACGAAAGATGCCGGCCAGATTTCTGGATTGAATGTTTTGAGAGTTATCAACGAACCAACTGCCGCTGCTCTGGCTTATGGTTTGGACAAGTCTGACAACAAAATGTAAGTTTTCTTTCTATAATTGTTAAATTACCGTTTTTGACTTTTTTACTTTAATCTCGTGAATATTGTTTGATGTTTTACATCAAAAAAAATTAAGCAATTTAATATTAGGTTGTCCGGAAAGTTCTGCAATATTTTTTCACTTTTGAACTAACAATAATAACAATATAATTAACAACTACAATCAATCAAAGTAATTACCGTCTGAATCAATACAGTCTTGCCAACGATTTACAAGCTTTTTTATTCCACGATTGTAGAATTCCGGGTATCTGGAGTTGATGAAGTTCTTGAAGGCATTCTTGGCATCGTCTGGAGTTTTGAAGATTCTTCCATTAAGAAACGAAGACAAGTGTTTAAAAAGGTGAAAGTCCGTTGGAGCCAAGTCTGGAGAATAAGGAGGGTGCTCTAAGACTTCGTATCCCAGTTCCCTGAATTTTGCCACGGTCTTCTTTGCAGCATGGGGCCGTGCGTTATCCTGCAGAATGATCGGACCCCTCCTTCTGACCATTGTTGGAAGATTGTGTCGCAGTTTGTCAATCTTGGCACAGTAGGTGTCGGCCGTAATACTTTGGCCAGGTTTCATGAAATCGTACTGGATCACTCCAGAGCTACACCACCAGACAGTCACCATAAGCTTCTTTTCGTGCAATTCTGGCTTCGGAACGTGCTTAGGAGCTTCTCCACGCTTACACCAACTTGTAGATCTTCTAGTATTGTTAAACGAGATCCACTTCTCGTCAATAGTTACAATTCGATCCAAGAATTCTTCGTTTTTGCAGCGTTGCAGAAGCTTTTCGGAAGCACATCGTCTCTTGGCTTTTTGCAGATCAGTCAAATTGTGAGGCACCCATTTGTCCAACTTTTTGACCATACCCATTGCCTTCAAATGATCACCAATGGTACTTTTTCCACAGTTTAGTAAATCTTCTAACTCCCGGATTGTAATATGTGGGTCATCTTCAATCTTGCGCCTCAGGGCATCTTTGTCAAGTTTGCTGGGTCTTCCTGCACGTGGTTTGTCTTCAAGCTTCTCATCGTCCACACGAAACTTTGCGAACCATCTGGTCACTGTAGAATAACTCACAACATTCTTACCCTCATTTTCGTTTATGATTCTGAAGGTTTCTGCCGCAGTATTTCCGCGTTTGAATTCATTCCATATAATCACGCGCACGCGAGATTTCTCGATTTTTTTCTAATACCTAAAACAATACAAAAAAATGAAATTAAGTTATGTAACTTACCTTTTTGAATAATTTAGGTAACAAACAAACAAAAAAAGAATTTTTTCTTTCCGTCAAGAAATAAATTTTTCCTGATTTTTCAAAGTTTACCTACTCAAATATTGCAGAACTTTCCGGACAACCTAATAGTTGGTCATTATTTTCTACAATTTCAGTATTGCCGTATTCGATTTGGGAGGTGGTACATTCGATGTGTCCGTCCTCGAGATCCAAAGGGTGTTTTCGAAGTAAAATCAACCAACGGAGATACCTTCTTGGGTGGTGAAGATTTTGACAACACTTTGGTAAACCATCTGGTGGGTGAATTCAAGAAGGAATCTGGAATAGATCTCACCAAGGACCCTATGGCTATGCAGAGACTCCGCGAGGCTTCAGAAAAGGCCAAGTGTGAACTTTCAAGCACAACTCAGACTGATATCAACCTTCCTTATATCACAGTTGACGCTTCTGGACCAAAACATTTGAACCTAAAGTTGACTCGTGCCAAGTTCGAACAGCTCGTAGCTGACTTGATCAGAAGGACGCAAGAACCATGTAAGAAGGCTATGGTCGACGCTGAGGTCAAGCCATCGGAAATTGGAGAGGTTTTGTTAGTTGGAGGTATGAGCAGAATGCCAAAGGTTCAACAGACCGTCCAAGAAATCTTCGGAAGACAACCAAGCAAAGCCGTCAATCCAGATGAGGCTGTAGCTATCGGTGCTGCCATTCAAGGAGGAGTTTTGGCCGGAAACGTTACAGATGTCCTGCTGCTTGATGTCACTCCATTGTCTCTAGGTATCGAGACTTTAGGAGGAGTTTTTACCAGACTCATCCCAAGAAACACCACAATCCCAACCAAGAAGAGTCAAGTAAGTCTCTGTCTTTTTGATTATCATATTTTTAGGTATTCTCAACTGCTGCTGATGGACAAACTCAAGTAGAAATCAAAGTGCATCAAGGAGAAAGAGACATGGCCGCTGACAACAAGATGTTAGGTCAGTTCTCGTTGGTCGGTATTCCTCCAGCTAGCCGTGGTGTGCCTCAAATTGAAGTTACTTTTGATATTGATGCCAACGGTATTGTGAACGTGTCTGCCAGAGACCGTGGAACCGGAAAGGAACAACAGATTGTCATCCAATCTTCTGGTGGTCTGAGCAAGGACCAAATCGAGAACATGGTCCGTGATGCTGAGAAACACGCCGCTGAAGATGCTGAAAGAAAGGAATTGGTCGAGGCTGTCAATTCTGCCGAGTCCGTTGTCAACGACACAGAACAGAAGATGACTGAGTACAAGGATCAATTGAACGCCGAAGAGGTATATCAGACTATTTCATTTTAAATTCTTAGTTTCATATTGTTAACACTGTCTTGTATATTGTTTTAACAAGCGATTGTTTTAGGCCAAGGCCCTACAAGAGAAGATCGATGAGTTGAAACAGAAGTTGGCCAACAGAGATGGCTTGAAGGCTGCTGACATCAAGGAATTGGTCGGAACAGTACAACAACAATCCCTCAAGTTGTTCGAAGCCGCCTACAAGAAGATGGTGCAGAACAACCAAGGCTCCCAACAAACAGAAGCTCCGAACGAAGAGCAGAAGAAGGAGGAGCAAAAGTGATATGACACTTAGTAATTATGACTAATAGGTTTTTGTAGATCTCGTTTATTGTTCCATCAATTGTTACTGTTATTCCGATTATTTTTTAATGTTTATTCACATAAACATGCCACTTATGTCAGTTGTCGTTTCTTTCTTGTGAGTTTCTCCTGCCGGTCACTCTCCCAGTGGCTGTTGGTGATGATGCCTAAAAATATTCATATATATACAGTTTTTGTTAACTTACTCGACGACCAAGGGCTACACTAGGTCTTCTAGCGTTTATTGGGGGTTGTGCCATCGACAAGCTCCCTTGGCCACTTCGCCTTCTTCGGTTATGATGAATTATGGCCGACTTGCGTGGGGATGCTGACTTCGATTCGGATTGAGGAGCTTCTGATAGTCGCCTAAAACTTGAAGCATTCCATTGTAAAGGCTAATCTAAACTGACGTTATACTCTGACTGAAGGTGGTGCGACGTTTGGAAAGAAGTCCTTTCTTGGTTTTATTATGGGGTTCATTAACATCGTCAGACGTGTTGTTAAAGTCTTGAGGCGCTCCTCCTTTCTTCATTCTGTCCATTCTGAATTTGTCTGCCTTTTCCCTCTTTTCTTTCTCTTCCGAAGTCGGTGGTGGAGAACACTCGTCCAGTTCGTAGTCACTCCCATCGTCGGTGAACTGGACATTGTGTTTGCAGAACTTGGATATCGATCTTTCCGAGAACGATGGTATCTAAAACATAATGATAGACACACTAATGTATGATACACAGCAGTAGTACTTACACCAACGTCATCCAGTAGGGTCCGTAGCCAATGCACTACGGTAAAGAATTCAGGTCGGCCGAATGGAATCTGCGACCAACAACTAGTGATGATGCGATGAAGATCCCCTGGTATACCTAAAGGCAGTGACATCCTCATTCCACATCTGACCACGACAGCAATCTCTTCTGTAGATCGGTATTCTGGCCAAGGTTCTTTGCCGTCCGTCACGATCTCGTACATCAGAATTGCGAAGGAGAAGACGTCGCTTTTAGTCGAGTACCTGGGCCTGACGGCGAGGCATTCTGGAGCCAGCCACGGAATCGGAATCTTGATTTTGTCTTCGTTCGGTGTTGTACAGCCTTCCATGATGCTGATTCCAAAGTCACTTAGTTTTACCAGTCCATCCTGCAATACAGTAACCCGTGGAATTATATTATTATTTGCTTGATTACTGCCTTTGAACTTGTAGTAAGTTTGTAAAGTTAAATTCACATTTATTCTGTGTATTGTAACATACTTTCCCGAGCAAACAGTTTCTGGCCGCGATGTCCCGATGAAGACATTTCACTTTATGCAAATATTTTAATCCTCGGGCAGCCTCTAATCCGAAAATGACCCTCTCGTTCATCTTGATGTCGTGTCCACAATGGCGCAAATGACTCAGAAGACTTCCCCCTGGACACAGGTCCAATACCAACTAAAACAATATCATAATATTACTCAACCCTTTACATAGATTGTATTAGATCAAAGAATTACACTGTAACAAAAAAAGATAGTAAAGGTAAAAAAGTACCGTACCTTGAACTGGGTTTCGGAACTGTCAAGTCCAAAGCATTTGACCACGTTTTCGTGTTTCAACTGCTGCATCACCACTGCCTCGTGTACCATCTGATCCATCTCCATCATTACCGCGCTCCTCATCGCCGCTGTGAAGCTCTGACCTATCGTTCTTGGAACTTTTACTGCTACTGCGTACTTTTCTTCTGTAAAACATATTATTTTAAAAGGTAATACCAACATATTGGTAAGAGGGTCTTTTTTGGGTGGAAGTCAGATCAGTGACGTCTAATACTGTATGTTTCAGCACTAGGGGGTCGGATACTTGTGATGAAACATAGAAATTTAAAAGATACTGTAATTTTAAAGGCTTACGATTGATATTGGCGACAGCTTGAACTACAGTACCGTAGGCTCCTTTGCCCAAGGGCGTGGCACTGCAATCTTCCCATTCTATAGAGCCGGGGGGTATAAAGATTGGCGGTCGTTCGATTGCTGTAGTCAATTGTAACTAAAAACATCAATTCTGCTTTTATATTACACATACAGTATAACAGAGCGTATGTTCTACCAAATTTCAAATATACTTACCTTACAATAAGCTAGATTACAATAATCGTAAAAGATGAAGATATAATACAGTCACCAAACAACCTACCCTCTTCAAAGTCTTAGATGAACTGAAGAGAAGATCCTTGGGAGTGGGGTGGCTTTCATTCGGCATCCCCAAAAAGTACCAGCCCTTCTTCCGATCGTGCACCAGACTGTACTCCTTGAATGGTCCCGTACCCGCTACCACACATACTATGATATCGGTCTTGCCTTTCTTCATCTCAGCCCGCACACACCAGTCGCCAACGTTCTTGAGATATTGACCAACAAACTTACTGAAACGGGTACAGTTTACTTCGTACTGTCACAGTATGTTTCATACTGGCTCAGATTACTTCACAATGTATATTAAACGAGTATATCTCGTACTCTAGCGAGACAGTAATATAAACTACAGTACTGTGGTGGCACTTTTATACAATTTTAGGTACAAAGTCAGCATATAATCAAAACTTGTCAAATTCTACAAAATTTTGGACCGCTTTTAGTAAACGAATTACAGTAACAGACGTCTTACCGAGTAACATAACCGTAAAACCATTTGTATTGGTAAAGCGCCTCCAACATGTGTGAAGACCGCTTCGACGATGGTAAAAAAGTAAAATGAAAAGGCATGGTAATAAGCCATGTTAAAGTCTAAAAATTTGCATATTTTTGTATTTTTACCGTGTTTCTGTTTTAAATGAACTTACAGTGTAATTTACCGTGATTGTGTAATGTTTCTTGCTTCCGCTTCGTATCACTGATTAAACTGATTACATTACTCATCAACTAGGTATATTAACATTGTTTTTGTGGGTATCGTCTCCATTCCAACTTTGTTTTAAAGGTATTTTCCCAATTTTCACATAGATAACATGGTTTTTCAAATATTTCGCTTTTATTGTGACATTTTAAAGTAGTTTTCAATCGTTTTTAAACCATTTAAAAGTACATTTGAATAGGTATAAGCAGTTTTTATAGGTATTGTCGGTCATTTCTCCCTAAGGGAGTGGGCTTCAATTTGCCGGAATTAAACTACTCCGTTCCGCTCTCGAATGAATCCCGATGAAGGCCCATTCCTTTTTCGGCCGCCCCCAATCAATAAATAGCCTCTGGCCGCGCTCGCTCCTCGGCCGAAAGCAATTAAATCGGTTGCCAACGTTAATCGCCGCCCAAAACTTTTGCACCGATTTTGCCCCCACCTTCCCCTGATTTTTCCGATTTCGAACACGAATTTCGAAGCAAAAAACAAAATTTTGTCGCTGTTTTTATTTTTTCCCGGACGAGGCGAGAGAGCGTGCGGGACGAAGAGAGCGGTCAGACACAAAACGGCTGCCAAACAAAATTGGTCTTTATTTTGGTGAGGAGGATCACACGTGAGGTCGCGAGGTCATCGTTGAGGTCATTGTTGTAGTGTAATTACTTTCCAATTTCAGTTTTACAATGGATCCTCAAAATGGAGCACCAAAACAGGTAAGAACGCTCAAGAACAAGGAGTTCTCGGGTCGGATTTGTTAATTGCTTTAATATCTCGCATTGTTTGGGTAGTTTTAGGTTCTTTATTTGTTACTTTTTAATTTAAGATAGTTTAATATCATCTAACGCAATATCGATAACAGATTTTAGATTTTACAGAGTAAATTTTACTGGTTATGTATTCTTTGGAATTTAGGTAACAAACTTGATTAAGTTTGGGGGTTTGAACGAATAATAGACGTTAGATTAAAACATCTGTTAGAAGAACTTTTAATGGCATTTTATTATCTTTTGAACTTTAAATGTGCACGATTTAGATCAAAAATATTGATGTTGTTATGCATTTCTATGGTGTTTGGTCAGAAATGTGTTTGATAAGTGAAATAAATAGTTATATAATGTCGAATATGGTCCATAACTTGTTTTAGTTTATCAAGATTGTTCCATTGTTCTTAGAAGCTTTGTAAAAATGATCAATTCTACCGCATTAATCGACCTTTTTCAATTCTAAAATCGACCTCTAAAGTAATATAATTTCAGAGCGATCTGCCTGTGCCTCCACCTCCACGGTCCGACGGCTCTCAAGACTCCGAGACATCGTCGAATGACTTCGTCAAGATTGACGATTCTGAATTGCGCAACGTGCCTGAGGAGTTTCTGACCAATTACGGTAACCAAGTGGCTAGCGACGTGTTGGGCTCGGCTCTGGCCGACAATTGGGTGAGTTTATTGGATTATAAGTTGTGCTTATACACAATGTATTATAGATCTTTGTTTGTATTTACTTTCGTCTCGCTCGCTCATTTCGAAAGTATTCAGGTGTACGCTACCTCATTTTAGGCGACGTTTTATTGTCTTGTACACGTTGTCTTAGGTTTGTTTTGAAATATCTTGCGTCGAAATGTTAAGTAATACTTTGGCTGGTAATTTGGAAAGGTTTACTATCTTAATTTCTAACGAATTTGTTTGATACACGTCGTTTTGCCTTATTTTTGTCATCTTTTGGTGTTCTGATCAAGCTTGTTTTAGTTGTGTTTTATAATAGTGATGACTTAATTGTGAAAAAGGGTAGTATAACATTATTTTATTCTGCTTTTTATATTTTTCACTCAAACTTTGTTAAAACATCTTAATATAATACGTCTTCTTACCTTGTTTTAGGTGACGTTTTCTTCTTTTAATACACGTTAGATTAGTTTTATTGCGAAAGGCATTTAGTTATGTCAAAGAAGGCTTACTTATACCTAGTTTTTCTGTGAATTCTGAAAACTTACCTGCCACAACCTACAAGGTATTCATTGGCAGCCTTCTGAAGTCAAATCAGAAAGGCTTTTAATCAATTATGTCGTGTTAAGTGTAACTGATGTGGTTCAGAAACAGCTGCATGTGTGTTTTGAGTGTCTTCCACTTGTTTTTTCTTGAATGGCCCAGGAATTGGCTGCCCGGCCCTTCTTTCCCTCTTTTTCATGACTTTCGCTTTCGTTACACTGTAAAATTTCAACTCGAGTAGCTTAATCGGGTTGTCAGGGAGACTCTAAATTAGCATACACGTAATTATCCTTTGTGAAATTGTTTTGAAATTGGTGTTTTGGAGCGTGCAGGATTCGTAATGAACTTTTACTACTTTGTTATTGTCTTATTATGTTTTACATTACTGATCTGGCTTAGAAGTTTGGGGAATATATTACATAGAATGTTTCTTGTTTTAGATTTACATTGTTCCTTTGTTTAGTTCACTTTCTTTCAGAAGATGGACGAACGAGACTTGTACGTCCCTGAAGCCGCCGGCGAGGCTGAAACCCACCCCGCCGACCATCCTTTGGTCGATTTGGACGAGTTCGATCCTCTGGCCAAGTCCCACAGCCACGACCTGGAACCAGTCCTAGAGGAATCTAGCCAGAAGCTCCAAGGAGTCACCATCACGGAGCTTCCAGATGATCCTCCAACCAAATCCCACGAAGACGTAAAGCAGCCGGCTGGCGATGCCAAAGAGGAGTTCAAGCTGCCAGAACCGGAACCAGAACCTAAGAAGGCAGACAGTCCAGTGCCAGAGCCAAAACAGAAGTCGGCTAGCCCAGTGCCCGAGCCACACAAAGCAGAAAGTCCGATTCCAGAGCCAACGCAAAGATCGGCTAGTCCTGAGCCAGAAAAGAAGGCCGCTAGTCCAGAGCCGTCTCCAAGTGAGCCAAAAGAAGATGAGAAGATCGTGGATCTAGCTCCATCTTCGCCCGAACCCGTAGACAACGTGAACGAAGAAGTCTCGCTACGTCGAACATCGCTTCTGACTCAAGATCAGGAGAAGGACAAGGACGCCGAGAGTAACGGTAAAAGTGACAGGCTTCAAAAAACAGCTTCGAAGTGTCATTTTTTCGTGCAAAAAATATGACAGTCTTATCTTTCTGTGGTTGCGTAGGAATAGGAGAAGGAGACTAGTACGAAGACAAAAAATATTGTTTTAGCCTACATTTGAAACTTGAAACGATTTCTAGAAAGATTAAAGTAAAATAAATTAGTTATATTGCTAATAACTTAACGTATTTGAAGCTAAAACAATTTTTTAGTGTCTGGCGTTGCGTCTCAGATCGAAGAAGCCATCCAAGAGGCTCATGACCAGGTTGGCGACCTTCTCGACGACTATCGTCACCACAACCAACATCAAAATGAACACTCTCCTGCTACTGACTCGGGTAAAGACGTGCTGGGAGAGCTCCACAGCGATCGTGCTCAAGAACAGAACAGTGGCAGTATGAGAGAGTTGTCGCCAGACCTTGTCACATACGACCGCCAGGGACCTTTGACAATCCCTCAGACTAAGGCCGAACCAGAACCAGAGCCCGAACCGGAGCACGAACCGGAGCCGGAACCAGTAGTTGAACAGTAAGTTCTGATTTATTTTATGCAAATTTTAGTGTTTTGCTTAAAAATCCGGTAGAAAACTAAAATATATGTTAGTTATTGAGTATAAATTACTTCTGACAGTAGCTTAAGGTTGTCAGAGTTTATTTAATTAGGATGATAATATGTATTGTTTTAGAAAGCCACGTCCACCAACTCCACCCAAAGATCTCAGTGGTCCAGAAGAGGAAAACCCTAAAGTCATCGACCTGGGACCTCCACCACATTCTCATGGTCGTAAGTTTTGGTTTTTATTACCTAAATTTAGTTGTTAAAAAGGTGTTAAAACAAAATGGCAACTCCAGACAAAATAGTTAATTAATCTTTTCTCAAAGGACTTTTATGAATATGTAACACTATTGGCCGTCCGTTCAATGTTCTCTGATTGCTTTTGCATGTTTTTCGAATTGGTCTCTGTGTCTTTTTGCATTAATTTGTTGTTTATTTACAAACAACATCTAACGACATTCACGTGCTTCCAGAGTTCCACAGACAAGCTTCCGAAGGTCTGCCGTCGATTCTGAAGAAATCTGGAGACCCATGGGTGGACTTCAAGTCGGTGGATCCGCGAGGTCGGTTTAAGTCGTAAATCTTTCCTTTCGGCCGGAAGCGGTCTCAAAAATGAATGTGTCCTTTTGTGTGAAATACCAGGAGATATTGTGTGGAAGGAGAGGTTGTTTTGGCAAAGGAAACAATCCTTTTCCTCCAAAGTAAGAGAACATAACACGACGAAATACTGTGGGAATCGGAACAACCCGCGGTAGAGACGGAGACGGTAACGTGTAAACAAGCAGAGATTGCCGAAACATGCCTTGGAACCAGAAAGGCGATGCGCAAACGAATGGCCAAGTTGAAGGAGCCGCGAGAGAGCGGGCGCAGCGAGAGGGGCCACAACTCGCCCAGACACACGTGCCACGGCATCGCGGCCCGAAGTGTGGGGCGCACTGACCGCGCTCCTCTTTTCGGTCAGCTGACCATTTTGCTCGAGGCCGCCACTTTTCGAAATGCAATGCATTGAGTGCAACTAACTCGGTGCATTGGGCTCGGACTGACTCAGCTTAATCACCCCCCCCCCTTTCCTCGGACCAAAGGTTTCCGTTTCCAGGACTGCGCGAGTGTGTGTCTCCGATTGGCGGGCGCACTTTGGGCTGTTTCTATTTGTGAGATGAGCCTTTTTCTGGAAGACATGCCCTTTTCGGCCTCGATTGTTTCCAAAATTATCCGACGTTTTGGGGTGAATATCACGTGGGTTTGTATACGAAGACCAGAGGGTGGTGGTACAAGACTATCACGTGCACCAAAGGTTAGAGTATCACGTGGTCGAGGGTTATTATGCTTTTATGAAAATACCCATGTTTGTGAGAGGAGAGAGCCCAAAATGGACGGTCTGCAAAGTTCTTGAGGACTTTGGATCTGTTTGTTTGTCTCTTTCCGATCGCGCGGCCTTTTGCTTCCCAGCCTCGATCTCTCGGCCGTCCTGTGATTTGTGGGATTATCGATTATCACCGTTCTTTGATCACGTATCAGCTACTTTTGGGAGCGTGTTTTCGATCAACAATATGTAAAAGAGCCTGTTATGTAATAAAAGTAAATAGAAAAATGAAAAGTTCGCGAGCAAAGGCGATTCTATGTACTTATTGACCAAAATAGTGTTGTATGTTTTGAAAATAGAAATTTCGCACTTTTTCTTTTATGAAATACCATCTTACAAGATAGCGGAACACATTTTAAATTGCGTTTTTGCTTTTTCAGAAGATAATTGACAATTTTAATTATATTACCGTTTATACTAAGAATTTTAACGCGCTTATCCGGGCTTAAACCACGTTCTAACACCCTTACTACTACAGACCTGAAACATTATCAGATATCGGCCAAATGAGTAAGGTTGGCCTTTTGTTCCGAGCGATCGGCTCGTTGATCTCTCTGATAACCCGCATCACCTTCAACATTGTTCACTACGCCAGCCGCCTGGGATCGCTGGGTGTGACAGTCTATACTGTGGGCGAGTACTCTCACAGCTTCATCAAAGACAAACCTCGAGGTAAGGAGACGAACGTACGCGTAGATCGCGGTCAAGGCCAGCCAAAATTATTTTAACACAGTAGAAGAAGGTACACAGTGGAGGGCGGAACGGCGGGGTTCTTGTATGAGTTGGCGGATTCATAATTTGTAACTGACTATTCTCACACGGTGTCTTCACTACGGTTGCTATGAAGATGCAACATCAGTTTGTAGTTTAGCGGGTTAAAAGTTATAGAATTAGGTATAAGTGGCACTTGTGTATAGTTTTTGACGTCGTACACAGCTTTTTATGATACCTATATTCGTATAATAGACACTTTTGTGCCTTAAGGTTCAAAATTGGAACCCTGTCTATGAAGACGGTCGTAAAATAGCTATAACTAAACCAGGACTGTCAATTCAGTTGTCCTTAACGCAACCTCCACGGAGGAATACAAAAAGTCGGGGAACTAAAGGGAAATGGTCTCGACTGCCGCTCGCCTATCCAACGCGTCTTTGCAGTTCGATGAGATGACCACCTTCCCCATATATCCCCTATTTGTGGGGTGGTGTTCACTCCAACTAAGGTTGCCACGTGTTGGATTAACTTTACCGTCCCAACAACGGGTTTCAGGCAGCCACGTTCACGATGAATAATGTAGCGATCCTTTTGATAGCGAGCTGAACGTTGTTTTTGGGATTATAAGCTGACAGTTTCAAAGTAAACAGCGACTGCTATATTGACATTGAAACAAGTTGTTATTAGTAATGGATCTAAGAATGTTAGTTTTCTTCATAGGGATGTAAAATTAGTTTAAAGCCAGGTTTAATATCGGTGATATAATCGGCTGTAACTGCCATAATCGAGTGTAATGTCAATACCTTCCTCTGACCTTTGCGTGATCTTAATCTAGCCGTTTGTGAAGACTTTCTTGTTTATAGCCGGTGTTTGCTTCAGAAACGGGTTGGTAACTGTCTAAATATGGGTAAGGCTTCTCGTCGTCAGTACTCTCGCGAGCAGGAATACGTTCCAGCTGAGGATTTGCCAGGCAAAGGTAACAGACTCTCTTCCATGGGTATAACACACAATGGGGCAGTTTTGAGGCTGTGAAGGGCCATACAATAGTACTTAAAAATATTTTTTAATCTTGAGAAATATTATTTTAGTTACCCAACATGTTATTTATCATAACCTGTTTCAGTACTAGAAATCCTGAAATGGAGAGACCCCAAGAAGAGCGGAGTCGCCCTCGGCCTGTCCCTGTTGGCCCTGGTCTTGATTGCTAAGTTCTCGGTGATCTCACTCATTGCCTGGACCTCTTTGACCATCCTGGCCGGAACCCTTGGCTTCAGAGTCTACAAACTGGTGGAGAGTCACCTAAAGAAGACCGATGGATCAAATCCTTTCAAGGAATACCTGGAGCCAGAGATCTCGGTCCCACAAGAGAAGGCCCACGCCCAAGTCGATGTTCTCGTACAATACGGCCAAGATTTGTTGAGAAGCCTACGTCGTCTGTTCTTGGTCGAGAACGTGTGCGACTCCATCAAGTTCGGAGTCTTGTTGTGGACCCTCACCTACATTGGAGCCTGGTTCTCCGGAATCTGTTTGGCCACACTTTGTAAGTCTTTTTTTAAATTTAACTCAAAGTAATATAAAACTGAATAAAAAGGATTGAATCTTGATTTATTTATATTGCTATGAAAATTAAAAAAAAACCATAAACACTTACTATAATATCGTGCCATTTCAGTCGTCCTGGCCTTGTTCACCCTCCCCAAGGTCTACGAACTGTACCAAGAGCCAATCGACGAGTACATCGAGTTGGCCAAGACCAATGTCGAGAAAGTGAACGCTGTGTAAGTCCTCAATCCTTAAGGTTTGATTCCCATTTTAGGCTCCAAGAGAAACTACCCTTCCTGAAGCCGGCCGTCACGGAAGCCAAGAAGGAAGAATAAACTGCTACAACAACATGATTCAGCTTTGCATCTTCCGTCCCGCGGACCCAGTCATTGTTTAATTTTGTTGCTTAATTGTTTCGTCCAATATAATTAAAAACACCCCTCAGAACCCCTTCAGGTGGATGCCTTGTCTAACATAGTGCAATATCATCTACCGTATTTTGTGGCCTCGTTTTGCATTCATTTATATTATTATTTCCTAGTAAATTGAAATAGCTAACTGTGGTAGTGTAATTTTGGAAGCATTTATAAGCTTATATTATATTTTGTAGTAACTTTGTCATAAATGCCAAAGTTGGAAGAAAAATCTACTTACTTAATTATCTAAGTCATACTTAAAGCGGATAACAGAACATAATTTAAGCACCTTATGGATGAAATAGGTCATAAAGCACCTTTAAGAGATCTTAAACGTTGCTCATCATAATAATTAATTTCTGTCGCGTGTGATGAATGTTATTAACGTTTATTACACTACGACGGGATATGTGCTATTAGAGAAAGACTCGTATAAACTGCATTATGTTATGAAAAGATTGTTAACGATAAAAGGGAAAGTGATATCTTTGGAAGAAAAGCTTTGACTCGTATATGCGACAATCATGGTTATGTTGAGATGAGAACTGTAAGGTACCCGTGGAAGAACAATTTGATCTGATTATGAGCTGGAGTTAGACCGTGGTGATAACGACTTCTTGTGCGTATCGTTCCCGTCGCTGTGATAGTCGGACGTGTTCGAATTGGAACGGGTCTTTTCTCGAATCGGCTTACCCAACTCCAACACGTTGTGGGCCATGTTGCAGAACTCGCCTTGAGCACAGTAGCCGTCCTGGATGTGAGCAATGCATAGGTAGCCCTTTAAGGAATCTGGGCGGTCCATTTTGTTCATCGACACTGTTGTTTTTAACTAAAAAGTTTGATTTTATGTTGTTTCAGCTTGGTATACCTATTTTCAGTTTGCGAGGAAAAACTTGTAGATTTTGGATTTGTCTTTAAAGATTTTAAAACGATATTGTACATGAATTATCAAAAGGGATTGTGCTTAAGCGCTAATTTGGTTCACCAAAAATGGCAATCTACAAGTGCAGCAGTCTCAAAAACGTGCAGTTCTCGATCTTTCAATCAAATAACGCCTTTTTGTTCCCGAATCCAACCTCCTAAACCACCAAAACATAACTCAATCATAACATACCTGTTTTGCCACCATACAAATGGAATCCCGTTTGGCTAAACTGAGCAGCGAGTCCGAGGATTCGCTCCAAATCCGCTGAACTTGGGTGTTCTCGTTGAATGTTCGTCGTTGTTGGGAGTACGGGGCAGCCGGCTCATTCCAGATTTGGGCCATATCGCCTTGGTAACCATTGTAATTCCATTGATAAGAGCTGGCCCTCGAATAGGTGTTAGCAGCCCGTGTGTTGTACATTCTCCAGCCCGACGAGAGAAATGAATAAAACAAAAAATATTATTTCCTCTAATAACGCTTGCTGCGGAATGCCAAAGGGAGAGGGGCGATTTGAATGCGGTTTGTCAAAGAAACGGATGGAGTTGATTGATGATTATATAAGGCCACATTTTGTGTATGAAGCATTCTTTGAGTCTCCTTTGTAGCCTCAGTATGTTTAAAACCTTGAACGCAATTAAATAATAAAAAATACTTAAGTTTACAAAAATTACAAAACTTTATTATATTTTAGTAAAATTTACATAATAAAATTTACCATATGTAAAAACCCAAGTTTTAGTCTTTATGTTTGCACTTTTGAGTATTTGTATTTAAATTTGGCGCCAATTGGCGTAGTGTTACACTTTATTTTAGACATTTTTTAAATCTCGAAAGGATATCCTACTAACTTACAAAGTCCTCCAAATTGGCTGTCGTCCTCTTTAAATGACTTTTTATCTACAAACAACGTCCGCTATGTTACAGTATTCCCTGTAGAATATAGTACGCCCACCCGTACAAGTACATTGGTTATATTACATCCTTGAACCCTAATAAACTTTGGAATTCAACGTTTTTGTGCGTCGAATCCCCGGAGGGCACGAATGTGATTCCGAAACTGGTATCATAACAGAGCACGTTTTAAAATAACCTTTTACATTTTGACATCGTACCTCCCTGAAGGAGTTGGAAGTAATGTAATTTTAGCTGTTATTACTAGTATATGAAGTAGTTAGTGGTCGTATTTTAGTGAGGTAAGAGTGCTTTGCTTTACATAGTTGTAAAAATGAATAATGGTTTTAAAAATTTTAAAAAAGTGAATGGTCAAGAAATATATATAAAAAAACAAGAAAATGCAACAATATTACTCATACTCAATTATACGTACTGTGTCATCAAAATACTATACAGTATACAAAGTATCTTGCATTAGCCATAAAAACATTCTACAAGAGTCATATTGTAATTCTACTGCGTTCAGACCCAAATGTCATCGGAACACGACCATCACTTGTTTACCTTGGTACGAAACCTTCATCCAGGTTGGCGGTGTAATTAGAATTCGATTAATATTGTGTCATGCATTATTTACACGTCCCCCTGCCACTTGTTCACAAGTTGTAAAACAACACCGAAAGTAGTCGGGGGTCGGTTTACAACTGAACATACTACTACATGTTCGTGCTCGTGTGCAATTACGTGACTCACTGTAGCCGTGATTAAGGTCAGGGGGCTGGATTCAGAAGTTGTGCTTTGTTGGCGGCTCCCTTCATGGGCCCGGAGGGGATTGCCCGGGCCAGGAGAGATATCCGTCATAACAATCCTCGGGGATGTTGTTCATCCAACGTCGAGAAGGCTTCTTTCTTTCCGACGGATGTTTATACCTGATGTGTTGTTATATCGTGAAACACTTGGATTCTGGGGATGGGGTGGATGTCTTACGAATATTTAGTACTGATTTAAGTTTTTTAGTTTTTAAAAGACTAGCTAAAAGACTGTTATTTTATATTAAACTGTAGAATAGTGTGAAACAGTAGCTTGTTTTACGTTTTTAATTTAAATAATGACTTTCCAAAATTAAAAGTATGTTACTAATCGGCGTTGAAATGTCCTTGTTTGTACTGAGAGTTGTAATCGTTTCTCAAATTTCATATTTTTAAAATTATAACATTACAGACTTTGGCTTATAAAATTTTAAAGTCAAAATTTTATCAAAAACACTACTAGCCTTTAGTATTTCTGGCATTTTTTACGTACAATTACTTCTTACCAACCCAAAGCAGGTATCCTAGTCACTCTAAGTCCTTACCCTTCACAACAATATGGAAAGTTTCAGTAGTTTTTCGCGTAAATGGAGGCGGCCGCCAATGGATTCCACGCAGCTCGACAACGCTACCGAAAACGACGAACTTCTCGTGCTGGCTCCAGTGCTGACGCAGTACGAGGCCGAATCTACTCCAAGATCTCAGGGAAAGAGCTAGGCTTATCAGACGAACAATGCGAACAGGTAGCCATGGCCTTCTCCAACATTCCAGACAAGTACTACGCCTTCGAACAGATGTTCCTCAACTTGTTCAATGTAAGGTTCAAGAGTAATGTAATTTTAAAGCTACGAGTTGGATAGAGTTATTGAGTTAGGTATTAAATCTCTTCTGTTTTAAAGACTATAGTTACCTCTACAATATAATAATTTTGAATAATTTTCTTGTCTGTTTACATGTCATTTTTACGTTTCCTTGTACACTAAGGTTTACATAAACCTATAGTGATTGCTTGCAGAAAGAAGACCCCCAGCTAGCCGTGGTCTTCGGCTTCGAAGGAATAAAACCCGAAGAATTGCGACGAATGAGTCCATTTCGAACTCACGTATGCAAATTTCAACGATTTATGACCACCGTGCTAGACATGTTACCCAAAAAAAACAGAGAAGAAGAGCTAGTACAGATTATAAGGTATTTTAACATTTTATGCAAATTTACAGCTTCAAAACCAGTTCTGTAACCATAGCTTGCAGAATGGTAGGACGACAACATTGTAATGTAAAACTGTTGAGTTTCACCGCGCAGAAATGGCTATCTTTCAAAAATGCCATGTTAAACGCACTAGCCAGAGGCGGAGAGTCGAACAAGTATTACAGTAGTTGGAACATCTTGGTCAGCTTCATGATATCCGAAATGAAAGACGCCTACCTGGCACATGTGAGTGTTTTAAGATCATAAGACTAGGTAACGCAGTCAAGTAGTTATACATACGAAAAAGTCGTATAATTTGCACAACGTTATACCTAGGTCAAGGTTTTTGTAAAAAACCAGAATTGTTGAATTCAAGATTCGCCAGCTCCGGTCCAACTCTTTGCCCCACGTTCTGGAAGCCTACCGACTGGACTTCCGAAGGGGTTCGCCAGTCCCGAGCGACGAAGGCCCAAGCCAATCCCGAGACGACGATCTCCCCTGAATCTACCTCTTCAATGCCTCCGGGATTACTTCTGTGCTCAATGACTCTTACTTTGTACAATAAATCCGTAACTCGGTTCTACTTAGCTTATCTTTGAATGGGAATTAGTGCTACTACGGTAGTATTTTCAAGTAGTAGCATGTTGTGATACTCCTTATAATAAGTAGCACTACGTTTAGTGCCGTTTGTTTCAATTGGTGCTCGAAACAAGCTAGATAACACAGTATAATATAAATGGCACAAAAAGGAGTTAAGAGTATTTGAAAAGGTTGATAATGCCTAATAAACTGACAATAAAGTAAAACAACTACTCAGTTAATTACAGTAACAAGTAGTAGACAACAGGCAACTAAGTCGTGGCAACCCCGACTTTATTATACTGATTATCTTAAAAAAGGTTGTTGCTGGCACTTTTTGAAAACTTTGATACAGGTTTTGCTTTTTTTGAGACAAGTAAACTAACATGCTGTCAAGACAATAGATATAAAGCTCAAAGTTGGCGTTACCGATTCAAGCGTTATATATTACAGCCAAGCCTTTCATAATATAGCAATCAATTACGCACTCACAACCTTTACCAACCAGACCTTGTCTAAAGAGTGGTGCTTTCTCAACCATGACCGTAGTAAGAATGTACCCTGATGTAAGTAGTTTTTAGATATATTTAAACTTTTCTAATAAGTTAGTATCAAAAACTCCACTTTTAGTTTTGGCAGCGAATGTTACAGTACACGGATCAAATGGAAGATATTTGTAGTTTTGTACAGGTCAGTCGGTACTTCTACAGACTAACGAACATGGACTTCCAGAAGTTGTGCTACAGAAACATGATTTGTCGATTCAAAGGCGAAACTTGGGCGACAGCTTTTTCGAAGTAAGTATGTAAAAGTTATCAACATGGTTAAGATAAATGGAACATTTTCTTATTTAAAAGACCATCTGAGTATCAATTATCTATTAATTTACTGATCACACCCGATTTCAGTTCACCGTATCGTACAATAAATGAGCGAATAAGATGCAAAAAGAAAATTTCTAAAAATTCGATTTCGTGTCCTCATACTGGTACTATGGCGCTGGTTTTACAACGCAAACAAGTTTTATTGACTCACATAGACTTTGGAAAGAAAGTTTTTGAACTTTTAGACTTCAGCAAATACAAAGGATCGCTAACTAGTGTCCAGCTTATTAACAGATCTACGCAACTTCTATTAGACATGAAGACGTCGTATATTGTGTATGACTTGATAAACAAGAGCATAGTAAAAGTCTACTCGGCGCTGCCTGAAGAACGTTACTATTGTTTTACATTGTACTACAGCGATGGCACACTCGTAGATTTGTTGAATCAGAAAGAGTACAAAGTTAATGCCATAAATATGCCACAAGGTGTGAAGATAGGTAACGCAGATCTGTTTGACTACAGAAAGTACTTGGGCTTTTTGAACCCACAACACGAGTACGTGTTAATACACAACGAAACTGGCAACATGGAGATTATATTTTCACATTACCTACCCTGGGAATACGAAGATATTTGGCTCTTAGATGCTATGGATCATGTTCAAATAATAAGTAAGTTACTAGTTTTATTGTAATCAGATTTCTAAAAACTCTGACTGTTTTTATTTTTAGACATTTGTGATTCTCGAGTTTATGGTATCAACACAAGGAAATGTATTTTCATAGAAACAAACGGGTTGCCTTCAAACATTGGCTTTTACGGGCTACAATTTCACAATTTCCATGGTCAAGTAACTAAGGTAAGCAAAAATAGCAATTTTGAACTGTTCCAAAATGGTTTCGTTGTCTGAAAATTATATTTAAAGAATTTTTAGTTTGCTGGTTATAATAAGAAAACAAGAGAATACGCCATTATCAGCCCAGAAATTAATTATTCATTATCAATCGCTGCATATTGTCCCTCTAACATATATCCTCTTCCGATGATGACAATCTATCGTATGTATTATACTAAATCAGTTCTGACGGCGCATTTGGACTGGTCTACAGGTAAAGAGCTTTGTGTATATCACAAAAAGGTTGATTTCAATAATCATTTCAGTTAAATCGCAAAGTAATACCAAATAAAATTTAAAATGTCAGTAAAGGCAACATATTTTTCATTTCAGGCAAAATGATTAAAAAATATTTTAACACTGATAACGACCTCGACAAAACTAAGATGGCCCGCTTTTACCTCAGTTTCTGTGACATCAAGATACCCGAAAGATGAGTTACGAAGGATACTAAACGTCATGTACGTGAACAATTCGAAGATATTATAGATCACCCACCACCACCCAACCATACCGTTAAAACAAAGATTAATAATGTTTAATAAACTAACAACAACTACACTAGTAATTACAATCGGCCTAACGAGTAGTGGAGGCAACGCTGGCGACACGCATTCAGCGACTGAAAGTTGTTGCCGTTGCCGCCGCAGCCAAGATACCAAAAAGGGCGACAAATTTGAATAGATGCGTCAAAGTAAAACCGATGGGACCACTGGGGCCGCGGGCAGGATTTATGGCCCAGATCGCGTTCCAAATTGCAGGCCGGGAGAAGCGGTTGTTTAGCCACTGAATAAAAATATATTATTCACTTACATAACAGAGGCATTACAGTAACCTTTTCTGCCATAACCCCACTACATCCCCAACTTACAACTGCTGGAACAAGTTCGCGAACTGTCCAGGGTCAATGTTCTTGAGTATGTTGCCCATGTTCATGCCACCTCCGCCTCCACCGTGCCCTCCAGACTGTCCCACCTCACGAATGGTGTTAGCTATTAATCTAATGAAGTTAGGCGGTTGAGTAACACCCCCTCCCCCCGTGCCCAAAGGACCACCACCGTAGCCAGATTCAGGCTTCGGTCTTCCAGATCCTTGAGGGATCTGAGGAATGAAGCCGCCGCTGGATCCGGATTCGGTTTTCGTAAAGATGGTGCGCTCTTGAGGAAGTGGGGGTGGTGCTGGTGCTGTTCGTACACCTCCTGAGTAAATCAAAGTAACATTTTGTGATTATATTAGAAGTATGTCAACATAAAGTGTGCTTAGGTTTGATAAATAAACTGATACCGAAACCGAAAATTCAATTTAAAATTACAGTACAGTAAACATCAAAGCTCAAGTAAAACTCACGTTGACAAGCTGTAGTAGCCTGCATACATTGATGTTCTTCATCAAACAAGTTGTTGTTGGTCTCTGGAGTCCTACATCCTGGAAACCAGAACTTTTCACAGAGACCAGTCTCCTTGTTGTACGTGTACTTCAACATGAATCCACAGAATCTGCCCATCGGAATCCCTTGTTCACAAACGGACAGCTTGGACAACTTCATACCACTGAACCTGTTGTGAGGTGGTTGCGTAATAAATACTGGTTCTGGACCTAAAATATGAATTTTTATACCAAACCCTTAAAACTTTGAAACTATTCCAATCAAAACTGACAAACTACAGCAAAAATGTTTGAAATTCAAATTTAAAGTAAAAGTATAAAAAGTGCTTCTGTTTAACAATTTTTTACAATTTTATATCAAAACAATGGTAACGTTAAGGTTTTACCGTTTTCTTCTTCAAAATCTCCTTCCAGATCCACAGATGGATCAGGATCTGGATCTACATGTCTGCCCCCTGGTATCGGCTTCGGTGGCGGAGTTGGTGGGAGAGTTGGAGCTGGTGCAGTTGCTTTTGTCACCGGTATTCCACCATTCGCAGCCGTTATGCACTAGAAATTATACATTACATCAAAGTCAACGAGTTTTAATAATTTAAATTCCAAAATAACCATAAATTAAAAAAACCTTAGAACTGAAGATTTAGTTTACAATTATTGACTCATAACGATCACAAGTTATTTAGAATAACCATCTGACCGATTGAGCTTGCGGTAGACAAACAATACGAACAACAAACCAAAGTTCAACTACCTACAGAGTTGGGGATTGGCCTACATTGATTGGCCTTCTCTTCGTTCAACAGGCTGCTCTTCCTCATACACACTTGATGAGGGAAGGCACAGGTGAATGGTGCACATTTTATCGTATCCACTATCAGAAAGTCGACACTTGATACAACTGATTCGCCTAAAATACAATAATATTATGTTATGTAGTCAAAAAGATTAAAAAGTCTATTAGAATATACAAAAGTCAAACCACGAAAAAGTGAATTTGACCAAGAAAGCACACTGATATCAACATAAAGTAAACTTACACTCGGGGGTCTCGAACAACAACTCGAGAAAAGGATCCACCTTGTCCGGAATGTCATGAGCGACCGAACAGCCGAGCAAGATGAGAACATAGAGGAGAATCATGATCAGAAAATCAATGAAAAGAAGGCATTGCGTCGATGTGGTTGAGCTCGTCGCAAAAATTGGCAGGATCCCTCACGTTTATTTTTCGGGGGATTGGTTCCCTCCGCGCGACGGATTCGAGGTGCTACTTCATAAATTTTATGTTCCTTTTTTGTTGAGTAATGTCTTTGTCGCATTCCATGGTAATTACCTCAAGGTCAGTAAATTTAGCTGCGGTTCCGAGTGGTATTTGTAGTACTATTTTGTTAGTATAAGCAAGTATGCAAGGTACCAGTTTGCGAATCCAAGCCCGCCTCCAGACATCGAAGAAACGGCTTTTAAAAACTTTTTGAAATTGTATTTTAGGCTTGTAGGTCCTTTGTCATCAGCCGATTCACGACTTTTCTTTGAAATATCGACGAAAAGCTTTATGTGATTTAAATTTGAATTTGGAGAGCCAATTTTATCTAACCAACAAAGTGCTTGTACACAATGTCGAGACCAGGCTACAAACTTTATATGCCTACCAGTCTGTTATACAAAGAAGATGGTTCATTCAAATATAACGCAAATGTCGCTTGCAAAGAAATGTCAATTTGACGCTTTGTTTTCTTAAAGTGTACTTTCGTGACATTGTACTACAACGATGGCACACTCGTGGATGTGCTAAATCAGAAGGAATACAAAGTCAATGTTATAAAACTGCCAGAACACTTTCAAATATGCAACTCAGATTTTTTTGGCTACAGAAAATACGTTGGGTTTGTGAATCCTCAACATTTCCGCAAATGTTAATAACATCTAAAAATTTTTTTTAGTTTGCTGGTTACAATCGGGTAACAAAAAAATATGACATTGTAGGCTCAAATCTGGACTTTTCTTTTTCAAGGAGTATGTATGGAGAACAAACTGTACGTTACTTTCCTTTTGTATACAAAGCGCCGTGTACGAATACAGTTTGAAGATATCATAGACCAACTTCAAAAACGAAGCAATCGTAATTTCGTCGCAGAACGTTGTATTTGTGCACCTTTCCTCGCATAACATGACTAGACATGAGCAACGGGCCGGGCCGGGCCTGAGCAAAATCGAAAACGGGCCGGGCCGGGCTTGAAAATTGGGCCCGGGCCCGAAAAAAAAAATTTTAAATTTTTTAAAATTTTTTATTTTTAATTCCCGTTTATGTTTTTCGATTTTATTGGATTCTATGATCCATAAATGACCTAAAAAAACAATTTAAAGTCAAACTTCCGTTTAGTTTTTAAGTTTTAAAATTTTTTAAATTTTTTAAAACGGGCCGGGCCTAGAAATTTTCTGATCGGGCCGGGCCTGACCAAAATCAAAAACGGGCCGGGCCGTTGCTCATGTCTAAACATGACTCTTGCTACAGAACGCCAAGCTTTTCTTTTCTTTCGTGACGGGACCATTCAGTCGTGAATCTTACCAGTCGTCGCCACATTTCGCGTTTCAGCTCGATCTTTTTATCGCTAGATTATTTCATATAAAATGTGCATTGTTTGGTGGATGTATAGACATTTTCGTATTTCTTTTTGAATTTTAATTAACTTTATATTTTACATTTATTTGATTGACTTTGGTTTTTGAACGTATTCTTTCGTGTTCGTTGAAGTTTACTTTGTCTTTTTTGGCATAAATGATAGTCATACTTGTGTTTTTAGATGGATCACGTACAAGCAATCGTAGAGCCTTCAAAAAAGTTTGCCAAGGACAGCATCCGGCTGGTTAAGAAGTGCACAAAGCCCGACAGAAAAGGTAAGGGTTTAAAGTTATATTTTGTGAGGTTTAGGTTATAATAAAAAATCAGATTATGAATGTACATTTAGGTGAATATGTGCGTTGTTTTTACTGTTAAGTACATATGAGATGAGTAAACTACGGATGTTTAAGGTTTTTTTTGTTTTCAAAAGTTTATATTATATTGGAGAGTTCTTTATGTTAATATAAGTAATTAAACTGACAAGGACTTGTAGAGATATTTTATAAGCTTTATTTTACGAAGTTTACAATATTTTAGAACTTTTATGAGTTATAGTATTTATATTTTTATGTTTTAGTAAAATGTTTAATTTGTAATTTCAAAAAAAATCAAAATTATTCGTAGTTATTTTTGTGAATAATAAAATATTTAGTCTAAGAACAGTTTTAAAGCAGTTTTGTTGGAAAATGGTTTTAAATTGGATTGTCGAACTTTTTTGTTATGACATGTTGTGAACGAGCTAGATAAGGGGTTCTTTACCGCTTTTTATGAGGGCGTTACTGTTCGACTTGTTACTGATTGTTTCTTTTGCAGAATACCAGAAGATTGCAGTGGCAACAGCAATCGGTTTTGCTATCATGGGATTCATTGGCTTCTTCGTGAAGTTGATTCACATTCCAATTAACAACATCATCGTGGGCGGAAGCTAAGGGCTTTTTTGATTACTCTAAACTCTTATTAATTTATATTAAAGGAAAATTATATTTTGTTTTCCCATGTTTATCGAAGTTTTTTGTATTGTTGTTGATGTAATTGGCAGATTCTGCGATTCTGTAGATATTTTTGACCATTAAAGTGATAAATCTAAATTATTCAACTTTTGAGGGATAGTACTGGATTTTATTATGAAACTTAGATGTACGAATGTGTATATGTTTTTCAAAATGTTTTTGGTATAGTTGTCGGTCGAACGAATAAGTTTTCTTTTTTCACGCGATACATAGAAATTACTGTTTATGATTAGGCATGAGCGATGGCCCAAAGGTTCTTCTTGGATTTTCTGGTAAACGAAAATCAGGGAAAGATTACATTAGTGATAAGGTGGTAGAGAAAGCAGAGAGCTTGGGGCTACGAATAGTGAGAAGAGGTGTCAGTTATCCATTAAAGGAAGAGTACGGTAAGCTACATGGGTTGGATGGTGAGAAGCTCAAGTTTGATTTTGAATACAAGGAGAAGGTACGAAAAGATATGGTCGTATGGGGTGAAGAAGTTAGAAACAAGGATCCTTCATATTTCTGCAAGTAAGTTCAATATGGAAGATTAAAGAGTTTCAGTAAATTATAATTACTTTTTTACGTTTCACTATCTTAAAATGTCAACTGAGTCATAATTTTTATTGCTAAGACTTACAGTAAGAATTTTAGAAAGACGGTAGAAGCCGTACCTGATTTATCATCAGTGGATATTTTGATAATAAGTGATTGCCGTCGTCTCATTGATGTAGAATACTTTAAATCCAACTACAACTCGTTTTTTCTACGAGTAGAAGCTGACATGGAAACGAGGAAGGAGAGAGGATGGCAGTTCCAAGAAGGTGTAGATGATGCCGAATCTGAATGTGGGCTAGATGACTTTAAGGGATTTGACGTTGTTATACGGAATGGTGGTGACGAAGAGAAGCTCAATTTTGATCTCGATAGGCTTTTTCACAAACTAAACATATCAATAAAGTAACAGGATTTTAGGCATTTATTTTTGCTTTTTTAAATGTTTTACAACAGATATTTTAAATTTTTAAGTTCTTTTTTGTCCGTTATGCCAAATGTGTAATAATTATCTTTCTTAACTTAAGTTGAACCTTAAAAGGTGCTCAATGTGCCTTAACCCATCATCTTGACCAAGAGCTCTGATTTGGAGGGTAAATCAATTAGTGTAGCTTATGTTTTATCCCAAACTTCTCAAGTTTCGAGACCAAACAATGCGGTAATTGGCAGTTATTCCTATTGTACGGAATGCGAGTAATTTGTTTCCTGGCAGATGGTCCCTCTCGAAAAGGGAAGGGCAGGGATCAGGAATACTTGATCTTGCCTAAATTATGCAGAATTATGCACGGAAGTTGCATGTCGTGACATGAGACATCTGTTATCTGTTGATATATGAAATACGATCGAATTCGATGGAAATTCTGTAAATGTCTCTTGAGGGTTAAACTAATTGGAATTATTGTTTTACTGCTCATCAGGTTGTTTAGTTACTGTCATTACTTTTTTACAGCTGTAATGGTACAAGCAGACTATTAGCTCGAGTTTAATATTTGCTTTGACAAATGATATCCCACTCTTACTGTGCATGACAACTTAAAATTTAATAAAAAATGGATAGACGCTTTACTGTGCCCGCTTACCGTAGCCTTGACAAATGGATTTGTTTTGTGCTACAGAAGAACAAGAGGGCATGTGTCTTTTATTCTAATTCGATTGTTGTGCCTTAAGCGGTTTAGTGATGCTGCCATCTGCCTTTCTTTCTTGTTGTCCTCGGCACTTGTTGACAGTGGCACCGATCTCGTTATGCAAAATCTCATCGCGGTTTAAGGGCATCAATCATTGGCCTTTCAAATGAGCGAAAACCTTCTGAATAATTCAGAATATTGTTTACGACTTGGCCACCGCGCAATTCCTTATTTTTCATGGATAATGGGCACACCTGGCCCGATCCCGAGGTGGTACCCACTTGTACCCCGTCCTTAATTGCGCTTCAGGGCTGTATTTGTAAATACTGTTTTTGAGACATCGTTTGAGAATGTAAATTGTAAAATAGTCTAACTCAAGTTTTTTGTAAATAAAAATACAGTAACAACCCTATACTGTCATACATACAAATGAGCATGACATACCTCAATATCCTTGATAAAAGAAAATCTAAAAAGCTACAATAACAAATGTCTTAGCACCATATTAGCCCTATTAAGCAGGCTCATCTCTGTATAAACATCCTTGAGTGTTGTTACCGTAACTCAGGTAATTGCCCATCTCTCGACCTACTTGAACAAGCTCTTCATTTGGCCACATTAAGTGCGCGCCAATGTGTTTAATAATCCCGTGGCTAGCCAGGTCATCACCCCCTTTGCCATCTGCAGCCCAAAAAACGCGCATTCTAATTGTATCCTTGGCCATTTGTCCTAATCTCACCACCCAGCTTAATGGTATCATTTTCAGTGTTTATTTGCTCGGTTATGTACATATACAGAAGTGTGGTAAAACGCTGGTTTACATTTGGTCATTGCGGGTGTCATGTTACGGATTCTATTCAAATAGGGAGCTCATAAAGTTACGGTGTCTGATTTATGCATAATATAGTCAAAAGATGGCATTACTTTTCAAATATTACTCATAAGAATATATGAAAATACAATAAACGGCACACATGACCTCCCAAGAGCCCTAAGCCATCGAGGACAAGACAAATTTGAGTGCGGGAACGAAGCCCTTCACCTGTCCCGAAGCCATCTGCCGGAAGGCGCCTCTTCTGTACAATTCATCCGGAAACGCGCCTATAAACCGGTATTTACATGCATCTGCCTACACAGTAAATTAGACTGAGCAAACACCTGCACTCGAGATCTCGGTTGTGTAATAGTCGATTGGAGGGGATTAAGACTGTCAAAAGCCCCAATTGACCCGTTCAACTTATGGCATTGTTTGCGCTGGCATTACTATACTTATGTTCTTGTGTATATTAAGAATGTAGTCAAGAAGACATGGCAGGTGTAGTAAAAGAGAGCCAAGGTTTGGTAAAAATAAAAACCCTACCCTATCCTTACTATGATACTGTAATATACAATTGAATGTAAAAGTCATTACTACTATACATATGTTTTTTACTCATAACTTTAAGTAGACTACTATAATATTGTAGATCAAGTCTATAAACAAGTATTCGAAAATAATGCGCAAATCTGCAGAATTAATTGTATTCGAAGCCAAGCCGCCAAACAGGAGTGTTTATGTGATCTTCTTTTGTCGCTTATGCAAATTCGGCCTCCTACTGCCAAAACATAAGCCCTGATTTACAGTAATCCATCTTGCAGCTAGTCTAAAAAACCCTTGGCCTCAAAAAACGTTTAATTGGGGCGGAAGATGGATCAGGCCATCTGGCTGGCCAAAAAAGGGTGTCCTTAAAACGTTTTCGAGACGGCGATCTTATCCTGCTTGTCACAAGGGACGAGAATATCATTATGAGGCATGGTAATGTTTTTTGCACATACTATGTCATTTTGGTCTATAGTAGGTTGTGGCAGAAAAGCAAGGTCAGATACCATGTTTACTGTAGTTATATGCAGTCTTTAACGATTTTATGTTCAGAAATGCAACTTATGAACAATAAAAAGTAAAATACGGTATGATACGGTATAATGACCATTGGTTTTGAAATCTAAAAACATTTTTATTAATTTTTCCTTTGTCTTAGTCTTAAAAAGCCAAAATTAATTTGATCTATGTAAAGGTACTCTTTTGCACAATTAATTTCTCAGCTGTTTATAACAGTTTGCCTATCTCTTCATAGTACACTAACTCATACTCAATTGCACAAAAGTACAGTAACTTATACTCAATAGCACACCCAGAACCTCACAACAAAGAATCTGACAACTTTTGCACTAACACAAAACCTGTACTTAATGTACAAGAACACCTGCCCGTATATCCCATTACCATGCCCTTTTCGGTTTGTCCCCCTTAATACAGTGGTTATGCTAATCTCGGATTCGAATCCACTTTCGGCTTCCTTATGACCCCAATTATGCGGTTTCTTTCATTTCGGTCGACAGTTCACGTCCAGGTCATGCCACGGTCCTCTCTGGCCGCACAGGCAGATGGTCAGGCCCCGCCCACTCTCGCCGCGCCGATCGGGATCCCCCTGGATTCAGTCGAGAAATTCGCGGTCGGTCATGACCGGCTACAGGTTACTGTAGTTTCTTTTGTACTCTATTAGAGGTTTTTTTAGTATATCTGTTTAAGTTTGTCATCAATCATTGATAAAACTGTTTTAATGATACTGTAGTACAATAGCATCTAAGCCATCTTATAGTATTATAAAATATGTACCAGTTCCTGTATTTTATTGTTTTCTTATCAAAGTGGTTTTGTTTATTCCAGCTTACGCCTCTTATCACTGACAAGAGAAATATTGTAAAAATGTAGTACTGTACAACCATCTATAAGTTACATTATTTTTAAAAATATTTTATAAATTACCTTACTTGGTCTAAAAACTACATACGATTACTGTATTTTATTTTGTATTAAAAAAGGGAAAGACTTTCCTTAAAAGATCTTTTTTGTGTTTCCATTTACTTTTCGACCCATTAAACTAAAAATAATTAAAAAATAACGTTGTAATTTACTGTGCAGTAAAGATGCCACAAACAGTTATTTTTTTGAAGAGTTCAATAGTATTGCCTACAGTTTAAATTCAAAGTTCAGTTATATTGTTGTAGCCATATCTAGTATTCTCGGGTTGAAAGCATTGTGAACCGTGCCCATTATTCATTGTTTTAAGGATTCAGAATTCCTTGACGACGTCTCCCAACCTAAGGAGATGCCGCGAGTTCATTCCGTTGAAGGTTACTGTAACGTTTCGAAAGTACGCGAGAGAACAGCGATAAGCGTTTTGAAATCGTGACTCATGGACGGCCAACGGGTAGTCGAGCTGTCTCAATTATAATCAGTGTTGGTTTAGTTATTTTGGGACGGTCCGAGTAACAATAGCAATGTGATGATAACACTATTGGTCGGAGGGTACCCTTGTTTTGACACATTTCAAAATTATTTTGAAATTCGGAAAAGTTTTGAAACCGAAATCGACCTTTTTAGTTGTTTTTACCGTATTTTAGATGCTTTTTTCATGATATTTTCAATAATTTCACGAAAAAAAAAACAATGCGAAAAGGTTAATGGATCTACCTTTTACAGTATTATTCCTCTTGTGCGCGATATTTCTCCTCTGAAAACCTTTTGCATCGTTTGAGATTACATTATGATTTTAGGTATGTTTGCCTCAAACGGGATCATGCTTCCGGGTTTATTCGATTCAACGCAGAGCTTTGTCCCGACTAGTCCAACCGCCTTAAACGGACTGTTTAACAATGTTTTTACCCATCCAGCACAACCCGACTACAACACCAATCTACAACTCCTACAATTACAGTTACTCTGGCACAATCCTGACCTACTCAACAACTTGTTAGGCAATTACAATACTACTAAAGTAAGTTTTCTTATGATTGCATTTATACTTCTTATCCTTAAAAATAAGACAACAGTAATTTAATGCCATTTTGATGTCATCCAAGATCATTTTTATAAATTTTAAAAATGACGACTAAATGAGACAATTCCAGACCATCGACTCAACTCCATCGCTCCCGGAATCCCCAAAACACAAACAACCTTCGCCAGCATCACGGAAACGACCCGCTTCATCCAGTCGGTTGTCAGAAACTCCTAGTCCCAGCTCGGTTCCAACCAAAAAACACAAAAATGTCCGAAAAATTTTGGCAGCCGACGCCGAGACCAACTCTCCAGTGTCAGGAATGTACATCAAGGACGCGTCTGAAGTCAGCGTCGACGATCTTCAGAAGGCTTCGGAATTGGATGAGACTGCTTCGTGTGTGCACGTTAGCGAAGAATCTAAGAGGAAGATCGCGGAGATCCCTAATTTGATAGGCGACTCGATATGTTCGTTGTGTAAGGTCAAGTTTGTGGACGTGTTTCGTCTAGCGATGCACAGATGTCCGAGGATCGTGCACGAAGAGTACAGATGCCCAGAGTGTGACAAAGTAAGGGTTTAGTCATACTTTATTGTAGTTGTTTCATATGTATTTTCCAAAACTCCTTATTCTACGGGCTTCTTACTTGTCTTTCCGTCTAAAAAAACCTTAAAACTAGATCTCTTGACCTTCTTCTATGCGTTATATTGTGTTTTTTGCCGCAAAACCCCTTACTGCCTTATACTGGCAATGTTTTGATTGCCGTTTTTTACCGCCACCCCAATTAAGCCAATATTTGAGTAATTAACTCCACAATGCGTTCATAGTCACACGAATTGACAGACGCGCGAAAGTCGACCGTAATTGGCAGCCGCCGACAAAGAAGTTGCCGAGAGTTGTCTCGGCCTAGCTGGGTGCCGAGATTGGTCTCGAGAGGGCCGCCTCTGGATAAACACTTGGCGCCTTTCGGCGTCGCCCAACACAGTGGCCTCATGCGGTGCTGCACTTGACATGTCCCCAACTTTGAATTACCGCCCTTTACAAACAAACCCGAGCTGGGTTGTGTACATGCAGTAAAACACTGTCTTTGAACGTGTACTTACTTCGGGAGCCTTGTCATGCATAAGAAAGTAAAAAAATCCTATAAAATATAAATAAACTATAATAAATTCAATGGCAACCTTAAATGCATTAGGTACAATCATCAAACGTATAAACTTAAACTCCTAACCACTATTGTTTTTCAGGTATTCAGTTGCCCCGCCAATTTGGCATCACACCGCCGTTGGCATCGACCAAAGGCCAATAACATCGACGCACAATCAACTTCTTCAGAATCCTCAAAACAATCTCCGACTCCGGCACTGATCTCACTCGGCTTCACTACAGACTCTTTAGCTTTGTGTTAGATTAACTTACAGTATTCGATCAAAAAATATGTAGCAAACTCATAATCTTTAACTCTACGTATTTTCCTATCAGTAGTGTCATAGTACTGTCTTAAAACGTCGTATTTCTTCTGTAGTGTACAGTCTGTGTATCTTCTACATCAATTTTCGAAAAATAGTTACAGACTTTTTACACAACGTATTATTCCAACTTTTTATATCATTTATATTGTTTTAACTAATTCAATCAAGCTTTTAATCTCCCAAACACGGTAATTGTGTCATATTTTGCAGTCAAAGTTGTCACCTTTCAAAAGCAATCAACTTGTAACCTCTATAATATTGTAATACATAACTACTGTAACCCATTATTCTTTTTTCCCTGGAAACCCGTCACCGAGTATAGCTCAAACTGTTATTGCTGAGGCATCTAGTCATGTTGTACATAAACATTCCAAACAAACTACGTATTAACGGTTTTATCTTGTTTCACATATATAAATTCTTTAAAACTGACGTCACAGAAGTTATAAAACTAATTGCTCTGAAATAAGTTATTAAAGAAACCAATTTAAATTTGAAATACCATAAAATAAGACAAGAATTCATACATTTTCTAAGAAATATTCCAAACAACAATAATGCAGTATGTTTATTGTACAAAACTTAAATAAGTCCAAGTTTCTGCTTTTGTTTGTTTTTCCTTCGGACTAGATCAAGGTTTCTATCTTTCCAAGTGCTCTTTCGGAGTTTAATAGGTCTGTTGCCAACATATTTACCGTCCATTTCGCGCATCGCTCTTACGAAATCCTAAAAATATAAACATTAAGACATTTTGAATATATATACAAAAACGAAAAACACAACTAAAATATAAGTCAAACATTAAAAATCAATCTTAGACTAATCACTTACATCTTGAAGCTTAAACGACACAAATCCATATCCCTTAGGCTTGTTTGTCCTAGCATCCCGAACGACCTTCGCTTTCTGAAAGCTACCATATTTCCTAAACGCTTTAGACAACAACTCGTCAGAAACTTCGTTTCCAAGGTCACCACAAAAGATTCTGAAGTCGTTGGGATCCCATTCAGCCAAAGAAGGATCTTCCCAAGTTTGACCACCACCAGTTCTGACAAACCTCTTCATCTTCTTATCACCTTTCATCACTTGGCCCAAGTAAGAGTTCTTGTGGGCTTCAGCAGCTTGCTTCCTTGCTTGGATGAGTTCCACATCAGAGGGTAGAGCCTAGAAAACGTGAAAATAAACTCACATAACATTAATAAACTGACATTTTACGTAAATAACAAAGTAATTGTTCAATTATAATATCTTTGTAACAAAGTCAACTACAAAAGCCTAAAAAATCAAAGAATAAGTTAAAACATACCACGGTCTTGAAAGCAGGAGCTGGAGGAGGTTCTATAATAACATTCTGTTTTTCGGCCGCTTTTGAAGATGAAGGACCTCCTTTGCCGTACAAAACTGGAGCTGACTCGATTACACCAGACATTTTTATAAAGATGAAGTAGAAGAAGATAAGTTTGAGCTTGTTTTAGAAAGTTGCTTTCTTCTAAAACAAGCTGCTTCAACGAAAAATCGAGAAAATAACGAAATAACACAATGTGTCAAGTCTTTTTCAAACGCGCCAAGTTTGGTGACCAGTGGCAACTATTGACTATTGACTTTTATATTAGAGAAATGTTTTAAAGTATTTCTGCGTTTTTTATTTTTGCGTTTGTAAACTTTTTTGTCGTATACGATTTACAATCAGTTATAGTATTTACATAACTAACATTTAGGCTAGTTAATAAACTATGGCAGTGTTGGAATACGATTCAGAAGAAGAACAAGAGCTAACCGAGAAGGAACGTCAGGTAAGATATCTGAGCTATAACTATGGTATTTTTATAGGAGATTGAACGCAAAAGGAAGAAGAACAAGAAGAAGAAGGAATCTAAAAAGAGGACAAAGAATCAACCGCTCGAAACAGCTAACGTCAATGGAGAAAAGAACAACGACGACGAGATTAAGATTGAAGTTGAGTATGTTCCGGATGAGATTGACATTCCCAAAGAAGTATTTGGAGATTTTGTGAATGTTTTCAACAGATTTAAGGTATAGTTTTGTAATTCAAATTTTTTTTTACATTTAGAAGGGAGAAATTTTTGTTGATGTGTATAATTTAGGCATTGTGGTAATTTTGAAGTTGTCGGAGATATTTTTGTAGTGAGTATGTAAAATATTGTATTTTAGACGACAGAAACAGAAGAAGTGAAAGAAGAACTAGTAATTGATGAACCTAAACTTCTGGATTCTAATACGATAGATTCTTTTAACAAAGCAGCTATCTCTGAACAGATTCTTCAAGATGAGATGAAAGAAAAGAAGGTATGTTGATTTTGTTTTTGTATTTAATAATTTTAGAAAGAAGAAGGAGATGTGGAAAGTCTAAGCAGAAAGAAGTTGAGGCTCAGTATGCAGCCTTCTATTGCCGAACTTAAAGCTGTAAGTTTTTCTATCGATTTACTTGATGAATTTATCTTTACCGCTTCATATTTTATTGAACTTTGCATAGGTAAATTTTATTTTAAACTTATGGTTTATTTCTTCTCACATTGGATAGTAACTTTGATAGTCTTTGTTTAGAATACTACGAGACCAGACGTGGTAGAATGGGCTGATGTGACTTCGCGTGATCCACATATTCTTGTTCATCTTAAGGCTTATCGCAATACTGTTCCAGTGCCACGACATTGGAATGCCAAACGAAAGTACTTGGCGGGAAAAAGAGGATTTGAACGTCCACCATTTGAATTGCCAGATTTCGTTAAGAGAACTGGAATCATGGAAATGAGAGAGACTATGTGGGAGAAGGTAACACTTTAAACGTTTTTTGTAAGAAATTTTGTTAATGCTTAAATGTTGGTAAACGTTTAGGTTGGTTTGCCGATTAAAGCGATTCCAATTTAAAAGTAAATAGGATTTTACAAACTGAAATTTATTCACGGAACGATAAGTATTTTAATAATTATTAATAAATTTTGCTTTAATCATCAACATTCAGGAAGGTGAACAAACGCTGAAGAGTAAAATGAGAGAAAGAATGCGGCCGAAAATGGGCAGAATTGATATCGACTATCAGAAGCTGCACGATGCCTTCTTCAAGTGGCAGACGAAACCAGAAATGACTGTAATGGGAGAATTGTACTATGAAGGTAAAGAGATGGAGACTCAGATGAAGGAAAAGAAACCGGGAATTTTGTCAGATGAACTCAGAATTGCCTTGGGTATGCCTGTTGGGCCTACAGCCAACAAATTCCCTCCACCATGGTTGATTGCTATGCAGCGTTACGGTCCCCCACCATCATATCCTAATTTGAAGATTCCTGGGTTGAACTGTCCCATTCCAGAAGGTTGTTCGTTTGGGTATCATGCTGGTGGATGGGGGAAACCCCCGGTAGATGAGACTGGCAAACCTGTTTATGGTGACGTCTTCGGATTAACTGTAAGTTTATGTCTATTTTTGAAGTTTGAAACGGAAAAAAACGTGATATTTACGTTGGAATGAATTTTTTTTTAAATTAAGCATGCTTCTTGAGTTGAAATCTGAATTCCAATGATTGTTTTAGGCTCCAGAAAACATAGAACCAGAAGACGAATCGAAGATTGAACGAGTTCATTGGGGAGAAATCGAGAGTGATGAAGGAGAATCAGACGAGGCTAGTGATGTTGAGGAAGATGAAAACGAGCCAATGGAAGATGACGATGGTTTGGCTACACCAATGCCTGAAGGCACAGTGACTCCAAGTGGCGTGTCTATGATGTCTGGAATGGAAACTCCAGAATCCATCGAAATCAGAAAGGCCAGAGATGATGCGTAAGTTTACTTTGATATATTGTAATTGTCGGACTGTATGGTAGCATAATTACGTTTTAAAACTACGCATTTATTGGTGTTTAATGGCTGATATATTAGGGCTAGTGTATCTGGAATAGAAACTCCAGTCAAAGCGCTAGGGCAGCTCTACACAATATTGCAAGAGAAGAAGGTGGACAAGTTTGGAAAGGACATTATGGGATCTACACATGTTTACGATCTTTCTGTAAGTACTAATCTCTTTCTCAAAGTCATCCTTTTACTTCAGTTTATATACAAAGTTTAGACATCTTTTAACTTTATACATTTGTTAAAGTAAAAATTTCAGAAGAAGAGTAAAGTAGACGGTATAGAAATATCATTGAATCCAGAAGAATTAGACTTGGGCGACAAGAAACATCTAGAAGAGAGATACGAAGAACAATTGAGGAAACAAGCAGTACCCAAGAATGACGACAAGGAAGAGGAGGAAGAAGACTTTTCTGATATGATTGCTGACCATTCTAGAGTAAGTTCTCGTAACATACTCGTAATATTTTCTTTCAAAGACAGATGTTATGTTGTTCATTGTCATTTAACAATTGATTAACAAGTTCACTTTCAGCGCAAACGAAAGGCCGAACAGAAGAAGATCGCGGCCAACGAGAAGAAGAAGCACAAAGACTTCAAGTTTTAACCTTATTTTATTTATCTGTTGTTAGCTCGAGGTGTTTTCTCGTGATTAAACGACTTCTCCCTTCTAACGTAACTTCCAAAGTTCTCGTTCCACATGCGTTGTGTTCGCCATAGCCAAATACTCAGAGCTTCCTTCTGATCTAACGTGAACACTGACCCAGAATACTTTGTGACAGCTGTCATTCTTTCTCGGTTAAAGCTTTTTGTAACCACAGCAGCTATCCTTATCATCAACCTCTCGTGTAGATGTGTGACCTCTTGGTCGAAAGTATCATCGGAAATGCCATCTGACACTACCACCATTACCTGAGGTCGATCGTGGTGGGGTGTTGGCATCAGTCTGTGTCGATGTCGCACCTTTTTCATATTCTGTTCTTGATAAAGTATTCCGGCGGCAAAGGATAAGGCTTTGGCTAGAAATGTGGCTCCACCAAGGTATGGCATTCTTCTTATTGCTGCTAAAATGGACCTTGTAGTAGACATCTATCCCATCGCTTATTATGATTTAAAAATAGGTAATATGTAGATTGCAGTGTATGAAATAGCAAGATACTATGAAAAGAACTGTTAAAGTAACTTACTTCTCACAGACCTGACGCTGTAATACCGATCGAATCCAAAGTAAACTTTCGGTTCAGCTGCGAACAAGACTGTGGCTACTCGAGAGCGACTGGGAGCAATGTCAATATCAGCGACAAAGGCACGCAACATTTGTTTGACTTGGTTAAAACTGTTGAGGCCAATGCTACTGGAAGAGTCGATCAGAAGGAGAACATCGACTGGAGGAAGGGATTTGATTGGATGTTCAGGGGGAGGAAACGACTGTGATCTGGCAAGTGTGGTTAGGGTGTAGTCGTCTACTGTCACTTCGTCTTCTGTAAACTTGGTTGTTAAAGTTATAATTTAAATGTTATTTTTAGGGATGTTTGATAGGGTACTCTAACTAAATCAAGCGCTTTTGATTGAAAATAATTGCAAATTCCAGTTTAAAACTATTTATTTTAGTACCAAAAGACAATATGAGGGTAAAACATACCGTAACACTTGAAAAGTTATTTTAAAATTAGATAAAAAATGCTGTTTCAAAGGTTACGGTATGTCCTTCCTTCGTCTACTTAGTCTAAGATTAGAACGGCGTTTTATCGTACCCGGAGCGACCAACGTGACTGGCAACGGCATCGACTGTTCCCTTCGTGTCGTCTCATCTCTGTAGTGATCTCGTAGCCGATTGCTCTCGTTGATCAACTCCATCATCGTCTTCTCACGCTCCTTTTCATTGGCGGAGCGTTGTCGTATCCGATCCATCAGACTCTCTTCTCGCTTCCGACTGTTCTCACGTTCTAGCTGAAGTTGCGATTGGAGACGACGAACTAAAACAATACTATTAGCACGCTTTTAGTAGTAAGAGAATGATAATATATAAGATAAAAAGTAGGATATTAAGGTCGTACGAGATATTACATATTTTGTGTGATGTAATATACTTACCGTCACTTTTGTAGTGATAAACAGCATAACATAGACATAGACTTAACACGAGCCCAATAACGGCAGTCAGTACGATGGCAACAATACATAAGGTTGGCTTGAAAAGTCCGGCACGAGGTGTTGTGTTCTGATTACCTACAAACGATTACTGTATATTTAGTAGCTTAAGTTATTTACTCTATTCAAGATACAGATTTAGACAAATAAAGTGAATAAAAACTCAAGAATGTTTCCGAGAAACCGTACATGCAAAGGCCCAGTATACTGTATTGAGGTCGTTTGTCTTTGAGCAACTAGACACATTCCACTGTAGGTAATGCCACCAGCTCAATTCATTTGGCTGGCTCATTACATTTGGTTGCTGTAGAATAGTATACAGTAATTACTTTTTTACTTATGAATACCACAATATTAGCGCTAACAATAATATAATATCAAGTACTATAACATAAAAATATAATAAGTACCTTATGTTATAGTAGATTTACAGTCTAATAGTATTTGTATAGCAAACAAAGCGAGAGCGATGTTCCTTTTAGTACTCTCAGGGTTTCTGTGATGACTTTGCGAAAAGTGTTGTCGCAGAACGTTGTCAATGGAGACTCAGCGAGAGATAAATGGGTGGGTCTGCATTATGTACAACGCTTTCAGAATACGACAAAGTGTAATAGGAATGTTGCAAAATCACAGACATTTAGTACTATGAAGTTTATAAAGCGATAGACAGCTATGTCCAAGTTAATATCACGCCCAGGTAAAACAAATACAGTATCACTTACTGATAAAACTGTTGACACTCTCACAAAGCGGGTACTCCAGCTGCGCCAACGACTCAAAGTCTAATGCTGCCAAGTGTGTTGTAGTAGCAGCAAACTGAAGTGAATTCAGATACCTCGTGGAAGGAGCAGCGCTTCCAATTGTGATTAGAAAGACATGAGTTGGAGACGATGGCTTTATCAGTAATTCATACACATTGACCTCACGAGGTTGGTACAACGAGGTCGAGATGACTATCATGACATCTGGAGATGTTAGTCGATTGGCGGCATCTGAGATTAGACCTCCGTTCAGAAGTGTGTTTAGACTAGCAGCATTCCGAGTGCACTGTTCTCCTTGGGCTTGGCACGGGAGGTATTGGATGGTCTAAAAAAGTAACAAAATCTTTAAAACTTACAGAATTTAGTATATTTTAGGTAAGAAGATAAAGATAAAATAAATATTGTGTTCTTCATGTAACATTTGATATTTTTAGTAGTTTATATGACAGAAAAATATCATTTTATAACGCAAAACGTTAATTTTGGCTTTAAAAACAATACATTCAAAAATAAACTCACGTTGATACGTCGTTCCATGGCTTCGAATCCTTCTGCACTCAACCCAAACTCGTACTTGGCAGTGGGGGTGAACTGTGCCACAGACACCTGAACCCCATCTCTCCCCAACTTCATGTGACTCAACTCGAGCTTTATCAACTCCAACAGAAGCCTGTGGTTGGCGCTACTGTCAATGTTGATCGTGGAATCAATTACGAACAGAACGTCGGTCTCGGGCCACGTGCACTTGGCCGAGACTCGAAGGCCGAGAACACCTAGTAACCAGCACCACTTCAGCATCTCCAGTGCTCTATTAAACGGAAGTTATTGTGAATTGGACCTTCGGCCAGTGGCCATTCTCTCCCGACTTCTGCCCCTTCGTGACGCCGAACATGGCAACAGAAAAGCGACGAGACTCTCGACCCACTTTACGATTTCCAAATGAATATTGTCAGTTTATTCCGGGTAATATGTTTACAGCTAGCCACACCCCTAGGTTGAGCAAAGTTACTGTTACATAGTGATATCACACGTGCAATTACTGTCATACCATATATCACTACTATTACATATAGAGCTACAGTCACATTACACAGAGTATTACTGTATCATATTAAAGTAATGTGTGCAATGTAAAAGTATGTACATACTAGAGAATACATCTTACAAGGTGCACAGTCGAAGTTACTGTAACTACATATTTTATTGTAAAAGACATTACTTTTGAAGGTTTTTTTTACATTGTTCAAGGTTGTTAGCCCTAAAGAGTAACATATATTAGAGGGCCTAAAACTCCTGAAACAACCTGATATTAACCTAGAGAAAGGCACAGTAATTTCAGCTCACAATGACAAGTTAACTACAACAAACGGGCTTTTATATTACAGTAGATGGTTTGAAACAAATACAATAAAGTCTAAAAAAGAATCTCGATAACAATCCATAAATGATGTTGCGATAGCTTCAAGATACGATAGGCTACAAGATAACACAGTCACGATGCAACAAGTAATGTCATGAATGACAAGATGACGTAAGGACCCGTGTACAAGGTGTGTCCTCAACTAATCACAGTTCTTTTTTGATGTCTTTGCCTTCGAAGGAGACGTTCAGCAGATTCTGGAGCAGGTTCGACCCCATCAAGAATTGCTGTAGCGCGTCGTTGTCTGTCGACGATGAGCCTGGACTAGGTGCCGTAGAGTGGGATTCCAGATTGGCTGAAATACACATGGTTAACATCATGCTACTTAGTTTATCTAATATTGATATAAAGTGCATAATAACTATAAAAATTTGAATAATATCATTAAAGCTACTTTAATAGGAAAACGGAGTCAGAAGAAAACAAAATAAAACTTAAAAGCTTCTAAAATATAGTTAACTAAAAACAAAAATAATTTTAAAAATTGACCATCAGTATTCGTGTAGACGACGCCCTGCGGCATCTGAAACATGACTTGGCCATTGTTTTCGGTGTGTGAAGTGCTATTGAGTGCTTCCAGTGGTTTGTCACTGTTGTTGTTATCAGTGGAAGTGGATGGATTAACAGGAGAGGAGGAGGAGGAAGAGGTGGAAGTTAGGCCTGCAAGTAACCCAGTTAACTTGCAATCGTAATATATTATAGTAGATTGTTATACCTACTTGTCTTATATTAGGAACTCCAGCGGTGTTTGAAGCTTTCAAGAAGATAAAGCAAAATTTTATCAAAAGCTTCATCTTACTGCATTTCGAAATTGAAATTCAATAATTAATTTTCAAAAAACATAACAAAATGACGAAATGTCAAAAGATAAAGTGTCAAAGTTGAATTGTCTTTTCGTTCTTGTTATTATACTTCGTTGTAGGAGTTATTAATAGCTTTGACGTTGTTTTGTAATTAGCCAATCAGTCAAAAAGTAAGTAAAATCAAAAATAAAGTCTGGATTTTCAAAAGCCAGAATTAAAAGAATTCATGCTTTTTCGATCAACTATCGTGAAAACTGGAAATACAAGGTAACAAATTGAGAAAAGAAGTAAGTGCAATTCATATTAAAAGTTCCAAAGCTTACCTTGCAGAAGCATTGGCAGAAACTGGTTGATATTGTTATCACAGTTGGCCAAAAGCGCGGCCAAAGCGTTTTCGGCCGGTTTTTTGTTGTCCTTCCTTCTCTGCTTTTGCCTCTGTTCAGACGCTGCCTTCATAACTTCCTTCAGAATCTGATTCTTGTCAATTTCTTCATCATCACCGTAACCGTTTGTGTCATTGTCACTGTCAACGTATGGTTCTACTGAAGAGGCTGATGACACCATTGTGGGAATCGACGCTGATAACTATAAAAACAAAGGTAAGGACATTCATATTGCTTTTAATTTTTCAGGTTTTATTGATAAGATTTATCTGATTTGTTGAGCTTTATGCTAAATTAGAGTTAATTTTTTTATATGTTTTGTGCTTCATTTCATTATTTTTTATGTCCAAATAGTTTTGATGATTTTAACGAACTTCAACTGAATTTTTCGCTAATTTTGTACTGTTTGCTGTATTGCCTTTTTAAGTAGTCGAATATGACCCGAATTTCGAAGTTGCTCGGAGCAAACAAAAGTCGCGCAATGGCCAAAGCACAGCAGCCAAAGAGGCCATGACCTTTTCTTCAACACTTCATTTTTCCTTTTGAACTATTTTTTCTTAAACCTCTGCTCTTTTTGAAAACGCTTTTCTCTTTCCTTAATATCTTCTATGAGAGTTTGGCCGTCTCTTTAAGGTGACGGGGAACAACTGTCTCGGCTGTTATGGCCACATTCCTGGCCATAATGGCGAGACGACGCCCTAAAAGTCCGGGTCCCAATCAATCAACTGGGCCCATCTGTTCTTGAGACTCGATCCCGACGCCTTTTACAACGACAAAACTTTTTCGGGCCATAAAAGACGTTTATGACCTCGGCAGCGTCGCGATGTCGGATCGGTTTACCGCCACATAAAGCCATCCTCGGATCAATCCAAAGGATCATTCCAAAAGGAGCCAAGACTTCTGGCCGTTGTGTAACAATGAAGACGACCAGAAGCCGCCGCCTTTAAAGGGCCAAGTGTTAACAAAGAGTTTGCGATGCCTTTTTTAGGAATCAGATCGTTTCCGGATGGGGACAATGTCCGATTTGAAAATAGTTAATTACAAATGCAAAAACGGGGAATGAGGAGGCACAGATACAGATCTGACTAGGTCATTATACTGGTTTCGTTACTGTAATTGGACAACAAACATGAGTTTCGAAAAGTTATCGGTCATGAATTTAAAAAACAGCTTCCGCGCAATTAAAATTTCATAGTTCTAAAAACAATGCTGTCCCATACCTAGTCCAAACAAACTTAGAAATACCACACAGTAGCTACAACATTTAATAAACTCAACCAAAGGGCATTCCCTTGCACATTAACTTTCCCCATAATTAGACCGTGACTCACCGTTTCTGTGATGTCTTGAGCTTTTCGCTTTCTCGGATTCACATTTGACAGAGATCCATTATTCGGTTCGAACGTGAATTCGGTTTTTACAGATGTGCAGTCGTTGATGGGATCTGAAAAAGGTTTGTAATAACTCTAACAAAGACAAGTTATTTACATTGTTTTAGAGTGTTAGCTAAAAAGATCAATTATTTTAGGTTTGAAAGTTTTGTTCTTTATGTCATATGTAAGTATAATTAAGTTGATATCTTAATTAACTTAGTGCTGTAACAGAAAAAACAAAAAATGGAGCAGAAGAGCGCGGGAGAGATTAGAGGAGAACGCATGAGTGCGCTGTAAATGGTCATGACCGCTATAAACACCATAAACGGGGGAGAGCGCCCATTGGTTGTCGCGGTTTCTGGATGTTTACTGGATGGTTACTGTCAATGTAAATAAAGACTTTGCGGTATTAAAAGCCAGTTTCTATACGGTTTTATTAAAAGTTTTAAAGAGTTATTTGAATTTTAAAATTTTTCACTACATTTTGACCAAAAAGTGATTTTTTGTGACAAAATTCAAAAATAACCTAATAGTAGCTACACAATGTAAAATTATTACGAAAAGTAATTGTGCTATGTATTAGAAATATCTTTAAGCCTACCTGCAGGCGTAGTTAAGCAGCTGTGGATCAACGATCTTCCAGGTTCATTGGCAATGATGGGCTTCAGTTTATTCGTGGAGAAAGCGTAGACGTGACCAGTTTCTGATGCTACCAGTAACATAACTTGAGTTCCAGTAAGAGTCGACAGCTCGTGAGCCTTCTTCATGATCCCAGTCTTCCGTTTGCTGAAAGTTGTGTAGCGTCTGAGTTTGTTGCCAATGTACTTCATCTCGATCTTCACTCGGCCTGAAAGACATTATATTATATCAATCCTTACACCCTTACTTAAATTTTAATCAAAATTTTCAAAATGCTTGAAAAAATACTGTAGTTTAGCCAATCTTACCTTTAGTTTTCTTGCCATTGGGCAGGGCATTGGGCTGTGGCACGCTTTCGGTATTCATGTGAACGGTGGTGGGGGTAGACTCCTTGGAACCGTCGGAATCGGCAGCCGCCAGCTCGTCTGAAGAGCACTGAAACAATAAAGCCAATGTAAATCTAATTAACCTTGATCCGAAATGAGGCCGAATTCCGACAAATAAGAGTTATGAGATGCCCCAAAAATGTTATTCAGCCATCTACAACATCCACGATCCGAAGGCAGTGAACGCGGTTTATTAACTCATAACATACGAAAAGACTAGCTCAATATAAGAAGGATATTAAGTCACAGGAGGTCTTCTTTACTAATAATATGACGATTGACATAAAGAATCCAAAACTAGTCAACTCACTTCTTGTTTGGGCGACAGGAGCAGAGACTGGAATGGGGCTGTCCCGCCAGGATTGGAGAAGTTCAGGTTGAAGCAGTTCTCTCCTGACATCTAAATGTCATAAATGAGTTATGCAAAGTAAAAAAACGTTTTGGCTTTTAAACTACACGAGAAAGAGTAACTTTTTCAGAATTAAAAAAACCCAAATCAGTTTACAGTATTGATAACGAAAAAATTACAATTACTAAAGCACAGTAATTGATGAGTAATTAAATTAGAAAAAACTACAGTAACCGTCTACAAATTATTAATTTAAAAACTGTTAGACCCAAGTACAATATCCATATTGTTCCTTAAATAATCAGTAGCCAAAGAATCACAGAAATTAAGGCCCCAAAATCAAAACCCGACGCTATCCCGTTTCCCGAGGCAAAAGGAGTAAGCACTCTCTGGCCAAGATAAAAGCCCCCGACCATCTTTAGCCAACGATCAGATCAGTTTTCCCGAAAACGGAGCCGGATAAAGGGCGGAGGTGGGCGGGAGCAGTTTTTGGGGACGAAGAGGAAGCTACGAGGATTGGCTCCGAAAAGGAGAAATCAGTTCCTCCTTGATCACAACATTCCGCCTCGAGTCCTTTGCGACTCCCGCGCACTCTTGAGCCGTCTCGTCGCAAAAACATGCACCCCAAAAGTAAGCTCTTGAAGCAGCCCCTGGCCAAGTCAAGACATATTTGCATTGGCCGGATCAGCGGACGAGCAGCCCCACCAAGCCAAGCCCTTTTATGAAGTGCGATCTTTTAGTGATTCGAACTAAAAAAGCGTTTCAAGTCCCAAACAAGGTGTTTCAAGTCTTTAAAGAGAGATTCAAGCCCCTCGAAATGGATGACAGACCCCGCTACCTGTCCCTGGGCCATAAAAGCCATCGTCATTCCTGGAGATAGGACTTGTTGGGTATCAGAGAAACCGCACAGCTGTTTCCATTAAAGTCCCCCAACTGCCTTGGCCCCGTGCCTTTTTGATGGAACGGGGCGAGAAAAGGAAGCATACAACGGCCGAGTCCTTCCTTTAATCGAAGCGCCTGAAAAAGGCCCGATCGAAAGCCTCCGATCGGCTTTAAACTCACAACTCCTTCTCCTCCCCTCCCACCGCTTTTTAGGGCCGCTTCCCGAAAAAGCCGATCACCTCGGGAGCAGCTGGCTTCAGAGTTACGAAAGCCCAAAAACGGTATACGGTAGTGGAATGCCACCAGTTATTAGAACCAAGAGAGTTGCATATTTTTACGAATCAGATCAACGTAATGACGGGGGGTAGCCTAATATGGACAAACGGAATTCATGTGTGATATAGTGATTAATAAGGCAAAAGTAAATGGCTCTTCTACAAATTAATAAGATCAAGTAGCGTGATGTTACTGTTGTTTTAACAGCATATAATCAGAAAATCCACAATTTTTTACTCCAAAGTTATACTTCTTCATTATCAAGCGCTTAATAACCTATTTTACCACCTCTAATCAACATGATCAAGATCTCCTTTTACACTAACCCTCCGGCCCACTAATTTGTTCATACCAAGAGCGAAATGCTGTTGTAGTCGTCGTTCTTGTCGCGCGCTATCAGTCAGCAAAAAAAGGACAAACAGAAGGCTCTCGAGGCATCCTTTTACAAGAAGTTACTTGCTTAAGGTAAGGTGCGTTTCATTAGATGCTAGGGGGATTTGTTTGCTCGCGGATCCCGCTTTGGCCGTCCGGAAACACTGTGCGCGCGATAAGAACACATCACATTTACAGTAGTTAACATTAACTTGTTTGTCCAGAAACAAAAAGTTGCAAACACGAGTGACAAAAACACACGAAGATGCTCAATCGAGAGTGTCTTCAGACACCGTATAAAGTTTGGACAAATAATGCGGCCAAGAGTTTAGGGACGCAGTTCAAAGTTATAAACATCAGGAAGCCAATGAAATGTATGACCTTAAGTCATAAAACGACATAATTTTGTAACACCTACTATATGTAAAACTTGAGTTTATGTAAATAATTTATTTTTGGTATGATTTAACATTGGCGGATATGGAAGAAACATAGTTTAAGTTCCTGAGAATTAAATACTTTAACAAAACAAAATTAAACCAATAAGTTGTTACTCATCACAAAAATTAAAGACCTTTAGTATTAAATTTGATAAAAAACTTAAAAAATTTCAAACACAGAAATTTAATTCGTTTTTCGCACTCTTGGCATTGCGTTTCATTTTATTTTTATAAATATTTTTTCATTTTTCTTTGAAAAAATTGTTGTTTTGTGTTTTCGTAACATTTTTAATCCTTTTTTCTTTCACGGTATGAATCTAGCCATCAGAAGGCTTCTTCCACACAAGACATCTTCAGTAGTTCGATATTATTCATCAGCTGAGATCGATGTAGAACAGAGGAAGCAGAACAAAAAGGATAAAAATGAAGTTGAGGCGGAAATCTTGGAGAAGTCTAAGTATCCACCCGTGCCATTGTCTCCAGCGATGGAACGGAGAGCCAAAATCATTGCCTCTTCAAAACCCAAGAGTATATTTTCTTATCGACCAATGCAACCGGTAAATTTCAGTCTTCCGAACGAGAAAGGCGTGGAATTCTTTGAAGAATCTATGCGGGTCGGAGACATTCCAAAAGAGATGAACGAGTTTAAGAACATCACAATAGAGGTAAGAGTAAAAATGATTTTGTACTTGGGTTTTAGAAAGTCAAAGAAGAATTCAAAGAACGTATACAGTTCGACCATCCTGAATTGGGTAATGACATCTGGGGCACAAAGCACAATCAGCTCAGTGTAGAGTATCATTTTAAGGATGATAAGGTATGAATAGCCATTTAGCATAAAAGTAGACAAATTTTCCAAAGTTTTAGTATATTTTTCGTTTATGCTTACGAGATTAAAGTTAAATTGCCTTTTATTTTTCGTTAAAATAAACAAAACTTTCAGCAAATGGCACGTTGGCAAACGGGTTGCGATTCAGACTGGGGCGAAGGATTCAGTACAGTGAAACTGGAACGGACAGAACGTGGTACTGCCATGTTTTCTGGTTATCTCGACACAACTATCCTCAAGAACGGTAGAATCGAACGGGCTGGGTGGTGTACGATGAAGAGTGTGGACATAAGAGCACTGAACCGAAAGTCGTACAAGAGACACTGGTGCAACTATAACCAACTCTTAATAAAGTGCCGTGGGGATGGTCGATCGTACAAAGTCATATTATACATACCGGGATCGATCGATGTTAACTGGGGCGACTGTTTCTCGTACCCTCTGCACACACACGGAGGGCCGTACTGGCAATACTACCGGATACCGTATTCCCGATTCTTCCAGACTATTGGTGGGCGGATTCTGGATCAGCAGCAAGCTTTGCCGACGAATATGATAAGGTAACTTTCAAGTTGTGGATGTTTTCAATACTTTCATATTAAAGTGCAAAAAGACACAAAATTTTTTTACAAAATTATTTTAAACCGTGATACCAAGGTAAAATTGCAGTAACATTGGTATCGTACTCATGGACAGGATAGATGGCAGGTTCAGCCTGGAGATCGACTATATTGGAGTAGCGACAGACGTAACCCATGACGAAGAACGGGCTTACGAGGCCTATTCTATACCTGTGTTCAATACGAACAGTATTTAGAAATTTGTAGGAAAGTTTATTGTTGTACCTATTAAACTCGTTTTTTGATCTCGACTTCTCTGCCATCAATACGATGTTTCTTGTTACCTTCTAGTACTTGTTGCTGCACCTGTTTATCGGCAAAGCTGAAGAAACCGTAGCCTCGATTCATGCCTGTCACTGGGTTCTAAAATGACGCAGTCAGAATACCAGGTAAGCATACGAAAAGAACTGTCACATATAAAAAAGAATCACATGGTGCACTTACCAATGGTACTGCGGCTCCAGAGACTTCTCCGAATTGTGAGAAATACTTGGAGATCTGGTCTAAATTCAAATATACTTGGAGTAATATTCTGGCTTACCCTTTCCAGTGATCCAATGAATGTTACCAACAAACAAATCAAAAAAAGGTTTGTCCTTAACCAAGGTTCTCGCTGCCAGAAGCCCAGATAACCTCATTCTGCTAAAACTGTCAGGTAAACAATATAAATAAAAAACAACAGTAATCAAGGTCATGAACCGCGTAGAACACCGAAATTAAATATATTTTAATTTATTTACAACGTTTTAAAATTCTTGATAGGTTCTTTCACCGGCATCATATTGTTGACTCCTACCTGGAAAGAAAACGTTACATGATGAATATTAGTAAAAATAAGGTTCTTATAACAAAATATATTTCTAACGTTTCCAAAACAAAAATAACTTACTAATTCCCCATCGATGACATGAGGACAGCTTCTGATGACATTTTTGGCCCCTTCTATTTGGGCGAACGTCACTGAAGCAAAACCACGATGTAGGCCTGTCTTTGAATCCTAAAAAGCACAATCAAAATATAAAAATAATACAAGTAAAAATGTAAGATTTATGTTTTTAGTGCTAAAAAACATAAGGACTTACGTAGTAAAGGTTGACATCTTGTACTTTCCCAAAGCGACTAAAGTAGTTTTGAATCGACTGTTTCCCGGTTACCCATTTCAAATGTGTGAGATAGACAGTTTGCTCTGGACTGGACTTAAGGAATTCGAATAACACTCTTCTCGTTAAACGCATTCCTTAAACAGTACACTACTTACTATAAACAATAAGGAAATATATGATAAAACGTATCAAACAAAGCAATAGAAGGTTCGGATCTAACCAAAAAACAACCATCTGCACCATAATATTATAATTTATTTATAAAAATAAAAATATGTATATTATTACCATAGAAATATACAAAAAAGTAAGTGATACCCATTCCCTTAATTATCGACATCGACCGGTTTGTAAGTGACTAATTGAACCGTTTTTTATGCGCTGGTATTGAAGGTATTATGCCGTGCTTGCAATAAACTGTAACAGTTCTCACAAACTCGTACAGGCTTCGAATTGGACGGAAGTTTGATACGGCAGTCGCTACAAGCATTGCAGAAGATCCATCCACAGTTTCTAAACAATATGATTAAGAGAACGGAAAGTCACAAAGATGTAATCTTACTGTAAAATCTCACATGTGATCTTCGATCATTTCAATATCGGCTAATGAAAACTTTCTAGATTACCCTGGATTACATACCGACAATGGTGTTTCCTGTGAGTGACAGAGAATGCCAACTCGCAACCTCTACAATGTGTAACTTCGTCGTCTTTGACCCACTGAGCTTCGGACAGTGGTAGTAGTTCTTCTTTCAACTCCACCACTTTCAGTTTCGACCTAAATGGAAATCACTATAAGCTAGTACTCTCTTACTCTGACAAGTGACCACCGAGTTCCTCCAACGCTTTCTGGGATTCTCGAGCTTCTTGATCTACCGTCTCGAACTTGCTCTTCAGCTCATTTAGTTCCTAAAACTTACTAATATAGTAGTTATATATTGGCTGTTGATGACTAATACCATGTAAAAATATTTAGCACTACAAAGATAATAATGTTTCGAAAAATAGTTTACCTTTTCCAAAGCTACTGCACTATCAGCTTGTGTTTGTAATCGTAAACATTTCGATTCGAGCTGCTCGGTCTTGTCCATGAACTTGGTCAGTTCTCGTTGTTTCTCGCTCAATACAAATGACAATTCGGCACATTCCTCGTTCTTCTTGTCCAGCATTGCTTTAACAATGTCATCACTTTGAGGATCTAACTCAACAACTCTTTCGAAGCGGACAGACTCCAATCTCTAGAAAACAATACTGGATTAATCGTGTATTCAGGCTGCTATAAAGCCAGTACGACATAATAAGTAAACAGTTTATTTAGATTTTACAAGTAAAAAACTTACAATCTTGTCATCTTCCATTCTTCGATTCCTTTCAGTGATCTCGTTCAACTTTATTTCCAATACTTCTACCATCTTCTCCAATTTCCTGACTTCTGCCAATCTTTTTATTGCCGTAGCATTGGCTTCTTGTAACATTTCTTCTTTTTTCGCCAACTTCGTATTCAAAGTATGTATGTTATCCTCCAGATCTTTGAATCTCTCGGTGAATACCAACGCTTTATCGAGAGGTTGATCCTGAAAAATTTAAATTTAAATCAACTATAAAAAACATATATCTAACCCATGATACGTTAAGCTGAAAAAGAAAAAATGGGGCCGATGAACAATCATTCCCCCTGTCGTCGGCACGACGAATCACTGCCTTCCCGAGATACTTGAGAAGGCAGCGATGAGTCGCCGTCGGCTCCCTCCCACTCAAGGTTGGGGGAAACGGTTGTGGCCATTTCTTGGGTTTGGTCATCCGTCAGAAAGACGGATTGTTATTTATATTTCTTATTTTTTGTGTATTTTAATTGTAATTATAATTTATACGCATTTTTGTATTATTGTTTGAATTGTTTCTTCGGTTTATTAACCCAAGTTTGAGGTTTCACAATAAACTGATACATGACGAGTACACCCCAGCTACAATCATTCCCCCAAGCGCAAAATCATTCCGCACAAAGTTAAGTTGAACTTAACTTGTACTAGTCCAGAAGGTATTGGCTCAGGTGAGGGTTGGAAACGATCCAAGTGTTGGAGCTGTTGTGACCATCGCGCGACTAGGGGCTGAAGAGAGAACCGGCAGACGACCTCGGAACTCGGCTCGAATGACGATTTCTGGGGAAATCGGTTGCTTTTATAGGGATTTTTTGCATAAACTTTGAAAGTGTAAACCAAGTTTTGAATAATGAATACATTTTCAAAGTGCAATGGGAAAGTGAATAAGGGTTTTCTAAGTGTGGGGCATGATAGTAATACAGGTGGGGCATGATAGTAAAACAGGTGGGGCATGATAGTAAAACAGGTATGGCATGATAGTAATACAGGTGGGGCATGATAGTAAAACAGGTGGGGCATGATAGTAAAACAGGTAGGGCATGATAGTAAAACAAGTGGGGCATGATAGTAACACAGGTGGGGCATGATAGTAATACAGGTGGGGCATGATAGTAATACAGGTGGGGCATGATAGTAACACAGGTGGGGCATGATAGTAAAACAGGTGGGGCATGATAGTAAAACAGGTAGGGCATGATAGTAAAACAGGTGGGGCATGATAGTAACACAGGTGGGGCATGATAGTAAAACAGGTGGGGCATGATAGTAATACAGGTGGGGCATGATAGTAATACAGGTGGGGCATGATAGTAAAACAGGTGGGGCATGATAGTAAAACAGGTGGGGCATGATAGTAACACAGGTGGGGCATGATAGTAACACAGGTGGGGCATTATAGTAACACAGGTGGGGCATGATAGTAATACAGGTGGGGCATGATAGTAAAACAGGTGGGGCATGATAGTAAAACAGGTGGGGCATGATAGTAACACAGGTGGGGCATTATAGTAACACAGGTGGGGCATGATAGTAACACAGGTGAGGCATGATAGTAATACAGGTGGAGCATGATAGTAATACCGAGTGGGACACAACGGTTGTTTTTTTTTACTTTTGGCAATTTCATCAGTGATTCCTTCGTACGTTTGCGGTCCGACCATAATCCAGCAAACAAAATGAAAGAATGAGAAATTGAAAAAAAAATCTTAAAATTTGAATAAGTGGGGAATGATTGTAGCTCATTTCCATGGGGCATTATTATTCACCTGCTGGGGAGTTATTCTTAATGAGAACCGAAAAAATAGCTTACGTTGTTGTTTTTGTGCTTCATGGCTTCCAACCGCGATCTAAAATGTAAGTTGTAGAAAGTAAACATATATTTTCACAGTTTAATACCACTTCGTAAAGTGATGTGATCAACAACCTACATTAGACTTCGGTTGTGCTCCTCCAAAAAGCATTTCTGATCCAATATGGCCTTCAAAATCTTTTCATCTTCATTTACAGCTTGATATTCTGGCATAGTTACGATAGTTGGAACTTTAACATAAGTCGATATGTCGAACACAATAAGTTGTTCCTGAAAAATAACAGAAAATATACAGCAACAGTACAAAAAATAATATTATACTCTTCTTTCATTTTGTATATGAAACCATTTTAATTACGTTATTGTGTCCAAATATTCAACCTACTCTTAAATGTTCGAAGTCAAGGACTAAATTGCAATCAAAGACTGACAATCCAAACAAAGACCCAGCCAAAGTCTCAGCACCATCGCTCTTCATCAATGCCCAGGGCTCGTATCTACTCAAGTAGGACTGACAACTCGTGAATACTTGGAAGTAGTCAGCCAGTTTCTTCTGCATCAAAGACAAACGCAAAAATGCACGGATTTTAGTGGTTGGAGTTCTAAAATAAATAAGACATTTCTAATTTCGACAGCCTTGCAAGTAAAACAATATATTTTAACAGTAAATCACTTACTGCAAACTCTGTAAACCATTTATACATGAAATACATTCTGCCAAGTCTCTTCTCTCACTCTTTGCTAGCCCAATGCAATCCCATAGACATTGTTCTTGTTTTTTGATCACTAAACACAAATATATCTAAAACAATATCACTTACCATTCTTCTTCAAGCCATGGAACAAGACCTTCTCCAGCATAACAAGAAGATCACTCAACTCCTGAGTATCTGCTTCGATCACTCGTTTTCCTTTAATCGATCTCTCCAGAAACGTGTTCAACACCAACTTTGTTATCGTTAATAAGTTCTGTCTTTCGTATTCTAAAGACCAATATTCAGATACTAAAGTTAACAAACCTTTCCCAACTTCATTTTCACTGTTTGTGCGAAACTGATCACCATGAGGTAAGACAGTAGACAGGAAATTCATGATCCAGATCCATTCTCCAAAATGAAGAAAATTATTTTTTATATTATAGACATTTTATACGATGCAACGTGTCTCGACAATTTTTTGTTTACGGGAAACAAAAACTGTATGAGGAGATAGACAATGTGTTCAGATACCTTTCAGTTTATTATAATTAATGTTGTACATTTTAATATATTATGTTATGATTTAAGCTTTTTTAATTTCAAATTTGTCAGTTTTTCGTTTATCTTATGTTTTGGTTCTACTGCGCACACGAATCTGAACTTTCTGGTACAATCTTCGAAGCCCCAATTCTAAAAGTGCGTTATTAGCTATGAATCACAGTTTATAATTAAAAAAAAGGTTCAGAAATATATTTTGACCTACCGAAACTCCTTTTCGCTTGACACAAACTCCATTTTCATAATTCACAAACAAGTGCTTCAAGATATCCGTTTCGTATTGTTCGAGTTCTGAATCATCACTCCACACCATTTTACCGTAATCATTTTGGTGTAATCCAATCCAAATATCTAATTCATCGTCTATATGCTGTTTTAGTTGTTTTTTCGCAGCGAATCTTCTTAACGGCTTCTGATGGCAGATTGTGGGAGCTAGTACCGTGGAAATGGTTGCTTTGTTGAAGAAGACATTGTCAGATGACGAGGCGATAATTTGCAGCTTTTCAAAGTCTAAGTTATTACCGATTCCTATGGCATAGATGGGAATACGTTGGAATTCGTCCTAAATATTGTTTTACCATGGTTTAGGTTATGAGTTTTTGAGTCTGGGGTACAATATCTTTAATGTTTATATATCCGTTTGAAAAAAGTAAATTTACCTTAAAGTCCAAATACAACCCTAATTGCGAATCGAACGATGTATCCGTTAGAACCAGGGCCCATGTAATGTCAATATCATCTGTAGCTGTCCAGTGGGCGTCCAAATCATTTAAAAATTCAATTAGTCCGCTTTCTAAAAGCACAATATAAGTCAAAGCTTGATCACCATGAGGTTACACTAGTATTTATATCTTTATACTTCTTATGTCTGTGAATATTAAAAGTACTCTATTAATACTGAAATACTCACCAAAATCAAGAGTGTGATGTGGAATGTCGAGCGTTTCTATTCTGTAGACAAAGTCATTTTCGTTCTCGTATTGGTACTCTTGGAACAAAGTTACTGGAGGTGATGATAGCAATACTAGAGTAACCCTGACGAACTCTGTAACTTTACTGACAGATGTAAATACCTCAATAATGGTGTTTTTGGTATCAGTGGTATTGATTACTTTTGGGTCGATGCCAAAGACAAGATATACTTCTAGGTCTTCACAGTTGTTGTCCAAGCACTTGACTCGTCTGTCGTATAGTGATGACATATCTTCTTTTACAACTCTTTGCTTCGTCGTTTTTACAGATACATTTGTCAGGATACATTGAGCTTCTTCTCTAACAATGAATGGTTTAATGGTACCTTTTACATTTTTCTCATAATTCGATAATTCTCAGGCCCATAGTAACCAACTAGGGAATTTTAAAAAATTTCCAATTTAAAGTCTTTTTATCGTAAACTTACTCGTAGTAGATTGCAGTGCGACAAGCATCGTTTGTACAGTTTTTACAATTCCAACATTCCCCAAGACAGTCGTTCAAGGTAATACGGTCAAATACAGTACCAGCAATACCTTTCAAAGTCGCAAATCTAGTTTTAGAAAAACAACTTCTAACTTCAGAAACCGGCACAGCTACAGGAACTTCAGATTCTAGTGTCTTAGTGGCCTAAATTACTACAATTATATTAATTACTGATAAAGTATGGTAATGTTGACAATAGTTTTTTAATTTTAAAGTATTTTTTTATAATTTGAGGAACATACCAAGTCGTTGCACGTATCCTTGAAATACCAGATGTTTTCCGGTAATTTAGAAAGTTTTGTCGTACTGCCATCATTCAGAAGACACTCATTACCAGATGGATACCACAGCACAGATGTACAATTAAAATGCAGATCAGAACGAGCGCGAACACATTCTTTTTTACATATTTGGCTTGACTCTATGTTATTCAGGATTACCTGTAAGGTTACTATGTCGTTATGGCATGCTTACTATGTTCTGACTAATGTCGATGGTGTCGTTCTGATGAAAACATAGGTCAATCCGAAGCTCTGTAATGTAATTCACAACAAATGGTTGTAATAATCAATATAGTTATAATATTTCTTAAGTAATATATTATATTTTGTCTTACCGTTTATGGAAGCAAACGCTTTTATCGATCGTTGTGAAGGAGTTTTGAAGTTCTGAATGAAATGTACAAAATGGTCTTCCTCGTTTGAGTGAAGTGAAGCCAAGCTGGCACCGTACCTACCCTTACATTCATCTTCGGCACTCTTGTAAGTTAAAGAATAGTTACTATAACATAATATTTAAATTAATCTCAAAAACAATCTAATCGTACCTTAAGAAATAACATTTATTGCTATAATAATGCCACCCAAAAGGACACAACATTGATGATACTAACTTTAAGCAAAATATAATGGTCAAAGGAATGTAGACCATGCTGGTGTTGAACATAACAGTTACGTCCTTCTACATTATAAATTGGAAGACAAAAGTGTTATATCTTTACATTATTAGTTACGGATACTGTTTACTTTGGTATTTTCGCCACTATAAGTGTTTGCGTAAAAATTTCAAGATTTTGAAGAATTTGGATTGTTTATTTGGCGCGTTTTTGGCAGATTGGCCAGCCGTTTCACGTATTTTTCCGCAAAAATACTGTGAAACTAAAAACTTTTCTTTTTCTTGCTGATGATTAGAAAGTTTTATAGTAGAGATTTATATTGTTTAAGTTATTTTGAAGGTATGTTATGCTTTTTTTATTCTTAATATTTTTTGTCTGGTTTTTCTGTTTTTTATAAGATTATAGGTCTGTTTCAGATGAGTTCTCCTCCCGAAGGCTTGGTTTTGTATGTGAGTGATTATGAAGGTCGAAAGTACGTTGGGATCTTTTGGAGAGAATATTGTACTCGACAGTTGGATGTGTTTTTGGATGAAAGGACTGTGACATTCGCAAAGGTAATATTTTTTTATTTTTTAACTTTAGGCAATTAAACTACGGATATTTTACTTGATCGACGGTTAAAAAGGGGAAAAAACGCTTTGTTAATTAATGGGACTTAAAATATTAAATAACACAATTATAGGTATGTTAATTTAACTGTTTAGCCAGGAAACTATGTCTACCTCCACACAACGCGCGGATTTGAAAAGATGGCTAGTGAATATATTCTGGAGCCGGATCTCTTACGTTTGGAAAGTTGTCAAAAAACGTTGGAAAACATCAAAACGGACAAGGGTATTCAACAAGTAAAGTTTAAGGACAAGGTATACTTTGCTAAAAACGACTCAGAGTCTCCTTTATTTGGGAGCGTTGATGTAAGTGATTTTTAAATTAACTGTGTTAATAATTATTTATTTTACAGTCTTGTAATTCTTTTAGTTAAACTTGATTAAAGTGCAAGTTTTTTAGATAGCAGAAGTAGGTTATTCTAGTATCTTTGGATGGGTGTGCCTAATAAAGAAGTACGCTGATCCAAATGTGATCATTGATTATGAAAGAGCGTACAATGTTATCATTGCCAGGCCTCCAAAAAAGTTGGCACAGTCATTGGTCGACTCTTTGGGCGGTTATATGTTTTGTATGAAGGTCATGGACCCTATTGAAGATGCATCTGTCTACAGATTCATGAACGAAGTAGCTGTAGGTTTTTAACATGTCTTATGTTTTAAAATCTAAAATTTTAAAACTAATACTTACTTGTTTTTTGTTATTAGTTTTAACAAGCAATTTTGTTATCATTATATATTGTTTTATCTATTAATTTTAGCCATTCCGAAGAGAGTTTGCGAATATTGTTGGAGAACGATACTTTGCCGAAGAAATGCCTGTTGCCATTCATAGTGATGACGACATTGAAGGCTTTCTTACCTTTGTTTTTGTGTTTGAGCACGTATCTGAAGACAGTTACAAGGCTTATGACACGACTGGAAAGAAAATCATTCGCATTTTCCCTAATGTGAGTTTTCTACTATTAAGTTGTACATTTATAATATTTGTAATAAGTTGTACGTTTATAAGCGTCGTCTTATTTGTTTGTATAATTCTGGATTTTAGAAAAAACTGGATATTGGAAAGTTGTACGTGGTCGATTATTCGACTGACGGGAGCAAACAGTTTGAATATTACGAAGCAGAACAAGCTAACAGACTTTTACACAAGCTTGGTGATACGTATGAGGTTGGTATTTCTTACCTTGTAATGAAATTCAACGGTTGTTTAACAAAAGTAAAGTTTTAATCAGAATTTTGATGATATTTATGTCATTTATTTGGTTTTAGTTTGAAGTAGAAGGAAAAATTCAAGTGTTTCCTGAAGTAGAGGGTGGAGAATCTTGGAAAGCTTTTATTTACACCGTGTTTGGTACAGCTTTGTTATTCAATATTCCAGAGAACTATGATGAACATGTTCAGTACACAATTCGGGCTGTATTTGCTGTGGGATCTTCGGACAGTTACGTTTGGTTTTGTCATCGATTTTGTAAAATTAATGAGGACGTTTTTGTTAAGGTATGTTTTTAAGAATTCTGATAAGCTCACTAAATTTAAATAACAATTTATATAAATGTGTATGTTATAATGCTCAATTTTATATGTAATGTTTTAGGAAAAAGTATTTACGAAGGATGTCAGTACTATGTTAAAGCGGTATAACACAAAATCTGAATTGCCTGAACGACCGAATCGGTCTTTCCTTTGTCCAGAAGCCGAGGTAGTTGAGAATCAGGTAGAATCCGACAAAACTTTCGATAATGAAGCCAAAGTTCTTGAATCTACGTTAGGGAGAGACGAAGCAGGTTCGAAAAAGCAAGTTGAAGAGTTTAAGGAGGAACCTGCAAAAGAAAAAGGTGAAGAAGATAAGAAAGAACATTATGAAGAGTCTAAGGAAGACGTATGTGTAGTATCTACAAATGAACTGATTGAAAAATCTTCCAATCAACAAAAGGAAGCAAAAGAATTGCCAGAAACAGAAAAGTCATTTATGCCGTCAAAAGAATTGGTTGATAGTATGCTTGACGCTGATCAGGATTTTAGTAATTTAACCGACGATTCATTTATCAACGAAAAATTCACAACAACAGAATTCTTTGACATTGACACAGCTCGCAAGTTTGAAGTGGATTCAGTGGTTTACAACTGCAAACAAGAAACAGTAACAGTAAGTGTTTGATTCTTCAAGGTTTTTTTTACAATGGTCCTTTAGTTTTTAAATTTTATTTTAGATGGTCGTTTGCGTGCTTGAGGCTAGAAACGGATATGTGCTGACTTGTACGGCTGATCAAAAGTATGGTTGCGTTTGTACTGAAAAGTGAGTTACGTTATTTTATTTTAATTTGCATATACGTAGAAAAGTTGAATATTTATTATTGCGAAGTTGGCAAAACATGTCATGGTTTCAGATTTTCCTTAAACGCAATATTAGTCGGGCAATGGGTCGTGGTCTACGGTAATGAAGTTGTATCTCCACAAGGAGAATTTGACTTTATTTTTCCGGGGTTCGAAGAGTTGGTGAATCCTCCGTTAGAGACGGTCACTATAAATGGACCAAAGGGTTCTATGTTACTATTTAAGACCAAGATGCGAAGTTCAGCGTTAACTGGTGACATTTCAAATGTAAACTTGTTAGAAGATCAAGGAGGTAAGCTAAACATTTAGTGTTTTCTTATTCAATCATTTCTTTATGGTTATTTTTTTATTTATCTTTTTGTAGAAGTTTCTTATCTACGCTACAATGGAAACAAAACGTGGAGTCTTTTTAATATTGAGGCGAAGGAATTTGATTACGATGGCCCGAAAGCTGTAGGTTTATATTTAAGAGTTGTAATATTATACCGCTTACACTTTATGACTTATATTTTTATTTTTTAGGTTTTTAAGCATTTTTTATCTTCAAGTGTAGTATAATACATTTATGATTGTTTTCAGAACCAGTTACTTCAGAATGAACATCTGGAGACTTGCGATGATGTAGGCCAACTTGTGGAAGAAGCTGGCAATGATGGAATCGGAGACCGTGTGGTTTTTGAAGGAAACTTACTTGACGATGAAAATCAGAAAAGGCTGAACAGCGCTTTTGTTTTGGGCAATGAATTCGAACAGAATGCCACTGAATATAATCCTGATGAAACATATAACGATGACTCAAACCCACATGTGGAGTATTCATTGGACTGCGATGATTACGGTTCAGATGACTTGACATTTGAAGAAAGTAATTTAGCAAATCAAACATTTGTCACAACCAAAGGACAGGACACTCACGGAACGGAAACCTCAAAAGAAGACGAGAAGAAAGATAATGAAGAAGCTCCAGAAGGAAGGAAAGATGCTAAGCCTGATTTAGAAGAAGAAAAAGCACACAATACGTTTACTTCAGATGCTAAGAAAGAAGATATGAGGGCTTCTCCAGAAGTTTTTTACAAAAACACTACTCAAACTGAAAGTGTTGGTAAACCCACCGAGAATGTAAGACTAGCGAAGCCAGCACCAGCAAGCCAAGTTGTGCCTGACAGAATAAAGGACGTGGTTTTAGAAGAAGAACTTCTGAATGCGGACGGAGAATTGGAAGATGATGGTTCAGAATTGAACGAAGAGATCGAAGTTATGAACACTAATGAGGAGGTGTCTAGGGTGGATGACTTTTTTATTCCGGAACCCGCTGTTACTGAAGTATTAAATGAAAACGTGAAAGAAGACGATCTTCAGGAGTTGAAACGGGACAGTAAACCGGCTACATGGGATGACGATGAAACTGATTTTGCTACGTCTACTGATGCTAAAAAAAGTGGTGAAGATGTTGAACAGGTTGAACAAGATGTCATGCCAATTGGAGACGTAGGACAGCAGTTTTCTTTCCCGGTAAGATTGGGTTGAATTATATGTTAATATGTACTTTGTGTTGGTGATGTTGTCATGTATATTGGGTCACTTTTCATGACTTTGACACTGGTAGTCTTTTTCTATTGAAAAGTTTTCTTTGGTGGTAACCTGTCTAGTATTATGGAACTGTAATATCAAAATTAATATTTTAGACAAAGTCACTTCTGAAGCCTCAGTTTACAACTACATATCAAGAATACTTATACCAACGGGCATTTATTGATCAAACCGGTTCAGGCGGCGAACCAGATTCTGAAGATGGCTTCAGTTCTGATGACGAAGATCTTCTTGCATTTGTGGCTAAAGGTCGGTCATTTTCTTCTTGAAAAAGTTAAAATTATACTGATTAACCTGCTTCGACAATTGGTTGTGTTATATTACAATTGGCTAGGTTGTAGTAAGAACCTCTGATTTTAGATTCCGCGCCGACAACCGATCAATGATTCTCAGGAAAGTTTGAAAGATTCTAATGATTCTCGTGTAGCTTGTGAAAGTTTTATCATGACATCAGACAATGTCAACCTTCGAAGGCCTTAATGTACATATCTCATAGCGCTATAATAATAAATGTTCTTGTTAGTGGAAGATGGGAGTTGTTTAGAATGTGTTTACAAGGTTGTCACATTCAGACCTAGAGGGTAGAGCTCTTCCGGCTTCTCTTTGTTTCTGGTCGATTGTGGCGCACCGATCTCAAAAGAGGAGCCGGCTGACTCCAATGAGTGGGGGGCGCGGTCATAAGCTAAAAAGTTTTAGTATGTAAGAGGATGTGTGTGCACAAAATGTGTCCACCAAAGGCCTTCTGTTGTCTCAATTCCGTTTTTTGTTTGAGATCTGTATACCTATTCGTGCTGTCTCTTCACGTCCCGCCAAAAGGTTAAAAGCCTTCAAGGAGAGGTCCTTCTCCCAAAACATTGTTTATGAGCTGTTACCCGAGTGATCCTCTCTGCCTAAACGAGCTGTTTCTTCTCGCCGACGTCTACCGACACCTTTATACTGTTATTAATGTTAATGAGGGGATTTGCTCGCTGGGCACGACAAGTGTTTTTGTAAGCAAAATGGGATTACAATTTAAATTAGGTCAGGTTATGTAGGTATAGCACTATATAAAACGAAGAGCAAGTTGTGAGTAGTACTACTCTACTAAAACATTCTATAAGAGTTAAGCTTACTTTTGCCAATTTAACAAGGGTTAACTCACCCAACCGTAGATTAAAAGGTCATCATCCATTACATTTGAAAGTGGTTTAATATATTTTGAACTCTTCTCTGATATCAATGCCGGCTAAAGTGGTGTATTCAGATTGTCCCGTTCCACTCGCTTAACCGGCTGCTTATGAATTCCGCGTATTTCCTATTCTGTTGCCAACTCTTCTAATTCCTGACTTTTAATTTCGCCCAATCCGGAACATTTGACGAATTAAAGTCCCGGATTCGCTGCCAGCCCAAACAATAAGACCGTGTAATTGAGTCTCTCATTCCCGTTCAACAGTACCCCGGGGACCGTGCAATGAGGTTTCGTACTTGAATAAGCCCAGTTACCGGATTCGGGTCTTGTTTTTTCTCCGTTTTAAGGGCTAATTAGTCTTTGCAATGGACCCCCTTATCTGTCCTTCCTTCCCCCAGAAAAGACAACTTTTGATTACTCCATTTTGCCACCTTCATTTAGCCATTTCAGCTCAAGACACGCGCTCCCAATGCTTTTATGTGGCCATCGCTCTCCGTCCTAGTGCTGGTTTTAAATGTGCCAGGTGAGGTTTTACTGGTGTGGTACTGTAAGGCTTGAAGGCCTGTATTAATCTGGTTAATTTTTAAAAAATTAAATTTTTATTGATGTAATAATAACAAGTTCAAAACTTTAAATCTATGCTAATCAACTAGGAATACTTATTTTTTGTACAAAGTTACTCCCCGATCGTACACTTTCGTGCAATTTCTCTTAACATGACAGGTAAAAACATGTATTTTGGAAAGCTTTACTAACATGCCACCGGCAATTAACTTTCAATGCGTACAAAATAGTACCACATTCTCAGTAAAATTGCCACCTTCCATTTGTAGTTATAGATGCTAACCTACATTTTCAGTGAAAGCATTATACTGCTTCGAAGGTACAAATTGTGAATTGTCAGCATGTGGAGAATGTGAAGGTATAGCCTGTGTGAGAGTACTACAATCCCCCGTCCGCGAGTCCTACAACACCTTCTTCGGCTCGATGAAGAACTTTATGGGTGGTGAAGGTAACGACTACTTTTCGTCACAAAACGTCGCCTTCACCTGTCTACCTGTGGGAACTCGGATGTACGACCTAGAACCAGAAGGCTGTCGTGTAGATGTACTCAATCAACGGAAAGCTTGCATATGCTACAACAACGACTACTGTAACAGCAGTTTTCGACCGCTCACTGTAATTTGGCTGACAACTTTCTTGGTATTGTACTATACTCTGGCGCTTTAATACTACTATAATCAGATATCTTCACAACAATACGGGTCATGTGCATTCTTGTACAATTTTTATACTTTTATTAGCAAAGAACCTATAAAGAACTGCCTTTACTTCCCGTGCACTTTGTCTTTGTGTTGTTTTACAAGAGTTTTGACATCTCGTCGATGTAAAATAGAATCTTTGGTCAGGGCTTCGATGGCGGCAGTCGCAACGGCTTCTTGACGTCGCTGTTGCAATGCTTCGCGATATTGCACTAAAACTTACCTTTATCATAAAATTACATTAGGACAATGTGAAACGTAAATAAAGCATAATAAAACAACTTTCATGCCAATTCTACGTTTGTAGACAAAACGTACTGTGTATTACTCTTTCTCAGTTGTAAATAAGAAAAAATATCAAAAATAAATTTTGAAAGCCATTTCTGAGAGAACAAAGAAAAGTAATAGAATTACACTTACTCGAATGTATTATGATGAGACCGCCCCAGGCAATCGACCAAAACCAGCCCACGAACAAGAAAGTTATCGTGAAGAACTGGCTGACCCCCACCATAAAGTTGATTATCAATGTCATAAGCTTGCGCCCTTCCTTGAAGTTAATCCTCGGCTGTCCCATACACAGGGCACTTAATCCACTCATGATAGTACCCATTCCGGGAAGGCAAATGTTCAGGAACAGACAGGTCAAGGCGACAGGGACAGGTAAGAAAGGAATGGCTTCATGCATTATCGTAATGTCATTTGTGGGAAGGTTGACCTTGTCGCCGTTCTTGTTATCCTTGGCATGTTGGTGAGCTTCTTCTTGAGCCGCGAGCACAATACCAGTTATGTGAAACGCAGTCTAAGAGCGTAATTGTTCTTGACGTAAAAGCCCATACGAATAATATAGCAAAAATAATACATGATTATGGCAACCAAAACAAAAATATGACTTAGTTTCGTTTTTCTGTTTTTACTTTTAAAAAACCAAGTTTACAATATTTAACTTTTAAGAATAACATATTCATTGATTCATATCCAACAAAAAAACCTACTTTGTTCTCCCTGACTTGCAAAATACCCTCGGACCGCCCGTACTCGATGATGCGCGGCACACACTTCTGTATCAACTTCCATCCTTTAGTCCGTTCCATTTATAACAGATATATACATAACAAAAACAGTAAAGCAAGAACACGAAAAATGAAAGAGCGGCACTTATTCACATCCGGAAGTTGACCATTTTCTTGTAATGTCCATGGACGCCTTCGACGCGAACCGCTCGGCCCTTTAAACCGGCTTCGATGCCTCCGGCGTCCATGATCATTGCGGGCTTCTCGTATGTGTTCAGTTGACAGTTACTCGACTGTAAATCAGCGTAACTCCACAATGCTGGATTTCTGAAATAAAAGTGTAATTTAATATTGTTTTAAAGTACGTTTAGTATTTTATCCCTAAAACACGTAACGGCGAGTAATTAAATTTAAAAATAACACATGATGCAAATGTACCTGCTTTTTCCTTGGTATGCCACAACAAACACATCACCGTCATTAAAATTTCCATTCACGTCAAACTCGACACCTTTACTATGTCTCACAAAGTAACCCACCTAAATTATAACCTTTAAAAATCATAAACGAAAAAATAAAATTCAAATCAAAATTAGGCTTACAATGACACACCAATGCGCCGACTTTCCATTACAAAAACCAGGCGAATTATCTTTATCAGCATCGTACGGAACAATGTATACTGTGTTGTTATCAAGCGAAGTTAACAATTTAAGTATTGGTGGTAGCACAGTTGTAGTTAACTGCAACTGTGGCATAAAGTGAGACAAAGAAGAAGTCATCCAGTCGACTAAAGAAAGATAACGTTAAGTCTTTCAACATATTCAATGCAACGAAGCAGAGCTTCATTATTGACTTGGAAAAGTCAAAAATTTAAATCAAATTCTAACAAATACCTGAAAAACATTCCCCGGAAGAGGTGTAGCCTTCAGACTTGTTATAATAGACAACTTCGTCAACCGTAAATGGTTCAGTTTCAAAAACCTTAGAAACTACTACTTGAGCAACTGGTCCACAAGTTGGTCCTTTTTGCACATTTATCGTGATTGGCTCCACTGTACTCAAAAAACCAGAAAAAGATTCTTCATCATTTATCGAGCGCAGGGCTTCTAGCCTGTATTTAAACAGGGTACCAAACGCTTCCATTAGAGTTTGTGCAATTCAACAGTAACAATACGAAAGAACTCTTAAGTTTTTTTGTGATCAAACTTTACAACAATAAACTATTATAGATACTACATATTTTAGGATAAGATATGTAAAAGATCGGAAGAATCCGACTTGATCTGACTTTTTTCACGAAATTTCGACCGAACATTTTTAGTTTCATTAGGTTCTGAAATGAGAATATCTTTGGCATAATGTAATAATATAAATATTTTTTTTGGAAAAAATGTTGAATAATTTTACTTTCTTTTTTTTGAAAGTTGGGGAATGTTCAAGCTATTTCATAAACCTCGAATACCTTCAACATCGTTTTCTAAACGGTTTTACACTGTTTTAGGAATAGAGACTAGGTAGGCATTCCTAAAATTTTTAATACTATGTTTAGTTGTGATGATACCTGTGCCGCTATAGTAGACAGTGAAAGAGGAATATTAGCAGCCAGGCGAGATCAGAATTGGACATCTCAACTGAAGATCGGCGGAATTTCACCATTTTTGGCTGCCCAACATCACAGAAAGATGATTGACTTTCAAGTACACACGGTTATCAACAAAGCTGGGATCAGGTATAAGGATTTGGATGGAGTAGCAGTATCAACTGAACCTGGTCTTGTCATTTGCCTAAAAGTTGGAGTGGACAAAGCATTGGCTGTTTGTAGGTACAATTTTTTTTAACGTGTAATTTACAAACAAAATCGCTAAAAGTTCTTGAAGAATCGTAATATAAATGTCATCCATTGTTTTCAGAGATCATAGTCTTTCGTTTATACCTGTCCACCACATGAAAGCTCATGCTTTAAGCGCTCGTTTCAACAATGATATCGAGTTTCCATTCGTAGCTTTGTTGATTTCTGGAGGACATTCTATAATAGCTTTGGTGAACGATCCAGAGAATTTCCAGATTATTGGCCAAGCTATATCATCTTCTAGTCCTGGGGAGGCTATTGATAAAGTTGCCAGAATTTTAGGACTACCAGCTACACCACATTACGGAGCTCAAGTAGAAAAATTGGCCGAGAAGTAAGTAAGGAGATTACTTAGCCATTGTATTTTAGGTCAGATAAAGTCATAAGGTATGTCACAAGGTTGCCACATACGAGTGGAGCAGACATGGATTTTGTTACCTTAAGGGAATTGTTTTTGACGGCATTAAGGAGAGAAAAAGATTTGGAAATCAATGATTTTTGCCGTAACTTACAAGTGAGTTAAGTTTTTTAAAGTTGACAGGTATAGGTTTTTTTATGTACTAAATTCAACATTAATAATGAGATGTTGTAGCACATGGTTACATCTCACCTATGCCAAAAGCTAGACGTTGCCTTATCATTTATCAATTCCAAATCGCTAGTTACTCACAAGAACAAGTCGTTGGTAGTGGCGGGTGGAGTATCAGCAAACAAGTACATTAGAGACTGTGTAGCCAATGTGGCTTCCCATTACGGATACAGAATTAAAGTGCCATTGCCACAAATGATAACCGACAACGCTGAGATGATTGCATGGACGGGTATTGAACTTCTTAATAAAAGGTAGCTTTCAATTATTTTAAATTTAAAAATGTTATAATCGTTTAATTACAAAAAACTATGTTTTATGTCGTCTACAATAATTGGATCTACAAGTTTGCCACTCAGTTACTACGTCTCTGACAAATCACCCGTAGGAGACGATATCAGCCAACAAGTAAGAGAGTACAAATATGACCAAAGGCTTATATCATCCTCAATCACAAGTAACAATATATTATATAGGACAATAAAATCAAGTTAGGTTAGAACTGGATTAGATCTTCTTCCTCATCTGGAGTATACTCAGGGTCGCCGGTCGGTTCTTGGTCAAGTTCCAAAGAATCGTCGATTAATGACAGGGAAGGGACCGGTTCGTCTGGTTCTGATTGGTTGGCTGTCATCTGCTCTATTATATGTTGTCCACCGTCAACCACTTGCAATTTGTACGCTCTCAAGGGATAGCTGGAACCACTGAGGTTCTTACAAGCAGTGTAGTAAAACAGAATCTGTTCTGACGGTATGTTCATCTGTAAATTATTATAAAAACTGTAATGCATACTTACGTAGTCTTTGTGTTTGTTTTTGGGTACCAAAGCTAGTGGGTAAATGACATCCTGAGCCGGCTCGTCAATGGATCTCAGCAAGATTGATGAATTCGACGCTCTGACAAACTTCGCATATCCATTATACGTGATACTCAGATTCTCGGCGCTAAGGGCGAGGAAGGTAATTGAAACTCCGAACGCCAGAAACTGGTTCTTCATCCATTGAGGAGCTGCGGATACTCGACCTTCAAGAGTTCGGCCAGGAATGACGACTTTGTGAAACTCTTTCAGCTAAAAAATTTTGTTAGGATAGTGACTACAAGTAACGTACGATAAATAAAACATCTTAGATAATATAACAAAGAAGTTACCTGAGATTCTTTGTCTCCTTGACTCATCACTTGTCTAGAATTGCTGAGAATCGTTTTGTCGACTACAGGATTGGTGAAAAGATGTGGATGAACACACACCAACTGTCCCTTACTAGTCATTGCAACAGCAACATTAGTATTTCTCACACCAGTCGAAATTGTTACCATTTGAGTCAGGGAAGAATTGGTCTCATAATCCACTGAAAAGGTATTGGAAATAGATTCAAGTATAATTAGATATAAAGTGAAACAAAAAATTGGTAAAAACCGGTAAAAATTAGTTTATGCGGCCAAAAACTACAATCTTCAATTAAAATTACCTGGCTGAAGATACTTTATCTTGAAAATGGTGCTGCTAGGAGTGTCACCAGCAAACGGTTTGTCGAATAATACCTGAAAAAGTGAAAAAATGAAAAATCTGAACCTACATTCATTCCAACTTGAAAGAACTCATCTAAAGCTCCCAACTCTGATATTTTGATTTCCCCCAAGTAGCTCCACGACCCGAACGTAAAAAGAACATCATCGTGCAAAAAGTTATCTTTAGATACAATAAATCCGTAATTGGGTCCTAAATAAGAAACCACGCCTTCCATCATTTTAGCTGTCAAAAGGAAAACTAATAAAAATAAATATTGACACAAATATTTAGAAAATTGTTAGCAAATGGTTGCAATTTGCATAAATTTATTTGCATGATATCTTTTGTAAAATAATAACATTGAGATCAATTAGCATAAAGCTAGGCCTCGGGTTCACTTTGATTTTTGCATTCATCCATGAATGACAACACCAGCATTTTTAGAAAGCAGAACAACGTAAAGCTATGTTAGGCGATGATTGATGAAGATGGACAAACCACTGAAAAGATCTTGGCAATAGAAATTACAGATAATTTTTGAAATTTCTTTAAAAATGTGTCAAAACGACAGGTTTAACGGAAAACTAGTCATAATGATTAATTATATAGATTTTTTAAAAATGCTGTCAACACGATCTGTTTCTTAGAAATTCAACGAATGCTGACAGATTTTTTGGAGACCGAAAACAAAAACTGTTTTTTCCGGACAATTCTTTGTTTCAAAGTTTAACAATTGTAAAAGTTTTCCAAAAGTAAGTTCATAAACTAAAATATAATAAATAATTGAAAAAAAATAACTTTTGATTAAAAACAATTTTAGTTACCTGTCAAGATGTAATCCGTAAGCAATGTGGGGACCTGAGGTTTATTCTCATTGATGGCTTCCAGAATCTTGATCAAGGATTCTAAAGTTGGAAGAGCTGGAAATCGCTGAGTGTCGTCAAATGGAATCGACGCTGTCACGAACTAAAGTATGTTTTCTTATTTTACGTTGTCCTTTTTATAAGGGTTGTGTTAATGTAGTAAAACATCAATATGAGTGGTTAACCTTAGTTAGCTTACCTGAGGCAGTGTTGATGTGTCGGTTATCTTTTTCTTTTTCCTTTCACTTAAGAACTTCCTTCTTTGATCCTGAATCCCCACTAACAATGTGATGAATTTGTTTTTGACTTCATTTTCGTATTCCAGTTCGTCCCTTCGGGCTAGTTCAGAGACCAATTCAGAGTTATGAGTTATTATAAGGTCCTCCATCTCTGTGCTTAGGGCTAGTAGTTTACTTTGAGACATTTGAGTTAGATCTGAAAAAAGTTTTTTGTGTTTGTTTAAGCTTTAGTATTGAATTAATTTTTTGTTTTGAAAGATTTCAGAGCTCCATAGTAATGATACTGTACATCTATTAATTTTAATAATGCCGTGCTATTCTTCCTTGTTTTTTTTATTTTTAATTGATCTCTTTATAAACTGGAATGTTTACAGCGCCAAGATTTTAAAAAAAGTTCTGGTGGAGAACAGTTGATCATAAAAATGTCAAATTTTGAAGAGGATCAATCAAAAATGTTGTCATCTTACCTTCTTTTGAAAAACTGAGGGCTTCGATATGTTTTTGTTTCAATTCACTTTCGACTTGAAGGGAAATGAACGGAGATCGCATTGATGAATACATACTGTCCACACTTTCCGTCTTGTCTGTTGTTATCGACCTCATCAAGTCACAAGTCTGAAACATGGTTGATAAACATAAAAAAACATAGGAAACAGGGTAAAAATATAACAATTATTTCAAAAATGTCATAGTTAACATTTATGGTTATTTAAATATGCATACCTGCATCATCTCTTCGATTTCTTCTATGACTTGGTCAGCAGCTGGCATGTGATCGCTGTTTAGACTATTATTATCAGGGATGATTTGGTGTAGATCCATCGATTGCCTTAGGTCTTCTTCGTCTAGGCTTTCTTCCTCGCTACAATGGGCCCCTTCATCTGACTAAAAGGAAAGTTTAGTTTGGACTGATAAACATTATTTAATAAGAAGCCTTTAGAGGAAAAACATATGTTTGAAACGCTGCAAACAGGATTTCTTACCGCTTTAGGTGTGTCCAAAGATAGCACGTCCACTTCTTGTTTCCTAATTTGACTTTTGTTAAAGTCCAATGGCAGAATGTTGCCGTAGTTTCCGGTTAACGTCCACCAAACCTGGCTTTCCGACATAATCTCATCTTGTGTACGAATCTGAACGGGCGCCATTTGGTTGGTGTTTTCGTTGAGGTCTTTGAGAACGTTGTTAATTTTCTGGTCGAAATGTTCTACCAAGTCTTCCAAAGAGACTGATAAATGCTCCCCCAGGCCGTTATTCGAGCCGGACAGCTGATCGCCGCTTCTTAAAGATACAATTTATTGAGTGTGCCAAAACAAGATAGAAAATGCGAACGTTTTATTTGCTTCTGAAGTCTTATTTGGCTCGCACGCTATCGGGATAATCTATTATACAAATAAAAAATATCAAACTGTTTTTTACTTTAAAACCTACGTCAAAAAACGTTAAAAAAATCAATGCGGTTTTCAGTCGAAAAAGATGTTGATTTTGTGACCTTAACATTGCGCGCAAAGGTCGAAAACGAAAAACGCATATCTTCATAATTATGTATGCAGAAATTTACAGCTTGTTTACTTCTTCAATGTCCGTAAATTCTGCAAAAAGTCATAGATTCCGGAAAGTTTGCCGTTTATGTTCGAAAAGCTTTGAACAAAAAGTAAAGCATTGATGTTTTCGAAAGACTGAAAACCAAAACAGTAAAAGTGGGGTTTAATCATGCGCTTTACACAACCGCTGCCACTTACTTTGTATTGAACGACGAGTTGGACTCGGCATCGTCCTCGATCTGTGCCAACGGAACGTCGGGGACTGACAGATCACCCGAATCCTCCATAATTCCCATTCCAAACCGATAGATGGCGTCGAGCGTTTACATAAAACGGAACTCAACTTTATTGGGTTTGGTGTAAAATGTTTGACAGTCAAGTGGGGCCAAGTGAAAGAACTAAACGTTGGTAAGCGTAGAGAGTTAAAGAATATTTCGAGGCCTTACTGGCCCCGTTTCCCCGACCAGTATGCTGTACGCGATTGAGGGAGAAGACGGACGGAGAAAAAGACGAAAAGAAGAAACTGAGCCGGCACTCACAAAAGAAGCCGTTTGCTCGTCTCCGCGCTCCGGATTCGGGCTGGTCCTGGTCCCGAAATGCTTGTTCTTTGCAACGATTTGGGAGTGCGGGAATAAACACGGGAAACGCGGGTGGAAGACAATGATGAAACGGACCGATCTACTGCTTGGCCACAAAAAACGCGCCTCCGATACCGCTTTAGGCATCGTCCAGCTGAGCCTTCCCTTCGTCTTTTGTCTCGAGATGCGGGTTGATAAGGCGAGGCGAATAATTGCCTTTTGGTTAGATTAAACCCCGAGATATAAAACGAGCATACAGGTCAGCAATCCATGTGCTTGCTCAAGCGTTTCGTCAGACGCCGTATGTTCGTATCGGAAAAGGGAATTGAAGTCATTTCACTTATTTATCCCAACTTACGTATAACCCCCAAGCTTTATGGAATCGTTCCTTTAGCTTAAAAAAGGGAAATTACTGATTGCGAACAAAAAGCAACAGATTGTTCGTGGTTTAAAAGAATAATACCTGTGATAGATTTGTTTGGACGAGAATTTAAGTGACAGCCGTACTTCTATTAACATCCCACACGGGTATTGTCAAATCGGAGGGAAAGAGGTGCTTTGCGAAAAGAGTAACAAACAATGTTTAATACAGTTATTAGAGTTCAGTGAAAATGAGATTACTCGAGATACAGGAATCATGGCTGTCGTCGCACGAGAGACCCGTCATGTAACGTGGAAACTAAGCCGTTTTCATGTGAATGTGTGATGGGACAGGAACTGTCATCGTACGATCGGCATTGACGGGATTGATAAGATCGTCCCACACAACCTAAAGCTTAATTTCAGCATAAAACGTTGTAATTACCTCCTGAATAAACGCCGTAATTACATGTTCTCGTTCGCATTTGCTTGCCACATAAACAGTTGCCCCATTCTCCCCAATTGCTCCACGAGGCTTCTAAAATTTAATTTTTAGTAAAATTTTGTTTAAATCATATTTTATTAAATATGATTACTGACCCCTTTGGTTCTGCACCACCACTTCGACCGAGCTGTCTAACATCTCTGGTTGATTTAATCGAGGCGCCGTTAATGGAATTAAGCTTAATTCTGTAGCCTTTTTAGTGTTAAATGTCGGCCTTTCGGATTCAAATTCTTCTTGTTCCAGCTCTTTTAGTTCATACTCGACTTTATCCATGGTTGATTTCAGTCGAATCAGTTCTTGTTGGAGTAGTTTGTCATTACCAAAGCCATCTTCGTGGTCGTTGTCGATCAACGGAGTTGGTATCTTATGAATACGAGAAGCAAACGACTTCTGTGGTTCTAGTGGTGGAGTGGTTAGCGTCTTTATGATTTCTCCTGAATGCAAAACGTTTGAATCCAGATTCATTTGGTGCACTTTCTTTGAGTTTTCCGTTTTTGCTGCGTTTGTCATGTTGTTTAACATCCATTCCAGAGCTTTGAAGGTGTCAGCATTTAGAATCTAAAAGTTATACATAATGTTCACGGCATCTTACATTACTGTTTTGTGTAGTAGCTTCGGTAACACGAACTGTTGTTGTTGTAGGGTTTGAAGTTGGAACCACGCTAGTGTCTTCTTGGATTACTACTGTGTTTACTGGACTAACTGGGATGGAGATTTTGGAGTGGCCAGGTTGTTTTCTAAATTTTCTATTAATCAACTTGTGTTACTTACACTTCAATGTTCTCTTCATTTATGTCTCCGACAGGTGCTTCGTGAATCGAAGCAACGCCGGCAACTGGCGCAGTTGCTTCAGCTGCGATTTCTGTGGTCTTTGATGGGGGTTCTTTGAAATGTTGGTCTACAGTAGATATAAGCTTGATATTGGAAGCAACTTCAGCGGAATGTACGGTAGATGGCTCTAATGCTACAGTTTGGGTGAGTTGTTCAGTTTGGGCGGTGGTTGCTCCTGTTGTGGGATATGTTTGTTCTACCGTAGTAGGAAGGGAGGACGTTGGTTCTCTTTGTGTTGTTTCAATCTGCGGAGATGTAGATGAAGGTGCAAAATTAGTTGTCAAAGTGGTACGGCTTTGCGGGGCAACTTTAGTTATCTTTTCTTTTCCGTAAAGCTTTTCTGGAGTCATGCCTATAAGATTATATAATTTTAGAACATAATATAGATTAAAACATATTGTAGCCAAAATAATTAGAAAAAGTGGCATACTTGGAGCTTGAGATGGTTCAACTGAAGCTTCTGGCCGTTCTAACCGCGAAGGGCCTTGGGGCGTTAACACTTTAGCTGTCTTTTCTCCAAGTAGTTTCAGTTCTTGTTGAGGCTTCTGATTCTTTAGTTCAGGAACTTCGTAGTCAGAATATTGACCAAGTTGTTTTAAGGCTTCTTTTCTGTCGTCATCGTATGGGTCGATTGTGTCATAGTCTGGCCGCCCAGTATGTACCGGTCTTCTAGGGAGCTGATTACCAGGCTGGGGTAGTGGCTGAGGACGGCTTGGGTTTTCGCAGTCTTTTGTTTCCTAAAAATGACAATGTTTAACAATACTCCCTTATTTTATGTTTTTTAGGATTAATTAAAAAGAAGAATTAGATTTTTAAAATTAGGTTTACCCGATTTGCTCCAAGGCAACTGAATCCTCTGACAGTATTGCATGCTCGTACTCTTACTTGTACGCCGTTAGCACAGAATGACCAGGCTGACCAGCTGGCCCACACGGATGCGTACACTAAAACACTTATTATTTTATCTAAAAAGCTTACTGAAGTTGGCATTGGCGGGAAACGGTCGAGGAGTTCTGTATCCTTGAAACTGGTGCAGAATCCCGGTCGGTGTGTGTTGGGGTTCAAGGGTGGTGTCGGTTCTGACTAAAAAGGGGTTATTCAGGATTGGGAAACCGACCGTACGGAATCAGGTGGCATAAGTAAACAACTGTTAATTTCCATAACATAGTAGAACACAATCAATGAAACTTTCGATGTCACTCTGATGGCGGGTTTTTTATCAAGGATTTCTCTTCTTCCAAGTTAAGGTTGATTCCGATTTAAGGAATTCCAGAAAGCGTCGATGATTGTGGTTGTAGTTATCGTCACACAAATGTGGGTCACTCTCGAACGAAAAGAAGTTTCGGCATTCAGCCGTTTTGAAAACGTTGATTTGCAAAAACTTTTGATTTCGTTTGTTGCTACAAGTTGCTCTTGTTTCTTTAAATCTATAGCTTGCACTCTTAGAAGTGCCTTAGTTCAAAGTTTTAACAATTTTTATGTTTTTATTGGTATGTTACGAAACATAAAAATTTATAGATTTATCAACGTGATATATTTCAACATAATTAACTTAAATCCTGGCAGTAGGTATCTCTTTGGAAGATTTGCTTGTATTGTTCAACAACGGAGTTTGTTGTTCGTACGTGAAACCCGAGTTTTTGCCGCTCACTAGTACTCTTCGAGGAGGATGTGCAGGTTGTTGTTGTTTCACCTAGAATAACAAGTTAAACTAAATACATGTTTTGTTGACTTACAACTTGATCAGCACTTAGTACCACTCTTCGCTTCTTCGGCATCTTCGATCGTGCCTGAGTGTGAGAGTAGAACATGGCAAAGTTGGATACGATGACTGGTACTGGCAAGGCAATTGTAAGTACACCAGCTAACGCACACAAAGAACCGACCAGTCGGCCCAAAAATGTATGCGGTGTCATATCACCGTAGCCAATCTGTAAAATTTGTTATCTTTGGTAAATGAAGCTACAGGCCTATATTGTCTTACTGGGAATTCATTCAAAATTTTATTCCAATGATTTTTTACTTACTGTAGTCATTGTTACTATGGCATACCAAGTTGCCAACGGTATACTTTGAAACTGATTATCTGGATTTACTTCCACTCGTTCGGCATAATAAACCAAAGCCGCGAAAACAACGACACCCAGCACCAAAAAGAAGACCAACAACATTAATTCTTTTGCACTAGCTCTGAAAGAATAAAGTTCACAGTAAATGTGTTAAAAATATGACACAGTAAAGCTATAGTTTTATTCTTTTGGACTACTATTATGGTAGAAAAGTAAATAGAATTTAATTAATTTTTGTTTACAAAAGTTGGTAGGCATAAAACGTTTAAAAATATTTTGTCCAAATTAGTTCTTCGTTAAAAATGAGCAATAAATTGGTCAAAAACTAAGTAGAAACCAGAACAAATGTAAAAAATTTAAAAAAACTTCTGTTTTTGGGCTATGACGATATCTGAACAGCTAAAAAATGAAAATTACCGGAAGGTGTGTAACAATATCTTCAAGCCCTGCGAATGTTGTGTCAGTTTGAAGAGCCGCATAATTCGAATAATAGAAAAGAATTCCAAATCTGCCGTAGCACCGAATGAGGTTGTCAAGAACAAGTCAATGTAAAACGTTAAAGTCGCAATAATGTCGATGATATTCACTGGAGCTTTGAAGTATTTTATCTTTGAAGGACAACATATGAACCTGTAAACCATTTTTGTTATTTTTGTATTTGAAAAATAAAAGTACTACTGAGTAACACAAAAGTTATATATTCTACAAAATTTTAAAATTTCAAATGTAAACCTACCGTATTATTATTTCGATTGTGAACCATACATTACAAACCGTTTCTATCACTGTAAAACTAGGGTGGGTCTTGGAGTTGGTTTTGTCGACTCCAATCGTTTGGGTTTGATACTTGTAGAAGGTGTGGTGATTATGTGCATTCGAGTGTCGCGAGTCCGACTCGTGTGCCACGGGAATGGTGGCGTTCACGGTGCCGACGTTCTCGATTTCGTAGACCCGTAGCCCGGGATGGGTTTTGAGGCAGAAGACCAGTATTGCGATAATTAGGAAGAAGACGGATATCACTGCCACTATCTTCAAATAACTCAATTAGGCTCAAGTCATAACTCACTTTGGCGCCTTGGGAGGAACTCGGCTCGTCGAAGAGTCGCCACAGTTTGGGTTTGAGCTTCTGCCAGGCGCTGAGGCTTTGGTTGTGGTAGTCGTCCTCCCACCCGAAGCGACGGTACAACTCTTCCTGGAAATTAATAAATGATGAGCTCATTAATTATTTGTGTTATGAATAGGATATTTTGTTTACCTGATTGTTTAATGCTTCATCGTCTATGTCGAGCTTATCTAGTGTCTGGAGTACTTCTTGTGTGTCGCGGTGCTGTGTGTATGTCATCCAGCAGCACGGTTCCACCTCATTGGCATCGAGGCCCCAATATTTTAATTCTTCCTCGAATAATGGACCACAAACGTCTGAATATTTCATAAATTATAGAAAAATCGCAGCATACCTAATGGATAATGTAGTTTTCCTGTGCGATAATAATTTAAGATTTGAGCAAATACACCGGGATGTCTGAAAACAATCGTTGCGATTTGTAATAGAGAGCTTACCGGTCGAAAAAGTATTCGTTTAGTACTGGATCATAGTTGGCTAAATTTGGAGTCAACCTAAAATGGCGAGATCCATAAGTTAAGATTAAAGAGTACAGCCAATCGATTGAAAAGAAATTTGAAAAAAAATAAAAAAATATTTTATAAAATACGGTAGCTTTTGTCAAAAAACTAAATTAAAATTTTCTTTGCCAACAACACTATAAGTGAAACACATACCTTGACAGTCGAGTCGCTGGTATCTTCTTTAGCGTATGTTTGTATGTTTCGTGCCGTACTCCGCCAACATTGAGTATGATTCGGTACTCGCTGTCCATCAGCGAACTTCTGAAATTATTTACGTTTTGGAGTTACTCTTTGTTTTTGACGAATTTATACTGGTTAGTGGGGGCCGAAGAAGCCAAATTAAAACAAATTCAAAATCTTGGGAAGAACCGGAGTTAAGCTTGAGAGTGTAAAACGTAATAGCAAACTTGCAAAAGTAGATTACAATATTAATGTAGACACGAATTAATGAGTAAAACCTAAAAATACAGCTCATTAATGGTTAAAAATTTTGTACCTTAACAGCTAAACCCTTGTTTCCCAAGTTCGACTTCCCTTTAGAAGCGTTAACATCACAAAACAAAAGTATATAATAACAGGCTTCCAGCGCATACATTAATATTTATATTATACTTGATGTACGTGTATAATTTTTGATACTATCATGTACATTATTAACGACCAGACCACTTTTTTCAAATATAAAAGGTGGTCACCCAGTTTGATGCGAAAGTAATGGCACAAGGCAATGTATAAAAATGCATTGTATAGTGAAAGGAGCGGAGGCAAGTGAATGTTTAAAAGTATGATACAAATGATGAGAAAAGACATGTTCTCGCCCAGAATATTAATAATAAGAAAATGTCATGAAAAGGCATTTTTAAACCAGTGCTGTCCGTCTTCACGGTGTGCAAGTCGCAATAATAAGTGGAACTTGAACACACTAATTATAGGCCGCGGTTTTAATAAAGTCACCGAACTCGAGTGTCGGCTATAATAACTTTGACATGACATCTTGTTAATCAACAATGTGGCAAGCCAAAACAACTCCCAAAGCGGGCTAAACCTTGCTCATGTTACCAGTAAAGGTCAAACGAAATTTTGGAAAAATTCCTACTGCTAGGGTGTAATGAGGTGTAAACCCAAGTTTTCGAAAAGCGGAAAGTGTTGGACCAACGAGCCCAGGGTACGCAAACACTCATAAAACTGATAAGTCCAAAAGTATTTTCACCAAGAGCGTGCTTGGTCTGACCTGTGCCCAAGTGGTCTGCGCTCCGGGAGTTATGCAAACCTTGACATCCGCCTGGTCAGAAATGTCTTCGGAAGACATGGCTTATGTTTTGGCAGGGACGGAAAGTTGGGTTGCGCGCCGGAAGGTGATAATCATGCTGGTGGCATTTGGTGGCCCGTATGTTTAGCACGTATCAAGTCTGAAAAAGGGCTGTGTTGCTTTTGTTCAGAACCCCTTTTATGCGCAGTGTTGAGTGCTGTCGTTCCCTCAAATTTAATTAACACGCGCGGAATTTTTAAAGTCAAGTTCAGAGTCATAAAATATTCCGATGATGCTTTGTTGACGGTCAGCCGGAAGAATGTCATTAAAACTTTTTGTCATCATAGCTGCATGCCGGTCCGGCACCGAAAAGAAACACTCATCTTTCCTAAACGGCTTACTTTTCAAACAAAAAACGGCCGAAAGCGCTCTGTCGTCAAGAGAGCCAGGTAAACGAGTAAAAATGTTGGTTGCGAGGCGCAAAGATGTCGCGGATTAAGTTGGGATGTCACTCTCTGGATGCAATACTACGGAATGCGTGCGAAAACCGGCAGAGAAAGAAAAGCCGGAAAATGCCCTTCTCATTAACTATTTATTTTCAACCAATTGGCCCTATATTTATTTGTTCAATGGAACCACGCGAAGAGCCGAGGTTAATTCGATACTTGTTAACGCCCGGCTTTCGGGTAACGGATTGGTTTGGCAGCACGATAAGACTGTAGTCTAATGGGCGCTACAAAACGGCACGATATGTTTACTAAAAGCGGCCGGATTAATTAAAACTTGTACTCTTGAAGGGAAAACAAAGAGAATGTCAAAATATTATAAAAGATGAATGCTAAACCTACCTTTCCTCAAAGTCGCTCGAAGAACGCATTGAGCGGACTCTCTGCAGCGGGCTTGGCCCCGGGGTTGGTGCCGCGTCTAGATCCACAGTTTCGATGAGTGATTTGATTTTTAACTCTTTGACAGACATGCTTTTCGGCTTGCGGAAGGTGCTGTTTTTACCAACGGAGAAGTCCTTCATGGATGACGCCATAGTTCAAGCCCTTAAACAGTAATTTAAGCGACCATTGTTTAAACAAGCTGAAATAGCATGACCAAAACCGGTTTTAGTCGCAATTGCCCTTAAGCGGTATAAAAAGCCGTAGACGGACAGGTAATTTAGTACGCCCGTAGCTCGCAAGGATGGCCGATGACTCGGGAAGAGCGATGAAGCATAAAGCCGGTGACAATTCCTGTGGCGACTTGGACGACTTTAAGCGCAGTTAAAGAAAAACTATCGGGGAAATGAGGCTGGATTCTATTAAGGTCAGGAGACAATCTCTTTGGCACTGCTAAACTTCACACAACGTTGTTTTTACTGACGCGAAGAATCCTATTTACACGCCGAAAATTGAACATTCTTCCTTTTCTTTCCTAACCAAACGCATTGTAACTACCAACACACGTATTATATAACAATATGTGTTTGACGGGTCATCCAGGAAAGTACAGCATTTTTCCCACAGTGGCGTGGAAAACTGTTTCCAGGTTCTCAGTCAAGAAGTTTACAGCACAGTAACTAAAGTTTATTACATGTTTCGTATAGTTTATTATGTTACACTACATATTACAATTGATTAATTGTTCGTAACTTTACACGCCATTGTTAGTTTCTTATCCCAGAATCTCTTTTTCAATCACCAATGGATCGTCGGCTACGGGAACCGCTTGCTGGGTCGAGAAGCAGGTCTGACTCTGTCTGGCGAGTCCCTTAATTAAGTGATATGTCATTTGAATCTTCACTTACTTGGCAACCGGCTCCATTGCACTGCCTGACTCTGTTGCGTTCTCCTCTGGAGCAAGGGCTCCATTTGCCCCAATCGCTCCAAACTCCTTGCTTTTCAGAAGTAGGCTCCGCTGACTGTTCTACGATCTCACCGGGCTTTAAAAACTTTGTTTCGGTCGGTAATTCGGCCATAACTTCGATCTGCTGCGGTTTTGTTTGGAATTGTTTTGAGGCATGGATCTTGGCTCCTAAAGTTGTTGTAATACTTTATTCTGTCATAATGTAGTACACTATAATAAAATAAGAAAGAAGTCTATTTATAAATAAAAATGAGACAGTTTTGTGCAATAATACTCTGTAATTGCGTTTTTATGGGAAATCCAAAACTTATAATAACCTTGGACTGAAAATAGTATAACATGCCTTTTTTAATACAAATAAACGCTTGTCTAACTTACTGTCAACTCTGTTGAATGCCTGTGTTAGTGGATGGTAGTTTTCGAGAAGAGTAAACTGAGCACGATCTCCTGGTCCAACCATAAAGTTTCCATCGCCATTTTGGTTAATCTGGACGTCAAGTGGCCTCGCAGACACCAATACTAAAATAAGTACATATTTTTGCACATATACATTAAAAAAATAAGTTCATACAAAAACATTTTTAAAAATTTAAAAACGGTTTAAGATAAGAAAATTGAAAGTACAGTATAACTTAAAATCACTTACAAAGGACGGACAAATAACAAAAGAGAGCAAACATTTGACTGGTGTTCCGATCAAATCCTTTTAGAGTAATAATAACGTTTAGAGCCACCCGAACCGGAGCCGCGAATGATCGCCATCAATCTTGAGATGCGATCCGCCAGCGATAAGACAATATATTCAATAATAAACGATTTCAATAAATTTAATCACGTTGATAATTGATTAACCTCCAATGTTTTATGCTAGCCAGCGGCCACAAAGACTTGAAAACATCTGATAAACATCAATCTTCAACTGGCTTAATAGTTTTGAAAGGAACGTCTGTCAGGAAAACATTTACGCTATACCATACATACCACATACAAAAAAGACATTACAGTGTAACTTAAAAACCGAAAAATAAAATTTGAAATTTGGCAAACACAAAAAACGTGATTTTTTAGTTTCAAAATATGGTTTAAATACTAAAAACTAAACGATACAAGCATAACAATTTGCATAAGCAGCTACATTAACTTTGTCACATTACCAGAACCGAAACATAAGGCCGCGTTTTTGTTTAAATTAATGTTTCTAAAAATAATGAAGAAACAACTTGTATGTATAAAGAATGATGAAAGAAAATCAAGGAGTAGGCGAGAGAAGCATGAGTGACATAACACTGGCACTCTCTCCTCTCCCTGATCCAGATTAAAACCATAGGGGCTCGAGGGCCGGCCGGTTTGTGCCTACGAAAAGCCGACTGCGCCTGAACGAGTGCAACGGCCTCTTACACAACTTGGATTTTAAATTTTTTGCCCTTTGGCATAACCAAAAAACACATTTGATTTCCCTCATTCCGCGTTTTATAGACATTTAATTTCAGTGATAAGCGCGCGCAATAGGGCTGGCCAGCATGGCCGACCCTGTTGATGACAAAAGCCAGGCCACCGAATCTGTCACCGAAGATTCGAGTAGCTTGAGCCGAATCGTGGAAGTTCGACTACCAGATTCTAACGATGAATCCGACGATCAAGTTCGACGACCATTCAGTGCAAGTCCGATTGGTTCGAGTCGTCGATCGCCGTATTTTATGATCCATTCTCCCGTTTCGGCTTATGAAACGAGTAAGTTTACTTAAATTTCAAAAGTATAAACTATTTTTAATTATTTTATTATTATAAAAATTATAACACATATTATATAATTGATTTTCAGATCAGGAAAGAACGCTGCAACGCACAGACAGTGCTAGCACGATATCAGAAACCCATTTGCTACATAAAGAAGGAGCACAGGACAACTTCTTCACAGAAGAGCATTGGAGTTCAGAAATCAAGTCTTTCGTGACATCCTCCCCGCCAAAGTTCGCACAAGTACTAAAGGCCTATCGAGTATTAGCGACGGATCGCCTGACTTTTGTGGTAGAAGTCAGCAGCGACCCGCCAGCCATATTCGACTGGTTTTGCAACGACCAATCCGTGTCGATCGACCGGCGGAGATTCACCGTGCGACACGCTGTCAACGCCACTACACTCACTGTCGATGGCCCCGAACAGGGAGTGTACAGCTGTTCAGCGAGAAACCCAGCCGGTGTTTCTAAAACTTATGGGTTTGTTACAGTAGCCGGTAAGTAACGTAAATGGTTTAAGGTAAAGAAATATTATAGAATCCGTTTTTATATCAAAAATTAATGACAAATTCAGATCCAACCGCTCATCGTGAATCATTACTCGACTTTGCATCGTCTGATGAAGCAGCGCGAGTATTCAAAGAAAAACTACATAACCAAACATCCGAGCAACAAGCAACCTTACGAAAACCACCAAAATTCACGAATCAGATACCTAACTTGACATTAAAACCCGGCAATGAAGCTATTATCGATGTAGAAGTCGACAGTCAGTCATGGACAAAGTATGTTTTTAACATTAGTAAGATTAACGCTAAGAAATCACATTATTGTTGAGATTTAGGTTCATGTGGTACGTCAATGGAAAGCTAGTTCAACCGGACAACTCCAACGTCGAGTTCTTTTCTCCTAAACCTAACCGATGTGTAGCCTTGTTTAAAATACCGTTTTCTGGAGAATACTCTGTTGTAGCGCAAAACGAAGCTGGCATAGCCAAGAGCAGTGGCTACGTCGAAATTTCGAAAGGTTTGACATTTTAAAATAGTTTATACCGATTGAGAATTTTATTTTTTAATGTCATTATACAATTGACACGTTTTAATTAACTAAAAATATTACGTTTCAGATGCAACAATGGTGCCTCACTCTCATCTCTTAAGATCAAGAGGAAAGGCGGCCTTGCCTGGAGGCAGCAGTCCACGCAGGTCGGCCTCGATCACCAAGACTACAGTTCACAGCGTTACCTATGTTTCGAGGTGCAACAGTCTACCGAGGAACGAACCAATCGACGAAACTCCAGAAGCCCGATTGAGTAGACAGTCGATGACTCCAGAGAAAACAGGCCCACAGATGGGAATCAGCGTCTACGCTCCGAAGTTCGTGCCGGAGTTGCCGTCACAACTGTTCCAGGCTAAAGATGAGAAAATGGTGATAACAGCACATGTACTGGCACAACCCACGGCAGAATTCTACTGGAACTACAACGGAAAACCCGCAATAAACTCTGATACCGTAAAAGTCACACACGAAGACAACCAATCAACGTTGACGATAGAACCACCAGTACTATTTGGCACGTTCGATGTCATTGCGACAAATGTTGCGGGTTCAGCCATGAACCAAATAATAGTCTACGACAAGGAGTCGGAAGAAGCCAAATTACTGGCCAAAGCAGACCGACCTAAAGTCGTCGAAAATATCACCACATTGGTCAGGACAGACGTCCAACGTGAAGCCATCATAAGTCATTCTGATGAGGACTCAGACGACACTTTTGTCATATACACCGCAGACGAAGAAGATGTCCAAGATGGTGTAGTTAGAGAGTCGGAGACAATCAAAACGTCACAGAACGTCCTCATACCTCCAAATGTCATGTACCCACAAAAGCCGGTGTTCATCGAGATGCCAGCAAGCCAGTTGATTTCACTAGAAGCAGACGAGAAGTTTGAAGCCAAAGTCCAGCTACAAGCACATCCACCGGCCTTGGTTCGGTGGTATTTCAAAAATGTTGAGTTAAAGCAGGATGAAAACATTGAAATTATCGATTCCGAGCCGAACACATCAACAATCATCCACTCCAAGCCTCAAAGCGGACTTTACAGAGCTGTCGCCATGAACGAGCACGGTATGACAGCATTGGAGTTACGCGTTTTTGCAAGTGACATTGATGCCGGTACCGTGCCTACTATCCAAGCTCCCACAGAAAGCGAAGTTACAAAGCCGGTTGTCATTGCCCAGAAAAGTATCGAACAAATAAAAGAAGAGACGCCTCGACCACCAACAATAACTCGACCTTTATTACCTAACTACATCTTGAAACAGCAACCTTTGATATTAGAAACAGAAGTCGATTCCAGTCCGATGCCCACATTCCAATGGAAGTACAACAACAGCGACCTTGCAGATGATGGAGACAAAATCAAGGTCGAACGGACGAATACTGTAGCCAAAATTACAATTAAAGACGCAGAAGAAGGAAGATACGAAGTTGTAGCCCTCAACGATCATGGCAAATGTGTATCCTCAACAAAAGTGGTTTTAGAAGCCGAAGAGCCGTTACTGTTTGTGAATACATTACCAAAACTGACTGTAAGCAATGGTATCCTTCGTGTCAAAGTCAATTCCCCCAATGGCGCTTTCAAATGGTACGAAAACGGGCAAGAAGTAACTGAAGGTGAAGATTTCCATATCGAATACGGGTCTGATTCATCTACACTAACGATATTGAAGCCCAGAAAAGGGGCTACACTTACAGCAACTTATACTTTGGGAACCAATCAAATTACAACGGAAACAAAAATAGGTAAAATTAAAATAACATTTGACGTAAAAACAAGTCTAGTTATGCTCAACCACATAATGATTGTTTATAAAGTAAATTTAACTATTTTAGAAGATGAAGAAGAATCTGAGGACAAAACAAAAGAAATGAAGCCATTGGAAGACCAAGAAACCACAAATATTAACAAAGAAGAAGGTAAGACATAGTTAAATGAATTGGAAATTATTATTATCCATAAATTTACATTAATGCACGTTTTCGTGAAGATATCTATCATATTAACATTAAAACAATGTGCAATATTTTAGAAAAATACAACTTACTGGTCAAAGTCGCAGAATCCCTGGCCGAAAGCTTGGTAGCTAATATTATCCTGCAAGCAGTTCAAGAAACCACACTAAGGATCTCACTCAACAACTCCAAGAACAAACTTCAAGACGGTCATTTCAATGTGGCCGAATCAGACGAATTGGCTCCGCAATTCGTAATGAAAAACGAAAGATTCAAGGTATCAGAAGGAGAAACCTTGACAATCCACGAAAGCTTGACTGGAGCACCCTGTTCTAACGTGATTTGGCTCAGAAACGGGGTGGAGATATTCGATGAAGAGTAAGAGTTCTAATTTTCCCCAAAATTCCATAATTTTTTGGAAACAATATTTTGTTTTGAGACGAAATGTCCACTTGGACGAAGTGTCAAAACATTTTTGTTTATTTTTTTGAAAGTAAATTTGACAACAATGTATAAAGTTCAGATTTTAAATATCTAACCATAGCAAAAATGCGGAATACTCAAAAATCACATAATAAATTGTTAACCGTGAGTTTTTTGTTTAGTAGAGTTGAAAAAATAACGACAGAAGGACACGTTCAATTGGTCATTCACAATGTCATCCTAGACGACTATGGAGAATATCGTTGCCGCGTGGAGAACGACTATGGATGTGCTGAATTTATTGGCAAAGTTTCAGATGGTGATGAAGGTTTGTTTTTGATTTAAAGTGTTTGCCGTGTTATTATTTTTGTTTTAGGTAAGAAAAAATAAATAAAATATGAATATATAAGAAGCTAGGGTTTATAAAGTAATTTTAGGTAACATGTATGTTGTAGAACTTGAAATTGTGCCTTATACAAATTAGAAAAATCGATTTGAAAATATGATTTTTAGGTGACCTAGAAGAACCTGAAGAAATTAGCCAGAAAGCCTTAAACGTGGACATTAAAGACGGGACGTTACAGCAGATTATAGAATGTATCATAGCTGACATTCCTCACGTGCAGTCGGCTTTTACAATTGGCCGATCAATTGAAACGACGGCCGTTGTGAATCTGAAGGTTAAGGGAAAAGGCGTCACAGAAGATCCGGCTACATCACACGATATTGTGGAGAAGCGTGAAAAGCGACACAATATTCCTAGTATTGTTGTTGAGGCACATCAAGATGAGGAGCCAAAAATCGAAGAACGAGAAGTTACTGATGTTCAGGTTGAAACACACGACGATGAAGAGGACTTTGAAATTGTGGTAAGTATTATAATATTGTATTCAGAGTGAGGAAAAAGAGTCAAACATTAAAAATTATGTTTTTGTTGAATGTAATATTTGCTAATTACGTAAGTTTTTTTAGTATTTGTTTCAGTCTTCTTAAATCAGGGGTAAGGGTTTTTTTACCTTGACAAGGAAAGTACCCAACCTGCAACTCTCAGAATTAGCTTAAAATTTTTATATGGATTCTTTGTAGTACCAGTAGCACATATAAAAAATCTTAGCTTGCGGTTTTAAGTTTAAAGTTAATATATTTAAATTTCCCGCCAACTTGGCAAATTTGGCATTGTGTTGCAAGCACTTTTTTTGACTTTCCAGACAAGATAGACTTACAAATTTAAAATTGCAGGTTCATTTGAAGCTTTTCTATCATTACATTAAAGGAAAATAGTTAAAAGTCAAAAAATAAGAAAGTTATAAGCTTGAAACACTATGCCAATTTGGCGGGAAATTCAAAACGTGAATTTTTGATTTCGATTTTCTCAAGTCTGGCCGCAAACCGCAACTTAGAATTTTGCATAAGATCTTACATTTACATGATCTTGCAATTAAAAAATTTTGAACGAAATCTGAGCGTTGCAGGTCGGGTACCTTCCTTGTGAGTTAAATAATTAAATAAATCTTTAGGATGCACCACAGATTGTAGAAGGTTCATCTGAAGAACAATTGTCTTCTGGAAGCGAAGTTACCTTAGCTCCTCGATTCCAACAGGCATTACTCAATATATCTTGTAGAGAAAGCAAGACGTTACAGTTGAAATGCATTGTAACGGGAGTTCCCATGCCCAACATTGAATGGTTTTTCAACGGAGAACCATTGTCAACTAATGCGTAAGTTTATTTATTTTAAACTTCGGATTGTGACAATTATTACATTAATATTAGTAGGATATTTTAAAAATTTAAAAATAAAAGCTTTGTTATTTTAGGAATAACTTCAAACGAAAATTGAAATTATTTGTTTCAGCTATTTAGAAAATAAAGAGCTATTTTTAGAAATCAAACGATTGAATTCGAGGACGGTGTAGCTTTGTTACGGATTCGGAATGCTTCCGCTGATAACGAAGGACAATACACGTGTACCGCGACCAATTCCGTAGGCGCTGAATCAACCGCTGGCTTTGTCAAAATTACGGGTTAGTTTGGCATGGAAACAATTCAAGAGTGCTTAACCCGGTCTAATCCGTTTGCAGTGCCAGTTGTTCAAAAAACGTTGGCTGTTGGCTTTTAGATCATCTCGGATGTTGCCTTGAGCTCTCTTTCTTCTTTAATCGGTTCATTTTGAGGGGCGGTTTAATGCTTTATGTATGGTCTTTGTAATTAATGTTTTAGTCATTTTTTAAATGTTTCGCGACTTATAGTTTTGCGCATTCTGTCGGTTACCATTCGCATTGTCTTAGAGGTCTTTTTTTTGCAGAATGTTCAGATGTCCAACAGGGTTTATTTTTTATAAAAGATAAGAAAGTAATGTCTGCTTTCCGACCGGATGTTCATGGAAGTTATCTTGTTTCAAAGACAAATGAGGAAGAACAGTTGAACCGTGTTTTCACAGCTGGGGAATGTCGTCGTGCTTCGATTTCTTTAATCTCGCCAGATCAAAACGAAGTCAATGAAGGCGCCAGTTCTACTGTAAGTACAAACCTCAACCGAAGTGGAAGTCAGACGCTGAATTACGACGAAAATCAACCTTATTATCAAAATGAAGGTCCAACACACGATAACAATGAAAATAAGGACCAGAATATTAAACAAGATCAAAGCTTTCGACACCGTACTTTCCTACGAGGTAGGATGATATCACATCCTTCAGACAGCCCTATTCCATCGTTATCATCAGCAGAACTGATTACGGATCAAGCGGCTCAAGTGTTCCAGGGATGGGAGATGAGGAAGATTCCTCAAACTGGAAGGACGTTAGGGTATTTTTATCCGTACCCTTTTGAAGAATGCCACGCTCATTTTGTTGTGCCAGAAAGTCCGGTGCACATTAACAGAAGTGGCATATCAACACTACAACAATTGCGTTTCGACGAGGGTTTTGAAGCACTGATGGAAGCCTACCGGAATAAAATAAAGTATGGCTCCAGTGTCATCGAGAAGACCATATTTGAGGTCTCGGACAGTTTAATGGACGCCTCTATGACACGGGTTCATAACGAAGTAAACCAAGAGCTTTTGCGGTCTCGAATTGCCGAAACCATTTTGAATCTGAATGCCAGTTACCCAGCGTATTACGACGAAAACCTGAAGCCATCTTTCGATTCATTGGAGAAACGAATTCGGAAATTAGAAGACGTTTTCATTAAAGACGAAGACAAAAGAATTGAGGAAGAACTCCGTGAAATCAACATGCTCAAAAGTGAAGCCTTGTCTGATAAGACAGTCTTATCTAAGCGCGAAGACCAAATTCAGAAACGCTTTGATAATGTTGCTAGGATGACCCCATTAATCCACATGGTGAAGCAAAAGGTTGACAAACTACACGTTTTTGCCCAAATTCCATCTAAGGGTGAGTTTGTCGACGGTTTGCAGCCGCTTCTACACAATATAAACACAGAGATGAATGTGATTCACAAGTTGTGCAGACAAAACAACGACATCTCCAACATAAACAAAGTTGTTAAAGTGTTGTCAGGAGTCTGTTCACGCGTTGACAGCGTTCTGGATGAATTCAACGTTTCCAGACTGACGTCCTCGTCAAGAATTGCGGAAGAAGAAGCGAAATCTGTATGGTTGACTTTAGACCTTCAACGTCCAGAAGCAGTCACCGTTACTAAGGCTTCTGTAAAGGTCCAAGAAAACGCCAAGTTGTTGAAGAAGGTGAAGACAGACGCTCCACTCAAGAACCTTGAAGGCAGTTCGGATACTGAAATCATATCTAAAACAATCCACGAAATTTCAACAGAATCTCAACTTCAGACTCAGAAGGCGAGAGTAAAAGAACCTACAAAGCCAAACAAAGTTGACAAAGAGAGTGCAACTTTAAAAGTATTAGCGCCGAGCGTGAAGAATCAGAAAAAGCATTCGTTGCCAACATTCGAAGTAACAGCTCCAGAAATAACATCTAATTTATCAGAAATGAATGCCGAGACTTTGGTTACAGCGCGCAGGAGAGCTCAACAAAAAGATGTCCAAGGCTTTATCATTCCGGGAAACACTCGGTTTGGCAACCAGTTTTTGTTTGATGACGTTGTAGATGTGACGGTGACGGAAAGTCAACATTCGATATACTCAGAAGACGAAAACACATTAACAAACGTGCCCATTCTGTTCTGCAAGTCTCGCTTACCGTTAGAAACGGCGATTCTCAGCGACGACGAATCGGACGAATTTCACGTTATCAATGTGAAGAACAGCTGTTCTGAAACATTCTGTTTGAAGAAGCATCGTCGCAATTACCGAGTGAGTGCTTTCGTGTATCCAGCAGTTAGTGGACGTTGTGGAGTAACCATTTCCGACAACAACTACCAGGTCGACGTTGAACAAGAACAAGACGCTTGGAAGAATTCGGCTACAATATTCAGCAACTCATTCTTCTCTACTGAAGTTTACATTGAGGATTCCGAACATGAGAAGCGGATGTCGGTTCTAAAAGATTTAACTGAAGCCAACGCCCAAATGTCAGTTTCTATCGATGCCCGTAGCTTTTATGACGGTGTAGATGTGAATTTGAATCTGATACCTTACTACGGAACGCATAAGAATCTGGCTTCGAATCGTCTGGAAAATGGAAGCATTAACAACTCAGCTTTGCTGAATGTGACTGTTTCTGAACACAACGACGATGTAGCATCCTCTCATCGATCGTCTCAGAAATCACTGGTCATATCAGAGTACACAGCCTTAAATCAACACAGCTTTGATGTACCTACTTACATTGTCAAAAATGGGTCTACTGCTTCTATCACGTGCGAATTAAACAAGTCGGTTCAGCTAGATTGTAAAGTTGAGTGGTTTGTCGGCAAAAAGCACATTAGACCTAACAATCAGAAGTACATGAGATCAAGGGAACTGTTCATGGAAGTGCTGATTATTAATGACGTCACCATCAATGACAGCGAGCTCTACAGTATTTCCATTGACAACGAGATTTATCCTGTGGCATATTTGATAGTAGAAAATGCAAACATGGGATACAACGATGTAATAAACCAACCAGAAACAATGTTTGTCATGGAGGGCGAAACAGCAATATTGTCTTGCCGTCTTCCAGACTTATATCAGTACAGTACCCCGATCAAATGGGTAAACAATAGCGGCGAGGTTATGTCATCGACCAGCGTTTCAAATTCAGCGGAAAACAAGTATTCTCGCGTTATTATCGGAGAAGTCACGGTTGAAGATCAAGGATGCTACATGTGTTACGTGGACGACGTCGTGAAGCAGATAAATCTAGTAGTAGAAGGTTGGTCTTTGTCATTCTCAGTTTTGTATACTCGATCTTAATTTGGTCTAGATTGTCAAAAGAATATTTTCAGAACGTATTGACGAAAGAGAAGTGCAAGTTAGTTCGGCTGAGACCGACAACGAAGACTTGAACGACTACTTGGTTCCACTCAACTCGACCGCCACCATCGCCTGCGAGTTGGAATCGACCGAAAAACTCAAAACATTCCAGTGGCGGAAGGACAACCAGAATATCATTTGTAATCAAAACTCAAAATACGAACATGTCATTAACGGTTTCAAACATTATCTTATAATACACAACGCTCAAGTCTATGACTCAGGGGTCTACAGTGTTCTTATCAATTCGACCGTCTTTAAAGTTGCTCAGCTGACTATATCACAAAAGAGACACACTCTGTACAGAGATCAAGGCAGATCGTTTTCATACGTTTGTATCTGAGATTTTGAATAAATTAACTAAATAATGTGTGCAAGCCTTGTGGAATAAACCATGAATAACATGTGGAAAGAACAAATTAGTGTGTGTAACCTTATAAAATACAAACAATATATCTTTTGTAGCCGCAAACGTGGTTGAGCAAACAACCGTACCTGAAAACACAAATGTCACAATCCGTTGTGAAACGTTGCACCCCCAGTCCAAAGTTGCTTGGCAACATGATGGACAACCACTGCAACAGACAAGCCAGTTCACGCAACAGTCCCAAGAAAATAATCGCAAACACCTTTTGACCATTTCGGCAATTACTGCAGACAACCAAGGAGAATATGGGGTTCTGGTGGATGGGGTTTACATTCCTGTAGCCAATTTAGTAATTAGCAAAAGTGAGTAAAACTTAAGAAGTCATATTAATATCAGTTTTTGGCAAATTTTATACCACTTTTTTTCAAATTTAATTTGTCAAATTTATGTAAGAATACATGTAAATGAACTTGTGTTTAGGTGAACAAAACCATATCACTGACCAAACGCATCTCCAAAGTACAGATAAAGAAAACATGACACAATTGACTATCAACTTGTCTCTAAAACAAAAAGAACAAAAGGAGGGAATAACAGTTGACATACTTCCAAATGAAGTAGACTACATAGCTAACTTGTTTTCCCAAAACGACGATGACACTTTCGAAATTCTAAATAGGCGTGAACATAGCCAAAGCAATGAAAGCATTTCAATACTAGGTTCATCTGAATTGCACAGCAGTACACCCCAACATCCACAAGACAAGCAAAACGAAAAAAACCGGAATCAAGAAGCAGAAGCTAATATTACAAAAGAAGTTAAAAAAATAGTCGAAGAAAAGGACAATGTTGAACAACAAGAAGTTCAGTCATCTGTTGAAGCTGCAAAGCCTAAAGAAGCTCCAAAAGAAGAGGCTAAACCACAAGAAGTTCAGCCACCTGCTGAAGCTGAGAACCCTCAGGAAGCTCCAAAGGAAGAAGCTAAACCACAAGAAGTTCAGCCATCTGCTGAAGCTGAGAAGCCGAAAGAAGAGGCTAAACCACAAGAAGTTCAACCAGCTGCTGAAGCTGAGAAGCCTAAGGAAGAAGCTAAACCACAAAAAGTTCAGCCATCTGCTGAAGCTGAGAAGCCTAAGGAAGAAGCTAAACCACAAAAAGTTCAGCCATCTGCTGAAGCTGAGAAGCCTAAGGAAGAAGCTAAACCACAAGAAGTTCAGCCAACTGCCGAAGCTGAGAAGCCGAAAGAAGCGATTCATGAGGCTGAAGACTTAACTGCTGATTTATTATTTAGAAAGCAAGAAGAAGCTTTTGAAGTTCAAGTGGTAGTGTACGGATTGTTGGAAGAGTTGGCTGTCACAGTCACACCAACACAAAATATTATTGCCAAAACAGAACGCTCAGAGATTGCACAACCATCTGCTGAAGCTGAGAACCCTCAGGAAGCTCCAAAGGAAGTAGTTAAACCAAAAGAAGTTCAGCCATCTGCTGAAGACGAGAAGCCGAAAGAAGAGGCTAAACCACAAGAAGTTCAGCCATCTGTTGAAGCTGAGAAGCCTCAAGAAGCTCCAAAAGAAGAAGCTAAACCACAAGAAGTTCAGCCATCTGTTGAAGCTGAGAAGCCTCAAGAAGCTCCAAAAGAAGAAGCTAAACCACAAGAAGTTCAGCCATCAGCTGAAGCCGAGAAGCCGAAAGAAGAGGCTAAACCACAAGAAGTTCAGCCATCTGCTGAAGCTGAGAAGCCGAAAGAAGCTCCAAAAGAAGAAGCTAAACCACAAGAAGTTCAGCCATCAGCTGAAGCCGAGAAGCCGAAAGAAGAGGCTAAACCACAAGAAGTTCACCCATATGCTGAAGCTGAGAAGCCGAAAGAAGAGGCTAAACCACAAGAAGTTCAGCCATCTGCTGAAGCTGAGAAGCCTAGGGAAAAAGCTACACCACAAGAAGTTCAGCCATCTGTTGAAGCTGAGAAGCCTCAAGAAGCTCCAAAAGAAGAAGCTAAACCACAAGAAGTTCAGCCATCTGCTGAAGCTGAGAAGCCGAAAGAAGAGGCTAAACCACAAGAAGTTCAGCCATCTGTTGAAGCTGAGAAGCCGAAAGAAGCTCCAAAAGAAGAAGCTAAACCACAAAAAGTTCAGCCATCTGTTGAAGCTGAGAAGCCTCGAGAAGCTCCAAAAGAAGAAGCTAAACCACAAGAAGTTCAGCCATTTGCTGAAGCTGAGAAGCCGAAAGAAGAGGCTACACCACAAGAAGTTCAGCCATCTGCTGAAGCTGAGAAGCCGAAAGAAGAAGCTAAACCACAAGAAGTTCAGCCATTTGCTGAAGCTGAGAAGCCGAAAGAAGAGGCTGCACCACAAGAAGTTCAGCCATTTGCTGAAGCTGAGAAGCCGAAAGAAGCGATTCATGAGGCTGAAGACTTAACTGCTGATTTATTATTTAGAAAGCAAGAAGAAGCTTTTGAAGTTCAAGTGGTAGTGTACGGATTGTTGGAAGAGTTGGCTGTCACAGTCACACCAACACAAAATATTATTGCCAAAACAGAACGCTCAGAGATTGCACAACCATCTGCTGAAGCTGAGAACCCTCAGGAAGCTCCAAAGGAAGTAGTTAAACCAAAAGAAGTTCAGCCATCTGCTGAAGACGAGAAGCCGAAAGAAGAGGCTAAACCACAAGAAGTTCAGCCATCTGTTGAAGCTGAGAAGCCTCAAGAAGCTCCAAAAGAAGAAGCTAAACCACAAGAAGTTCAGCCATCTGTTGAAGCTGAGAAGCCTCAAGAAGCTCCAAAAGAAGAAGCTAAACCACAAGAAGTTCAGCCATCAGCTGAAGCCGAGAAGCCGAAAGAAGAGGCTAAACCACAAGAAGTTCAGCCATCTGCTGAAGCTGAGAAGCCGAAAGAAGCTCCAAAAGAAGAAGCTAAACCACAAGAAGTTCAGCCATCAGCTGAAGCCGAGAAGCCGAAAGAAGAGGCTAAACCACAAGAAGTTCACCCATATGCTGAAGCTGAGAAGCCGAAAGAAGAGGCTAAACCACAAGAAGTTCAGCCATCTGCTGAAGCTGAGAAGCCTAGGGAAAAAGCTACACCACAAGAAGTTCAGCCATCTGTTGAAGCTGAGAAGCCTCAAGAAGCTCCAAAAGAAGAAGCTAAACCACAAGAAGTTCAGCCATCTGCTGAAGCTGAGAAGCCGAAAGAAGAGGCTAAACCACAAGAAGTTCAGCCATCTGTTGAAGCTGAGAAGCCGAAAGAAGCTCCAAAAGAAGAAGCTAAACCACAAAAAGTTCAGCCATCTGTTGAAGCTGAGAAGCCTCGAGAAGCTCCAAAAGAAGAAGCTAAACCACAAGAAGTTCAGCCATTTGCTGAAGCTGAGAAGCCGAAAGAAGAGGCTACACCACAAGAAGTTCAGCCATCTGCTGAAGCTGAGAAGCCGAAAGAAGAAGCTAAACCACAAGAAGTTCAGCCATTTGCTGAAGCTGAGAAGCCGAAAGAAGAGGCTGCACCACAAGAAGTTCAGCCATTTGCTGAAGCTGAGAAGCCGAAAGAAGAGGCTAAACCACAAGAAGTTCAGCCATCTGTTGAAGCTGAGAAGCCTCAAGAAGCTCCAAAAGAAGAAGCTAAACCACAAGAAGTTCAGCCATCTGTTGAAGCTGAGAAGCCTCGAGAAGCTCCAAAAGAAGAAGCTAAACCACAAGAAGTTCAGCCATTTGCTGAAGCTGAGAAGCCGAAAGAAGAGGCTACACCACAAGAAGTTCAGCCATCTGCCGAAGCTGAGAAGCCGAAAGAAGCGATTCATGAGGCTGAAGACTTAACTGCTGATTTATTATTTAGAAAGCAAGAAGAAGCTTTTGAAGTTCAAGTGGTAGTGTACGGATTGTTGGAAGAGTTGGCTGTCACAGTCACACCAACACAAAATATTATTGCCAAAACAGAACGCTCAGAGATTGCACAACCATCTGCTGAAGCTGAGAACCCTCAGGAAGCTCCAAAGGAAGTAGTTAAACCAAAAGAAGTTCAGCCATCTGCTGAAGCTGAGAAGCCTCAAGAAGCTCCAAAAGAAGAAGCTAAACCACAAGAAGTTCAGCCATCTGCTGAAGCCGAGAAGCCGAAAGAAGAGGCTAAACCACAAGAAGTTCAGCCATCTGTTGAAGCTGAGAAGCCTCAAGAAGCTCCAAAAGAAGAAGCTAAACCACAAGAAGTTCAGCCATCTGCTGAAGCCGAGAAGCCGAAAGAAGAGGCTAAACCACAAGAAGTTCAGCCATCTGCTGAAGCTGAGAAGCCGAAAGAAGCTCCAAAAGAAGAAGCTAAACCACAAGAAGTTCAGCCATCTGCTGAAGCCGAGAAGCCGACAGAAGAGGCTAAACCACAAGAAGTTCAGCCATCTGCTGAAGCTGAGAAGCCGAAAGAAGCTCCAAAAGAAGAGGCTAAACCACAAGAAGTTCAGCCATATGCTGAAGCTGAGAAGCCGAAAGAAGCTCCAAAAGAAGAGGCTAAACCACAAGAAGTTCAGCCGTCTGCTGAAGCTGAGAAGCCGAAAGAAGAGGCTACACCACAAGAAGTTCAGCCATCTGCTGAAGCTGAGAAGCCGAAAGAAGAGGCTACACCACAAGAAGTTCAGCCATCTGCTGAAGCTGAGAAGCCGAAAGAAGAGGCTAAACCACAAGAAGTTCAGCCATCTGTTGAAGCTGAGAAGCCTCAAGAAGCTCCAAAAGAAGAAGCTAAACCACAAGAAGTTCAGCCATCTGTTGAAGCTGAGAAGCCGAAAGAAGCGATTCATGAGGCTGAAGTCTTAACTGCTGATTTATTATTTAGAAAGCAAGAAGAAGCTTTTGAAGTTCAAGTGGTGGTGTACGGATTGTTGGAAGAGTTGGCTGTCACAGTCACACCAACACAAAATATAATTGTCGAAACAGAACGCTCAGAGATTGCACAACCATCTGCTGAAGCTGAGAACCCTCACGAAGCTCCAAAGGAAGTAGTTAAACCAAAA